GCAACCCGGGGCTATGCCCTGTGGCAACCCGGGGCTATGCCCTGTGGCAACCCGGGGCTATGCCCTGTGGCAACCCGGGGCTATGCCCTGTGGCAACCCGGGGCTATGCCCTGTGGCAACCCGCATATTAATCATCAGGTAAACCTGACGATTAATATGCGGGTTGCAGATATATTGAAGTGTAATAAACTATCTTTTATTTCTGTAATTGAAATCTGGAATATTTGATTGAAAGTACCTTTCTATATTTTTTAGTTTTGCATTTTGTCCTAACATTTTTGTAAAGGTAAACCTTTACGATTAAAATGGGAGTTGCTTTAAATTGATATAAAAAGGTGTTTTATATCTCATAAATTAAATTCTTTATGAATTGATTGAAGTTTAAAAATATTATAAATAAATTTTGCATTATGGGCATGAGTTTTTATCTATGAAAACTGCTGTTTTGAAGAATGATTTTATTATATTAGATAGAATTGATTACCTATTTTGCAAAACAAAAACTTGGATTTACAGACATCGAATTTTGTTAAATTAGATGTGATTTAAATAGAATATGCTAGTAACTACTGTATTACTCTAAATTAAACCAAATTACTAATAGAATAATTGATTCTATTAGTGATTCAAAAATTGATTGATTTATTCATTAATTCATTGATTTAATCATGTATTCTATTCTTTCAATCTATTTAAATATTTATTACCTTTTAATTGATAAATACTTTTATATTCATTTTTTTTTGAATGAATTCATTTATTAATCATAGATTCCAAAGTAAATGAATCATATCAAGTCGTGTGAATCGAATAAATAAATATGATTTATTATTTTAAAACTGAAACTATATGTTTTATTCTTGATCATCACTATCCACAAATTGTCATTGATCTTCGTTGACCACTTGAAGTGGTGTCATATCTCGTTGTTTCTGTTTCTCTAACAATCTTTTATTATTTACTTGTTGATTTTGTTGTAACTTTCTATTATCTACATTTGGTTGTTGTTGCTTCTGCTGCTGCTGCTGCTGTTGCTGTTGCTGTTGCTGTTGCTGTTGCTGTTGCTGTTGTTCATATTCAACTTGTTGTTGATGTTGCTGTTGTTGATATGCACCATAATTTCCTAAATGATAATCAATAAATGTTTAGTAACATTCTATTAATTAATAAACTAATGCTTATAAATTTACATACCTCAATAGCAATAAGAACACCTTGGCTTTGTGTAGCAGGCCCGGTCTCCAACTGTACTTTCATTGGCATCGCTGAACCCTCTGTTTTGATAATGTTGATGATCATACTATTAATTGGTTGTACTTGAAATGTATAACATATTAAAACTATATTAAATTTTATTGAAGTTTAAAAAAGTTGGGTATTGGCAGTGGCCGTGGCGCGCTGTAGCCACACCAAAATCCAAATACTAGGAATATGACGTATTGGAACTAAATTAAATACTAATATATAGTATGTGTATTGTTGTTGTTTAAAGTATAGGATAACCCAATAAGCGAATTAAATGAGCAATCTAATTATAACTATCTAAACTATCGATCTGCATGGGTCACAGGCCACCAAAGAATTGATTTGGCATCATTAAGTTCGATTTTATGTTCTATAGTACATCACATTGATTAGTAAAGAATGATTTAAGTTGAAATCTATGACTGAAATATACTTATTTATAAGATATTTTTGATGCATTTAAATCACTCATTTCTCTTTATTCACTTTGACCTATATATATGTGTTATCATCGTATCTCCATAAATACCACCTTTTCTTAGTCCATGGCTATGATGATATTCACTTTATATATGTGACTATCAAAATTTCTATCTTTATATCTGTGTTTTATTATAGTACATGTTCAATCCACCCCACCCATTTGAATCTCTATTTAAATATCATTTTTAAATCATATAAATTACTATTCATCCTTATTTACACTCTATATATTGTGATCTGTGATATTACTACTTACAATTAGTTAACCAAAACCAATCCTTTTTGTTTTAATGGCTAAACTTTTTGATCAAGCTCTTTACTCTTTTTTTCCTCTGTTTTACTTGACAATATTACACTACAATTTTTTCGTAGTTGTTACGAAGTTTTTACATAGTATTCAACTCAATAAATGCAAAAAAAAAAAAATTTGTATGAAAAAGCATACTACGAATGGGATTCGTTATGCCCTTTTTTACACATTAAATTCGTAGTTGTTACGACAATTTATTTTTTAATGAGAAAAAAAAATGTTAAATAACTTTAAAAAGAACACTTGCAACGATTTTATAGATAATCTATATTATAAATGAGAATATTTATTTTTTTGTTAATCATAATTACTATATTAGTATTTATTCAGAAGATAAAGCTTTTAAATGTAAACATACCAATATTGCATTCATAGACATGTCTCATAGTTGAATCTACTATTGCAAAAGATCGTCAATGCATCATCGATCTCTACAATGTCAGTTTCATTTGTCTTTTGTATCTTTTCACCACCTTGTTTGAATTTGATACTGTTTTCAAATGAATTATTGATTATACTATACAATGTTTGTTATTGTAGCTTCCCACCAAGTGCTATATCGACACCATCTATTTTTTTTGTTAGTTCACATTCTAAACATCAATTAAATATACACTGGAATGACATACTATTTGATTTAGCAAAGACTTTTTTGTCCATTTTGGAATAACGATGGGCGAACATCAGATGATCGATTATTCTTCTCTCTCTTTGTGTTGTTTGTCTTTGTTGTATTTCAGAAGTTCGAACGATCGTTGTTGTTCTGTGGTTGTAGTTGCTGTAATTTGAGTTGTTGCTGCTGTTGATGTTGATATTGTTGTTGTTGGTTCGTTGGTCGCATTTGTAGTGTTTGTTGGTTTAGTAGCAATATCTGCTGAGAAAGATATTCGATCTCCATATCTTGACTCTCCAAATAACTAATAAATGGATTATTTAAATTAAAAAAACTATTGTTATAGATTATTGTTATTATTGTTATTATTATTATTATTATAATTAATATTGTTATTGCTATAAGTGAAGTTATTGTTATTGTTATTGTTAATGTTACTGTTATTGTTATTGTTACTGTTGACTATCTCAAATTAAATAACTATTGTTTGATATTGCTATCAAATCTGCAAATCGATAATAAATAACTATTAATTGACTATCTTAAATTAAATCTTAAATATTATTATTAATTGACTATCTCAAATTAATAACTATTGTTTGAAATGATCATTTTTTTTTTTTTTTTTGGTTCGAGTCATCAAAATAAATTTTTAAAATTAATGTGGTAAAAATCTCGACAAATTGTAAAAAAATGATAACCACACTGGCACACCTTAAATTTTTACTATGATCAAAATGCACGTTTCAAAAGTGAAAAACTTTTTTCACACACTGATTTGTGTGGTGCCCATGACAACTACGAAACAATCGTAGTGATTAGTTAAACATCTAAATACAACGTAAAACAATATAGGTATATTTATTTTTGAAACAAATAATTGTTAAAATATTAATAAAAATAAAGAAAATAAAAAAATTGGGTGGTCCATTTCAAAAAAATCGTGCCAGATGAGTTGTCAAAAAAATGAAAAATTTGAAGTCCCCAGTTCACGAAATTTTTATATGGGGTTCGCATTAATTTTTTTTCCTCTCATATTAACCCCCATATAAAAATTTTCACTTGTGTATCTAAAGATTTAAAATGAAAGTAAAAAAAAAAAAAAAAAAAATTTGGTTGTCATTTCATTATAACATTTAGATTCTAAAGAAAGTTTGGTGCTGCACTATTTGAAGTAGATGAACGCCATATTCATTTTTAATTCTAATTATTTAATAATTTAAAACCATCACAACACACCCATTTACATTCAACCATTCAACCAACATCGATTCATCTAATCTTTATGATTAATTCATTAATTTTTAAAGCAACTCAATTGGAGGTGTAATATCAATTTGGCAAATGAAACTGGTGATCACACCTATCGCGAACCAACAGAGTGATAAGAAATCGGTTAAGGAGACTTACAATCATTAGAAAGATGAACGGATCAAAATATTAAGAATATACAAATACAATCAATTCAAACTTCATCCGATATTTTGAAGAACACCCTTTGACACCAACCAATTTCACCTATCAAATTATTCAATAGTAATAATAACAATGATTGTCGATAAAGAGAACTAATATTGTAGTGTATGATTAATTGTAACAGCAGTTCCTTTAATACTGGGTGTGTTTGTTGTGGATACTTTTGTATTGTATAAAGATCAAAACGTGAGAAATAGCTGTTGTTGTTGCTGCTCAATCATCATACTTCGAACTTGGTATTGCTTGTTACATGCTGTTGAATGAAAGTCTTTGTAAGAGCATCGACATACAGGTAGATTAGATGATATCCAATAGGTAAAATTAAATCAAGAACAATTTAATAAAAAAGAATATTTTTTAAAATATAAACATGAACGTTTTTTATTAAACAAATTTTAATTCAGTTGATACACCATAGTGATCGCTGAGTTGTGAAAATGGAAAACCTTCAATGAAAAATGGTTCGACCTTTGTAGTACCTGGAACCAATATATTGTTATTATTATTATGATTTTTTTGGTTGGAATCTGCGTTGTCCACGGAGAGGTGAGATGGTTGAATACGATTGACTAGAAATATGTAATCTAGACTCTTCATACAACAATAGTCGTTCTTATTTGTTAGGGCAGTCTCTTTTGCCGATAATACACCATTGACATCAGTAGCATCACCAACGGTTGGTGGATGCAATCCAGTGTCATTCTTTAGAAGATCTAACATTTCAAACAACTGTACCTGGCCATCTAGATGATTCTTGTTTGAGATTAAATCGATCATTTCCAAGTACTCTTTGGTGTCAGATCCAGAGTCATGCGATGTCTTGGATACTCTAGAGTCGACATTCAGGTCTCCAGCCAATATAATTGGATATTGATCGTTGGATGTCATGAGATGCATGAATTCGCGTAATTGGTTTAACTGCTTGGTTCTCACCGAATCATTCTTAACATTGTCTGTACTCTCTGTGGTTGAATTTGGATGCACATACGATGCCTGTAGATGAGTTGAGAATAAATGAATATAATGTTTGTTCTTCTCGATTTCAATCTTTGCATAGATGGCACCCTTTGCAGCCAACATATCACTGTCAACACCCTGCTGATATAAAAGATACTCTTGTTTAACTATTGGATACTTTGAGATGATCGCTACACCACCATCCACCAAGAATGTCGACTTTAAATAGGAGGGTAGAGGTGAAGTTGCATGATATTTGAATCCCTGTGCGGTAGCTCGCTCTAAAAATCGTCTCTGTCTGTAGGAGAATGCAGAAAACAACTCTTGGAAACAAATGATATCGTACTGACCAAGAATTGAGGTGTCTAACTTGGCGTACCTTTGATGCTGCTCCTTTAACTTGCGTTCCGACACCGGCGATAACAGTTTCGGTGGACGTGGAGATCTCCAAGGTGATAAATAAGGTATCGTTGGAAATCTGTCTTTATCTACGGTATAGAGTGAATAGGGAACACCAGATTGCGATGTGAATGATTTTATTAATTTCTCTGCACCCAAGTCTGTTGAAATCATACATTCCAATCTTTCATCTTTGTAATCATTGAAATTATTTCTAATTCCTGGTGGTCTAATAAATACATTATATGTTAACAATTTTATGTGTAAATTCATTAAAACATCTTGAGACACCATTTTTTATTATGAATAAAAATATAAAAAATAAATTATTTAAAATAAAGATAAATAAAAGAAATCTTATAGGTTATATATATATCAAAAAAAAGATAATTTTATGTTAATATAACAAAGTATTAAGTATCATACTTATAAATAAATATAAATATATAACTATATTAAAAATTATTATTGTAAAACGATTTGTTAATAGTTTGCATAATAATGTAAAAAACAAAGGGTTACAACATATCTGTAAAACTTTTATTAAAAATTTTCATAAAAAAAAAAAAACAATTTAATATCGAATTTCTAATTTTGGAAATAAATTTGCAAATACAATAATTTTATTTTTTTAAATTTTATTTTTTAAAAAAGAATAGGTATAAAACATTCTTTGAATGGTTAATATTTTTTCGTTATTTGCAAGGTGATCCGACTCGAGATCTTGTAGATCTTCGTTTAACCACTGATTTTCAGATTTGTTTTTAATGTGTTGAATGTAATGTTTTAGTTTATCTGTTGTTAGCAATAGTGTTCCATATTGTTCGAATGGTATGCATTGTATCTTTAATTCCTCTTCTGATGTCAATTGTTCATAGTTGTCTTTACTACCATCGTTGTTGCTGTTGCTGTTGTTGTTTTGTACTCCTGAGATTGTCTTTAAGCCTGGGTAGAATGTAGTAAAGTAGGTAGGTGAAGATGCCATGACCAAAGGCGAGAGATAAGTTGGAAGTGTTTGGTGTTTACCAAAGGTCAGCTGTCGATGCATCGATCGCAAAGCAGAGAGTATCTTTGACTGTGCACGTCTCATCTTTGCCGTGGTATTACCACCTCTAACAAGTTGATTGATTTGCCATCCAAGAGCAGTCAGCAAGAGCACTGCCGGTATAGCAGCAAGCAACTGGAAGTTCAATTCGTTGGATTGTAGTAGTTTATCGATTGCTTGCATTGCTTTGTCTACATCTACTTTCTCCTTTTGGACCTGAATTAAAAGTAGTCGTACCAAATCACCTAAAACTAAACTTTTGAATGGTTTCTCAATGGCAGCCTCATAGGGACGCATCACTGTTGTGATATCTCCTTTAGCGGCAAGGTCTACAAGTGTTGCAATATCAGATTCATTAAGATTTCCTCCTGCCATATCTCTATTGTAGTCGACCACCATACGCTGTAGAGATTCGAGTGACGATTGCAAAGACTTGGGGTCAGCTACATTCATTGTTTTCTGGTCGTATCTTATTACATTCCATATGTTTCGCAAAGGCAGCTCGATATGTTCAACAGCGAATCTATGCCAGGCGCGATAATAGTCAGTTGCCGATGATTTGAAATCGCTGTAGTTATCGTACAAATAGCTACCACTTAGATATCCAATTGTTAGACCAACAGTTATCTTCATCCAATTACGTGAGAGCCAGCCAGGATGTTGGTCATTCGCTATCTGAAGCTGCATGAATCCAAAGAACTTTTGAATAGCGACAGTGTTGGAGCGAACCATAAAATAGAGTGACTCTTGGTACTTTTCAGTGTCTGGCTGGTTGAGGAGTGCACAGTCTGCAACCATAGGATCAGTTAATACATCGTAATCACGCATTCTCTCTTGTATCATTCGTGACATTTCGACCAATTGATTGATATGATAGTTTATATCAGAGTTTTGTTTTTCGTCACCAGAGAGTATATCGCCACCCTCTATATTGGCACCAAACATCAAGACACTATCATATACTAAAATAACAGCTTGACTTGCAATGACATTAAACTGTGATAAACTAGTAAAGTTCTTCATGTTACCAATGTAGAACGTAAGTCGACCAATTGCAATGGCTACCAACTTTAACAATTTATCTAATCTAGCAATTCTCAACTCTATCTCTTTAGTTGGATGTAAAATATCGTTACTGTCGTCACTCTTTGCTATAGATTTCGATATTTTACTGGCAATCTCATCTCTATCTTGTTTGTCATTGTCTTCACTATCCGATGTAATTGGACTGACCTCTTCGGAGCTGCATGGTGAGATACCATCACTACCTCCATTATTATTACTACTATTATTATTATTAGAATATCTGCTATTGATTATTTCATCGATTTCAGTGTCTGTTTGCTTCATTATATTCTTTCTAACCAATCTTTCCATATCGACTCGAATTTCGTGCAACTTGTTGGAGACTGTAATGAATGGTGAACTGTAATTGGCGGTTTGATGTAATCGAGCAAGTTTCTTTTCAAAGTATATACGCTTTCTCAGTTGTTGTCGCCAGTATTTCAACCAAAACAATGGTGTCTTCTCGATGATATACCAAGAGTTGGGTGAATCGACGTATCTAGAAGACCAATAGTCACGTATCGATTCTATGCGTTGCGACGCTACAAAGAGATAGTCTACAAACAACTGGATCTGATCTGTCAGGAGATTGGACAAGAGCACATGCTTGCCGACTTTGTAGGTGAGAGTTGGATCATAGTCGGCAACGACCTTACGCTTTCTAGGATGACCACCAGCCAGACGATTATACTTTGCACCGACATTGCCAACCTCTGAATACAATGGCTCCAACTGCTCCAATGAGCTCAATAGCGAAGCTATTCCAGTGCTAATACCATTGATAGTTGCTACGACCGGTGATTCTGCTTCTGCTGACTGACTATTCGAACTGATACCAGCTCCACCGGTACCAACACCACCAGCAGCACCCACTTCATTCGACGTCAAACTATCCAATGGTAAAGTGGTACTCGATTTATTTAGATAGTGACTGGTCGAGCTCTTAACATCTCTAAGTACTCGTGAGTCAGATGTAAGACTATTGAGTGAATCCTGTAAAAGTTTATCGAGTTGTTGGTCAATTTGGTCGTGAGGCAATGAAAGAGATGACCATTGACTAATAGGTGAAACAGTTGCTATCTGTTTTCTAATAGCTTTTGTCTTTCTATGTATAATACCACTACCACTACTGTAATTTAATTTTGTAGCATTTTCTGTTTTCTTTTTTGCAGTTGATGTTGATTCTGTGTTACTCATTGCTAATAAGTATAAAAAACATTAAAAAGAAAAAAAAAAACAATATTATAATTTTGAAATAATTCAAACAAATGAAAATGAAATCAAAATCAGTGATCAATTTATAATTTAATTCGTAATATTAATCAATAATTTAGATTTAATAAAAAATAAATATTTAAGTTTTGGAAACGTAGCCTTCAAATTATTATGTAAAAAAAAAAAAAAACCAAAGAATAATTATTAAAAAAATGAACATTAGTTGTTTAATTTAAATACAAAAGATTATAAATTATTAGATGTGGTTAAAGTACCATGATCATATAAAAAAAGTATACATATCACTACATAAAATAATTAATTAAAAAAATAAAAAAACGTCTTTTTTTTAAAAAACAAAAAAAAAAAAACCAAATGCATTATTTTTTTTATCAATAAACAATAAATTATTGTAATATTACATTATAGTGTTAGATATGAATCAACAAGATGAACCATTATACAAAAAACCAATAAAAGTAGAGAAGAAGCTTGTACATGTACCTGTTTTGTCAGAGGGTACAGTCTATCAATTGGATGGATTTCTATCATATGTAGATACAGAGCATAATGAAAATCATCATAATACTTCGGATCTCTCAAACATTGGTGTAGTCATAACTCATCCACACCCAATGTTAGGAGGAAACTATAATAACAATGTAGTTTTGGGAATCTCTAGTTTCTTGACCAACCATTTGCATATTCCAACATTATGCTTCAACTTTAGAGGTGTCGGTGGAAGTCAAGGAAAAGGTAGTTGGAGAGGTTCATACGAGCGTGAAGATGTACTCGCAGCAGTTAGCTATCTCTTGGATCATGCACCGATTGGTCATCGTCCAACCAGAATTATCATTGTCGGTTATTCATATGGTGCTGTCATCGGATCGTCAGTTGCCGACAGTCATCAATCGATCATAGGATACACCTCGGTATCATACCCATTCGGACCACTTACATTGATGCTACTCGGACCACTATTGGAATTAGGAAAATCAAACAAACCAAAACTATTTATTCAAGGAGATCGTGATAATTTTACTGGAACCTCTAAATATAAATCAAGGTAATTATTATATTCAATTGACCGAAAATCAAACAACAAAGCTAAACTAAATAATATTTATACTACTCTTAATAATTAGAACTGCTGATTTTCCACATCCAACAGAAGTTAGACTTTTCGAGAATGTCGATCATTTCTATGGTGGAAGAGAGAAATTGCTTGCCAAAGAAATATCAAAATGGATTTGTACTACTTTTACAAATCTACCAAAAGAGAGTTAATTATAATTATTCATGAAGAGATTAATAATTTTGTATAAATAAAATATTTTTTTTAAAGATGGTTGATGACTTGGCAAAAAAAAAAAAAAAAAAAAAACAAATGTTTTGTAATTCACATTAAATATATTAATTTAAAAATGAATAGAATTACCCTTCTAAGTGAAACTATCTTTATAAATGCTTATGAACATTCAAAGAGCAGGTTATTAACTGCATTAATAATAGTTAGTCTATTTGCAATTCATGGTTACAGAAAGAAATCATTGTCAACCTCTGGTGTGATTGCTGCGTGGTGTGTTGGTATGATTACCTGTATATCTAGTTGGTCATTTGCAGTTTCATTGTTATCTTTTTATTTCTCATCGTCATATCTCACCAAGTATAAAGCATCAATAAAGAAAAAAATTGAAGAAAATCATTTACTTGGTAAATTTTACAAACAACCACCATTTAAACTAGCTAGCTATTCTAACACTTATCATCTTAAATCAATAGGTGGACAAAGAAATTATGTACAGGTACTCTCTAATAGTTTGAATGCAGCAGTTTGTGGACTTGTATTCCTTTTATTTTCATTTGATCCAAGAATCACTTTTATAGACTCTGACTACAAGTTTGATGCGTTTTTGATTTGTGCAGTTGTTGGACACTATGCCGCTTGCAATGGTGATACCTGGGCATCTGAGCTTGGTATTCTCAATAAAAAGAAACCGATTCTTGTCACAACACTCAAACCAGTTCCAACAGGTACCAACGGAGGTGTCAGTTTGGTGGGTATCTTGGCTTCAATCGCAGGTGGTTCATTCATAGGAATAATATATTACTTTACATCTGCACTATTCAACAATGGTCATGCGCTGAAATCACAGATTCCAATCATCTATCTTGGTACTTTTGCTGGATTGTTTGGTTCTCTCGTATGTAAATTTAACAAACTAATATTAATATCTATTTTTATTATTTATTCACCCAAAATCTAAATTTATAAAAATTAAGATTGATTCATTGATGGGAGCAACACTACAATATTCAGGATGGAATAAAAAGAAATTAGTGGTCACCAACAATCCGCCAAGCAAATTAAACTCTCAAGATATAGATCATATTTGTGGTGTAGATTTACTTGATAATCACCAAGTTAATTTCCTCTCATCGTTGTTGATATCGATGATCTGTGGTTTTTTTGGTTTTTATTTATTTTAAAAAAAAAAAATTAAATTAAAAAGTTTAAAAAAAAAAATAGACCGTTTTTGAAATCTGATCGTTGCAAAAAAAAAAATTCTTTCTTTTGTATTTTTTCACACAGTTTGCTCTGCTCATAATTTTTTTTTCATCAAAATTAGATTAGTTTTTTTTTTGTATCATAGAAAAAGGTTTTTATAAATAAATATAAAAGTATTTGTATTTTTAAATAATAAAGTTAATATATAAAGTAAAATAATAATATTTTATATATTTTCATTTTTATTTTTATATTTATATATATTATTTTTTTTAAATCACCACAAATTAAAGAAGAAATGAGTGAAGATTGGTCAACAGATCTTCAAAAGAAGGTGTAAGTAATATTTTGTTGTTATTTTCAATCAATAATTATAAAAAATTAAACTCATATTAATATATATTATAAAAAGGTATTCAATATGGGCAAATAATATATTAAATATTAGAAATATGGTGGTTTCTGATATTGTCGATGATTTTAAAGATGGTGTGTTATTGATCAACCTAATGGAGATTCTTACCAATGAAAAGTTTGACAACTATCACATTAGCAAACCTAAAAATAGATTACAACAGCTATCGAATGTTCAAATTGCGCTTTCAGCAGTCGAGAGATGGGGTATCAACCTGGTGAATGTCAGACCCGAGAATTTAGTGGACCGTAACAGCAAGATGATACTAGCACTCCTTTGGAGAATTATATCCAAGTTTCATATTCAACAGTTTCTCAACGAAGAGGATTTAGATCCAGAGTACGGTGAGGATTTGACATCGAGCTCAAAAAACAACACCAACAACCAACTTTATAAAACCAATTCGCGTGGATCTAGTAACCTTGCAAACTTTATGAAAACACCGAGAGAGGCACTCTTGCGATGGTGTCGTCGTGAGCTAGAGCCATACTCTCTTATTCAACCAGTCACCAACTTTACCAAATCATTCCAAAATCCGCAGGTATTCTATGCTCTCGTTCACCGACAAGCACCGTCCTCGATCGATCTCAATGAGATGGATTCGATGGATGACCTCGCTGGTTTGAAGCGATGCTTTGACATTGCAGAGAAAGCACTAAACATTCCATCCATGTTGATACCACAGTCGATTATCGATGGACAAATGGATGAATCTTGCACGATGACCTATGTAGCATACTACTTGAACCTTCAGAGAAACGGTGGTAATCTCACATCGATACCGTCCATGCCAAACTCTGCTCGTGGACACAACAGAAGTTCCTCTACTGGATCGAATACTTCCAACTCCTCGGTTACCAGCGGAGGTCAATCACTGGGATCGAGTGACAACAAATTATTTTTCAAACGTCCACCACTTAAGCGCCAAGACACTCTCACCCAAACACCAGAAAAAGGAAATCCATTCTCGCTTGCAACCAACGGTACTGGATCGAACGCCTCTGGAACACCGCTAGCCGACAAACTCACACAGATTGGATCACCATCACAACAACAACAACAAACTCCTCGTTCACCTCGTGAAGCATCGTCATTTAGCACAGCTGACAGACTGTCACTCATGGAAATACTCAACAACTTTACTCAGGAACTTAGAAGAATCTCGAACGATCACGAGGAAATGCTCAAAAAAGCTGCAGCTAAACTTGATGAGCGCGTCAATAAGCTTGGTGATAAATTGGATCAATTGGAATTGAAGATCACCGACTTGAAATCAGTAGTCGGAATGGCAAACACCTCAATACCCACTATCACCACCACCACCACTACAACTACTACCAACAACAACAGTAACAACAGTACACCACTGATTACCTCCATTCAAAGTCTCGACACTTCAATCGATAGTCCAAACAACGGATCTACTTCATCAACACCACCCATCGGTGAAACACGTGATCGTAAGAAATCAGTAACAAAACGAACAGAAACCAAAGAGGAGCGTGACGAGCGAAGAGAAAAGAGACGTAGCAGACGTCGTGAGAGAGAAGATCGTAAGAAAGAAAAGGAGGTCAACAGTAGCAATAATAACCCTACCCTTACACAGTCATCATCATCGTGCAGTCTAGCCGATGAAGCACAGGTTGATCGTGAGGATCTCAAGAAGATCATCAAAGCACAATCGGTGGTTCGTGCTTTCTTGGCCCGTCGATCGTACAAACGTCTAAAGAATCGTCGTGACGTAGCACTAGAGATCCTACACACCGAGAAGACCTACATCAACAGTCTACAGATTTTGGCACATGAATACCTGGTGCCACTGCGAAAGATGTCCGAAGGATTGAACGTCAACATCGACAACATAAAGACACTCTACAACAACATTGAAGTTATTCTAAACATCAACAACTCGCTGTTGACGAGAATACACGAGCGTGTCACTTCTAAACCATGGCACTGCCACACTCTGTTTGGAGATATTTTCTTTAAGATGTCGGATCTTCTCAAATGCTACATTGCCTATGTCAACCATTACAATCGATCACTTAACACCGTCAATGAATTCACCAAGCATTCGACACTCTACGAGTTTATGAATGCAACATTCCAGCGTACCAATCAGCAATTGCGAGATCTCATTATCATACCAGTACAGAGAATTCCACGTTACGTCCTACTTCTCGAGGAAATGGTCAAAGTCACAGAACAATCGCATCCAGATCGTACGCAACTCGTTCAATCGTTGTCCAAGATGCAAAACATTGCTGACCACGTCAACGAGAAGCGTCGTGAGTTTGAGAATGTAACACATGTCTCAATGCTTCAGGATGCAATCATTGGTTTCGATATCATGGCATACCCATCGCTGCGTTACACAATGGAAGGTGACCTCCAATACAATCTTCCATCGTCAGGTAGTGGATTTGGAAATACCATCTCTAGCGTTGTATCGAATGCAGTGACAGGCAGCTCCTCCGATCTCAAAGGTGCTGCAGTTGCCACCATCCTTCACGTTTTCCTCTTCAATCAGATGCTCGTCATTTGCAAATACAAAAAAGGAAAGGATAGTTATTTCTCAAAACATCTCTATGGTACTGTAGATAGAAAATCAAAGCAACCAAAATATAAATATGTATTTAACTTGAACTTGACAAGCGAAACAAAATTATCACATAACAAATCAGAATGTAAGTATTATTAAAAAAAAAAAAAAAAAAATCTAAAAAAAAACTAACTAATATTCTTTCTTTATAGGTTGGTTTGGTATTGACAATCAAACAGATTATAAAAAGTTTATGGCTAAAACTGTAGCTGAAAAAGATATGTGGATTCAACATATTCAATCTTGTATTACAAAAGCAACCGAAAATAAGAAATCAAAGGATAATAAGAGTTAATAAGTTATAATCACATTGGTTTAGAGTTACAACACACATGTTAACAGTGACCATCAAACTAATAACGGAATAAAATAAAAATGTATAACAATATTTAAAAAAAAAAAATCATTCTTTGAAAAAAAAAATATCCATAAGCAAAAAACCCATTTTATTTTAATTTTTATACCCAAACAAAAAGTTTTTGATCTTTACACTTATGCTTTTTGATTTTCATTTTTTTCAATTTATTTATTTTCAAAAAAGAATAAAATAATGTCAAAAAAAATAAATATAACAAACATCAATGATTTACCATTGGAATCACTTATTGTTTTATTCCAATATGTAAATAGATCGAATAATGCATCCTATTGGTTTGTAAATCATTCATTGGTGTGTAAATTATGGACTACCAAGGTTTTACCAGTTGCTTGGAGTGAACTTTCCATCTCTACCAATCAACCACCAGAACCATTAGTTAAATATTCAGAGCGTGGAATTGTATCTGGAGGTGAGAAGGTTGTATATCGTCGTATTGTAATGCGTATCGGTAAAGTGTTGGACTACATTGTGGCGCTAGACACTCTAACCACCATCGATCTTAGAAACAATCCAAATACCAACTCGATTGTCGACCGTTTGGCTGATAATCTAAAGACCAATAAATCAATCACCTCACTCAACTTGTACAACAACAGACTCATGCAAAAAGGTGGAACATCCATTGCCAATGCCCTCGCGCGTAACACCCATCTCCTACACTTGGATCTCGGACTCAATATGCTTGGTGCCAATGGTGGTAATTCAATTGCAGAGGCTATGAAAAAGAACAACACACTGACTCATTTAGATTTGGCATCGAATCAACTCAGCTTCAGAGGTGCCGGTCCCATCGTGGAGGCACTCAAAGTAAACAAGTCATTGAAATATCTTGTACTCCACTCCAATCAGCTTCGTGATGAATGTGGATTGCCATTGGCCGATGTCCTCCGACAAAACCAAGGATTTGTAGTATTGGGATTGAACGACAATGAGATTGGTGCCAAGAGTGGTGTTGCACTTGCTCGTATGCTTAAAACAGTAAAATCTTTGGTACAGATTGATTTCGGAAAGAATGAACTTGGAGATGACGGTGGATTAGCTATGGCCGATACAATCAAGACCAACAAATCCATTAAATCTATCAATCTGTCATGGAATAAGTTGGGTGCCAAGGCAGCCAAAGCTATTGCTGATGCCATCAAGTTGAACACTTCAATCACCACATTGGATCTCAGCTTTAACAACATCGGTGCTGAAGGTCTGTCATCGTTGGCAGCATCTTTGGCCACCAATCAATCGATTCATACAGTAGATCTCAGTCGTGTATCGGCATCCACACCCGACGGTCACATTGCACTGGCCAACGCTTTAAAAACCAACCGTATCATCAGCCACCTCGACCTCAACAACAGTAAACTTAGTGACGAAGCCGGTATTGCCATTGCCCAATCACTCATTGAAAACAAAACAATCTCTACTCTAGTGCTATCGAATAATCCATTTGGAGCGTCGGCCATCAAAGAGCTATCGAGCGCACTCACCAAGAATCGTAGTCTCGCAACTCTCTACTTGGCAGCGTCAGTAAAGATCGAAGGTGTGGAGCCACTCTTTGAAGCACTCTCACAAAACAGCACATTGACTACATTGGACTTGGCCAACAATCAATTCGGAGCAGAGGGTGGAGCTATGATTGCCAAACACTTGAAACAGTGCAAGCATCTCTTGGAGTTGTCGATTCAAAACAATCAACTAGGAGTATCTGCAAATCAAATACTCGATTCTATCCCCCAATCGTTACAATGTATCGATCTATCGAACAACTTGATTATGCCAAGCTCAGGTACATCATTGGCCAATGCCCTACAGAAAGATCAACTCTCTAAGCTCAATATCTCACAGAACAAACTTGACGATGACAACTCACAGCCACTGGTACAAGCATTATCAAAGACCACCGCCTTGGTTCACATTCAAATCATTGCGAATCAATTCACAAAACAAGCAAACAATCAACTATTAGATTGTATTAGAAAGAACAAATCAATCTATTTCTATGATTTAGTTGAAGAGATTTAAACTACTGTTATTAAATAATAATAATAATAATAATATATCATAATAAAAGTCTGTAATACAAAGTTTTGTAATCTAATTTTCAATTAACAAGTCTTGTTTTAATATTTATTTATTGCTCTAGTTAATAAATCCATATTCGAAGATTCCTCTGCATCTAGTTTTTGCTCTAAAATAAAATTCAATATTTATTAGATTAAATGTATCAAATGAATTGATTAATTCGATATACATACTAATTAAATCATAAATTGCTCTATTTGTCTTTTTATCTAATTTCGACAGTTTCTTTTCTACATCTCGTTTAAGATCCCAATTCGCTTTCTTTGGTAGGAATGAAATTGACTCTTCTGATTGTTGTGACTCTGCACTTGACTCTAATATCTTTAGTTTCTCTAATAACTCTTCGACAACAGGTGGTACTTTACTTTTTGGTAGTCTATATTGTGTTAAACTAATGTCTCTTGGAACATAGTTTCTAAATTTTAATCCCCTACAATAATCATTACATTATTAGTATATATGATTTATAATAATATTTGATAGTACTATCATATTAATATTGATATTTACTTATGTTTTTGTTCTAACTTATCCTCTACTTCTGTTGTAGCTTCATCTGATTGATCTGAACTCTCTTGTCTTTTCTTAAAATTGATAGTATTTCTTTTAATATTATTATTGTTGTTGTTATTATTATTATCATTGTCTATTGGTATTGGTAATGAATCAGTAAAACTTTGTTCTACTACATCCTGCACATCTAAAACTGGTTCGTCTATATTCATTTGACTATCATCTTCTTTTTCTTCTTCTTTCTTTGATTCTTTATGATCATCCTCTTTATCGGCGGAGGAGGATGTGGTGGTGGTGGTGGTGTTTTCATTGTTATTTGTCATTTCAACATCAGCTTGTTGTACAGTTGACTCTATAGAATCGTTGATCTTTGAATTTACATTGTCGTCTACTGTTGATTGTTTCTTTTTTTCTTGTTCTTGTATTACTTTCTGTTTTGAGTCGTATTCAGCTTTAAATGATTTCAATGCATCGATTATCTCTAAATTCTAATATGATAGGTTTAATGATATTAATATTGGTTTGAGTAGTGTTATGATAGTATGTAGTTACTTTAGAAGTGGCCTTTATTGGCAATGAAAACTCTTTACACAATCTTTGAAGATCATTTCTTTTTAGTTTATCTAAAGCATTCCAATCAATATCTTCGACTGCTGATCTATCTATAGGTGTAGATGTCATTATTATTTTTATTATTGATCTTAATTGAATAAATAATTTTTTGTTGTTAAATTTTTTTCAATGATAGTGGTTGTGGCTGTTTTTAACAAATTTTTTTTCTAAGTTTTTGCAATAGAGATTAATATTATAAAAATAAAATAAAATATCAAACCTTGTTAGATTTTAATAAAAATTAGATAAATAGAAAGTATTCTTATAGTAGATTTAGAATATAAAGTTTGTTTTATTATATTTATTTTGAATAGAAATATCATTCACGATAATTCTAAAAATCTTTTTATTTCTTGTTGAAATGTAATAATAAGAAGAAAAAATAAAACATCTTCAACAATAATTTCAGTCAAATAAAATCTAAATATAGATATTTGAATTTTATTGAAACCAAGATTTTAATTTAATTCCGTTCAATGACAGATGGAAAAAATCTTTGGGTTTTTTATTGATGGATTTTTTTTGAAAATAACCAAAAATCTTTCGGGCAATGAGGGATGTAATTTATTATTGTTGTTCAGCTATTTTTAATATTTTTGCATTGAAATTAAAACATCACAAACCCTCTCTTACATCAAAATAAATTCACTTGAAATACTATTTATTTACAGAGAATGTATAGAGTTTCTCCTCTATCAAGAGGTCAATGTAAATTTAGAATAGTTGGAAATCTGGCGTTTTTTGCATTTTTTACAATGGGTATAGTTGGTACCATCAACGCAAATAATAATCCCGACTCTGTATCTGGTCTAGGTTTTGTATGATTTCTTTTTTTTTTTTTATACAAATTTTTTGATAAATTTCTAACTAAAAGTTCCATAGGGGATGCAAATGATTGGTTTTTTACTTGCCTGTATCACTTATCTTTTTATGGTTCCTTTTGCTATATTTATTCCCTATCGTACTCTTTTCAATGATATGGACAATGGTAGTATAGTGTCAGCAGACAACCTAACTAACCAATTAAAAAAAGTTAGGCCTATATTATCTTTTACAGGAAAGTGTTTTAGCAGAAAATCTGTTTACAACACTCTCACAGGAACTGTGAATACAGACCATATCTCGTATCATGAAGAGATTAAATGGGACTACACTTGGAACGATAAAACAATTTATTCAGATTTGCACAATTGTAAAAAAGATATTATTTTTATATTTATTAAAACAGATGTTACTTATAGTCATAACGTAAGTACTCATTTTACAAAATCTAATCAAAAGTCTAGTCTATTTACCGATAACATATAGGAGAAAGAATCTGAATCCCTCAGGGCAAGATGGATTAGAATTAATTCAAATCGAGATGCATTGTTTAATTGTGGAATGGATCTAGATCTATCAGTTAGTGTTCCTCGAAACACTGTTTGTATAAGAAATAAAAAGCCCATTTACTGTAGCCAAACTCTAACTAAGATGTTGGCTCTTTTCGGAATGTGGATGATTATGGACATTATTATGTTACGAAATTGTGGTGATGTCTTCATTCTTCTTCAGAAGCATTGTAATTTGGGAAAAGAATATTCTAGTATTATCATAGATGAAAAAAAAGATGTGAAAGGAGTAAAATCAATTGTAATTAACACCAGTGTCACTGAAAATAATACAATTGTTGCCAATACCAATACAGTACCAAATCAAAACAATAATAACTCCAACCCTGTCAATAATAACAATATTAATAATATTAATAGTAACCAAAAACCAGGAATATCAATAGAAGAACTATTCCAACAACAATTGAAGAATCAAGAATTAATGCAACAACAAATTCAACTTTTACAACAACAATTGGATAACGCAAGAAATAATAATAATAAGAACAATGGTGAAGATATTAAAACAAATGAAAACCTACCATTGATAAAAAATGAAGTCGGAAATTATGGAACTTTTAACAACAACTAATTAATTAAATAATTTAAAATTTTCTTTATTTTTTTTTTATAAGGGGTTATAACTTTTTATTATTTATTTGTTTTAATTTTGCAAAAAAATTCGAATATTTTCAAAAAATTGATCGGTTGGAATTGATTGAAATTAAAGTAGCATCAAAAAAAAAATATTTATTTTTTTGCACATCAATCAAAACACAACCAAATATATATTTTAGGAGATATAAAAACAAACAGATATTTCTTTTTCGATATATTAAATTATTTTAACTATTATGTTATCAAATTCATAATTATATCTTTCAATAAATAATTAAATATTATTTAAAATCAAAATAGAATAAAATGAAAACAAGGTTTTTCTTGAGCTATAACAGCAATAATGATAATTTTATACAATGTAACAGTAAAAGTAATAGAAATAGTAGTAGTTATAGAATTAATAATTGTGTTATAACTTTAAATAAATCTGTTTTTTTATTTTTATTTTTATTATTTAATATAGTAGCCTCTGGTATGTTAACAATTTAATCAAACAATCAAATAGTTATTTATAGATTATTTTTAACACAATATTTTTTATTATTATTAGATTGGGTTCAATCATCGTTGGTTGACAAAAATGTATCGAGACCAAGCAGATATGGACATTGTTCAGTAACGGTGATTAGTGGATTATTGTTCAACAATCGATCGTCGAATGCAGATAATAAACAGAAAAAGGATAATGATAATTCAAGTACTTCAAGTGAATCGAGTAGCGATGATTATTATCCATCTACTAGTATCTGGACATTCGGAGGTATCGATTCATTTAGCAGTCAACTAATCGATAAAATATTCATTATGGATGACGGTGACTATAATGTATATGATTTCCAACAGTCCGATACACCTCCTCTGCGTTGGGGACATTCATGCAGCATCTTCAACGACGTTTCCATTCTCGTTTATGGCGGTAGCAACGACACCACTACCACCAACGTATCAAACACATTCAGTGACCTCTGGTTATACAATATTACAAATAACAAATGGACTTTACTTTCAAATGGTTCCGACTCGACTATTATACTCAACAACAGCAATACAACCAATAACAATACAACCAATATTAAATCATCATCAACATCAACATCATCATCATCATCATTTTTAGATAATGACAGTAATGATAATAGTACAACAACACCTAATAATCAAACAGCTATCGATACAGTACCAATTTCAAGAGCATTCCAAGCGATTGCTTCAAATGAAACCTATCTATTTATGTTTGGTGGTCTAAGAAATAACAGTGAGGTTCTGGATGATCTATGGGTATTCGATATCGAGAATGCTCAGTGGAAGTTCATTAATACCACCGACAATAAAAGCTCAGCACCACAAGGTAGATTCGGTCATACAGCAGCTTTCATACAGGATAGATTTGTTGTTTACGGTGGATTCAACAAATACAGTATAGCAATGAATGACCTTTGGCTATTTGATCCACAGACATCCACTTGGTCAATTGCAATGCCCACAGGTAACCCTAAACCAAGAGGTTTTCACATGATGGATTCAGATAGTTCCGACAAGGACAGAGCCATCTATATCTACGGTGGTACAACAGAACAAGGTCAACCTTTAGCAAATCTCGAAGTTTATGATTTTGGTAAACTATCTATATCATTATTAGATTATATTAATTACTACTTTTCTTTGATTATCCTAACTTTATTATCTATTATCTATCTATCTATCTATCTATCGATTATTATAGATGCAAAAGCTTGGTATCATTTGGATCCAGATACAGCTAGTCCAACACCAACTTATTGGGGATCGATTAGTTACAGTGCACATATCGAAGGTTTAGTAATGTATGGCGGTTACAATACAGAGAGTGAATCATTTTGGACCTATAAACTAAATTGTGATTGTTTTGGAAGAGGTGGTTGCTTCTTTGGTATTTGTAATTGTTTCTCTGGTTTCTTTGGTGATTACTGTCAGAATTCAAGTAAGTAATGGTATTTTAATTGTTTATTTAATCATTGTTTTAACTAACCAATCATTATTTATTTTTAAATATATATTTAATAGTTGATGGACCAATTCTTTTAGGTTTAGGTTTAGCTATTTGTGTACCGATCTTATGTTTTGGTTGGTGTGTACTAAGATGTGCACCATTAACTACTAGAATCAAAGTATTAACAATGTCTATAATTGTAAATATCAATCTATATCTAGATCAATCCTGGATAAAATTAAAACTTTATATTAATACTAACTACTACTACTGTTTTTATTATATATATATATAGGTTACTTCAAGTTTATTATTTATTTCAGTTCAGACATCACTTGCATCATGGTTACCTGTCTCGATTCTCTCATTATTGACCGGTCTAGGTGGTTTATACGGTATTATGAAGAGTAAAAAATCAAAGGTTCTATTTATGTTGATCGTTGCCGATGTACTTAGTTTAGCTGCTGGTGCACTTGGTTTAGTTTCATATTTACCTTCTTGTATGCTTGGAAATTGTAAAAATGAGTATGTTGTTTTTATTGTTTCTTATATTTTTTAATCATTCAAAACTAATATTTATTTATTTATTTATTTCTTTGTTTTTATTTATAGTGCAAATGGATCATGGTTACCAAAGTTTGCAATTATTATGTCATTTGTAGATGCTTCATTGTTGGTTTTAATATTACCTATCAGTTTAAAATTATATAGACATAGAAGACTGTTAGAAACGATTTCAAATCATCCTTCACTTCCAACCAATAGTGTATTGATGTCCAACATGATATCAGGTTTGAATCCATTGATAAAGAAGTTGGCTGCCGATGGTTCACCCAACGAATCACAACAAGATACCAATCAGAAAGCAATCAACTATCTCACAAAAGAGAGTAGACTTCGCACAGAGTTGAATCGAATTAGAATATCTAAAGCAACAGAGTAATTATCTATAAAGATAGCTTTATAAATTGATATCAATTTGTTATTAACTATTCTTTTTTTAAAAAGTGAAATTAGAATTAGAATTGATAGAGAAAACGTATTGGAGGATTCATTTAATCAAATATCGATCCTACCTACCAGTCTATTGATTCAAAATTTCAATGTTAAGTTTGTTGGTGAAGAAGGAGTTGATATGGGTGGTCTAAAGAAAGAGTGGTTTTCATTACTGTTTAAACAGTTGTTTGATCAACAATTTGGTTTATTCACTACGAACAGTAACTATACGCTCTCGATCAATCCAAACTCCTATCAGAATAGCGATCATCTAGCACTCTTTTATTTTGCCGGTCGAATGGTTGCCAAATCAGTGTCGGAAGGCATCCATCTCGAGCACACCTTCTCGAGAACGATCTACAAACTCATCTTGGGTAAACCGACCAGTCTCGACGATCTCATCTATGTCGATGCCGAATTCCACAAGAGTTTAATGTGGATCCTCGAAAACTCGATCGAAGACATGGAGGAGGTCACTTTCTCTACGACCGTCGAGCACAACGGTGAGATTCAACTGGTTGATCTTGTTCCTGGCGGTAGAGATATTCCTGTAAACGAGGAAAACAAACACGAGTTTGTTAAACTGCTAAGTGAATGGAGATTCAAACGTGATATTACCGATCAGTCCTATCAGCTTGTTCTCGGATTCCACGATGTCATTCCCTTGGATCTGCTCGGTGCTTTCAACGAGTGCGAACTAGAGCTATTCATGTGTGGATTGACAGAGCTCGACGTTGAAGACTGGAAGAGAAACACAATCTATCGTGGATACAATGCAAGTTCACACGTAATCGAATGGTTCTGGCAAGTCGTAGAGGAAATGGAAATGGAAAGTAGAGTTAGACTCTTACAATTTGTCACTGGAAACGCAAGATTACCACCAACTGGTTTCCAATGTTTAATGTCTGCCGACGGACCAACTAAATTCCAAATTCATAAATCCTATGCACCTGATAATCAATTACCAGTCGCTAGAACATGGTATGTATATTTTTATAAAACTACTATTATCACCAATCGACCATTTATTAATAGTTTATCAACTTGCATTTAAATAAATATTAGTTTTAATAGATTGGATCTCCCTAATTATGATTCAAAAGATCAACTCCAAAATGCAATAATGATCGCGATCCAAGAAGGTTTGCCTGGTTTTGGACTGGCATAATGTTAATAAAAAATATTTTAAACTTTTTTCGAAAATTACTAATACAAATAATAAGAGTGATATATCATTAATCTTTTTTGATTAAAAAGTGATGCATCACATTGGTCACTAGTTGATATTATTTTATTTTATTGATTAAAATGAGTGAGTTATTACTATTAATCCAATTAATAAGGGCAAACAGTTTAGCTTGATACAACCAAGTTGATAATAAATACTCCTTTTTTTATAAAAGTCATTACTTTCATTCTTTACATTTAGTCTGAGAGTATTAATTGTTGGTTTTTTAGAAATGAAGTATTTGTTTAGGATTTGCGAAAAAATATTTAGAACTGCACCCGCTGTCTTGATTGATGATACTGTCATTTCAATTGATTGTAGCTTTGGATTAGTTGCTATTGGTTTGAACAAACGTATTAAACCAGGGTTCTCTTTTGTTATTTCAACTCTACCATCATATTTAATTGATATAATAGATTGATTATTTGATAATGAGTTCAAAAAATCATTTGACATCTCATTTTCTGAAAATGAAAGGTGTCTAATTGTTGATGGAATTGCAGAGAATGTTGACAATTTAATACTTCCATTTAAATTGAGTGATGTAATTGTTTGGTTGTAATGAAGAAGATCTGATACTTCATTTGAATTACAATTATTTAAAGTGAGTGTTGTAATGGTTTTGTTGGATTTTAATGATTTAATGAATAAATCATGATTACCAGATGATGAATCCAAATCTACTTCAAGTGAATTTAATCTACCAAGACAATTTAAGATTAAATCTGGATTGGCATTGACTCTTTTAATCTTTAGTATTCTTAATGACTCCATTTGAAACACTTCTGCCATGTAATCTGGAACTAATACAGTATGATCGTCGATTGATATGGTGTTTACATAATATTTGGGGGATGTATCTTCACCTATAAACAATGACTCTGGTTTCAAAATAAGAATGTCTCTTACTTTGTCAGTTAACAATTTATTGTTCTCCTGAATTGTGCTCGGTAACATTATGGACCAGTGTTTAACTTTGACCTTTGGAATTGACATTAACCTTTCAGCTACCAAAGAATCATCTTTGTTGTTGTACTTCTCTAATACCAACTCGATTACTATGTCTCTTGTGCTGCGTGTTACTGGTTGCAATTCATTTAAAATGTCAACCAAGTGCTCATCAAAGTCTGAATGAATGGCTATAATTTCAAGAGTCTCCATTTTCATAAGAAATATTGATAATCTCTTTACCGATTCAATCTTATTGTGCGATATAACACCAAAAATATCTAATCTCGAGTTTTCTATATTCAGCTTTATCTTTTTGATATACTTGGACTGTATAAGTGACCATGCATTAAAGTCTGTAGGTGCTCTAAGATTGTATCTATCAAGTACTGGTATTTTGAAGGAATCACTGAATAACTCATACTTGATAAGTAGATAGACCAATCTCTTTTGGAACCAATGAAACCATGATTTACAAACAAGTGCAATGCTAAAGATATTATTCATAGATTTTCTATTATATTTATATTTTGATTTATTATTATTACTATATTTATTATAATATCTATTCCTATTATTATTGTTTTGAAACTCTGCATAATAGAATACATCTAAATCTAGACGTGATAGAATTTCATGATGAAATATATTTGGTGATTGAATCTTTGTTTCTATTTCCTCCCTAAACTGTTTTTCTAAATTAATTAAATATTCGCAAGTATTATCATGATGACTCTGTTGTCTTGGGTTGTTGAGTCGATTTATATAACTGTTATATAAATCATTATTGTTTTCTAAATGACTGTTTAGAGATTCAATTAACCTCAAAAAATCATTATTTTTTGACATTTTATCTAAATTAATGCTCTATTCCTAAAAACAATAAACATAGCTTTGATGAGATTAAAATAAATTAAATACATTTCACAAAACTTTTAAATTATTCTGATGTTAAAAATTAAATATTTAAGTTACCCCAGCACACATCTTTTCAAAAGATTTTGTAAATTGCTCCTCTTTGAAATTCAATTTTAAAAATCTATTTTATTTGTTTATCACTGATCAAACTTTATTTATTATTATTCGATTTAATAGATTGGATCTCCCTTTTTACGATCATTTCCTGGTAGTTTTGATGAATGGCAAAATGTAATAAAACAAATATTTTATTTTTAAAAAAATTAATGGAAAATGAGAAAAGTTGAAAAAGAATTCTCAACTAAACAGGAGGTTCCTGATCAAAAACCAAACCCAAAAAAAAATAAAAAGGCTTTTTGATTTTTTCAAAAAATCAATCACTTTTAATTTTACAATCAACAAATATTAATAATAATGAGAGATAGAGATAGACTTTGTATGAATGAGGTAATTTTTATACAATTCTTGTGGTTTTTTTTCCAAAGTGAAAATACCTCTTTGAAAATGTATTATTATATTTTTAATAATAGTAGTTTACTAATGAAATAAATTTAATTTAGACCATTGTCTCTAATTCAGCATCGAATTTTATAAAGAATGGTAGCTTTTATGCAGTCATGCAAAATGACGGAAACTTTGTAATTTATAATTGTAGAACTTTCGTACCTTCTAATGCTGTATGGTCAACCGGAACACACAACAAATCAAACTATGCACCATTCAGATTAATTATGCAACAGGTAACATTTCTCTTTGGACACAATTTCGATTACCTTCTTACCTTTTCCTTCACCATATCACAATACAGGATGGAAACTTGGTCGTCTACGATAGCAGAAATCACCCACTCTGGGCAAGTAATACTGATAGACAAGGAAGTCACCCACATACAATCGTCTTGAACTCTGGTGGAGTTTTGGAGCTTTTCGATTCCCATCACAGAATGTTGTGGCACTCCAGCAATCCACCAAGCTGTCCACCACCAAGTCATGGACGTCATCACCCACATCACCGTCCATCTCCAGCCGTTTGTCCACCAGCACCAACTGTAGTACAAGTACCAGTTCCAGTTCCAGTACCAGTCTATCCATCATACCCAACTGCCCCATCTCCATACCAACCAACTACTGCATATCCATCACCATACCAACCATCACCATCACCCTACCAACCATCACCATCACCATATCCACCTGCCACAGGTTACCCAGGTTCACAACCATATCCAGGATCTATTCCACCACCAGCCACCGGTTATCCAGGTGCCTATCCAGGATCGGTTCCACCACCCGCCACTGTTATCGTACAGCCAGTTGCTGCACGTCCAGCTCGTGCCGACACCATGACAGACAATGAAAGACTAGTCAGTAACGGTCGTAGTGTTATTACCTCTGAAAACGGTATATACCACTTGGTCATGCAGCAAGACGGTAACCTTGTACTCTACAGAGGTAGCAAATGGGTGAATCAATATGCAGAGTGGTCAAGTAAGACCTATGGTGTAAGTCCACACTCACCTTTTACCGCAACAGTCACATCAGATGGTAATATAATGGTAATGGATGGTCACCACAGAATGATCTGGCAATCAGGTTCATCCTGCCACAAACAAGGACCATTCTATTTGCAAGTAACCAACTATGGAAGTTTAAATCTCACCAACATTCATGGTGAACAAATTTGGAGTTCATCTGCACTCGTCAATTTCGTTGGATCTTTATTCAAATAAATGTTAGCACTAATCATACACACAATCCAATTTTGTATTCTTTTAAAAAACAAATAAACTTATTACCAAAGACATTCAACTAATTTTGTTTTTTTTTTTTTTTTTTTTTTACAGATGATCTTTGAATATATTTTTTAAATATTTCCTTAAGTTGACACCCTAATAGATAGTTTCTCTATCATATGATATCACCATCATAATTAATAAGAATAATAATTGATTTTTTAATATTAATTTAATGATTAATGATTAATATTAGCTCAGTTTTTTTGAAGTCAATTTTTTTTTCAAAAAATGGTCCCATTCTTTCAAAAATTGTCTATTTAAGTTTGTGGGTGTTTCAAAAAAAAACAAAAATGTATTAGAAAAATATTTTCATTTATTCATTTACTTTTTAAAGACTTGTAGAATATATAAATAATAAATGAGCATAAATACATCTATGAGTAATAATAGTTTACATCAAGCACTTGCATCATCGGCAATAATAAATAGTGGAACAACTAGTAGTAATAGTAATTCATCTGGTAACTCTGTCATCAATAGCTCTGCATTGTTGTTCTCTTCTGGTTTATCTGCAATGAGCTCACCAAATAACTCTATTGTACCTTCTTCATCAACTACCTCTTCCAACACTTCACAGAACAACAGTAACAACTCTACAATAAGCAATACCAACAATGTTTCAAACAACAATACAAATAGTAACAGTAACACCACTGCTACCGGTGAAGATATAACTATAACAATATATCCTATCGGTATTAAAACCTATGGATGTTTACCTCCTTTTTTAATGAGTAAATATTTATTTATATTAACTTTACAGTTCAGACATTTAAGTGCTTTATATAAATTAATAACAAACAAATAATAATAATAATAATAATAATAGGAAAACATACTTTATTCAAAAGATTATTTGTACATGTTTCAAATAGATTTTGTATTGATGAGAATGAATTATTGTTTTTCTTTCAAGATAAACTGCTACCTGAACAATGCCCAAGCGATATAGGATTGGGCAATGGCGATATCATTGTAGTTCGAAGAGTACCACCAAAACCAAAAATAGCGAATGAAAGTAAACAAGCATCGTCACTTGTCTTGGAGATTGGATCTCTCTATGATAATCCTAGTTTCAGTGATATCTCTTTTATTTTGGATGATGGTTCAACACTCTATGCACATAAAAGTAATTTGATCAAAACAACACTATTAAATAATTAAAACGATTTATATTAATCAAAATATCTATATCTATCTATTAGACATACTATCAGCAAGATGTGATAAATTTAAAGCAATGTTCCAAGGATCAATGAGAGAGAGCACTGAAAATGAAATTAAAGTAAATGAACACAGCTCTATTGTATTCAAAAAAATGGTTGAATATCTTTACACCGATACTCTGGCCGAAGAAGGTGGAATAGATATGGTTTTAAAGTTAATCGTCATCGCCGATGAATATCTTTTGCATTCATTAAAGAGTAGGTAATTTATCCAACAACTATCAACTCTATAATAATATTATTTATAATTAATATTTTAATGTCTCTTTTCATAAATATAGATTTATGTGAACAAAAACTTATTACTGAAATTAATATTGGCAATGCTCCTTTACTTTTTTCACACTCTGATACATACAGTTGCGCATTACTAAAGAAACACTGTCTAAGTTTTATTCTAACATCTATTAAAAAACTGGCTGCATCCGAAGAGTTTGATAGAGCGCTATTTCAATTCCCTAATCTTCTTTTAGAGATCATCAAAGAAATGGCACCATCATTTGACAATACACCTAACAACACCAAAAGACGTAAGGATTTTGAAATCTAAATGATTGTTCAAACAATCTCTCTTCTGTAAGCAATCAAAGTTGAAATGAATCAATCAATCAATTCATATTACATGTATAAATTTTTAATTTTCTTTTTTAAATTAATTAATTAAAGTTTTGATATAAATAAAATTTTAAAATAATGTATATAAATATAATAAATCTACAGAACAAAGAGTATAATCTTTTTTTTATTTTTTTTATTTTTATTTCAATGAAATATTCTATTCCCTTTTTTCAATTGTAAATGTTCTATTTCTTCTTCTTCGATCTCCTGATGATTTATACTTTGATTGTCATCGTCAAACAACTCTTCTAAATTGCTATTACTCGTCTTTATCATATCTTGATTCGCACTATTTACATCTTTTATATATTGAACATGTTCAATTCCATTTTCATCGACAACGTTTGAAATAATATAGACTTCGTTATTCATCATTACTTTTGTGAGGAGTGTACCATTTTCGTTGTTGGTGTTGCTATTCTCTTTGCCATTGGCAACATCGTTGTTGCCGTCTTCATCGTTCATTATCTTTATATTTTGTTCGGTTATTAAATCCATCGATACGGCATTGACGTTGCGACCTGCAACTTCAACCTCCTGCACCAATAGTTTACGCTTTGCATAGTTTTCCAAAATATCTTTTTGTTTCTCTCTATGCTTTGAAATCATAACCATTGCGACACCGACCAACACTACAAAGGCACCAACAATATTAAGTGGTGTCAGTCTCTCGTGTAGTACAATAGCAGCCATTACAGCGGTCAATAATGGCTCCACACACAGATAGACCGCTACTGTAGTGGCGTCAGAGTTTTGAACTGCCCAAGACGATGCCCAAAATGTATATGCTGTTGCAAGAATCGCTGTATACAATAACACCAACCAATTGGTAATCGAAACATTTCTAAACTCGCTTAAATCTTTGACCACTCCAAGTGATAATGCAAAAACCGGAATCGATCCAAATGTAAATGCCCAAGCCATAATCTTGACAGGTGAAAATCCAGCTTCTTGAAGTGGACGTTGTAATAAAAGAAATCCAGAATACGCCAATGTATTTCCAAGAAAACAAAGATTTCCAAGCAATAAATTCTTACCTGATGATGTACCATGTGCTAATTGTGTGAGATCAATCATTAAACATGCTCCTATTACACTATTTCGGAAATAATATGTAATTAGTAAAATATATCAATATTTATATATGATTAAATTTTTATCAGTAATACTATACCTTACAGCAATACCAACGAATTTTAATTTTGTTTTTCTTTCAAATCCAAGAATTACAGAGAGAAGTGTTGAAAAAATTGGAATAGCTGGTTGAGTAATTGCTGCATTTGAAGCTGTTGATAATTCTAAACCTTCTAAAAATAACTAATAAACCAAATTAATAAAGTTGATGAATTAGATAAAAAGTGAATGTTAAACTTACTGATTGATTGATTGAAACTGCCATGATTCCAACTAAAAATAAGAACAACCAATGTTTTTTGTTGTTTGGTATCTGTTTCATTTGTGCTCTATCTATAATGAATCCGAATACCCACAGCAACGGTGTTGCAAAAAGCAATCTATATGTGAGGAACACAAAAGGGTCCATCGATTTTAGTGCTATCTTTCCTAATATATAAAAAATGGCAAATACTAATTGAACTATAGGTATTTTGATAAAAAACGTTATTAAACTGATCAGATCTGAGTAGAACAAAAGATTGCAATAAATACCTGAAAGAAGTACTAAATGTACTTTTATAGTTTTAAATGATGGCACTGTTAATGATCTTTTGAAACGTGCCCACCACGTCTCATTCATTTTCACCATTTTCTAATATATATTTTTTATTTGTTATTACAGATTATAAAATACAGAACACTTTAAAAAAAATTAAGAAAACGAAGGGTCACAACTTTAAAAAAAACAATTTATTTGAAACGACTGAAAAAAAAAAAAAAAAATCAGATGGATCAAATAATTTAATAATCTTGATCAGATTTTTACAAAACAGAAAATCAGTTTAAAAATTAAAATATCAATAATTTTTATTTGTATTATTTTATTCATCAAGTTTTATTCTTGTTTTATAAAAGAATAATCCAATGCACCTGTTTGTGAATAAAATAACCATTTATTATCAGTCATTTTCGTATAGATTTTACAAACTCTGCCTTTCCAATGGAACGGTTTACCAGTTTTATTCTCAATCCACAGGGTATCGATATCTACAACTGCTAAAGCTGCATCTTCTTCTTTCGAAACTTTAATATTTAACGTTTTTCTAATGTTATGTGATAAGTAATGATTTGAAAATATTTCATCATACATTGATTTCCATCTTTCAAAATTAAATCTACCCTTTGATTTAAATCAACTAGTTAGACTTATTATCTATTAGAAGCTATGTAATATATATATACCATAATGAAAACCCAAGTGGTTGGATCATGGTCTCTGTCAGTTGGTGGGAAAGGCCAAACCATATCTGGATGTATCATATTTAAAAATGGTATTATATTTTGTTTATTCCAACATTCTGTTTCCAAATCAACCAATGATTGAATATGTTTAATTATTTCATTATTATTATAATTCATTCTTTTATTTATAAATGATAAATAAGTTTTTAATTAAAAATAAAAATCTAAATTTATATAGCACCTTATGTACTCACATTTTGTTTTTGTGAAAATTTAAAGATTTTTTTTTATTGATTGTAAAACTGTTGTTCATTGACGGGATCTGTGCTTCCTTAACTTATCATATGTGACCAGAGTATTCAGCGTGTGATATCAGCGATTGGATACTTTGGTGTTTGCACTGTGCCTAAAGAGTATACGTCGGTCATCTCCATCCACTTGGTAAATTAAATCATCTGTCTGTAAGTTATCAACTTTGCATTCACCTTTTGTTATTGGTAGTGATACTCATAAATCTTCAACTCTTACATATACATTAACATTTAATTTCTAAAAAAAAAAAAAAAAAAAAAAAAATTTGCCTTTTGTTTCAAAACAAATCAATAAACCGATTCATTAAAAATTTTGCAGAATATTTATTTATTTTTAATTTTAATAATATCTTTTTATTTATCTATTAATATCTATTTAATATTGTTGTTATTTAGTAGTATTACGATTACCACAACACTCTAATGTCAGAGAGTAGTGGTTCTTTACTTACTTCCGCAACGGAGGCAGTGATGAACAATAATAATATTAAAGCATTTTTGGACAGCCTTAATAGTACATCGAGCACAGAATCATTACTACCAGATAATACAACAACAACAACACCATTACCAACACCAACAGCAACACCTGGACCACCTGGTTTCAAAACGATTCTCAGCCATGTCTTTATGATATTTTGGATATTGGCAGTTGTGCTTGTAGTTCTTACATCGATTACACTTATATCAAGAGCTGTTCGTCGTTACAAAGTTAAATCAGACAATAAGTTATCACTAAGAACAAGAATTGAATTATATTTAACATCAACTGGTATAATTAATTGGATTGTAAGTTAAATTAAGCTTAGTCTTTTTAGCTATAGATCTATTTAAATCTAATACGATCAATTTATTTATATATTTGTTTAGGAAGGAGTACAAGTAATTCTTAGTGTATTTTCAGTGGGTACATTTATATATGGTACTTATCTACCGAATGTAGGACAACCACCATTGGCATATACATGGACAGAGTTATGTTTAACTATATTCTTTACGTTGCATTGGATGTTGGATTATTATATTTCAAAAGATCGTTTGAAATATCTGTATTCATTCTTCTCGATTGTCGATCTTGTAACAGTATTACCTATCTATATCGATATGGTAAGAGGTGTACTATTCTTGGAACTAAGTACCTTCCAATTCCTTCGTGTACTACGTACTGTTCGTGTATTACGTGCAAATCGTGTATTACATAATTTCAATGGTAAAAATCATCTATCTTTAAAAAAAAAATAATACAATATCTATATAATCATCAACTTATACTTATATATATTTTTGATTGTTAATCCTTTCATAATATCTAGATATTACACAGTATATTCTAAGAGTAGTGATTGCTATTTTTACATTCATTTTGGTTGTTGCGGCATTCTATATGAATGTAGATACTCATCCCGATGGTGCTCAACTCAAATTCCACCAGACCATCTACTTTTTGGTTGTTACTCTAACTACCTGTGGTTATGGTGATATTCATCCAAGTAATGCTGTCGGCCAACTCACTATTACCTTTGCAATCTGTATTGGTGCCGTTTTGATTCCATATCAAGTATCAAAGTTACTTGATAAGTTTAGTGCATATTCACGTAAGTTTGGTTATTTATATAACAAGAGTTAGTTATTTTATTAATCTTACTTTAATTATAATAGCATATAAAAGAGATTTATCGAATCGTAATTTACATGGTCATATCTTACTTTGTGGAGAAATCAATTTTACATCACTCTTGGAGTTCCTTACAGAGTTTTATTTAGAGAAATATGGACAACTTAAAAAGACAATCGTAATCTTGAACAACAATCCACCATCAGATCAATTAAAGATACTTTTAATGCATCCTTTCTATAAGAATAGACTTTATTATTTAGAAGGTTCACCAATGGTAACTATTGTTAATCAAATTAATCATTTAAATTATTTTTTTTCACTAATTTTATTTAATTTTTAATAACAGCTTGAGAGCGATTTAAAAAGAGCTAGATTTGCTTATACTTCTTCATGTTTTGTATTTAGACCTATGTTTTGGGAAGAGGGTGATGCAGATTCAATTCTTACTGCTCTTGCTATGAGAAATATAAAGTCGAGTGGCAATAAGATCTTTACTCAGTTGGTCGATCATGAGAGTAAGAACAAGATCTCTTCAAATGTAAATCATGTAATGTGTATTGAAGATTTTAGAAATGTATGTTAATTAAATGTCGACATTTAAACACTTATAATTTAAAATAATAATAATTAACAAATATTTATTTATTTATATACGAATAATTATAGGGTATTCTAGTTCAAAGTACATTATGTCCAGGATTTGGTACAATGGTTTGTAATTTATTTACAAGTAGACAACCAGAATCACATGAAGAAGAGAAATGGGTAGAGGAATACGTAAATGGTAGTGTCAATTCAATCTATAAGATACCTGTTCCAGCTTCAATGGTTGGAGAGACTTTGGGTTTCGTTACGGTTACAATGTATTCCGGTGCAAAGGCATTGGTGCTCGGTATTATCGATGACGATGAACCTGATTTACCGAATCCTCATGTGGTTGGAGCCTCACCACCATTACCGATTCCAAACCTCAACCCGGAGCATCACAAATGTAAATTCACAATCCATCCACCATTCTCAACCATCCTTAAGCACTCAATGCATTTGATTATCATTGCACACAGTCCAACTGCTCCAGTTTTCAAACCAAACATTCCATCGATCATTCGTAAGATTGAGGAAGATGATACTGGTGTATCTTATTTTTCAACTTTATTCAACCGTTTGTTTGCACCCGAAGAGATAGGACGTTTCACTCAGCTAAAGGATGACGGTGTTTTATCGGAATCAGTACAATCATTCTTTTCCTCAACTTTTACTCCGGCGGGTGTAGAGATGGAAAGTTTCTCGCCAATCACCCAATCTCCCACACAGCATGCCTCACAATCAATATTCGATCAACCAAGTCAAGATGTCGTCAACGGTGACAATAGTAATAATAATAATAATAATCCTGTCAGCTCCCTCTACAGTAACAATAACAATGTTATTAACCTGAGAGACTCTTTGACAAGACAACTTGAGAAGCCAAATCCAATATTAGAGATGTGTGCTCAAGAGTTTAACAACAATTGGGAAGAGTTCCTTTGTACTATCGTCGAATCAGTTGATGCTAAGAAATCACATTTAGCCTCGATCGTCGAAGATCTTGAACCAATTGTGAGATCGATCGAAAAGCATCAAAACTTGGATAATGACGATCTTTACGAGGAACAAGAAGAAGAAAACAATTGGAAAGAGCATATCATTATTTGTGGATCGGTCAAACGTGTAGATCTTTTCCTTAGAGGTCTCAGACAAAAGCATATTGCCGATAACATCAATAGATTCTACTTTATCAAGAATCACTTGGTAGATAATCAATTTGAACCACCACCCATTGTCATTCTTCATCCAGAGGAGCCAGATATGAGTGAATGGGATGATATCGAAGATATCCACTTTGTCAAAGGTTCTCCACTTGAGCGCAAGGATCTTGAATACTGCAAAGTACATTTGGCAGCCAAGATTATAGTTCTATCGGATCCATACACTACAAGATGTGCTTCAACAGTTACCTCTGAAACCAGTGTTCAATTGGATGCTGATACCATCATGGCATATTTAGAGGTCAATGAAATGCTCGTTAGCGCCAACAACAACACTTCATTCGTCACAGTGGAGTTGGTTCATGAACCAAACATCCGTTTCATCTCCAAGAACATTAGATCACAACTCAATATTCACAAGAGTAAATTGAAGCGAGAGAATGAGGAGATTGAAAAACCCAACTACTACATCACCAGTGAATTTGCCTCTGGTAAGGTACTGACCTTGACAACTCTTGACTCTTTGATTTGCCAATCGAATCACCAAGAATACTTGTTGGAGATTGCCCAAGAGCTCGTACTCGGAGTGAATGGTATCAAGAGATACCACAAAAAGATTCCTCCCATCATCGACGATGACTTTTACAACGAAGATGAAGATACTTCTTTTGCTAAATATACCGACACTGAAGAATCAGAGGCATCCGATGGAGAGGCAAAGAGAATCAAAATGCAAACAAGCACCAACAGTACAACAAGTTTAAACGGCGGTGTTCATCTACGTAAAAACTTTAGTCGTACCTCTATGATCAAGAGTAACAGTGGTATCAATTTAAATTGTCAATTCTATCAAGATTGTCTATTGAATCAAATTAAAGTACCTGACCAATTCCACGTATGTATAAAGTATACTTAAAAACAAAGAGAAATCTATTATAAATTCTAATATTAAATCATTTTACAGGGAAGAACCTATGGTGAATTATTCGAAGGTCTTGTCCAAAAGAATATCTTATCACTTGGGCTTTACAGATGTAAAGAAATCACTGGTGCACCAAATCCCTATGTTTTTACATGCCCCCCCTCAACTACTATTCTACACGAAAATGATCTTGTTTATATTTTATATCGTCAATTTGAAACAACAAGTGAAATGAGACACTAAACTTTTTGTAAACGAATAGTTAAATTATCAAATTAATATTATTAAATAAATAATATTTTTATTATTTTATATATTTTTTCCTTTTTGGAACCATTTTGGAACGGTCTTGGTGTTTTGTGGTTTGCTTGACTTCTTTTCCAAATCATCATCTTCTTCCATTGGTAGTTCGGTTGTTTCGTTTTCTTTGGTATCTGTCATTGTGGTATCAGTTGTTGTTGTTTGTTCATTGGTAGTTGTGGTTGTGGTGGTTGTAGGTGTTGGTTCCTCAGTCTTTTTTGGTAACACTGGAGATTTCTTTTTAGGAAGCTCTCTATTGGCTGCTTCATAGGCAGTAGTAAATAGCTGCTCAACTTCCGGTTTAAATTTAATTGGATCATTACTTTTTAAACCAACATAAATATTTGCTGCTGGGAATAATTCAGAAGACTTGAATGTCTTTGATAAATCCAATTCTTGTTTTGGTGGAGAAACATCTAATGAAGTTGATGATTAATAAAAGTTATTTTAATCATGAAAATTAAATACTTACACAAATAAAAATTAGCGATAGGCTCATCCAATAAGGTGACTAGGTAATCATGAAGTCTTTGTATTCTTTCTTTGGTCAAGAATTTCATCTCCAACATTCTTCTGTCATGGAATATCAATCTAATAGAAGTATCAACGTATTTCTTTGTTTTCTGATCATAATAGGTTTCTCTCATTTCCTAAAATTATAGTTGTATATTAGAAATGTTAATAATTAAAAAGAGTTTGTGTTTATAAATAAATTATTCATACCTTTGTTCTTAAAATTGATTCATATTGTTCTTTTTCTTTTTTTATTCTCTTGTTTGCCTCTGTTAATCTTTTAAAGTCTTCAGAAGTAAATGTCTCATCAAATACAATAGCTAAAAAAAAAGGGAATTTTCATTAATAAATAAATACAAATTTGATATAATTACTTTATACATACTTGATGGGTCTAATTCTTCTTCAAGTGGAATATATACAGTAAGTTTTCTTTCGCTTGGTGCTTGTGGTTCAACTTCAGGTTTCTTTTTCTTTTGTGGTTGTTTTTTCTCCATATATTCTTCGTATGTTGAACTTGAAAACTGTTGCAGTAGTGCAGTTGCTTTTTCAAAGAAACTGGTTTGGTTGTTATCAGTCATAGGTTGATCCTCTGATTTTGTCGATCCCTCTGTTTCTGGTTTCGGTGTATCATCGGTAGTGGTGGTGCTGGTAGTAGTGCTGTGTGTTGTTGGAGTGATTACAGTCGAGGTAGTTGCTGTGCTGGTGGTGGTGGTGGTCGATGGAGATGTGGTCTGTACTGTTTTGGAAGCTTCTTGTGTTGGCGATACAACTTTCGATGTTGGTACCTGTGCTGTTGGTGGTGAAGATTCAACTACAGTTGTGGTAGGAGGTGACACTACAGTGGCTGTAGTTGTTGTTACTGTTGTTGTTTTAGTTGGTGGCGAGACAATAGCTGGTGGTGAGACAATAGCTGGTGATGTGACAACTGGTGGTTGATAACCTTCAACTAGATCCTTTAAACTATCATATGATTGATCGGACAATTTATGTTTGAAGTTGATAACAATAGACTCTGTGATCATCAATTTTTGTAAAGTTGATTTCTGAAGTTCTTCAATCCTATCATACTGTTATATATTATTTTAATCGAAAAATTAGATATATTATATATGGTTAATGTTAAGTGATCTACTTACCTCTTTATTCAAAATGATCATTGTAGGCAAGAAATAGTTTGAGGTATCAGGGTCGATCTTCTTTAATAAATTCAACGATTGATTTTGTTGTTCGAATTGCAATAGGATATCCCATAGAGTTGCAGTTGTTTTGAATTTAGATTGAAGTCTAGTACCATCTTGAAGCTGAATTGCTATACGAAGCTCTAAAACACCTCTTGCAGCGTTATTATCTACAATAGTTACTCTACTAGAATTTGGTATACCTGATAATCTAAATGGTAATGAAAGATTCACTGGTTTTTGATTATGTCTATTTTATGTATAAATTAAAAATTTTGTTCTAACATCAATATTTATGTTTCTTTTGTTTTTGATAGTTACGTTAATGCATAAAGTGATACATCAGCTAATTTAAATTGTGTACATCCTTTCTTTAAAATTTCAGATAAAAATGTATTTGGTGTAAATTGTACAACTGTCTTATCGTTCTTATATAATATATGTAATGAATTCATCTTATTCTTTGATTGTTTGTAAAAATGAAAAATTTAATTTAATTTGTGAAAATCATAAAAAAAACTTGGTCACAAACATTTATTAATTTTATTTTATTTCTATTTTTTTGTATTTATTTTATAAAAAAATTTGTAAAAAAAAAAAAAATTAAAAAGATTTAAGAAAAAATAAATATATTTATATTATATATTAAGTAACACCACTTGAAATCAAGATTTGTTTTAAAATTTTAATTGAGTATAAATATTTATTAATTCTTTCATTGAAAAAATAGAAATATTTTTTAAAAACTGTAAATGAAAACATTTCAATGAATTATTATATATTATATATGATGATGGTTATTTTGTATATATTTTTTATTATTTATTGATTTTTGATTGATAAAATAATTACGATCGTAATTTAATATCAATCATATATTGTACAAGATTCATAACGTTTAACGATGGTTGCGCCAGTCCATGGAACAAAATAAATATATCTATCGACTACCAATGCAGAGGTTGAGTAATATGCATTATAAACTATTGGTGCAACTCTGCGCCATTCATTGGTGCTCCAATTGTATTGAAGTACTAAATTGATACCTTCGTACTCATTCTCTGAGCCGATCGCGTAGATTCTACCATCCAATACCGCTACACTACTGATATTGAATCGATTGTTTCCACTTTGAACCAGTGACCATGAGTTTGCGTGCGTGTGATATCGCTCGACTGTGGCGCCGTTGGCACCGACCACGACGATCGAATCGTCGACAGCAACAGCTGAACACTCTGCCGATTTCTTGGTTGTCATTGCCGCCACTTGACACCACGCGTTCGTGCGTGGATGATAACGATCTACAAACTCTGCCGGTTTGGATCCCTGATAACCGCCAATCACATAGAGATATTCATCGAGTGCAACCAACGAGAAAGCTGTCTTTCCAGTTGGCAGCTGTGTATCCAACATTCGCCAACGTGATTCCGCCCGCTCGAAACAAAACACTGGCTGTTTCAGTCCGGCATCGGGTATCGCGTAAATAGTATCGCCAACTACTGCCGACACCAAATAGTAGGAGTTCATCGACTCCAAGATCGGTCCTTTCAGTGTCCAATTGTTATATACGGGATTGTATTCTTCGAATTGGAATATCGTTTGCGGTGTTCCACCGTTTGCAGAGCCGTTGAGCATGGTTCGCTCGGTGATGGCGTAGATACGCGAATCCGACGACACCAACATACGGAATGATTTGATACCGGGTGCAAAGTCGGCCAACTCATCCCAGGCACCTTGATGATGTGCCTCCTGTCCAAGTGTGAGATGCTGTACGGTGCACACGCAACGCGGTGTTGCCACCGGACTGACCAGTCCAAGCGGTGCAAGTGGACCTGTCAAACCATAGTATTGAAATTCAATCTCCAGACGTTTCCGCAGCTCGAAATTAGTTGGTGGACTCCAAATAGGACCGTCACGCAGATACGCCAAAATATGTGAGAACAATTTACCATCTCTATCTATAAATATTCGACCATCCTGATCAATCGGTAATTCAAATCGTTGTGAAAACATTGCTGCCAACATTGATTCCGGATGTTTTGTCAAAGTCGATACTGTTGTCGAAAAATGTTTTCCACCGACATCCAATTTTACTTTATATGGAAAATTACTTGTTCTATATTGTATTTGTTGATTTTGTTCAACAACCGATTTAATACTTTTACTATTATCACTATTACTATTACTATCACTACTATTATTATTACAATTACATTTGTTATTATCTGAAGAATTATTGTTGGTTGATGGTATTTGTTGTTCAATAATCTTCTCTGTTGATGGTGATGAATTGGAAACATGGTTTAAAGCTTGTTGGACAGTTGGAGATTTCAATGTTTCTTCAATCCATTTCTTTAAAACGGTTGGATTTGAAGAGTCACGAATATTAAGTCTTGGAACTTGACGTCGTTGTCCAATGATGCTGCTTCTCTGCTGTTGCAATTGCTGTTGTGGTGGCGGCGTCACAGTCTGTAGCTGGGGTGTCTCAAAATTTCTAAATGAAGAGATAGATTCCAGATCGATGGTAAGTGCACCTTTATGATCACTACTACTGCTGCTGCTGCTTGGACCACTCGATGTATTGCCATTGGCAGTGGCACCGCTACTGTTGTTGTAATCATAGTTTTTCCACTTTCGATGATGTGGTGAATTGATTGTTGTGGTAGCTGCTGCGGCTGTACTGGACGGAGGATAATAAGAAGCGGTTGGCTTCTCCTCGAATTCCCTGGAGAGTTGGTATTTTACATATTGAAGTTGTCTTACAACATTTTGTATTGTTTGTTCTATACGTACTATTTCCTCTATCAACTGATTATCTTTACTTATCATTTATTTTATATATAATATATATAGATATATTATTATATAGATTATAATTTATAATAAAAAACAACGCAACTACAAACACACTTTAATTACAATTGTTGTAATTTAACTAATTCTTTAAATAATTATTAGATTAATATCTAAATGATTATTATTTTAAAAGAAATGAATAGAATGATGTTTGATGTGTTTTGATGTTTGCTATGTTCTGCACTAATGATAAAAATAGTTTGATTTGATTTGATTTTCTAAATGGTAAGTTTATTTGATTTGATGATGATGTTTGTTGCTTGATAGTTGGTTGGTTGGCTGGTTGCTTTTCTTTAATGATTAAAGTGGGGGGTAAATTGTTTGTTTGTTTGAACCTAGTGGTGTGTGTTTAATTTGTAAAGGTTTAAATTAAAAAAGCAACTTTTTATTTTGTGATGTATCTCAAATCGTGGGTGTTGTTTGTGTTTTGTGTGTTTTGTTTAATGTTTTCTTTAAAAGTAGTTAACTTTTAAAATAAAAATAAATAATTATTATTTATTTGTTTATATGTTTTGAACTAAAGTAAAAGGCTATCTTAAATGAAGGAAGTCAGGCACACAGCACTCCACTCTTTAGGTAACCTGATTAGTATTATTATATAATTCATTTTTAATAATATTTCTTTTTTTTTTTTTTTATGATCTATAAAATCATACTACTATTTTACCCCATTCCAAAAATTGTAAGAAATCATTGATTTATCATAAGAATAGGCTCTACTGTAAATCATACTTTTGAAACGAAAAAAAAACAAAATTTTGTGGGTTTTTTGATCAATTTTACCTTGTGAACTCTATTTTTGGCATGAGAGTGGGCAAAAATAATCATATTAGAGATTATATGAAATGTGTGTATTTTATATTAGTTTTCAATTTATATGTAGAACGAACGTTATTATGGTCCAAAGATTTTTCTAAATATTTAAACAGACCATATCTAACTTTTAGATCATATTATCTTTTTTCAAGATCTCTTTTTTTTTTTTTATTTTTTTTTTTCTTTTCCAATGGAAAACATATTGAAGATACAGATTTATTACCTTATAATTGTGAAAGAATCGATATTTTATTTAAAATTTATTTAATTTTTTTTAATTATTATTATTATTTTTTTTGTTTTTTTTTGTTTGCTTAACTAAATCACAGTTATTTGTCTAATCTTTAACTAAGATAAGAATAAAGAAGCAATTAAGAAAACCAAAGTAAAATAATAATTTTGGTTACTAAACAATGATACACCTAAACTTGGTTGTGGAGTTGGTGATGGTTCTACGGCTGTTTGTTTGACAAATAAATAATTAATTAGAAATTTATAATTATTAAAAAGAAAAAAGTAAACTTACTTTGATTAACAAATTGAGTGTATGAGAATACTTTGGCAGTACCATTTTGACCATCTGAGACGACGGTAACAAAGAGAGTATTATTGTATTGATTCAATTTCTTGAGATATCCACCATCGACAGTACAAGTAACAATAGTGTCATTTACATAGACTGGCTTTGGACAGGTGTAGTTTCCGTTGAGGATAATTTCCAATCCCTTCATGGCAAAGTTGGTACCGTTGACTTTAAGGACACCACCAGCATCGGTCATGTTGCTAGTAGCAGTAACATGTGGTGGCATGTATGAGAAAGATCTGGTAATCATGGTGCAGTTGAAACCTGCAGACTGCAAGGAGACCACTTGCTTGCTACCAGAGCCACTGGCAGCTTTACAAATGATTTGGGTGGCATTCGATGACAAATAGGTACATTGTTGAGAGTTGAATCCAGTAATGATTGGAGTCTTAAAGTTGGTACCTTTGATGGTAACATTACCACCAACGACTGGAGCCATTGAGATATCGGTAATTGTTGGAATATCAGTGAATGACACGGCAAAAGTAGAGATGGTATTGGTTGCCTCAAAAGTAATAGTAACCTTCACGTTTGCCAATGGAAGCGAGTCATTGGTTAGTTTATCCAATTTACAATTAATGGAGGTTCTGTTTGAAGTGTCAATCTTGCATGGATATACACCGATGAGAATGGATGGTGTATCTGGGAAATTGGTACCAATGATTTGAACTGGACCTCCACCAATTGATGGTGGTGTACAAGAAGTAATTGTCATTGCTTAAAAAAATAAAAATTAAATTAAATAATATTTAATTAGAAAATTGCTCAAGAAATTTGATTAGTCAACTTATTTTATACATACGTAAAGCAACAGTGAATACCAATGTTTTGGTAACAGTTGGAGTGGTAACGACTACAGTCTTTTTGCCGAGAGTGACACTATTTGCTTGGATGTCAACAGTAATCATAGAATCATTGACAATGACAAAGGTAACTGACTTGGTATCAATTGTTACAGAAACCTTTGATGGATCGGTAGAAATACCAAAAGTAGTGATATAGATCTTAGATTCATCACTACTTCCCTTGATAATATCAGCTATTATAAAAATTAAATATTAATAACAGTAAATTATATTGATAATAAATTAACTTACCAATTTTAACAGCATTTTTATAATTGAAAACATCCAATCTAACGTTAAAGTCAGCGTTGAATGGACCACTTCCAACTAGAGCAAGTAAAGCACCGGTGTTATCTTGGAAAGTATTGGTATCCGAATCTGAAACTACCGATTTCATTTTAATGTTAGAGTTGATGGTAATTTCATTCTTTGCTGTATTGTTAAGGTATTTTCCAAATACGACAACAGTGGCGTTGGAATAAATATTAATAGCATCTACTACATGTGGATTCCACTTGGCGGTTCCAGCACAGACATCTTTGGCATTGCAGAAAGAGATAGTACCAGTGAAAATCAAATCCATGGTCACTGGGAATACGATATTTTTGTCGGCTGGCTTTGTAAGACTCTTTGATTGGTAGGCTCCACCTCTTACACTATCTACCAATTTGACATAAGTAATTGTTGCCGATACACCAGCAGTATCAAGCATAACATTGGCACTTGTATTATCATAGTTGATCGAAACGACATCAAAGTCCTGACCTATAAGAATTTTGAAAATTAAATAATATAATTGTTAATATTGTAAGTATAAATTATTGATTATATAATAATTACCAAAACATAGATTTATAGTAAAAAGTAATAAAATTGATAAAAATAAATATTTCATTTTTTATATTTTATAAAATATTTATATGTGAATATATATATAATAAAAATTTATTTGTTTAAAAGTAGTTTGATAATTATAAAATTATAAAAAAAAAGGAATGGATATAAATTTATATTATTTTTTACTGAATAGTAATTGTAATTAATTATCAAATTAATAATAATAGGGAATAACGATTATCAAATAAAATTTATAGTGTATAAAAAGCTTCACCTCATTTTTTTAAAATAAATTGGTTACCGCCATCCACCTCCTGATGAATTAAATTAAACATAAATCAGTACTGGTACCATATTTACATACATGCTATAGTATAGAATATCTTTAAACTCTAAAACACTCTCATGATGATGATTTACAACATACAAATTTGACTTCACATGTGTTTCTAGCAAACTCCAACCAACCAACACCTTTTTGCAAATGAATTAAGATACAATCTTGGCAATTGCCATTTTAAAATTAAACATTTGCATATATTTTTAAAACACCCATACTAAATATGATTACATTTTTGTATTTGGTTGCTTTTTGAGTTCAATCACTGATTGAAAACAAAGAAGTTAAGGTGGTGTGAAAAAATGCTTGATTTTAATTGGTGGTTCGCGGTATAAAAAAACATTTTATTTTGGTGTTTTTTATTGGTGATCATTAAAAAACACTCACACTAAAAATGTTCTTTTATTTCTCAACACATTATATGTTGGTATGAATTGTTTAATGTTTTTGATTAGCATAGTTTATGTATAGTGGTTGGTGTGTGTGTATGTGTTGTGTGTATGTGTGTTGAGCTTGTAGTTGATGATGATGGCAATTAATACTCTCAGAATCAAAGATGAGATTAACTATTAATATTGGTGAGATCTTATTTGATAGGAATTATGATCGATGCATTCATTTATTTTCTTTCAGGTTAATCGAAAAATAATCTGTTTATCTGTTTATCTGTTGATTCTTTTGAAAATACTGACTTTAAATGAAAAATTACAGCTAATGATTTTTTGTGATTTTTTGAATTTAGTTGAAAATTGAAAAAAAAACGAGTAATCCAAAATTGTGAATATATTTAATTATTATTTATTAAATTAAACGAATAGGTTTACATTTATATGTATAATGTTTTTATCGAGAAAAGCATTTCAATTTGTGGGTGTTTCTACATCTTCAAATCTTAAACAATACCCAAATATATTAGTACCTATAAGTAATCATTATAATGAATCATTATCATTATCATTATCATATTCATATTCAACAACTACATCTTCATCATCAACATCAAAAGTAGTTAGATCAAGTAAAGGAGTAAAAGTAAAACCATCAATATCAATTGCAAGAAAAAGACTGATAAAATTAAGTTCAGTTAAAAATGCGTTGAATAAAAAGAATGAAAAATCAGAGGATGGTAGTGTCGAACCATTGTCAGCTGATAACATAAAGACAACGAAAGTAGAGAAACCGAAATTAATATTGACCACCACCACCGGCGAAGAAGATGTAAAACCAAAGATAAAGAAAGAAACTCTGGCACAAAAGATAGAGCGACTCGAACGTGAAATAGATGAAGAAATGAAACATCGAAAGAAAGGTGTCAAACCAAGTCAGACTCCTCATGGTGAGGATCCAGAGGAGAGAGTAGATGTTCCCATTGGTGAGGAGGACAAGTCGGATATCGACCGTGAAATGCGAAGAAAGTTTTGGGCTGCACAGATGACTATGCGTGAATCTCTCAAGAAGGACGGTGGTGAATATCTCTTTGAGGAAAAGGATTACAATGACACTGAAATTGGATACAACGAGCTCGGAAAGAAGTTGATGTCTTCGAAGGAGCGAGAACGTGCAAGGCTGATAGCGGAGCGACAACAACGACAATTGGATATCTTGGCAAAGCGAGCACAATCACCTGAGAAATATTCAAATCTACCGACACCCGATGAATATGAAGATGGAGAAGATGCTGCTGTTGCCGATGGAGATGACGATCTACTCGAGGATATCGACTATGACGATGGATTGCCAGATATGACTAGAATCGAAGTGGAATCGAATATACCACCCAATCAAGAGTTGATCGAAGAGTTTATGGAACGACAGAAACAAGATCTCATCAAACGAGCAGAAGACAATGCAGAGGATGAATTTGAAAAGAAAAGAAAGTTGAAAAGAATTGAATTTATGGCAAACAAGTTGGCGTTGAAAGAGAAACAGAGATTGGAACGTTTGGCAAGACTTGGTATTGTTAACGATAATATAGTTGAAATCGAACCAGAGTTATTCAAGAGATTCCAAGCTGGTGAAATAACAGAGGATGAAATGAAGGAAATCAGTAAGAAACAAATGGAACAAGAAGAAGAGCAAGGAGAAGATGGTGAGGATGGTGAAGAAGCTGATGAGGAAGATGATGGAGAGCGTAGTAAGTCTCGAGATTATCAATTTTTGAAACATTGGAAAATTGGATCGATTGAAATACCACCACTTTTGAAGCGTAAGATTGCTCAATCTTTGAAAGGAAACTCAACACAACAACTGCGATTGGATGCACAGGAACTATCAGAGAATCTCAGAGAGAGAACTCGTTCCAAGATTATCGATAAGCATACACCATTCAAGGTGGCACCAGAGGAGAAACCGGTGATTACCTATGGTAAGGGTCAGGCTTTGGCATATATTGCTCATCGTATGCCAGGTGTCTACGCGTGTACACACAGAGTATTCCAAGAGGTTGCCACTCGTCTGCCTAATTTCAAACCAGAGACAATGCTTGACTATGGTAGTGGTCCGGGAACTGTCATTTGGTCGGCAAGAGAGACTTGGCCGTCGTTGAAATCGATACGTGCGATCGAACCATCGGGATTCATGATTGACACTGCCAAGAAGATGTTGGAGGGTTCCACCAACGGTATCGTTTGGTCGCAGCTAGTCAGTCCACCAACTACACAAGCCTACCAAAGTGATATTGTCGTTGCCAGTTATGTGTTGAGTGAACTTCCAGATGAAGCAACGCGTGAAAAGGTGGTAACCGAACTCTGGAAGAATGTTAAACCATCGGGTATTCTGGTGTTGGTCGAACCCGGAACACCAATTGGATTCAGTTTGATCCGATCGATGCGACAGTTGCTGTTGGATCTACCGGCAGAGCCAGTGACCATTCACAAACAAAACTATGCACAAGTACTATCGCCCTGTCCACACTCTGGCCGTTGTCCAATGGGACATAACTCATGGTGTCACTTCTCACAACGTGTAGTACGTCCACTCTTCCAAAAGCTGGCAAAAGGACCGAGATCCACTGTTTCATTCGAAGATGAAAAGTATTCCTACATTGTAATGTCAAAGATGGTGCGATCTACCATTCCCAACCAACTGGAGAAACAACATGAAATCTATGGTGAAGAAGAAGAACAACCAAAGAAGCTGTGGTCTCGTATCAACGCACCTCCATTTAAACGTGGTGGTCATGTAACAATGGATGTTTGTTCACCTGAAGGTGATTTAAAACGTGTTACAATTGCAAAGTAAGAAGAAAGAATGATAGAGAGTGAGAATGAAACATATATAACTAATAACTAATTATTTTACTTTTTAGATCACATGGTAAACAATTATATAAAGAAGCAAGAAAATCATTTTGGAGTGATTCTTTGATTATCAATGAATCAAAGGTGAATTGGATCCAGTCTAGAACACAAATAGTAGAGACAACAGAGCAATTAGAGGCAGAACAATTGGCAATGAAAGAGAAGATTAAGAATTTGAAATCGATTACCTTTAAGAATAGCGATGCTCAAAAGGAAATCAACAAGGTCATTGCAGAGATTGAGAGTAAACCAAGCGAGAAGAAGAAGCAGCAGTTGGAAGAAGCCTCGAAAGTAAAGAAGACTGGTAAAGACAACGATTGGATGAACGATCTCGGTAATGACGATAGAAAGATGTTGGAACGTTTAGTTAAGGAAGGTAAATTCTCTAGCAGTGGAAAAGGATTGTTTGGTGGTGAAGAAGACGACGCTGCATCAGAGTCGCCAAAGCTGCATCAAGACTACCGTGAGATGAGTAAAGATGAATCGATTCAGTTTGTTGACGATGCCAAGAACCAACAGGATCAACAACAGCTTTTGAATCCTACTCTCGATCTAGATGATGTAACGGTATTCAGAGACAGTTCCAAAGCAAGAAAAGCAATGAGATCTAAGCTACTCGATGATATCGATATCTTTACAACACAGAACCTACAACCAGAGCAACTCGAGGAAATGAATCAATTCAAACAATCAAAGTCAAAGAAAGCTAAGCAACCAAAGAAAGGAACAATGGAGGCATTTTTATTGGAGGAGGAACAGAACAACGAAACCAATACGATCGACGATCTCGAATCACAGATACTCGAAAAACAAAGAAAACAACAACTACAAATGACTTCGATGGTTGAAGGTGTTTATGGAATGGGATTGAACACAAAGAACAATCGTAATCAAAAGAAAGTAAATACCAGTACTCTTTCAATTAAAAAGAAATAAATAATCAATAGTTTATCAATTGGTTGTTTTTAATTTAATTATCTTTTTTTATTATTATTTTTTTGATCGAGGAAGGATAATGACCACCACTTTACCTAATGTTTTGGGTTGCTATTTAAATTTCTACTATTGATATTAAAGTTTTAATATTTATCCATAGAGGTATTAATCTAAATTTTATTAATAAGGATTAATAACATTAAAGATGAGTCTTCTTTATTTAAAATTACAGAACATGAATAAGACATGAAAGTAGATTTAAGTTTTTTGGATACAACTTCTGTTAACAGATAGTTGAATAATAAATGAAATCATTTAACTCTCTTATTACTATTCGACAACTTGTAAAGAAACCTGTTTTTATAAGAACGTTCACAACATGTACCAATGTAATCTCCACACTATTAACATTTATAAAAATGAAAAAGAATCAATTCAGAGTGATCAACTAGTACTAGAATTAGAACAACTAGATCAAAAATTAAAAAAGACACTACGAAGACAACAACAACAACAACAACAACAACAAAAACTTTTATAATCCTTTCAAATATAAAATTACCAATTTTATTTGTTTATTAGAAACAACTCAATAAAGTTTAAGTTTAGACAAACTTTGTTTTATAAATCGATTTTATATTTTATTTATATATTATTTATATATATTTTATATATTATTATTATTACAAATGGTGCATTGCTAGGTTTCTACTTGATTGACCTCTTCTTGAGAATCTGAATCTGAGACCATCACGCGATACATAGAGCTTCTTTTTAATGAGGACAACAGCGACGGCAACACCAACGCTTATTACGACGACTGGTACAACTACGGCAACTGGGATAACCCAGCTTCTCTTGTTATCACCTCCACAACCGTTGGTTGGTTTATCTGGGTTGATAAGCATACTGAAATCTGGGTCGAGAATACAATTGGTACATTGTGGAACACTGACCGAAATATAGGTCATTGAGGAATCACCAACCTCAGTGGTATTTAGAATACCGGTGGCAGAGTATGCTGGACGACCATCCGATAAAGATCGATCGAGGAAACGACCGTAGAAAATGATACCGTTACGCTCAATCGAGAGGTATTTGAGTGAATCTGTACCGGATTTAGATGATGAACTACTGGTATCACAGGTTTGAGAGTCATCAGCTGAGACCTGAGTGGCAAACACAACCTTTAAGTAGTTGAGTGAGTTTTGGAATGCCCATCCATCGATTGTTACCGATGCTTTCAATGAGTTTGGTTGATAGGTACTGTTGATACCTGCAAATTCGATTTGTCTATCTGCCTTGTTGATCTCGATAACCGTAGTGATATTGGCGCTCAACACTACAGATTTATAAGTAGTAGAATCGGCTTGTGCATTGCTGGCGGATGTCGAAGTCCATCCACTGAGCAGAGTCTCTGAGACAACCGCTTCGGCACTGTCGATCTCCTGGATAGATACCATGTTGAATTTATATTGAACACCGAGTAATTCGTAGGTGCTAGCTGGTTCACTCTCGGATGTTTGGATTGTTGGTTTGGGATCTTCACTCGATGGCAATTTGAAGTTACAGGATGGACCGTTGAATCCAGCTGGGCATGAACAAATACCATTGTTACAGGTACCGCTACCACAACCGTCTGGACACACCGCGGCAGTATTTGGAGTGACATACAAGATTGACGATGATTCAAAAGTGTATTGATCGATGATGACAGTGAGTTTCTTCAGACCGGATCCACTTGGTGTGAAACTACAGGTAAGATTGAATTCGTTGAGAGTGATATTGGAACATGGTGCACCACCGACCAAAACTGTAATGTTTCTTTGGTTGGTAACTGTTGTCGACATCAAGTAACGACTGGCCATAACAATTGGTGGTCCTGTTGGTGCTGGATAGCTACCAAAGTTACCATAAATGGTTACAGCACCATCGCCTTCACCAATCGGTGATACAGATGTAACGATTGGATAGGATTGAGTGAAGCTAGTTTCATAATTGGAAGCACCATAGGTTGTGCTGTTTGCAATCAATTGCACCTTTCCTTGTGGCAATGCTGCAGCTGTACATATATAGAAGGCATTCGATCCACCCATAGTACCAACACAATCAACATTATTAACCTTAAAGCTTGTATTGAGATCGAAATTGATACCACTGATTGTAATCTCAATACCATTATCCTTTTGAGTGAATTGTACTAATTTAATTACAGGTGCTAAAGATAATAAAAGTTATTAATTTATGTAATGTACTGTAATCAAGATGATCATATATTATAATACTTACTCATTACTTTATAAACAACAGATACTTGAACATTTGATCCAAGATTAATTATTTTGGTAATTGCTGATTCTGGAATGGTTGTTTCAGCTAGTGTTTGATATCTTTAATATAAAATAAATAGTTTAATATTAGTTAGATGATATGTGCTTAAAAGAATATGTACTAATTAGTTTGTAAAGACATACGTTAAATGAGTGTTTGGTGAGATAACGGACACTCCTGGTGATGCATTAACACCCCAACCAAGACTTGTACCGATGATATCGATTTTACCACCATTTGCAATGGCAAAACCATTGGCTGGTTGATTGGTGATGTTACCACAGGCACCACTACCGGCATTGTTGAATTGAGCGTTTGCATTGAACCATGAAGCAGTATATTCTTTGTAACATGCGAAACAACCATCTACCTGATTGACTTGCGTGTTGACCAGACTCAAAGAGTTTACACCACACAGCTCCGACGGTATAGATCCTCCGCTACTTGTCAAACTAGGATTGTTTGATGCATCGAAATACTTTATTGAACTGTATTTAGCATTGGAAATACCTGTACTCAATGATTGTAAGTTTCTCAATACCCTAAATATTTGAAAATAATGTTAGCAAAAAAAAAAAACAATTATTTTTCAATCATTATTTAAAAATAGTTATTAACATACAATTTTGGTAATGTTTGGAAATATGCTGGATCTGGTAAATTTTGTAGAGAGGTACCTTCTTCTTGACTAAAATAAGTTGTTTAAAAAATAATTTAATATTTATATTCTACTAATATCTGATTGTGTTGTTTACTTACTATAATTCTAATGTTGGAATGGTTAATGGATAAAATAAAGTAGATTGTGATTGATAGTTGGTATTCTTAATTACACTATAATTTTGAAACATATAAATTAATAAAGAATAATAAATAAATTTGATATATTAAAAAAAAACATGCATTGATTTAATGTAAACAGCATAATCTTTCAAAAGATTTGGGGCAACTAGAACAGTAGAGTTTTCAAGGTAACTAAAATATAATATATAAAGTTAATATGTTTTTGTTTTAAATTAAGAATAAAGATTATTCTTTTAACTTACAAAGTTTGGAGATTTGTGAAAATACAACCACCAATTGTAATGGAAGGTCTTTGATTTGAACCAATAAGAGAGCTGTGGAAAAAAAAAAAAGTGATTAATGAAAAGATTACAATTAAAAAAAATAATAATAAAACTTAATAAACTTACATTGTTTGAAGTTGCATAAAATTAAATTGAGCATTATAAACTGTATCGGTGTAATAAACTACCCTATAATTTGAAAATAAATAAGTATTAGATTGATATTGTTTTGTATTTCCTTTGTAGATAAAATTGAAAATTTAAAAACATACAAATTTTTTAAAACTGGTAGAGAATTCGAAGTCATGGTGACAAAAGTACCATAGATAGAAGGAACTTCCATTACACTATATTTGGAAATTAAAAAGTAAATATTTAGATTAATTGTATTGTAAACTAATTGAATAAGAAAATAAATGTAAAAAAATACATACAAAGTTTGAATGATATTGTTAAATGAAGTTGATCCAAAAATGTTATCATATTTAATACCAGATCCACGAAGAACTCTTTTTTGTATTTGTATAAAAAAAAACAAAAGTAAAAAAATTAGTTTAAATTTTAAATTGTTTTCTATATTTTTTAAAGTTAAAACTTACACATTTTTAAGTTTTGGATGTTCAAAGAATGATGCTGGTAAAATATCTCCAATGGCATCACCAGTAATTTCACTTTTATTGTTTTATTAGTAAAATAAAAGAAGATGTATAGTTAAAAATAAATAACTTACAGATTTTCAAGAGATGGGAAAGCATCTGAAATATTAGCTGTTAAAATTGGAGATAAACCTGCAACTAAATCCAAACTTATTTTTTTTAAAAATTTAGTTGCTATTCTATTTTATCATATTGTTAACAATGCATACGTTATATTTTGTAAATTGGGTGCAGAAAACTTATTTAAAATCAAGCTACTTGGATTTGTAGATTGTCTACCAATAATTACTCTAAATAAAAAATAATATTCAAAAAAACTTTGATTAATATCTTGAATGATGAAAACCTATACTTTAAAAATAATTAGTTCTGCAGATTAATATATTTCATACAAAGATCTCAAATTGGTGGCAACTAGATTATTATTAAAAAGTGTTGTGGAATAAATTCTTCTTCCTCTTGGGTTTGGAGACCAAATCTTTTGCTCACTCATTGAAACTGTATCGGGAACAACAGATGTATTAGTTACGATAGGAGAAGTCGTTAAAGGGACTGGTGATGGTACTGTACCTATATTTATCGATGTGTAAGTATCGGTTGTGGCCGTAGTAGAAGTAGTAGAAGTAGTATCTGTCGTACCAGTGAAGCCAGTACTAGTGGAAGGCATAGAGGTAGTACCTGCAGTTCCAGAGGTAATTGGTCCTCCCGATGTTGTGAGTCCTGATAGGGTAGGTGGGGTGGAGGTTGGGTTGGCCGTAGTTGGATTGGCTGTAGTCGATGTAGTTGGATTGGCTGAGGTTGGATTGGCTGTAATTGGATTGGCCGATGTAAAAGTAGTACTTCCGGTGGTTGAAACGGTACTACCACTTGTGGTAATCGGTGTGGTGGTGGTGATGGTTGGTGAGGTTGTGGCTGGTATCGTTGTGGCTGGTATCGTTGTGGCTGGCATCGTTGTAAATGGCATCGTTGTGGCTGGTCCCGATGTCAAGGCTGGATTTGCTGTAATTGGACTAATAGGACTAATAGATGCTCCACCAGCCGGTTGCGCAGTTATTGAAGTTCCAAGAGTGGGTATCGCAGTAATAGAGGTGGCGGGAGCGAGAGTTGTTGAAGTCGAAGTCGATGTTGTACTTGGAGTGGATGCATCAATATATCTATTATTTTCATAAAAAAATATTAATATTTTTTTCAAACTAATTAAATCTATCAAAAAAATAAAAAAACAATTCTATATTGTAAATCTTACATTCCAACAACATTTCCATTCTCACATTTTAATGCAGGATGATTACAATTTGGAGAGGAACCAAAAACGATTGCAAACTCTGTTCCAATCATTGTGATAGCATCCCATTCTGAATTTTGCGCTTGAGAAATACATGCTAGTGCAGCAAATATCAGGAATACAATATTTAGTATCCTATGTTTTGATTGCTGCATTTTGAAAAATATATTTTTTTTTTTTAAATTATCGATAATCTAAACTTTCTACTTTTGATTTATATTGTACAAATAAAAAGGTATGTGCGTGTGTGTACTAAGGACCTAAACAATTATTATTTGTGAAGTATTGTTTATTTTATTTTTTAAAAAAAAAAACAAAAACAAAATAGAAAACTATAAATATCTATCTAATTAAGCTTTGTCAAAGGATCAAGATTATAGTGAAATAATTGTTATTTGTGTGTGAGAAAACAACTAAAGAGAAATAAAAAATAATGTTTGTCTACAATTAAAGTGAAAGGGCATCACCAATTAGGGACCAAAAAAATATTTTTGAGTTGATCAAAGTGACCATCGAGTTTTTGATTTATTTTTATTTTTATTTGGTGCAGGTTGGCACCAATCTCATGGCAAAAAAGCTAACCACTAACAAAAAAAAACTCTACAAGTCAATAATAGATCTACCATTTTTAACTGTTTTTTTTGTAATTTGATCAAAAAAAAAAATTCAAGAAAATCTTATCATAACGTTTTTACTACATCAATTGAAAGTAGTACCCGAATTAATGATGATGCAATTAAATTAATTAATTTTATTGATCAATCAAAATTAGGTTGATAAAAATAAATATCAAAATAATGGAAATCATAAACTATTTGGTGGAGATTAATTAAAATCTACACTTTACCATGAAAAACAAAAAAAATAACAAATAAATTTAAATAAATAAAATATGATAATTTTCGAAATTTTATTTTATTTTATTTTATTTTTTAAATGTCAAGGGCGACGAATTCAGAAACAGATCTAATTTAAACGATCAATTTGAGAAATAGAATCGAAGAGAAAGAAGAAATAATCAAGTATGAATAGAGTATTGCAGAGATGCAACATATTGAACACTAAGACGTAGGCTTGTGAAATTAGAGAAAGAATAGAAATTCACTTGCTAAAGATAGATAGATTTAGATCGTTCGCGAGAGAGTAAAGCGGTCCAGTTTCATCCTTAATAGAACGGCAGAGACTCAAAGTGGAATATCAGAAGAATGATTTTTAGAGAAAATATATACTGTGACTTTTTATTTAGCAGAGATTTTGATTGTAACTACGCCGTCATGAAGAACCTTTTTTTTTTATAATACCAAGAAAGTTGTGAAGTTCTTTGAATCACTTAAAGAATTCTGTGTAATTTGATCTAAATTGTATGGTCAATCTATACAATAGACTTTCTTTCGAAATACGCACAGTCATAGAGTCTGTACTCAAACTCTATGATACAAACAGCTTCTCATCTAATAATAAAGCAAAAAATAAACAATTCTCAATAGAGTAGTCTTTTGTTGGGACTATTCGAAATCCGGCTATGAAATTACTTCACCAAGTCTATTTGTTATTCTACATCTATTTATTACAATTTATTTTATAAAAATAGTTATCATCTACAACAACCACTTAAATAATTAAAGTGTTTATTTTATTTTATTTTATTTTTAATTTTTCACAATATATTTGCCTCATAAACAATATTTAAAGAAAATTGGCATCACAGATAAATTCAAAAGACACTTTAATTTTATATGACACACAATTTTTGCTAAACCAATGAATACATTCCCTCCTTTAAATCAATGAAATGAAAATGATTTTTTTTTTTTTTTTTTTTTGTAATGATCAAAAAAACAACACACTTTTTTTTTTTTTCATTCTATCACACACAAATATTGACACCTGTAACAAAAATTATCACACACTAATTTAATCAAACATAAAATAATCATCACAACCAAATTTATTATTATTGAATATATTAGTGCACTTATAAAAAAAAAAAAAAAGAATATAGAGAGTTATAATTGGTATTCGAATACCAACAACGGCAATCAAATAAAACCATAATCAAAACACTCAAATTAAATCAAAATCAAATCAAAATTTAATTGTTGTTGTTTAATTATTCATATCACTACATAGTACATACTCTCTTTTTTTATATCATCATTTATTCAATTATATTTAAATATACTAATAAATAATTAAATTTGTTAACATTTTTTTATTTTTAATATTTATTTATAAATTATTTTTTATTTTTGATTTCACCTCCACATTGTTGTTGTAAATTGTAGGTTTGTTTTATTTTTATTGTTTTTTTTTTTAAAAAAGATAATAATAATAATAATATTATTTTAAAACTTATCATTAATTCTATTTTTAAACAACAATAACAATAAAAAAATTAAGTAATATTATATATATATAAATAGATCAGAGCATAAGTTAAAGAATGGGAGCATGCTGTGGTAAAGAAGCAAAGCCAGAAAGAGAAAATCCAAAGGCATCTGCACATACAAGTGAACCTGTCACCAAGACAGCTGAAGTAAGAGCCGAAGAAAAGATTTCATCTGCTCGTAAATATCCAACCATAATTTAATCATCAAATTTACAAAATCTGGTGATTACATCTTGTCTTTTTTGTTTTGTTTCTTTGTTTTTATTAATAATATTATCATTTTTTTACAGAGGATATATCTATAGGAAATGTAGAAGATAGTTATGTTGTTGGAAAAGAACTTGGAAGGTAATAATAATGCGCTGAACAATTGATTAAAACAATAAGCAAGTTTGTTAACATTATTTTTATTCTATATATAGAGGTGCATTCTCAGTGGTTCGTGAAGGTACAAAGAAAGCAAACAATGAAAAGGTTGCTTTGAAATATATCGAAAAGAAATTTGTAAAGAAGAAGCACATCGAACAACTTAGAAGAGAGATTGATATTATGAAAAAGGTTAATCATCCAAACGTATTAGCACTTAAAGAGATCTTTGAAAGTGATACTCATTTAACATTGGTAATGGAATTGTATGTGTTATAATAACAATCGTGTGGTGAGAGGTTCAAGCTTGAATAAATTCATGATTTGATGATGTTAACAAACAAACAACTATTATTTATAGGGTAACAGGTGGTGAATTGTTCTATAAGATCGTGGAGAGAGGATCGTTCACAGAGAAGGATGCACGTAATGTAGTGAGACAAGTGTGTGCCGGTGTAGAGTATCTCCACTCACAGGGTATCGCTCATCGTGATTTGAAACCAGAGAATCTCTTGTGCTCCGGTGACGGTGACGACATGACCATCAAGATTGCCGACTTTGGTCTGAGCAAGATCTTTGGTGGCGGTGAACAACTGGAGACCAGCTGTGGTACACCAGACTATGTCGCACCAGAGGTATTGACCGGTGGCAGCTACGACAACGCAGTCGACATGTGGTCGATCGGTGTCATCACTTATATTCTCCTCTGTGGTTTCCCACCATTCTACGCATCCAGTCAAAATCTACTGTTTGAAAAGATTCTCACCGCTGACTATGATTTCCCTGAACCTGAATGGACACATGTCTCAGAGTCTGGTAAGTAATTAATTGCAAAAGCATAGCTTTGTTTGTTTTTTTCAATACTTATTAATTAACATATACATATACAAAATTTCATTTACTTTCACTTGTTTATTGTTATTATTATTGTTTAGCTAAATCATTTATTAGAGCATTGATTGTTAAAGACCCAGAACAAAGATATACAGCCAAGAGATGTTTGGAGGATGCATGGATCACCGGATCGGATATCAATGCAGTCGATCTTCATAGCCACTTTGCTGAGAAGATGAAGAAATATAATGACCAAAGAAGAAATGCACAACCAACCATGTAAATTTAAAAATGAAATTAAATCAAATAATTTTCGGATCCAATGCTCAATCATCAAATATAACAACAATAATAATAATAACTCATTACCAATTCCAAACATTATTAACATACTTTAAAAAATAAATAAAATCAAATTTTCAAAAAAAAAAAAAAAATACAAAAATAACAAATTATAACAACAACCTTAGTAAGAGAGTAAGTAATGATTAAAACAACAAGTACTTGATGATGATTGTTAACTGTGAGTGTTCAATTGATCATCGTTTTAACATGTTTATAACTCTATGAGGCTTTTTTTTACTCATTATTATATAATTTTTTTTTTTTTTTTTTAGTTTATTGTTTTATATATATTATTGATATCTTTCTAATTAATCTCTATTTTTGATATCTCTTGTTGAATATGATAGTTAAAGATAAACACTTTTTTGAAAATTTTTTCAAGTTGGTGTCGAAATTAATTAAAATGATCGATATTTGTTTTGGTTGTTGCTGATTTTCATTTAATTAATAATTAACATTTTAAATCTTAGAAAGAGGTATACCTGGCAAGCTTTGTAAAAGACAAAGAAACCTTAAATATTGTATATATAATAATATTATAAAACTTCCAAAGATATTATTATGAGCTCAACTCCACCTGTATCAACAACGACATCAAGTGTTATAAATATTAAACCAACCGATCTTAAACCTTTGTTTTCTGTATGTTGTTAGAACTTTAAGTACTTATTATTAATATTTAAAAACTAATCAATTAATCTATTATCATATATATATATATATTAAACAGGAAATCATTACAAATATTACAAATAGAGATGAATCTGTAGAATCACAGAAACCTGCAATTAGAGAATCGCTAGCAAGACATCTACCATCGTTCGATCAGTCAAAGGTTGCCACTGATCTGCAACAAGCAGAATGGAGATCAAACATAGAGCTACCTTTAAGACAAGGTTTAAATAATCTATTTGTATGTATATATTGTAAATACATTAAATAACAACTAAAATATATATAATAATAATAATAATCTTATTAACAAAACAACAAAAACAATAGAAATTAGAATCAATTAAAAATGAAAAGATAGAACAATTAATTGAATTAGCTATTTTTATATATGATCTTGGATATGTAGAAGCAACCTATTTGTTATATATATTCGAGGATCTGTTTGAGAGTAGATCTATCAGTGAATCGATAGAGTTGTTCTCACTGATGGAGTCACGTGTAGAGTTCTTCTCACAGGATGCATTCGTTGGAAGTGGCAGAGCAAAGAAGCAGCTGCTCAAGCTGTGTAACGATATGTTGAGACGTCTGAGCAAGTCAACCAATCCAGAGCCATGCGGTCGTATCTTGATATTCATGTCATATCTCATCCCAATGTCAGATCCATCCGGTATCAATTCGAAATCGATCAACAACGATGAACATTCAAATAGTATTGAATTACTACTGAAACAACAACAACAAGATCAGAATCAATTATTGGATAGAGATCGGGATGGCAATGAGAGTGGTAATACTGTTGACCTCAATTTCTATAGACAATTCTGGTCGCTGCAATCATTCTTTCACAATCCTTATCAACTCATCAATAATGTACCGTCATCGGGATTTGTTGTCGCTGCCAATGCATCGGTTATAATCAACAAGGACCGATGGAATCACTTTACCCAAGCAGTGGAACTGGTTCTAACTACATTCGCTACACATATCAACCTCGATGAATTAGAGGCACTTCCAAAGACACATTACTTTACAAAGTATCTCACCGGTAGTAACTTGATGAAGTTACAACTAAAAGATGCTATCTTTAGAAGAAATATCCTCACACAACTATTATTTACATTTCAATTCCTAGAGATTACAATTCAAAAGAATCCATCGCTATTCTCTGATGATTATGTAAGCATATATAAACATTATCTTTAATAATAACTACCTAAATACTAACTAGTCAAATAAATATTGCATATTGCTGTAGAAACAAATTATACAAAATCAAACACTTAGAGCATTCAAGATATTATCACAGACACAACCGAATGGTGCACATTTTGCAGAGTGTCTATCTAGTATATTAAAGAGAGAAACTAATTGGATATCGTGGAAGAGAGACAATGCGTGCAAGTCATTCGAGAAACCAAGTTGTCAACCAATAGTGGTGAAGAAGAGAAAGGTAAAGAAAGCATCGTCATCCTCAAAGGTTACAATGGGAAATGCAGAACTCTCGAGACTCTGGAATATCTCCAACGATAATCATGAATTTCTCAAACAGGAGATGAAGTTGTCGTTGGACACCTACTTGGAACCGTTGAAACAAGAGATTGCACAGCAAGCGGTCGAAGCGAAACTCAAGGAGGAGAAAGAGGAGCGTCTCAAACAGAAGGAAGCGAAGCGTAGAGAGGATCGTTTGAAACGCGAGGAGGAACTCGCCGAGAAGAAACGAAAGAATCCCGACTACGTAATGACCGAGGAAGACGAAGAACCGATCATCATCGACTCTGACGAACTCGAGGATCTCGATGATCCACAGCCACTCTTGAAAGACGATCAAATGTATATTTGGAAAACAATGAGATTGATGTCGAGAAAGAGAATCGATTGTTTCAGATCTTCGGAAAACAAATTAAAAGTAGATGAAATCGTACAATCTTATTATAATAACAATAATAATAATAATAATCATAAGAATCAATCAACTTGAAAATTAATGTTATTAATTAAAATTTAATAAAAATAAGTTTTTACTTTTTTTTTTTCTCAACAACAACCAACTAAACTTTTCTATTTATTTATTTGTTGAAAATTTTAGAATACATTTAATTATCTTTAAAGATAACTTTATCTTGTAAATCTAATTTGAATTGATTTGAAATCACCATAAACTAATGAATAATAATATCTATTTAAATAGAGTTAGGGTGAATCACTTACAAATCAGTAAATTTAAAATACTCAGAGAGACAGTTGCAATCATACGTTTAGTATGCACAAAGAACTGACTCTAATAATTATTATTTATTAATCTATGCAAACCTATTATGATTTAATTAAATGATAATTTAATTTTATTATTTATTTATTTATAATGTTATAAATAAATTTTAATAAAATAATGCTAAACAAAAGATAAATTATTAATCAACATATTAATTTTTGAAAAAAAAAAATCTTAAAAGTAAAGTGATTTTTCAAAATTTTATTGATCATATATTTTTGATTAATCATTGCATATCCTTTTCATATCATTAAATTATTGATAATATACATATAATGTCAGCAACAGATATATTTACAACAACTTCATCAAAGTATTTATTTCTCATTACCTGTACATGTCTAACAAAATAGCGATTTAAATTAATAATTATACTTTCTATAGGTTCAATGATTCATTGGTATTGATAAATAAATTAGATAGTTCAAAGTTCCCAAGAATACTTTCTAGAATCGTTCAAAAGATTGGTTGTGATAAGGTAACTAATTATAAACCAAAAATGAAATGAAATATATAAAACAAAAATAATCTAACAATATTAATTGATTAAAAATATATTGTACATAAATGTAGAGTGAAAGAATATTCTCACAAGTAGAAGAAGAACAATTACAAGGTGTTTTGGGGTTGGCTGCATACGAATTGAAAGCAATCATTGAAGCATGTTCTTTTATTTTCGAACAGACAGCATACTACTCACTCTCTGGTAATAGTTTGATCGCTCAACTACAAAAGACAACACTACAAAACGATAAGATCACCGCATTCCAGAGTGTATGGACAGAGAATGCAGAATCTACATTACAACAATTGAGATCGAAATCGGTTGCACCACTGGTCTTGGGTGACATCGGTTGGAGATTCCACTTACAAATGTCACAATCATCAATGAGTAAAATTAAACAACCATCTGCCATTTTCGAATTCGATTTAAAGTCTGACGTATGTTATTCAGTTTTGTTGAAATCATCAACACTATTTATAATTATAATCATTTTAAACTAACTTTTGTAATTTATCAATCAAAACAAAACAACAAAACAGTCTAAAAAAGATGAAAAGATGGTATTAGAATTTAACAAAGAACAATTACAAGATTTCTTTTTACAATTGGAATTGGTTCAAGCTAAATTAGATTCATTGGCATAGATATAATTTTATTCTATTTATTTAAAATCATCCCGACTGAACTCCAACTATCAATAACAATAATAATAACAACTAAGATATTTTTTTAATAAATTAAAAACACTTTGTATCATACCATATTGAAAAGATTAAGTTTTATCGAAAATCCCGATGATTTAAAATATTTTAACCTAATGAAGGTGATCACCTTTAACAAACAGCGAAAACACACACGAATTTTCTGGTCTCTGGGAACCCATCACAAAAAAGATTTTTTTCACACAATTGCTATTTTTTTAAAATAAAATAAATTCTGCAAGATGGAAGGCTTTTAAAAAAAAATCGAAAAACACGATTTTTTCAAGATATTTATTTAATTTTCTATCATTGCTATTTATATTGTTATAAACATTTAATTATTATCAAATAGAATAATGAAAGTAGTAACAATTTTTGTAATACTTCTAACATTAAGTGTAATTTTAATAGAAGCTAACAAGAACCAACCAGATGCAAGTGTTTGGGACCCAGTAACAAGCTTCTTGGAGCAAGCAATCGTCAATGGTTCATTCCCAGGTTGTGTCGCATTGGTTGGAACTCGTGATAAAATTCTATATTCAAGTGCTCCCGGAGCATATACCTATGGTGTTCCAACACCAATAAATGTACCTAAAGTACCACAAATGGAAATAGATGTAAATATCAATAGAAGATATATTATAGAATCTATCTACAATTTTCTATAAGTTGTGTAAAAGCGTTACTTATTCATATTACTATCATCATATTATAATAATAGACTCTATTTGATATGGCAAGCTGTACAAAGGTTACTGCCACCACAACAGCAATTGCACAATTCTATCAAAGAGGTGAATTAAGTTTAGATTCAACAATTGCTTCGATTTTAGGTCAACAATTTGCTGTCAATGGAAAGGGTCCAATCACAGTTTTGAATTGTTTATTACATAACTCTGGTTTTTACCCAGATCCAAACCCATTTTGGAGTACGAAAAAAATCATTTCTCTAATAGATATTCAGATTTTCAAATATTAATATTCACTGCTTTCACTATTTATAGATACACCAGAATTTGGATGTCCAGCAACAGCTTATGAATATCCACCATTAGAGTTTTCTTGTCAAACCCAATTCTATAATAGTATTATGAATCAGAGTTTAATGAATCCAATTGGTTCAACCTATGTATATAGTGATTTAAAGTAAAGCTTACAAAAGAAAGAAAACAAAAACAACAATTTTATTAACCTGTTCTTTGATTAATAGTTTCATGACATTAATGCTTGTAGTTGGACATTATGCAAGAACATTGGGATATGTAAAAGAATATGAAGTTTTACAAGATTGTCTTACTGGTGGACCAGGTATTGATCAATGTTACTATGAGGCATATGTCAGAAAATATGTATTCTATCCACTACATTTAAAGTCAACCAACTATTTACCTCCAACTTACTTGGCACCTTATTGCGCACCAACTGAAAACGATACTGTATATATGCACACCACTATTCAGGGAGTTGTTTCTGATGGTAATGCCTATGCAATGGGTGGTATCGGTGGACATGCAGGTGTATTTTCAAATGCACCAGATATGTATCAATTCATGCACGCAATTATGTTTGCCGATAAAAACAGTGACTACCTCAACTCTACAACCGTTCAACTCTTTACAACTGAATACAATCATACACAAAGTAGCAGAGCTTTAGGTTGGAATACAAATGACCCAACAGTACCAGGTAAGTTTTTTTTTATTATTTTTAAAAGCCAAAAAGCAACATATTTTTTGTTTTGATCTTCCCTCAATATTTCCAAAAATAAGAATAGCGAATCTGAATAGTAGATTGCACGTCAACACTTCAAATAGGGAGTGCGAGATTTAATATGTTGTGCCGATGATATTGATTTTGACTTTTTGGTGAAATTTAAATTCTTGGTATTAACATTTAATAAATTTAATTCTTGTTCCACGCCTTTTTTAGATTATGGATGGAGCCTTGCCTGTGGAACACTTTCACCAAAAACATGGATGCATCTTGGTTACACAGGAACAATGCTGTGTGGTGATCCTGATAGAGAGTTGATAGTGATTCTTTTAACAAACCGTGTTTACCCAACAAGCTCAAACGAATTGATCCTAAATGTCAGACGACCTTTTGCCACACTTGTTCAACAAATCTTTGACAAATATTATCAATAAAAATAAAAAACACACATTTTGCATATTAAATAATTTGATTTAATTTTGTTTTTGCAAAATCAACGAATAAGGTGATTGGTTCTTTTTTACTTCTTTGATGATCACCCCACATATAAATGCTTGATTTATTTTTAATCAGCAAAATATCAATAACTCGAAAATTACCAAAAAAAATCATAAAAATTATTATGCAATTCAAAAAAAATTCCCAAAAAAAAAAACTTTTTACGTCAGCCAATTGATGGCATCTCCTCCATACCAGGATGATTAATAAGAAAATTCGAATTTGTGATTTATGAAAATTGTCATCATCATCAAAATTGTTTTATGATTCAACAACCCATTTCATGGAATTTGAACATGGTATTGATATTTTTTTTATTAGCAGTGTTTTTTCAAAAATTAAACAACAACCCCTAACTCTAGTAAATTTAGTTTTTTTTGCATCTTTTACTGTTGCAGGAATAAAAAAAAATCACTCTCTTTGCATAATTTCCTTTGGTGGTGGAGGTCACCGTTTGATTGATTCGATTAATTGTAGAAAGATCTTTCTCCAAACTGAAATATTACAGTATTTTTTTACTTTTTCTATTTTTTTTTTGACCAATTGTTGAGGCTAATTTAATAATTAACCACGTTGGGTGTTCTTTGAGATTTTTATAAATTATACACCCATTTTTTAACTTTATTTAGAAAAATTCCAATCAATTCAAAAATAAAAAACAAAAATTCATTAAACACATTTAGTGAATGAATTATCAGGAGGTCTCTCCCTACAAACTACTATCAATCATAATAATTTATTCATTATATTACTTATATACTCTCCCTCCAATAACAACATTAGAAAATAGTATTAGTATCAATACAAATTAAAAAAAAAAACAAGAAACAATAACCCAAAAAAGAATTCTTTTTTTTTTTTTTTTTTTTTTCGAATATTTATAGAATTGTATCTTTTAATCAATCAATAAAACACACATACACCAACAAATAAACACGGGTTCCCGTGATTGAATCGAAATATAGATTACATCACCTTGTTCCCATCGTTCTATTATAATTCACTAAAGTATCTTGATATTAGTTTGAAAGAAATATCGTTGGAAAATAAAAAAAACAAAACAAGAACCAGTAAATTTAAGGTAAATATCTCGCGTATAATTAGAATTAGGTTGTATCAAAAGTGGTTAAATTTAAAAAAAGTATATAACAAATATATTTTGATGATGCGAAAAACCCCCTTTTTCTTTTTTGTTTCTTTAAAAAATAAAAATTCAGCGACTGTAAAGCAAACAAACTCAAAAAAATTGCAAAATATCTTGCAGAGAAATTTCTTTTTTTCTTGATTTCAAAAAAAAACAAAAAATTTCCATATCACAACAACCCACACAACACACACCAATGAAGATAGTGTGTGGTCACTAAGGTGGTCGATCATTCCAATTTATCATCCCTCATCATCACTATAACACACGGTGGTCTCAAAAAAAAAAAACAAAAAAATTTCAGTTTTTAATTGATTCATTGTTAAATATTTAAAAAGACAAAACCCCTGCTAAATAGAATTTTAAATTTTATCAAACAAACAAAAAAAAAAACAAAAAAAGAAAAATCACAAATTCAATTTTATTTAGGCAATCATCGTCAGTAGGCAGACCACCGATACAAAATATTAAAACTCAATTAATCAATTACCTTATCATTTTTTTTACCCAAACAGAATTCTCATCGTCATCTACACCTCATTCCACCATTCTTTCATATTTTACATATATGTTTATATAAATATAATTAAACAACTTTAATCAATCTTAATATTTATTTATTTATTTATTTCAAAAAAAAAAAAAACATTTCAATCAACAACAGCTAATTAGTAAATATTAATAATTATTTATTTATTTATTATTCCACTTCATCTTTCTTCTCCTTTATTCCTCTTCAAGACATGCTTTGGAGTTTCAAAAAATATTCTTTTCATTGTAATTTTTTTAGTTGACAACTTTGCAAACCAAAAAAAAAAAAGTATATAATTTCTAAACACCTTTGAAAAACTAAATTTTCTCTTTGATAATCTAAACCAATTATATTATTCTATCTACAATATTGTTGTTATTCATTTTACACCAATCTACAAACAATATATATATGTATATTTTTTTTCAATCTAATCTGTTTATATCTTTCAATCACCAAAATTCTTTTTCAAAAACTTTACATCAATCACAAACAATAGAGCAACCCATATCCATTTGTTCCAAGATACCTCAATCATCAAAATATATAATTGATTTCGAAAATTTGTATAATTTAATCAATGTTTTTAGACCATTAAAGTTGTTTTAGTTGATTGTTGTTTTCATTATTCTAAACAAATTAATTTGTGGTCATATTAAGTGACTGCTCCCTCAACCAATCTTTATCTTCGCAGCACCCATTTGTTTTTTTTTTCAGCCATGATTTTAAAACTTATTATCAAACAACAATTTATTAAATCACATCATTTTTCAATAAATGAAATCCCACACTTTTTAGCATCTTGTAATACATGAAAAAGTTTTTTGTCGGTTTTAAATGTGGGGCTGAGATTGTTTGAGGCAGCGGGTTTCAAAACAACAATTTATTTAAAAATTCAAAACAAAAATAGTGGGTGACTATATATAAACTTTATCTTTTATGTGTGATGTGTGTTTTGGGCTTTAGGAGGTAATAAATTGAACATGGTAAACACAAAATTAAAATTTAAAAAAAATATGTTTCTTAATTACAACAACAACTAACAACAGTGATTGTTAAGAAATGTCAATCAACAAATATACAAGTTTTTCTTTCCTAATCACTTATTACATAGCCCTTATATAATTTTAATTAACTGCCCAGTTGGGTACACACACACACACTTCATCCAAACACACCACACAAACCATCCATCAATCACACACTAAACACAACAACATATAAATTATAACACACACACACACACAACTTCAAAAAAATTTTTTTTAAACAATCTAAGCAATTTTTCAATTCGTTTAATAATAATAATTTAAAATATATTGGACCAACAACCTCACGGCTACTACCCAAAAAGCGTGTTTTGACAACCTTATCAAATGTAATTAATAATTCTCTATTTGGTAAAATCATTTTACTATTGTAGTATTATGAACTCAATAATTTCATTTTTTTTTTTTGTTTGTGATTTTAACAATAGTCTTTGGTGTGGGTGATGCTTTTATTACCTTTAATATCAATTTGCCAACAACTAAAATAACTATCACCAACATCATCCAACAAACAACTGACTTTGTTGGCTTTTTTTAGCTGTAAAACTTTTAAATATATGGATTTTAATTTTTTTAAATTCAACCAGTTAAGTTCATATTAAATTAGTTATATTATATTTTGTTATCTTATCTGTCAATCATCAATATATAAGTAATTACCGTTTTTATTGTAGAACTATTATTATTCTATTTTCCATTAAAATCATCAAACAATATTAATAATAACTAACCAACTTTGCTTTCACCCAATTACAACAACTAGCAGTAACATCAAACAAACAACACAAATAAAACCAATAACAATAATAGCTCATTAGTATATTAGCCATAGTCATATAGTAAATATAAATCAAACTCTATCTATTACTCACTAGTATAGGTGTGAGCCACAAGATAGATCTCTTAATTTCACCTGTTCAGGTGTCCTGAAAAAGGTAATTGGAATCATCATTGAATTTGAGCGTTATTATCTTTTTACCACCATCCATTCATTGTTTACACACAACACAATCCATCAAATTGACACAAAAACAACAACAATCAAAATTAATTTGCCACAGTCCAACCAACCTAACTTTTTTTTTTTTTTCCAATTCCTTTTTTTATATTTTTAAAATATCCATCAATCATATTCATTCGTGTAAATTTCAGTCACGCGATCGAGTGAAAAAGGAGTGAGAAATGTCCAAAGAGTTTGACGATCTCAGTATTAATAATGGTTTAATTAATTATTGGTTATTCTTATATTAGCTCCATAAACACCCAAATTCATTATCACAGCTCAAAACCCCTTTTTATCTTTTAACAACAACAGCAACAACAACAACAAACACTCAAAAACCTTTTTAATTGATTAATGGAATCAGTGAGAATCGTTTTAGATGCAAATATTTATATAGAAGTTATACATATTGTTTTGGTGTCCTGTTTATGCAATAACAACAACATTAAAATCCATATGAGCTTTCACTAAAAATAAATATTGATCAATGTTTGTGTGTTGGGAGTTTGTTAATGTGTTTTTAAAAATGTCTTTTCAATGACAAAATAAAAATAAATCAGTGTGATTGATCAAACACCCACAATCAATTAAATTTAAACACACAATATATCTCACCCCCACTTAAACACACCCACACTTGTTTATCTCAACAATCCACACCATAAATTCATTTTTCTCGACATCAAGAGTGGCTACTCCACTGTCACACGATAATATGATTAATTGATTGAAATATTGATCATCTTAGCTTACTCCTATTATCTATCAATCTAAAATTGTACGAAATGGAGCAACAAACAAACAAACACTCAACAAAAAAAAAAACAACAAAAATCAAACATACTAGTATCATAACTTTAAAACATTTATATAGTTGAACTGAAAAACCCAAGTGTTTCCAAAATAGTTGCTCCATCCAACGCCTTCACGACATCCACACTATTTTGAATTTATATAATTATAATTGATTTATTTATTATAATCAACAAAATACTTTATTGTTAATATTATTGTGTATTAAAAACAATTTATTTTATTAATTTTTGTAGTTGAGGTAATTTGATTGGAAGTTGACCAATTGATTTATCAAATTAAGGATTCTTGTTCGATCAAATTTATCTTCTATGATAAAAACATTCACATATCACCATACTTTTCTTTAATTGTATTAATTAACTTCCAGTAATTTTTCCACCATCTTTAAAAGATATATTATCTTTATTTTAATTGTATTTTTATATTTATTTATTTATTTGTTTGTTTATTCATCGTCGTCGTCGTCGTGGCACACCACAATAACCAATAACATTCTTTTTAAACACCCACCCAGCCGCTGTATTATTATATATTTATAAATTTATTTATTTATTAGTTCATTCTGTATTCTAGATCTACCTTTTAATCTAACACTCCACAAATCAAAACAAACACTATCAGTTTCCATATTTGTATTTTAATCTATAATACCTTCAAAACACCTATTTGTTCAATTATCACGTTTATTAAAAAAACGACAACTATAAAACAAGATAATTCATTCTCATTTTCATTTAAAACTCAATTGCAATCAACAATCAAACCAATCCACAATAGTAGTATTAGTTTTCATAAGCTCTATAGTTTTTTTTTTTTTATGTCTTGACATTAATAGTAAATTATTAAATTATTAATAATAGTAATCCTAATCAACCAACCAATTTTTTTTTTTCTAATAGAAATTTAGAAATAATCCATCATCAGTCAATCCAAGCTAATAAGTGGTAGACAACCTCCCTATCTTTATATAGTTTTACATTCTACTATTATTTAATAGTAGCCTTCTTCCTTTTTTTTTTTTTATTTTCTCAAAATTTCCACCACCAATTTTTTTCCAATCAAAATCATACTTTATATATTTATTTATCTAACTAAGATTAACTATAACCACTAAACTAAACCTCCTTTTCATTTGGAGGAAGATCTTAACACTTTTTTTTCCTCTGCAAATATTTTACACAACCTCTATATATTTTTGTATATATCGTCGACAAGCAACAACACAATCTTATTTTTTTTTGAGGAGAAAAAAAAATATATTATTATCTTATTTATATAGCTTGTAGACCTTCCTTTTAAATCCGATTATTCACCCTCCAATATCCGACAATATACATACACTTTTAATTGAAATATAAAAACACACTTTTATTTTTCAATCCAAGTTGAGAGGTATCAACTTTTTAACAAACACACACCCCTATACTCTTTATATATAACAACTAAAAAAAAAACATTTTTTTATTTATAAGGTAAGTTTAATTATTTTTATTAGTTTTATCAGTACCAACAGATCAAACAAACAACAAGCAAAGAAACTAACAATAATCTTTTTTTTTTTTTTAATTTTTTTTTTAATCAATTATAGCAATATAACTTTAACTTTCTTTGCCTAAATAAGCCTTACCACAACACACACCCAACACACCACACATCAAAAAATATTCATTTACTGCCAAATTAATTTTTAAATTAAATTAAACGAACTTTGATAAAAATGGATATTGGTTTACTTTTAAACTCTGGAAATTCAAATTCCGCTTCCAGTACCAGTTCATCAGCTGTCAATACTCAGAGTTCATTTGATTTGGATCATTCTCTAAAGTCTGCAGAGTCACATTCATCCTCTTCATCATCGTCCTCCAACAATAACAACAATAACAACAATAATAATAATAACATTCATAATCACACTGCATCACAAGCCAATTCCGGTCTAATGGCATCATCTTCTACCTCCAATACCAATTCCCCAAGTGGTCTACCACCTATCCATTTCAGTCCACAACTCCCCAACGGAGGTTCTGCATATCAACATCAACAACAACAACTTCTTCTTTTCCAATTGCAACAACAACAACAACAACAACAACAACAACAACAACAACAACAACAACAAATGTTAAACAAAATTCAATCTTCTCCATCACCATCACAACCTTCATATAAACAACAACAACAACAACAACAATCAAATCAAACAACAACAAGTTATTTTGTACCAAATGGATATCCTTCACCATCGCATGCCAGTCGTTCTCCACCAACTCAGGAAACATCGTATCTAGCCAAGAGAGAGGGTTGTGAGTCACCTGTGCAATCGAACTTATCGCCATCGATCAACTCTTCAAAGCAATTCATATTCTCACAATATCAACCATCTCCCAATGTATCTGCCAACACCACTCCTAAACTCGCAAACTCTAACAATCCAAATCCAAATCTCAGTATCAATAACAACGCAATGTCCACCTCGAACAATTCTATTCCCTTAAACAACACAAAGATCACTGTAATCCCACCACTTCAATTGTCACAACCGTCACTGACATCGTCTGCTTCCGTTTCACTACCACATTCACCACCCAACTCTGGCAAGGTGTCACCACAACTTACCAACTCGTCCAACTCACTGCCAAACACTGGCAGAAGCTTAAACACCAGTGGATCGTCCAACCTCAGACTCTCAACCAACAGCACACACGACTTGTCATCTCCTCCACTCAGTCCAAACGAACACAACAACAGCGGCAAAGAGTTCCACACCGGTTCTAGATCGCCATCGTCGGGCGGTGAAAAAGAAAAGAAGCGTCGTACCCGTTTAAAGAAAGAGCAATCGTCCACTCTAAAATCGTTCTTTGAAAAAGACAACTATCCCAACAAAGAGGAAAAGGAGAAGCTTGCTTCCATGCTCGGAATGAACTACACTGCCGTCACCACATGGTTCTCCAACAAGCGCCAAGAGAAGCGTAGAAAGGTAGCCGACGGAACCGGTGGAAGACGCGTCCTAGTCGAAGATCGTAACGGTAACTCAATGATAAAGTCAGAGTCTGATAATCTTCATATCGACGATGACGAAGATGATGAAGAACAACATAATCATCATCAACATCAACAACAACCATCATCGCGACACGGTAGTCATACACCAACTTCCTCATCGTCACATACCAGTCTAACGCCAATTATCTCTGGTATTGCAATCAACCATCATCGTCCGGCGATGGAATCAATATTGTTGAGTCAATCATCACCATTGCTCTCCCCACACAGCGCCAGTAGCACACCACCCGTAAGTGGACGCCAACCCTACCACAGTAACAACGAAGCATCAGCCATCAATAGCCTTTCAATACTCTCTCAAGTTGCCAAGGGTGACATTGATGGACTGAATAACAGACCAACCTCTCCATTCTCATTGAACTCGCCACTCTCCAACCTTGCCAATCATCATTCCTCACCTATTTCATCGCCACGCTCACCACTTTCAACTCATTCCTATTCTGCCAACAACAACAACAACAACAAATCAAATAACATGATTAGCAACAATAATAACAACATCAATAACAATAATATGATATCAGATTCAGATGATGATTACTTTGATTCAGATGAAATGATTGAATATCTTTCCGGTGAATCCGATTTTGAAGATAATGAATTCGAAGATTCGAAAAAGAGAAGTGGTGGTATCAACAAGTCATCACTGCTGGAAGTTGCATCGAGAAAGCACCGTCAACATTCTAAGAAGTCATCTTCATCCAGAGGACACCACTCCAGAAGCAACAGTAATAGCAATGGTAGCGGTAGTCACAACCTAAACAGTCCGAATCTTGCATCAAAAAGAAAGGCAGACCTCTCGGACATCACAGACAATGCAATCGAAAGTTTATTATCAGTAACAACATCACCAACATCCTCCTCCTCATCAAACTACTCTTCTTCCTCCTCTTCTTCTTCCATCAACAACTTTGTATTACAACAAGCTGCGGCAACACTAAGTTCTGGTATGATGTCAGAATCTGAATTCTTGTCAAACGAAGTCAACAAACTAAAAAAGAAATTCCAATAATCAACTGACCAACTAATAATAATAATAACAAACAACAAAAGTTATTAACTAGAAAGATGACAAAACTATATAGATAATCAAACTTTAAAAATACTTGAAAAGGAATTTAAAGTTTGTTTTTTTTTTTCAATTCTTTCCAAAATCAAACAACTTGGAATTAAAATCACAAATTTGTATAATATAATAAATTATAACTTTTAATATTTATTCAAAAATTATTTATTATGATACGACCACTTTGCTTTTGATTTGATAACTGACATCATCAACATGTGCACTCTCAACAATTTTTTGTTTTTTTTTATAAATTGTTGATCAGTCGACTAAATTTGGTGTGAACTACTTTTTACCATTTTTTTTATGAAATACATATGTCTAGAGTTAAAGATTTATTACAAGTATTGAGTGGAGGAAAAAATGTATTGTCATCGATGATCAATAATAGTCATAGACCACCAACTTATATACCACGTTCATATCCAACCAATACAGATCATACTCAAAAAATAGAGTCATCAACAAAATCAAAACTTATAAATGATTTTGATATTGATGTTATAATTAAACAACAAAAACAACAGCAACTAGAGCAACAACAACAACAACAACAACAAATAAATAATGAACATCATCAGTTCTTGGATTTAAAGAATCCTGAAATCAAATATTTAGAGAATGAAGGAAAATCATTACCTTCAAGTCAATCAACAAGATTCTGGCATTTCACAAGTATATTTTATTAATTACAAAGCACTTAATGGACTTATCTTTATTTATCATTTTTAAACAAATCATTATTTAATGTTTATAGAGTTGGCAGTTGGAATGGGTGCAGGATTGGTCAGTGAATTTACAAAAAGAAAGGTTAGTGGTGATGAAAGTAGTACTCATCCTTTGTTTAGTGATTCAAATGCAAGCAGATTAGCAGAAACATTCTCGAGAATGAGAGGAACTGCTTTAAAGATTGGTCAAGTCTTATCAATTCAAGACGATTCAGTATTACCACCCAATTTTGTAAAACTATTAGAAAATGTTAGAAAGAATGCTAATCCAATGCCAATCAATCAATTACATGTAATTATCATACTTTCACAAAATTTATGATTATTTTTAGATCTATCAGTCTTACTTACTTAATTGCAATACAATAATCAATAAATAGGAAACATTAGAAAAAGAATTGGGCAAAGAATGGAGAACGTTGTTTAGAGAGTTTGAAGAGAAACCGATTGCTGCTGCTTCAATTGGTCAGGTACATCGTGCAGTAACTCTTGATGGTGTAAAGGTAGCTGTTAAGGTTCAGTATCCAGGTGTTTCAGATAGTATCACGAGTGATATCAATACGCTGATGTCAATGTTGAAATTGGTTGCACCAGACACAGCATATCTCGAGAGTTCATTGGGATCGGCACGTGATGAACTAATGAAAGAAACCGACTATCTTAACGAAGCTGACAATCAAATGAAGATGAAACATCTCATTGAAAGCAGTTCGAGTTCACATTTGAAACATTTCTACGTGCCATCAATCATAACCAATCTGACAACCAAACGAATACTTACAAGTGAATTTGTAGAGGGAGTATCGATAGATCAAATCAACACAGAACAACACAATCAGAAGACAAGAGATTGGGTATCAAAGAACATCTTGTCACTATGTCTGGCAGAGTTGTTTGAATTTTCATACATGCAAGTCGATCCCAATTGGTCCAATTTCATTTTAGATTTCGAAAACAAACGAGTAAGTCAATTGCTACAGGTTATTATAATAAAGATATCTATTAACAAACATATATATCTAGATTAATTTATTAGATTTTGGTGCATGTAGAAGTTATGGTAATCCTTTTATTTATAATTATTTCAAGTGTATAGAAGGTGGAGTCGAAGCAGACAAAGAAAAGATTTTAGACTATTCGTTCAAAGTTGGATATTTCACTGGTCATGAAAATGTTATGATGAAAGATGCACAGGCCAAAGCAGTTACAATTTTAGCAGAACCATTTGCAGCCAAGGAATCCTATAACTTTTTGGAGAAACAGATTTCCGCTCGTATCACTGAATTGATTCCCATTATGTTGAAGAACCGTTTGAAACCACCACCCGAAGAAACTTATTCTCTCCACAGAAAACTAAGTGGTTGTTTCTTAATTTGTTCAAAACTACAAGCCAATATCGAATGTCATTCAGTTTGGAAACATTATCAACAATTATTCCTTGAAAAGAATAAAGATTTTAAACCATAAACTAATAATAATTTAAAGTTTTAAAACACATTAAATATTTTAGATAAATGATATATTAAATATATATTATATTATTTTATTATCTTTTAATTATATATTATTATTATTATTATTATTATTGTACATAACTTTGAGATCTTTCAGATTTCATAGTATTAAATATAAGTTCAAGTTTTTCCTGTAATGCAGCCATTTCAGGTGGTCTGAGTTGACCGTGAAGCTTCAAAGCCTGCTCCAATACGATCAACTGTTGATCCATAGCCACTTTGAGGTAGTCGACAAAGTGTTTGTTATCCGGATGTTGTTGTAGATACTGGTTGGTTAAAAAGTGTTCGTAACGAGCGATTCCTCCGTTGACAGAGGCATCGATAATACCGTTGAGGGTCATTGTGAGTGGGTTGATGTTGTCTGGTTGGCCGTTGGTAGGTGGTTGTGAATACTTGTCGATACGTGCCAACAGCTCTTCGTTCTTTTGTACAACACTGTTGAGTGCATTTTCGATGGGAGATACCTCGTACTGGTGTCTGTCAATGACTCGCGAACGACGCTCGGTGCTTGGGAAGTGTGTCTCGCACACCAAATAGATGTTCATGAGCCAGAGATTCTCAAATTCATTGTCGCTGCTCGATTTGGTGTGACCTGGCTTACGGAACGGTTTGGAGTAGAGGAATACATTTACTCGGTTTCTGGCGTTGAGTTGTTGCACACGCAGTGGTACACGTTTCTTGTTGGAGGTGGATGATCCGTAGTTATCGATCATATTGAGACTGTGTCTCTTGTGAATCTCATTCATACTGGAGACATTGACCGTAGTAATCAAAAGGTACTGAGCATCAGAGTCCATAATCGATTGGCTTGGTGTTTCTGTACTCTTGAGCAACTCTGCCTTTGGCCACTTCTCACAGGTCTTAGCAATAAAGTCAGAGAGTCTTTCGAATTCATTACCCTTGTAGATGAACTCTTTGTTTTGAAGATTACTTGGGAATTTCTTACCATAATAACCAACTCTAAAGTATTCTTCGAAAACTGCATCGGAATCATTTAATTTCTGAACAAATGTACTATGTTGTCGCTGTACAGAGAGAGATCAAAATTTTGTTAATATGAGTTTTCAATTTGTTAGATATCTAATAATTTCATGACTTACTAAATAAGTTGCGCAGGATGCCATATCACAAATGTTCACACTGACATGATGAGTAAGTTCTTTGAGTAATGGAATCGCTCTATCCCATGCTTTTCCTTTGTTGTAACAAGCCAAAATCTCTTTGTATAGAATTTCCTTACGTTCCGATTCCTTTTGAACTGGGAACGATCCGTAGTCACAGTTGATAGAGTTCACCAGTTTGTTGTGATCCCACTGGTAGAGCGATGCATGCATCATCACACACACCGCAGCCTCAATAAAGTTACCGTTGGCATGGTGACGCTTATTACACATCTGAAGGAATCGGATGTAGTGATTGGTACGTTTGTGCTCTTGGAAGTAGAGAATCAATTTGCTGACTGATGAGAATATCTCTTCTTCGTCCATATTCTTGACATCGGTGATAAAGGTGGTGAGCAACAACACGAAATGAGAGATGTCGTGGATGAATTGCTCGGCTTGTTTCTTGACAGAGTCGATCGATTTGCTCAACACCAACTGCATACACTGGTTGTTGAAAAAAGTGGCAAAAGTACGTTGGGTGAACGGTAGTTTGGCATCGACACCTCGGCTGACAACTGGCCATGTCATTCCATCGCTAATCGATGTTCCGCACTCCAGAAGTGAATCTACTGTGCGTGTCATCAACTCACTGTAGGCACCGGTCAAGGAGATCTCACCCTCCAACATGTCGTAAAAGATCTTTGTCGCGACACGCTTGGCATCGATAGTGTCGCTAATCAACAGCTTAATGATTGGGTCGATCAGCACCGGGATAAAAGAGGCACGCTCCTTCAGAGGAACCGTTCCCCAGACACGTTCAAAGACACGCGCCATCTCAATACGTACATCTCCACAACGAGATTTCAAGAACACAGCTTTGGCGGGATTCACCGATTCAAACTGGAGATCCTTACAATTCAAGTAGGAACTGGTCATCAGGAAGAACGATCTCCACAACTGGAAGTCGAATTGATTCAGAGTCTTGGAGTTGATCGAGCCGGATGGTGGACTGCCGTTGGAGTCGGCAGAGTTGGCACCTGTGGTCAGCTTGGTTGGATTGACATAGAATGTTACATCCTCGAGAATTCTGGTCATTCTCAAAATGGTTTTCAATTTGAACACTGTGAATGTCCAGAAATCGCTTGGGAATTTCGGTGTATCAAAGAGATGTGCCAAATTGTCGTAGAGATCGACAAAGAAGGTTTTCGATGTCACCGATTTGCTAAACATCTCCCAATTCTGAATGCCAGCCAGTCTGGCAGTACCCAAAATGAATGCGTAGATCTTTAGACGCAAGTCATATTGATTCTCCTCGCTGAGCGACGATATCATGGTGGCGAGTGATACCGATGCCGTTGCGCCGTTGAGCGACACCGAACTGGAACTACGACGTTTGTTCATATTGTATCCGAATCCAAGTGAAACGTTGGCGGCTGACATCGAAGCGATGTTGGCATTGATCAACTGTAGCAACTCGAGTATCTGAACAAAGAAAGACATCATATCCATCAGCCATGCATCCTTGTCCTTTCCACGCAACTCCTGTTTGGTAATCATCATATCCAGTATCAAGCCGAGAATAGTCAGACACATATCGGTCTCTTCAATCGATTTGCCAAAGTGGAATTGTAGCAGCTGGAATACGATCGGGTGCAGTTGTTTACGTGTCTCCTTGTTGAGCATCAACTCTCCGTGCAAGTAGGAAGAGAGTAACTTTAGCTTTAGCATATTAAAGGTCTTGTTCTTCTCGAGATGCTGAATGGATTTGATGAATTTCAGGGCAATGATACCCATTTCCTCAACGGTGAAGAACTTTTTCAAGTCGGAAAACATTCCTTCGAAATTCTTCAGGGCAATCGTTTGTGCACCGATCAACGAGGGCGAGTTGGAAATCATAATCTCACAGAGTGTATCGACTACATTCTTCAAGTTGTTCTGATAGTTCTCGTTGGCTGCGACGACATCCACTTTATTTGGGAAACGGGTACGTGATGCTACCACCATCTTAAAGATATACTCGAGTGCCTTGAGTGAAGAACTGATTTTCGATGCATTCGAAGGATCTTGGAAGTTCTCGAGATTCTTTACGACGGAACGCAACAGATGTGAGTGTGCAGAGATACCGACTGCTGGCATCGCTACGTTCAGTGGCACACCAAAGAACTTGGAGATGTAGACATCGAGAGCGGGACGATAGTTGGTAGTTCTGCTGTCGACGAGCACACCAATGATAAAGATAAACGATCGGAATATCTCCATCGACAATGGCGAGTCGTTCAACTGCTGATCGAGAATCGCCAAAAAGTTGTAGAAAATCTCTTGGAGATTACGTATCAACTCTTGTTGTCCGAGGAACGTTATGTCTTTGATGAGCGAGCTAAGATCGCCTTGGAACGATTGCCACTTGGAGAGGTTCACTACCAAGTGATTCTGAGTGAGACACGTCGATACAAACGTTGTTTTAATCTTGAGTTGATCGTACTTCTTGGACGATGATTTTCCACCGGCACTGGTGTCGACCACTCCGTTGATGTACGATGAGATTGCCACGTCGTCGCTGTTGGTACGATACAAATTGATTGTGTGACTACCGTCTTTGATAACGGAACCGTCGTCACCGATGAATCTGAGATAACCGAATGCAAGAGTTTGACGCTCACGATCTTTCTTCTCGGAGCAAGCACGCACCAAGAAGAAGAGATGCGCCGACGAGAATGTCTTGGCTGCCATCCAAACTTTGACAGTTTCATTGAACCGACAGGTACTGCTTGTAGATTGAATGCTAGTGCGATACTCTGAGAGTTCAGGCTGTCCATTTGCATACTTTATAGAGTCGGTCATTACCACACCGTTGTCGGAACGCACCAGCATTGCAACCTCGATGTTCTTCTCAGAGAACTCACCCTCCTCGATCTGAATGTACATATCGTTACGGTCGTAGCCAGGCACGATAACCTCTGGCAGCTGCATCTTCAACGATGTCGAAACATTACGAAGATCGGCATTCTCACTGAGAAACTGCGTGTATTCACCGTGGAACGGTTGAATAGTACAGACAATACCTTTGGCACGAGTGATCGGTTCATAACTACCGCTGGTTTCGTTGATGATGTGTTCGTGCAGTTGTGACGAGGTCGATTCATTGGGAGTGGTGAATAGCGAGATCAATATCTCTGAGGAGATGTCGGTGTTGAAATCAATCTTTTTGACACCGCAACCAATGTATTTCTTGAATTGTTTGGAGGTGGTTGGCGAGTTGAGGAACGACGAACTGTTCATGGTGGAAGAGGTCGGAACCATCGATGCATTGGAACGCGTTAGAGTGGGCGATGAGTTTGGATCCTTCGATGAGATGCTTCCGGTTCTCCTATAGATTTTGGCAACCAAATACAGCTCGGATTGAACGTCTTTCGACTCCAAATCCTTAAAGATCGTTCTGATCTTTTCGTTTGGATTCTCTGGCTCTACAAATATTCCACTGGGAGGGACGATTCCACAGTAGTTCTCAGTGATAAACTTGTTTTCATTCTTGCTGTAGATGCTGATGATCAGCTCCAAGTACTCGCCAGACGAATACAAAAAGTTATTGAGTGAAAACAGCAGTTGTGAATAGGATTTCGATGAGTATTCCAGTGATGCAGACGAGAGTGACGACGATGAAGATGATGATCCATTTTGAAGGAAGGAACCACCGCTTCTCGGTGTTTTCGCGAGGAGATTGGTGGACGACGACAGATGTGATTTCAAAAGTGAGGTTGGTGTGTTTCTACGTGCGGTTCCATTGGTGAGAAGCGGAGAATTCAAGTTGAGTGATGATACTTGCGGACTGCCATTCGAGGGTGACGACGCCAGTGAAGAAGGACTAGAAGATGTTACAGAAATAAATGAATTGGCCAGCGATGATGTCGACCCCGATGGTGAAGACGACATCTGTTGACCGTTTGGCATCAAGTTGGAAGACGATTGCTGTGATGACAATGGCGGCATTCCACCGCTGCTGCCCAGCGACGATGCTACCGACTGTGACTTTCCCTTCAAACGCACACTACTCAGGAAATTCATTGGTTTAGACTTGACAGTACCAGAGGAATTTGAAGAAGATGCGCTACTGCTATTGTTATTATTATTTGACATTGCCGATGCAGAAGATAAAGAAAGTGAAGATAGTGATGCCTGTGAAGAAATTGGTTGTTGCTGTTGCTGTTGTTGTTGTTGTAATTGTTGTGAAATCGAATTGGGCGATGCATTGATGGCAAGATTACTACTGCTTCCACTACTGCTGATGCCGCTGCTACCGCTGCTACTTACACTACTGTTACTGCCGCTGCTGCTATTGCTACTGAGTGACAGTGAGAGCGAAGAATGTGAAGATTGTAAAACTGGATGTTCCTGTTGTAGTTGTTGTTGTTGTTGTTGTTGTTTTTGAAATCCTGTCGATCCATTTAATAAACTAATACTGGTACCACTGGTACTTGGTGAAATAGAATTGGGAGATGCATGGTTCGAACCATTAAGTCCACCATTATTGATCTGTGCCATCGAGGCTAAATTTAGTGATGAATCATCTTTTCTCGCACTATCCAATGTTTTTAATGACATTATTTCATTGTTTAATAATAATTTCTTTTCTTGATACTGTGTTTATGTAATAATTATTAATAAACATTATATAATATTTGTGTGAGTGTGTGTAATTAATATTTCATGAATACAAACCATTGTACAAAGTGTAAAAACACCGGAATTTTCAGCATCAGCTAAAATCAAATCAGTTGCAGCCATTGCTATTTGGGAGTTTCTTGGATTTGAAGTGGCAACAGAATATTGATTTTGAACTTCCTTTCTAAGTACTATTGTCATACCTGTTTCCTGTCTGCCTTCATCGATTGAATTTAATATTTTATCTCTTAATTCAAATGTTAATTCCTACATATAGTAATCAAATGTAATGTTAGTGTTAACAAATTGTTTAATATTTACAAATAAAACTAACTGCAAAGTTCAAAACTTACTTTTTGAGATGGTAAATTTAATAGTTGATTTCTAAATTGAACCAATTGTGTTATTTTTGTTGTCAACACTTTGAAATCATTGTATTGTTTGTTTTGTGAGAATATCTTTAATAGAGTTGCCCATTCAACAATTGTACTCGTAATTTCATTTAGTAATGCACAATTATTTAATGATTGATTTGTAATATTTCTATAGGAATATAATTATTATAAGTGGAAATTAATAAATGAAAATAGTGAAACACAAGAAACAAAAACAACTTACAATCTCGATGATATTGGTACATGATGTGGCATTGTGATATCATTGATATTCTCCGGTAGTAATACAACATAGGATTGTGGAAAGATACCACTCTCTTGGGTGGTCAGTGAGACACCACTGAACCAACCTTGTTCAGAGTCACCCGATGTCTGTGCGTGAATCTGTACGAGATCACCCACCGAGAGCGGCAGTTGGAATTTATGCGATGCATTGAAAGGAAACATAACGATACATGTCTTGTTGATCTCAATCCATTCACCTCCACCGCCACCACCATTTGTCGTAGTGGTGGTTGCTCCTCTATTGATATTACCAACTGATGCTGTTGTTGACGCTGTAGTTGCCATAATATTAACTATTATATTTTTATTATTTATCTATCTATCACAATATTCTATTCTATCTATATTCTATCTTATCTACTTTTGTTCTTCTTTATCAAAAAATCAAATCAAATTCTAATCTATTATTAATTTTACTAGTAATACAATTTTAGCTAAATTGAATTGAAATTGATTTTTATATTGTTGTTTGTTTTTTTTAAACTAAACTAAACTAAACTACAGTGATAATAACTAACTAACTTCTAGAAATAAACTATACTAAATTTATTTTTTTTGTTAAAAAAAAAATGAGTTATTATTAGTCTATCTATTTTTTTGTTTGTGATTGTTTTTTTTTTTTTTTTTTTTTGAGTTTGGTAGTATTTTATGGATAATTGGTGATGGTTACAAAAGTAGATGGGAAAAGAAAAGAAAGAAAAAGAATGTAAAGAACAAAAGAGTGAGGGGAGAGAGACAAAGAGTGAGTGATAAAGAATATAATTAAAACAAAACAAAACAAAACAATACCAAACAAAAACAAATTATAAATTATAAATTAAACAACAAATTATATAATTTATTGTTATTAATGAGAATGATGTGTTTGTTGGTATTGTTGTTTGATTTAATTAAAGATAGATAGGATTGTTTGGTAGGTAAAGTAAGCTTGTCAGGATAACAAATCAAATCAAAATTTAAAAAAATAAAAATAAAAAACAAATAAAATTGCAAAAATTATACAAACATAAAAATAAAATTGAGATATATATTAATTACTGTTGTTTTGTCTTGTTTGATTGTTATTATTATTATTGTTGTAGTAGTGTTAATATTATTAACATATTTTAATTGTTTTAATTTTTATTTTATTTTATTTGATTTGTGATTTGATTATAAAAAAAATCAAATAAATATGAAAGTTTTAGTAGTATAAGTTAAGATAATCAGGGTATTATTGAAAATAAAAACATCAAAAAAAAAAAGATTGATTATTAATAGTTATTTTTTTGATGTGTGTGGTGTGTGATTAAGTGGTGGTGTGTTAGTGTGTGCTATTTATGTATTGTTAGATTGTGTGGTGTGTGATGTGTGATTTGTTTGATTGTTTGTGTAGATTGATGATTGATTGTATTGTTGATCTAATTCAACAGGGTAACAATATATATATTGGTTAGGGGTTTTTTCAGATATATGTACATAAATATATATTATATGTTTGCATTGTATAAAATAATCATCATATGATTGGACAATATAAAAAACAATATACATAAGATATGTTATAAATATACCATATAGGTATATATGATTGATTGACTGACTGATTGATTGATTGATTAATTTGATTGTTCTATGTGTTTGTGTGTTTGTTTGAGTGTGCGATGTTAATTGTCAGCCAACCCAAACAAATAAACAATGTTAACTGTGTCTGCCTTGCCTTTTGACATGACATAACATATCCGAAATCAAATTAATAAAGTTGGATACTGAACGAACATTAAAATAAGTACTACAATAATATCAACCTGGCATGTCCTGTCTATATTATTTATCATCAAATCAAACAAACACACAACAACAATAACAACAACAACAACAATAACAAGTGAAACAGAACAAAGTGTTTGTTTGGATTGGTTTGGATTGTTGTTTGTTGATCATTTTTCTAGAGTAGTGAGTAGGATATAGTATTATTGTTAATTGATTCATTCATTCATTCATAATTAACATTCTGTGTGTGTTGTGTGTCAGTGTCTGTTGTTTATGTGTTGAGTGAGATGAGGTGATTTGAATTGAATTGAGTTGAGTTGGATTGGATTTTATGATTTCCAAGGTTGGAAATTCATCATTAACAAAATAAACTAAGCAATATAGAGAATATTGATATCTAAACACCTGATCAATATTGGCAACAATATTCTTATTGATATTTTTGAATCAGAAGATACTGGTGGAGGGGTTGTTGTTGTGTTGGAAAATTAAAATAAAATTATTGTTGTCGTCGTCGACAATCTTACTAATTTAACTAAATAACTCTAATGAGATCAAGAATGATAGACAGACAATTAAAAATTTAGTTGTTATTATTGTTATTGTGTCTGCTGCTACTATACTACTTTACTACTTAATAATTATTATTGTTGTTATGATTTATTGATGATGGTTGTAAAATATTCCAATATAATTTAAATTAACTTCCAATTAAAAATTGGAATTCCAAATGATAAAATAGAACAAGAATACCAACTTTATAATAATAATAATAATAACAACAATTAATTATAACAACAATAAAAAAACAAAAAGTAATTAATTAAACTGATTACTGATTGATTATGTTTTCTCCAACTAGTTACAATTATTATTCTTTATGAGTTCTAACTAACTTTACTACTAATAACTAATTTAATTTATATGTTTAAAAGTTGAAAAGACACTTGCGAATTGCTTTGCTTTGCTTTAATCCGTAATAACAACAACAATAATAACAAAAGCAATACAATACTACAATAAATAAATTTTATAAAACAAAGATGATGTTCATTTTTGGTTGGATCGATTTACATACATAAACAAATTGCTATTGCTAATTATAATTATAAATTTATTTTACAACTGGAAATAATAATAATAATAATGGTAAAATTGAAAAATGGAACGAAATGAAAAGGAATATTATTTAAATTTTAAGTTGTTCTGAACAAATAAATAATATCATCAATCAATCAGACAATAATCTTTTGGAAATTTAAAACAGATAAACAAATGATATGTGGTATCTATTTAGTTGTGCTATTTTGATTGACTTCAATGTTCCCAATCCATTTCTTACGAATATGATGTGTAACGAATTATTAGGTTGGTAATTACAAGTTTGTTTTTGTTTGTTTGTTCGTTAGTGCATGTTTATAAATGTGTGTGTGTGTGTATGTGTTTTTTTATCTGTATGTGGTATTTTCAAACGAATGTTCAAATTTGATTTAAAAGTTGAATCATTCTATATCTGTTGTGGGGAGTGAACAACAACAACAACAATATATTGTCTATTTTGTAATTTATGAATATACACATATATATGGTCTTGTCATCATTGTTATTTTTGTTGTTGATGATGTTTGTATTGCTGAAGCTAAAAAAGTAGTAGTTTCTGTTCTTCAAGTGTTTTTGTGTTATGTTCTAAACTTCAGAAAAAGGAATGTCTAAAGTAAAATATTTTGCTGTATTTCTGTTTATATTACAATCGATCAGTCACCAACCAATCAACCAACTAAACAACCAATCAGTCAATCTTGATTGAATTTTTTACACCTGCTTTTTGTTTATGATAAACTACTATTTAACAGTGACTGTCTACTCTTCTCCTCTCTAGAGGTAGTATAGTTTCTTACGAATGAATGATTGAATGAAAAAGACAAAGAACTGCCAACTACATCAATCACAAAAATAAAGATTAGAGTGAAGGGAAAGAAAAAGAAGAAGCTCAGAAAAGAGAGAAACGACGAAGAAGAGGAAGAAGTTGTGAAATGAATTCATCAAACTAACTAATACTTACGACTTTACTTTACTTTAATTCCTTTTCTGTTCTGTTCTGTTTTGTTTTGTTTTGTTTCGTTATTTATCACTATTCAATCTTAATCTTGATCTTTAAAAAAAAAAAAAATAATAATATTTTTATTAATTTAATAATACAAAAAAATATAACAATAAATAAATAAATAAATAATATATATGAAACTAAAACTAAAAATAATTATTATTTATATTTTATAACAATGAAAAAGATAGATCTATCTATGCTTTTGATGTTGTTACTTTTGTTTTTTTTTTTGTTCTGTGTGGTGAGTGAATGAGTGTTGGGTTGGACTCACTTTTAAGTGGGTTTGGTTTTTTGGAATGAATGAATGAATGTGTTATTGGGTATTGTTATAATCAAGCAATTAGAAGACCAAAACAATTTTATTTCTTTTTAGTAAAAGTGTTGGGGAGAAAGGTTTTTGGGTTTTTTTTTTTTTTTTGTCAACTTTTTTGAAAAAACATGAAAACAAGAAATTAGATTATCTTGATTTGATTTTAAATAAATACCTTTTTTCACTTTCTCGAGGAAAGAAAATCTAATTAATATTCAAAAATAATACACAACTATATTAATAAAATAAATAATATATAATAAATAATATATTAAAAAAATAAGATTATCTTAAATCTTATTAAGTTTGAAAAAAAAAAATTGAAAAAAAAGATTTTGAATTAAAATTTGTGTTTTGTGAAAAAAATATCTTGTCATCTGAATCGATCAATCTAACGAACAAAAATTTAAATTATGACACCACAAAATTAAATAAAATAAAAATATTATTTTATAATAGGGTTTTTTCAAAATCTTTACAAAGATATCACAAAAAAACAGTGACCATATGTTTTGTAAAATCAATCTTTTGATTAAAGAGTAATTCGAATATGAATTGAAATATAAGTAGGAGATTTGTTTGTTCAAAAAAAAAAAAAAGAAAAGAATTTATGAACTGAACTATTCCTCCAAAATTTTGAAGTCCTCAGACTCTCTAAATTTTATTTAATAAATTTTTTTTTTTGATTTAAAAACTTTTTTTTTTTTTTTTTGACCTTTCGAAAATTCCTTTAAAATCTTTGAAAACCATTCATTTTCCCAGGGAAACATAAGGGGTTTAGATATTTTTATTTTTGTTTTTTATTTATTTAAATGTAATTAAGGTTTGTTGTTTATGAAGAAAATAAATAAAGAGGATTGGTCTTCAGAATGGTTTAAGAATAATCATTCTTAATAATTAATATACCTTACAAAAAAAACTACTTCAATCATTCAGCATTTCTATGTTTGCAAGATAATAAAAAAAACAAAAAAAGACCAAAAAAGTTAAAAGAAAAGTAAAAAAAAAACAAAAAAAAAAACAAAAAAAACAAAGCAAAAAACAAGCAATTTGCTGATAGGATCCTCCGCAATCATCAGAATCATTTGTTTTATCTTAAATTATTATTATTATTATTTTTTAAGGTTCATTATTTAGGATCAGTCATAAAAGGTTATTGTTTAGCTAACTAACAATATCCTATTTAAATTTTAATTGTTATTATTTATATTTTTTCTTATTTCTTTTCTTAGATATTTTTATATTTAATATTAAACAAAACAGAGTAACAAACAAATAAAACAAACCCATTACCCATTTTTCGAATCAAAAAAAAATCAATCACTCACCAACTTTCATTTCACTCCAGCTCACTCTCACTGCACCCCTATCTCCAAACATATTTGAAACCTCACATTAAAACTTGATCAATCAAGAATAAAATTAAAACAACAATTATAATTATTTATTACAAAATAATAATAATAGCATAATAATATCTTTTATTTTACAAAAGAGAAACAATTAGTTAGTTATTTATCTTATCTTTCTATATAGGTCTATATATTTTTATATATTTCTATCATTATCATTCATTCTTTTTTGATTGGTTTTTTTCTTTTTCTTTTTTTTAATTGTTTATTGTTGATTGATTTATCTCTTTCAAGTGTTTGGGTTTAGGCTTTTGTTTTATTGACAAAATAAAAGCATTAATCGCAATCTAGTTGAATAAGTTGGTACAATTTGAAAAACAAAAACAAAATAGCAGCAGCAAACATAGAGAGTTTCGATTCATTCTCAGACTACTCCTTTAGGGATAGCAATCACAACTTACATCACAGCTTACAACATTACAACAATAGCAATAACTTACAGCATAGCATGCCTCTTCAAGATGATTCCTATAGCGAGGGAGGATCGCTCATCTACTACTCTGAGCTGCCGCTAAGAGATCAGATTCAACGCGAGAAATATAAACATTGGGCAAGACGTATATTATTCTATCTACAACTAGCATATTTCATAACTGCAACAGTCATGTATGTTATTATTATTAGGATTGTTGAGCAACTTTGAAATTTGAAACAACTAACTTACCAAAATTAATTTATTTACCATCACTTCACTTCACTTCACTTCACTCTGACCGAATTCACTTCAATTCAACCTATAGGTTTCCATTTTTAATTACAAATCTTACATTTTGGTTTTGGTTAATTCATACACTTTGGTTCGAATTGGATATCACTTCGAATAAGAATAATATATGGATACAGATGTTGCATGCTCTCAGTTTTGTTGGTAGTTGGATTGTGATGATTACAGCCACCATTCTATTGGTTATTTTGAATCCAGACTTTATTAAATCGCGTGCAGAGAAGGAGCACCACTCTGTGGTGTTTGCTTGGTTGCTCAATGTTCTCATTCACTATATTCCACCTGTGCTGGTGACTGTCGATCTCTTCTTGCATCGCGAACACCACAGAAAGCGTCATCGTATCATTCTCTCGAAGCAGCGTAACACCACGCGTGTCTGGGTGAAAGACAGCATCAAAGTGATCTGGGCATACTGTGCACCGATGGCAGTCGTTGGCATTTGGTTGGGTGTCGGATTCACACCAGAGAATGTCTACGGTGTCACCAACTACAGCTACAGCTACCTAATACCTCTGATGGTCGTTACCGACCTAGTATTTGCCACACTCTTTGTCTATGTAGTTAAAAAGCGTCAACCCGATAGCTATGTAAAACTTAATAGTTAAATTAATGTTAATAATAATAATAATAGTAATAATAATAATTATATCTTTTTTTTTTTTTAATATATATAAATCAAGTATCGATCAAATCAAATCAAATCAATCACCAAACAATCCACCAAAAATAGAATTATCTTTGTTGTTTTTAATTAAAAAATAACAAATTATTCTTTTTTTTTTGTAAACAATCAAAACAATCAAATAAACAAATAAACAAACAAATAGCAAAAACAAATATTTGAATTGAATTCAATTTAATAAAAAAAAATTGTTTATTACTAAATTTCAAACAACAAGTGTTGTTGACCTGACACAGTTCTGGTTGGTGCTTTTTTTTTTTTGACATGCCCGATAATGGTTGAAAAATACTCCTTGGATTTGAACAAAAATTAGATTGGTATGTGGGTGGACAAGTAATCATTTTTTTCAAATCCAAAAGACATTAATTTTTTTGGGTAACTTGGATCATGTAACTCAAAATTAAAACACTTTTTGGATTTTTGATTAAAGAGTTAACTTGGAATTAAAATTCGTTAACTTACGGGTCATTATCGACCTCACAGAATCGAAACTAGGGTTGATAATGGAAATCCTTTAAAGGAGATACTAAAAATTGTTTGATTAACTTCACCAAAATTGAATATCAAACTTGAGATCGAGATCCTGTCCAACTTACAAGTTATAAAAGACCAAATTACAAAAATAATAGATATTTGAAGAAAAATTGTAAAAATCTTTATGGTATGAAAAGTATAAATAATGAAAGTTACAACTCATTTCAAAACATTAAAACAAACAAATAAATATTAATTATATATTTCTATATTAATAAAACAAACTAATAATACAAAATGATCTCTTCTGGATGTTGTGGATGTGGAAACCATTCCTGTGATGGATGTTGTTCATATTCGATCAAGCAATTGACTCTTAAGTTGGAGAATGTCACTAACCAATTGGACAACCTTACCAAGGAAGTTGCTGAAATTCGTGCTAGCAAGGTTACCACTCAAGTTGTTCCAGTTCCAAAGCATTCACACTCGATCAGTAGTTTGGATTTTACTGCAATCCCAGGTTCCCAAACCAGCGTAACTGTTACACGTCCATCAAAGTTGGTTGCCTTTGTTAGTTACCACTCAAAGGCCAAACCAAATACCAGTGTTGATATTACTTCTGCTCTCAACGGTACCGTCATGACTCTTGGTGGATATACTGATTACCCATGGGTAAATATAAATTCATATAAATTATTTCAATCAATACACAAATTAAATATTAACAATTAACAATTTATAATAAAAAAATCCTCTCTTCTTTTCTATTTATAGCCACTTGGTGCCAGCCTCAATATCAACGACTTTGTCAATGGTGCTTCCATTACTGAACAAGTTGTTCAACCAGGTGTCTACAACTATGACATCAGAGCAAGAATCAGACCTGCCAATGCCGGTGATAGTACCTCCCTTGCCAATGGTTTCGCTGCCTTACTAGTTTTAATTCCATTGTAAATTTACAATAGTGTTCAATAGTTGGAAATAAAAAAATACTTTTACCAATCAAAAAATATATTATCTTTTCTTTTAATCTATTAATGTGAGTCTAAAAATATATAAAATCAAAATACTATTATTACTATTGTCAATTAATTAATTCAGACATTAACATTGGTATTAAAAATGCAATGATAACATCTCCTGTGCTTGTGATGAAAATTTGTAATCTTGGAACCAAGAAAATTGAGAGACTAAAGACTATCCACCACAAAAAGTAGACTGCAAAGAGCGATCCAATAAACATTCTAATATAGAAATCGTTTCTGTAGACCGCTACGCAAATGTAGAGGAAGTAAAAGAAAGGCAAGGTGTACATAATTCCTGTGAGTCTTGTCCACATCACCGGCGGAAACACACTGTGTTCAACAATATTGAAAACAAGAAACGTTGTATTGTAGATGAGTAGCAACGAACAAATAGTCATGGGCGGGATCAAACGCGACAAATAGCGGGAGTTGGTATATTCGTAGACCCATATTCCATTGGCTAGCAAAAGAATGAAAGCGATATTGAACGCCTTTCCTATTTGGTCGAGGTAGTTGGCGACGTAATAGTGGTGGTCGGTGGCGATGATCGTTATGAAACAGCCGCACTTGAAGAGGTAGATAAGAACCGGAAGGAACAGATAGAGTCTGTACTGGCGGTAACAAAAGAATATCATTGATTTCCAGATCATTAGCAAAGCAAAGAAAAATAGAAAAGTAATCGACAAATCCATATAAATCGATCTGATCCAAGCATCCTTATCCATTCCATACAAGTTATAAGCGAAATAGGTTGCATTACTTGTATGATTGAAATTCTCCACTAAAGAAACTTTTTTTTCTGATCCAACAACATCTTCAACGTGTTTACTATAAATTATTTATTATTAATACTTTGTCAATTTTCCAATATTTAATTATTTTACTTACTTTAAAAATTCCATATATTTCTAAATAATAGTAATAAATTTATTTGTTTTTATATATATATATATATTTATTCCTTCAAAATTGAAAAGAAATAATAATAATTTACTTTTTTAAACCGTTTTTTTTTATACATTACCTTTCCTTTTTCTATTTTTTATTATTAATTATTAAAAGTTAACTTTGCATAATTATTTTGATTAGTAAAAAAATAATATATGTATATATATATTTATAATGTGATCATCGTCGACGATGCTCTATCTGATAAAAATAATTAATAAAATCGTTTTATTATTATTATTGTTGTTTTTTTTTTTTTTTGTTTTTTTCCTGTTTCTGTTTTTATATAAAAATATTATTAAATAGTTGTTTGTCTAATTATCGTTATGAATATCCATTAACCATTAAATCTACAAATACATTAAGATAATATTTATCAAAACCATAATCCTTAAGTAACCTTTCAAATATTTGACTCTTTTCTTCTAATTTCTTTTCTAAAATATTATGTTTATATGATAAACTATAATTTAGATAGGTTGATTAGTAACATGTTATTTTGAAACTTTAAATATTTAAACAATAAACTTACGATTTAATTAAAACAAGTATAATCATTCTCCAATTATTGGGTGTCAGCGATGGAATTGGTCTTACAAGTGAAAATGTATCAATGAGTGATGAAAATGATTGTGAGGAAATTGATTCTTGAATATTTAATGAATTTACTACTGATGGGAAACTATACAATCAATTAGTGATAAAAAGCATTAGTATAATTTCTAATTTCTAATTGATTAGAAAGTAATGTTTTGTTTACATACTATAATGATAAATAATGATGTAATGTTTGTTTGATATGTGCAGACTGATCGGTTCTTATGAATAGGTCATTGTCATTGTGTGTAGCTCTTAGATATTGTTCAGTGTTGTTTGTTCGCCATTCACTTAGAGGTGTGTATACTTGGTGATAGTTGGAAACTGGCAGTTGCTTGGAGTTACCACGCTCGAGGAATCCACCCATTCCGTCCATAGCATCTTCACGACCACTGTCATTCGAATCCAAATCGATATCCGAGTAGTTACTTCTTGGCATACTGTCATTGTCATCACCATAGACACCGGTAGAGTCATCTTCTTCATCGGCTCCTTCCTCCTCCGAAAGGAATTCCTCTGCTATTGTTTTATCATCGTTAACGACCAACGGTGATTCAACAACAGGAATATTAATACTTTTGCTATTGTTGCTTTGTTTCACATTACTATCATCTTCATCGCATTGCATCATTGAGAATTGATTATTCAATTCTGCTGTCACCGATTCCTCTGTATCCACTTTTGTTGTAATGATTGTTGGTAGTGTTGCTGGTGGTGGTGGTGGTGTAAAACTCATACTAACAGGAGAATCACTATTGAAATTACCGAAATTCCTATCGACAGGTGCTTCACTTGCTAATTCATTTTCAACTATATTAAGATTTTGTCTAAACAAGTTGAAAATCAATGTTAGTTCAATAAATCAATGGTAACTAATAGCGAATAGTAATACAAACTCTATGTTGGTTGCTAATTTATCAGCTTGTGATACAATGAGTTGTGTATGATCCAATTTCCTCAAGTGTACAGGTGTCTTGTCGAGTGTGAATCTAAACAATTTCGAATTGGTAAGACATTCAGTACTACAGTAGTTTGCTAGTTCCTCTTGGTCATATACCTTTTGATCTTTAGTTGAAATATAATATTTATATGATTTTCTCTTGAATTTGTAGAGTGGTAGAGTAAGTTGAGTTTGTCAAGTTAGTAAAACAATCTTTTAAAACCAATAGAATGCAAAGTAGTAAAACACACTTACCTGTTGAACCTGTTTATTACATGTTGGATATCCACAGAGCTTTGTAAGTGCTCTCTCCACTACGATATCGTCGTAGTGGTTAGGTTGCAAGAACATCGCTGACAACTTCAATTCCTGCTCGCTTACGATATTCTCAATGAGAATCGATTGTGTTTCGAATGTCTTCTTGTCGATCATGACCTTGTCGGTGATCATCTTTCTCATTTCTTCTTTTTTTCGTCGAACCACTTCATTGTCCAGTGAATTGACTGTGCTATCTACATCGGTACTACCACTACTCATTTCACTCTTACCATTATGTTGTTGATATGGTGTCGTCGATGTCGAAGTTGCATGTATAGTTGATGTTCTATTGACAATATTTTGATGTACATGTGAATGACTGTTGGCATGTGCGTGACTATGAGCGTGAGCATGTGCATGTGAGTTGTTTGGTATCGATGAAGATGACGACGACGATGATTGTGATGATATCGATGACTTTGGTACTCTCTTGATTACCTTCTTGATGACTCTAACCTTTGATTTAGATGATGATGATGGTGGTGGTGCCAACAGACTTGCAGCACTACCAACAGTATTGATACTGCCACCCAGCAATTCCTTTTCTAACTTATCAATCTCCATGACCTCTCTATATATATATTCTTAAACTAACTAAAATCTATCTATCTATCTATACTTCTCTCTTTATCTTACTCTTTCTCTATATTTACTTTTCTTTATCTTTTATATATCTATTATAATTATTAATTAATTATTATTCTATTACTATTTACAATTTTTTTGAAAAAGAATAGAAAAATAGTAATAATATTGTTGTTTTTTTGTTTTAAAAACATCAAACAACAACAACAGTAAATTTAAATAATTAAAAAAAATGATATTTACAAAAAAATTAATGATTGAATTAAAAATAATTCTAATATTGTTGTTGTTGAATTGTTTGACTGAACTGAATGGATTCTTTGCTATTTTTTTTTTTGGTAATAATAAAACAATTATTATGCGATATATATTTTTTCTGGTGTTTTTTTTATTTTTTATTTTTATTTAAAATGTTATGTGGTTAATTAAATTGACTGACAATGAGGAAAGGGGTGTTTGTCATTGAACGCGTTGTAATTTTAATGTGTGTGTTGTGTGAAAAAATTATCTTTAGCAAATATCACTTGTTTTAAAAAAAAAAACAAAATAACCAAAAAGAGAAATTTCAATTAATTTTTGATAATTACCCTAAAGAATGAAATTATGATTATTTATTTTATTTTATTTTTATTTTTAATTATATATCTCTTAAAAAATAATTATCTTTAAATAATTGTGGTTATATCTTTAAAAAGAATATACATAGATAAAATATTAATTAAAATTCAAATATTTGTTTTTAATATTTTTTTTAATTTAAAAAAAAAATAAGATGATTTGCAGCTATGAAAAAAATAATATCTAATTTTTGTTTTTTTTTTTTTTTGGTTTTTTTTTTGGTGATGGAAAGGGTATACCTGTTCTTCGGTAATCAACCATGCTACTTTTTCATTTCGAATTGAGTTGGGAATAAAATAGTAAGATATTTATTTTTAGTAGTTATTTATTTATTGTAATAGAAACAAATGAAAATTATAACATTAGTAGTATCAATCATTTTCATTGTTGGAACATGTCTTTCAACAGAGTTGGTTCATTTCCAACCATATTCACCAAGTGATACTCATTGCTCGAATGGCATCTCTGGTTTCGGTTTCATCATACCGATGGATATCTGTGTTGGAAACAGCGATCTCGTTGATCTTCCAGGTTCCTACTTTGTTAAGCAATGGAATTCAACTGCAGTAATGTTATACACCTATATCAACATCTATTTTAAAACCGATTGTTCAGGTATGATACTACTACTTTGTTAATATATATATATATATTTGAAATCAATTCAATTTCTAAAAAGGTTATTATTATTATTTAAAATTTATAAAATTATTTGTTTTTCAATTTTATTATTTATTATTTATTTAAAATTGAAAAAAAAAAAAAAACAAAATAGGTAATCCAACTTCAGAATTCCCATATTTAATGGATACTTGCAATTATGATCAATACGAAGGTAGTTTCGATGAAACCAACTACCGATACGTACCAAGTAATGTGTCGTCCGATACCGGTCCAACTGCAGATGTTCCACCAGGATCCATTCTCTACAGCGTATTCGACAAGAGCTGTGAGAACGTCGAATCATTCTATTACATAACAAACAACACTGTCATTGGTCCAAACACCGACATTCCAATGACCTATTACTGCACCGCCGAAAACAATATCCCAATGCAAGACACCTGTTACAAGGGTAAATGCCAAAGCTATTCACTCCAATCGAAATGTGGATCCTTTGAAAATTCTATAACAGTATCATGCACATAAAATTAATATATATATTAACAAAAACAGTTAATGTTTATTAAAACAAATCGATCGATAATATTTTTTTTATATTAATAAAACAAATAAATGGGTGTATCATTGATATCACCCACTTCCATTGCCTCCCTTAACCACACAGCCACACAAAATTTTGAACTAACAATGAGTGATTTGATTAAAATTTTACTTTACTTTGAATTAATTATAAAGAAGAAATATAGTGACTCCAATATAAACGAATATGTATTTTATCAATATGAATATCATAAAAATAGATTTCATAAAAAAACTGATTGATCAATCAAAAAAAAAATATTACCTAAATAAGTAAAGTTATTTGCAAAGAAAATGGATTAGATGAATTCAAATAATATTATTATTAGTTTATTTTTTGTCAAAGTTTAAAATGGCTGATAAAGTTACGACAACTTTTGATCCAACATCTATAATCAAACATATCACTAGTTTTAAAACATACAATGACAACGTAGAAGAAACAAATGAGAACAATAACCAGATATCTAGTGGCGAGATTCTTTGGGAAATGTCATCATCCACCTCATTCACTCAGTTATTCTACGAAAACAACCTGGTTGACATTTCCATTCTACACTTGGAGTCATTCATCATCTTTAAAACAAACAATAATAATAATAATAATAATAGCAATAATGATGAAGATGATACCATTATTATTGAAAATCAAACAAGATTAATAGAGATTTCAATTGGTATAATATCAAATCTTGTTATACAATCACCTTTGATTGCTTCGAAGATCTACCAGAGAGAAGACTTGTTGAATGCTACTGACACGCTATTCTTCATGACTTCATCATCGGTTGTTCTGAATGGTTTGTTCCGTCTTATCAACTCTTTTCTCTACCAAACCGATGATCAAATCAAAATGCTGTGGTTTAACAAGTATATGAACAATAAATCGATTGAGAAGATATCATCTATACTCTCCAATACTTTATCAATTGATTTAATAAAGAATGTAAGTAATCTATTATTATTATCATCATTATATAATATATTTATAGCAATCACTAATTTACTGGTTATATCTACAAAGATTTTACAAACATTAAATATATTATTTTATCATTCAACTTTAACCGATAGAATTGCAATGATAAACTTTGGTATTGCAAGTGCATTCAAAGATATATTGGATAATAAGGATTTGGAGTAAGTCAATATTAATATTGAAGATCTCATTATTAATCATTATGACATACGAATTACTAATTTACTCTCTTTCAATTAATTAAATATTAATGTATATATATATATAGCAACTTCTATAGTACAAGTATGATAGAAGAGATATTAGAGAGTATAATGAGATTCATCGATACTAAAGAGGAGGATTGTGAACAAGATCGTATCGTAGAATTCAAAGAGTTGTACTCTGATTCATTCAATTGCCTATCTGAAACCATCTTGGAAATATTCTATTCAGCTGTCAAAGAAGATGAACCTTCACTCATATCACAAACTATCAGTCTTTTAACAACTGACTTACTATCTATTGACATTGTTTATCTGAATTGTAAGTAATATATATTAATATTTAAATTTATCAATTAAAAATTGTTACTAAACAATATTATTAAAACTATTATCATTATTATTATTATTATTATTTTAGCTGTTGAATTTTGGAATACATTGTTATCATTAGATTTATCGAATATAGATGCATCAAAAGAGGTTGTAACACTACTAAACAATTTGACAACCTCTGACAATTTGGATGTAGATGTTATCCTTTTGATATCGAATCATTTCTCATCGTTGTTTGATCTTTTACTATCTGACGATCAATGTGATCAAAGTACTTTAGATATGGTAAGATTATTAATATTAATAAATAGAAATTGATTAATATTAACAAAATTTAATAGTTAAATAGATTTAAAATAATCTTTATTGATACATTGAAATTAGTTGATTCAGAAGAGAATCAGCCATCAGTGACAACAACTTCTTCATCTTCATCTTTAACCTCATCAACAACATGCGATAGTAACAATAGAAACAAGCTAATAGAGAATATAGATTTAATACAATCGATAAAGATAGAGAATAACTAAATAATGTAGATATTGTAATCATTACGATTTATGTCACCCTATTCAGCAACTACAGTCATTCTATTTATTTCACGAGCATATATATTACCAATTATTTAGATTAGTATTATTATTATTATTATTATTATTAGCTCTTCTATTATTATCACTATTGTAATTAGATCTCGGAGGTAGTTTATAACTACCAGATGCTGCTTTTGGTTTGAAAGTCGATGGTTGAGCCGGTTGTTTAGGTGCCGCTGGTTTGTAGGTAGATCCTCTTGCCAGTGGACACTGTGCAGTGCATTGAAAACAGTGGAACGGTTTGGGTGATTCTTTGAAAAAGCTTGGTGGATTGTTTCTACAGTTAGGACATACTTGGTATGGAAATCCAGATTCCGATGTAATAGTTAATACCTAGTAAGGCAAAAAGAAAAAGAAATTAATTTAATTATTTATTTAAAAGTTATAAATAAAAATTATTAACATATTAATATGAACATATGTATTTATGTAAAAGAAAAAAAGTAGTGATTATACATACTTGGAAATTACAAAGTGGACAAGTTCCATCATATGGCACAATATCACCTACTTTTGGTAACATATGTGATGCCAAACATGTCTTACATTGAAGTACTCTTCTCTATAATATAAGTTATAAATCAATAATATTAGTTAGTAAAATATAATATGATTGAAAGAGATAATAGAATATTTAAACTTACAGCATCATCAGTCGACTTTAAATCTAATTTATTATTACATTTTCCACACTTTGATAAGTTTGCTTGTAAAATTCTAAATTGTGATCCATATGGTCTAAAGTAATTTGAAAATGTCTATAAAGATTTGAAAGAAATAGTATTAATATTATTACTATTATTCTTATTATTTAACAATTATACATACTATATCAAACATATGTGACATTTCTCTTGCTTGAATAAATAATGTTTTATATTGTTGAATTGTATCTTTTAATACATCCTCTTTCTTTCTGTTGCCTGTTGCTATTTTATGTACATCTGCCTCAATCTTTGCTCGGAGTGCAGGCTTTGAAAATCCGAAACCCATTGAATCGTAACCGATGATCAATGCCTTTCCAAGATCAGTCGGTATGAATCGATTCTCTTCATTCTTGATTACATAGTTTCGGTCGATGATCTTCTTGATATGCTGTGCCATTGTGGCATCCGTTCCAATCTTATTGTTATCCATCTCCGAGAGTAACTCTGGTTCCGACAATGGTTTTGGCGCGACCGTTCTACTCTTGTTCAACTCCAACCGGCTCGGTGTGAATGTCTCACCGACTACGTAGGTCGGAAGAATCTTGTCGTATCGCTTATCGTATGGATACACCTCAAGATAGCCTTGTTGTATCATCATAGATCCAGTCGCTGAGAATGTCTCATCGGCAATGTCAATGGTGACAGTGGTCTGTCCGTAGATCGACTCTTTCGAACAGCACGCCAGGAATCGTCTACAAATAAACTCATACAAATTGGCTTGTTTTCCACTGAGTGCATTCGCAGCACCCGTAGGATGAATCGGAGGATGTGAATTGTCATTGTGTTTTCCCTCCTTCGGTCGGACGAATCCGCCGTTCAGCAGCGACTGTGCATAACCCCCCCATTTCTGGTTGTCCGTCTGCAACCTAATCAGTCCCATAAAATCGGTTTCCGGCAGGAAAGAATCGGTCTCGGTTCTCGGATAACTAATAAATCCCTTGTTGTACAACTCCTCCGCCAGCTTCATTGTTTCATCCGATGAGATACGCAGCTTCTTTGACGCCAACTTTTGGAGTTCGATCGTTGTCAGCGGAACAGGACGATACCGATTCTCCTTGACATTGACATCGACGACCGTCGCCAACGGATTGTCCAGACACTGTTCATAGAAAATAAAAGCCGGTGCCAATTCAAACAACCGTTTCCGCTTCCATCCGAAATCGGCAGTTCGCATCTCGCCATCCGCTTTCTTCTGGTGACTGACATCGATCACCCAGAAATCCTCTGGTACGAACCTCTCTATTCGCAACGCTCTCTCCACCACAAAACCCAACGTAGGAAACTGACACGGTCCATAACTTATAGGTTGATCATCATTGATTTCAAACTTTGATCGTAAATACCTCGATTGAAACCTAGTGAAAGCTGCACCCAACCGTAAATCAATCTCTATTCTACAATCGACTGCCATCGAATCATTCTTGTTTGGTTGTGCGAGATTTGAAATTGCTCTTTTAATTTCACTTTTAGTTGTATGTGACAAAGTAAAGAGTAAGTATATTTATTACTACTTCTTCTTCCTATACTACTATTGTTAATACATACGCAGGTATAATAGATGAGAAATGAGCACGATATATTCTTATATTTCTATTGACAGCTCTAACACTTTCGATGACTTCGAATGCAATGTTTTCACCTTCACGATCGCAATCTAGCCAGAGTATGAGTGTATCGCAACGTCTACCTTCTCGCTTTAGTGTTTTATCGAGATTGGTGCTGTTCTCACCATCGATAAACTTGTGTATCGGTGCTTCAAACAGATCGATAGGATCACACGATGTCCAGTTGGTATAGGGTGGCACGACATCGGTTGTCATCAAATGTCCTAAAACAGATGTGAATACCATATCTACATCGTTCTGACCTAGAACCGGTGAACATTTATACTCCCAAACACAATTGTACTTTGAAAATCCATCTCTCTAATAATAACCAAAACGATAGATAATAATTACCAAATGATTATATTGTTTGTTTGTTTGTTAGTCGGACATGTAATGATGTATGTATGTAACGAAAATAGCTATTTACTCTTTGTGGTCTTCTTCCTGCCAATATAGTGGATATCTCCTCAGCTGCCGAAGGTTTCTCCGCTACATTTAATATTTTCATACTACTTCTACTTAGCAAAGTCTTCAAATAAATGAAAAGCAGATATTTTGAATAATCTAGTTATCCATATGCTTGTTTTGTAAATTATTTTTAATTTTTGATTTTCTTGGAAAATGCAGCATTCCTTTTTTTTTTCTTTTATTTAATTTCTTATCTGGTCACATGTTTATTCAAACATAACAATTGTTCACCCATTAAATATCAAAAAAAAACAAAAAGCATCAATGTTATGTTATTGATTTCATTGTTGTTGTTGTGTTGAATAGATAGAGATCGGTTGTATCTTCAATTCACCACAACTACTATCAATTACTTATTATTATTCTTACTATTACTACTATTATTTAAATACTTCAAATGATTATATTATTATCGATTTGTCAATTACAATATGTCAATTATGTCATTTATAAATAGGATTTGTCAAAATGATCACATTTATAAAAATGGTCAGCTGAACACATCAATCTATTTTAGATAACAAAGGATCCATATATAAAGTTAATAATAATAATGGTGATTTAAAAGTTTAAATATTTCAAACTTATATATCTATATTTTGAATAACTAAAACTTCTTTTTATTTATTATTGTAATTTTATTTCAAAAAAAAAAAAAAAGACCAAAGATTGATAGTTCCAAGGAAAGGAGAATTCAAACTAAATTCAATACGTATTTGTTGACTACCACAAAATATTAATGTGGATGTAAAAGGCACTTTTATTGTTATTTATTAATATAAATAGATATATAAGTTGGTGATTGGTGATCGGAGGTTGAATGGAAAGAGAAGATTGTTGATGTTATTGTTGTTATTATAATATATATTGTTTTGGACAATTACAAAAAAGGTAGTAATTGGTTAATGCAATAAATAAGAAAGTTATTTATATTTTAGATTTTTTGAATTTTAAAGTAAAAATATACTATTCAACTTAATTGTTTAAAATGAATGATATAATTTATGATGATGCGTAAATGGTATTTTGTATTTTTGATGAATATTTGTTCTTTCTTTTGGTTTTAAAAAAAAAAAGAAAAAGAAAAAGAAAAAAAAATATGTATATCTATTTGTCTATCTATCTATATATATATATATTAAAGTTATATTCGCAAGCGCTACTACTTGGTATCACTGAATAATGAAGAAATTGATTCACCTATAATAAATTGAATTAATATCAACTGGAAATGTTTTGTTTTGATAGTTGTAAAACTTACCATGATGAGTACGTCTAATTGCTTCGGCTAAAGTGTGTGCAATGTTGATGGTTTTGATCTTTGAGCACTTGGCAGCTTTTTCGGCGTGTGGGATGGTGTTGGTGATGACCAACTCGGTGAGCGAAGACTCGTTGAGACGCTTGACGGCATCACCAGAGAGGACACCGTGTGTGACCAAAGCGTAGACTTTGGTGGCACCCTTGCTGATGAGCATCTCGCAAGCCGATACCAAAGTACCGCAGGTGTCAGCCATATCGTCGACGATCAAGGCAACCTTGTCCTTGACGTCACCGACCAAGATCATACCGGACACTTCATTGGCCTTCTTACGCTCCTTGTGAATGATTGCCAACTCGGCATCCAATTTATCAGAGATCAACTTGGCACGCTTGACACCACCGGCATCTGGTGAAACGATGACCTTCTCTCCTGGAATCATCTTTCTAATATATTTAATAATTTGTGGTTCTGCATAGAGATTGTCTACTGGAATATTAAAGAAACCTTGAATTTGACTTGCACTATAATAATATTATTAATTATTTTGTATTAATATTAATATCATTGTTATTATTCTACCATTATTATTGTTATTTTTTCATATGAAATTTCGTTGAGTTTCGATGAATCTCGTGTCAATTCGTAAAAAAAAAAGGATGTTTTTTAAAAAAAAAAATGTTTAACGAAATTTCGTTTTTTCTTTTTTTTTTTTTTGTGCCATGACGTGACACGGTAATGAATTAACCATGACTTCACGTATTATCATATGATAGGCATTATAACTATTATTGATATTGATATTGATTGTGATTTGATGTGTAATGTTGGATGTGTTTGATTGATTGATTAATTGATTAATTGATTGATTGATTGATTGATTACTTACTGCAAATCCATGGTGATAACACGGTCAATACCAGCTGTTTCGATGAGGTTGGCAACCAATTTACCGGTGATTGGAGCACGTGATTTATCTTTTTTATCTTGACGAGCATATCCAAAACATGGAATGACAGCTGTAATACGATGAGCAGAAGCTCTACGAATAGCATCAGCCATAATCAAAAGCTCCATCAAGTTATCTATAATTAAATAGTTAAAAAGAAATAACAAAGAAAGAGAAGAGAGGAGAGAAGAGAGAAGAGATAAAAGTCTTAATATTTATCTTCCTTTTTATTGTTGTTGTTATTACTTACCGTTAACATTTGGATTGCAAGTTGGTTGGATAATGTAGACATCCATGTCACGAATAGATTCGCTGATCATGACGGAGGTCTCACCGTTTGAGAATTTACCGACATGAGCCTTACCCAATTGAAGATTCAAGTCTTCACAGATCTCATTTGCCAAATCTCTGTGTGCATTACCAGTCAAAATTTTAATTCTATCTCCCATTGTTATTATTACTGTAGTATATAATTAAATAAACAAAACAAACAAAAACTAAATAGATATATAGTTATAAATAGTTAAAAAAAGTAAAAATTTAATTTATAATTAGTAAACAAAAAAGAAATTATAATGAAAAGAATGATTATCTAATAATAATAAAAACAATAATAAAACAAACAAAAATTAAAAATTTGAAATTGAAAATGAAAATAATTATAATTATAATGAATTGGTGAATAATAATATTATTATATGTACCTCTTCTTTTCTTTTCTCCACGATAACTTCAATTTTATTCAAAGTGTGAAGAGAAAGAAAGAGTGAAAAATTAAAAACAAAAAAAACAAAAAGATTTTTAGATTCGATGTTTTTTTTTTTTTTTGTTTCGTTTAGTTTAAACCCCAACTTTTGTGGTTGTGAGTACACGGGAAGTAATTGAAAAAGTTTAAATTCAGAAACCAGTGTTTGTGAGTGTGGACTGTAATGATAATGAAATCACTGTCACGATCGATTGTTGTAACATTGAATGAATTGTATTTTAAATTGTTGTTGTTGTTGTGTTTGACGCAGAGTTGAATGATTGTTTTGTGTTTATCACTTTCGATATTTCAAATCTCGAATCTATCTATTAAACAATCACTCTTCTTTCTTTTTTGATTTAAATTCATTCATTATCAGCAGCCGATATTCTTTTTTGATGATTATGTTATTTTCAAATTAAAAGTGAATGAAAAAATATGATTATGATGTTTAAACATTTGTTGTTGAATTGGATTGGTATAAAAGACAGACATATATTAATACATACAGTATTGTTATATTTTAGAATAAAAGATAGATATTTAATAAATAAATAATAAATAGGTGGTTGTTATAGTTGATTTTTAAAACGAATGAAGAATGAATTTTCGAAAAGAACTCAGTGTAGTTTGTTTTCTTTTTTTTATTTTTATTTTTATTTTGTATCATGCTGTTGAATTGTCTTGTTGGGGGTCATTCAGTAGCTACTGGTCTCCCATTCCACACCACCACTCGAAATGGAATTGAATGTCTTTACTTTCTTTTCTGTAGACTGTGGGTGTGACAGTCGAGCCGGGTATTCATTATTTTTAATTAAAAATTATTTTGGCAATAAAAAGGTTCATCGGGAGTTCGTGTCTTCGGTATAAAATTTAAGTTTTTTCGAAAAAACCACAGCATTTGCATGGAAACATCAATATGCATTACAGACATTTTTTTTTTTTTTTATTTTTAAAATTAGATTCAATATAATAGGTAATCAAAATTAGATCACCTACTTTTTTTTAATTTGAAATCATATTTATTAGCCAACGACTTTTTCGTTTTTATCACCAAAAAAAAAATGGATAATTACTTATTCATTTTTTTTAAAAATTATTATTTGATTATCACTAACCATTTTTTTATAAAAACGGTTCGTTCCTATTTAATTTTTGTTATTTTCAATTTGTGGAGATCTTAAGAATATTGGAATTGCAATGATCATCGTTGAAATCAGATATTTAGATATGTTTCAAAGATTTCCAAACAACAAGGTTAATATCAAAAAAAAAAGGATAGAATGGATTTAGATATGAAAGTGATCTCTGTCGTATAGGTTCAATAGGAAAGATATAATAACAGTTCAATGATAAGTGCACATCATGCTTAATTATAATTTAATAGATTCAAATACATACTACTCTCAATGAGAAAATCGTTTGAGTCTCTTATTGTTGTGTACGTACTCTCCAAGATCATTGAAGTTTGTTGTCTTTAGACCATTGGGGTGCAAATATATCTTTAACTAGTTCGGGAAGTAACAAATTGTTTCAATAATTTTTTCTCAGTCATTTCTTTTTTTTTTCAGTGATTTGCAAGATTTTTAGATAAAGTATTTTGATTTTTTATTTTATTTCTTAAGAAAAAGTTGATTGAAAAAAATATGATATAATTAAAGAGAGATGGCTTGTAATAATAATAATTAATAATAATAATAGTAATAGTAATAGTAATAGTAATAGTATAAATCCAATGAATTCATTTAAAATAATACTTCTTTCATCAATATTGAGAAACAAGATATTTTCATATGTTAAAGATATTCATGATCAAAATGGATATAGTGGAGCTTTTAGATGTGATTGGTATGATCTTGGTTGTTTTCCTCATCTCTTAATTAAATACAATTATAATCAAAGATACAAAGATATATACAATACAATCATTAAAGATAATGTTAATAATATGAATCAAAAAAATAAAAAGAGGAATAGTAATGATAGTAATCTTACAATCATCGATTTCCAAAGATTATATCTATTGTCACTTAAAAAAGTATTTAAAAGTGGAAATTACGAATTGGTAGAGTTCCTTCATCAATCGTTACCACCGAAACTGTTTCGCGAGCATGCTCGCTTTTCGATTAACAATACCAGTCTGCAAATCATTGAATATCTTCATAGCAAAAATGTCGGTTGTTTCAATCAGGGCGTGATGGATAAAGCTGCGGAACTCGGACGATTTGATATTGTAAAGTTTCTCCATTACAATCGATCGGAAGGATGTTCTAGAGCTGCACTTGACTCTGCATCTAAATTGGGTAGTCTCGAAATGGTTAAATTCCTCAGTGAAAATCGTACCGAAGGATGTTCGGCTCTGGCATTCAAGAGTGCTTCAATCAATGGAGATTTGGAAGTACTGAAGTATCTAGTTGAGAATAGACCGGAACAATGTCCGGTGAATCTCATTGATGAAATCAGTGCATGTGAACGTAGTCTTCCTATAATTCAATATCTTTTGACAAACAACAGCAGTGTTAAACAAAAGATAACTAAATCGGCAATGGATGCCGCAGCGAGAAATGGTCACTTGGAAATTATCCGATATCTCCATGAGAATACAAGTGCCCAATGTTCAAAATCGGCTATGGATGGTGCAGCGAATCGCGGGCACCTTGAAACTGTCCGTTTCCTCCATTTTAATCGATCGGAAGGTTGTTCAGCTCTTGCAATGGAGTATGCGGCTAGACATTCCCACTTGGAAATTGTCCGATTTTTGCACCATAACCGAACAGAGGGCTGCTATCCCAACACCATTGACAACACAAATGAAAGTGGAGGTAATCTAGAGACTGTTAGATTTCTTCTGGAGAATAGGACGGAAGGATACACATGGATCGGACTTATCAATAATGCAATACGAGGAAATCTGGAAGTATTGAAATATCTATTGGAAAATGGAACTGTAGCGTGTCCATCAGACATATTGGCAACTGTTGCATTATATTCAACGTTTGAAACCTTCAAATATCTCTTTGAGAACAGGGTGCGCCTAAATTTAAACGATTGTCCAGCTGATTCAATGAACTGTTTTGCGAAACATAAAGATACATCGACACTTCAGTGGTTTAAAGATAACACAACATTGCAACTCTCATCGAAAGCCTATATAAATGCAATCGAGAGTAACCGATTGTCGAATCTCGAATGGATTCACGAGAATACTAAACTTCCATTCCCAGCGGAAGCATTGGATATTGCTGCAACGAATTCATTTTACGCCAATCTAGACATTGTAAAGTATCTTCATGATCATGGGGCGTCTTGTACGACCAGAGCAATGAATAACTCCGGTAGCTTTGAAATAGCATCGTTTTTATATCACAATAGAACTGAAGGTTTTACCCATCTTGCAATGGAGAATGCAATTAGGTTAGACAATATTCAAATGATAAAAATTCTAGCAGAAAATAGATCTGAATATCATATTGTTACTGCAAGTAGTTTCACGGAAATTACAAGATCATTCTATTTTATTGCAAGACTCAAGCTAATAAGATTACACAAAGTATGAAATAAAATAATAATAATAAAGATTTTAAATTCTTTAATTATTTTTATTTTATCCTTAAAAAGAAAAAGTAACTTGTAAAATAATAGCCTGAAGTTCTACTTTAGTTAAAAGATCAAAATTTTGATTTATAATATTATAAATCAAAAACTAACAAATGTCGTATAATTTTTATTTTTCTAGATAGTTTTTAAACTTACCATTTTTTTTTTTATTTTTCAGAAATATTAAAATCAACAAATATTTATTTCAGAAATATTAAAATCTCAAACATTAGATTAATCTAATAATTCAATCTTTTGACATCTCTAATAATCAATCTTCTTCTTTTAAATAAGAAAAAAAGATTTGTCAAAAGATTGAATTATTATAATACACCTTAATACCCTCTATATTATTATTCTGCTCGCTCCAATTTGATTTTGAAAATCATAAACAAAATTGTTATTTTGTATTATAAATTTAATTGTCATAATGTTGTTTACCACATAAACCAATATTTAAAAAAATATTTTATGACTGTTCGAAATGTAGAAGTTGTGGTATGGGAAAGTACTAACCCTTAAAGTTCCCAATAATAAATGTACTTTTAGTTGTGTTGTTTGTATTATTTAGAAGTTGGTTTGATCGGATTAAAGAACATATAGAATAAATATTTAAATCTCTATTATTTAAATATATTCTAACTTTCAGTTCAATGTTTGATTTTCAAAGTATATATTTATTAAATTTTTTTTAAAAATCTAAATCTTTGGAATATTAAAGATGATATGATTGATTAAAACTATTAATAGTTAACATTAATTTTCAATTTCGATATCAAATCAAATTACTTTTAATACTAATTAAATAAACAAAAACTAACTATCTAAAAATGACTTTAATTGGTAAATATCAAAAATTGTATCCAAACAAACTATAAATATTTTACTAATTTTTGATAATTTTATTTATTTTTTTATAGCTGCTTTATCTTCAATCGGATCAATCCAATCAACCAACTCAATTTTCAAGAGTCAAACTGGTGTCACTGGAACCAGTTCAAGTCAATCATCCAACAAAGTTGCTCTCTTGGATGCACATGTTGATGCTGTTGTTGATCTTGGTACTCTTTTGCAAGTCAATGCCACAGCTGATGTCCACCTCTAAACAATATGTCTGGCCACCGAATACCTTATATTGTTGTAAATACTATACCATACGATCCTGTACCAACTACTTCTTCTTTAACATCTACAATTTAATAAACTTAAATGTATTGATCATATATATATTGTTATTATTGTGTTATTAAAATTAAATAGTAGAAGTCTTTTTAAGCTATATAAGTTTTATCTTAAGTTTTAATAATCATTTAAAGTTGTTAAAATAATTTATTATATGTATGTATTTATCATTATGTAAAGATATAAAACATATTGTTAGAATATAAAATCATTCATAGATCATGATTTATTTTGTGAATATATTTGTAATAGTCTCTTATGATTATGATTGTCTTTAATAAAAACTAAACAATTATTAATCATTAACAATCTTTCTTATAAGGTGTTGGCAACTAAACGTTATTATTTAACAATCTTTTAGTTCCATATATACAAAGCAGCACTGAATGTAGATTACAGTTAATATTGTCTTAACGTAAACCTACGATTATCGATATCCATACTTCAAATGATTAAACAACTAGAGGATTTAGGAAAAAAAAAAAAAAATAACATGGATAAATAAAATTTATTATATAATATAAGTATATTTCTTTGTACGAAAATGAGCATCTCACAACATAATTAAAACAAAACAAATTGTTTTAACAAAGTGACCCACATTCAGATCCACCTGCTGTAGGATCACCAATTCTTATTAAACCTATATTGTTATCACCAGATGCACTAATAATATCTATTGGTAATGATAATAATGATGATGTTAATAATTATTATTAAAAGATTAATTGTGTAACACAGTTTGTTTGTTTTATAACACTTACATTCATCATTTTTTGAAATTGAAAAATCTTGTATATCTTTTGCATGTTTAAAAACGAGACCGTTGAGTTCATAGTTGAGATTGTTTCTTTTGTACATTCTGAGACTGCCGTCGCTTGTCGAGCAAAACAAATGATTACCGTTTCTGGTGTATCTGAGTCTGTTTACATGTCGACAGCCTGGCAATATCGATGAGAAAATCGGATCATTGCCACCGATCGAATAGATATTTAGTTTGTCGGTACCCACTGCATAGCAAGAGCTATTTGCATTGGGTGGTTCTGGTGTATTTACAAATGACAACACAGGTGTTCTGTATTCTATTTTCTTTAATGTATGTTTTTGTGAATCTGTAATCTATAAATATGAATGTTATATAATATTTTGATATTATTTGATAGATGATTAGCCATTTGATGATTATAATGATGATGATGATGATTATCTATTATTATATTACTTTGCAAGAGTTGTCTGACGATCCTGTTAGAATTACTGGTTGACTATTTACAACGCCAAACTCTCTGGCCCATGCTCTATCTAGTATCTGAATATCGTTGATCTGTGATTCGTGTATCTCTTCCATATTGCTAGCTATAGTCGATGTTCTCAAATCCAAATGTGAAATACCTCTTCCAATATAATTCGGTAACATTATATAATTTGAATTCGATGGATCCACTGCTATTGGACATCTTATATTCAAACCTGCAACAACACCTAAACAATACAACAACAACAACAACATGATCATATTCATTCATTATTAATACTATAATAACCTATATAATAACTAACTAACTAAGTGACTAACTATCTAACATACATTTATCAACAGATTGTATAATTGAACTCTTCTCTATATCATATATCAATAGTTTATTGGTTGATGTCGTCATTGCTAATCTACTACCTCCACTTATGAATTTAACTATATATATATATATATATATTTAGCAAGAAAACATGTAAATAAAGATAATGTATTATGTTTGTTATTCAAATGATATTCATACCTCCAGTTAGTTGTGTTGCACCTTGGAATGTGATGAGAGTACTAGAGAGTAGTTTTACGAGTCTGGCATCAAAGAGGTTACATTTTCCGTCGTTACCGACTGAAACAAAGAGATGATCGTCGGTGGGTGAGAAGTCAACTGATTTCACAGGGCGATTGTGTTCCTTGAGAAATGTGACGTCACCGAGTACACCTCGAGTGATTGTCTGTTGACTGAGCATATGTTGTTGATGTTGTGTCGTCGAGAAGCTGGGTGTAAGTATGGAGCTGTTCAAGAGTTCATTTATTTCACTGTTATCGAACGACGTTGCCAGTAGGTCCGTCAGATCACGTGGCATATTAGACATTCTTATCAGAGAGATCAGTGAATTCTGTAGATTACGACTTGCACCTAGAATGCTACTGGTTGTTTGTTGTTGTTGTTGTTGTTGTTGCTGTTGCTGTTGCTGTTGTCCTGTAGGCAAACCACCACCATTGCCACCACCAATACCACCACCACCACCTGTTGTATTCATATTATTGGTAAACTTTTTGTTTTTTTTTTTTTTTGTTTTTATTATTTTTTTATTATTATTATTTTTTCTATAGCCACACTAACACAACAAGTTACTATATTTTTGTTTTTTGTTTTGTTTTGTTTTTTTATTCTCTATGAATGAATTATATATATCTTATTGTTTTTTCCTAATAACTAACTAACTATCTATCTTAATGTATTTATAGTTGATTATTATTATTATTATTTCTAAAATTACAAAATCATTTATTTATCGCGATTTTCTCCAACAATTGTTATAACGAATAAATTTGAACATTTTAACTAAAAAAATAAAAAATTTTGAACTGAATTCAAAAAATCAGATGAATAAATATTTATTATTATTTTAAAATTTTGAGCGAATTGAATTTTTAATTTAAATAGACAAATTAATAAATGATAGACTATAAATATTCAATGGTGATTCCTCAAGCCATTTCAGTTTATATACTATGAATATATACATAGATATTTTTTTAATTTCTTTTGGTTTCTCTAAAGCAAGCGATTTAAGGTGCGCTCTATAGAATGACTTTTCGACAAAAGACAGATTTACAGATAAATCATGATATATAAAGAGAATGGTCTTAGGTTTTTTTTTTTTTTTTTGTTTTTTTATTTATATTTTAATATTTCATAGTTAGTTAAACTTTATTTGTTTTATATTTATAAATAAATAAATATGGAATCGAAAATGGATAGTATTGAAGATTTGCTCAAAAAAGCTGTTGATCCAAAGACTTCAATGCATTGTCAAACTAAGATTCCGCCGATAGAATAGGGTTGTTATTGACTTCGTACAAAGTCGTCCCCCACAATGGTGATCTCTACCGTTGCATTGTCCCACTGTTGGGTAATGATGAAATCCTGTTGAAAGATTATGAAACTATCCGTTTATTACAACATTTTTATTTTAACTTTTTTAAAGTATGTACACAAAGAAAAAAATAAAAAAAGTAATATTGCGATGATCAAAAATGGAATTTATTTTTGATTGACAAATTTGTATTTATTAATAAAATAATGATAATTTATAATAAATTAATAAATAACATTATAAATAAATGATGTTTAACAAACATATTTATTTATTTTAAAGTTAATATAGTTATTTTTTGTTTAAGATAGAATCAATTTCAAATGTTTATAATAAATATTTAAGTAGAGGTGTTGATCCTCATTTCATTCAACTTTTTATATCTATTGTTAATAATATAAAGAAGAATCAAGATGTGACATTGAAATCAATTACATTGGAAGCAATCAGTTGGAACAATGATTTAAATTTCATTCTTGGTACTTATCTGAAAGTCAGAGAATCTGTTCAACTTCCAAATGGAAAGATAATGAATCGAGAGCCACTGTTTCTCAAGGCAAATCATCGCAATCCAATCAAATGGAATTCATATTTATATATGTCGATTGAGAATGGCGGTGGACCATTAGTTACACTTCCAATGGTCATTCAATGACCAGATTAGAACTCGAATTGAATCCAACCAATGAAGATCTTCACTCACCCTCAACTATCGAAATAATAAATCCTTTAAACATTGAACATTGGTTAGTTGTTTTTTTGTAACACCAAAGAAACAAAAATATTATAAAAGGGATGTTGTTTCTGATGATAAAAAGAAAAATAGTTTTTTGATTAACAATTTATCAATCTAAATTGATCATAGTTGTATGTTTTTTCTATTTATTTTAATAAAATAAAATAAAATGTTGCGCCAATTTGGATTTGGTTTTTTGATTGACAAATTTGATAGTTGTATATTTATTAATAATTAAAATCGTTTACAAGAAAATGAATTGGTGAATTGATCTTTAAAATGAATATAAATAAATAGTTAAAAAATAAACAAACATAATGTTGAATAGCAACAGAATAGTATTATAGTTAAATAGCTTGCTATATAGTTTGTTAGTTTATATAGATTGTTAGATATAAATAATAATTAAATAAAAATATGGAAAAATTAATATTTACAATTTTACAGAGAGGTGTTGATCCTCATTTCGTTCAACTTTTTAATGCTGTTATCACAAACAATAGATTTAAGAAACAAGAGATGACAATGAAAGCAATTACATTGGAAGCAATCAGAATGGAGCCAAACTTTGTTGATTTATATTTCATTCTTGGTACTTGTTTGAAAGTTGGCGAGTCTGTTCAGCTGCCCGATGGTGATATATTGGACCGTGAAAAACTGTTTTTAAAGGTGATACATTCCAATCCAAACAAGTGGAATGCTTATTACTATCTGGCAATAGAGGAGGAAGGGAATGAATCGGTCAGATTGCTCAATGGCAAGAAAATGACAAAGTTGCAACTACTCTTGAAAGCAGTGGAATTGAATCCCACCAATGAAGAACTCTACATTTCGATGCTTTCGTTCCTCGAGAAAAAAGACCTTGAAAATGAATCGGTGACTCTCAACAGCGGCGAAACACTCAGCTACAAGCAGATTCTTTTGAAAATCATCTCATTGAGTCCGCGAATCGCCGGTATATACGTTGCTCTTGCTGCGAAACTCAAAGACAATTTCGAAAGCATCACACTGCTCTCCGGTGAGAAGATGGATAAACAAAAGCTGAGTCTGCATGCCATCAAACTCGAGCCTGACGAATCGGATTTCTACTTGTTCCTTGCCGACAGTATCGAAGGAAGTCATGCTACAGTCAAGTTGCCAAATGGAAGAACGATGAACAAGAAACAACTGTATTTGCAAGCGATCAAGTTGAATCCAATCAGTGAGAGTGCATACATCATGTTGGCCAAGGAGATGAAGAAGCACGATACCATCAGATTGCCATTCGGTGAGATGGCGACAAAGAGACATCTCTACTTGAAAGCTCTCAACATCAATCCAACACACGATTGTATCTACTACTATATTCTTGAGGATTTTCAAGATTGGGAAACCATTACACTTATCTCTGGTCGTGTAATGACTAAGCAAGCAATCTATCTCCAGTTGGTCGATATCAATCCTGGCAAAGCTATAAACTATTTATATCTTTCACAGACACTTCATTCCGACACTGAAACCATAATGTTGCCAAGTGGTGAGCATATGACAAAGAGACAACTTATGCAAACATTTGAATTCGTACAAGATAGATATCATCAAAGTCAATACTTTCATTTTCATTGATAGTCACCAAAATAATAATATCTATTTTTTCATTTATTTTTAAAGTTAATCGAAAAAAAAAAAATAGATCAGTGACTATTACCAAAATATTGTGATCACATTGTAAAAAATATATATAAATAAAATAATAATTAAAATAATTGTTTATTGTTAATAAATTCAAAAGAAAATTCTTTAAAGATATCTAAAATCATTTTTTGTGAATAGTATTACCTTCCATACTGTAACTGAAAACAAACCCCATTTAAAATCAATCACATCAAATGCAAATGATTACCATTAATTAATTAAAAAAAAAAAAAAAAAAAAAGTGGTAAAAATGTTAAATATATTAATTAATTGTATAATAAACAATATTATATATAAAATAATAAATAATAAATAAATAAATAATAGATGGATCCACAGTTTTTGAATTTTTTAGTAACACAAGGAATCAATCCTACAGATCCAAGTCAACAATCAAAATTTCTAGATGCTTTCAATAACTATGTAGCAATTGATAAAAATAGGAATCATATGAAAGACATGGCAGTAAAAGCGATTGAATTAAGTCCGAATGAAACTGAAACATATCTTGCGCTGTTGTTGACACTGAAACCTGGTGAAACAGCGAAGCTGCATACCGGCCAAGTAGTGGATGCCAAGCAATTGTATATAAAGATTATAGAGTTGGATCCGAATCTTTTGGATGCATACGTTAATCTCAATGAATGCATGGGAAACTACGAATCTGTAACAATCAATGGCAAGCGGCTTTCAAAGATGCAGGTCATAGCGAAGTGCGTAGAGTTGAATCCAAACGAATCCGATTACTATGCGCATTTAACTACCTACCTACAAGAGACAAACAACGTTGAAGGATACATAACTCTAAACAATGGTAAAACAATGAATATCAAACAACTGCTATTGCAAATCATTCACCTCAGTCCCACGCAAGCGAAGGTCTATATGAGACTGGCAGTTCGGGTCGCGCCCACCGAGAAACTAACGATGGTTTCGGGCGAGGTTGTCGACAAGAAAAAGTTGATTCTCCTCGCAATGAAACACGATCCCACAATGCCAGACTATTACTTTTATCTTGGCAATCAGCTCGATGACAACAAACAGACAATCACACTACCTAACGGTAAATCTTGGAACAAGAAAGACCTGTATCTTCACACGATAAAGCTGAAGGGAAACTTCAAAGATGCTCACACCAACCTGGCGAGATCGATGGACAGCAACGAAACGGTAATGCTTCCCAACAGCTATTACAATTCACCGGTGAATTCAGTGCAAATCTATATGCATGCACTCAAAGCCAATCCAGAGGACCACTATGCCTACGTCAGTCTGATATCTTCTCTGGAAAATGAAATGATGTTTCCGCCCGCTGGAAAAGAGAAAGAACTTCAACAGATCTTTCTCGAACTGATACGACTCAGACCGAGTATGGGTGACAACTATTTATTACTTTCTCGAACACTTAAAAGAGGTGAAAACGTCACATTGCCAAATGGCGATGTGATGACCCAAAGACATCTTTTTCAAACCTATCAATTTCTAAGTGATCGATATCCTAAAAGTGAATTTGTATATAAATAAATAAATGATTATTATTTCTATTAGATCAACTATTGTTTAATTAAACGTTTGTTTGTATTGAATGCATTTATTATTCTAAAGAAGTACAATGATAGTTTATAGAGTACTTAATAATGAAGTTTTCTTTTGAATAGATTATATCTTAAAGCTATTTATTGTTCAGATAGGATAAATGAAATAGTCATGACTTGTATTGTATGTTGTGGTAAACGAGAAACCAAATTTTTCGAAAATCTTTGAAAAAAAATAAATAGAAAAAGTCTTAATTTAGTTAGGTCGATTATTTTTTGTGGGTCTGTAAAGTCCAGATTAAAACAACATAATAAATAATAACAATAATAAATTATAATAATAAATATGGACCCAGCATTTTTGCAATATGTAACAAAACTAGGAATCAATCCAAACGATCCAAGAAATCTAGAAAAACTTGGTGATGCATACAAAATCTTTATGTCTAATGATAGTAATAGGAACAGTGTAAAGGAAAAGGCGGTGCAAGCGATTCGTTTGCGGCCTAATGAAAAAGAACCATATGTTGCACTTGCAACGGTACTCCAACCTGGTGAAACAGTGAAGCTGCACACCGGACAAGTAGTGGATGCCAAGCTAATGTATGTCAAGGTTGTAGAGATGGATCCAAGCAGTTTGAATCCATTAATTAAACTCTATGAGAGCATGACACCCTACGAAATTGTAACAATCAATGGCAAGAGGCTATCAAAGATGCATATCATAGCGAAATGCGTAGAGTTGAACCCAAACGAAGCGGATTTCTATGCGGCTTTGGCATTCTACTTGCAAGACACAAACAACGATGATGGATATGTAACACTAAACAATGGAAAGACAATGAATATCAATCAACTGCTATTGCAAATCATTCACCTCAGTCCCAAGCAAGCAAGTATCTATATGACACTGGCGGTTAGACTGTTGCCCACAGAGAAAATAAAGATGGTTTCGGGCGAGATTGTCGACAAGAAAAAGTTGATTCTCCTCGCAATGAAACACGATCCCACAATGCCAGACTATTACTTTTATCTTGGCAATCAGCTCGATGACAACAAACAGACAATCACACTACCTAACGGTAAATCTTGGAACAAGAAAGACCTGTATCTTCACACGATAAAGCTGAAGGGAAACTTCAAAGATGCTCACACCAACCTGGCGAGATCGATGGACAGCAACGAAACGGTAACGCTTCCCAACAGCTATTACAACTCACCGGTGAACTCCCGACAAATCTATATGCATGCACTCAAAGCCAATCCAGAGGACGACTACGCCTACGTAAGTCTGATAACAGCAATGGAAAATGAAACGATGTTTCCGCCCGCTGGAAAAGAGAAAGAACTTCAACAGATCTTTCTCGAACTGATACGACTCAGACCTAGCATGGGTGACAACTATTTATTTCTTTCTCGAACACTTAAAAGAGGTGAAAACGTCACATTGCCAAATGGCGATGTGATGACACAAAGACAACTTTCTCAAACCTATCAATTTCTAAGTGATCGATATCCTAAAAGTGAATTTGTATATAAATAAATAATTTACAATGTAAGATCTACTATTTAATTAAAATTTAATGATTGTTTATATTGCAAAGAGATGTAAAAAGTAATAAACTTCCTTTGATTTGGTTAATGACAGATAACCTCAACCTATCACTCGGACTTATATGGATGAGTTTGTTAAATAAATAAAGTGCTCACATGTTGAATTGTGTTTTTGTTAATTACCAAAATCTCCCGGATATTCACTGTTGATATAAAATTAATTTGAAATGTAGACCAGACTCCCATCCGAACATATACATAACCTCAACAAGCCCATAACAACAAATCAACAATTGTTGAATAATTATGATTCCCTAAAGATATGTCAAAGAAATAAAAATTGGTAATCTATATTTATTAAAATAAATAATTAATTACATTTATACTTGTTTAAATATCTTTACATATCTTATGATAATAATAAAATTGGATTTATAAAAATGATTTTAAAATTTTAAAACAATTCCAACTCAGATTCAAGATAATAGACAACTACAAATCAACTATTTACAACAACTTCCACAAAGACTGTCTCAAGTCTCAACTTAATTAGGTAATTAGTCCAAAAACCAAAGCTTAATATTTTGTATAGTTTGTAAACTGATCTTGTGATAATCTAAATTGAATTAAGGTCAATAATTAAAGTGATACTAATGCTTTTTTGATGAATAAATAAAATTTTATTTATGTATAAAGAGGATGATCCAAATATTATTGGATTTTTGGTAAAAAAAATAGATTGTGGGCAATGAAAGACACAAAATGTTTGAATGAAAAATATATAAATATCTTTAATATATAATATCTATAGAATTGATTGGTTGGTTGGTTGGTTGATGATTGGATTTTTGGATTGGGAGGTGTGAATATGATCAACATTTAACTTGACATCATCGTTGTGATTGATTCACTTGAATTGAACTCTTGGTTTAAAAAAGATCAATTAATCGGTTTGGGTGGTTTTAGATTGGACATTGAAGGATGGATAAGTGCTATCTACATTTGAGTTGTATTCGGTATATTTTAAATAGATTATTGATTGTTTGTTTGTTTGGTTGTTTTAAAAAAAATTATCGATTATTTACAATCTTGTTGGTTTTTGGTTGTTGTTATTGTATTGTTAGATAGGTTGTTTTGCAATAGAGGAATTGTTAAAGGATGGATATGAGAGATGACATTTCGATTGATGCCTAAGAACAAAGGATATTATTAATATTCATTGTTGCATCTTGTTTCTCTTCGAGCTCGGTTGAGTATCTTCTCTTTCTACTGAGAAAACTCTTATTGTTTTCTTTGGTTTTTGGTACCATTTCTTCTTCGTTGGAGCAATTGTTGTCGAAACGGTTGTTTTCATTGCTGCTGGAAATGGAAGTGTTGTTGTTGTTGTTGCTGCTGATGTTATTGTTTTCCTTGGAAGCTTCATCCAAACCTTCGAATTGGAATGCGGTCATTGCGAGGACATCGAGAGAACTTCCATCGTTGGCAATATCAACTGGCACTGCTGAGACTGCATTCATTTCCGATACGGTTGTTGGTGTAATGTAGCCTGCAGTCACTGGAACAGAATCTGACGAAAGATGTAATGTACTTCTAATTGGTTTACTACTGTTGGCAACATTGGAGTTGACAGTGTTGTTGGAATTGTTGTTGTTTTTGGAGTTGAAAATATTGTATGAATTGGTGTAGTTAAGTGAAGCTGACCTCGATCTGGAATTGGATTGTTTCTTTGGTGTAAAGTTGATGTTGTTTGGAAGTGTGTTGATTGTCGATGATGAAATTGGTTTTTTGTTGGCGGTGTTGTTGATGTTGTTGGTGACAGATGATTTAATTGCCTTGTCAATCATTGAGCTGATTGAATCGATACTCGAGATTTTGTTATTGTGGTTATTGTCGTCCTTTGATGATTTGTTGGAATTTGAAGAAGAATCGATTGACAAATTCATCTCACTATCGGAAGCGAGATCGTCGGATGCTGAAAATGATGAACTTGGTGAGAGATAACTATTGTTATTGTTATTGTTGGAGGAGGAAGTTTGTTTTATAGAGATTGGTGACATCGATGGGACTCTCTCTGCTTGATCGATACTCTTTGATTTCTTGAGTTTCTTTTTCTTGTTGGACAACTCTGGTACGTCGATTTGTTGATCCGGTTGAATCGGTGTTGATGGCTGTTGTGGGGAATACGATTGATTATTGTCAATCTCTGAGAATACCAAATGTGTTGAATTTGGATAAGTAAATTCATTCTAAAGAAAATGTTTATAAAATGTTAATTAATTTGTTTCAGAAAAAGACTTTATAAACTATGTTACCTTTAAAGCTTTTTGTTCAACTAAGAAACCTATTGAACCAAAGAGAGTGGTAATTGCAAGCATGTAATGCATTGGATTGTTACTCCAACCTTTGATGACTTTGGTAAAGTTGTTTAGCTTGATGGAGCTGGTCAACTCTTTGAATGGTGGGTAGGTGCAACAGTTCTCCCAAATCATCTTTCTGAGATTCGATGGAAGTTTGTCGAGATGTGGCGCCCAATATAAGAGATACAAGAGTTGCTGCAGAGCCGCTGGGAAACTGCAGTCCCACACGGAGCCAGAGAGGAACAGGTTGGCATTCAGAAGGAACGGGTTGCTTAGTGTGACATCGGAGTTCTCTTGGTCGAAAGAATCCTCTTCCTCCTCGGTCTTGGTCTGTGGTGAACACTGCTCAAAGAGATTGCTGTTGTTCTTGATGGCGTCGGTAAACGAGACGTACAGCATCTTGATCGAGTGGTAGTCGGGATTGGGCTGGCGAATGATGCTGTTGTAGTGAGCACGGAACTTGGAGGTTCGCTTGTCACTCCAGAACGGTGTGTCGCAGATCGAGAGACCCGATGGATCTACACCGGGATAGGCTTTGGTGAAGCAGGTCATTCTGTAGTTTTCCCAGACGATGGCACGTGCCGATGGCGAACAACGGTCGATCTGGCTAATCCAGACATTGAGTTGTCTGATATACGATTGGATGGTGGAGACTGAACTTGGATATTCGAGCATATCGTCGTCTTCGTCGGCTTCACTATCGAGATTGTCACGGTCTTCGTGTTGTTGCTGCTGACTCTCCATTGAAGGACTGATAATTTGTACCGGTGAAATTGGCCTGGAAATTGAGTCGACCGTTAAAGGTGACATGACAACTGACGAGGAATTACAAGCTGACATTAAATTTGAAATTGGACTTGATAAAGTGGTTGGTGATGAATTTGATTTGTTGTTGGTGGTTGTGGTAGTGGTGGTTGAAGTTGGATTAAATTTAGAAGTTGCCAATAATTTCTTTATAAACAATAATTTTTCATTGAAATTATTAAATTGTACTGGTGGATTGTTGTTATTATTATTATTAATGTTGCTATGTTGATTTGTATATTCCGGTACTACTATATTATTATTATTGTTGTTGTTATTGTTATTATTTTGATTTCCACTACTATTCAATTTAATATTATTGATATTGGGGGAGGAAGACAAAGATGATGATCTCGATCTATTGGTACTGGTAGTAGTGTTATGAGTGAAACCATTGTTATTATTATTATTGTTATCTTTAATCATACTTCTAAGTAGTATTTCTTCATTGTTGTCATCATCCATCATATAATTATCTATAGAGGCAGCTGTAGTTGTAGAGTGATAACCGTGGTGGTGGAGCTGGAGTTGATTATGATGATGGTGGTTGCTAACAAAGTATCTCGAAGAAGATCTACTGATATCTTCTGGACCGATTTCAATCTGATTATAATGTGAGTTTTTATGTTTCATTTTTTTTGGTTGATTTTTTTTTTTAGTTCGTTTTTTTTTGGTTGAGATTTGGACAGACTCGTGTGTTGGCTGGTTTCGTTTTTTACTAAAATATATAATTATATTGCTGTTGTCTGTTGACAACGTAAAAAACGTGGTTAAAAATTACTATTTTTTTTGGTTAATTTTAAAATAATCTAAAAGTGTGAACATAAAAGTCCAAATTAATTAATAAAAAATCTAGAAAACAACCTAAAAAATCTTGAAACGAAAAAATAAATAAAAAAATAAAAAAAGTTGTAAAAATAAATAAAAAACAAATACGAAACAAATAACAAGATAGTTAAGTTATCTTATTGTTGTATTGTTTGTTGCTTGCTGATTAGAAGAAGATAAGATATTGAATACTGTAAAGTATTAAATTAATTTTGTTTTTGTTTTTTTTTTTTTTGTAAATAAATAAGATATTTTTTTTTGTTTCTTTTTTAGATTATTATATAAATTTTGATACGATACCAACATATTATACAAAAAAGGATATTGAAAAACAAGATAACAACACAAAAATAACAACAAATTTTGGTTTTTTCACAAAAGTTTGATGAGGGCTTTCGGTGTGGGGTGGGTGGTGGAGGAAGTGTGTGATTTTTTTTTTGTTATTTTCAGCTGAAAAACCAATCTTAACAGAGAATTTGCTGAGTATTGGATTCTTTTTTGTTGTGATGGTGTTGTTTAGAAATAAATGAGTTGCAACAACAAATTATTTATTTCTTATCTCCTTAAAATCACCAATCGTTTGATTTCTCAAAGTTATCTGATGAGTGTGTTGTTCTATATTTTGCAAAGTGCACTTTTAATATTAATCAATCACACACATTATAGTTTGGTTTGTTGTTGTAATTATTTTTGGGATTTTTTTTTATTTTTTACTCTATAATTATTATTGATTTTAACTATTCTATTACTGATTGTGTGTGTGTGTGTGTTCTTGTGTGCATTATAATTGTAGAACAGAGTTTTAATAGAATGATCATGTTGTTTTTGTTGTTATTATTGAGTTATGTGCAAATATGACAAATAAAGACTAGACTATTTGCCAATTGGGTGTGAAACTTAACAACATTGATGATGGTATTGAAACAATCAACAACAAGATATGTAGTGATTGGTTTTTATTTATAAAAAATTATAATAGGTGGGTTGGGTTACCTTTTTGCTGAATATATCTTGATTCTTTTGTTAATTTAATAATGGTTGCTTTTATTGGAAGTTTAGGGTGTCAAAAGAGTGTGAACTGACAATGGATATTTATTATTATTGTGTGTGTAAGATTAGAATATATAACACTTGTGATAATTTAATTTAAAAATAAATAAATAAATAGAATAAATAAATAAATAGATTAAAAGAAGAAAGGAGGTGATATTGATGTTTGTGTTTAAAATATCTGTGAATGAATTTGAAAAAAATCAAGAAAAAAGAAGATTTTTTTATTTGAAGGATAGATAGATATTATTATTATTATTTTAAGTTTTTGATTGTTGTTTAGTTTATCTCTATGTTAAGTGAGTTTGATTGTTGTTTGAGAAATGAAATGATGATTGCTTGTTCAACAAAACTATTATTAAAAAAAAACAACAACTAAAAAAGAATAAAAAAAGATGAAAGCGGTATAGATAGATTGATAATTACCTTTTCGAATCTAAAAGATCTTGGATTAATTAATAATAAGAAGATCAGGAATGGGGTGATTGAATATTTCACACGAAATCTAAATTTAGTTGGATATTTGTTTTTTAGATTTTTTGATCTAGTAAAAATTTTTGACTGAAATCAAAAATTCAATGAAATGAATTTAATTTGGTTAGTGTTGGTGACAATTTAAAAAAAAAGAATGCAAAGCCAGCGAATCGATGAATATATTTTGAATTGTGTCAAATGGAAGGGAGAAACCAAGTTGTGTAAAAATAAGAAAGTTGTATTTGATTTTTTGTGTTTTTGATTTGTTTTTATAACTATATACAAAATAAAATTGAAATTAACTTTAATAAATAAATAATGAAAAATGGGTGATGAGAGTTGTTCGGATAATGAGTATAATTTAATGATAAAGGAATTTGGATAAAAATGGATAATATTAAATAATCTAATATGGATGAAAAAAGTCTAATATGTTATGATTTACAATTTGGATTTGATTTGTGATTTTATTTTAGTGATACAATGAAAGGTAATAGCACATGTACAAGGGAAGGAAAAGAAAAAAAGATAGATATTTAATTCTACATGTAGATAATATTGATTATTGAAAAAAGTAAATTAAAGCAAATAAAGCCTAAAAGATATTATTTTGTTTATTAATGAAGATGATGAGGTAGATGTTGATTCGAATCAAAAACTTCAAAAAAAGTGTAAAATTTTCTTAGGAATTTAAATTAAATTAATTTATTTAAAAAAACTAAAAGAAGATTATTTTTTTGCAATTTAATTTAAATTATCATGAAAAGATCAATAATCTTCAACAAACAACAACAAAACAACAAAACAACAAAACAATAAACACTACAAACTAAACTATTGTTGTTGTTTAGTTTTCTAACTTTTTTTTACAAAATCAACATTAATCACCAGTGTGCACACAATAAGCAACAACAAACAACAAATAATTGTTGTGTTGGTGCGCCTCGCTCGTGTACCATCAACACATTAAACTTTTAGAGAGTCGGGGGTGTGATACTTGTTTAACAGTAATATTAGGAGTATAGGTGTTGTGAGTTCACAGGTTCACATCAAAATTAACAATATCAAAGAAACAGTTGGAGAATTCTGACAAAGTTGTTGTTGTTGATGTGGTGAGGAAAAAATTTCAGCCCAATAAATATCATGATTGTTGGGGCAAAAACCTTAAAATTACATTAAAAAGATTTTGCTACACTCATCACACAACAAAAACACTGGGTTCATTTACCTTTTTAGCAACACAAGGTTTACGCAAACCTTTTTTTGTGCTTTAAGCTACTACTCAAAAAAAAGGGAACTTGTCAAAATGATGTGATACAACGTGGTAAGAGGTGGGGTGCTTTTTATAAAACAACTAAATAATCTCCTTCGATTTGTGTTTAAGGGTTTCCAGATTAATTAAATATGTGTGGTTTGTTTGAAAAAGAGGGTAATTATAATTGTGCGTGTTTTGTTATTGCCCATACATGCCTGGGGCAAAGCTAACTTCAAATTATTTAGTTGTGTTGGAAATACATCAATAAGAAGTAATCAATGTAAAAATAATTGTAAATGTATCTTAGTGAAATGTTCACCAAGAGTTCGTGGAATAATTGGTGGTAATTGGAATAGATGTGTTTTTAAAATGACACATTTGTTGTCTAATGTGTTGTTGGTGAGAGGTGGTGTATTTATTTACGGCAGGTTAGATCTGATTAGCCCGTTTGCTCTTTAATGTGATCATCGACAATCACAAAGACTAAAAACAGTTTAACAAAAGTGTTTTTAGATACAACACACACACACACATAAAAATACTCTTATCTATTTGTTTGTATTATAGAGACTATTGGGAGATACAATGTGTTTGTTGTAGTAGTTGATGATTTAAACTAATAATTCTGTACAAGTGAGGAGGAGGTGTGATGATTGATATATCAGCTCTGATATTTAAAATTGTTATTTTTAAAGTATGACGATGATGATAATAATAAGTTGGGTTGAATCATCTGAAACTTTCTTTATAATAAATCAAAGATACTATTGTATTTTGAACAATTAGATTTAACATGAGTTGTGTTGTTAGTCTTAAAGAAAAGATAAAGTTTCAAAGATTTTTGCAAAAAAAACTCTAAAAAAAATAATTTTTTGTGTCTTTCCTTCCAATTATGTTAAAAACAATAGGCAAACCAAGTAGTTTTGAACTTACCCAATGACTAAAAATGGTAATAATTTTAAAGAGAAGAATCTAGTATTAATTTATTTTTTTCTTAAATCTATTTAAAAATATTATCATTAAATATATATAATAGTGAAAATAATTAATAATAAATAATAATAGCTATATATCTAACATATGATTAATTTTAATAAAGATAGATAAAAATAAATAAATAAATATCTAAAAAAAAAAAAAATCAAAAAAAAAAAATAAAATTATAATTTTACAAATACAAGGTATAGTTGCAATGATAGTCAATGTATGGATGTTTTGATTAAAATTATAAACTGATGGGCATTAATAGTAATATTGGTACTATTTATTTAATTATATTTCATTTTTTAAATATTTAAATGTATCTGAACAAACCAATAAAAAATCCATAAAATATTCTGATTTTTTTATATTACCAACACAATTTATGAATTGAACCTTTATTATTATTTGTTTTTATATTATTATACAGTAGCTATACACACAATGATACTGTATCTGAATTTGAATAATATCAAAATAATAATAAAAAAAAAACAATTTTGTTGTCATGTTCATCAAAATTATGATTTTATTTTTGATTCTTTGTGTATGTATTATCAATAAAAATAACCACATGAAACGGATAAATTCGATAAAGATTTAAAATTTTGTTAGACATACACTTTAAGTTATATAGAATTTTATAAGGATTTTTGTTAAATAGATATTTAAAATTTAATTTTTGAATAATTATTAAATTGATGTAATAGATAAAATAAGAAATCAATCTATAAATAATAAAATATAAAAATAAATAATATCATATTTATCATAATAAAATTAATCATTATTTATATCTTTATTATTGATACCACACATTTAAGAACATTAAACCCCTCTCCACTCTTTCATTTTCTTTTTTGATCTTCTAAGATGGTCCAAAAAACACATAATTAAGAAATTACCACTTCATTAACAACAATATAAATAAACAAATTATATTTATAATTTGTTTGACAAATATCTATGTGAATCATTTAAAATGATCTTGACACACACTTCGCACACACACACACACACCCAACATTCATCAATTTTGATAAAGCAATAGTATTTTATTTACAAAAGAAATGGGTTTAATTGTAATCAAACCAAATATTATCTTCAAGTCTTTCATAAATGAAAGACCAATAGTATTGAAATGAACAACAACAGCTTAAATCTAACTCAATCACATACGATACATAAGTAAATAATCAGCAAAATCTCCACTAAAATAGAAGAACTCTAAGTAAACAATAGGAGATGTTTTGTGATACAACAATGAATTAATAATAAAATTCATTACAACAACATTGATTTAATTGTTAAATCAATAGATTTTTTTTTTATTGTTTATTTTTAACTTTGTTTTAAAACAAGGTGTGAGAATGAGAATGAAAATAAACATTTAATGTTTGTGGGTCTACTGCTGATCTAACACTATTTGATGGCCTTGAAAATGGTAACTTGTATTTTCTGTAAAATAACACAACACAACAAAAGGTAATTACATAACATTTTAAATCTAAAAGTGGAAAAAAGAGTTTATTTGTTGTTGTTGTGGTTATTGGGTTCCAGAGATGGGTATATTGATGACAATTTTAGATTTAATTTAATTTTGTTTTATTTTCGATTTATTTTGATTTTTGTTTCTTATTGTTATTGTTGTTGTTGTTATTGTTTGTTTGTTTAAGAGAAGTGACCTTATTAGATTCTTTTTTGTTGAGATTGATTTGGTGAGTGACATGATTACGATCGGCACGTGTCACCGGTTTAATATAGGTTCCGGCAGCAACAGAGAGTTTCGGTTCAATGAGTTTCTGGTAGACAGTACGAGTATTCCAATCTTTTCCAAGTGGTACCTCCAGTGTACTTTCATATTGTTCTTTACTCTCATAATGCATCGGTGTTTTACTCAATAAATATTTAGATACACCCTACAAATTAATTAAAGTTAATTTTAAATGATTGAAATAAGTATCAAAAATAACAGTTGTTTAAACTTACGGAAATATTTGATTTCTCATCGATTACAACTCTACTGTTTTTATAATCGGATCGCTTCTGTGCAATTGCTTTGAGTTTAGCTTCACGCTCTCTCTTTAGCTTGGCTTCGTCAACCTTCTTTTCTTTGATTCCATCGCCAGTCCACGATCCCCAGCCCGGTAGTTGTTTGGGTGGAGCGTTCTCCTCTTCGTGTTTCTCCAACTCTTGCTCCAACAGCTCCTGCTTGGCCTTGGCAAACTCGTCTTCAACATTGTCTCTGGCGAACGCTTCCAAAAGTAACTCCTTTTGTTTATTCGATGTAATCAATGACATTCCTGGATGTTTTCTCTTCTTATTACTATTATTATCTTCTAACTTATTATTAATATTATTATCTGTTGTTGTTGTTGTTGTTGTTTTATCTATACTATCTACATTCTTTCTCTTATTGTTACTATTATTAATATTATTATTGTTAATAGGTACAATATTATCCATATCAACTAAAACCTTTTGTGATTGTTTCTTCTTTTCCTTGTTCTTTCCAGACTTGTTGGATTTGGTGACTTCCAACCATGGATTCTCCATTTGTTCGTCTAAATTGTCTTCATCGATCTCCTTGTTTACTTTAATCGATTTGGTTTCCTGTTTCTTGTTTCCACCTTGAATGTTCTCTGTTTTCATAGATTGTTGTTGCTTTCCAATTGAGATTTGCTCTGACATTCTCATCTTGTGACCTCCAGACAATGCAACTTGATCGAGTTGAGTATGTCCACTTGCTAGTTGTTCGGCACTCAACACCGCCTTGTTGGAGCGGACCGGTCTATGAACGGCAATACGATTCTCATTCTCGAGAATGGTCATCTGAGCTTCCTCCTCCTGCTGCTCGTAGTCATCGCTACCACCGGATACGCTCTTCTTCAACTTTCTATCGAGATCACGCTCCAACTTTGATTGCATAAACTTCATTCCGTTGATTCCAGTCTCTTTGAGATCGACTTGCTCCGACATTCCCAAGAGATCCAACTTTGCTTGAATTCTATCTTTCATTGACATTGCCGGATCGATTGAATCAACATCGGTTCTTGTTATTTCTTTAGGTTGTTGTTTTGATTTAGTTGTTGGAGCGACAACTTCATCATCTCCACTATCAACTTCATCGTCACTATCTTTCTCTCCTTTACGTCTATTCATACGTCCCATCAGCGACTTGGATAGCTCCTTTCTCTCATTGATATCCTGACGAATCTCACTGGTCAATCCACCCTTGAGTGCACTCTTCATGAACTTACTGTTGTTCTTGTGACGCAGTGTCATTCTCTCACGGATTCTCTGCTCCTCGGCCATTGCCTGCTTGCGCTTGGCATACTCCGGATCGAGTCTGGCCAGTTCCTCCTCACGCTTCTGGCTGTCTTTCTCCTTTTGTTTCTTCTGAATCTTACGATAGGTCTTTGATTTGATCTTGGATTTACGCTTGTTCTTGATCTCCTGGTAGAACATAATGTTACGCAGCTTGATGATCTCTCTCAGACGCTTGCGCTCCTCTTCGGAGTTGGCCTTCTCCTTGTGGCTGACCGGCTGCATTCCACTCTCGCTCAGCGCAGCGTTGATCTCCGACGAAAGGTCAGACGCGTTGGCAAGCGACGACGCCGCAGCAGCCAAAGAAACGGTTTGATTCAACTTTATCTTTGACTCAAACACTTTGGTTGCCTTTTCTTTCTCTGCCTGAATGAACGGCATCCACTTGTTCAAAATTTTTTGTGTTGCCTTCAGCGTCACCTTTCGCTGCAAACGATTGCTATCCAACTTGGACATTGGCAAGGGCAGTGCTTCCTTCTCGGCCAAACCTTCCAACTCACTCTTCAATCCATCGAATCCCTCTGGAATCATACTTAACAAATCTGACATCAAAATTTGATCTAAACAAAACAACAACAATAATAATAATTGGAAATTTCTAATTAGTAAGAATATTTAAATAGGATAACAAAAACAATAACATTGTATTCATACCATCTTGAGTTGGTTGTAATCCAAACTCTGATTCATCACCAAAGTATTCTGTTAATTCTGGTAGTTTGTTGTTGTTGGAACTCTTTAGTTTGGTGTTGGTATTGAGTCCATCGATGACAGATACAAGTTTACCATGTTCACCATCCTCTTGCTCATCTTCATCCATTCCATCATCTTCGAATTCCTCCCCATCAAATAATTCATCATCGTCAGAGTCATCTTCATCTTGTTCACTATCTCCAGAGACGATTTCATTGTCTTCTTCTTCTTCATCACCACTGATGAGTTCGTCATCATCGTCATCACCATTTAGTAATTCTTCATCGAAATCCTCTTCATCTTCTTCATCAACATCGGAATCCTCATCATCTTCATAGATTGGTTGTTGTTTCTTGGTAACTTTTGTTGTAGTAGTTGTTGTAGTTGGTTTTGGAGTTGAAGTTGTTGTAGTCGTTTTTTGTTGTGCTTGTTGTTTGGCAACTGGTTTTGGAGTTGGTTTTTGTTGTGGTTTAGCAGGTTGACTTGGTGTCGACTTCTTCTGCTTCTTTCTCGATAAACTCTCCATATTATCATCGTCCAAAAGATCTGTAAAATCAATATATTCAACACCGTCATATTCTTTATCCTCTTCGTATTTATTCTATATAATTATCATTTGATTATTAGTACCACTTATTTTTATTGTTGTTGTTGTTTTTCGCTATTAAAATTAATGCTACTTACCTTTGATCTCTTTGAAAACAGAGAATCACCATACATATCATCGTCAGAGTCATTCTGTTCGACTTCATCATCTTCGATCTCCTCGTCTTGGAAGTTCTTGGCGAGTTTGTTATCCACCATGTTTAGATCTGGAGCGTCGTTTTCTTCGTCATCGCTATCACCTGCCATCTGATGATATGACAATGGGTTGTATTCCTCTTCTTCGGTATCTCTCGATTGCTTTTGATAACCACCTCTACCTCTTCCTCTTGCTCCACCTCTACCTCTTGGTGCTCCACCGCCACCACGACCGCCACCTCTTGACATTCCACCACGACCGCCACCTCTTGACATTCCACCTCTACCTCTTGGTGCACCTCCACCACCACCACGTTTCTTTAACATTCCACTCATATTATATCTATCTATCTATCTATTTATCTGAATATAATCTAATATATAATCTAATATCTAAATTAATAAAAATAAACAAATATAATATAAGTTCGATCGAAATAAATAAAAAGTGTTTTTTTTTAAATAAAAATATTGTAAATCTTTCGTTCGGTCATTTTTCAACAATTTTTTTAATTTTTTTTTAATTTTGACAAATTTTTTGCAATTTATTTTTAAAAAAATTTTGAAATTAAAAAACAGTTTTGACCGTTAAGGAATTTGAAAGTGAGAGGAGTGTTAAGAGATTACTACCTATTTTGTTCTATATTTATTTTTTGCATTAACACTTAACAACACACACACCAAAAATGACAAGTGATCTTGATATGCAACAAGATCAAGATATGAATAATAATAATAATAATAGTAGTAACAATAATAGTAATATAGATAATCATTCGACAATTGTAAATAGTAATAATAATGGATTAGAAGAAGAAGAAGAAGATGTTGATATAGATGAAGTTGAAACAAATACAACAACAACAACAACTACTACAACAAGTAGTAATAATAATAATATACATAATGAACATCCAATGGATGAAGATGATATAGATGACGATAGTCATATAACTGCAGAGGAAGAGGAAGAAGATAATCATGTGATTGAAGAAGAAGGCGAAGAACAAGAAGAAGGAGTAATGGAGGAAGAAGAAGAAGAGGAAGAGGAGGAGGAGGAAGTAGAGGATGACGATGACGATGATGAAGATTATGTGGATGACGAAGAAGAGGAAGAGGATGAGGAAAAAGATATGTCTGAACAACAACAGCTTGATCAAGATGGCCAGTTGGATATAGAGATAGATCAGCAGGATCAACAGCAACTACAACAACTACAGCAACTGCAGCAGCAGCAACAACAACTGCAACAACAAGGACAAGATCAGAAGCCAAGAGAGGTATTTAAGATGCCAGAGGACTATCTCATCCCGATCAAGCTGGACGTACACAACGGAATCTACAAACTCTCCGATTCATTCCTCTGGAATCTCAACGAGGATTCCATCACACCGGAGCAATACGCCAAGAATCTATGTACAGAGATTGACTATCCCGAGTGGTTCGACGAGATGGTTGCAACATCGATAGCCAACCAAATCAACAGTCATCGTGAAATCATGAGAAAACTCAATGAAATGTTACCATCGTTAGGTTCCGAAAGATTAGTACCAATATTTGTAAGTTTAATCTATTATATAGATTGTTGTTGTTGTTGTTGTATATACTTTATATTTATATTTTTATTTATAATTAAATTATAGTTGGATTTAACAGTTAATGGATTAAATTTAAAGGATCAATTCGATTGGGATTTGTTTTCATCTAATAGTGTAGAGGCATTTGCAAGATCGTTGTGTCTGGATCTCGGTTTGTCAAGAGAGTTTGAGAATGCTATTTCATTTGCCATTAGAGAACAGATTCAATTTTACTTTCATCAACTCACACTGAACCCAGTGAAATTCCCAATTAGAGCACCAGTTCACATTCAACAAGTTATTAGAAATGATTTTGAATTACCTGTTTGGTAAGTTATTATTATGAATAGACAATTATGTTGTGTAATATTAATCTTATCTAAATCAATAATTATGTAGGACACCAACTGTCATTCGTCAAGGACAAATACCATTCCCATATCCATCGAATATGATACCTCAACAACTAAGAAGATAGGATGTGATGTGATTGATATTCGATGATGATTGAAAAATAAAAATAAAAATAATCTTAAAATCAAAAATAGATAGATATTTAAAGGTATGAAATTCTGTTTCAGTATTGGAACCTAATGTTTCCTTTGAAACTTTAACAAAAAAAAAAAAAAAGATATTTCTGCAAAATAACTACCAACACCCGTTTTTTATCATAATGAAAAAGATTTATAATCTCCAAAAGATGACCACAATGCACCAATAAAAATGTAAATTCTACTCTTTTGCTACCTGACAACAATGAAATAGTCAAATAATATTCAATACAACTTTTATTAGTTAAATTTAAACAAAGTTGTTACATAAGAATAAAATATAATAAATAGAATACCTTTTAGAATATTTAAGTAATTTCCTATTATTAAATAATTAGATTTGTATGTATTGACAATGTCTTAATCTATTATTTAGATATATATTAGATTTATTAAAATGTTTCTTCAATAAAAAAAAAGTCTTTAGAACAAATAGATTGAAATGTTTGAAAGAATTACAGGTGGTGGAATTGTTGTTTTAAAACCAGGTAGCACCCTTAGATCCAATCCAAATGCTATAATAACGGAAACTCCTCCTTCAAATCCAGGTTTTGGAGGTGGAATGAACACAAACCAAAACTTTAAGAAATGAAATAAACTACAAACGGTCGAACCTAGTTTTGTAATTTCTTTCAAGTTGCTCTAAAATGACAACTCAACTTTTAAAATAATTATAGTATTATTATTTTTTTTATATATAATGTTACATACAATGCTAAAATAATTGTAATTGTTTTTGATATTTATAAATATCAAGTTGCTCCTAACACCAGTTTGTTTGGAACCCGCTACAATTTCCCATGGAATCTAGATATTTTTATTTATTTTTTTGATTATTTTCAAAGTATTTTTTTTGTTTTTTTTTTTGATCTTTTACACTAATTGGTTTAATTTTAAATTTAACAAAATGAATGATGTTATAACAACCAAAATTTTCAGAATCTGAATAGATTTTATTTATAGAAAACTAAATGGGTAGTGTATTATTCTATAATTCTAGAATCTAGAATTAGTTTTATAGTTAAATAGCTATATATTCGTTGTTAACATAGAGAATTCATTTTAATATTCCGAACCAATTCTATAGCTTTTGCAAAACCAAGTCCTTATACTCCAAACGGAGACCCTAGAACAAAGCCCGGCTTGTTGGCACCACCAAAACCACCACCTCCTCCACCTCCACCCATGGTTCCAGGTGGTGGTGGATTCCCTAATCAAACACAAGGTAGTGGTTGGGGAGTCTAAACAATAGAACAGCATAGGTAGTTCTTTCCCTTTTTTGTTTCTTTCCCAAAAACAAACAAAAGTATTCCAAACTTCTACTTCTGTAACAAAACAACCTATTTTATAATTATGATATATCATCATAATCAAATAAAATCAATAATTATTTTAGTAATAATAGCTAGATAGATGATCATTTTAGAATAAACTAAACCAAATCTGTCAATTCAAAAAGATCCGATAGATATTTAATACTTGTTCTAAAAAAAATTACTTAGCAATACCTTTTTGATTTTTTTTAGATATTTTTTTGATTCAAAAATTCACAATCTTAAAATGATTACCATTCAATCGTTAATTAAACCTCATTTTACACCATCATTATTATTATTACCTAATATTTTATTACATTATAATTAATAAATACACAACAACAAATAGTTTCACTTCAGAAAAAAAAAAAGATTTATTTATTTACTTTCTGTTAATTAGAAACGATGGGTATGATTTAGTTTGTTTAATTTTTAATTAAATAATATCTTTAATTTTAATCTATCTTTTTAATTCAATAAAGCTTTTAAGGTTGATGATCATGACTTTGACCATCAAAAACCAGGATCAAGCAGAATAAACATATCTCCTATTGCACCTTCAACTCAACCACAACCATCTCCTATCATAAAAAAAACACCAGCAAAAGGGGGTTGGGGATCATAATCAAAAGTCAATAGTCAATTGACAAGTTATCCAATTTAATTATGTAAATAATTGTTTTATATAAATAAATCACCAATCATTATTCTTCACAATATTGTATAATGTATTTACAATTGACATCACACTGTCGACATCATGTGCTATGTAGTAAACTATCATTTTTTGCAACACCAATCAATACATTATTTCTATATATAAATAGCATTCCTATATATAAATAAATAATTTATAATTTATAATTTCAAAAATATTAAAAACATTGATTTTATTTATTATATTTGATTTGAAATCTATCAAATTGAGAATTGCATGTAATTGTGTAGCTAGTGCTCCACGAATCTGAATAGAGTAATTATAGACCAGGTGGTTGGGTGAGCATTCGGTTGATGAATAGTTTGTATGTTGATCTTATGCCCCTCATTTATGAAATGTTCGACGGCATTGGTGACTCTATGATCTTTAGGAATGCTTCTCGGTTCTGGACCCCAAGGCCGGTTCTTTCAAATGATGACTCTCTGAAATACACCAAATTTAACTGCGATGGCAAGCTCTGCATGTATACAAGACCAGCATTTGTTCTGAAGAATTCACCAGCCTATTTTAATCGTTTGTTAACTGTGCAGTTCATCTTTCAGCCATTGATCAAAAGTGGTTTCGTCAAGCGCACACTTCCAAGAAAAACTTACTCCATTTCAACTTACCATGATTGTGACGACTGCTAGATTAAAGGCTGTATATATTATATTGATTTTGAAGAATGAATCAAATTATTAAAAAAAATCAATCAATCAATCAATTAATTTCTTCAAATTTATATACACAACTAATTGTGTATCAATTTGAAACATACCGTTGTAAATACTGTCATACTAGATGATTTAGTCTAGCTAATATAGATAGAGACTACTGATGATTACAATTGGTAAACTAGGAGGTCATCGACAGCTACCTACATCCTATCTTTTTATCGAACAATCAAGTCAGCGATGACTTGACCACCAAACTACAGTTCTCAACTTGTTAGATTTATCAAAAAATAAACAAAATCAATGTTTTTGATTGCAATCAAACTATTCAGAATAACATTTCATTTAATCAAATTTGGAAATCTTCTTTCTAATTAAAAGAAATCTTAAACTAAAAAAAGAATTCAAATAAAATCATTTCAAATCACTTTTTATTTATTATCGATAACGTTATAAGTGAAAAAATTAATTAATTAAAAAAAAAAAAAAAAATTGCAAAATTAATGTGGTGTTCATTTTTTTATTTAAATGACTGAAATTTTAATTTATTATCATTTTGAAATTAACTGAGTTTTTTTGAAAAATAAAAATAACCAAAACAATTTGTTGTTATTTATAAAATTATTTATATTTTTCAAAAAAAAATAAAATAAAAAATCAGTGTTTTTCGAACTTCAACACCATTCAACACTCACACATTAAAAAAAACTAAACAATAAATTAATATAACCCAAACACATCAAGATCAATAAAATCAATCAGTAATATATAATAATTCGATCGATTCGATAGCAATTTTACATTTAATATATTATAATGTATTAAAAAAAATCAATATCTACTACATATATATTTATAAAGAAAACAATCATATAATATTTATTATTTTAAAGAAACAAAAGAAAATCAGATAGATGATCATCATCATAAAATTAGAATTCAAGATATTTTAGAAATATATTCATATATATTTAGTCAGGCAGTCAAAAGTAGTCAAGTTCATATATATAGTACAGACATGTCTGGAAATCAGAATAAAAATTTTGGAAAAAGAAATTCTAAAAATGGTAATTATATAATGAATATAATATATTTAAGATTGATTCAGATTTAGATAAATTTGCATTTCACACACACACACACACTTCAACAACTGTTGTGATCATCGACTTTTAATTTAATTTTTCAAAAATGATGATTATAACCATCATTTTTTTTAATTTAAAAAACACATTGTTTTAACTTTTTTTTTTTTTTAATTAATATATTTTCAAAAATATCTTACTTATTAATATATATATATATATTATACTTTAATATATAGGACCGCCAATGGATTTAGAGGTAGTGGCACTTGGTGCAGCCAATAGGAAGAAACCAGCTGCAGTTTCGTCGGCAGGTGTCACAGTGGTTACACCACCGAATATCACTGGTGGTAAACCATTCGATGGCGATATGATGACTGCTGCTGCTGCAGTTTCATCGCCTGGCGAACCACTAAACAAGAAGTTGAAATCCGAAAATATCTCAACTATACAGCCACCGCAATTGGTATCTCCAATGCTTGTACAACAACAACAACAACAAATGCAACAACAACAACAGATGCAACATCAACAAATGCAACAACAACAACAACATATGCAACAGATGCATCAATCGATGGTAGTCCCACCACCAAACTTTATACATACACAGCAACAACAACAGCAACAAATGCAGCAAATGCAACAGATACAACAACAGATGATTCAACAACAGCAATTACAACAACAGCAACAGCAACAACAAAGAGTAGCAGCAACAACAGCAGGCGGTGGTGTTGGACAACCTTCATTGTCAGTCAGTGAGATATCAAGTATTCTAGAGGGATTGTTGAGTGTGGAAATGAATGATGCTGCGCTTACGACGGATAGAGAAAAGTTGATACGTACTCTGAGATTGGTGTTGCAGTCTTTCAAGACACTGCCGGCTGCCACTGCCAATGCTCTGCAATCGGAGCCTTATCTCTCACTTCAGAACTTGGCAAAGCGATTGCCACAATTGTTTGCAGCACCCGAACTACTGGAGCCACTGCTTCTCCTGCTGAGGAGGGAACCCACACAGATTGGACAGCAAAAGAAGAACAACCTATCGATGGTACTCGCTTGTAACCTGCTGATGTCAGCCTATGAGAGTGTACGTGACTGGCCCATCCAGATGTTTGTTGCATACATCGATGATGCCGTTGGCGATCGTCTCTGGGTGGACGATCAAAACTGTAAAAACTTCACATCCAACATCCTCTCTTCGTTGCCAAGCAAAACCGCAACACCCGCAGCAACAGTAGTTCCACCACCTACACTCAACAGCAACAGTAACAATCCGACAGCTACAACAGGAACAACATCAAAACCATCACCTTTAACATCACCACCTCTCAACAATAGTGGATCGACAATACCAACATCTTCAACATCAACATCAACATCCTCAACAACATCGTCAACTTCCTCAACTTCATCATCAACAGTTGATGATGATGAAGAAATTGAGGAAGAGATTATATCTTCTTCTTCATTTGGATCACAAACACAACAACAATCGACAACAAAAACAACAACAACAGCAACAACTAGTAGTATTAATTCACCAACAAATAGTTCTAGCAACAACTCTAGCAATCTAAGTAGTACAAGTAGATTCTCACATTGTCAGGTGGATTTGATTAGATATATAGTTCAACAAATTAGATCGATCAATGTATCGTTCAATGCAAGAGGATTGGTGAGATTGTTGATGTTGACAGTTGGCTATAAAGAGTCGAGAGTCGAGGGATCGGCGTTGATCGAAGCTCTGCTTGGCAATCAGAATGTATTTAGACCGGCCAAAGAGTATTTGACGACGCTGGTTGCACATTGCACTGAGACAACACCGGAGGATCTAAAGACAGTGCAAACGCTGATGAGAATCAACGTTGCTTCCGCTCACACCGAAGTGATACCAACGCTCCTAGCCAACAATCAAGGCTACACCGGTGTGGCGCTGCGACAAGCTGTCGAGATTGAACTCGATGTGTCAGCGGCATCGTCTCACCAACTGCCCAAGTCGAAGCTCGCCACTATCTTTCGGCACTTGGCGCCGTTGCGTGGCGAAGAAGAGTTGGCGTCGATCTTCAAGGAGTTGGCGTTGCGCGACGACTATCTGAAACTGGCACCGAAAATGATTGTCCGAAAGATCCTCAAAAACTTTATTCAGGTGAATCTCGTTTATTTCTTTACGCAACTCACCGATATCTCGAAAGACGAAGCGTACATCACGCGTGATATCCAAACCAAAGATAGATGGGCACAACACATGATACATATAATGTGTCAGATTCTCTTGATGACACCGGGAATCACTGAAATCTCCAAGGATGCCAACAACATGCGTCTCATCCTCTCACAAGTAACCACATCTGCCATCACATGGTGCTCAACTCTCATCGACATCGTCATATTAAATCCAGCAGATCTAATTGAATTTATAAAGAAATTACTTTTCTTTGATCCAATCAATTCATATGTAAGTACATTGTTATAATATTTAGTTTAGTTTGATTTCATTCCATCTCATCACGTTCAATTCAATTCCATACCATACCATTCAATTCAATTCCATTCCATACCATCCCAATATCTATTTCCATAATATTAATTTCTTTATTTCCAATATTTTCCATATAGTTCCCTCTTCCAAATGCAATTATTGATATCGATAGAAATGCATATCGTATTTTATCGACGGAGGTGCAGATTCATCAAGTTGCAATAGATACACTGTTGACATTGGCATTTGAATATAATTTAGATCGTCGAGTTATTCTTGATTTCATCGATAGTTTGTTGCGTCGATCACTTTCGATATTGTTTAAATTCGGTATTGTTTCGAATATTACCAATCCGGCACTGGGCGAATCGATTATGCAATTGTCACAGATTGCGGGAACACAACCGGTACTCGGTGACATAAAGATATCGTTCGCTCCACTATTCTGGCAAGCTGCTACCACCGTTTGTCTACTGTCATGTCTGGCACCGTCGGTTGTTGGCAGTCATTTCTGGAGTCATTGTCCAACCATCCGACTGCTCCTAGAGATGGTGATAACCCGCTCATGGAAATTCCCTCCCTACCAATCGAAATCCATTTCCTCCAATCAATATCAAATCAATGAATTGAATCAAAAGAACAAAGAGATTGATTTAATATCAAGTAAGTTGCAACATCAAAGCAAACTGAAACAAACTTTAACAACCTAAACTAACAACATATCAAATTTAGAATATCAACAATTATCAAAGATTGATTTTATATTGTATAATTTACAATCTTGTGCTAGAAAACCACCTGATGAGTTGATCGAGAGAATTCAGAGACTGGATACCGATTTCCATTTGGGATTTTCGTTGTGTGCTTGTCGTTCACCTGATTATCTGTTGGAGATTATGGGTAGTCAGGACAGTCGACAAGTGATGTCTTGGCTAAATCCAATTATTCACAATGATCCGCGTACTCTTGATATTCTGCCGCCTGTCTGTCTGGCCGAGGTTCTCATGTCCACGCAGCTCGACCCAGCACAACAGCTGTCGACACCCTCATCATTCCTATCGGTCGCACCCAAACTACTGTCGCGAATCAACCACTTTTTCAACGCTACCAACTCTGCTCAGCCAACAATAGATATCATCCGATTCTTTTGTACTCACTTGGCATCGCCATCTCCCACCACACGTCAAATGGCAAAGTCAGCAATCAATTCACTTCCGATAATCAGTTCAACTTCACAACAGCAACAGCAACAACAACAACAAACTAATGAAGATTTCCAATGGTTGGATCGTATCTCACAATTACACTCTGCAGCATCTATCACTGGAATAGTTCAACAATCACTCAGATCAGCATTGCAAGTTGAGACAGATATGGATACTCTGTGTGCATATATCAACTATCTTTATACTTCCTCGACTTCAATGTCCAATATCCATACACTTGCAATGGACATTGCCCGTTTACTTTTCAAACGTGATGTTATCGCTCGTTACCTTTTGAACAGTCCAATCATCACAGTCATCTTTGACATACTGTTAGAGTCGTTGAAATATGATAAATTCCAACAATATATCGTGGATGAAATTCAACAAATTAAAGCACAAGAACAAGCTATTCTACAACAACAACAACAACAATCTCAACAACAACAACATCAATATTACTCTGTCATCTCATTGTTAACCACTGAGGAACTATCGATCGTCAGTTGGAAAGTATCGGATAGTCAACATATAGCTATTCCAAGGTTGGTGCTGAATGTTATCATCAAGTTTGTGGCTCTCGTTGAGAGTTACCGTGTGAATGGTCAGCTGTACAAGTTGATCGATCAGATTGCCGCACGTCCACTAGCACCGATCTTTGAGTATGTCGAATCCAACGTTGAGAGTGGTTATAGCGCCAGACAAGCGTGCCGACTTATCAACAGCGAACAACTGGCACTTCTCATTCTCAAGAGTGAAGTGGGAGGATTGATTGAACAATCGGTTGCCATGCTTTCGCAACCGGTGCAACTCGAACAATTCATTTCCTACTCGGTGTCGCCACCCGCCCGTGAAGCACTCGGTCGTGCGCTCGACCAATCAATCGACAAACTGGATCTCATTCAACTACAACATCGCCTGCCTGAAACGACACCGCGCCAACTCAAACAAGTGATATCCGCCTACAAAAGTGCAGGAATGAAGTCTGGCAATCGAGTACTAGATTATCTCGATAAACAAATTGCAATTACATCGTCATCACCAATTCAATCGTCGTCAGCATCATCATCATCATCGTCGTCATCATCATTATTAGAAACAAAGGGAAATAACAAACTGCTAAATCAATTCACAGCATTTAATAGTCAGCAACAACAACAACATAAACAACAACAGAAACAACAACAAAGTAATAATGATAAGATGAATGTAGATATTCAAATTAGTTCAAAGAAGATGGATATTGATTCAACTTCAACACCAACAACATCATCAACAATCGCTCAAAGTAATTTATCACTAAGTCAATTGATTTATTCAAGTTCACCAAGAGAAATAGTTGGTTTGTTGGAGAATGCTAAATCAATAGTTATTGATATAGATAATGATAAACTGTCATTACAACTCTCGAAAACAATTGTAATGATGGCAACTGATAAAGATGAAGGTGTTCACTACAACTTTGAGAAATTCATTGGTAAACTATTTGGTTCGATTTACAGTGTTCAAACAACCGATCAAATTCAAACTCAAAGTAATGGTTATCATCATCATAATAATCATAATCATAATCATAATCATAATCATAATCATAATCATATTAATAATCATAAGAAGAATCAACATCAACAACAACAACAACAACAATCACAAATCTGTATAAAACATCCACTAATTTTCAGAGCTATTGTTGGCGCCATTGCAACGTTGTCGGCTCGTTCGATGTTCAGCACAGTTGGATTACTTTTAGATTGGCTGTTGATATTGCTACCTCAGTGTGCCAATGAATCCGATGTTGTAGATGCTCTGTTTGGTCTGATGTTTGAACGACCGGCACAACAACTGACATCTGTAGCATACTCGACATTGCTCCGATCGTATTGCATCCACAACACGACATGGCGAATGCTCTCACTCATCATATCGACACTCTACTCGCCGTCGGTCTCTCGATCACAACAACTTGACTACTCTGCACTACTCTCATTCATCGGTGCATATCATGCTCACCCACGATCGTCTGCACCCTACTATCTATCCAATAGCAATAGCAACAACAACAACAATAGTAAACAACAATTGGATGCATCCACTCTACATTATATTACACCTTATACCACTAGAACACTTGCAGACTATATCATCAAGGAGATGGAATTGGCAACCAGCAATTCATTGCCAACAACGACTGCGCAATCGATTCTTGCTAAACGATCGGTTCTTCTCAATTCATCTTCGACTATCAGTGAAGAGAATCTTGTTACACTCTCACTGCATCTCAGCAATACGAAATCATCGCCAACACTAGCACACCTCATACTACTACAACTCTACTATATATTCCCGGATTCCGTTAAATCAAACATCTATAATTATTCACCAAACTTTAAGTTACAACAACAACATCAACAACAACAAGTGGATGTAGATGTAAATATAGATGTAGATGATAGTGTTGTCAGTATCACGGGTACCAGTGTCATTCCTCATACGCAACTCGACACGGCAATACACAGAGTTACACTCAAACTTCACGAACCAGAGTTTAGAAATGAAGGATTCGTACTCTTTAAGAAACTAGCTATCAATCATCCAGAGTTGATCACTGCACACCTACCGACTATCTACACACTCTTCGCAGGTAGAAACTATCAGAATCTACAGCAATTCATTCAGAAACGATATCATATATTATTCACTCAGATGCTAGAGATATTAGATATATTAAATCCATTTGTATTCAATGTATGTATATGTTAAGATTGTTAAACTATATATAATACTAACATAGGTTTTTAAAAAGAGTATCTATCTAGAAAAGATATTAAATGAATACTTTACATTCTTTGGTAATGTTAAGTCATTCTTTGAAGAACTTGTACCTATTATATCTAGATTCGCTGGCTTCTTGCTAAATTATACATCCAACGGTCGATTATCAGCCAACATTGTAAATAGAAATCATGATACACTTTTGTATGTTATAACAATACTATACTTTAATAATGAGTGTATACTAACAAATACATACATATAATGTTTAGTACTTTATCAAACTTGTATCAAAATATATATATTATAAAGACATTGGTAAATAAGTTCTTACCTCCATCCACTACATTTTCTTTTAAATCACAACAACAACAACATCATAATAATCATCATAATAATCAACAACAACATTCACCATTTAGTAATAATTATAATCAAAATAAAGATAATCAACAACAATTACAACAATTACAACAACAACAAATAAGAATAACACAAATAAAGAATGAATTCAATAATATACTGCAACAACAACAACAATCGCAGCAACAACCGCAACAACAACCACCACCAATGGGTAAGAATGATGATCGACTTTTAAAGTTGTTGGAGGAGATCGAGAGAATCAGTTATACGATGCCATCGGTACTACTGAACTATCTCGAGCAGATAACATCGCAGCTGGTTTCCAATAGCCAGGCGATCCGATCGATCTGTTACTTCCTACTGCTTCGACACCTCAATAACTCACCGAAACAGAGCAGTTCCATCATTGAACTCTACCTCCAATGTTTCAAGCATCCCAATCCAGAGGTTGTCAAATCCGCATTGATCTACTCATCACAATTCTATAATTATACACAAGGTAAATATATATTTAGCAAAACAAAAAAGACAATCATCATACTTATTTAAACTAACATTAACAACTATTACGCAAACAACTATCTAGATTGCTCAGAGTATTTAGTACAACAAATTCTAAAATGTGGGGGAAAAGAATCATTACCGGAAATAAAGAAAATAATAAATGTTTTTTTTTAATGTGAATCACAATCATATATATATATTAGATATCGATAATATAATTTACTATTAACCTTTCATTAATTCTTACTTGGATATTGATTCATTGATAGTTGTGACAGTAACTATCTTTTATAAAAAATAAAACAAAAAATAAAAATTAAATAAATTTTGAATTTAATAGTTTATCTTTTATTAATATTTTTTTACTACAACAATTTCTAAATGAAATAAAAAAGTCTACAAACAAATAAAATACATCTAAAAAAAAAAAATGTTAATAACAAAAAAACTATTTTAATAATTTTCTCCAAATGTAGATACCCACCGATATGATAACACTGACCACGCAAAGCTTTTCCATTTTGAGTGTTGGAGGCCACCGCAATCGCAAAAAATACCATGTCTAGAGTAGTATCCTCGAAGTGGTAACATAACATACAAAAAGGTTAAACTTCTTAACTAATATTTGAATAAGAGATAATCAAAGAGATAGAACAAAGTATTAGTAATTTAACATTATATATAAAGAAATGTATTTCTTCATACAGAATTGTCGTTGAAATTTCTTTAGCAGTATCATTAATACGTCTTTCGCCTTTTTCAAATAATGATAGAGCGATTGGAACTAGCAATATAAACTCGGAATCTGGGAATATGAATATTAAAAATTAGAATGCTATTTTTAGTTACTTTTGCTATTGAAAATATTCTAAATGAATATAGGTTTGAAATCATGATTATCCTAGATTGATTTTATGTTGGATTTCTTTTAGATGTATTTTACTTCTTTGTAGACTTTCTTATAATATTAAAAAAGAAAAACTGTTGAATTTGATTGTTCTAGTAGACACTTTATCAATTAAAAAAAAAAAAAAAAGACTCATAGCTTTTACATTCTTCCTAATTGAAAATAATAGTAAAGAAAAAAAAAGAATTGACATATGTATAAATTTTTATTCAATAAAAAAAACCATCAAGTTCATAACGTTATGGAAAACTAACTAATCAATCGATTCGATTAGATCCAAATGAAGCAAAAGTTTACTACAATCTTGCTTTGTCAATGAATTCCAATGGTGAGAACACAATTACTCTGCCATCAGGGGTATCGCTATGACCAAACAACAACTCTATTTAGAATCAATACCTCATAACATACCCGTCAGCAACCAACCTCCTTGATCTGGCAAACCTTGGAGTCACGGATAAACAAATCGCGGTTAATATATGTAATGAGATATATCGACAACCCCAAGTGATCACAGAAACACCAGTCGGTATTCAATTGATGAGCACAACGAACTGTGGAAACAAAATTGATTTACCAGGTGGAGCTGTTAAATATCCATATGAAAATCGATTCTTCAGATCTTTTATCATCATGTCATCTGGAATACGAGGTAGAGGATCCACTCTCAATTCGAAGAGATCAGAAAATTACACTCCTCTCTTGTCAACAAAGCGACAATGGGTATTAGAACCATCAAATTTGATGCAAACCATGTCAATACTTTCCACAATCTCGGAATATCTCTTATTTCTAATGGAACTATCATGCCAAACAATAACAAAACAGCAGCTGTACTTGAAATATATAAAATTATCCAATGAAAAATGATTCAATTCTTACCAAAGTCTATCGATCTTGATATCCAACAAGTGATTTTTGAGAATGAAGTAATGGGGTGACATGTCATTTCTGTAATTGCGCAAAAAAAAATAGTAAATTAAAAATGTTTTTTTATTTTAAAATATCAGTTTGCAGTTATTCATGAATGGGTTGTGCACAAATATTCACACATCCGCCTGTTGACTTTTTTTTTTTTTTTTTTTTTTTTTTAACTTCTTTTGAATTTTTTTTTTTTTTTTTTTTTTTCAAAAAAAATTAGATTTGATTTTTTTTTTTTTTTAAATTTAATCATGGGGCAGATGAGTGTTGCTCTTTAAAAAACACACACAACAACTTAAAAATAATAATTAGTGCGTTATCATTCTATATAATTCAATTTAACAATTGGTATTAGTAGCAACGGAAACAAACAAAAAAAGCAATAACAACAAAAACATACAACATTAATATTTATTAATTATATCTATTTATTATTTATTTATTATTTTTTTGATGACACTTTGATCAAATAACATCGACAAAATATAGAGATCTAAATTCATCTAGATTTATCAAAACAAATCAAGATTTAAAGACTAAAAGAAAAGCTCAATCAATTCAAAATCAAACTCACAATTTTTTTTTGTAATGAAAAAAAATGGATAGTGATTTTATAGATGTTGATAATATGAATGGAAATAACAATAGCAATGGTGGTGGTGGTGGTGTAACAGGCAAATTAATAACAATTGGAAATAACAACCACAACAATAATCATCATAACAATCATAATATTTCAGAATTGAATTTGGTGAACAATGGCAATATTAATGCAACGATGGTGTCGAGTGTCAGTGCCGGTGGCATTCAGAACAGCGGAACCTACAGGCTAAAGAAAAAGATGGAGGAGCTGCTCGCATCGATTGGCGAGATGGGCAAGCAGATCGACCATCTCAACGAAGAGGAATCGAAGCTGAATGCGCACTACCGCGATGTCTACGAGCACATCCGCCAGCAGGAATCGGCATCGCGCAAATCGATCACCGACGAACGCAACCGACTCGACAAGAATGTCACCGACCTGTTCGACCAGATCAACAAGATATCGGACCGACTGCTCACTCAGAACGAACTGTCGGCGGCGAACGATTCACGTGTTGAAAACGCCAAGCAGCTCATATCGAACAAGCGCAAATACTTTGCAGAGCAGAACTCCAACTATGAAAGCAGCATTGCCAGTGCATTCAAAGAACCGAAAGTCACATCGTTGATGGAGTCGATGCGATCCTTCACCAACACCTTTACAAAACTCACAAAGAACTACAATGTCAACAACAGTTTTTCGAAACAATTGGAAATCTATAATTTACAAAATAATAATAATAATAATCCAAACAACTCAACTTCACCACAACAAGTACAACAAATTCAACAACAACTGAGTACACAACAAATTCATCAACAACAACAGCAACATCAACAAACAATTAAATATACTCAACCACCACCTCCACAAATACAACAACAGCAACAAATACAATATCAAGCACCAACTCATTATGAAATAATTCAACAACAACAGCAATCACCTAATATTCCAATGGTTACACCTCCATCTCAATCACCACCACAACAATCTCAACAACCAATCTATAGTAATTCACACAAGGTACAACAACCACCTCCACCAACACAAACTATTTATGCAACTCAACAGCAGCAACAGCCACAACAACAGTCACAACAACCACCACAACAACAACAACAATCGAAATCAAGTAAATCTGTATCAAAACAACAAAAACAACAACAACAACAACAACAACAACAACAACAACAACAACAACAACAACAACAACAACAACCAAATAATTCAAATATTCCAATAAATCTACCCAAATCGGTTAGAAGTGGAGATACACTATTAGTTGGTGCAGAAAAAGTATATAGTAAATCAGTTAAAGATAGAAAAGGTGAAGCAAGCAGCAGTGGTGGTACAACGACAACTGGTGTTAAGGTGGTAAGTCGAACCGCTGACAAATCAAAGAATACAACATATATAATCAATGGTGGACGTGTTATCGATACTAGCAACTCGAATCCAAACAACAAGATCGTAAAGATCGTCAACAACTACAGCAATAAGCCTGCGACCAATCCATCGAACGTTCAAGTTCAAAAGTTCAACAATCAGTTTTTCACCATCGGAACGAATGGCAGCTTCATCTTTGATATGGCGTCAAACTCGTGGTATCAGTTTGACGACGACGAGCGCGAACGACGTTTCTATCCGATCAACTCGGTCGTCTCGATCGACGACCACATCTTTATCTACGGTGGCGCCAACAAGTCGCACACCTACTCACATTTCTCCACGAAGGATCTCAACTCGCAGTCCTCGGGGGTGATCACCACCGGACAGGGTGGAGCAGGTGTCTCTTGTTGCTACGACCACGACAAGTACATCTACCTGATTGGCGGTTACTTCAAAGACCACATCCTCACGAGAATCGATCGGTTCAATCTCGACAAATTCGAATTCGAACGACTCGGCGAGATGATTCAACCGATATGCCAGGCATTCTCGTTCTTCTATCAGGGTGAGATCTTCCTGGTGGGCGGTCGCAATGAAGACGCCGAGATTCGCTCGATCCTCAAGTACAATCCAACGACGTGTCAGTGTACAGTTTATTTAGATGACATTGGATTCGACAAGAGCATCATATGCAGCTGTTTCGACGGCGAAGATCTCATCTACGTGCTCGACAACAGCTCCAACTTCTTTGCCATATCGCTGTCGTTGAAGTACAAGATCCTACTGAATTCGCCAGAGACCACCAGCAGTCCACTCAGCTCAAAGTACTCGATGATTCACTTCACCACAAAGAGCAAAGATCCTGCGAGTGCAGGAATGCGACTACTCTACTTTATCGGTGGAAAGACCTATGGAAACCATCTCTACGACATCAAATACAACCAGTGGATTCAAATTAAAGATTCCGATAAAGTCGTTAGAAGTTTCGATGGTGCTGTACAGACAATGATCACCACAGGTTCCGATGAATCATAAAATCAACCAAACAACAAATAACATTTAACAAACAACAAAACACATTTTCATTGTAATTCAAATATAATCATAAACACACATACACACACGCATCGCATCGTAACAACAACAACAAACCTACAAATAAATATAAACTATAACCTAAACAGTCACACAACATTATTTTAAAAAAAAAAAATAAAAAAAAAAAAGAAAAAAGAAAAAAACAAATAAAATCTGTAAAGATATAAATTAATTTATTTCAAATATAATATAATATACTTAATATATCTATTTATAGATAAGTTATTCTTTTTAATAATTTTGTTTTTTTTTTTTTTTTTAAGATTTTTGAGATTCGGAATGTCTGTATTAATTAGGCAATGATTTGCTGTTTCAAATTTGTTCACCTTTAATTTTAAAAGACAATTTTAATTAAAAAAAAAAAAAAGTATTTTTTTAATATTTATTTTTAATAAACACATCATTTTAACAGACAAAAATAGATATATACTCAATTTCCATATAACCAACTTTAACACAACGATTATTATTAATTGTAGGTATATTGATTGAAATAGCACTATTACCCACCCAACTAGTGAACAGTATAGCATCAACAACATGATTCAATCACAAACAATCACCCTGATATAAAAAGTAAAACCAGAGAGAGAGAGAGTGGTGAATCTAAATCCTTGAAGATTGATATATATGTTATTTTCTTTAAATCCTGTTCCATTTTGCAATCCACTTATCGTTTGTTTGGTCCACCAGCCAAATATAAATAAAGGATTTTGTTTTTCTCACACACACCACCAACCATCACAATTCATTTTAAGTTTGAAATCAACCAACACACACACTCATACACACATTCACACTATTCTCTCATACACTTACTTATACACACGCCTCTAATTAACAATAATAATAAACTCTTTCTTTTAATTATTCTTGAACATCAACCATAGTCTATATTAAATTGGGAATTACTATCTTTAACTTTTTCAAAATGTACCACACTCACATGTGATTTCAGCAACGAACAGTGTGGTGTACCAAACCAACTAGAGAATTAAGAAGACAAAACAAACAAACAAACAACAGTAATTTTATTATTGCTTTCTGTTTCTTAACTTTTTTTTTTTTTTTTTTTTTTTTTTAATATTATGTTGTTTTACTTTGCTTTGCTTTGTGTTTTTTTATTTACATCGAAGTTAACTATAAAGTAAACATTGCAAATCTTATTTTTAAACTATTAATAACACAATCATACATATATACCTTACACAAAATTAACTATAATCGCTAAACAAAACAATATATTTATTTATTTATAACAACAGTAATAATAAATAAAAAATAATATTATAACCAAGCAAAGTCAATTTCACTTTTTTAATTTAATTTTTTTTAAAGAAAAATATAACCACACTCATTTAAAGGTTGGTTTCATTCTGTTCTGTTTTTTTTCAAACAGTAAATCTCTGTCCTCCTCTTTTATATACTTTTTTCTTCTTCCTATTCACAAACAAAACAATTACTTGTATTTCGTTTTTATTATATTCATTGTTTTTTTTTATGTACATATTAATTTCATTTAATTAATTAGGTCATTATATTTAAAAAGTTTTTAGTTGAAACTAAATTTATTTAATAAATAAATTAATAATAATGATGTATTATCAACAACAACAACCACCACCACCACAACAGCAAAATAGTGATAGTAATAATAATGGTAATTACTCGATAGATGATAATAATGGGTTCAATGGTTACAATCAAATATTGAGTAATTTGGTGCACAATGGTCAGATTCTACCGCAATTGAGTCATATCAATGGTTTACATCAGATACCATCACATGATTACAGTTCAATGTTCAGTGGTTACAATCAATATGCTTTAGATACTACAGACAGCAGCACACTGAACAATAATAATTATATCTATCAACAAACAACAACAACACCACCGCAATCAATGAATCATCATCATCATCAACAACAACCACAGCAGATTACTCAACAACAGATTGCGCAATACCAACAGCAACAACAGCAATTCCCACCTCAGCCTTACACAACACACTATAAAGATTTGATACAACCACAATTCAAAGAAAAATTAATTAACAAAGATAATCTATCGGAAAACGAGGTTCAATTTCTAATGCTTCAAGAGCAAAAGTTGTTTTTAAAGAATATGTTTGAAGGTCAACAACAACAGCAGCAGCAGCAATCACCTATTCTACATACAAACAACTCTGGGAATGGCCATTCAAATCATCAAGAATCGCCATCATCAAAGACAGTTCAAACCACTATCTCTACAGCTACAACCACTACATCGACCACTACTACAATAAACAATAACAATAACAACAATTATAATACTTCATCACCGCCACACTTTGATTCACCCGATATCTCTTTAACTACTTTTAATACACAATCTGTGATACCACCACAACAGCAACAAAAATCATATTCAAATGTTACAACCCCACAAATGTCAAGTGAATTGAATATCGATGAATCATCATCTTCCTCTTCGCCCTACCAAGATTCTTCGACTCCACCACAACTCTCTATGGGAAACTACGCAGTCAACTACAATTATTTGGGTGAGAATCTAAGTAGCGATCCCTATGGTAACATCGGTGGCGACAAGAAGAAGAATCAGATTCAACACAATGCATCGCGTGACTACCGACAGAGGAAAAAAGATCATATCGCAGAGGTTGAAAAGAAACTCAAGGAGCTATCGATGGAGAATCAACGTCTGAAACAAGAGAACCAGGAAATGAAAAAGGTTACACTCACCGACTTGATGCGACCCGACAGTTTCCACCAAGTATCACTCGATTTCCAAAAGCTACTGGTTCGACTCGCCGAATCCGTTATCAACAACAGCACTGACAGTCGTGCATTCGACCAACTGATGCAATTCTTTTTGTTCTCAATGAAGCTAAGATCCACCGTTGTAGAGCGAGATATTGAGAAAATTATTAATCCTGAATTACAAGTAAGTTGTTTTGTTTAATCTTGATACCAAATTCTAGAACTTGAATTTTAATATTTACTATTTACTTTGTCTATCTATATTTAATAACTTAGTTAAAATTAGTATTCATGGGATATAAATCATTGGCAGAATCGTCAGTGGTATGTGGTACACCGATGGCATCTTCTATTTGGTGGCCAAATTTCATTGAGGAGGTGGGTCTGAGTGAAAGTCAGAGGAAATCGATCGAGGAACTCTGGCGATACTATGTAAAGATCAACGATGAACTGAAAGAAGAAAGGGATATGCTCGATGATCAAATCAAACAACTATCACCTTTTCCAAAGCGAACTCTTCAGTTTGACTCTTCGCTATTCAATACCAACCCAATTCAAAACATTACCAGTAAACATGTAAATAGTAATAACAATAGTAATAATAACGAGTTAAATAGTAAACAACAACAACAATCTCCGGAACAGCAACAACAACAACAAGAACAACCACAAAAAACACCATCTATAGAGATACAATTACATAATCCCAATTCATTGTATAATTTTTCATCATCGTCGTCTGCTGCAGCATCGCATTTTGTACAGTCACCATACGGCCAGTCCAGACGAATAATGCCATCGGAAGGTGCAGCCGGTGGTAACACACAGGGAGGACCTCTCTTCATAGTTGAACGGTCGTCACTCACCGTCCTCGAAGTTTTAGAAATGGTAGAAAAGTTGGAAAAGATGAAAATGAATTTTATTAAACATCGTAGAGTATGTTGTTGTTAACAATATGAGTTTTCTGAAGATACAGAGATAACTAACTAACTTACTAACTTGTATATCTTATCTTTTATCAAATATTCTAGAATATTTGTGAAATAGATATTGCTCTAACTAGAATACTTACACCGATGCAAAATGCCAAACTTATATTACGATTACACAATAAGCCATTTATCGATATTGAACTGGTGGATCAAATTACAAAGGTGTGGGGAACACTGCATTCCACTCGTGAGACACGTGACAATCCAATACAGAATCGACTGATGCCAGGTACCAACAAATTCAACTTTTTTGATTTCATAGGAATGACAACCACTCAAGAGGATATCAAAGTAGATACTTTGAAAAACATCTACGAGAAACTCTATCAATCGATTGCTAGTCTCACACCTCCAACCATCAAAAAAGAATAATAAATAATATATAATATTTATTTAACAAAACTTATTTATAACCATGGTTTCAACTAAAATATTATTTATTTTATTTCATTGTAATATTAAAGTACAATGTTGCTGTTATAATCATGATTTTGGTTTTAATTTCTTTCAATTTTTTTTTTTTTGTTCCATCTCTCATTTTTTTTTTTACACAAATATAAAAAATAGATATAATTATTTTAGTAACTAATGAAAATGAAGATATTGACTTTGATGATATCTATCTTGTACGAATTCAAATGTTTGCATTAGATGTCTCTTTGTCATATTCTCACCACTTGGCAACAGTATTGTTTCAGTGTCGGGAAAGAAGTGTCTGTGAAAGATATAAATAGTTTATAGCTTTGCCAGGATTGATCTTTATCAACTCTAAATAGATATCTTGCTTTGTCATCACTCGACCAGATAGTAATGTGATGGTTTCCCAATCTTGAAGATCCTCCAGAATATTGTAGTAGATACAATCGTGTGTTGGATTGATGTGGATAGCTTTCAAGAAGATCTGTCTCTTTGTCGCCACCTCACCGGATGGCAATCTGATAGCATCGTGTCTCTTCATTTCTTTGGCTATCCCGATGTATGGGCTCTCAACGTATGGATTCAGCTTGATCGTTTGAAGATACAGTTGCATCTTATTCATTCGTCTTCCATTTGCTAGCTCGACGGTGGCTTCTTGACCTTCGAGACTGTTGGCAAGGAGCAAGTAGGATTCCCATTCGTTAGGATCGAGTTTGATGGCATGTAGAATCAACTTTTGCTTATTCATCTTCTCACCAGAGAGCAGCGTGATGCTTTCGAAATTGTCTTTGAGTTTGGTGGCAAGATCGAAATACATACCGGGGATTCTTGGATTCAATGAGATGATTTTCAAAAGGATCTGCTTGTAACTTAGTGTTTCACCGTTGTTGAGAGTCAACGATTCGGTTCGAGCGTATACAAGCATGGAGATGTAGATTTCTTCGTTGGTTGGATTCAATTCTACTGATTTCAAGAGAAGTTGTAGGTTTGTCATTTTCTTGCCATTGAGAAGTGTAATTGGATGATCAACCACATTTCCAGAACTGATTCGTTCCTCTATTGACAGATAGAAATATGCATTCCACTTGTTTGGTAGGGAATCTATTGCCTTTAGAAACAGTTGCTCTCGACTCATTCTCTTTCCATTGGGTAGCTGAACGAATTCTCCACTATCGATTGTAATGCCAAGAATGAAATATAAATCCATAAAATTTGGTTCCATTCTCATTGCTTCCAATGCGATTGATTTCAATGTCATATCATTCCTAAATCTATTCTTATTGATAACAGATTTAAAAAGTTGAACGAAATGTGGATCAACACCTTTTTGTAAAAATGTAAATATCAATTCTTCTATATTATATATTACTTGTATATTAGTCATTATTATAAAAAAGGTTGTTAATTTTGATTTCATTTTTTGAACATATTTTATTTTAATTTATAATTAATTCTCTTTTATTTAATTTATTAAAATTAATTTAATTATTTTTAAAAACAAACAATATACATATATCAAATTTGTCAATTAAAAATTTCTAGAAGTAAGATTTTTTATCATTTATTTTTTTTGTATCAAACTATTTAGAGTATTTATATTTTTAATATATTATTTAGGTGTTATCACAATATTTCAATTTAAGAAATACTAGTTGTTTTCTAATTTGTAAAATATGATATCTAGTAACAACGCCAAAGTTTAGTCAATATGCAAGATTTCTATCAATAGTAATTTGATTAAAAATCAGTATTTACTTCTTTTAAAGAAATTTCTTTTTTTATTGTTAAATTTGACTATTGAATAAAGTATTATATTTATATTATTAATTTATTTATTTTTTTTTAAAATTATTATTATTTTTTAAAAAGTTATTTAGACGAATTAAAAACAGTAAACACTTATTTGGAGACTCTGTGTAGATTACACATCTCTATATGGTATAACTATCAAAGATACATACCCATTACCAAACATCACTTAAGTTCTTAACAGAGATGGTGCCCTCAAATTAGAAACAAGATTTGATTGTCCATACAAAGTAACCAATGTCAAAGGATTAAATGTCACAGTTTCCAACGTTGAATATGGTACAAAGAGAAAGAGAATCAATCCACACAAGACCATTTAAATCGGAGAAAGCTGATCAATTCTTTAACTCAAGATTGATATCAAATGAATAGCTAGATAAATGAAAGTAATATCAATACATAGATAACCATTTTTCACTAGACACGATAATACTTCAAGAAACAGAACTCCTTAGACGATGAGGACCATGAAGATATTGAATTTGGCGAAGTTGAAGAAGATGAAATTGATTCAATCACTCAAAATGAACAAAACAATCAGAACAACAACAATGACATGACACTGAACCCATGGATATTGATTCAGAATTAGATTTGGTAACAAAAAAACAATAATCCACCTACCAATACATCAGTTTCAAACATCTTAATTTTGGATAATATTCCAAACTCGACTACTCATCCAATTATGAGTAAAATTACTTTATTAAGATAAAATAGTTATAAACTGATTTCTTGTAAATTATCATTCTTTTATACAAATATCATTAATTAACAAAAGTCAATCAAAATTAATTTAAATTGTAATACTTTATCTAAAAAGATAATAGTCTTGTCAATCAATAATAATACTATTATTCATTCTTAAAAACTACAAAAAGCATCTTAATTAGAAAATTTTGTTTTAAAAAATATAAAGACCAAAACTAAATTGTGTAGAAGTTCGTGTTTCTATTTAAAGTTGTGGTAGTGAAACATAAATGTATCTTTATTCTAACCATTTTAATTTTTTTATTTATTATTAACTTATTTATTTACATAATGTTTTTCTTTTTATCGGTTAAAAAAAAGGTGAAAAAGGTGTTTGTTTAATATAATTATTTTCTCTAGTGACAATAGAATTGACTTTGAGTATATCTATCTTTTAAGAATTCATAAGTTTGCATAAGTTGTCTCTTTGTCATATTCTCACCAATTGGCAACAGTATTGTTTCAGTGTCGGAAAGAAGTGTCTGTGAAAGATATAAATAGTTTATAGCTTTGCCAAGCTTGCTCTTTATCAACTCTAAATAGATATCCTGCTTTGTCATCACTCGACCAGATAGTAATGTAATGGTTTCCCAATCTTGAAGATCATCCAGAATACGGTAGTAGGTACAATCGTGATTTGGATTGATGCCGAGAGCTTTCAAGAAGATCTGTCTCTTTGTCGCCATCTCACCGGATGGCAATCTGATGGTATCGTCCTTCTTCATTTCCTCGGCAAGCTTGGTGTATGAGATCTCAAAATATGGATTCAACTTGATCGATCGAAGAAACAGTTGTTTCTTGTTCATTGCTTCACCACTTGGAAGCCTTACGGTCGCTTGACTACCATCGAGAGTTTCAGTAAGAATCAAGATGTACTTTTCTTCTTGAGGATCGAGTTTGATGGCACGTAGAGTCAACGTTTGTCTATTCATCTTTTCACCGTGGTGGGCAAGGTGATGCTTTCATTGTTGTCTTTGAGTCTGGCAGCAAGATAGATATAAACAATGGATATCTTCGGATTCAGTTTTATGATTTTCAATAGAATTTGATCGTATGTCAGTGTTTCACCACTATTCAAAGTCACCAATCCATTTACATTGTGTGTTTTCCATAGGAGTTGCTCAATGGCAATGTAGAAATCTTCATTGGTTGGATTCAAATCGATTGCTTTCAAGAGGAGTTGTAACCTGGTCATTGTCTTACCATTGAGAAGTGTTACTGATTCATTTCCGTCCCCCTCCTTTGACAAATAGTAATATGCATTCCACTTGTTTGGTAGAGAATGAATTGCCATTAGAAAAAGTTGCTCTCGATTCATTATCTTTCCACTGGGGAGTCGAACGGTTTCTCCACTTTCAACGGCGGTTCCAAGAATGAAATATAAGTCCATGAAGCTTGGTTCCAACCTCATAGATTCCAATACAAGTGTTTCTAATGACATTTCATTGTGAGATCTAAATCTACTCTTAGTGACAACAGTTTTGAAAAGTTGAATAAAATGAGGATCAACACCTAGTTTTAAAAATGTATCTATAGGTAGCATATTATTTATATTTATAATTATATTATTATAAAAAAAAGTAATAAATGATTAATTTTGATTTAATGAATGTTCATTTTGATTCCAATTTATAGTAAACTTAAATTAGTTAATCAAAACCATTTACAAATATCATTAATTGACAAATTTGTCAATCAAAAATTTCTATTAATCATTGTGATCACTATTTTATTATCTTTTGTCAATCAAAAATAATCTAAATTGTCAATGTTTTATTAAATATAATGGTTTGATATTGTCAATCAAAAATAATCTCTTTTTTTTTTAAATACGCAATTTTTTTGATTGACAAAAAAAAAAATATTTGATTTTATAAATGAGTCATATCAATTAAGAGTGTTTTAGTATAAGTCCTATCTATATTTTTCTGAAGAAACAATTATTCACGTGACACTCTCAAGATTAAACTTTTTATTTATTTACATTTTTCTATCTATGTATTTGATACTCTTTATCTTTTTTTTACTTAATAATTATATTGATATCTATCTTTAGAGGATTTCAAAGTATACTTTCAAAAACGTAACTCCACAAATTAATTGCAAGTAAAAAATTGAATATAAACCGAAACTAAAATATTAAACTTAAAAGACCTAAATAAATTCTAATTTGATCAAATTAGAATTATTTTTAACTAATTTTAGAAAAAAAAATTTTTTGGTTTTTTTTTTTTTTGCTTATATTTATTTTTATATTCTGGAAAACAATTTTAATTAAAAATAGTTCGATCATAGAAGGTGCATGGTTAAAGGTCACAACCCACACTTCGTTTCAGGACAAGGCGTTAAAAAAATTTGGAAAATGTTGAATTTTCAGAAAGTTGGATTGGGGTTGTACGACAGAAGTAAGCAAAAAAATTTGAACAAAAAAATAAATGAACAATAATTATGTTTTTGAAAAAATAAAATCTTTTTTTTTTTTTGCTTCTTGCTTTAATTATTCATTAAAAATATATATTTATTATATTTATTATATTTTACAATTTATTTATATTTAGATTAAATAAACGCATATCGATAATATTAATAACAAATTAAATATAACTTATTAATATATATATTGAGAAAAAACAAAACAAAACAAGTACAAAAAAAAAAACACAAAAAAAACAATTAATAGTTAATAACTCCTTACTTAATGCAAACCTTATTAATATTGTTGTTCAATACTTGTAGTTGCTTTCCATATCACAATCTTGGATTTTAAAAAAATAAATATAAATAGTAATAATTTTATATAATATTATATATAACAACTTTAGAATTATAAATATTATTATTTATTATTATTTTTTGTGTGTGTGTTTGTTTAGTGCGTGTTAATGTTCACAAAATATATATTTTTGTATATATAAAGTAAAATCTAGAGTAAAAATAAAATCATGGACCAATATAGTATTCAACAACAATTACAACAACTACAACAACAGCAAAATATCGACAGTGTTTTACTAAATTGGAATTATGGTTCACCACCACAACAACAACAACAACCACAATATACACAACAGCAGCAACAGCAACAACAACAGCAACCACTTCCTTTGCATTTACCTAGTAATAGTGGTGGTAGTAACAATGTTAATTTAAATATAAATAGTAATAGCAACAATAATACCAATAACAATAGTAATAACAACAGTAACAACAACAATAGTAATAGTAGTAATCAGAATGTGGCATCATTCATTTCACAATTGAATCAAATGCAGCAACAACAACCGGATTTCAGTTCGATATATAATCAGGCGGTACCAGTGGTGAGTTCACCACCGCAACTGAGTAGTCCAGTCATTGTCGGCGACATTGCAATGATGATTCAACACCAACAAGAACAATTTAAACAAAAACTAAATGAGAATATCAATCAATATCTCAGCGATGATCAAGTTCAATTCTTGTTCCTACAGGAACAGAAATCTCTTCTAAAACAAATCCTAGAGTGTCCAACTACCACCACCACCAATAACAACTCTACACCACCCGTCAATTCCTCCACTCCTCCAACCAACTATATTCAACAGCAACAACAACAAACTCCGCCTCAACCTCAACCCTATATAAATAATACCAATCCGTTTTATATTCCATCACAACAAACTCAACAACAGAGGCAACAGCAACAACAACAGCAACAGCAGCAGATTACTCAACAACAACAACAAGTATTATTACAAAATCAACAACAGATACCTCAACAATCTCAACAACAACAACAGCAGATTAATCAACAACAAATTACTCAACAACCTCAACAACAACAACAACAAAAATCTCAACAACCTCAACAACAACAACAACAAAATGTATCAAATTTTTCACCACAACCACCAATGCAATCACAACAACAACAATATAATCAACAACAGGAGGATCTATTTCAAAAACAAATTAAACTGTTACAAAGTCAAATACAACAACCATGTCAGCAGCAACAACAACATCAACAACAAGTTGACTCTTCACCAGCTATTTCATCGTCGACATCGTCACCTCGAGACGATCAACCACATTCCACTAGAAAACCAAGATCGAGTCAGTCAAGCAAGGAGTACAGGCGAAAGAAGAAAGATCATATTGCAGAGGTAGAGCAAAAGGTCAAGGAACTCCAGTTGGAGAACGAGCGATTGGCACGTGAGAACAACGTAATGAAAACAGTTACGGTCTCTGACATTATGAAACCCGACGATTTTCATGAGATTCTTCTTGAAGTACAACAACTCCTTGTCAAACTCGCTGAGACCGTCATAAACAACGAAAAGAATGAGAGAGCAGTCGAATCGCTCTTACAATTCTCAAGTTTCTCCTCACAACTCAGATCAACCGTTGTCGAAAGAGAAATCGAAAAAGTTATTCATCCATTTACACAAGTAAGTTAAAGTTAACAATTGAAAGCAAACTAATCAAAACATAACATATTTATCTAATTACGATTTTCTCAACACTATTATATTACAGGGAAAACTTGCTGTTATGGGTTATAAAGCATCGGTGGAATCATCTGTTATATGTGGAAAACCAATGGTTTGTGCGGTTTGGTGGAATGATTTTATGGATCAGGCGTTTTTAAACGACGACCAGAAAGCATCTTCTGTTCAGCTGTGGCAGGAATACAAGCAGATCAACGATGAGCTGACACTGCAGAGAGAACGACTGGAGACAGAGGTGAAAGTCAAGTATTTGAGTGAGTTTTCCTATGGTTACAATCGTTGGGACGAGCGAAACTATCCGGTTCAGACGGGCGAAACCTACGAGGATGCCAACGATTCACCACCGACCAGCATTGACCTGTCGAATCTGTCGGCGTCGAACAACAGCAACAGCCACCACCACAACAGCCACCATCATGGCGGCGACACTAAACACCACGACCATTTCGTTCACTCGCCGTATCACCATCAATCGAGCGGCAACAGCAGTGGCAACTGCTCGTCGGTCAGTTTGACAACGGGCGGTGGAAACATTAGCAGCAAGATACCTGCGATCATCTCCTACACCAAGTTGTTGGAGCAACTGAAGATGATCTTTATCAAGCATCGTCAAGCGATTGTGGAGTGCGATTTCAATCTCATGAAGATATTGACACCGGTCCAACTGGCCAAGCTGATAGTTCGTCACAACAGTGTGCCGTTCTACGACATTGCACTGGTCGATGCCGTCACCAAAGTCTGGACGACACTTCACAACAAGAACCAGAATAACAAGGAAACATTGGTACAGAAATTACTTCCAAACGAAACAGGTAGATCACAATTCTTTGAAAGTATTGTAAAAAACAACCAACAAGCGAAACAACTCAAAGCGGAAACACTTCAATCCATATATGAAAATCTCTATCAAAATATGTGTAACACCAGCAGTACACTTAACAATAACAATAGCAACAACAATAATAATAATAACAAAGAACAACATTCATCATCATCACCACCCTATGATGATTCAGATTAAATTTATCAATCTATCAATCAATAACATTCTTTAAATTATATTCACACAAATCCAACCAACATTTCATTTTCTTTTCTTTTACCAACCTCATTTTTCAAGGCTGTACAAAAAAATCAACAACAAACAAATAATAAAAAAAAAAAGTATAGAAAAAAAAAATAATTAGAGAAGTAATCATCATTTTAAAAAAGTTAATAATCAATATCATTAAATATATTATTATTATTATTACTATTATATGCTACAAGAATAAATATTTATGTTTTTGTTTTTTTTTTGTCTTTAACTTTGTCTTTCTTTATCCAATAACTTTTCTCCAGTCTAAAATTAATTAATTACATTAGAAACAAATTATTAATATTTCCATAATTAATATAAAGTTTGAAATTAATTTTACTTACTTTTTTACTAATGGTTGCAGGTTTAACTTCTGTGCTATGAATAATATTTAAAATTCTTTGTAGTTCCTCTTCCAATTGTTGTCCTAATAGATCGACTTGTTCTTTCGATGATTTACTCATGTCCGCTGAGATTTGAGGAGGTCGCCAGAGACTTGCTAGCTTACCGGTCGCTTTATTTTGAACGTTCTGTTGTAGTTTGCATAGCAATATCTGGTGGTCTTCTAGATCGTCACGCAATTTCAATAGTCCGCTGACTAGCTGCTTGTTCTCCTGTTCCATCACCACCTTTTCCAGTGCCATTCTCTCGTATCGCTGCATTTTCAACTCCTCGCTGTACATATTGAGTTGTTCTTCCAGTCTCATGATCTTGGTGATCGATTCCCTCTCGATTTCGGCTAGCTCCACAACACGCTCCTTAATCTCATCGACCTCCGTTTTCTCCTGCTTCTTCTTTCCCTCGTAGGCCGAGTAGAACATCGATGTGTAGAGCATCATGGTTCGCTCGTCCGCCGTTCCGGCAAACACCTCTTCGGCATCCAACAACTTTGGAATATTGAGATTCTTCTCGGCAAAGTCAAAGACCGCCTGCAACTTGGAGAGTGAATCAAGACCGGACAACGCAGACAATCCGTCGTTGTCGGACGACAGCTTCTGAGCCATCGCCAGAAATGCCTGACCATCGCGGAATCCATTCTTGAATTGCGTGATATTGAATCCCGTCATGTTGGAACACCACTTCAGCAGGTTCTCCTCTGCTTCCTTCTCGGAGGGGTCGCGATCCGGAATCGCGCTCGATCCGTCGTCACGGATCATCGAGATACGGAATCGCCTGTACAGTGTCCAGAGAAATCCGAAAATCATCTTCTTATTGCCATCGTAGAAATCCTCGGGTCCAACGCCACGCGGTTTCATTCCGAGATCCAACTCTAGAAATCGCATACCAATATGAAGATTCTGAATCTTGTTGATCTTGTCTTTTGGCTCGGGATTGTATTTGTGTTTGCACTTTTTGTTACTCAGTAACTCTAGAAACTGTATGAATGTAACGCCATCATTGAAATCCGTCGACATATTATCCACTCTTTTTCCAACTTTTTTCAACAATGAATTTACCCAATTTGTAAATGCCTAATAATCATCATATTGTTTTTCAAATATTAATATTTTTCTCACTCTTAAAACTTGCTTATTAACAAATAATAATAATAATAATAATAGTTTTTTACCTTTTCTTGTGCATCCTCCCATTTCTTACTATTTACAACTGCACTACTTGTTGCCATGATAATATTATTACCAAAATGTTCTATATATCAAAGCTATGAATATTATAAGGATATAAACGTTAAATAAAGTCAATTATTATTTGACAATTTGGTTATTGAATTATTATCGTTTGGTTATTTATTGAATTATTATTTCTATTTTAAATAAAACAACAAAAACAAAAACTAAAAACAGATTGAACAAAAAAATGATGAAAATAATGCTATGGTTTAAGTGGTTTAGTGTTTAAAAACAATCAGATCTTTACGAAACAAAAAAAATAAAAACAAAAATAAAAAAAATGCAGGTCTTAAAATTTTTTCAATGAAATGGGTGACCTATCTTTTTGAAAAATGGATTATTATTGATCTACTTTTACAATAAAAAACGATAAATTATTTTATTTTTTGGTTAACACATGTGTGATCGATCAATCACAAAACAGCGCATTGTTAATAATAATATTTCACTTACCAAAAATTAAAGATATTAAAAGATATATAGTTAGTTATATAAGTTGTTGTTGTTGTTGATTATTGATTTATAAATCTTTTTATGTTTTTTTTTTTTGTATGATTGAGAAATGGATAATTAAACAATCAAGCAATCATTAACTTACTTTGTTATTAATGAAATGCAATACCAATACCAATACATTGCAAAATCCCAATAAAGTAGTAAAAGAAAGGAAGAAAGAATAGTCTGGAAATTAATTTGGAATAATTAGACAGTTAATAGTCACCCCCTACAATAACAATTACAACGTAGAAATAGTAGCTTCAAACACAACGACAATCAAATAATTATTTACAATTGTTAATTATTTCTATGTTGTTTTTATTTAGTACATTTATTATCACACATACACACACTCTCACACACACACCATTAATATAATATAAAATTAGACACTAATATTAGAATATTCATATGATCAACTAACTACCTAACCCATTTGCAAATTTCTTGGACAACGATGACAAAGTAATAACAAATAATATTACAAAAATAACTACTACTATTACTACTACTAATACAATGATATCATCTGTTTAATCAAAAACAATGAGAATTCTATTCTATTTTGTGTTTCATAAATTTGGCGGGTTCTGTTCAGATCAAAACAATTCAAATCAATGAATCATCAATCAATTTAATGTTGATAACTAACAATAACAATAACAACAATAATAACAATAATAACAATACAACATCATCTTACTGATAGATATGTAATGAGTAACCTTCATTTGATCAAAAATGACTTCATTTTTATTAGATGAGGTCTGGGATTCGTGACCAATAAATAAATTAAAAAAAATACAATTTTTTTTTTTTTTTAATTTTTAATTTTTTTTTTTGAATCTTTTTTAAGAGTTTGAATTGAATTGCAATCAACAACAGCTAATTATTATTAATTTTAAATATTTTTATTATTATTATTGTCAAACAATACATATGTTTAAATAATTAAGTTTGTTATACTCATAAATTTTTGTTGTATTATAATTGTTTTTATGTAAAGAAAGAAAGAAAGAAAGAGAAAAATTAAATAAAATAAAATAAAATAAAACAATAAACAAAAAGATAAATAAATAGATTAATTAGATTAGCAAAAGAATAAAAGAAGAAGAAGAAGAAAAATAAAAATGTCATCTTCAAATCTCCTACAATCACAATCACATTCATCTCCATCGTTGTTGTCACCATCTTCCGCGGCAACAAGCACAACCAAGTCGTCGTCGTCGTCTTCTTCTTCATCTTCACTATTGAAGATAAGACCAAGAGAAGTTGTATTTCATCGTATGTATAAAACAATAATAAGATAGATAAATACATAAGTAAAGATATTGAACTAACTAACGAATGAATGAATGAATAAACAGCACCATTCCAAGGATTCATTTCCAATCAATTAAAGTTATACAATCAAAGTGAACATATTCTAGCTTATAAGGTCAAGACTACTGCACCCATTAGATATTGTGTCAGACCAAACACTGGTATCATCCCACCTGGTGAATCAATCGATGTTCAAAGTAATATATAATCAACATAGATAACATTTAATAATATTTACTAATACAACACTTTATAACAATTCTACAGTTCTTTTAAATTGTACTAAAGATGTTCCATCCATTTCAATGAAGACAAAGGATAAGTTCCAAATTCAAAGTACAATCGTTAGTGAATTAAATACCGATCCAAAGTTAATCGTATGTGTATAATAACAATAATATACATGTAGTTTAGAGATAATATAATAGTTTAGAGTTTATTAACAATTTTGTTTTTAATACATGTTTAATAGTGGAGTACAACACCTGTCAATCAAATAATGAAACAAAGATTAAAGGCAGTATTTACATTACCAAATCATAGTGATAATGATAGTCATCACCAAAATCAACAACAACAACAACAACAAACACAACAAACACAACAGCATTTACATGCTAATGACATGTCTTCAGTGGTCGGTGATAATCACAATATTGACTCTGACTCGGCTGATGAAGTTGTCTTTGAATCGTTGATCAGTGATGTACCATCCGAAAACACTTCATCCTCAGTATACATGTCAACCATTGGATCATCATCGATATTCCCAACAGCTTCATCCAGTCAACAACCAGCGACAGCTGCATTGACCACCACCTCAAATATAGCATCTACACAGTCATCGTCAAATGATGATAATAATAATATTAGTAAACCACATCCAGATTCATCATCATCTACTTCTTCAATCGTAAAAAAACGTAATGTTATTGGATCATCTACTCCAGATTCCACCTCTTCTTCATCTTCAAAACCAAACCATTCTACCTCGACAACAACATCATCATCTACACCAACCGAACAATCTAAAGATCGTGATTATTTTGTAAATGAGAACATTCAATTGACAAATCAAATTAAACAAATGTTAAATGTATGTATATAATAACATAAAGCAAGATAACTATTAAAACAAACAAGGCAAACACACAAACTAACGTTACATTAAATATAAATATAATATATATTAGAAAATAGAGGTATTAGAAAACAGAGTAAAGAATAGCCAACCAACTGTCGAACTGAAACCTAGTTCCGTATCAAGTTTTTCCAATGTTAAATTATTAGTTGCAGCATTCATTATATCTGTAGTATCGTTCTTGGTTGGTAGAATGATAGCCGCTTAAATAAACAACAAATAATAATATTCTTTATTGCAAAACTAAATATTGTGGAAATTGTACGCGCAACCAACCAACCAACCAAGATTTCCTCACGATCAACATCACATTATACAAATATATATCATTCATTTACTCAAAAACAAAAACAATGATATATAAGCAAATCTAACAATATTTTTAAAATAAACTTTTGTTCAAACAAATCGACGATCGTCTTTTAAAATGTATTAAAAAAAATATTTTAATTTATTCAATCAAGCAACAAGTATATATATATATATATGGTTCGCAAAAATTATCACTTTTAATTATATATTTTATTAAATATCATATCTCCATCATTCTCCAAAAGTGAAAATATAACTTAAAAATTAATACTGAGTTAGTTACCTGATCTTTTTTATACATTTTTTTATTGGTGAATACCGAGTCCAAATGATGGCCATCTCAGCCGCTGAATTGCTCTATTAATAAAAAATAATTTAATTAAATTAACAAAATACGATCTAGATCTATTTTGAATCCTTTAAGATGTCCAATACAATGAACTATTAATTGAGGACCATGATTAAGATTCTCAGGATTAGTTAGTAGGGGAATAGTTTTGTAGGAGACAGTTGGGAACCTAGGAAATGGTATCATATTCTCGAAATACTGTTGCCAATTCAATTTTTTTAACTTTTGTCCAAGTTTTTGGATCTCCAAATCAAATAAATTGACTATATGAAAATTTGCATTTGGTATTTCTTTTTGGAATTGTTGAATTTTGTTCTGTGTCTGAAGAATATCATTCTCATGCTCAATTTGTTGTTCTTGAACATGAGGATGGGTACCATTATTTAGTATATTAGTTGGACACCATAGATAAATATTCTATCCTTGACCATCAAACAAGATACCAGATTCAACTCTATTGACATATTTTTAGAAACTGGTTATTCAAAGTGTTGATAGTTTTATTGGCATAGGACCGAGTTTGAACTACAAAATCTGGATAAGTCGGTGACTCATGATAATTCCTGACTCTCAAAGGAATCACGTCGAATCTTTCCATTGACAAAAAAGAAACATCAGGTTTACTATTGAATTGTTAATATTGATAAGTTTTAAAAGAATGATTACTTACTAATGAAATATATTTCCATCGATTTCTAATCGAAATTGTGCTTTTCCACTCATAACTACTCCCAGCTTTTCCACTCTATCCGAGTTTCCAAGTTGACCACCTAGTGAAGCACATAGATGACTTGAAACAAAAGTTTTTTCTTTTATCAAAATAGTACTCGGATTCTCAGATTCCAGTAGTAGATCCCTCTGGTTATACTCTAGGAGGTATTCCAAAGCATCACAATATTCATTTGAGAAATATTCAGTTAGAAGTATCGGAGAAATATTAATAGGTGTTCCATTCGGAATAATTAATTTATTTTTTTATATAGTTTAATATCTATATTATGGTTAATAGATATAAGTTGTTTGAATACTTCATCTGACAGTTGGTTAAATTCTTTTGGTATTAATATTTTTTCAAAACCTTCCTCCATTTTTGTTCTTATTTTAGATTGAGGAAAAGAAAAAAAATAAAATGAACTCACTTCTTAATGTTTCTTTTGTACTCTTTTTTTAAAAATAAAAAATTTGTGATTATTAAAATCTTTTATTTTTAAGTTAATAAAAATTGAATATTAAATCTAAATTAGAAGAAATAATTGATATTCTGGTGAATTTTATCATAATCATGTACAATAAATAAAACCTAGTACTATCTGTCTTTATTGATCTCGATTTTAAATTTTTTCTTTTATTTTTTATTCTATTCCTTTACTTCTCTTAAGATTTGTTCAAGTTTGGATTGATGAAATATTTTTGCAATTAATTTTGCTTTTGGCGCGCTTCCATTTTCAGAATAGATTAAATAGTAATTGTCATCCAACTTTCTAATGGTTTGTGTTTGATGTGAATTCAATATATAAATGATATTGGTGATTGGTTTGATAGAATTTATAATATTGATATTGATTCTAGATAGTTTCCTAAAGACAAGTGTATTGAGTGTAGATGGTATCAAATGTAAAACATTTTTGAGATTATTTTTACCGATATCCAGATATTCGATGGTGTTTGGTAGTTTAAATTTAGGAGTTGCCTCTATGAATTTTGGAAGACGCAGTTCTCTTAATGAACTTGGTCGATTGGTATCAGAATCGTCGACACCAAAATCAATTCCTTTCTCGTTTAAATCTGATGATTCCATATATAAGTTGATTGATCGAATTCCAGATGGAAGAGATATCGAAGATTCTTGTGATCCAACAGTTACAGATAAACTATCTATCTTTATGTTTGACGGAATTTGAAGAATTCTGTCTTTTTCATAATCGAAAATTTCCAAGTGATATTGCAATGATTCTGGGAATAGCTCATCGAACTTAAAATGACAACCAGCAAGATAGATGTTTTTCAATGATGTTGGCATTGTTCCTTTCAATATGCTCTCTTTTCCATATAGTCGAAGATCCAGTGATTCAAGGGTTGGTGGGAGGTAGTTGACATTGAAAATAGTGATATCCTGTAGATTGTGTTTGGGAAAATTAATGAAAAGTGATTGAAGATTGGCAAGTGATGATATTGCTCGTAACCATGTAATAGGAAAATAGGATTTCGATTCCACCCAAGTATTTTCTTCCCAAGTTAATTCGGAATATTGTAAATCTTCTTTGAGTTGAAATTGGTAACTGATCAGAGATAAACTCTCTAGAGATGATGGTAGGACACCTGCTTGAATTTCATGTTGATAGTCGAATAGAGAAAATTTCCGCAAACCACCTGGAAGTACACCGGGTTGAATTTCATAATGACATCCTAGATATAGATTCTGCAAACCACTTGGAAGTATACCTGGTCGAATATCACATTGGGAGTTGGAAAGAGTAAGTTTGCGCAAACCACTTGGAAGTACACCAGCTTGAATTTCAAACGCATAGTGTTCAATAGAGAGTTCGCGCAAACTCTCTGGAAGAACACCTGGTGGAATCTCTTGATCGATTAGTTCAATTAAATCTAACACCTCTAATGAACCGGGAAGTGATCCTTTAACGAGTGGTTCATCGAAATCATAATCAAACTTGAGTGATTTGATTGACTTTGGTAATCCATATTTCAATGTATGGCAGTCGCCCAAAACTGTTACTGATTGTGATTCCGATATTAATCTATAGATATACTCCAAGTCATCGTCTGAAAAATTATTTGGTGTAAAAAAGATATCTGAAACATTGCTGGGAATACTTTTGAGATTTCTAACATCATCTTTTATTTGTCGAATTATTAATATTAGTATACACTGAATATATTTAACAATTGAAAGTATTTACCATAGAAATAATCGTAATTTCGGTATTGGTACAATTTTTTATTTAAAACGAGTATACAATCATTCTTTGATTGAATTGATTTCATAAATACATTATGATATGATGGCAAGTTGAAATGTTTATCACATTGTTTAATATCAGTGTTATGAAGTGCAAATAGGGTGATATGATCGGTTTTGAATACTAAATATTTTTCTCTATCATTGTACCATCTCTTACAAACTAAACTGAAGCAAATGATATCAATGTTATCTTTTAAATAGGTAATTATTTTATTTAATATTAAATGTGGTAGATTTACTATTTTATCTGTTTGATTATTCATTTATATTTTTCATTACAACTTTCTGTTTTTAAAATTTGTAAAATGATGAAAACTTTTTACAGAAATTTATTTGAAAAATGATGACCATTTTTTTGATTAAAAAAATAGAATAAATAAATAAAAACCAAGCTTAAACATTCATTACATAATATTACGAAGAATAAATTATCCATCTTCATTCCTGAATGAATATGTTTTATTTTTATAACTTTACAATATATTGATAATTTTCCATGAATTCCACACAGTCATTTTTATCCATTATAGTTTTAATTCTTGAGGTCAATGTGTTTTCGAAAAAAAAGTCACACACTTCAAAGTGTCCATTGCCATATGCATAAGAAAAGTGTGAAGAAGTCCATTTATCGTTTCTAACGTTGATGAAATATTTCACAATATCCAAACGGTTGAACATCGAAGCATAAAATATTGGCATATCGTTGTTGTAAACAACAGTTTCATTAAAAAAGTTACCCAACTCGTAGAAATCACGAATCAAATCGAAACAGTTTTTCCTTGTGGCGAGCTCCTTTATATAGGAAACATGATGGATTCCTAATTTATAGTTTGGTGAATAATGTTTCTTTAGTAGTTTATAGAAGCATTGCGACATTTCTTTGCATGTTGTTATCGTTTCACTATTATAGATAAATCGTTCATCTTTATCTAGATCGGCATCGCCATGGTTATCATCATCAATGATGGTCGTCGCACTGAAAACATTCTCCATTAGATATTTAAACATCTCGATATTGTTGTTGGTGATAGAGTGAAGGACTGCTAGGAGTGAAGCACCTTCATTAATGTTTTCATTCAACCATCGGACCATTTCAAGATTGTTGTTTTCACATGCCAGGTCGATCGCTTCCGAGGTGAATCCTTCAGTTCTGTTCTCATGGAACCATTTCACCATTTCAAAGTTATTGGATCGAACTGCTTTATTCATTGCCCTCTGAGTGAATAGATTTGGATGGACGCTATGTAGATATTTAATCGATTCAAACTCGCCAGAGAATACTGCATTTTCAATTGTATTTTCAGTGAACGCAATTTTTGAATTCTCGTGTAGCCACTGTAGTTTTTCTAAACTATCGAAACCAGCATTTTCAATGGTTTCAGTCGTAAGGAACATTTCCGTTGAAAACCTTTCAGTTGCATTCATTTGAATCCAGTTCAATGTCTCCAATGAACATTCAAATAAATCTTCCATACCAGAATCAGAGAAACCTTCGGTTCTATTCGCGCGCAACCATTTAATTAACTCCAGACAATCGATTTTCAATGCGCTGTCCATCAGATCAGTTGAACTGATGAAATACTTAAAGTGTTGATGAACCCATTTGACAATCTCGAGTGGATCGATTATTTTACTCAGATTCTTGGCAATTTCATTGAGGTCGATTGTTATTCTATTGAATTCGATTTGATCCGAGTGATTATCTAGCAAATAGTTGAGAAAGGTAATATTTCCATTTATACATGCAACTTGAATTAAACTCTGATAGTTGTTTATCTTTAAATCTGGCTGTTCCATCAACCATTTGAAAATATCAACCCTTCCTTTCTTTGCTGTCGATTCATATACACCTTTTATATACATTTCCTTTTCAACACTGTTTATTGCTTCAGCTGCTCTAACCTTTTCATAAAGCCACTTGACAACTTGGAGATCTGAATTATCGCTGATTGGTGATATGGTGAATGCTTCGATATAATCACTGACTTGCCACTGAGTTGTAACCACAGTTGTTTGTAGATCCAAATACTGTAACATCTCCAACGATCCAGATAACGATGCTTGTCTCATCATGATTGTTGGCTTTACATAATCGCTTAGCTTTAGATTGAAATGCTCGGTTATCACTCTAAGTATATCGATTTTTGCATATCTGATTGCTGTCATGATCGACTGATAGTAGATGATTGAAAAACTATCCACCTCTTTTACTCTTGTCTGTTGATATCTTTCAAGATATAATCTAAACTGATCGACATAGTTAAGCTTTATCAACAAAGTAAATCTCTTTTGAAGTTCTTCCCAACCAAAAGAATAAAAAGATTCTGATCGATTTATTTCATTCACTTTTTTACATATATTGATTGCTAATACTTTATTTTTAAATATCTTTATAAACAAATCTTTATTCATTTTTTATTTGTTGTGGGTTAACCATTAATCGGAATTAAAAGAGTAAAAGGGGGTAATTTTCATGGTGACTATTAGGTTGAGATTTTTTATGAGAAAGTTGACAGAATAATTTTTTATTATTTAATTGTTTTTTTTTTATACTTTGAATTTAAATCTTGATCATCTATTTTGTGTTGTAATCACCTTAACTACTAACTCGAGTCATAATTTTCCAGTCATTGAGCCACATGATATCTAGAAAAACTAGATTCCCAATTTTGAGTGCTCTTCAACAGCTCTGTCAGTTTTGTGATTGAATTGATGAATGCGAAACAATGATATTGTTATCGATACGATAGATTTCCCTATAGTATGAATTTTGATACGGCGAATAGATGGTCTGTGATTCAATACCATATCGTACCTGATCAGTTATAACTTTTAATGTTCGAATTGAATCGGGAAGCAACGTTGGATTAAATTCGGAGCAGAGACCATTGCCAAGGCAAAGATATTCAACTGAATCCGGTATTGAACTGGCATCGAAATAATGTAGGTACCGAGTCCAGAAACAATCTAAGAGTTTTCACTGAAGAAGGAATGACATCTTTAGTGATATAGCAGCGGTGTCATTCCGATATCACTAAATACGGAGCTTTTTGCAAAAAGAGGTCTTTGATTTGATTGTGCAACTCATCCAGCAATGACTGCGGGACAGGGAACATCCTTTTCTTTTGTACTGGCGCATTCAAATCGATCTTCATGCCGACGATGGCGAGTTCATTTGCGAGACGACATCCTTGAAATCTCTTCAGCATGTCGATGATGTCCTTACGAACACCATTAAGACCGTCCTCCGAAGCAGCGGTGACAAACTTGGCGAAGCGTGACTGGAACTAGCAGACCGGCTAATACTTACGGCGGGTGGTTGCAGCAGTTGTTGTTGAGGTGAACTTTACGTTCCTTCTTCAGTGAAAACTCTTATATAGATGACGATGATAGCGATATCTTACTTAATAATAATAGTAACCCTAACAACATGAATAATAATAATTTAAATGTTGACTATTCTAAATTTATATAGAATGATTCAAAATTTCACCAAAACATCACAGCACGTGGTACTTTGTCGAAAGATTTATCAAAATCAATTTTTCGCTTGAGCTCCTTTAAAATAGATTGGTATGATCTCAATTGAACTCTTTTTTTGTTCTATCTCTTGTAAACAATAGATAACCATTTCTTTCTTCGAACCATCTTTTACAAACGAGTGTAAATTTAATTATTTCTACTGTATCATCGATATTTGAAATGATTTTCTTTAATAGTAAATGTGAAAGATTACAAAAAAATTATCTTTATTTGTTACCTCCATTAGTGATATTTTAAAAACACACGATCTTTAATCTATTATTATATAGAATAATATTTTTTTAAGAAATCAAAAAAAAAAAAGGTAGATATATCACATTTTAGTAACGTTTTTTTTGGTCAATTTACACAAATTCATTGAAATGCTTTGTTAAACTGAAAAAAATCTCTGTTTAATTGTGAATTGTGTCCAATCCAATAAAGTAGAACAACAAGATGTTTGTCTATTCCTAAAATAAAACAAGTTAACTAACTAGATTAATTGGATTTGTTTATTTATTAAGAAATATGATTATAGAAAATAATAATAACAATAACAATAGTAATAGTTCGACACCTACCATTTTTTTGAACAATGAAAATGTAGAAAAAGAACAAGAACAACAACAAAATGGTGAATTTCATCAAGAAGGTGATATTGTTAACAACGGCAACGAACCTTTGAAATCACATATGTATTTAAATGCACCACCACGATCAAGTGTTACGTCCTATCAGTTACTCTCTAGATCACCTTTACTCACTAGTTCCAACATCTACAACAGCTATATCAGCTATAATAAACATAACAACGATAACAACGATAACAACAACAATAGTAATAACCAAATCAATCAAACGAAACAGACAACACCACTATCGATTTCATCATACGATGAACCTGGTTCATCTTATCAATTTCTAAAAGAACAACATAATCTTTTATTAAACAACCAACAACAACAACAACTTTTAAATAGTTATGATAGTTATGGTGGTAGTGCTGCTGGTAGTATTAGTCCAGGTGTAAGTGTCAGTAACAATAGTATCAGCATCAACAGTTTGAGTTATAGTGGATACAATTATAGTTGTTATGATTCATCTATAAGTGGTGGTATCTACAATCAAAATAACAATAGTAACAACAATAATAATAACAACAATAACAATAATAATAAAACAATCGACAAAGATAAAGATGATGATCAAGAGAATCAAGAGAAACAAAAAGATGAAGTAGAGAAACAGAGACGATCACAACTCATATTGAGTTCACGTGAAGTAAAAGACAGTGGTAGAGATTGGAATCAAGAGTTTCAAACACTCTTACGTATGAAACCATCACTCGATAAATTTCAAAAGCTAACATTTCTAGCAATTGATTTTGTTAAAGCTGCGGGTAAGTAAATATAAAACAATACAATATGTTGTCATTTATATTACTATACTAAATACATTTAATTATTCTTTATTAGAAACCTATGGTAGTTTCATTATTAAGGAAATGTTTATGCCAAGTCATTTGAGAACGATTGCACCCATCGATATTGGAGGTGTTGCAGGTGGTACCAAGTATATCTGTCAGAATATTCTATTCAAGTTTGCATACGGATCAAAAGATACACGATCAATGGCTATACGGTGGAAGATATCCATCTGACTATGGTGCATCTAAAGCTGCTGGTAATGAATTAAGAGGGTAATATAAATTTAGTATAACTATTATTATTTATTATTATTATTATATACTTATATAGTTATTATAAATATAGATTATCTTATTTCTTTCAAAATCTGTTGGATACAGATTGTGGTGATAGAATCAAATGTACCGTTGATGTGTGTAATCGATTATTATGGTTATAGATTGTAATGTATTAAGAATTATTGTTGTTTATTTATTGTTATTAATAATAGTTGTTGAATTCATTGTTTATAATTATAGGTTAGCAATGTCATTATTACCGATTAATAAAGAAACATTGATATATGGAAGTTGTAATGGTGGACATCATGTACATAACGATGTAGAGGAAGTCAATTTAATGATGGAGAAAATCGGTAAAGTGATGAACTTAAGAGGTCATCTCTCTGGTATCAATCCTAAATTCCTGTATGGTCCGGGTGACTTGGAGATTCATCGATCATTGAAGAACAAACGTGATTACTTTGCAATTGATTTCGCAAGATTATTACCACCACAAGCATATTTCGATGAATACAAGTAAGTCATAGTATATATATATATACTTTGTTTGATAATTATCATATCATTCTCTTACCTGTTATTATTCTTTTTTTTTGAAAATGATAATTATCATTTAGTAAACCATTATATCATAGAGATGTATTTTTTAAATTATTAAGACCGGAATTGGTTAGAGGATATGAGAGACCGTTGTCTTCGGATTCTTTCAGTGGTTGGGCTGCTAATGACCCGAACTATCAGGAGTACAATCAGGATATTGCCAATGCATCGAGTCATCTGTTGGAGGTGGTAGTTAGAGAAGCTGCCAATGGACTGGAAGCGAGGTTCATTGAGAACAGAGACTATCTGCTGGTTAATTTCGATACCGCGGTGGAAGTCCACAAGTTTGGTGTGAACTTACGACATCTCGGTTTAGTTCGAAGTCAAATCGATTCACATTTCAAATCGCTACGTAAACAGCTGTTGAATGAAATGGTCGGTCGTGTCCTAAAGAATGAAATCAAAGATGAGCTGCGTGTCAAGCTGAGTGGTCACTTGATTGGCTCCGAGGAGAAGTGTATCGATACGATAGTCTCTTATTTAAATACTGTTTTCAACGTCAATCGTTTCAACAGTGAAAAAGGGTTCTGGTTGGTAACGGTTAAGAAGTTGCTACTCGATAAATTCGGACAGAGCTGTTTGAGTGGCGACGAACTGGATACTCAATACGACTTGTCGAATTCCGTTGATATTGCAAAGGTTATTGGTTTCTTCCAGTTGAAAACCGGTATTAAACTATCGAAGCGTGTTAAGAAGCTGTTGGGTGAGGGTAAGATGCCGATGGTGTTGTACACCGATATTAAAGCGGTCGTTCCAGTCACCAAGCATTCGGCAATGATTGCGCGATCCGAGGGTGTTTCACTGTATATGAAAGCACTCGAGATGATCTATGCCAATACGATTTACTTTGGACATCCAGCTCGTGAACCTAACTACCAACAATTCACTCAGACCTATTTCGAGGAGATCAGTCTGCTGGATCATTGTCGTCAGAAGCTGGAAGCGGCATCGCGTTCCGCTACTACCGATGCCAATCTATATCATCTGCTTGGACTGGTCGATATTGAGAATCATAAGCTGCGTAATGATGACGGACCGTACATAAAGTATGCAGAGCGCAGTCTTCAGGTGTCGCTATCCTATCAGAAGTCAGCGGGTGCAACCGTTGCACTTGGAACAGTCTATAGCTTGACAAGAGACTTTCAAAAGGCAGAGCAATTTTACCGTCAGTTGGACCGCTTCCCCGTCGAACAAGTAATACCGACACTCTTTGAGAGTGCATCGCTTTACGCACCGTTCTTTGCATTCCCTACCAACTACAATCCAAACTATTTCTTGTTGTCGCTACACCAGATGATTCACTTGAATATTCTCACTTCAAGACTGGACGATCAACACATTGTAAAGCTGGAATTCCACGATAATATTACCAAACAATTGGCGGTGATGTTACTTCGAATCTTGCAAATTAAGAATCCTCAAATCAGACAATGGGTATTGAATCTCTACAATGCTATCTATGAACTTCCGAAATTCACTAGAATCGCCGCTCATTCCGACTTGATAAAGACATTCTCTCCGGTTCTAACATCAATTCTCCAACAGTCACCTGATATTCTCGACGATGTTATGCGTGGCTCCATAACGAATCAGGTTGGATCGGTTCCACTCGAATGCTATTTAAAGTATGTGCCATCCGTTGCCGCTATCCGTTCTCTAGTCACAAAAACACTACTTCAATATCCAATTGCTTCACTCGCAGAGGAACAACAATTTCTGTTATTCAAAGACTACGATACCACTACCATATTGCTCTCGCTTGACATACAATACACTATGCTTATCACCAAGCATTTCGACCAACCCGCAGCATTGGCAAGACAACTATCGTTATCAAAGTTGATAATCGAGAATTCCTATCTCGATGATATCCAACAGACAGAGTGTTTCTTTTCCATCATTATGCCAACACTCAACTATCTAAAGTTATCATCGATTGGCTATGACAGTAGTGTTATTGAACATGTAGAGCATTCCACTTCATTGAAAATCGATATTCAATGTCCGAATCTTCGAGAAGTTTATTTGACATCTGTGAAGCTACCGAAACCTCTGCTTACCTTGCTCTTCAAGAGATTCGAACACTCTGTTGAAACAATTCATATTGAAGATATTGAGAATTTCGATAATCAACTACTTCATTCATTGAAATCTCTAAAGTCGCTATCTTTATCCTATCAACCTGGAGTCACAGTTAAAAGTATTCCGTCATCCATTCAATATCTTAAGCTTCAAGTAGATCTCGTAGAGGAAACAAAAGATGAATCAAGTAGTAGTAGCTCACTTTTGAAACAATGTCCACATTTAATTTCAATAGATTGTCCATCGTTTGACAATAGTGCTGTAGATGATATAGAATCATTGAAAACTCATCCAATTCAATGTTTATCGTTATATCTAAATAGTAAATTTGTCTTGGAAAAGACAAACCTTGCCATTTGGTCAAAGAGCATGAGAGATCTCACAATCAATACATCGCAAATCGACGTGGACAATCATGATAATCTAGTCACCAATTTACTTGGTTCCCTTAGGAATCTTACAATACTCAATTTAGTAACATCGAAATTCAGTGACGCATCACTAAGGTTATTCATTGAAAACATGAATCAACTTGAAACCCTATCGATAGATTCCACCAACTTTAAGCTGGAACCTCAAGACAAACCTTGGAAATCAGTACAATCATTTAGTTTTGTAAATGCATCGAATATACCGGAGCAACACTTCCTCAATCTCGGAATCATTTTCCCAAGTCTGACGGAGCTATCCATACAACAACCAATCAACTTTACAGACACATCATTCAAGAAAGCACTTCAGAATCTAGCACAACACAAAATAGAAAAACTCACATTGGATGGCTGTACAGAACTAACGGATTCCTCCATCATAGCATTATGTAGCACTACCTCCATATGTAAATCAATGACAAAGATCTATTTCATTGTTCCAAAGATTGGTGATTCATCGATCATCAAAATAGCAGAGACAATGCCAAACCTCAGAACGATCATCTCCTATTCCTTCAAGTTTGACACATCCGAACAATATTTTTGTATTCGATATCCACATATCAAATTCAACCAACTCTATCCTCATCCCGATACTACTTGGTTTATGTAATACCACAATAGTAATAAAAAGTACAATTCAATTCAATGGTATTCTCAGATTAAATAAAATTATCGACAGATTTTATAAAGATATTACTTTATTTAAATATACATATAAATAAATATAAATCATGGTCATCCAATACAAACTCCAATTCTCCAGTTTACACTTTGGGTGGTTTCAGAACATTTTCATTTTTATAATTTGAAATTTTTATTTATTATACTGAATATTATAAAAATTTAACGAATCCAAACTTTTGAGAGATCAATATTAAATCCATTTACAAATCCAATACAATGGACTATTAATTGTGGACCACGATTAGGAGTAGGAGCTGGAATTCCTACTAACGGAATAGTTCTGTAAGAGACATTTTGGAACCCAGGATATGGTATCATATTCTCGAAATATACCTGTTGCCAATTCATTGTTTGCAGCTTTTGTTGAAGTCGTTGAACTTCCAATTGATGTAGGGCAACATTTATATTTGCGATTACCATAGCATTTATATCATTTTGATATTGTTGAATGTTGATTTGGATTTGATTGCTCTCGTTGTTGTGAGCCAATTGTTGTCCTTGTACTTGGCCATGTCTACCATTGGCAAGTATATTGGTTTGACAAAATAGGTAGATATTCATACCCATTCCATCAAACAAAACACCTGATTCCACTCCAGATCTAATCCATCGACACATCTTGAGTAATTGGTTGTTCAAATCATTGCTAGGAATATTTGAAAATGATCTAACTTCAATTACAAAATCTGGATGACTTGGAAAAGCATGAATATCTCTATATGCAGGAGGAACGGCATTAAATCTAGCATTGCAAATAAATGCTGAATCTGGTTTACTATGTTATTGTAAGAAATTGTTTTTAAGAAGAATTCTTTAACTGTGTTAATACATACTAATAAAATATATGTCCATTAGTATTGAGTCTAAACAATGCTTGTCCATCTAGATCTCTACCAAGACCATTTATTTCATTCCAATGGATAAGTTGGAAATTGAATGAATTGTTTTGAGTACATGGAGTAGTTGCCATATCCTTTACCCAAATAGTACAAGGATGTTCACCCTCAAGAGGCAGATCTTGGTTAAACTCTAATATGAATGCCAGAGGATCTCCCTTTTCCATAGACCAATACTTTGAGGGGAGTAATGGTGCAATATTAATTGGTGTTCCACTAGGAATAATAAATTTATTTGATGGTGAAGTCTTATTATTATAATGTGGAAGATTAATATTCTTATTATAGGTTACTAGTTGTTGATATACTCCAACAGATAATTGGTTAAAATCTTTGGGTATTAATATTTCACAATTATTCATTTTTGATATTCTGTTAAAACTAAAAAATAATATACTAATTTAAACATATGTAACAATTTTTATTAACAGTGTTCAAAATGAAGTAATAAAACAAAAATTGTGGGATTGTTTTTAAATAAGGAGCTTTTTACCCAAAAAAATTCATTGGAAATATAGATTATCATATTTTTTTTCAAAATCTATTGGTTAAAGATTGTGGTGATCGAAATCAATGTACCATTGATATATCTAATCTATTTTTTTTTTTTTATAATAACTAAAGTGGTATACATGTTTTATTAAAAGTTGTATTAAAAGGATGGATTTACCATCAAGTTTTTTTCGTAGTCTATTTTTTTTTTTCTTTTTAGTTGTTGGTTGATTTAATTAATTAGTTGGCAGGTTGGGAAGAGAGTTAATTTCATTTACTTGATTAGTTGGCTGGTGTTGGAGTGTTGTTTATTAATTTTAGAATGTTTCTGTGGATATCGAAGTCGGATATAATAGATTGGTTGGAGAAATCGAGTATTTTGTCATCTTGACTGAATAGAATTGAACTGACATGTTTCCAAATGTTGTGGTAGATGATCGCTGTTAGGTCTGATGATTCATCGCAGAGGTAGAAGTGAGTAGTAGATTTTTCCAGTGACCATTCGTCTTCGTAGTTGGCAATTTGTAGATGTTGTGTGATGTGTTTGAGGTTGAATTTGTTTAGGATGACTCGACAATTAAAGAAATAATGTGTGTGTGGGTCAAAGTCATTTGCTGAACATAGTTTACAACTGTCTTGTTTGATGTATGCCATACCAGGAAGTGATCTTGAGAAGAATCTGAATACTGTGTTTCTACCTCTGTGGTGTTTGATGGAGTTAATGTAGTAGAAGATGTTTCGGGTTGATGTAAAGTCTATTTTGGTGGGGGGAAGAGATAGTTGGAATTGACCTGATGTAAGTACTGGTTTGTGGTGATGGTTGATAAGGTCGTGGTATATAAGTTTAAGTGGTAGTGGTTCGTCATTACGCAATATTGGTTTCATTTGATGTGGAGGTAATTTCATAATTGGTCTGAATTGTTGCCAAAGAAGGATGGAATGTTTGAGTGTAGGTGAGGTTATCTTGTTATGTCTGATCTGGTTACGCCAGCTTTGGTAGTATGGGGAATAGACATCTTGATTTGCAATTACTCTATTTAGTATCCAAATGTGTTGAGCGTCATTTCGTAGTTTCATATCCCACAATGAAATGCCACCATTTTTCCAATGATGTACTGCTCTGGAGAGTGTCATTGTATTCTTAAATGATTTTGCATCTTCGAAAGGTCTGAGGTTGGATGACCATAGGAACCAAGTGATTATTTTGTTGAGTGATTTGATATCTGATTCTGTGAATTTGTCAAGGTACATGTGGTAAGAGAGTTTTGATAGTGTGTATGACTTGAGTATTGACATTTTAGTCCTTAGGGTTGTGCCAAACTTCTTCCATTTGATCAGTGATGATTTAACTTCGCTGACTATTGATGAAAGTGAATGATGTAATCCTTCGGAGTTAAAGAAAAGACCGAGATATCTTTCGTTGACAATTGACTTTGGTATTCTTGTGTCGCCTATGATCGGGGGGTGGTGAAGATGGTCGCTGCAAGGTGGACCTATTTGGATGATACAACACTTGGTGGGATTGATTTTGGATGAAGTGGCTTGGCAGAACAGGTTAAAGATTCTTAATTTTAGTTTCAGATCTTTATAATTTGCTGAAAATGTGCTACTGTCATCTGCAAATTGTAATAGTTTAACCATTGTGTTGAAATCGTTTAGTGGAAGACCGATTGCTTTGGAATTGAGTATGGCTCTGGCCAAACATTCGATGACTAGAACAAATAACGTTGGTGATAGTGGATCTCCTTGTTTAACTCCTCTGTTGATAGGAATAGGGTTAGTTAAAAATCCGTTGACAATTACTCTGGCAGTAGAACCTGTGAGAAGGTTCATTATTAGGTTGATTATTTTGTTGTCTATTTTAATGTGTTGTAGTGTTCTTCTAATAGCGCCGTGAGAGATGCTGTCGAAGGCTTTGTTGAAGTCGAATAATGTTATTAAACCACTTAATCCTCTGAGTTTGCAGTATTCTATTATTTCATTCATCGTGATGATGTTGTCCATGATATATCTCTTGTGTACAAAGCCAGTTTGGTTGTCGTTGATGATTAGGTCTACCAAGGTTTTCATTCGATTGTTGATTGCTTTGGTGATAACTTTGTAATCGTTGTTGAGTAGTGTTATTGGTCTTCTATTGGCTGGATCGAATATATCACCTTTCTTGTAAATAGTTGTGATGGTGCCTACTTTGAATTCGCTTGGTAGTGGATTGCCTGAGTTGAGTGATTGGTTGTAAAGTTTGGTGAGTATAGGGGCAATGACATCGCAGTGGGCTCGGTAGAACCATAGTCCTAAGCCATCTGGGCCAGGTGATTTCCATGGGTTGGATGAATTAATAGTTTCTGTGATCTCTTCGGTTGTGAATTCTCTGGCAATGCTGTCATCGGTTATTTCACATTTCCATTCGTTAAGTAGTCTATTGTGTATGGTTGGATCATCTGGAACATTTCTGAATAACGATCTGTAGTACTTCTCCATGATGTTCACCATATCATCGAGATTAGATGTAACCGTGGTTTCATTTAATCTTAAACCGACGATGTTGGTATCTTTTTTGGATTGAGCTAGTTTAGCGGTTAATAATCGAGAAGGGATTTCACCGTTTAGTTGTTGGTTGACCTTGCGAATTGAATCTCTTAGATTCCTTTCTTCTGTTTGTAACTTGATAAGATCTAATTTTGCTGATTGTATGATGTTGTTGGGGAGGTTGGAGTCTATTGTTTTCAGTAAGTTGATTATCGCATTTCTTTTTATTCTTTTCCTTTTCTTTTGATAGTTTATGTAGCATTCTATGATTAATGATTTGACTTTTATCCAGTCTTCTATGTTGTTGATGTTTTTGGTGGTGATAATGTTATTAATAAGTGATTGTACTTCTGGTTCTAGTGAAGTTTCCTTATCGAGTCTCCACTGTGTTTGTGATAATTGTGGTGGTGTGATTTTTATGTTTGTTGTGATTGGTGAGTGGTCAGATAGTGCTCTAGGGTGTAGTTGGAAGTTGGATGTTTCTATTGTAAATTTGCAATATATTCTGTCTAATCTCTTTTCTGTATCGCCACGTTTCCAAGTGCTGCTGTTGTTTGTACTATCTAGATCAATAAGATCATGATCATCGCAGAGGAAATCTAATATTGTTGATAGTGGTGAGCTGTCTCCTGGTATACAATTAAAGTCGCCAGTGCAAATGTCTATATGGTTTGGTAACCAAAGAGAAGTGTTGTTGAAGAGTTGATCAGCAAACAATCTTTGCTCTGGTTTGCTTGCTGGAGCATATATATGTAGGAGATTGAAGCTATTGTTGAATATTCTTATAGTACACAGAATGAATCTTCCATTAGGATCGATGAGAGAGGGGTATAGATTGATATGCTTGGAATGAGAGATGATTGCAACCCCAGTTCCTTGACCGTTTGAAGTAGTTATTATCTTATTATTATTATTATTTTTGTTGAAATATGAGTTGAGTGAGGTGATTGTGACGTGATTAGTTTCTGTAAGTAGGGTGATGTGTGGTGAAGTAGATGAAATTAAAGAGGCTATATCTTCCAGTGATTTTTGTAGAACTGCGCCCCTGCAGTTCCATAGAAGTAGCTTAAGGTTGTCCAATTGGGGCTAAGGGTATTCTCACATGTGTCTGCGTATTACCTGCTGGAGCCTGAGTTCTCTTGTTTTGATTTGTATCTTCTGAATCTTTAACTTCTCTTTGTCTAACTGTTGTAGTGTCATTCTTCTTCTTATTTCTCTTCTTATCGGTTGAAGTTGTTGTTGTAGTTGTAGAAGAAGTTCTTTGTGTAGGTTCTACGTATTTGGTTAGAGTTGAAGTATAACCCGATTCTTCGTCTTTGTAGTCAGCGTCAGAAATGATGACATCTTTCTCGTAGAGTACCCATGTAGATGCTTTGTATAGTTTAGTGGTATTGTCTTTGGTGGGTAGCAGAGAGGAGACATGTGAAAAAAGAGCATGATTCTTCTTGTATATCTTCTTGAATTCATCCTCTTTAATTGCTTTAGAGCTGTCTGATGTTGTTATTGCTGATACTTTTAGAAAGTTGAAAGAAGGGAAATAGGCAACAATCTTTCTAGGTTTATTTATCGAAAGGTTCTCACTACAGTAAACATGTAGATCATTGAGACGTGATCTGTCAATCCTTCCGTTAAATACAATTCCTTTGCTTGTCCTACGACCCTCGGGATCTGATACAGTGCTCATAATGAAGAGATCATATAGTTTTTCTAAAATCTTGTTACTGACGTAATTTGATTTAGGAAAGTATAGACGTACATGAATGCTCTCTAGTTGTATGAGTTGCATGAAGGTCGCATTGTTGCTAAGCTTTAGATTCTTTTTATAGAACTCGAATAGAGTACTCATTTTACTAATTGGTTGTTCTTATTGTTATTTAAATGTATATAAATATATATTATAGAATAAAATAAGATTTGATGGTGATTAGATGAATATGTAATAATTAGTTTAAATTTATATTAAATCTTATATTATTGCAATAATATGTTGTATTATTAATAGTTATTGCTAAATAGTTGATATAAATATGAAAATATAATAATTATAAATAGTAGTATACAGTTACTAATTGTATACAAAAAACGAAAAAAAACTTTATATATCTAATCTATTACTTTTGTTAAATCCGCAATAAATATTTAATGTTTTTTTTGATAGTATTGCACTAAGGAGGTGTTTTTTATCACCTCCTCACGAGTTTGTGTCAATGTATTGCCCCATGGGCTCTTAGGACATCAGTTTTATTATATACGTTCGGAAACTTAGTCATTACCGAGCCTCGAACCCGGGTCGAAGTAGTGAAGGCCCACGAATGAACCATTTCACTAACTACGTCCTTCGACATTTAATTGAAATTGATTTCGCAAGATTATTACCACCACAAGCATATTTCGATGAATACAAGTAAGTCATAGTATATTTATACTTTGTCGTGGTTGGAGTTGTCTTTGATTGGAGGAAGTGATTATAGACCTGAATCATGATTCCGATTATTAAAAGATAAGAAAATAAATAAAAAATTTAAAAGAAGAAATAATTTCATCCCAATCCTCTTTGGTGTAGTGGTAACACATTAGTCTCTCACACTGATACCCCGGGTTCGATTCCCGGAAGGGGAGAATATCTATTAATAATAATTCCCTAGATGCGCGCATATTTGGTTAACAGAAAATCTTGTTTTTAAATATTTTTGGGACCTATGAAAAGGTTAGAACAAAATTAACTTTTTAAAACACCATTTTCAGCGTACTTTAACGCGTTAGAGCTGAAAGTGATTCACTATAATAAGTATAAGGGGTGATCTTATTTTTTAAAAATATGTTTATTATATTTTATTGTATTTGTTATTCACCATTAAGTATTTTTACAACATTAACTCTGTCTAAAAACATTGATTTGTGGAATAGACTTGCAATGAGGAAGGGTTTGTTTTTCTGATGACCAAAAACGATGTAATATTGATCATCAAGTTTTCGAATTGAACACTTATTAAAATTGTAATCTTCAAAGGATATGTTGTCAACGATGCTACTTGTTGGGAATACAACTTGTTTCAACTCAATGTTTTGGACAGAGTCTGGGAGAATTCCTTCTGCTATATGAATGTCACATCTAGGCACTTGAATGATAAGATGATTCACAGAGTTTGGTATAATACCTGGGTGTATGAAACTGTTCATGTGGTAAACATTGAGCGTTTTCAACGATGATGGAAGTGAATTCTGATTGAACTTGAAATTACATTGTACATCAATGTCAAGTGTTTCAACACCAAATGGAATGACTCTGAGTGTCGCCAAACTATTCTCTTCGCCAACACTATCATCTTCCATAAGCAATCTCTTGATATCCAAGCCATCAAGAGATTCTTGTTTGAATGGCGATACTTGTAGACTTTCGAAATGATAAAGTGAGCGATCTGGGAACAGTTCATCAATGTCATACTCCGAATAGGCAATATTCAGATGTTTGATGGAAGTAGGTAATGATTTTAACACTGATAAAGAGTGGAAAATGTCGAGTCTTGTCAGTGATTGAGGTAGATCACTTAGATCTAAACAACCAGTGCTTCTCCTCACCATTAGCGATCGAAGATTCTCGAGTGGTTTGATTGACTTCATCCATGGCAAAGGTACTTTACCAAGTGTGATCAACGAATTTGGTAGAACGTTTGAATCGATATTAATATATGCGCCATTTTGAATGAATTCCTCTAGATTTGGTGGTAGCGATCCAACTTTGAGATAGTTATCAGGGGCTGAACCTGTGATTCTAAGAATCTTTAATGATGTTGGTAATACTCCAGGCTCCAAAATCTGGTTGAGATGACCAATCTCTAAACTCTCCAATGTATCAGGTAACACACCTACTTCGATCACTTGGTTGAATTGGCCAACAAATTTCAATTTCTTCAAGTTGGGTGGAAAACATCCTTTGAACAAAGCTTCATTAAAATAATAACTAAATGCCAGTGATGTGATATTCATTGGTATTCCATACTTCAATGTCATACACTTCCTAAGACCAGTTACATTAGATTTGCCGATCAATTCATATAGTCGAGTATATAGCTTATCTGAATCTTCTCTTAATATCATTTCTCTGCTTTCGATTACTTTCACTATGTTTTGATCGATTTCATCTATACTTTCAATTGAATCTATTAAATAAATATAAAGATAATAAGTGAATATAGTTTAAAATAATAGTATATAATTGTCAAGATTTATAAAGTAATTACCATAATCTATTGTATAATCATAATGATAAATATAATTTTTATCTTTAGTGACGAACATAGTACGTTGTTTCTTTTGGTTGAGTGATTCGAATATCAAAGATCTATATGAATTCATAGTGATTTTTGAACGATCTTTATAGTTACAATAAAAATTTTTGGTATTAAACAATAGATACCTATTTCTATTGTCAAACCATCTTTTACAAACTAAACTAAAACAAATCTTATCGATATTATCTTTTAAATTATCAACAATGTTTGATAATAGAATATGTGGTAGATTTACTAGTTTATGTGTTGAATTATTATTGTTGTTTGACATCTTTATCTTTGGATGTTGAAATGAGAAAAAAAGAACATTGTCGTTATTAAAACCTTGTTTCACAAATAGAATAACATGTTAGAATTTTTAAAACAAATCTAATCTAGATATTTTTTTTCTTGGAACAAGTTAATTTTTGTAAAAACAAATTTTGATCTAAAGTTTGAAAAATATCTGGTTTCTTTGAATTTTAATATTATCTTGGGAATAATCATTAAATAAATAAAAAGAAATCATTGCAAGTTATAGATTATGAATCAGTTTCTATAGAAGGAGTCATTAAATTATTTAAAGATGTTGTAATAAAAAAAAAAAAGATTTATTTAATTTAATAAATATGTGATTAATAGGAAGAATATTGTTGATAATAAATTCAATGGGATGAGTTTGTATGATTCTGAAATAACACCGGTAGTTGGTGAAGTTGTTGGTTTTGTTGTACAATCAGGGGAGATAATTAGATTTGGTTTGTTGTAAGTGGTAAAAATTGGGTCGAATTCTGCTCGATCCTCAAAATTTGGTATGGTGATAGTGTAGATAATTATATTGTTTCTGTTGGCATTGAGTGGATCGCTGCTCTCTGTTGGGTGAATTGTGAGTTTGCCAACTGAGGTATCTACTTTGGTACGCGATGGGAATTGGCCAACCAAAACACCGACCGGTGTGTCAACAACGAACGATGGTACCATCGTATGAACTTTTCCAACTACTATGCTGGCGTTGCTGTCTTGACAGTTATATTGGAAGGTGGATGGTCCGCCTATTCTGTAGATGACTTGCAGACTGTTGGAGCGATTGGCAAATTGGTAGCTGTTGATAGTCACCGATTGTTTGAGTGAGCCAGCTGGAACATAAACAAACTCTGACAAATAGATGTTGTTTGAGTTTGTCGAGTAGTACTGAGTGGTAACATCAACGAATAGCTGAGAGTCGTCAAACGATGCTCTATTGACAACGGTCGAGATATTACCTTCGGTATCGACAGTGAGTTGACTCCATTTCGAGTTGGACATATCAATTGATTTGATAATGGATCCAGCGCCATCGATTTCACGAAGAGCAATAATTTCAGTGGTAAATTCAGCGGAATTGTTAAAGAGAGTGGTTGAGGTTTTGGAGGTGCTGGTAACAGTTGGCAGTGGCAAGGTAGTATTGACAGGAATAGTGCAGAGTTGTCCACCGTAACCTTCGTTACAAATACAATAACCTTGGAAGCAGTTACCATAGATGCAGATACCATCGCAATGATTGGAGAGGTAGATAAATAGATCAGCAGAGAATCTGGATTGATTATTCCAAACGGTTACATTTAATCCAATCGATGGGTTTGGCGAGAGAATGTCGGCGGAAAACTCACAGGTAATTGTTTGGTTATCCATTTTAGTTGCATTCTCACAGGTTTGTCCAGCAATTTCCACTTGGTAGTCGGTTCCTGCGAAATGGTCACCGCTCACTGTAACCAGTCCGGATTTATTAAAGTACAACGCACTACAAGAGAGTAGTGCAGGTGGGAAGGATGTATAGTTGAGAGTGTTGAGCGATTGGACACCGTCGATACTGACTGACAATGTCGCATTGTCGACCTGAGAGAAATCCGTAAGTAAATTACAAATCAATTGAGTACCTTCCTGGTTGGATTTGACAAAAACACATGGTTGTTGACCAACTGAAATGACAACATCAGTAGATGTTCCATTTTCACTCTGTCCATTCAAGTAGTTTCCAAACAGAGTAATCAAACCACCTTGAATCGGTAGCATAGTAGTTGAGCTCAAAATTGGCTGTGGAATCAATTCTATTTGGTTAGATGTCTGGCCGTTTACAATAATCGATACCATTTGTTTTCTAAAGGTAGGCGGAATTGTAAATTGTGCACGATGGTGAGTGACATTTACCAATGTAGATGGTTGGAATGGAGTGACTTGCTCTGACCAAACACCAAAGTTATCACCAAAAGCAACAATACTCGAACCGAATGCAGTGATATTGGTGATGGAAGGTGGTAGATAAGAGTAAGCTCCAGAGGTTGCAAAACCTTCGATCGATAGATCAACATTGAATCCAACTCCTGTTCCAGGTAGTGTTGTGACAATCAAGGCAGTTGCGTTGGATTTGATTTTATCGGGAGAGAGTGTGTTTGAATCTTGCCATATTTGGTAGATGTTTTCACGCAGGAGAGCATCATAGAGACCCAAATTCGATCCGAGAATGGTTACTGGCGATCCTTCTGTTTTCGATTTTGTGATCGATTGAATCTTTGGCGAGACTCTGAACCAGAGCATGTTTGACAACATTCCCAGTGCTTTGATTTGAACGAATCCATTGACGACTTCTGGTGCAGCTTGGAATATTACTCTTTTGGCTGAAACACTATTTGGTGGGTAGTCGACACTGTTTACCATGACGACGGTAGAGTCTGAATCTACACCGAGACCATCACCGGTGATAGTAACCAAATTGTTTGGACTGACATCGACTTGATACAGTTTGGGAGCATTGAAGCTGAACGGCATGGTTTGATTCAAACCGTCGATGGTCACAGTCAAAGTTAAATTGGAACCTTGTCCACTTGGCAAATTACACTGCAAATAGGAATTCTTATTGCCATTCGGTAGTTTTACAATGTTTGTACAAGCACCAATGGTTGAAACCGAGATGGCAATACCTGTGGGACTGCCGTCTTGTCGCTTATCATTCAAAAAGAGACCGGTGATAGTTATTTGACCACCGTTATTCTCTGGACTGGTGACAGACAAGAGAATTGGTAACAACTTGTATGGAATACTGTTGGAACGTTGATTATCGATGACAACACTGAGATCACCATTCAAAGCTAGAGGTGGAATTTGTGTGACAAACTGTGATGGATTGGAGAATGACTTGATGTTGATCGGGAGATCACCAAAGTATACTGTTACTTTAGATGGATCATCTCCAAGATTCTGACCATCGACCAAACAATTGGCAGATTGCTGAGTGAATTGTGCAATGGAAGGTGGTAGGTATTCAAATGCAGTTGGTTGTGAATTGACACCATCTATAGTAACTACAAGTTGATGGTTATTTCCAGTACCCGGAACAGCAGTACAAGTGATTGCGGTTCCATTCGACGATGGGTTGGAACAAGTGGTTTGATCGATTTTAATAACAATTGTGGACTGTGAGTTATCACAACGATCGATTGAGAGGAATTGACCGTAGATTGTTGTTCTTCCACCGATGGTTGGAGCGGATGTAACACTTGTGATTGCTGGTGTCAATCTCAATGGGAATGGTGATGAACTGACGCTATTTACCGATAGTTTAATATCACAGTTTTGAGATTGCGCTGGAATAGTAAATGTTACTCCAGTGTTTCCAGATACAAACCCAGTTGCAGTTAGAGTTTGTCCACCGATTTGAGTTGTAATGACAGATGCATCTAAACCTAGATTGTTTGCCATGATTGTTACAACTGAATTTTGATGAACTATAGATGTAATGTTTGGTGCCTGATAAGAGTATATAACACTGCTAGTACTTGACGTGGTTCCAGAGACAACAGTGACTTTATAACCTGTACCGGTACCGGCACCTACTTTACATGTCAACTTGGTATTGGCTGAATTCGCTACAATCTGAGGACTATCACATGCACCATTAATATTTACACTGAGAACCTGTGGATTGCTACTGAAATCTCTGTCGTTAAAGAATTGTCCTGAAACAGTCACTTGTCCACCGACGGTTGGTGCTGAACTAACACTCTTAACAACTGGACTAATTGAAAATGGAATACTATTCGATTGTAATCTAAATACAGAGATGGTGACCAATGATGAAAACAAGCCGTTTGGCATGGAATTGAAGTAGACAACACCGTTGGCGATTGAAGAAGCTGCGAATGAAACACCAGAGATGGTAATATTGATAGCGGAAGCTACTGAACCAACGTTTGTTGCTACCACTTGTAGTTTATCATCGTTTTGTAGAATCGATTGTAAAACAGGTGCTTCATAGGTAATCTCTGCTTGGCTTACACGATTATTGATCGATATCGATATCGTTTGGATACCGACATTGGCAGGAGCATTACAAAACAAATCGACACCGTTGTTACTTGGGTTCGAGCAAGTTTGTCCGCCGATGGTGATTGAGACTGGTAGTGCGTCACCCTGTTGATTTGTCAGGTCAAGATAGGCACCAGAGATTGTAATGGTGGTGGTAGATGAAGCGGAAGGTGTAGGAGTTATCTGGCTGACAACTGGCAGAGGATCAAAGCTAAAAGTAGTTTGTTGTCCTGCCAAATTCAAAGCGATTGGTCCACGCTTGGTATGGCTCGGTAAACTAATGAATAGTGTATTTTGTTGTGCATTTCCGGTGGCATTTAAAACGGTTCCAGATTGTGTCAAAGTGGGCAGTTGACTTGGCAAACCAAGATTGGTACCAGTCAATTGGAAAACTGTTCCGAATTGAGCGATATTCGAGATAATTGGCGATAGATACTTGTATGGTAGGTTGTTTGTTGCTATTTGATTTCCAACTGTGATTGATATTTGGCCTGATGCTCCTACACCCGATGGTATGGTACATGTGAATTTGGTCTGGTCAGCCAATTGGAAATTACTGAAGGCAGTGGATTCACCAACGAATTGTCCTGAGAGAAGTGATGAATCCACACCAAAGTTTGAACCAACCACTGTAACTACATCACCAAAGATGCTACCGGATGACACCGTTGACAAAACTGGTGGTACATATGAGAATGTTCCAGTCAGAGCGACAACATCCTCGAGATACAATGTGAAAACAATATCTTTTCCAACGCCAGCCGGGATTTTAACTTGAACTTGTTGTGTGTTTGTGTTTAAAATGATATCGGTGAATACTGAGTTTGGATAGTTGGAAAGCTTGTATGTTCGTTTGGTAAAGAGGAATCCACTGTAGGATAGAGGGAGAGTGAGAGTTGTTCCTGTGGTTGGCACGCTCGAGGAAATTACACCTAGGTTTTGAGAGGTTGGTGTCTGTCCAAACATTGATAATTCACAAGCGTTGGTGGAGGTGGTGTCAACGAGACGCGATGGAATATAACCAACAGTTTTGGTTGCACTGGTGACCGGGCTGTTTGATCCACAGAAAACAAGTGTCGCCGAACAAACAAAGTTTGGCATCACTACAGTTCCACTGAGCTGTCCACTGGTTGCCACGATACCGTTGCTCGACGACTCCAATGCTTGGTGAACCTGATTGCTTCCCCAATTATAGATTGAATTGATAAAACTTGATTGTGGTGCACTTGTTATTACACCCTGAGTGATTGGATTCGATTCAATGGCGACACTGTTGTTTGTACCCAAAATAACATTACGAACAGTTGTATAGTTACCTGCTGAATCTCCTATTTTTATTACTTTTACAGTGTTTGGATCATCTATTTATAAAGAATAATATTAATAATTTAGCTTTAACTAATTATAATTCAAGATGGATTTGTTCAACTTACAGAAAGGAATTCTATTACTTGTATAAACAAAACTATTTGTACCAATAGATAGTGAAATTGGGTATAATGGTGCAGTGCTAGATACGGTTGTTGTCAATTTACATGTGAGAACAGTTTGATTGACAACTATTATTGGATTAGAACAAACAGTCTGTGTAGATCCATACTTTACACTGATTTTCGATAAAGTGTAATTTGTACCAAAGTTGGTTCCAGTCAAAGTAATTAAACTACCAGTTGTTAAAGTATTTGCGTATAAAGTTGAAATATATGGTACTAAACAATAGAAGAATTAATATATTTCAAAACAACTTATAAATATGTTTGAGATTTTACTTACATTGATATCTATAGGTCATTGTTGGTACAGTTTTTTTATCATCACCTATTATCATACCGTAGGCATCTACACCCGGATTTATTGTAAAGTGTACGGATGTTGGTGAATCCAATGTAATGGTTGGATAGTATGCATTGGTTCCATCGGATGGAATGATAGTGATTTTCAGTGTACTCATGTTCCAATTAAAGTTGCCGTCGTCCATAACGAAATTCTTGAGGTATATGACACCACCCGAGGTTGGTGGTGGTATAGTCATGACTGGATCCTTGGTTCCACGTAGTTCCACCAATACATATTGCAGGTTGGTCGTGAGCGATGTGACCCAATCGGTGGTTTGCAAATACAGCTTGCTACTGCCCTGTTGGTAGTTCTTCAGCGAGAGATACTGTTGGTTTGGTGCGACCGATGGCTGGCCTGGCAACCACGGACAAACGGTATAACAACGACCGACAGACTGCTGGTAGAAAGGCATACCATACTCGGCCGTTCCATTGCTATAGATCCACTCATCGGAGTTTACGTCCAACTTGGTACCACCTACATACACTCTGGAATTGGCAGGAAGTCCACCAATCACCGAACCAAATGTAGTTTGAATAAAATTATATTCCTCTGGTGTTGTGATAGTTATTGGATCTGTTATTGTTGTTTTTTATTTTTGAAAAAAATAAAATTAATATTAATATGTGAAATTTTGCCCGCCTATTTTTTTTTTACTATGAATTTTTCAACATACAGGCATGGAAACCAAATAATAAAGTTGATAAATATTGCATCATTTTAGCATAACTATCGTTGTTGTCATTGACCGATACTGGTGGCAATGAGAAGAGCTGATAGTAATGATTATTGAACATATATTGATTAGTAACATTTGCTCCACTTACAACCATAGAACAACAGCTGTATATTATACAAATTATAATATTTATTATTAAAACATTTTTAAAATTACAATTCATTTTTTATTTCTATCTATATTTTTAAACAAATAAACAAAACATTTGAAAGATATAAATAATATAAATAAATAAATAAATAAATAAATAGAATTGTTAAAAAAGTTGATGAATTTAAATTTAACAACAAAATAACAAATCAACAAACACAATCCTCATGATCAAAAATAAAGATATTCTTTACTCTCAACAAACAAACAACAATGAGGTAACCCAGCCCAAGTGTAAATCCTAATCAGCAAAATAGACAACAAATGAATGCCCAAAACAAAATAATCAAAACTAAAAGACATGAGGACACAACCCACACTGACCACCATTTTTTTAAAGTCTTTTAAGCACCGCCATTGGGGAATTTTATAAAAAAAATTAAACCATTTCAAAAAGATATTTTTTGTTTTAAATTTTTTGGTTTTTTTTTTGTTTTGCGGGTTTTCGCATTTTGCATCATGGTGCAAAGCATTTTTAGATATCTATTTTTTTCGATGTATCTTTTTTTGACAAAATAAAAATTGAAAAAAAAAACAGATATTGTTAAAATGGGTTACACAATAATGACCTTATAAATAACCATATTTTTTACAACCTTGAAGATCAATATTTAAAATTCCCAACGATATTATTACACACAACTATTTTTCAAACACAACTAACCGTTGAGATCTTCAAATTGTTACAACCATCCTATCTACCATTTAAAATAGATACCTAATTAATAATAATTATTTAATGGTATCCTACATATATCAAAATCTTTACAATTTATTATTTTATTTTATTTTTTTTGCCAAAACAAAAAATTTTTTGTTCTAAATAATAACAAAGATTTGTGAAAAAAAATCATTTCAAATTTAGATAGAATTAGATTTACACTAGGTTGTTAAAGATGGTTTGAAGAAAGAAATGGTTATCTAGAGATAGAACAAAAAAAGAGGAATTGAAATCATACCAATCTATATTAGATGAAATTGAAGAGACAGCTAAACCTAATGATACATTTCTAGCTCAGCAAAGTGCCGACTTCAATCAGACATCTGATTCTTGGCAATTCCGAATATGACATTGACATGATGTTCCCAGATCGATCACTTTATCATTTGGATTATATAGAAGTCTTAATGGATGGATATTTCTATATCAATAAAGGTGGATATGTTTTTTTGTTGGCCAGACACAATGTAATATTGATCATCAAGTTTTAGAATCGAACACCTATTATTATTGTAACTTCAAAGGAAAGGCTGTCAACCATTTTTGTTGTTAGGAATACAAGTTGTAATGATAATGATCAAATCCCATCAACCTCTATTTTATTCCCGGACGTTACTCCCAACAACACTCGCCCAGATCCACTCTCATCCGATTTATTCCAATCTACTCTGGCCGCTTCCAAATTACCGATCTCCTCTGCCATCGCTTCAAGTCAATCGGATAACAAACATTCTGTTGGGTTTTTGATGCAATACAACCCATTATTTCAAACTAAATCATTATTTTTTAACTATTTCTATCTTCAATTTAGCTAATCTAATTAATCTATCTATTACTAATTCAACTAAACAAAACAAATTATGAAAAATGTTAAGAATTAAATTTTTTCTTTTCATAAAAGTCTTTTGTTATTTTCTCTCTTGATGATGACCGTTAATTCTAAAGAAAAACAAAGTACTTCTTTAAATGAAATAGCCGAAGAATCATATTCTAATAATAAATTATTTTTTAGTTTTAATCAAAATTTAGTAAGTTTATTAAATAATTTTTTTTTAAAAACATTGATTTATGAAATAGACTTGCAATGAATTGGTTCTTTATATGACCAAACACAATATAATATTGATCATCAAGCTTTCGAATCGAACACTTATTATTTTTGATACCTTCAAAAGAAATATTGTCAACCATTTTACTTGTTGGAAATGCAACTTCTAGCATTATAATGTTTTGAACAGAATCTGGCAGAACTCCTTCTGCTATATGAATGTTAGCATCCTTCTCTCGAATGATAAGATGATTCACAGAGTTTGGAATAATACCTGGGCGTTTGAAAATGTTCATGCGGTAAACATCGAGTGTATTCAATGATGATGGAAGTGAATTCTGATTGAATTTGAATTTGATACATAGTCTAGAAACATCAAGTGTTTCAACACCAAATGGAATGACTCTTACTTTTTCGGATCTCTCGAAGTAAGGAAAGTTATAGAGAGCCAACCTCTTAATATCCAAGCCATCAAGAGATTCCTGTTTGAATCCCGGTAGCTCCAGACTTTCGAAATGATATTGAGTGCGATCCGGGAACAATTCATCGATGTCATATTTTGAATTGCCCAGATTCAGATGTCTGATTGAAGTGGGTAATGCTGATTGTAACTTTACTGAGCTTGAAATGTCCAGTCTTGTCAGTGATTGAGGTAGATCACTGAGATCTAAACAACCAGAATTGCCTACCAACATTAGTGATCTAAGATTCTCGAGTTGTTTGATTGAATTCATCCATGACACAGGAACACTTTCGAGTGTGATTAATGAATTTGGTAGAATGTTTGAATCAATAATATCATCTCTTCTATCATAATTATGACAGAATTCCTCTAGATTTGGTGGTAATGATCCAACTTTGAGATAGTTATCAGGTGCTGAACGAATGATTTTAAAAATCTTCAATGATGTTGGTAATACTCCAGGCTCCAATATTTGATTGAGATTATAAATCACGAACTTCTCTAAAGTATCAGGTAACACACCAACTTCAATCACCTGATTGAAATATCCATGTTGGTAATATTTGATATCGCCAATAAATTTCAATTTCTTCAAGTTGGGTGGAAAACAACCTTTGAACAACGGTTCATTAAAAGTAGAATGGAAGACCAGTGAGGTGATATTCATTGGTATTCCATACTTTAAAGTATGACACTCCAGCAAGCTATTGACATTTGATTTACTAATCAAATCATAAAGTCGAGTAAATAGTTTATCTGAGTATTCTCTCTTGAACATCTCGCTGCTCATTGTAACCTTTTCTATGTTTTGATCGATTTCATCAATACCTTTAATTGAATCTGTATAGAAAAATAGATAAAGTATAGAGATGATAAGTAAATATGGTTGAAAGTAATAATCAATCAGTAAAACTACTAATAAGATATTATATTTGTAAAGAAAACAATTACCATAATCTATTTTATGATCATAAAGACCAACATAGCTGTATTCTGATGAGACTAACATTCTACATTCTCTCTTTTGGTTGAGTGATTCAGATATTATCGATCTATATGAATTCAAAGTGATTCTTGAACTATGTTTATCGGTACAATATAAAGTATTTGTATCAAACAATAGATACCTATTTCTATTGTCAAACCATCTTTTACAAACTAAACTAAAAAAAATCTTATCGATATTATCTGTTAAATTATAAACAATGTTTGATAATAAAATAAGTGAAAGGTTTACTAATTTATGTGTTGAATTATTATTGTTGTTTGACATCTTTGTTGGCATGACGAAATATGATCGGATTGACCAAGGAAATTTAAAGTAAAAAAAAATCAATATTTTTATAAAATTTCTTTAAATTAGCAGGATAATTACGCGGAATTCTATAGAAAAAAGTGATCTATCATTTCAATTGATTCCGTAGGTATTTTGTTTTTTTACTTAAAAAGTTAATTAAAGGTGAACTATAGTATCAAATTAAACACTCTCTTGATAAATTCATAATTTCAAATTATATTTATTCGTTAAATGATCAAACAAAAGTAGGAATTACAAACTATCATCAATAAATCTTATAGAATTAAATTGGAATTTGTTAGTGATCATAAAGAAAAAACCCCCATTACTAAATCAGAGACATTTTGAGAACGATAGAATTAAGAGGCAATACAACTGTTAAGCAATCCAATATAAAAATCTTTAAGGTTAGTTGTTTATATTTTTATTGTAAGAGTGTTCTCACTTTAGTATCTTTACAAAATTGTGTAATTTTGGTAGCAATTTGTAACCAATGAGTTTAACGCTTTGCAAGTTAACAAATTATGATCTATTCCACAAACATCACTCAGATAGATCTTAAGAGTAATAATACGGATGACAGTTTTAGGTAAGATACAAATGTAATGGTGAGTAAGGTAGTGAACAGTGAGACAGGTACTGTGTCATATACAGTTAAACAGATCAGATGGAACAGAGATAAAAATTAAGAATCTTTAAGGTATAAGTTTTAACTTAAATGAATGAGTATACATATTTAGAAGTTCTATAACAATATTTTATCACTTGTAATATTTAAATATTGGACAAATAATTTTTATGTAACTTAAAGATAGTTTCATAGTTTCTTTTATAGTCGACCTTTGAGAAGATCAGTAGTCATCTGCGTGTATCTGATGATGTTTTGTAGAGTAAATTTTTTATTTTGACGAAAATGAAGTTTTTATGCGCGCATTATGGGAATGCGTTATTAAATATTACTCCCCTTCCGGGAATCGAACCCGGGGTATCAGTGTGAGAGACTAATGTGTTACCACTACACCAAAGAGGATATTGATGAGATTTTCAGATTTTTTGTACTTGGTGTCTTACTAAAGTACGTGCTGGTTTCATATGTTGTTAAAGCAATTCCACAGCTCCTATCACCAACAACAATGATACTTAAATTTATTTGATTGTTTTTTTTAATGATTAATAATTATATTTGTAGATAATATCTTCCTTTAATCAAGTTTCAACAATGAAAAGATAATATTAATAGCATTCTTTCCGATGTCACTTAAAAATACATCGTAACGTTTTACTTTCTTTGATCTTGAGCGATGGAATTTAATGATGATACCATCTTTGTCCGCGTTTTGGTACGAAAAGCTCCTCAAGGTATTGAGGTTTGATTCTGTTGATGGGGAGAATCTCCTCTGTATTGTCATCATAAAGAACTTGTACTATGCCATCTTTGATTTCACCACACTGTGTTCCTGGATGCCACGTCTGCTTCCATCCTACAATCAGGGTTTGGCGACAAAAATTTTGGTTGAGATGAAATCGATTTCAATCCTATTTCTATTTCTTGTGGTGAAATGTTGCACTCTGCTATAAAGAATGGAGTTGGTAACACTGGTGGTGGTAATAAAGTTGTACTGGTTTCAAATGATTGTGCTGGTGAGTTTATTATTGTGGGTAAAGGTAAAGTTGAAGGAAACAAAATATCATTGTTGTTGGTGATAGGAGCTGTGGTATTTTCTGTAACAACATTTAAAATATTAAAATTATTATTTTTAATATATATTGTTGTAATTAGATTCAACATGAAAATTGAGAGTTGGTGAATCAAAAGATGATGGTTCAAAATTATTTTGAGAATCGATGCACAAACCTGATTCAAACGAAGGATCATACTTAAATACATTTTGAAGCAAAAAAAAACAAAAAAAAATCTGATAATTTGGACTTGCAAAAAAATAAAAATGAAAAACTGATCAAATATATAAAATATCTGCTGCAGAAAATGAAGATGACTTGCTGAAAAAGTGTAAGTCCGCACTGAGTAACTGTTAAATGAATCGCCGAAGATGGTACCTGAAGTTGCCCCCAGGCACCGCTATAAAACGCTACCAACCAGACAAGAAGAAACCGTCAAAGTTGCCCTAACAATCTCGACCCAATCCAATCGGTCTTTCTATCGACGAAACCAGTCTTTAGAGCCAATCCTTATCCCGAAGTTACGGATCGGTTTTGCCGACTTCCCTTATCTACATTAATACATTTGGCCAGAGGCTATTCACCTTGGAGACCTGATGTGGTTATTGGTACGGACAATAATCAAGAGCCAGCATAGCGAACTACACTTTTATCTATAGAGTGAAGGTTCGAAAATTTTAATTCGATTACCTTTTGCCCTTCGACTTTCTTGTCTTCTTCTGTGCTGTCACTATAACTAACTTTTGCCAGTGTTCAATTTATAAAAAGAGAGAGATAAAATAAATCAAATAATAATTGATCAATCAAAATACTTTTTTTGTCTGTCTGACGAAATGAAAAAATCTTCTTTTTTGGTATCTGCCCAGTGTTAAAAAGAAAAGAAAATTAATTTTGCAAAAATCATTTAAAAAAAAAAATAAGCAAATGTTTGTTGTGTTGTGATGATGTAAAGAAAAAAACAACACAAACCGATCCAACTAAACAATTCAAATATTATTAGTTTTTGTGTGTTGTGTGTGTTATTTTAAATATTAAAAATTATCCAATAAAATATCTTAAAAAAAAAAAAAAAACAAAAACATTCAATATATTACAAATTTTTTATATCAAATCATAAAACAAAAAACAAACTTTTAAAAAAACTTTTTAGTTTGTTTTGTAATAATAATTTTAGTTTAGTTTAGAATAGTTTAGAATAGAATAAGATAGTTTGTTTTTTAATAATAAGTTTAGTTGTTTTAGTGTGTGTATGATTTCATCATATGATAGAGAATTGAAAGACAATAGTTATCAAAGATGGTATCATCGTCGTCATCATCATCTACTACTTCTTCTTCTTCTTCCTCTTCAACAATCAAACAAAAACATCATTTGAATCAGTTTACAGATAGTGATGACTTGTTATATTCTATAGGAAAATATATTAGAACTAATGGTATGCAATCTACTACTACTACTACTTTATTATCATCAATCAAACAATCAAGCAAACTAAAACAATCTTTTATTTTATAATTCTATAGAGAAAGGATTGAAATTAGGTGAAACAACATTATATTTGAATCCATCTTGTCTTGAATATCTTAATATCTATCTAAGTGGAAAGAGAGTATCATTCAAAGTCAATAAGAATGAACTGTTGGATATTCAATTCATTATTTCAATGATTAGACATTTGAAGGTATGTTTGTTTCTTCTTTGCTTTGTTTTTTAAACAAATATATATATTAATTATTGATCATTATTATTTCTTTATATTTCTAAATTTAGCTCGATTCAAATATACCAGAAGTACTCGAGAAATGGAAGGAATTAGATCTAACGTTATTCGAATCTTTGAAAGTTTTAGAAATCAACTATATAAAACCTGCATTAATTAGTAATCTTTTAACAATTTCACAATTCTTAACAAAAGTATGTAGTAGTAATGCAATGTGATATGATAGGATAGGATATAGAAACTGTTTACTAATATTTAATTGATTACTACTATTATTATTATTATTATTATTTTAATTAGATATCTATTCATCAATCATTATATTCGTTGGATGAATTGATTGTTGTCGAAGATGAGACCAAACTAAGACAGTACAACGAAGTTAGAAAGTTGAATTTCGGTCAGACCGATCCATTGGAGATTCAATTCAAAAGATTTCAAGAACTTTACATTAGAAATTCTATTTGGTCTAAACTAGCTATTCTAGATTGTTCATTCAATTATATTCCTAAAATCGATAGTTCAATGGTAATTATATATATATATATATATAAATAGATGAATGATTCTCAGAGTTTTTTTTATTAATATTAATTGTTGCTTTTATAGTATTCATTGATAGCATTGGAAAAATTGAATTTAGAAGGTAATCTAATTAGTACGGTTGAGAATCTACACGAGTGTCTCTCACTGAGGATGTTGAATCTCTCGTCGAACAGAATATCGAATCTCGATAATATACATGAGATTCTTGGATTTGTTACACATTTGAACTTGCGAAACAATCTGTTGACACACGTCGATGGTCTGTGCCGTCTGTTTGGCATGGAGTATCTCGATATCAGTCGCAACCAGATTCGCGAGATCGACGAAGTCAACAAACTGAAATCACTACCACAACTGCAATGTCTAAACATCGAAGGCAATCCACTCTGTGAATTCAAAAACTATAGAGGTTATATATTAACTTCTTTCTTTGGTGAAGTAAGTTATTAGAAATTATACAAATATTTCTATTGGATTTCCATATTAATAATAGTTATCATCATTATCATCATCATCATCAATAGGACATGAATATATTAGAGATAAAAGAATTCTATTTGGATGGTAATAGTATCTCTCAGAATGATATTGAATTTATAAAGAAGAATTCGGGAACTAGACATCAATCGTTGAGAGACATATCGATTACAGGTGGTGGTGGTGGAAGTAGTGGCGCTGGCAGTGGAAGTAGTGGCAGCATTCTTGGTTCCGCCAAGAAAAAGTCAAACAAGATCAAACCGATGAAAGAGGATGAATCGACACCCGCTCTCTTCATTGCACCCAACGCAAAGATATCGAGACCCGACAGCATTTCACCGGTCATCGTTTCACCGACCGGCCATAAACAATCTACGATCCTGCAGCGAACCGTCGACTTGGAGAGTGTCTCTCCGGAGTCCGGTTCCATCTACTATCAGAACGAAGCGAAACAAGAAGACAAATTCGAAGAGGAGAACAAGCTGCTCAAGAAAATCAGTGATCTCCGTAATGAAGGTGGTAACGCATGGCTGAGGATTCTCAATGAAATGGAACATGATCCTGATATTGGTGATGCTATTTCCAACAATTTAAATAACAATAACAATAGTAGTAATAATACAACAACAACAACAAATCAACAACAACAACAACAACAACCATTGATTGTAACAACAGAAAGAAGAATTATAAAGAAAAAGATTAGAAAGGGTAAGGTCAGACCAAGATCTGAGGTAATTGCCAATCCAGATTCCATTGGAACATCTTCGACTGTTTCCACTTCACCCAAACCAGTTTCACCACTTTCCAATCAACTTCCATCGTCTGCATCACCAATTAACACCAGTAGTAACAACACTCCAAACTATTCAAATTCACCAACTTCATCATCATCATCAACAGCAACAGCAACCACAATGTCAACAACAACAACAACAACAACATCTATTCCTAATGAAGATCAATCTGCAGTTGCCACAGACAAACCAAGTGCTCAATTCAATAAGAATATTAAAGAGGAACCATCGAATCCATCACCGAAAGTAGTAACCAAGATTCGTCCCAAATCGGAATTCATTGGCAAAGCAGACTTGCAATCTCTCAGAGAATCGATCAACAACACCGTTTGGCAAAAAGAAAAGGAACGAAAACCACAAGCAAATCCTAACGAACCAAACCATCACAAGAACGAAACCAAACAACAAATTAATAAGATGGTTGATGATCCAAATTCTAAATTGTAAGTTATTTTAAATGTAAAAATATTTGACAATTAGAGCTAACTCATTTCTTTAATTTCTAGATTATGTGAACCATTCTTTGTTGTTAAATACGGCACAAATACAGAGATTCTTTTGGAACTTAAATCTGACTTGATAAGTGAAACCAATCCAACTACCGGTAGTTCAATTAAAACTCATCTATTAAATACAATTGTATTTGTAAAGAAATATTCAAGTATGTAGAAAATATCAATCAATTATAGTGATTGGACTAATATTAATATCCAATTATTATTTTTAGGACCAATGGAATTAATTGAGATTACCTATGGTAAGGATTTTAAGGATGGCGTACCAACGGATTTCTTTAAGGATGTTTATATTATGGAGGATCAACAAACTGCTGATCTGCTTGCGAATACTCTGAGACCGATGATCAAAGAGTACACTATGAGTTGTATGGATTGCTCGGAGCGTTACACCTGTCGTGAGGAGCATGAGTTCAGTCAGTGTGTAAAGTGTCACTCAAAGTACCTGTTCTTTGTGCCTTCGCCAAAGATTAGTTCGCAGCCACTGGTTATCACCGAGCCAATCCCACTCGGTAGCAACACACCGGCGTCATTCTCACTCTCAACCACACCCAGCAGTATGAGTTCATCGATTCAAGCGTTGCTCTCGTCATCACAGCCAAACGACCAATCGCTATTCGGCGGTAATCGTATCGATACGAACGACGATGACTTTAACAACCGTGTCTACTCCGACCAGAATCTCCAACTGCACTTCCGTCTGAATCTATTCACCGGTGGAAGTCAAGAAACTTACATCTATATGATGCAATCCAATTACGTTAGATATAACACACAAGAAGAGGAAAAGTAAGTAACTAACTAACTTTCCAAACAAATAGTAATAATTTAATATTAACTCTAACTTCCAATTTTCTTTCTAGATCCATTTATTTATTACTCACTTCCAAGACACTTTATTTATTGAAACGTGAAAAGAAAATAATTGGACCGGATCAAGGATTCACTAAGGTTGGTGCCTACTCTTTCAAGGAAATCAAAAAGATTAGTATTGGTCTGCTATATCAATTCTTTAGAATTGAACTTGAAGATGTTTGTTATGTATTTTTAAAGAGAGCACATGATCCAACTCATAAGTATGTTTAAAATATATATATTGTTGAAAAAAATTGTTAGAAAAATATTAATATTACTTTTAAACAATACAATTGTGTAGATTCCTCGATTTATTATTTGACGCAGCAAAGAAAGATGGTATAACTAATCTTGAACCATACTTTAGAATCGCCGATACTATGTTCAATATCAATTTGGTGACAGAGACAAAGAATGATTTCCAATTGTTTATTATGTTGCATCATAGAGTGTCGTCGTCAAAGATCAATCCGAGAAGTTTGATTGTCACCAACGACAAGGTGTTTATGTGTCAGGAGAACTATATTCAATGGCCATTGCTGAATAAGAATATCAAGACGACCGCACCACAATTCACACTGGTCAAATCGTTCAAGATCACCGATATCTCCAACCTCCAATTCAATGCAGCCAAACCAACAGAGCTAACCATCAACTTTGAAATCGAGGGCAGTGGCGAAGGTCCACAGCTATGGAGTATCATAACCTCACACGCTGTCGAATGTAAAAAGATAGTCTCAACACTATCAAAACTGTGGAAAAAGAAATTCCATCTTGAATTAAAAATAAAACAATAATTAAATAATAATAATATAAATATATATATATCAAAAAAAAAAACAAATCTTATTTTTATTTTATTTTATTTCTTTTTTTTTAATAAAAAACCAAATATTTCCAACATAAGTAATTATAATTTTCTTTTGTTTTCAAAAAATACAAATAATATCTTTTAAAATTGTTTGGTAATCATTTTTGATCAGGTCAGACTTTACAATTTTATTTATTTTTTTTCTTCTGAGCTAAACTAAATCAAACAAACAAAAATCGACAGAGTGAGATTCAGGGTTGTTCAGAGTTCTCATTGGAAAGGTAGTAAAAAAAATGAATTGACACCAGGTGCTATGAGAACCACAACCCTTCGCCAATAAATGCACTGACCGACCATTCACAAATTTTTTTGACATTTTTTTCAAGCAAAAATATCTAAAAAGGTCAACTTTGTTTTTTTCATATCCCCACAACATATCATTTTTTTTTAAAAAAAATTAATTTATTTCATTTTTGTGGTTGTTGTGTTTGTTTTTTTTTTAATTTTATTGGTGTTTGTTTGGATGTGTGGGAACAGAGTCAATTAATACCACTGCAGTCACTGTCTTTCATTTTCAATAGACACATCAACAGCAACAACATTCATTCAAGTTGAACAAGTAATTAATTTAATTTCCGAAAATTTTATATTTATTGTCAATCATTCAATTCAATTCGTTACATTACATTGCATTTCACATCAAATTCACAGCTGAAAAATTCATTTAGTAAATCAAAATTGTATAGAGATATAAATATATATATAGATAAACATTTATATTATTACTATGATAAAAGATAGATAAAAATAATATCAAAGTTAAAAAACAAAAAAAAACATTATGAAGTTAATAATAAATATTCTATATATAGATAAATAAATAAATTAATAGATTAATAGATAATAGATAATAGATTTTGTAGATAATAAATAGATAGATAGATAGATAGATAAATATAAATAATTAATATAATAATAGTATATAATATAGAATAAAAATAAATAAAAGAAGAAAAAAATAGATAAATAAAATAACTATTTCAATTTCAATATTGATAAGTTTTCTATTATTTTGTAATGTAATTATAGAGGTAGATGCCGAAGCTACCTTAACAGCATCGTTATACAATGGATTTGCACTAATAGGTGCAAATCAGAATTCAAAGATGCCTTTTGTCACATTATTAACAAAAGCAAATCCAGAAATGTATGTTGTTGTCAATGTTAATATATTTGAAATGATTTTTTATTTGCACATGTTTTGAAATATTTAAATATTGATTTATTATTATTATTTTGTTTTTTTTAATCAAACAATGTTTGATTTATAAATACTATTACTATCTATCTATCTATCTATATATTACAGTCCATTTTCAAGTAATAATAGTTATAGTATAACCCAGATTTTCAGTGATCCTAACAAGCAGTATGGATCGACGGTTGCAGTGGGACCTGGTACCTATAATCATTCGGCGATAGTGGTTGGCGCCATTGGATCACCGAGCGAGAATACCATCTACATCTTCAATCTCAACGAATGCTCGACAACCAGATATTGTGATCCACTGATATCTTTTATTCCACCGGTATCAGCCAATACCAAACAACAACAAACTCAACAATCCAATGAAAACACAAATACATATTCATTAATTGAATATAATAGGATAACCAATCAAACAATAAGATATCCAGTGAACGATCACCATAATCCTATTTCGATTTCAAAGGACTGTCAAATTGGAACACTAATTAGCGTCGGTCCAAACTTTATTGTAACATCATGCCAAAACAATCTATTGAATATCAAAAGATCATCTGCACCACTTGCCATTTGTTTTTTGAATGTAAGTAAAAACTTAAATGGTACTTTGTTCAATGATTAACTATAGTTACTAATTTGGAATGAACGTTGATTTGAATTTAGTTTGATAATACTACAAATAATTGTACAGATATAATATTATGGGATGATAAATTCCATCCTTGTCAACATGCACGTGGACAACTCTATGTGACTGCATTGGATTCCGATGGTCCAGTAGTAACATTCTCATATTGCGCAGTCTGTATGACACCTTCAAACTCTACACTCTTAGAAGTCCAATATGTCAGTGCATTCATTACACTAAATATTACCAGTCCAACTGACATTAACATTCTTTCGACTGTCTACAATACAAATAGAACAAAGTATGTAATTATTATTATGATTGTTAAGTATTTATATTAATTGCTGTTATAATTTAGATCATGTCCATCTTCTATTTCAATTAATTCACAATGGATCGCTATGGGTTATGATCAAGATGGAGGTGTCGATTTGTATGAATCAACGAATTTCATAAATTATACATATTTTGAAACGATTGCCGGCGAGTCTGCTGGATTCGGAGCGATCGTTGATATGGATAGCGATTTGTTGGTGGTTTCGTCGCCTGGAAATCCAACACATCAAATGGCAGCGTACGTCTATTTCTATGAGATATTCCGCGATGCCAATGGCAGTGCCGTTCACATCGACATCGAAGCATCGGTGCCAAGTCTAAACTATAAGACAGTCTACGACTATGGCTATTTCATTTCGTTCTACGACGACGAACTACTGCTGATCTCACTCGACGAAACTCAGACGAAATACGCATACAATGTCTACTCGGTTTGTCCCGCCGGCCAAGAGTGGTACTCACAGGACACCATTTGTAAGGCGTGTCCTTTCGGTCAGTATAAAATGGTGTCTAACCCGATGTCCAATACCTCTTTTGAATTGTGTTATCCATGTCCTGCTGGCTACTACACCGGTAATATCACTGGTATTCGAACGATCAACGACTGTAAAGTGGTAAAGTGTAATGCCACCACACAATATTGTCCGGATGGAAGTGTTTGGCCAATAGATAACATCATTGTCGACTACACATCGGTTTCCAATCCGAATCCAATCTCCACCGATACATTGGATTTCGAGAGTACCTTCTATAACTCCTATCCTTGGTTCCTTGTTATTCTTGGATTCTCGTTGATTCTCACCATCAGTATTTGCTTGCCATGGCCAAGATACAACGTTTTCCAAGCGGCACTCATCAAGATACTGCTAAAAGTAAACTTTTACGATTGGGACGGTGAGGATATGACAGTGGAGGAGGATTATCTCGAGAGAGCATCGTCATCCACAATCGGAATCAACGGTGCCAATCGATCGAGCAAAAGAGGAATATTCATCCGTAAGAGACGTACCAAAGTCAAGCCACAGAAAGCAGTAGAGAGTTTCTGTAGTTACTACTTCCTCTTGGTGCTCGGTATGATGATACTGTTCCTCGTTCAATTCCAAAAGGTGAACACCGATATCAGCATTGACCTCCGAGCATACGGACAAGCATCGACCGACTACGATCTCAAAGAACCATACTCGGAAATTGAATATCTAAAGATAATCGATTCATCTCCACTTCAAATAACTGTTGATATTGTAAGTATTTTCATTGTCAACATGAAATCTAATGAAAACTAATTCAATTCATTTCCAAATTTTTTTAGTTTGGATATTCTGGTGAATGTAATCTTGAAGAGCTAACATTGGCTGTAAAAGGTTGTCAAACACCAAATTATATGGGAACTTGTCATTACTCGTTGAATGCAACAAAGATAAAGTTAAATTCAAATGTTTCGAGGGTTGAGGACAATACCAATGTTTGTAGATTCAACGCACTCTTTGATAAGGGCATAGAGTTTAGCGATACCTCTTCGTTTGCCTTTGAAATCACACCATTCATCAACTATTTCTATGCACAGAGAATCATCTACAACATCTCGACAATGAACAACGATACACTCATCAACACCGGTAATTCATATGTATCTGGAATCATACAGCCACAAGAATTTACAATTATCAGACCTGAAGCATCTATCTCTGTTTTATCAATGGTAAATAATACATTATATTTAGTTATTTTTTTTCTTATGAACATTCTAAAATTAATATTTTCTTTTGCAATAAATTATTTAGTTAACATTTATGACAAGATGTAATATTCATTCATCAAGTGATGACTTTACACTTGTAAGACCAATGGTTGAACGTTGTGAATTCGATAAACACAGTTATAAGGATTATAGTTTTATTTCCAATTCCACTTCTTATATGGAACCAACGGATTTCCATGATTCTCCGGCGTCTTTTGTCTTCACTGTCAACATTGAAAAGAGTGTGTTCTTCCGATATGTAACGACTTCACACTCGGTCTCTTTTGGTCAAATTGTGACTGTAATTATGTTTGCCATGCTCGATGTCTTCTGGTTGATAGAGGTTATCGTTCCAGTAGTCCAGACTATCGTGGCACTCTTTGAATCGGCACTCGACAACAACAAGCGAAAACAATACGATGAAATTGGAACTGATATCGTAAATGAAATGGATCCACTGGTTGTAACTAAAAGTCAACTAAATTAATTGTAATCATTTAAATACTTTTTATTATATATATTTAATATTACTTCAAAATAAATTAATATATTTATATTTGAGTAAAAATAATATTAGACAACAGGAAATAGTGTTATTTTTGTACAAATTACTGTGGTTCGGTTCTTTACTACTTTTACACCCTTTTGACGCGAAAAATTGTTATTTTCATGGTCTTTTAAAAATTGTCAGCAAGAGTTTGGAGTTTTATTTTAATAATAACATTTTCGTGGAAAGTTGAAATGGTCAAATTATATGACAAAAATCAACACCCAAATGCACACAATTTTTACACGAGTTAATAAATAGATAAATATTTGATGATTTAAATAAATAAAAGTATTTAAATGAAATATTGAGGGTTAGTACTGAGGTATGAGTGAGAATATTCAACCTTTAGTAGTATTTATAGACAGAATCGAGGCTGAAATCTTTAAGTTTAGATTTGGTTTTGCTGGCATGGCTGGGCATATTTATTAATTAAATTAAATACTGAATTGAATTGAAAGATGTTTAAAATGGAGTTTCTTTTCTGATTGACAAATATTTTTTGATAGCAGGAACTTGACGATGAGGATGACGAGGATGCAAGTGGAAATGTAGTAATTGTCATATTTTAAATAATTATCATAGAGACAAATGTTTCAAGACCGAGGTCGAGTATGTCTGGCCAAGTGCAAACATTGTATAACAACTAAACCAATCTTTTATAACAAATCAGTTGCTAATGAGGAATGCGACGATAGTAATTTGGTGGCTGATGAATAACTTTTTTTTATTTTTATTTTTTTGAAAATAGCAACTGATTTGTTATAAAAGATTGGTTTAGTTGTTATACAATACTTATAGCCGTAGTTGATTCACCTCTTTTTGCCATTAGTAGAGTGAATCTTGATCCATTTTTGTTCAGTGGACGTTCGAACTGACGCATACCTGCCAATAGAATGTTGTTAGCACCATATACTTCACGATTGATATAGACCGGTTTGACATCTTGATTGGTTTTGCCAATTTTTTTTGCATTAAGAAAACAAATCATTTTTTTAAAAAGATAAAAAAATATACATTAAAAATGTAAATTTAATAAATATGTAAGCTGTATATAATAATAATAACTAATAAGATATAATTTTTAAAAGAAAATAATTAAGATTGTTAAATATAGTCAAAAAGACCTGGCACATTTACTAATTTGTGTGATGAATTATTATTATTGCATCTTTAAAATATTGATATGTTGGCAATAATCTGCTTATTTATATTTTATATTTTAGTGTTTCTACAGCATTATCTGCTTCTAAAAACATTGATTTGTGGAATAGTCTTGCAATGAACCGATCATATTGATGACCAAACACAATGTAATATTGATCATCAAGTTTTCGAAACGAAAACTTAGTATCATCATCGACATTGAATGAAATGTTGTTTACCATTTTTGTTATTGGAAATAAAAGTTGTTTCAATTCAATGTTTTGAACAGAGTCTGGGAGAATTCCTTCTTCTATATTATTGGTAGCGCTATTTAGAATGATAAGATGATTCACAGAGTTTGGTATCATACCTGGGCGTATGAAATTTTGCATATTATCAACAACCAGTGTTTTCACTGATGATGGAAGTGATTTCTGATTGATCTTGTTGTGGTAAAGTAGCTCAAGTGTCTCAACACCAAATGGAATGTCTCTATGTGTATCTGGTCTCTCTCTGTAAGGGAAACTATTGAGACATAATCTCTTGATATTCAAGCCATCAAGAGATTCTTGTTTGAATCCCGCTACCTCTAGGTAATCAAAATGATAAAGTGATCGATCCGGGAACAATTCATCGATGTCATACTTTGAATTGCCGAGATTCAGATGTCTGATTGAGGTGGGTAATGCTGATTGTAACTATACTGAGGAAGAAATGCCCAGTCTTGTCAGTGATTGAGGTAGATCACTGAGATCTAACAAACTACCAGAATATCCTACCAACATTAGTGATCTAAGATTCTCGAGTTGCTTGATTGAATTCATCCATGACACAGGAACATTCTCAAGTGTGATCAATGAATTTGGTAGAACGTCTGAATCAATATTAAAATCTTTGCCATTATGAAAGAACTCCTGTAGATTTGGTGGTAACGATCCAACTTTGAGATAGTTACCAGGTTCTGAATCACCCAAGATTCTAAGAATCTTTAATGATATTGGTAATACTCCAGGCTCCAATATTTGGTAGATATTAAACATCTCGAAACTCTCCAATGTATCAGGTAACACACCTACACCAATCTCCTTTTTGAAATCGCAAGAGTTAGAGATATTGCCAACGAATTTCAGATTCTTCAAGTTGGGTGGAAAACAACCTTTGAACAACGCTTCATTAAAAGTAGAATCGAAGACCAGTGAGGTGATATTCGCTGGAACATACTTTAATGTCTGACAATCCTTTATACTAGTGATATTAGATTTACTAATCAAATCATAGAGTCGATCCAATAGTTTATCTGAGTCTTCTCTATATTCAAATTCACTGCTTCGTATTGTTACTTCCACTATATCTTGATCTATTTCATCAATACTTTCAATTGAATCTATTAATAGTTAAAAAGATAATCAGTGAATATACATTTAAAGTTATGATATTTTTATAATTACCATAATCCATTATTTGATCATAACGCTCAAAATAATATGTTTTTGGATTGACTAACATATTACACTGTTTCTTTTTGTTGAGTGATTCAAATATTATCGATCTATATGAATTCAATTTGATTCTTGAATTATATTTTTCGATACGATATAAAGTATTGGTATCAAACAATAGATATCTATTTCTATCTTCAAACCATCTTTTACAAACTAAACTAAAAAAAATCTTATCGATATTATCTGTTAAATTATAAACAATGTTTGATAATAGAATATGTGGTAGATTTACTAATTTATGTGTTGAATTATTACTATTATTGTTGTTTGACATCTTGATGAAATGAATTTTTAGTGATTTTATTTTAATGTCCAGATTAGATAAAAATAAAAAAAAAATAACAAATCAAATCCCTCATTTTTCAAAAACTAGAACTTCACATTCAATTAAAAATGCACACCATTTTTTTTTTTCTCTATTTGACTTTTCATAAAATGGTGGTCAACTCCCAAATTTTTTTAATTTGCTTTCTGTTTTTTGATGGAATTAAACAAATCTTGTTTTGATGGGCTAAGGATTACCCCCTTCAGATTGATTTAAGAAATTTCATTGGGTTTTTAATTTAATATTAAAAAAATTGAAGTTTTAGGTTCTAAAACTTTTAATAAACTATTATTTAAATCAAGAACTATAGTACATTTAGTAATATGATTTATTTATTTTGTGCTTTTCATTTTTTTTTTTTTAAAAAAATTTCATTTTACTTACATCTTTCGATTAAACCATTTCATTTCGGGGAGATCTATTCAATCATCCTCCGGGTTGTCCTTTTTGAAAGGACACAATAAAGTTGGACGGGCTTTACCTTTTAAATATGCTTCGGCAATAGTAACCATATTCAAACAGCCATGAAATCACGGGTGATGTAATACTTTGTCTCTCCATCCAAATAGTATTTGATAACATAAGAATTAGGATCATCCGGAGGAGCTTTGACTTTGGCGGCTTTATACACTTCTTTTCGTTTGACATCTGACTTTTCTTGAACATAGCTCTTTTCCATTTCCTTTAGCTTTGAATTTTATTTTGTAAAAAACAATAAAAATATTTTTTAATAAATGAATGAATTTAAATAAGCTTTTTATATTACTTGGGATGTATTGTACTCGTCGAAAAGATAGGTCTTTACTCTGGCACCATATCGAGAATGAGAACTTCTTTCTAAGAAATCTATTTCTTTAAGAAGAGTGGGACTATATGGGACACCTTTTACATTTTGGACACAGTTATTGGGACCTGCACCTGTACCATAAACTAACCAAAAAAAAAAAAAAAAATAGTAAAAAAAAAAATTAATTATTTATAGTTTTAAATCATATCAATATTGTTTTTTACTTACCAAACCTTTGTTTTTTTACTTTTGATGTCGCTATTGCTTTGTCCTTAAAGATTATGTATTTCCATTCGCAATGTGAGCATTTGGTAGCAAGTAATCTCCTTTAAAATCGACTAATCGATAGTTATGGATCTTCTTACATTTAATACATTTCCACCGACTTCTTTTTTTCTAAAAATAAAACTCTTTAAAATTTTTTTTAAAGAATAAAACAAACTTTATATTCTATATCTACTATAAAAATACTTTCTATTTATCTAATTTTTATTAAAATCTAACAAGGTTTGATATTTTATTTTATTTTTTTAATATTAATCTCTATTGCAAAAACTTAGAAAAAAAATTTGTGAAAAACAGCCACTGGAATTCTCCCAGACTCTGTTCAATCCATTGAATTGACAGTTTATGTGTTGAATTATTATTGTTGTTTGACATCTTTGTTGGTTTTGCCAATTGTTTTTCCATTGACAATAAGAGACGTTTGCCTCCAAATTTCAAAAAAAAATGTAAATATTGAAAAAAATATGGGTTAATATTACTATGTAAGTAATTAAACCGATGATTTTTTTTTTAATATGATAAAATAATATACATTAAAAATGTAAATTTATTAAATATGTAAAGCTGTATATAATAATAACTAATAGGATATAATTTTTAAAGAAAATAATTTTGTTAAATATAGTCAAAAAGACCTGGCACATTTACTAATTTGTGTGATGAATTATTATTATTATTGCATCTTTAAAATATTGATATGTTGGCAATAATCTTTTTATTTATGCATATTTTAGTATTTCTACAACATTATCTGTTTCTAAAAACATTGATTTGTGGAATAGACTTGCAATGAACCGGTCATTTTGATGACCAAACACAATGTAATATTGATCATCAAGTTTTCGAATCGAACACTTATTATCATCATCGACTTTGAATGAAATGTTGTCAACCATTTTTGTGGTTGGAAATAAAAGTTGTTTCAATTCAATGTTTTGAACAGAGTCTGGGAGAATTCCTTCTTCTATTTTAATGATAAATTTGCTATCTCGAATGATAAGATGATTCACAGAGTTTGGGATCATACCTGGGCGTATGAAATTTTGCATATTGTCAACAACCAGTGTTTTCACTGATGATGGAAGTGATCTCTGATTGATCTTGTTGTGGTAAAGTATCTCAAGTGTCTCAACACCAAATGGAATGTCTCTATGTGTATCTGATCTCTTTGTGTAGGGGGAACTATTGAGACATAATCTCTTGATATTCAAGCCATCAAGAGATTCCTGTTTGAATCCCGCTACCTGTAGGTAATCAAAATGATAAAGTGATCGATCCGGGAACAATTCATCGATGTCATACTTTGAATTGCCGAGATTCAGATGTCTGATTGAAGTAGGTAATGATGATTGTAAATTTACTGAACAGTAAATGTCCAGTCTTGTCAGTGATTGAGGTAGATCACTGAGATCTAATAAACTACCAGAATTTCCTACCAACATTAGTGATCTAAGATTCTCGAGTTGCTTGATTGACTTCATCCATGACACAGGAACATTCTCAAGTGTAATCAATGAATTTGGTAAAACATTTGAATCGATATTAAAATCACTGCCATTATGAATGAATTCCTGTAGATTCGGTGGTAACGATCCAACTTTGAGATAGTTATCAGGTGCTGAACGACTCAAGATTCTAAGAATCTTCAATGATGTTGGTAATACTCCAGGCTCCAATATTTGGTAGATATTAAACATCTCGAAACTCTCCAATGTATCAGGTAACACACCTACACCAATCTCCTTTTTGAAATCGCAAGGGTTAAAGATATTGCCAACGAATTTCAGATTCTTCAAGTTGGGTGGGAGACAACCTTTGAACAACGCTTCATTAAAAAAATAACTAAATACCAGTGAGGTGATATTCGCTGGAACATACTTTAATGTGTGACAATCCTTTATACTAGTGATATTAGATTTACTAATCAAATCATAGAGTCGAGCCATTAGTTTATCTGAGTCTTCTCTATATTGAATTTCACTGCTTCGTATTGTTACTTCCACTATATCTTGATCTATTTCATCAATACTTTCAATTGAATCTATTAATAGTTAAAAAGATAATCAGTGAATATACATTTAAAGTTATGATATTTTTAAAATTACCATAATCCATTAAATGATCATAACGCTCAAAATAATATGTTTTTGGATCGATAAACATAGTACATTGTTTCTTTTTGTTGAGTGATTCGAATATCAAAGATCTATATGAATTCAAAGTGATTCTTGAACTATGTTTATCTATACAATATAAAGTATTTGTATCAAACAATATATATCTATTTCTATCTTCAAACCATCTTTTACAAACTAAACTAAAAAAAATCTTATCGATATTATCTGTTAAATTATAAACAATGTTTGATAATAGAATATGTGGTAGATTTACTAATTTATGTGTTGAATTATTACTATTATTGTTGTTTGACATCTTGATGAAATGAATTTTTAGTGATTTTATTTTAATGTCCAGATTAGATAAAAATAAAAAAAAAATAACAAATCAAATCTCTCATTTCAAATGATCTATTTTTTTAATAAAATTTAATTTTTAGACTACAGATACATTGGCAGATAACATATTAAAATTATATTAAAATTTATTGAAGTTTCAAAAAGTTAATAGTTGTCAGTGGCCGTGGCGCGCTGTAGCCTCACTAAAATCCAAATACTAGGAATATGACGTATTGGAACTAAATTAAATACTAATATATAGTATGTGTATTGTTGTTGTTTAAAGTATAGGATAACCCAATAAGCGAATTAAAGGAGCAATCTAATTATTACTATCTAAACTATCGATCTGCATGGGTCACAGGCCACCAAAGAATTGATTTGGCATCATTAAGTTCGATTCTATGTTCTATAGTACATCACATTGATTAGTAAAGAATGATTTAAGTTGAAATCTATGAATGAAATATACTTATTTATAAGATATTTTTGATGCATTTAAATCACTCATTTCTCTTTATTCACTTTGACCTATATATATGTGTTATCATTGTATCTCCATAAATACCACCTTTTCTTAGTCATGACTATGATTATATTCACTTTATATATGTGACAATCGCAATTTCTATCTTTATATCTGTGTTTTATAATAGTACATACTCAATCCACGCCACCCATTTGAATCTCTATTTAAATATCATTTTTACATCATATAAATGACTATTCCTTATTTACACTCTAAATATTGTGATCTGTGATATTACTACTTATAATTAGAAAACCAAAACCAATTCTTTTTGTTTTAATGGCTAAACTTTTTTGATCAAGCTCTTTACTTTTTTTACTCTGTTTTACTTTACAATATTATTAGTTAAAACATTTAAATACAACGTAAAACAATATAGGTATATTTATTTTTTGAAAAAAATAATTGTTAATTAAAATATTAATAAAAATAAAGAAAATAATGATGGGCTAAGTATTACCCCCTTCAGATTGATTTAAGAAATTTCATTGGGTTTTAATTTAATATTAAAAAAAATTGGACTATACATTTAGTAATATTATAAAAGTAGATTAATAATAATAGTTGAACCGAAAGATAAAGGAGTATTATTATTCCCTGGTATTTACTCTAGTTGGTAAGGTTAATTTTAATAAATTAGTTGTACATCAAGCAATAACTTACCTTTTGAATTCGTCAATAGGGCATTAGCAGGTCCAAACGTAAATGGTTACAGAGGAAATATTCATAAGCGGTTCCTTTCCATTACAGAAGCCATTGAATTTATGGGGCTACATGGAATAATGGAATCAAATATTCAATATTATTTAGAACAAAAGGAAAAGGATTTACTTGAAGTCAAAAAAGAGGAATACTCCGAAGATGCATCTGATACAGATTATACAGATGACCTACTTGTTGTATTTGATAAGCTCAACATCAATTGTTCTCAAAACAAGATGGTGCATGCAATAGGAACCAAAGTACTTTTCTGTGAATATGGATGTGGTCACAGAGAATTCTTTAAAATAATAAAATAAAGTAAAATCAACATTAAAATAAAACTTTAATATTGAATTTTAGATTTTTTATATCATATTTAATAGTTCAAATGAAATTTCTTAAGAAAAAAAAGTTTGGTTGAGGTTTGTAAAATTATATTAAAATCTATATATAGTAATTGCTTAAAAATCATTCTAGACAAATATTATACTGGGGTATTTCCAGAGAAAATTATTTTAGTATTATTTATTATTTATTATTTTCCTTCAAGTATATTACTTTGGATACTAATGTCAGTGCTGTCTGGGAAGGGTTCACTACTTTTCAAACGGATGTTCGGTCTTCATATCGCTGAGTAGGCAGGGGATGAATTCTTATTTCGCGCCTGAATACTGAAAAGAAAAAGGATATTCAGGTTCCCGTGACTCTTCTACTTCTGATGGTGCATTCATGGATTATCTGGTCTGGTCTGACTACTGCTAGTGCTATAGTGACTTGTCAATCGTTCTTGGGTTGTTAGTTCTTTCCATTTGACTGAAACCATCTTCTCTCTTAACTTTGTTCGTTGCATTCTCTTAACTAGCCTCTTTTTGGTTTGTCCTCGACAGCATGGGGTGTACTGATTCATATTGTTTCGGCTGTACAGCCCCCTGTTTGCTGCATGAATCAGTGTTTGTAATTATAATAATTACAGTTACTATCAGCGTTTTATTCTACTGATGTTTACTCCACCAAGGGTTATAAGCCCAGATTGTAGAGGGTATCTATTTGCTATTCAGTTTTTCTACCCAGTTGAAACAAGCTGGAGGTAAGATACCGTTATCAACCTACAAACTTTTTGTTTTTTAAAGATTCTATTCACTACAGTTACGATCATCATTACCAACTTCAATCAGACATCTGAATATTGCAAACTCCGAATATGACATTGACGAATTGTTCCCAGATTGATCGCTATATCATTTGGAAATTCTAGAGCTATCGGTATTCAAACAAGAATCTCTTGATGGCTTGGATATCAAGAGATTGCGTATCGTGGATTACACTGACATTGAGACTCTCTCTGGAACACTCAGAGTCATTCCATATGGTGTGGAACGTCCAGTATTGTAAGTGATTGAGGTAGATCTGCAAGATCTAATAAACCTGGTTTGCCAGTAAACGTTAGTGATTTAATATTCTCGAGTTGTTTGATTGCATGCATGACACTGGTACTCTCTCAAGTGTGATCAATGAATTTGGTAGAACGTTTGAATCGATATTATCATCTTTGCCATTATAAATGAACTCCTGTAGATTTGGTGGTAACGATCCAACTTTGAGAAAGTTACGAGATGATGATAAAGAGATTCTAAGAATCTTTAATGATGTTGGTAATACTCCAGGCTCCAATACTTGCCTGATACTAATAATCTCTAAACACTCGTAACACACCTACTTCAATCGCCTGATTGAGATTGCTAAAAATATTCAGATACTTCAAGTTGGGTGGAAAACAACCTTTGAACTACGGCTCCTTAAAATCATAATCGAAACGCAGTGACGTGATATTCATTGGTATTCTATACTTTAATGTCTGACACCCCTTTATACTAGTTACATTAGATTTACTGATCAATTCATAAAGTCGAGTAAATAGCTTATTGTAATCTGCTCCAAAGGATCTTTTTAATCTTAATGCTACCCTTACTATGTTTGGATCGATTTCATCTATACTTTCAATTGAATCTAAAGAAAGAATAATCAGATAAGTAAATATAGTTGAAAATAATATTCAATAATTGTTATGATTTTATGCGCATAAAATAAAGAAAATAAATACCATAATCTATTATATGATCGTAAAGACCAGAATAGGCTTTTTCTGAATTGACTAACATGCTACATTCTCTCTTTTGGTTGAGCAATATTAAAGATCTATATGAATTCAAAGTGATTTTTGAACTATGTTTATCGATACAATATAAAGTATTTGTATCAAACAATAGATATCTATTTCTATTTTCAAACCATCTTTTACAAACTAAACTAAAACAAATCTTATCGATATTATCTGTTAAATTATCAACAATAATTGATAATAAAATATGTGGTAGATTTACTAATTTATGTGTTGAATTATTATTGTTGTTTGACATCTTTGTTGGTTTTGCCAATTTTTTTTGCATTGACAATAAGAGATATAATGTTTGCCTCCAAATTTCAAAAAAAATTTAGAAAAAAATATGGGTTAATGTTACAAAGTAAGTAATTAAACAGATGATTTTTTTTTTAATATGATAAAATAATATACATTAAAAATGTAAATTTATTAAATATGTAAAGCTGTATATAATAATAACTAATAGGATATAATTTTTAAAGAAAATAAGATGGTTAAATATAGTCAAAAAGACCTGGAACATTTACTAATTTGTGTGATGAATTATTATTATTATTGAATCTTTAAAATATTGGTATGTTGGCAATAATCTTTTTATTTATGCATATTTTAGTATTTATGATTAGAAGTAAGTATTTTTAGAACTTTAACTTTGTCTAAAAACATTGATTTGTGGAATAGACTTGCAATGAATCCGATATTATTTTGATGACCAAATACGATGTAATATTGATCATCAAGTTTTCGAATCGAACACTTATTATAATCATCGACTTTGAATGAAATGTTGTCAACCATTTTTGTGGTTGGAAATAAAAGTTGTTTCAATTCAATGTTTTGAACAGAGTCTGGGAGAATTCCTTCTTCTATTTTAATGATAAATTTGCTATCTCGAATGATAAGATGATTCACAGAGTTTGGGATCATACCTGGGCGTATGAAATTTTGCATATTGTCAACAACCAGTGTTTTCACTGATGATGGAAGTGATTTCTGATTGATCTTGTTGTGGTAAAGTATCTCAAGTGTCTCAACACCAAATGGAATGTCTCTATGTGTATCTGATCTCTCCTCTGTGTAAGGGAAATTATTATTGAGACATAATCTCTTGATATTCAAGCCATCAAGAGATTCTTGTTTGAATCCCGCTACCTGTAGGTAATCAAAATGATAAAGTGATCGATCCGGGAACAATTCATCGATGTCATACTTTGAATTGCCCAGATTCAGATGTCTGATTGAAGTAGGCAATGCTGATTGTAACTTTACTGAGTTAGAAATGTCCAGTCTTGTCAGTGATTGAGGTAGATCACTGAGATCTAATAAACTACCAGAATTTCCTACCAACATTAGTGATCTAAGATTCTCGAGTTGCTTGATTGACTTCATCCATGACACAGGAACATTCTCAAGTGTAATCAATGAATTTGGTAGAACGTTTGAATCGATATTAAAATCACTGCCATTATGAATGAATTCCTGTAGATTCGGTGGTAACGATCCAACTTTGAGATAGTTATCAGGTGCTGAACGACCCAAGATTCTAAGAATCTTCAATGATGTTGGTAATACTCCAGGCTCCAATATTTGGTAGATATTAAACATCTCGAAACTCTCCAATGTATCAGGTAACACACCTACACCAATCACCTTTTTGAAATTGCAAGGGTTAAAGATATTGCCAACGAATTTCAGATTCTTCAAGTTGGGTGGAAGACAACCTTTGAACAACGCTTCTTTAAAAAAATAACTAAATACCAGTGAGGTGATATTCGCTGGAACATACTTTAATGTGTGACAATCCTTTATACTAGTGATATTAGATTTACTAATCAAATCATAGAGTCGAGCCATTAGTTTATCTGAGTCTTTAATTTCCCTGCTTCGTATTATTACTTCCACTATATTTTGATCTATTTCATCAATACTTTCAATTGAATCTATTAATAGTTAAAAAGATAATAAGTGAATATACATTTAAAGTTATGATATTTTTAAAATTACCATAATCCATTAAATGATCATAACGCTTAAAATAATTTGCTTCTGGATCGACAAACATAGTACATTGTTTCTTTTTGCTAAGTGATTCGAATATCAAAGATCTAAATGAATTCAAAGTGATTCTTGAACTATGTTTATCGATACAATATAAAGTAGATGTATCAAACAATAGATATCTATTTCTATTGTCAAACCATCTTTTACAAACTAAACTAAAACAAATCTTATCGATATTATCTGTTAGATTATCAACAATGTTTGATAATAGAATATGTGGTAGATTTACTAATTTATGTGTTGAATTATTACTATTATTGTTTGACATCTTTGATGAAATGAATTTTTAGTGATTTTATTTTAAAGTACAAATTAGAAAAAAAAATAAAAAACAATAACAAATCAAATCCCTCATTTTTCAAAAACTTGAACTTCACATTCAATGAAAAATTTAAAATACCATTTTTTTTTTTTTTCTCTATTTGACTTTTCATAAAATGGGGGTAAATTAAAACAACCCACAAAAAAGGTACAATTTAATTAATTTTAACCTTTTTTTCATATTTTATAATTTAATTAATTGAAGTAATAATAAAAATAATAATAAATAACATTCAATCAATCAATCATTCAAGTAAAAACAAATAAAATCAAATCAAATCTTAACATATTTATTTTTAAATATTATTATATTAATATAAAAGATAAATAGATAGATAGACAGACAGATTGATAGATTGTTAGATCAATATTTATATATTTATATTGTAAAATTGTAAAATAACAAAAGAAAAACTTGTTGACCAAATTATACAAAAAAATAATATTATTTTCTTTTTTTGAACATAAAAACACACAAAACAACCAGCAACCAACAACCACTCACATTCACATTTATTTCATTCTCATCATCACAACACAACAACAATAAACATCAACCCTATTCTTCTTACCTTTCTATTCTTTTCTTTTCTTCCTTTAATTCATTAAATAGCAAAATTAAAAGGTTTTTTTTTTTTTCCTTTATTCCTTTCTCTTTCATCGACCATATTAGTTTGTTGGTTGTTGTCGCAGTAGCTTGTCAAAAAATATATAAATAATAATAATAATAATCTATCAATAATATATATATATATATATAATATAATCTTATATAATAATATAAAATCTTCTTCTTCTACATATTCATAAAAAATATTAATAACTTTATAATTTTATACAAATACTCAATTTTATTTATATAAATTAAAAAAAAAACAACAAAAAAAAACACTTTATTTTTATAATTTATAATACCACCAGTTATTTGCAATTCTTTAAATATATATTTTTTTAAACTTCGAAATCAAATTCAGAAAAAAAAAAATAAAAAATCAAAATCAAAAAAGCAGATTCAAATCAAACAGAAATAGAAAAGCAAAAATAAAAAAGCAAGATAGTTTAGTTTTGATTAGATTTCATAGATTTTAGATAGATAAATAGTTTTTTTATATGTATAGTTTTTCATGATTTCAAATCAATCATCAACCTCAACATATTATACACAAATGGATATTTGCCGAACCTTTGCGAGATTCGGTCACTGTGAGATTATCGGATGTCTCTATAAACATCCGGGCAGAGACGAATCGATGATGACTACACCATACGCAAACTCCTATGGTCAATCAATGACTGCTGGATCGCCGAGCTCGAAAACAACAACAGCACAACAACAAGCACAAGCACAACAACAACTGCAGCAGCAGCAACAACAACAAAACGACAGCCACGACGGCATGACATCGGCTTCCTCATGGGAAGAAGCCGGCAACTACCAACCGTTTCAAGACAGCACGCTGCTTCCTCACACTGCTGGCGGCCAGCAGCAACACCACTTATATTACAAGCCAGGTCCGGCCGCCGCTTACAACGCCGCCGCAGTTGCCGCCATGCAAGGAAAAGCAGGCGGTGCCGGTGCGCCACACCAACCCTTTCAACCCATACCGCCACACTCACACCACCAGAGTATGGGATTAGTATCGCCACCACCCCAAATCCTTCAGTACAGCGGACACTCGCCATACACCACCGGCGTCGTTCCATTCCAGTCGCCACCACCCTACACCCGTAAACTCTGCCGTTTCGCAGAGAAGTGTCGTAATGGCGACGACTGTCCTTTCTACCACCCGAAACCACACGAGCAACAGTACTATAGTCAACAGCAACAACAACAACAACAAGACATGATGTCCTATCGTTCACCACCATTGATCGCACCCTATCAACAATACCCATACCAACCACACCCATCAGCAATGCAAGGCTATCCACCACAACCATTTTTCTACAATCGTAATGTCTATGATCAACAACAACAACAGCAATTGACACCAAATAACAACAATAATAATACTCATCAAAATGGACAACAACAAACACATCACAACAACAATAGCCATCATCATCATAACAACAATCATCATCATCAACAGCAACAACAACAACATAATCAACAAATCCAACATAATCAACATCATCAACAACAACAACAACAACAATCATCAGGTGAAACAACTCCATCTGAAACAACAACTACTACATCATCTTCGTCTGGTACTTTTATTTCGATGACAGCCGATCAGTTAATTAAAGGTACAATTCCATCACCGACTTCCAGCCAACAACAACAACAACAACAACAACAATCAAACTCCAATCAAACATCGACTACCTCGTCATCAAGCACCACTCCATCAAGTACACCACCAGCCACCATCCAACCAACACCACAAACCAACAGCAATAACACTCCAGTAAACAACACACCAACTCCAAACAATACCACTGCCTCCAATCAACCAACACTCAATGGTAACTCATCAAACAACAGAAACAACAAACAAAAGAATCAACATCATCATAATAATAATAATAACAACAACAACAGCAACAACAATCACCAACCAAAATCAGATATCAAACCAATGAATAAATCAAACTATAACGGACCGAAACCAAACTACACTCCACAACAAACAATTCAACAAAATAATGATTCAGGTAAGTGTATTCAAACAACAATATATTGTATAAAAAGGATAACTTTTAACTAATCTTCTTCTTCTTCTTCTTCTTCTTTTGTTTTTTAGATAAAGTTGTAGAATCAATGGCTACTGCAATCAAACAGATTCACCTTAAAGAAGAAAACAAACCAAACAAAACAGAAAATAATAATAATAATACTGGTACATCAACACCCATTTTAACAACACCACCACCACCACAATCACAAACAACACCAACCCACCCGAGAAAAGGACAATACCAATCACCATCATTCGATAAAAAGAACTTTAAAACTATTTCCAAACCAAAGCAACCACAATATGACGAGAAAAACAATACGATCAACCAACCACCACACCACAACAACAACGGTAACAACGGCAATCATATAAAATCAAACGAGAATGGTAAAATTAAAAAAGATTTAAATGGTAGCAACTCACCAAAAGAGCAAAACAACAGTAATTTTCATAGCAAAAAGAGAGGTAGTTTCCCACCACTTCCATCAAGACAAGTTGATCAAAGTGTAGAACAAAAGACCGCAAGCAGTTAATCCTAATTAATTGTTTGATATAATAATTGCAATAATTAAAAAAATTCAAAAAATATAGAAAAAAAAAAAAAAAATAGTACCATAGTTATAAAGAAAAAAAAAAAAAAAAAGGGAGACATTAACCCTTTTTTTTTATTTTATTTTTATAAAGATATATAATAGTAATTTTAATAAAAATATATGTTTATTTTATTTATTATTACTTTACACAGCATGTTTTTGTTAGTAACTTTTTTTATTTTTAAATAAGCTTGAAGAAACAAAGAGAGTGAGTGAGTTGGTGAGTGATGTATGTTGAATGAGAAATAAAAAGCATTGATATATCTCTTAATAATTTATTTATTTATTGTTGTGTACAATCAGATGCATCTATATAAGTATATTCAGATTCATCTAATGATTGATCTCTCTTTGATTGATTTGCAGCGTCCATGAGGAAATTCAATTTCTTTTGTCTTTGTTTCAATATTTTCTTGTTGGGATAGTCGTCTTCCGCTTCCCAGATAAAAACATCGTTTTCAAGACCAGCACTGATTATACATGGAAGCGAAGGATGTCCTATACAGCTATTTACAATGTTCTCATGTGCCTCCAGTATTCTAACGAGTCGTCCACTCGACTTCTCCCATATATAGATTCGGTGATCATCACTACCAGACATGACATACTCTGAGTTTGGTCCATAGAAATCGCATGATTTAATAGTTCTTCCACCGATATGTCCATTGAATTCCTGTTTAAATGTATTTACCAATTCATTTTCGTGTTGGTCTGCTACCGATACACTCTTTTCAACTTCTTCATCATCTACTTCTTCCTCTTCTTCCGATGCATCGTCATCATCGTCATCATCGTCATCATCATCATCATCATCATCACTTTCATCCATATATCCATCTAGAATATCTTGATAATAATCTTGTAGAACACCTTGTAATGCTTCTTGATATTGCATTAAATTAGTTGGCTGCTCGTCAGATGAACTCTGTTCACGTTCTTCTTGATCTTCTGGTAGTTCATCTTCACCTCCACTTGCATGGGAATGAGAATGATTATCACTATCTACTGTTTCCTCTTCTATAGGATCTGTATCTAAAATATCTATATCACCTTCCTCTTCCTCTTGATCACTATTAGAAACTCTCTCTCTTTTTCTTTGCTTTGGACTTGATGAATTGTTTGCTCTTCTCTTCTTCTTCTTCTTCTTCTTCTTTTCAGCTGCATGATTCTTAAAGTAATCTAAATTTAATCTATTTTATTTAAATTTTAATAAATAATTTCTATTAATATATGATAAAGATCTTAACTTATAATTATATATAGATATTTACTCTTTTTCAAAATTTCTATTTATATCATATAAATAAATACTATCTGAAATGTTTGTAACTAATAGTTCGGTGCCATCCTTACTGAATGTTGCATGCATCGCTTCATTGTTGGTTGGGAATGGTTTGTGAATGTTTCTAAAGATATTTACGTAGGAGTTGGCAGAGTAATCCTTTATAGTTCGCAAATCGAATAGTCTGGCTGTACCATCAGAAGACGCCGTTGCGAAAATATTAGAATCGAACGGGTGGAAATCCACACAATAAATCGTTGATTTCCGATGAGAGTTTCTTGAACTACCATTGGCAGCCGATCTACTATGATCCTTATCGAAATCCAACACCAAACTCTCTTTTTGTGTTCTATTGAATCTATCTATTGCTCTACCACCACCAAACATCTAATTAAATAAATAAATCCATCCATCCATATAAATAAATAAATAATAATTGTTAATATTAAATAAAACAATATTAACAATTTGCAAAGAAATATATATAGTAGTTACCTGAGGTAAAATAGAGTATTCACCACCATTTTCATGATTTCCAACGCTTGGTATTTGATGTGTATAGGATTTTTCATATTTCTGTCGGATGTCGTACATTCTCACTGTTCCATCGCCTGAACAACTCATTATACAATTGGGATTGCGTGGTGATGCGCATACTCTCAACACTTTTTTTGTATGATGAGTGAACACTGTTGAAGTTCTTGCAACCCTATCGAAATATCTGACATCCGAATCGTTACCGCCACTTATAACTTGTCTACCATTCTCTGTTCCAGGTATAAATGCAACACTAAATACATTTGTATTATGACCACTTGTTATAACAATAAATTATTAAATAATGAATATTATATTTAATAAAACAAACAACAATTAACATACTAAAGAATATCTATTGTTGTTCTATTATAGAAATCCCAAACTCTCACTGTTTCATCATCACTTCCGGTGAGAGCAAGTGAACCATCATCACTGAATGCAATTGAATTGACACATTCATCGTGACCAGTCAGATGACTGGTATTCATCATTGTCTGAATGGCATAGTCTGATTGAACAAAGGTTTCTCTAAGATTCTCTTGTTCACGATGACCATATAACTCCTTCTTAAACAATGCTCTATTGATTCTGTAGTCCATTTCTCTACTATTATTAGTAATATTTAAATATATATATAAATATATTTATTATATACATTTTAATATTTGAATTGAATATAAATGTCACATGACCGAAAAATCCTTGTTTATTTAGAACACTTAAAAGAAAAAACATAAAAGGAAATTTTTGAAATTTTGGCTATAAAAAAATTGAATTATTTTATTTTATTTTTTATTATAATCTATTAATATTAAAAGATTAGCTAATGAAGTATTAAAACAAATAAAAATGTTTGGATTTCAACAATTATAAATTTGAATTAGTTACTAATTATAAGACTTTTATATTCAATAGATATTGATCAAAAAACAAAACAGTTTAATTTTTTGGTTTTTTTTTAGTATTGAATTTGTTGTTTAATAATAAACAAGAAATACAAATCCAATTATTATTAGATTATTCTATGAGTATTTAAATTCATGACCTTTTACTGTCATTAATTTTAACACCCAAAAAAAAAAAAAAAAAAAAAGACAATCATTTCATCAAAAATTTGAAGATCTTTTTTTTTTTTTTTTTTTTACTAATTGTTTTTTTTTATTTTGGATATCTTAAAAGCATGTTGGCCATAAGTAAATTAAGAAGTATTGCGATCAAAGCAGTTCAACAAGCTTGTATTGCTTGTGTTGAGATTCAGAGTCATCTCGTCAATGAAGAGACAATCAATAAAAAAGACAAGTCGCCCGTTACCGTTGGTGATTACACCGTTCAGGCATTGGTGATCGAGAGTCTACTCAGTAGTACACAAGCACTCGGTGAATCGGAATACTCTATTGTCGCAGAGGAAGATGCCGATACTCTGGCTGAGCAACCAGACGTTCAGAACAAAGTACTGGAGTACTTCAATCGCTACAACGCGAGCAAGCCAATCGATGCCAGTCGTCTCTCAGAGCTGTTGGATAAAGGTAAGATAAAGAATCCGACAACCAAACGTTGGTGGACACTCGATCCAATCGATGGAACTCTCGGATTTTTGCGTCGTGACCAATACGCTGTGGCGTTGGCGTTGATGGAAGATAACAAACCGATTCTCGGTATTCTCGGATGTCCTTCGCTTCCCATTGCTTCAAACACACCCAACGACAAAGGATGTATCTTGATCGCTCAGAAAGGTGCAGGTTCTTTCATCAGACACATTGAGCGTGACGACGAACAACCCATTCATGTCTCAACCCAGAGCGATTCCAGTCAAGCGATCTTCACAGAGAGCTATGTATCACGTGGATTCGGACATGAATTAAACTCAAAGATTTCAAAGAATCTAGGTGTAACAAGAGATCCATTAAGGTAATTAATTAACAAATCAATAACAACAACAACAACATTATCCTATATCTAATATTTTTGTTTTTTTGTAGAATCGATAGTCAATGTAAATATGCTATGGTAGCAAGAGGTGACAGTGATATCTATTTAAGATTAACTGAATTGGCATACAAGGAATGTATTTGGGATCATGCAGCGGGTCATATCATCGTTGAGGAAGCAGGTGGTCAAGTATTTGATTTCCAAGGTAAACCACTTGATTACTCCGTTGGAAGAAAGTTAGACAATAACATTGGTATTGTTTGCTCAAATTCTAACCTCTATCCAGCATTGAAAGAATCTATTAAGAAATCAATCGACTTGTAAGAATAAATATCATTTATACTATCAAAAAGTTACTTTTTGGAATTCAAGAATTAACAACTAACTAACTAACTATATCAGTATTATCAACTGAAATTGTAAATATAAACTCAGTCGAGAGAAATAACTGTCAGTTGTCAATCAATATAAATTCATTCAGATATTAATTATCTTTTATTTTATTTTTTTAGAAAAAAATATCACAAAATATTTACTCATTTTAATGAAACCAACAAAATAACAAAAATTCACAGATATCAACTTTTGTACAAAAGTGTTGTTAAGTGGATGGATATCTGCAACTATTAATAGTTAATTTAATTAAATAATATCAAAAAAAAATTAATATAATACCAATGATTTTATTTGAAAATATGATATCGTTTGGTATGTTCAGATCTCCTACGAGTATCCTCAAAGTAGGAGAAGGAACAACAAAATGGTTCAACACAACAAGTTCTCAAATTTAGTAAACAGTGATATCTAATCAAAAAAAACCATGATTTTAAGAAAAACCTGACAAAGCATTGTTTTTCCAACAACAAAAAAAAAAAAAAATTTGTCAATCATTTTTATGAAAAATGTCTGTCGGTTGGAAAGGATAAAAACAAAATTTTTTTGTTTTATTTTTTGGGGGTAGTTTCATAGTTAAGGCTTGTTTTCAAAAAATCTATTGTAAATTTAGATCCAATGAAAAAACATTTTTATGATTTTTTTATGATATGTTGATATCATTACTACCTATCCATCTATATCGATTTAGATTTCGATTGATTTTATAAAACATTTAATAATTGGTTGGATCGGTAAAACAATTTGAGGTTATTTTTGATACTTTTTTGATATATTGTTATTATAGAGATTATGAGGTATTAACATTCTATAAATCAAAAAAAAAACTCTAAAACAAACCATTCTTTCTTCAGAAGTGCAGGAACAAATAACCTACTCACTAAAAAGTTTTTTTTTGTTTTTTTTTTTTTTAATTCCTCATTTTTTTTTTTTATCCACTCATTATATGAATATACAAAATTACCAAAAAGAAAACCCTTTCCTCATATTTCAATAAGACAATACCTTTTAATTTCAAACTAAAAACATTGGTGGTCTAAAGTGGACGTGAGTCCTTTTCTATTTTTTTTTTTTCTCATTGTTGTTGTTGATGCTTTTATTTTTGTAAGCTATGATTTTGAAGAATCATATTCAAAACATAACCTTCCCATATTTTTATAAGAGAGGAAAATGACCTTTGGACAAAAAATTCTTGGATCGTCTTCATTTTTTTTTAAACAGCAAACCACACCACTATACTTTCACACTCATCTTTGAATAAAATGATCAAAAAAATTGATCAATGACAATTAACATCCAACCGACTTTTTATGACATTTTGTAAATCATACCATCATTCGATCAGTAAGTCAATTGATCAAAAATTGAAATTAAATTAAAAATTAAATAAATTATAATTCGTAACCCCAATCATCATATGAAATCATAGAGAGTGTTTTACACACCTATCCATCAAATCAGTCAATCAGTAAATCAAATCATAATAACATCACACATTTTTTTTTTTTAAGAGACAACAATCATTTAATTTGTTTTTTTAAAACAAAACAAAAACAATTCGAAAATTATAACAATTCAGATAAAATACACTAGAGTAAGTGATTAATGATCAATTTTTATGTGGTTGTTTTGGTAGAAGGATGTGGGTAAAATTGAAAAGTAATCAAATAGATTAGTTTTTCATAGGTTTTAAATAATGAAGGATTGATTTAAAAAAAAAACAAATCCTTTAACGTTAGTAATACACTTGTGTGTGTGATTGGAAAATATCACAAACATTTTATTTATTTATTGTAAAATAAAAAAAGTAAAATAAAAATACTCTAATCAAATCCATCTTTTTATCTCATATATTCCAAATCACTTTAAAAGGAGTACTTTTATAAATATTATCTTGTATTAACAAATAATATTAATTTTTAAATACTGTCATCTCTCATTCAAAAGTCACATATTTCATTCACTAACACACATTAGATCAAATTGTGTCTTTCAAAGATACACAAAAATCAGATCATCATCAGACAATATCTTTTCTTTTATTCATTAAATTATTTATTTATAAATTCATAAAAACATTTAAAATTCTAAAACCAATAGTGATAAATCACTAACACACAAACACACAAACACACAATTCACACAACATCACAAACACACATTTATATATTTATATATGACTTAAACAGAGTGAGAGATCGACTGCAATAACAATAATACCGTTATTGTATTTACTTAAATTCCATTACTTCACACCACACCCCTCACATACCAACAACACTTTAATTTTTGTACCATACTTTAATAACTGATAAGTTCTATATATAATTCTTTATTTATTGATATTTTATATATTAGATACCAATAAAAAATATTGTTATTTAATAATCAATCATTTTATCCTTTTGAATTTAAACTAAATTAAATTCAATAAATCTTTATCTAATTATTTATTATTTAATATAATATATCTGTTGTATTAATACTTTTCAAATTACTTCTCAGGTCAACAATTCCATTCTTGGTGGAATTTTAAGTCTCGAACTGTATTATTTGTTAAATTTTGATCTTTACCAATATAATTAATTAATGTAAGTAAAATTATGCCTGATTCTTCACCAACCTACTTTTTATATTATTATATTTTTATTTATCTATTTATATCAGTATTCATTTATTTTCAAAAAAAATAATTATATAAAACAAACAAAACAATTGTTCAAAATGAAAAGTTATTAATTGAACTTGGATTTTAAGAGTAATCTTTATTCTATTTTTGTGTATACTGTGAACTTTGGATATATTTATTTATCACACTTCAGCTTTCATTCTATCTCTTCATTTTTCTAAACATCAAAAATCTCTATTGTAAAAATTTCACATTTTATTTACAAAGAGAGAGATCTGAACAACTCGTTTTTTAAACTATTTTTATCTCTCTAAAGTAATTATTTAAAAATGTGATATATTTTATTTATTATAATAAATATTTTTATGTTGTTGTAGCTTGTCGCTTGTCGTCTTCAAAATGATGAAGAGTTAAGATAATATATTAAAAAAATAGAATGAATGAAAATAGTATATTAAATTTAAATATGCTTATACTATTTCCTATTTTTAATATAACACACTCTTGTTTTAATATTTTTCAAGACATTCATTCAGTCTTTGGTTCAACCACTATATTAAAAATGAATTGTGTCTATTAGTGTGTTTGTGTGTATTGGTGGTAGAAACTCAAGTTCACTGTTTTTAACATTTGTGTGTTATTTTAATTTTTTATGTGTATACTTTTACTTTTAAAATTGCAATGGTACATACATACCAACCCCCTTTTACTTTAAAGTAAAAATTACAATTAATTTGTGTTTGTATTTATTTGTGTTGATGAAGATAGTTTGTATAGCTATGACCTTTCAATAACTTATTTCTTTTCCTTTTTACTTTATTCTCAAAAAGAGAGAGATAGATAGAAATTGTGTTATTTTTAAACAAGACTGACTTAAACACCATAGACTTGTTTACAAAAAGCCTTTTGAAAGATTTAAGGTTTAAACCATTGGTACACACACACCTCAAACACCACAAAATTCCAAAAATAAATATTTGTGTTTTTTTTTGTATTTTTAAATTATTTTGGTTTTTAAAGTTTTTCATTTTCATATTCATTGTTGTTGCACGGAAGGAAACCAAACAGCCAGACAGAACAGAATTTCATTCAGTTCCACTATTTTTAATAAATCACTTCTTTTAAATATAGTTCTTTTTTACATTATAAAATTAAAAAATATATTTATTTATTTATATATATTGTTTGCAAAAATAGAACCATCAATTCTTATTTCTTATTTCTTTTTTCTTTTTCATGATTTCCCTATACCCATATCCATTTTTTATTTAATGATTAAAAGTGTAATATACTAATTTATTTATTTATTCTTTTCTTTTATAATTAATTTTTAAAAATATTTTTAGTAAAACAAATATAAATTAATTATTTATATATTTGTTTTGTAATCTTTGTAATATAATAATTTCTTTATTTTTATCTTTATTTTAATTTAAACTATAATATTTCCTAAAAATGGTTATAATGGATCATCAATATGATGGTATAAAGTTGGAGCAACCAACTGGATCACCATCGGTTTTGAAGAATGGACATATTCACACAAGTGGACAACTACACAACTCAACATCCAATTTCATTGCTGGAATAAATACGATTGGTCAATCGATCAAAGAGAGTGTCAAGGAGATACCGACAGATATCATTATGATAAAAGATAGAATAGTCAATAAGAACTACTTTTTGTTGGGCGAAGATATGATACTTACGGATGACGAACAACTCTTGAAACTCGAGAATGAATCATCGATTTCCTCGGATCAAGTCGTTCGTAGACCCATTGGAATCAAAGACAATGAAACCGGTTTGAATTCGTTCGATCGTTCGGCTCCATCAACAACATCCAGCAGCACCAGCAATCGCTTCAGATCTCTTAGTTCACCATCGCTACCAGGACAAAAGTCTGAATCCTCTCTGGAATATCTACTACAACGTTCAAAGATATTCATAGCCAAGAGAAACAATAGTGTAGATGAAACTGCCAATGGTAATTCCACTGGTATAATACAAAACAATATAAATAATAGTAATAATAATCAATGTAATAATAGTAATAACAATAGCAATAATTGGGAAAATGATTTAAGAATTAGATCATTCTCTGTTGGCGCCAATGAAAGAGATAGATTGAAATCTACTAGTTCCGGTATGCCAACTCTCAATGAATGTCAGGAGATACTGCAAATCGTCAAGGAGGAACAAAAGAAACAGCATCAGTTGAATCAGAGTAGCAATCATGTTATTTTGGTGACGAGGGAAGGCTGCCAGGATGAAGAGGATATCGAGAATCACAATGACAAAGAGATTCAAGTGTATACCATCCAATCGGCACCAATAAACATTTCCGCAAGAAAGTCATCGCCACTCCGTGAATCACCACTTCCCTCGCCTAAAAACAGACGTCCAATGTCACCTGAGATCGCCAGAGTTCTTAGTTCCTCGCCGGATTGCAGTCTTCCACAGCTGTCTAGCTCCACACCATCGACTCCCACCATGACAAAACCAGTACCACCTCCAAGATCGCCACTATCACTTCGTAACTCTACACAATCGACACCTACACACTCGCCACTCTCCAACTCATCCTCTAAAATCTATCCTCCTAAAAAGACATCAACAACAAGCAACACAACAACTACAACTACAACCACAACAACAACCACTGGCGAAAAGTCTATCTCCATTGGAATGGCACTAGCTAAATCTAAATCCAGTGGAAACATACCAATCACAAACAAACCACTATCCTCCTTCCAATCGGAATTGAATTCAATTCTACAAAAGAAACTTCCAGCACAGCCAGCAGCTGTTGACCAACTGGAATCCAGCACTAAAGAACAACAACAACAACATAACCAACAACAAAATAATAAAGATAAAAAAGATAAACATAATAATAACAAAGAAAAAGAAGAATCGTCAAAGTCCAACAAGTCATCATCAAAGTCCAATAAATCATCATCGTCAGAGTGTGCCAAGATTATGTTAGTATTTCCAACCAAGAGAATCCAACGAAGCTTCAATGATTCCGATTCGCTCTACCAACTGAAAGAGTATGTAGAATCACTTACCATCAAGGAAACCGGACCGCTAGCCAGCACCCATTCACTCTCGATCGATAGTGCAATCAACAGTACCACCAACACTAAGAGTAAGTCAGGTGGTAGCAGCAGCAACACCAATCAACAACAACAGCACAAACACCTTAAAGACTATGAATTGACATACACGATCGACGAGACCAAGATAAAAATATCCAATTTCAATCACTCATTCAAAGATGTGGGTTTCACCGGTAGAACCAAAGTGATCAACATTGCATTGAAACAACAACAGTGATATTATAATTAACTTTTTTTTTTTTTTTATTTATAACCGTTGTCAACCAATTTGGAGTCCACAAAAAAAAAAAAAATCAAATCAAATAATAAAATTAATGAGGTTGTGTGACGTTCTATAAAAAAGTTTCTTTATTTTGTAAAAACAATGATGCCAACATAATTATCCACACCCACAAGATCTCGAATTCACGATGAATATTATAATCATCAGGATCACTGACCAATTGAGAAAATCACACAAAAAAAATTAAAAATCTGAGTGTCTGAATTAAATAAATCATATTATTATAAATAAAATAATTAAAACAAACAAATCATAATTGATTCTTTAAGAATTATAAGTTGTTAAATACTATGGTATGACGACAGGGAAAAATAAATATTTATATTCTTATTAAAAAAACTCAATAATTAAAAGCAAAAAAAAAAAAAAAGAAAATTCATCTATTCATCAGTTAATTTATGATCTGTTTGATAGAATAGAATTCGAAAATATAACTATTATAAATTTATTGTTGGTGTTGTTAAGTTGGTTATATAATTCATCAATTTCGTGTCTTGATTATATAATTGTAACAAAAAAATATTAAAAAATAAATTTATTAGCAAATTAATTAAAAGGAGAGGAGTTTTTTGTTTTTTGTTTTTTCATAAAATTGAGTGTGCGCAGCGCAAATAAGAAATTTTTGTATGGACCGATGACATAAAACCAAAAACCAACTCAAACTTTTCAAATAAATCATAAAAATAAAATAAAAATAAAAAATAAAAAATTTTCATTTAAAATTTGAATGTTTTTTTATTTTAATAGCCTGAATGATTTTTCAAACAAAATAAGAAAAAAAAAAGCAAAAAAAACACAAAATTTTTCTTTTTTGATTTGGTCATTTAAAAAAACAAAAAAGTATTATATCATTTTTTTATTAATTATTTCTAAATTATCCATTCGTATATATATTTTTATCAAACTTTTAATATTTTACAAAGACAAAATCAGATTAATTTAGAAAAGTAAAAAAAAAAAAAAAGTATATATTAGTAATAATCAACAACAAATTAGTAAAGCACAATATTTTTTTTTTTTTGGTCAAATATATCAACTTTTATTCGTTTTTTAAAAACATTTTTATGTGATCAATCACCTGCTCATTAATTTCTATTGAAAAGAAAAATCATTTTTACAGTGGAATTTAGAATTACGGTTTTTCACTTGTTATTATTTCCCAAATAACTTTTTTTTTTTTTTTTTTTTTTTTTATTGTAAGGAACTTTTTTTTGAAGGACATACAATCACACAGTAAAACAAAACCCATTCTGTCAAAAGTTTTTTCGTTAGAAATAGTTGATTCTACTCGCAAACCACACTTTTTTATTGATTTTTCTTTTTTTCTTGCCTTTTTTTTTTTTTTTTTTGCACAAGGTCCAAAAGAGATCAGCAATAACAAAATAAGTCTCATTTCATTGGGAGTCAGTAAGCTTACATTCATTATATATCTATTTTTAATGGTCAATATTATAATTATACAGCAAGCATATATCAGATTTAGATAGATAGACATTTAGATTTATAAATGCTTATAGTACTCTAAGTTGGCCAGTGTTATTGTTGTCGCTATTATTATTATTCTCACTCTCATCTGGTGATCATCTGATTTTCGTCTCTTTATTATTGTTAACAAAGTGTAGGTGTGGACCAATTAAAATAGATAAATTAAGTTGCGAAATAAGAATCGACAGACAGAGTCAGAAATCAGATATACAGACACTCAAATCATTATATCTATTAGATCAATCATAAACTTTACCCATAAAAACAATCTCCGACGATTCATATCAATCAAGATATATATAAAGTTAAAGATTGATTTCTTCTTTTATTTTTTATTATAATTATTGTCATTATTTTCTTTAGTTTACTGTTTTATAGTAAATTCACAATAAACAAACCAACCAACTTCTCATTTACTTATAATACGTTGTTTGTCATCCTATTATTATTATAATTTCAATAATAACCACATCTCGCACGAATACATTCCCGCCAGTCAAAGTTTTAAAACTTTAATTCATTTTTGGTTGAAACAAAAACATTGTCACTATCATCCACTCTAGATCTCATCAAGAATGAAACAAACAAATAAAAATAAAGAAAGAAAGACAAAGAGTTGTTGTGATATCAAGATAATAATAATAGTAAATGAAGAGTGTAGTGTGATTCAATGTGGTGGTGTGTTTTATCCATTAAATTAACTTTTGTTTGTTGGTTGTGACTTACTTTATAATCAAAAGTCATTATTATAATTATAATATACTCAATTACTTAATTACTGTAGAGTGTGTGTAGTAGAGAAAAGAATTTGGTGGTAGTGATAGTGATGGTGGTAGTTGTAATAGTGGTGGTAGTGCTATTAAATATGGATTTTGTTGTGGTTATAGATATATAAATACGATATTTCCTTTTAAAGTGCAGTTTCATTTTAATCGCATCCAAATACTCACTATAATCACTTAAACATATTTATTTAAACTCTCACACCGCAGCCACCACCTATTGTAATTATCCACACCCCGCAAATAAATACCAACAAAATGTTAATTAACATTATCATCATCACCAAAGCATTACATTTCATATTGTACCATATCAGCAGAACATTATTCATATGTACCACCAACTCTCACAGCCAGGCGATATGTTCATATCTCATCCAACAAAACAAAACACAAAAATTCTATGTTTATAAAGAGGAATATAAAAAGAAAATGATTTATTTATAATAATAGTGTATTTTTGAATATATATATATAAAACAAAATTTCACATTATTTTTATTTGTTTGTCTTTATCCACTTTTTCTTCTTTTGAAGTAAGGTGATGTGGTGGTTGTGAAAAACATTTAGGTTTTTTTTTTATTGTATTTTCCACATACTTGATAAATTCATTTCCAATTTTTAAAATATTTTGGTGTTTTCTTCTTTTAAATGTGTTATACTTATTGTTATGACTGCTAATTAACACACACCACAGTATTGGTTCACCCTATCACACGCCATTTGACTAATAATATTACTACTACTACCAAATTTATTGTTCAATCCAACACTATATCTAACAATCGTGTTGTTGGTTTGTTTGTTATTTTATTTGTTTGTCATAACATCAGAGTGTTGGTTCATAAATTCCAAAAAAAGATAGTAGCAGGATGCATTTCACTTTCTTTTTAGTTCTTTCTATTTAAATGAAGGAAGGGAGAAAAGAAGCTGGGGTGATTTCAAGAATTTCAATTACAACAACTTCTACAAATAACCTTGCACAATATTTGGTACGACTAGTGAGTGAATGACTGTAGCTACATTTACCAAAATACCTTTTTTTTTAATCGATCATTATTTTCCATTGAAAATTTTATTCATATTTGTTTGTTTCTTATATTTTGTTGTAATTATCGATGTTGTTGATTGTGTTTTTCATTTGAAAATTTTATTATAAAATCAAATCAAAACATAACAACAAATTCAAATAGATTTATTAATTAAATTTTGATAAAATAAGTTTTATTTTAGTACAACTGTTGTTGTTGCTGCTGTTCTTCCTTGTTTGTTGATCAACATGTTGTTTTAAATTTTAATAATGTGAATTATAAAACAGATTTGTTAATACTAAATAAGTTAATAATTTGTGCTTTAGTGTTTTTTTATTATATCTTGTTGTTGGTTCATAAAGCAGAGTTTATAATCAAACTATAATTATATTTTAGTAGGAATATTAAAATTCAAAATAAATCAAAATCAAAATTCCAATTCCAATTCCAGTTCCTCCACTCAGTCATTCATTTCACACACCCAACAAGCAAAACAAACACCTTCAGAATTCATTTCACTTATTTATCATTTTACATTTTACATTTTAAGATTATATCTTTATTAACATTCAAAACAAATCAATTTAGGTTACTTAATCATAAAACAAAACCAACCAAATAGCTAGAATATTCAACCAACCAGAAGAATAACAAGTCATCATCACCTGTATATAGACACACGAACCAATCAATCAAATCAGCAACTTAAAAATAATTATTTTCTTGTCCTTTTATAAAATGTTCCATTAGTTTAATTATTTTCCAACAATATTGTAAGTACTTTCGAAAAAAAAAAAGAAACAGATACAGAAAAATAGACAACAGTTAATTTATGTCCACCATAATTTTGGTCAAGTTGCATTTAAAAAAAAGTCAAATATATATTTCCCAAAAATAGAACTTTTCACTTTAATTAATCCCTCTTTTTCGAAAATGTATACAAGTTTATCTTTACATTTTAAAATAATCGAGTTTGTATATTATATTTTTAATGCTTGCAACTTTGTTTAGCAGCTCAGCTCATTAAAAAAAAAAAACAAAACAAAAAAACACAAATTAGATGTTTGTGGACTACAACTCAACGCATTTAACAAAAATGAAATGTGATCATTATTTATTAAAATTAACAATAACAAAACACCATTAACATTGTAGCAAGCAATAGCAGCCATTAATTAATTACCAAATCAATCAATCAATCAATAGTATAATATTATTAATCAATAATAATAATTCATTTCAAAAACTTGTGGTTTGTTTAGATTTAATTATTTACATTTCTCTATTCATTTAATCTCCTTTCCTAACGACTATATTTGAATTCATTCATTACCGATCTTGTTTATTTGAAAATTTTTTAAAAGCACAAAAAACAAAAAACACACCCGAATCAACATAACAATCCATTATACCACTCAAATTCCACCACACCCCACAAAACCAATTATGATCACAATTCCTATTATTATAATAACTTAGACTAATATATTTATTTATTTATTATTAAATAATAATCATGTGTAAAAATAATAATAATAATTAATATTGCCATACATATTAAATTAATATTGCATGGATTAATTTGAGAGTTGTTGATAATAATATTGTTTTTTTTTTTTTTTAATTTATTTTTCAATTCATATATCTAATAATTTCTTTTGCTGCAATTGCATTGCATCGCTTCTCCCTTCCTTCCTTCCTTCCACTCTTTTTCATTTCCTGTTGTTTGCGTGCACGCCTCTGTCTTGTCCCTTTCCAATCGCATCTTTCATCAAAACAATCTAATTAATTAAAAAAAAAAAAAAAAAAAAAAAAGTTTTGGCCTGTCTCCAAATCTTACCTGATCATTATTCATTAATTAATTATTCGAATTGATTGTTTGATGCTGGTGTGATTCAAATTAATATAACCTAACCATCCTTTATTTCTCATTGTTCGTATCTCTCTTTTTTGGCTTGACTGACTTTTATATCACTATCAATAAAAATAATAATAATAATATGATTATTATAAGTTGGACATTCAAATTTCGAAATTTGAATTTACAAATCAAACACTACAATCATAATTACTCAGTTTCATTATTAAATTTCTAACATCTCTACTCTTTTTTTTTTACATCCCCACTACTTACAAATTCAAATTTCTCACTTTGGAAATTTGAAAATAATTTAGTAGTAAAAACAACAGTCAATCAAAAACCAAACACCAACAACCTTAATAACAATATTCAGAAGTAGAAGCAGAAGCAATACCGGTAGTTCAAACACCTAGAATCAATAATCAATAATAATTAACACAAAAAGGGTATAATCAGATGTCAAATAATATTTTAAATACGTCCAATAGCAATACACATCAACATCTACAACATCTTCTTCACAGTAGTAACAGTAGTGGTAGCAGTAGCAGTGGTAGCAATAGCAATAGCAATAACACTCGTTTCACTACAAACAACCAACAACAACAACAATTATTATTCGAACAAATTCAACAACAATCAAAAATGATTCCAAATAGTTCGTCATCTTCGACATTGTCGAAAAAGTCAAGTTTGTCACACATGACAAATATAGATGATGCCGCTTCTGCCTTTGCTGTGCATAGTGGTGGCAGTGGTGGTGGTGGTGGTGGAAGTTCTGGAGGAATTGGATCACCTTCTAGTATTCTCAAGATACATAGTAATAGCAATAATAACAACAGTAATAATAACAATGTTTCATTACCATCGTTATCTGATATAAATTGGAATAATAATAGCAATAGTAATCCAAATATTAATAATTCAAGCGCAAATAACAATCATCATCACCACAACCACAACCATCATCATAATCATTCGCACACACACCACTCACAATCTTCTCAAAATAGTAATAATATTAATAATTCGAGTGGTGGTGTTTCACCACTAACAAACTCACATCAATCCGACTATAGTAGTAACAGCAATAGTAGTAGTAGTAGTAGTAACAATAAACTTGGAAATATTATGGATGTACCGTCCTCACCTGAATTTTCACATCTTCATCAACAACAACAACAACAACAACATCACCGTTCAACAACTTTGTCGTCATCGTCGTCATCGTCGTCAATGGTGGTGGACAGTGCAAATGTACGTTTACAACAATATGAAGCATCAATCGAATCGTTGATAAACCAAGTGCAGTCGGCACACGACCGTGAGCAAAAGCAGCGAAGCTACACCAAGTCGATAGAGGAAGGCTACGCCAATCTCGAATCGGAGAATCTCAAGTTGAAGAAAGAGCTCTTTGAGATGAACAAGAAACTCAATGAAATACTTCAAATGAAGTTTTCACCGCAACCTACCATCTCCGCTCCAACTTCTTCTTCCTCTTCGAATTTGCCCATCACTTCCAAGTTCACATCTTCTCTTGCCGTTTCCGGTTCGCTTCCACCGCCACCCAGTCACGCCGACAAGAAAAAGCTGGAACTCCAACAAAAGAAGAAACCACGTGGCGGAAATGGTGCCATCGAAGGTGACGAGGAATTGGTTGCCGAAGCACTTGGATCATTCGTGGAACTCACCTCGACTAGCTCCTCGAGAAAACCAATGTTGAAGCGTTCCAACAGTGAGGATTCATTCCGTCACAATCCAAACCAAGGAATGTCGATGATGTCGCCTCACGCCATGATAATGGCATCGCGTGGTGGTGACCCAACAAGTTCATCTATGGACTGGGCCATGGGCAACTCTTCGGATCTCGACGACCTCAAATTCAAAAAGCGCAGATCCGACCAATTCATGAACTCGCCGCCCACCGAGCAACCACCAGCCGGCACCAAAACCAAGAAGCCTCCCCAATTCAACCCGTCTTCGCCACCCAATCTCCAGCGTCACCACAGCTTCTCAATCAACAGTCCCGTCAAGTTGGAGTCGTCACTCCACAGCAGTGGCGGCATCATGGAGTTGAGTTCGTCACCCTCGTCATCTTCGAACCAATTGACATCGAGTGGTGGAATTCTAAAGAAACCAAAGAAACAAAACAACAACAATAACAATAATAATATCCAAACAACAACAACCACATCAACATCAACACCTCAACAACAATCACATTTCCCCTCACAAATGCAAAACATTGGACAACTTCCAGAGATGGAAACCGATGTCGATAGTACTGATGAATTCGACTTTAAGGGAAGCACTGGCATGCCACGCTCTGGAGATGGCGACTCACCGGACAGCAATGAAAACTCTCGAAATTCATCGTCACCGATCGAGGCACCAATGTCCGATGCCAACCTCTTCAAATCGATTGCCAACGACACTCCTCACGAAGCGCTACTCAATGAGATACACCACCTTCACCAACTACAACGTGAATCGCTCGAAAAGATGCATCTCACACAGAAGCAATTCCTCACAACCGACGGCGCCAACAACCACGACGACATCTACGCTGCTCTCCAAACGGAACAAAAGAAACTGGCCGGCCAAATCGAATCGGAACTCCAAACACTCAATCAAATGTACAGTCAAACCATTCTGGAACCTAACCAACTGTGTAAACTCGACATATTGCTACAGGATCTCTCCATTCAATATAAACAGCTGCAGCTCTACCAGAATGAGTTGAACTATGGTCCTGGCGGTCCGGAACTTCCAGTGGCGTTGGTCATCACCAAACAGCCGTTCCCAATGGTCATCTCGAAATTCAAGCAACTCCAAGAGGATCATCTCACTGTCCAACTCCTCGTTGGTTCCAACGTCGACATCATTTCATACTCACCGATTCGCGCCGAACTCATTTTCCACTCGAAAGCACTCACCAAGGGTTCGGCCACTCTCATCGGTGGAATCGGCTCGGTCAACAGCGGAACCGGAGGCAGCGGTGGAAACAGCGCCCTCAAAAAGCACATTGAAAAAGACACGCAATCCATCGACCCAGTCAAAGGCAATGCCAAATTCCCAATTAAATTCCTCACGGGAACGCGTAAGGGATGCGTCAAACTCCACTTTGTCCTCCAGATCAAGACCACCGACGGACATGTATATAACGTGCCGAGCAGCACTTCCCAGCCGTTCATCGTAATCACCAACGATTGCCAATGGGAAGGCAGTGAAGGAACACTGCTCAAAAAGGAATCGTTCAACGAGAAGTTTGAAATAACCTGGCCTCACTTTGTAAATATACTCCAAAAACACTTTCTAAAGGCAACCAAACAGAGTCCAATTCAACCGACACGTCCACTGTCGAGCTACGACTTTTTCTATTTGAATACCACTTTCTTTGGCAGTCGTTCGTTCGTCAGCCACAAGGATTTCGATCAGTTCTGGTCGTGGTTTGGCAAGTCGCTTCAGACGCTCCGCTACAAACGTCACATCTCTACGCTCTGGCAGAACGGACTGATATTCATGTTCCTCAAGCGTGAGTCGATCAACAACATTCTCAAAGGACAGGAACCAGGTACTTTTGTCATCTTATTCTCTGAGATGTTCCCAGGCCAGCTCGAGATCTCCTACGTTGGATTCGACAAGGACCAGAAATCCGACAGTGCACACGTCAGCAACAACAGCACCACCAGCAGCACAAGCACCAACGTCGATCCAAACGATCCCAAACCACTCACCAAAATCAAACACTACTTGGTGCAGCCCAACGACACTTCCGGAAGTAAAAGAACACTACCTGATTTCCTCAATGAATGTCCACAGTTTACGCATATTCTACAAGTAAGTTTAATTAGTTTATTATTTATTATTTCATGAATTTTGAATCAGAAAATTAATATCTATATTATTATTATTACTAGCTCAATGTTTCAACTTTGTCACATACCGAATCAACAATACCACCATTTAGACGTGAACTCAAGAACACTGTACTTGAGCCATATTATAGTAAGCGACAAAATTCACAAAACTTTTTGGGAAGTGGTTATGATCCACTTACTTAAGATAATTTAAAATTTTTCAACATCAACAACAACATCTCAGTCTCGTCTCACTCTTTCTCTCCAATCAATATAAAAGATAAGCCACCACCTATACATACACTTCAATATATACATATATTTTTCCAACATCAACAATCAACTCAACTACTACCAACCCCAAGCCTACGACTTTGAAAGTATAATTCAACAATTATGCTCATTCACATATACATATATTAAATAGAGTAATCCGATATCGTCTCCACCAACGTTCTCTCCACCTCCTTTTCGTAGTTTTTTTATCTTGTTGTTTTTTTTCTTACAACAAACAACTGAACTTTCACAAAACAATGATTTCAAGACCAGTGTTTTACTATGACCACTTAAAGCAGGAGGAGATCAACAACCACCCGTCCAAATAAACAAAACTCAATCAATCTTAATCAATTTGAAATAAATATATTTATTTATTATTTAATTTTTTGTAGTTTTCTTTTATTTGATTATCAGATTTTTATTAAATCAATCATGATTGAACTAATCAATGTTAGGCATTGTTTACCTTTTTGTTTTTTTACCTTGCAAAGTTTTCATAGAAAGGTGTTGGACCATCAAAAAAAAAACAAAAAAAAAAATTGAAATGAATCTGTGATTGTGGGTGAGATTCAATCAAAAAGTTAGCTTGTCCAATCAGAAAACCTGTGTTGTGATCTGATAAAACATCTGGAGACGCTAATTAAAGAATAAATAATTTTAGATTTGACAAAAAAAAACACTATTTCCAGCTGTGCAAAAAACAAAAACAAACTAAGTTTAGTTCTTCTCTCTTTCATCATATACCAAAATATAAGTTAATATACTATTTATATTATCAATAGGTAACTTTATATATCGATATACCCATTCTACATGTATACATTATTTTGATTTATTTTGATTTATTTTGTTTTGTTTTTTTTTATTCTTCCCACTCGTTTTTTTTAAACAACAATACAAATACGAATAGTTTTTTTTTTTCAAAATAAAATTTTAATCATTTAATTGTTAAAAACAATGTTGGACAAAGAAGAAGAAAAGAATAAAGAAAAAATCAGCAATCATGGATTCACTATATTTAGTTGACTGAGTACCCTAGCTTTATCAATTTCAAATTGGTGGTGGATGTAGCTAGTTGTATAGATACTGGCTAAAGCAATGAAAAAGAGATGACAAAATTTTTTATCAATTGACTATCACAAATGATTATCGATTTGGTTTTTTTAAATCAAAGAAAAAACAAAAGTAATATCTTCACTAATATTCAAAAACAACATCAAAAGCAATAACAATAATCTACATGTAGCAAAGAAACAAACAACTTATCCCGTGTACTTCAAACTTAAATGTTTAAATTTTACTTTAATAGTTCGCAATTCACACTCTCAAAATTAAAAACAAAGTCAAGAAAGAGATGACACAAATTTCTCAAGAATAAGTCAGAATCTATAGATACAAACTGACACTTTTGATCATTCATCAATCATCAACAATAAAGCACCTAAATAAATCATGTTTAATACTTTAATATCATTTATCTAGTTGGATGATCAATTGAGATATAAATTGCTATCATATCACAACTCATCTGAAAACACAATTAGGCACCACTGTTTTTAAATTACACACATTTTCGGATCACCTTTGCCATCACACCCCAAATTAATTTTGAATCTAATCATTTCAGGGGTAGTGGTGTTACTGCCAAATCATCAGAAAAAAAAAAAAAAACAAAAAATACACCATGTTTTCTAATTAAGTTGGTCAACCTTCCCTGTTTTCATTAACAATAAAGAATAAAGTTATTTGTGTGTTGATCTCAAAAACAACTTTCACCAACCATGTTTTGTGAATCAATCCAAAACACATCGTAACTGACAAACTTTACCTGAATTATGATCGTCAAACGTCATTATTTGTGCGTGTGTGTTCCTCCCAATCCAACAAGCAAAGTTAGGAATGGAGGCTTCAAAAAATAGTCGCAACCCCCAATCAGATAAGGGGTATTGATCAAATAACCAATCCCACAACACTTATCATTCACTTTTATTTCATTTCCGAACCAATCAAACCAACACAGCAACTACTATTATTGTATCATTATAACTATTCTCCATTCATATCAACGACAAATTAATTTGAAAGAAAGTACGGCGTATAGGATATAGACAGAGGTACTCAAAACTTAAGGTCCCCAACTGACATCAAACTCACACCACCATGGTATTTCGATAAAACTTCATTTGATCTAGCTTTTTGAATGAATTTGTCAATCGTAATATCTTTGAATTCAACTCCAATACCTTCGATTGTCTATCGACCTTTGATTTCTATTTTTATAAAGTTGTTGGAAATTCGAAAACTTGTTCCCAATTCAAACTTGACATATCACATATTTAACAAAATTAAGTTCCTCATTCACCAACAACCTATTATTTATTTATAAATCAACTATAGTTATCTATATTCATTCTATATCTATTTTATTTAACTCTATCAAAATAGTTTTAAGTTTCCTTTTGCAAATATAAAACATCATTGGTATTGTTAAAAATCATAAAATTTTTTTATGTTACCTTTTTCTTTTCTATTTTTTGATTGGTAGTTTAAATAATCCTCTAAATTCTTAAAATGCCAAATTAATTAATTTCAATCATTTACTAAATTTAATGTACAAACCATATATATCTATTGTAATCATTGATCAGTGCACAATGACATTTCAATGATCGCTTGAACCCACCATATTTGTGCATTAAAAAAACAAAAAAATAGCACCAAACTCTTCAATCATCGTGAAAAACGTTAAAAATCAAAACAACCAATCAACTTTCTAGTTGGTTTACAACAATGTTGTCATAGTAACTCAACTTACACCTTTCATACCACCAACACAACAACAATTTTTTAAAACAATCCTTTTAAATCGAAAGGACCACCTCCACTCAATCTGCACAAGAGTGTTGTTGTATTTGACTTTTTATCCAAAACTATTTATTTATATAAATCCATTTGTTTTTGCTTTTTTTTTTAGTTTCTGCACTTGTCTCTCTTTCATGAGGTCATGTTTTTTTTTTTGCAAAAATAAATTTTATCCAAAAAAAACAAAAACAGATTGTTGTTGTGATTCAAGTGGTAAAATAACCGTTAAAAAAGATTTTCACACACTTTTTTTTTTTACTATTGTCAATAGCGATAAAAAATTTAAAATTTAAAACCAAAAAAGGTCCACCGCCATCTGATAACAGTCCATCTGTTAAATTTCAAAAGTTTTTTAGTTTTTTTTTTTTTTGCTGAAATGAAATTTTTTTTATGATAGAAAAAAGTACACAATTAACCCACATCACTCCCAAATCTTGTTCTATCATTTTCGGTAGGGTGCTTTATATCACCAAACAAAAACAAACGATTCTCCACCAATACATTAATTTCATCTCCACCGTCAACATTGCCAAAAACTTGTTTTTTATCGTGGTCTCCACCATCATCACCAACAACGAATGCTCTCTCACCAATATTAATCAATGAGTGACGCGTAGATTATATGAGAGATTATCAGTGCAATCCTTATCAACTAATAATAAACTCTTTGCAAAAGCCCAAACAATCATTGATTTATAATTTTTTTTCACAGATTTTGTTACTATTATTTTTACACATATTAATATTTAAATTAAAAAAACAAACACACACAATTAACTTGTTTTTGGGTCTACTCTCTTTACTTTTTCTTTTTCAATTTCATTCCACTTTACTTTCACTCTCATCTATCTAATACATCTCTCTCAAATTCCAATTCACTAACATTGCACCACACACATTTATTTTTTCAACCAAAAAAACCAGACTTTGGTTTTACTACTATTTTATTTAATTTAATTTAATTTAATTATTTTTTTTAAATCTTTTTTCAAAAGAAAAAAACTAAAAAATTCCAATCATTTAATAAACTTTTATATAGTTTTTTTTTTATTTATTTTATTTTTTTTTGAAAACAAAACTTTTTTTTCCATCTTTAGTGTCTCTGTGGTAGAGAATTAAATTCGTTGTGTTGTTTTTTTTTTTATCATTCATCTAAATTTGACCGACCGACTAACTTGTTGTTTTTTGCTTTTTTTTTTTTTTTCAAATCCATCCATCAATTAAATTTATATTATTTTCAGATCTCAAGATATATTAGCATATTTGTACAATCAATCAATATAAACCAAAACAACTTATCCAGCAGTAACATTAATATAATATAATTTAATAATCTAGTAACATTACAGTCAATTTGTAACAACATTACTCCTTTAGTCGAATAAAGAGAGAAAAGAAAAGAAAAAGAACACCGAGTGTATAGTAATAGTAGTAACAGTTAGAAGTAGAGTAGTCAGTTCAGAATCATTTTTTAGTGGTTGTAATGAAGTTCAGCAAGATCATCTTAGCATCTCACCAGATATTCTAGATTTGTATTGTAGGTATTCAAACAAAACTAAAACAGCAGTTTTATAGATATAATAATTATAAACCGAACCTACATACTTGTCAAAATCATCATCATTTCAGCATTTACATAATACCAATAGAAAGTAGAAAAGGAAAAGTTTCATACTTTTAATAGATAATATTGTGTATGGTATAGTTTTAATTGTTTTTGTTATGTATTATTTTGTGTAGATGTGTGTTTGTGGTGTATGTGTGATAAAATAGAGTAGATAAAGCAGATATAAATTAGTGTAGTGGAGATGTAGATTAAAGTGTAGTGATAGTCGATCGATGGCAAGTTGCAATAGTGAAAAAAAAAAAAAAAGAAAAGAAAAGAAAATAATCATCGGACACAACATAAACATTGATCATTTTTGCATTGCATTAAAACATAAACATACAACTGAAATCACTGTGAAACTTGGTTGATCAATCATAATAGATAAACTTATATATTTATAAACAACACAATAACAACAACAACAACAATTTGGATAATTTACAAGCAATGAAACGAATATGAGTGGAATATAGGAATTAAATAGAGTGGTTATAGTATTGGAAAATAATATATGTGTATATATCAATCAAATTGAATTATCGAGTTTTATATTATAAATAATTTGTGGGGGAATTTTAATCAACCAATGAAATAATAATAGTAATAACAATAATAATGATAATGGCAATGATAATGATAATGACAATGTTCAATTAATGATGTTCCGAGTGGTTTAATTCAAATTCTTTTTTTTTTTTTTTTTCTCATGTTATATTACTAAACTACAGTATATCTTAGTTACTGAACAACTCACACTTGCACTCTACTACTTATTACTTTTCTTTACTAATATGTTAATATCAATCATCATGATTTATATAACATCATTCACCGTTATTTATGATCATTCATCTTCTTTTTTCGCTTTTTTGACTATTAAATATATGCGTATACAGTATCTAATGTGTACTCATCTCGCCTGTCTGTTCACCAATAGACTACCACCACCACCACCACCACTAACACCAACAACAAACAGGTCGTCGATGATCATGATTAACTAAATATCACCACTCATACCACCAAACAATAATAACAACTATAATTGTTTAGTTATTGGATTTATTTGTTTTTTTTTTTTTCGAGAAATGATAGCTCCGATTAACTTGGAGATGTTATCATTTACGACTTGATTTTCAAGCAAAACCAACAAATATAACACTTCACCAATCACACAACTTGTTCTGTTCACTTAATTAATTCACACACACCAATTGGTTTCAATGTTGATGGTATATTGGGTTGAGAATTCAACACAAGTTCCATCTGTTCACTATTAAATTAATTTAATGAGTGGAACTAAATTTATTCATAAACAACATACCACCAAACACACATTGTACTTTTATAAATACTATCCACATATGTTCTCTTCACCATTTCATTAGACCAAACATTGGATAATTAATGGTATGATGATTAGATTAGTTAGTTTTTACCCAAAATCATTTGGTGTAAAGGTTAATTGAAATATAGTTTTAGGATAATATAATACATGTCTGGTTGGTTTGTATATATTCATATTTTTTTTTTTTTTTGATGGTCTTTAATTATTATTTGTATTACCTTCTCTTCCCTCCTCACCATAATAATAATGTTCATCACATCAAATCCTCAATAAAGGAAATAAAACACACACAAATCCAAAATTGGGTGTTTATCATCCAAATTTAACTTTTTACCACTGCTGCAAATCATCATCACAACAGACAGTTAGAATTAGGTGTGTGTGGTGTGGGTGTGGAACGGCACACACAATGTTTTTTTTATAAACACACAACATAGCACACACGCTATCTAGATAGTGTTCGACAACCGCCACCACCATCACAATCACTACCACGTCTATTCACCATTTCTCTCTTTATCATTTTGAGTTTGCAAACTCAATACCATCAATCAAACCTCCCCTAAGCTTCTCGGCGCAAGCTTAAGAAAGAGATGTTTTTATTTCATTTCATCTTAACATAACTGATTGATATAAGAAACACTCACCTCTTGAAAAGGTTATAGTGAAACAACAACAACAAACTCTTATCACTAAATCACCTTTAACACAACACACCAACAGCATTTGAGAAGTTTCCTTTCGCCCTACTATGTTCATTGTTATTGTTGTTGCTGTTGTTGATATAATTTAAATTAGAGTTGTCATGTGACTAGATAATAATTTCTGAATATAATGTATTATTATATTATTTACATTGCCGTTGTTTGTTATGATTACTATTTAAATTGAAATTTTATTTAAAACAAAAACAGCCAAAATAATAATAATAATAACAATATCAATTTCACAACAATAATATTATTGCTTAGCGAACACCCAACAATAAAATCATTAGTTAGTTAATCAAAACTCAAATTGCTGCAATTCAAATTCACTCTCCTTTACAACAAAAACATAACACTCATTTGAATAATTTTAATTAATATATTTATCTTATCAAATTTGTTGTTGTTGTTGTTTGGCAGACAAAACAAAACTATCCATTATTTAAATTAAATTAAATTTATAAATTTAGTAAATGTCTTTTCATACCAATAATATAGACTATCAATAAATATTATTTATTTTTAAAATATACTAAACACATCGACACACACACATAACACCAAATTAATTGTTGCTCTAAATTTAACAACTACATATACTTTGTATCAAATCAACAATAACAATAATAACATTGCTCTTCTAAAGATCAAATTTCTTTGTTTGCCACCAAACACACACCCGCCTGGCTTCATCCCCAACCCAACCTCTTCTTTTTCAAAACACTAGTTTAATCGGTGTTGATCACCACCACAAACACTACCACCAAAACCAACTTCACATTCTTCTTTGTTATTGTGATATTATTATTTATAATCATCATCATAATAATAATAATAATAAATCAATAACCATTTCTTTCAAAAACATCACTCTTTTCTCCTAAAAATATAATATAATTTTAGACAATCCAAAAACTATATTTTTATCATCACCATCAAAATCAAAAGCCATAATTACTTAATTAATTAATTAATAATATCTATCCTTTAATTGGTTTATCAACATCATCTAAATCTTATTTTTAGTAGTATTCAGTCTTCTAATAACTTATTTTTAAATTAATTAACCACAAACAGGTCCAATAGCAATCATAAGACAATCAATCTTACTTGGTAAACAAAGTTCTGAAAACACAGCTCGATATTAGATCTTCAATCTTCAATCTTCAGTCCACCAACCAATCAACAATCATTATTTATTAAAAGTATTTGCAATTTGCCATTACTTTTTTTTTTTTTTTTTTTTTTTTTTGGTAAAAATCATAACGATTATTTAATTTGGAAACCCTTTCTGTAACATTACTCAAAACCAACAAATCAATCCAAAATATCGACACACAACAATAGTATATCAAGTTTAATAGTATCATTAAACTTTTAATCAATTTTTATCAATCAATCAACCAACCAATCAATTAAATTCAATTTAATTAAATAATAATAATCACACTAGGTTGAATTCAACCCACAATACTCAATTCCACTTTTATATATTTAGAATACAAAAAGTAAGTGTTCAACAACGATTTTTATTCAATCTCAATCAATATTTATTAAATTATATTTTTTTTTGTTATTACCACAGTGGGAAGAAATAAGATTACGATTGAGAGAATCACAAATGAAAGAAATAGACAGGCAACTTTTACAAAGAGAAAAAATGGTCTCATAAAGAAAGCAATGGAGCTATCTATTCTGTGTGACTGTGATATTGCTCTCATCATTTTTAGTAGTAACAATAAATTATTCCAGTACTCTTCCAAAGACATGGACAAAATACTCATTAGATATACCGATAGTACTGACAATTCAAGAAAAACCTTAACAAATCAAGATGTAAGTTTATTAATAATGATAATAATAGTTTGTAATTAATCCATATACTAATTTATTTAATTTTAGTATAAAAGAATTTTTGGAAATAAGAAATTAAAGACAGAGAATGGAGATGGTGATGATGACGATGATGATTCACCATTGGAGGATTTGGGTGAGACTCCAACCACTCCCAATTGTTCGTCAACCAATCAGAGTCCGTTACACGTTGGAAACAACAATAGCAACAATAATAATAGCAATAACAATAATAACAACAACAATAGCCATAGTCAATCATCCAATTCAAATCAACAAAGTAATAGTAGTAATCAAATTTCCAGTTCAAACAATAGTATACCTTTTCAATCGCTTGGCTCAAGCCAACAGCATCCATCGCAGAATGGCTATGTCATGTTGAATTCCGTACCACTTATCCAACCAAAGTATCATCCCTACAGCATGGAGGCAGACTTGGCACCATTGACGCCACGATCTGCCGCCGCCAAATACAAAGGATATCCGATGGCAGGCATGGAGCTTCCACACAAGCAACCGTATGGCGCGCCAACTCCACCCTCGCCACTGGTCGCCTCAAAAAATGGAATGATGAAGGGACCACCACCTGGAAATCACCCATACCATCCATACTACTATGATTTCGCTGGCTATCAATATATGTACCAACAGAACGGACCGATTCCCCCACAATCGGGTGGTCCTGCTGGCGGTCCCCCAGGTGCCGGCTACATGAATCCCCAGATGCTCTCCTACTACAACTCACTGCCACCTCAACAACAACAAAGTATGCAACATCTCCAGTATGCACAACAACAACACGCTGCTCATCACCACCACCAACAAGCTGCACAAGCACAGGCAGCTCAACAGCAGGCACAGGCACAGGCACACGCTCAACAGGCACAGGCACAAGCTCAGCAGGCTGCACAACAACAAGCACAGGCACAAGCGCAGGCACAGGCACAAGCTCAGGCTGCACAACAAACACAGGCACATCACTTACAGAATCCAGCATTACATTTATCATCGTCTCAACATCCTTCGTCATCACCACTGATCCATCCACACTCACACATTCAATCGCAATCCAATTCCAACTCTCCGCTAATACATCATCAACCACATCCATATTCTCAACATCAACAACAACATCTTCAAAATACAAACGAATCTTCCAGTCCACATATAAATTTCAATTCCAAAAACAACAACAACCATAATAATAGTTCTAGTAGTAAATCCAATCATCACAACAACAACAACCATCACAATAGTCATCACAGTCAATCAAATGAACATACACCAACACTTAACCCATTTTCCAAACATTCAACAGCAGCCAGTCCATCTAATAATATTCAACCACCTCCATCTCTTTCAATAAGTTCACATAACAATAACAGCAACAGCAACAGCAACAACAATAACAACAGTAATAGTAGTAGTTCAGCATCAACACCACCAATATCACCAGCAGTCAATTCACCCAGTGTCACCATTTCACCTGCTTTAGTACCAGTAGTCACTTTGGAGGACGCCAACAAACCGAAACCCAAAAAATCGTTGAGTGTTGTCATCCCCGAGGCATCACCTCCACCACCCCCGAAACCTCCAGTCGGCTATGCCGGTCTTGGCATCATTCCTCGCGCTATTGCGCCACTCAACCAAGATCTCCCACCAAAGCCAGCGGACACCCCAACACTGCCGTCTCCACGTGACTTTTATCCCGATTCGATGGTCGACATGACCCCGAACGGATCGTTTTTCCCTACACACTACCACTGGCCGAAACCTTCACCAAGTGGAGTCACCGGACTCACCACACCCAGTCCTTTTGATATCATCTCATTCGGAGCACTTCCATCGCCTGGTAAATTTGGTTTCTGGGGAGAAGGCAATCAGACGCCTCTCAGTCTACTGCAGTCCTTGTCAAACAACGACGATGACAAAACAAAAATAAAACAGGAACCAAACAACGGAAACAACAACAATAGCAACAGTAGTAGTAAAATATCATCATAAATATTATTTAAAAAATCAATAGAGTATATTATAGAATAAAAACAAAACAAACAAATCAGTAAAAAAAACCTCCCGTTTATGTGTAATAAATAAAACAATATATATAAATATTATTTAAATTAATTTTGAAGTCTTTTGTTTTGTATTTAACATTAAATTGTAACGATTTGCTCATTAATTTTTTAGAGATAACAGTTATTAATTTTTCCAAGAATGGTTTAAATAATACTTTAGATTTATTTTTTTGTATTTTGAATAGTTCTTGGCTTATTTCGGTGACTATTGATGGACCTCATCTATTTCTATTACCTTAACCACAGTTTCTAAACCTACTTTGTTTGCATTGCCAAACCGACTTTAACTAAACCAACTGATACTACAATTACTAGTCTACTTTTCTTCAACTTGCCTTTACCTCATAATATCTTATTTTTTTATTTATCAATAAATCAATAAATATTGATTTTATTTATTTCACTGTCACTTGTAATTACTTATATATTCTAACGAAAAGATACCAGAATAGAGATAATTAAGTTTGATGATTAGTAAATAGTTAACTTTCTGAGGTATCGGCCTGGGAGAGTATGCTTTAATTAAACCCAAGATATCTTTCAAAAGAGACCAGGTGGTATTAATCAATTCTGAAATTAATAATCTATTTTTTGATTTGTAGGAGATAAAAAATCTTGAAAACTAGAATAAATAGATCAAATTACCAGGGTCCTATCTCTTAAAAAAAAAAAAAAAGTTAGTGATAAAAAAATGAGAAGTTCTTGATTTGGAAAAACACATTTTAATTTAACCAGGTGTTTTTGTTTTCCTTTGTTTCGAAGCTATTAATTAAATAATTTAAGGTGATAGTGTTTTGAAAGGTTTGTGCAAGTGTGAACTAAATCAAAAAAAATCTTCTTGAGACGATACTTTAAGATTATTCACCTCGGATAACATGAAAAAATTTGCAAATTTTTTTAAAAATTTTTTTTTATTTAAAGTTTTGATAGATTTTATTAAAATCTTTGATACTAAGGTTATTTTTTTTTAAAGATGGTAATTTATTTTTTGTGGAATTACATCAGCAACATTTTTTTATTTTTTCTATTTAAACACTGTGATCACACTCCAATATTATTATAATCTCTTTATTTTATTATCTATTTAATTTATAAATTTAAATAATTTAAAATAAAAAAAACATGTCATCAGATAAAAAACTTTTCGTTACTTTAGTTGTATTAAATGTGTTAATGCTTGTTAGTGTGGTAATTGCAATCTCGACCGATTGGTACCATATTAAATCCGATTATGATATTTTGGCTACTGACATTGAGACCACCTACAATCTGTTCTTTAATTATGTAAATATAGAATTTTTTAGAATATATATGTTTTACAAATATTTATTTACTTTCAAAAAAAATAGGTTGAAACTACATACGGATCTAAAGCCTACTATCTTGATTATATGGATAATAATACTAGTAAGTTATTTGTTGCGATCGGAGTTTTCCAATTCTTGGCTGGAATTTCTTTGGTTGTCAGTTTCACCGCTCTGAATATGTCCAATCGTAAATGCACCAAGTCCTCATTGCAAGTCAACAGAGTATTTTCAATTTTCCATTTGTTCTTCCAGATCCTTGCTATTTTCAGCTTGTTTGGAATTACCGCTTCTTTCCAATGCGAAGACAACGCCATTGATTTCTCTGGTTTCTGTACCAAGTTTGCCGGTAGCTACGATGTCGGTATCATTGATGTTAGCTGGGGACCAAGCGTAGGTTGGGGATTCGGTATCGTTTCATTCTTTTTCTCTTTTATCAATGTCATCGTTGTCTTTAGAAGAGCGAAGCATCTTGAACACCACTGCCACGCTCATGGTGGATACACCCAAGTCACTGTAACCGCGCCTCCAGTGTACTACCAACAACAACAGCCACAATACCAACAGCCATATCAACCACAGTACCAACAACAACAAGGTCACAATCAAAAGCAATTCCCATAGATCCAACTCACTGAATGATGTACCTTATTTTTTTTTAATTATTAATAATAATTCAAAGAAAATAAATCCCCAAATCAAACTCATTTTTTGATGAAGCAGTTTTTCATCAAACACAAGATATTTCATCTATTTAGAATTTGTTTTTTTTAATTATTATTATCTATTTAAAAACACAATCAATATTCATTTTTTATTTCTAATAAAATTTGTTTTTTAAAAAAAAAAATAAAGTCACCTCATACTAAATTAGTAAATCTACCACATATTTAACGCTATAGTAAACTTTCAATATTCAAGATTTTTTCAAAATTCACTGTTTTATTCTAAAAACATTACACTATGTTAGAATAAAGGTTCTTTTAACAAAAAAAACTTATTTTTAATTTTAATTTTTTGTGTTCACAAAAAAATGTAAAAACATTTGAATTGTTGGCCATATTTTGTTTTAAGAACCTTTTTTCATTTCATCATCCACCCAAAGATGTCAAACAACAATAATAATTCAACACATAAATTAGTAAATCTACCACATATTTTATTATCAAACATTGTTTATAATTTAACAGATAATATCGATCAGATTTGTTTTAGTTTAGTTTGTAAAAGATGGTTTGAAGATAGAAATAGATATCTATTGTTTGATACCAATACTTTATATTGTATCGATAAACATAGTTCAAAAATCACTTTGAATTCATATAGATCGATAATATCTGAATCACTTAGCAAAAAGAAACAATGTAGCATGATAGTCATTCCTTATATGTACGGCAATGTTGGTAATTATGATCATTTATTAGATCCTGGTAATTATATTTTTTCTTACATAACAATTATTGAATATTATTGTCAACTATTTACTTATTTATTTTATATTGTTTCTATTTTCTATGCAGATTCAATTGAAAGTATTGATGAAATCGATCAAAGCATAGTAAAGGTAGCACTGAGCAGAGAAATACACTATATAAAAGAGGAAGGAGAAGATACAGATAAGCTATTTACTCGATTTTTTGATTTGATTAGCAAATCTAATGTAACTACTATAAAAGATTGTCAGACATTAAAGTATGGAATACCAATGAATATCACCTCACTGCGTTTCGATCTTTATTTTAAGGAACGGTTTGTCAAAGGTTGTTTTCCACCCAACTTGAAGAAACTGAAATTTGTCGGGGATTCTGATCAGGTGTTTGAAGTTGGTGTGTTGCCTGATACATTGGAGAAGCTTGTGACTTATAGTCTCAATCAAATATTGGAACCTGGAGTATTACCAACATCATTGAAGATTCTTAAAATCTCTTATTCAACACCTGATAACTATCTCAAAGTTGGATCATTACCACCAAATCTTCAGGAGTTCTTTCACACAGGAGAAGATTTTAAAATTGATTCAAACGTTCTACCAAATTCGCTAATCAGTCTTAAGAGAGTACCTGTGTCATGGATGAATTCAATCAAGCAACTCGAGAATCTTAGATTGCTATCGTTGGTAGGCAATTCTGGCTTTTTAGATCTGAGTGATCTACCTCAAACATTGACAGGATTGAGCATTCCCAACACACTAGTGTTAAAATCGGCATTTCCAACTTCAATAAGACATCTGAATCTGGGCAATTCAAAGTATGACATCGATGAATTGTTCCCGGATCGATCACTTTATCATTTGGATTGTCTACAGCTGTCGGCATTCAAACAAGAATCTCTTAATGGCTTGAATATCAAGATATTGAGCCTAAACGATTTTCCTTACGACAATGATTTGGAAACACTCAGAGTCATTCCGTTTGGTGTTGAAACACTTGGGATTTTTACATTTGGTGACTTTGATTTCAATCAGAATTCACTTCCATCATCAGTGAAAACACTCGATATTCACAATATGAACGGTTTCAAACGCCCAGGTACTATTCCAAACACTGTGAATCATCTTACCATTCGAGATCACAGATCTGACTTTGTCATAGCAGAAGGAGTTCTCCCAGACTCTATTCAAAACATTAAATTGAAACAACTGCTATTTCCAATAACAAAAATGGTTGACAACATTTCATTCGAGACCTATGATGATAATAAGTGTTCGATTCGAAAACTTGATGATCAATATTACATCGTATTTGGTCATCAAAAAAATATCGGATTCATTGCAAGTCTATTCCACAAATCAATGTTTTTAGACAAAGTTAATGTGGTAAAAATACTTAATTCTAATCATTAAATAAATTTTTAGGTTAAGTTATTTTAAAGTTTAGGACTTTGTTTTATTTAACTTTTTTTTTAACCCCAGATATACTTTCTGGTAAGATGGGAAGTTAAATCATTGAATGTTTGAGTTGAATTGTATTGACCTTTGTTAATAGCATTTAATGATTGTACATTTGAACCTGACGGTTTTGAACTGAAAAAGAATAAAAATTGAATATTTTCTAAATTTAAAAAAGGTTTAGAGAAAAAAGGTAAATGAATTTATAATATTTACTTACTGTATAACATTATTTAGATGATAGAGCTGAAATGAAAATAAATTTATAATAAGTTCCTTATATATATTGTTTTTTTTTGGATAATTTTTAAGTCGACATAGAGTATCGATGAAGTAACAAAGTTGTGTTTTAAAAAATTTATTAATAAAAAATGTTAAATGTGATTAGTTTGTGTAAGTAAATTCGAATCTTTGAAGATATGGGTTTTTTTAAAATAAAATTCTATTTATATTATTTGTAAAAGTAAGATCTGAATCTTGATTGATATAAATTCCAAAATGGTGTCTACATTATTAATAGGTTTTAAACACTATTGAGTACAATTATATTTTTTATTTTATTTAAATATTTCACACCAAGAAATTAAGAGGTGACAAATATGTGAAAAATTCATTCTTTTAATTTTTTTATTGTGTTTGTTTAATAGAATGATAATTATCCAAGATATTTGATTTCATTATACAATATTCAATCACTAATTATAGATTGGTTTAATAAAAAAAGAGAATCCAATTCCTATTAACACTCGTGAATTCAAATTTTTTATTGTATTTTTGTACTTAAAATTTCAACAAGTTTAGAGTGATGAAATATTCTAGTAATTAAGTTTCCAGAATTTCCTTTGTTTTCATAGTAACCATATAATAAATAATAATTATCATCCAATTTTCTAATAGTTTGTTTGTGATTAAATCCGAAATTTCCAATGATATTAGTTATTGTTTTAACTGTATTTGGAATGGTGATATTGATATGAGATTGGTACTTATAGACAAGAGTTCTGACTGAAGATGGTACCAAATCTAATGTTTCATTGAGATCACTCCAACCAAGATCTAGCAACTCGATGGTGTTTGGTAGATTTACTTTAGGTCTATCTTTGAAACTAAAAACACAAAGTTCTCTTAATGAACAAGATTGATCGTTGGTAGCACCATTGTCATCAAAGTCCATTATCTTCCCATTTGAATTTGACCAGTCAATATAAAATTTGATTTTTCCAACACCAGACGGTATCGTTATCTTTTGTTCTTTTGAATTTCCACGTACTATAATTTCATTGATCTTGATGTTTGATGGAATTGCATGTATAATCTTATTTTCATATTCCAATAATTCCAAGTGATATTGCGATGTTTCTGGGAATATTTCATCTTTGAATGTATAATCTTCAAAATAGAATTTTTTCAATGATGTTGGCATTGTTCCTCTCAATATAGTTCTTGGAACTATAAAATCGAATGATTTTATAGTTGGTGGGAGGTAGTTAACATTGAATATAGTGTTACCATCTCCTTCTTGATAAGGAAAATAAATAAAAAGTGATTGAAGGTTGGGGAGTGTTGATATTTCTTGTAACCATGAAATAGGCAAGCAAGATTCCGCTGAATATTGTAAATCTTCTTGATTAGGTTGACTATAATTTTCAAAAGATAAAAATTCAATAGACGATGGGAATACACCTGGTTGCATTTGATATTGATATCCATTGCTACTTTCAAGTGAAAAATTGAGTAAACCTTGTGGTAGAACACCTGGTATAATTTCGAAATTATAGCTATAGAGATAACATTTGAGTAAACCAACAGGAAGTACACCTGGTTTCAATAAGAAATTATAGAAATTGAGAGAAAATTCAAGCAAACCAACGGGAAGTACACCTGGTTGAATTTCATAATCATAGTTATTTAGAGTAAGTGTACGCAAAGCATTTGGAAGTACACCTGGTAGAATCTCTTGTTTGAAACCTCTTCCAAAATCCAATACCTCCAATGAATTGGGAAGTGATCCTTGCACAAGTGGTTCATTGAAATTGTGGAATTCAATAGATTTGATTGACTTTGGTAATCCATACTTCAGTGTTCTACAACCTTTTAACATTGTTACTGATTGTGATTCTGATAATAATCTATATAGATACTCCTGATTTTGTTGTATAACAATATCAGTATCAAGTGAAACAACTGAAACATTGCTGGGAATACTCTTGAGGTTTCTAGCATCATCTTTGATAATTTTAAAATTAAAATAGTTAGCCTCATAAACAATAATTATCGATAGAATATATATAAAAATAGAAAGTATTTACCAAAATGATAATCGTAATTATGATAAGTTTTATAACCAATAACAAGCAAACAATCGGTCTTTGATTGAACAGATTTCATAAAGGTATTTTGATATGATGGTAAGTTGAAATGCTTATGATTTTGATTGATATCAGTGGTATTAAGCGAGAAAAGGTCGATACTATCAGTGTTGAATAATAAATATTTATCTCTATCTTTGTACCATCTCTTACAAACTAAACTGAAACAAATGATATCGATATTATCATCTAAATAACTTATTATTTTATTTAATATTAAATGTGAAAGATTTACTATTTTATCTGTTTGATTATTCATTTTAAGTATTGTTAAAATGATCGCAAATTTATTCTAGAAGTTTTTCAAAAATCAGCAATCTAGATATTATTTTAAAATTATTGGTTCAACAATTTTTTATTACTCTTCAAGTTAGAATTATCATATGAGAGAAATTTCCCATCTTCATCATCCAAAGATGTCAGACAACAATAATAATTCCACACATAAATTAGTAAATCTACCACATATTTTATTATCAAACATTGTTGATAATTTAACAGATAATATCGATAAGATTTGTTTTAGTTTAGTTTGTAAAAGATGGTTTGAAAATAGAAATAGATATCTATTGTTTGATACAAACACTTTATATTGTATCGATAAACATAATTCAAGAATCAAATTGAATTCATATAGATCTATAATATCTGAATCACTTAGCAAAAAGAAACAACGTAATATGTATGTCACTCAAGATAAAAATGATATTGGTCATTATGATTATATAATAGATTATGGTAATTATATCTTGACAACAATTATTGATTATTATTTTCATCTATATTCAGCTATTATCTTTTTATTTAATAGATTCAATTGTCACTATAGATGAAATCGATCAAAGCATAGTGACGGTAATACAAAGCATGGAAATGCTGTTAAGAATAGAGCAGGAAAAATTGTTTACAAAACTTTATCAATTGATCAGTAAATCGAATGTAACTTGTATAGAGGATTGTCAGACATTAAAGTATGGAATACCAATGAATATCACCTCATTGACATTCAGTTTCGATTTTAATGAACCGCTGTTCAAAGGTTGTTTTCCACCCAACTTGAAGAAACTAAAGCTTGATGGTACTTTCAATCAGGTGATTGAAGTAGGTGTGTTACCTGATACATTGGAGAAGTTCGAGACTTCTACTATCAATCAAATATTGGAGCCTGGAGTATTACCGACATCATTGAAGATTTTTAAAATGTTGACTCCGGCACCTGATAACTATCTCAAAGTTGGATCGCTACCACCAAATCTACAGAAATTCGTTCACTATGGTGGAGAGGATGATAATATTGACCTTAACGTTCTACCAAATTCGCTGATCAAACTCGATAGTGTACCTTTGTCATGGATGAAGTCAATCAAGCAACTCGAGAATCTTAGATCACTAATGTTGAAGGAAAGCTCAGGTTTATTAGATCTTGCAGATCTACCTAAATCATTGACAAGACTGTACATTTCCTACTCGGTAACATTAAAATCGGCACTACCTACTTCCATAAGACATCTTACTCTTTCCAATTCAAAGTATGACATTGATGAATTGTTCCCGGATCGATCACTTTATCATTTGGAAAGTCTACAGCTGTCGGCATTCAAACAAGAATCTCTTGATGGATTGGATATCAAGTGTTTACGTCTCGTCGATTATCGTAGAGCAGACATTTCCCAATTGATCAGAGCCGTTCCATTTGGTGTTGAAAGGCTTGAAATTGTTTTAGGAGATGGCTTTGATCTTATCAAACAGAATTCACTTCCATCATCATTGAAAACACTCGATATTGATAATTTAGACAGTTTAACCCGTCCAGGTATTATTCCAAACTCTGTGAACCATCTTATCATCAGAGATCACAGATCTGGCATTGTTATACCCGAAGGAGTTCTCCCAGACTCTGTTCAAAACATTAAAGTGACAAAAGCTTTGTTTCCAACCAGTAAAATGGTTGATAATATTACCTTTAAAAATTACAATGGTAAGAAGTGTTCGATTCGAAAACTTGATGATCAATATTACATCGTATTTGGTCATCAAAATTACGAATTCATTGCAAGTCTATTCCACAAATCAATGTTTTTAGACAAAGTTAAAGTTCTAAAAATTATTACTGGTAAATAATAATAAACATTTTCATAATAATAAAAAAAGATAACCAATTTCTTTAATTTGAATTTTTAAATAATTAGTATTTTCTTTTTGAACATATCCTTTACAGTCAGCAAAATTGAAAAGTGTGGGTTTAAAACAATTTGATCTTTTTTTTTTTTTTGTTTTTTATATTATATGGATCCCATAATGCACAAATTGAATGTCCCCACACCAATTTGGTCGTAAATTAAAAAAAGTAAAAATTTCAAAAATGGGGGTTAAATTGTTAGTTGGGAAGTTTAACTCACTTTTTTACCACGTTTTTACAAAAAGGTCGTCTGCGTGACTGAGAAAGATATAAAAAAAATTTTTAACACTTTTGCTATGCATTTCGTATCAATCATTTTTCGTTTCAATTCCTCTACCCAAAGATGTCAAACAACAATAATAATTCAACACATAAACTAGTAAATCTACCACATATTTTATTATCAACAATTGTTGATAATTTAACAGATAATATCGATAAGATTTGTTTTAGTTTAGTTTGTAAAAGATGGTTTGACAATAGAAATAGATATCTATTGTTTGATACAAACACTTTATATTGTATCGATAAACATAGTTCAAAAATCACTTTGAATTCATATAGATCGATAATATCTGAATCACTTAACAAAAAGAAACAGTGTACTATGTTATTAATTTCACAACATGGCTATATTAATCTTTTTAATCGCTTTGATCATTTTATAGATATTAGTAAATATTTTCTTACAAATACATTTTTAATTGATAGTTATGTTTCAAAGAGATTAACTTTTCTTTATATTTAATAGATTCGATTGAAAGTATAGATCAAAACATAGAAACGGTTTCATTTAAGAGATTGTCACTTCGAGATGTCCCAGATAAGCTATTTACTCGACTTTATGATTTGATTAGTAAATCAAATGTAAATAAAATGGAGAAGTGTCAGACTTTAAATTATAGAATACCAATGAATATCACCACACTGGTTCTAAACGATTTTTTTAATGAACCGTTGTTTAAAGGTTGTTTTCCACCCAACTTGAAGAAACTGAAATTTTATGACTGTTTCTATCAGGCGATTGAAGTAGGTGTGTTACCTGATACATTGGAGTGTTTAGAGATTTTTCATCTTATTAAGATATTGGAACCTGGAGTATTACCAACATCATTGAAAGTTTTTAGAATCTCTGGTTCAGCACCTGATAACTATCTCAAAGTTGGATCGTTACCACCGAATCTACAGGAATTCATTCATAATGGCAAAGATTTTAATATAGATTCAAATGTTCTACCAAATTCATTGATCACACTTGAGAGAGTACCAGTGTCATGGATGAAGTCAATCAAGCAACTCGAGAAACTTGAATCACTGTGGCTTACTGAAGGTATTGGTTTATTAGATCTAAGTGATCTACCTCAATCACTGACAAGACTGGACATTTCCTGCTCAGTAAATTTACAATCATCATTACCTACTTCAATCAGACATCTGAATATTGCCAAATCCGAGTATGACATCGATGAATTGTTCCCGGATCGATCACTTTATCATTTGGACTATCTACAGGTTTCACCATTCAAACAGGAATCTCTTGATGGCTTGGATATCAAGATATTGCGTATCAATGAACATCCTATCATCCCGGGAACACTCAGAGCTATTCCATTTGGCGTTGAAACGCTTGAGATTGCTGCATGGTATGAATTTAAGTTCAATAAGAATTTACTTCCATCGTCATTGAAAACACTCGATGTTTGCAATATGAGGAGTTTCACACATGCAGGTATTATTCCAAACTCTGTGAATCATCTTATCATTCAGAATGGATATGACAGTGATACTGAAGAAGGAATTATCCCAGACTCTATTCAAAACATTAAAATGGGAAGAGTTGCATTTCCAACAAAAATGGTTGATAACATTTCATTCGAAGATTTCAGTAATAATAAGTGTTCGATTCGAAAACTTGATGATCAATATTACATTGTGTTTGGTCATGTAAATAACGAATTCATTGCAAGTCTTTTCCACAAATCAATGTTTTCAGACAAAGCTATAAAAATCCTTAGTGGAAAATAATCATAAAAATAAAGATCACTAAATACTTTAACTCTAAAATTTTAATTTCTAAATAATTATTATCGAAACAGATAATTATTATTTGGTACCAAACCGAAAAAGAAAAAAAAAAAAAAACAAAGCATGCAGATTTAATAAAAAAACTTCAGATTCTTAAGAATCATTTGTATATTCTACAAATAAAGATGAATGATCAACAAATATATATAAATGCAATAAATAACAATCGAAAAGATGAAGACGCTCTTTATAAATTGGCATTGACAATTAGTTATGAACAATCAATCAAACTACTATCAGGTGAATCAAAAACAAGACAACAACTTCTATTAGAGGTGCTTGGTATCAATCCCAATCATTCGGATGCTCATTTCAGGTTGGGTTCGATACTGCATGGGAGTTTAAAGACTATCACTCTTCCATCAGGCCAAACAATGAATAGCAGACAACTTTACAACGAATCGATTATTCTCGATCCTAATAACCCAAACCCATACTACAACTTGGCAAACATGCTTTGTATAGATAATCAAGAATCGGTCACTCTTCCATCTGGCCAATCAATGACACAGAGACAACTCTATCTTAAAGTACTATCGATTGACCCGAATGATTGTGATTCATTAAATAACCTTTCTGCTTGTCTTGCTCCCAATGAAACAATCGCTCTACCTTCTGGCGAGACAGTTACATCAAGACAATTGCTATTAAAAGTTATAGATAAGCAACCAAATTATAAATATTCATTCTATCTTCTTTCAAAGTTACTTTCATCTGACGAAACAATCACACTCCTCAATGGTGACACTGTCAATAGTAAACAATTACTATTGAAAGCAATTGATTTGGATCCGAATTACTCGATTGCTTATCAGGCACTTTCATTTAAGCTTCTTAAAGGACAATCGATTGCTTTGCTCAGTGGCGAGTCGATGACAGGTAAACAGCTATGTTTGCGCGCAATACAAGTGGATCCTCGAAACTCCTCTGCCTACTTCAATCTTGCATTGAACATCGAGCTCTATGAAACGGTATTGCTTCCAGATGGCGAGCAAATGAGAAAGAAACAACTGTATCTCAGAGCGATCGAACTCGATCCAACCAATGAATCTGCACACAACAACTGCGGTAACTGTATGACTTTCGATGAAACCGTCTACCATCCAACGCTTGGAATCATAAATAAACAACAAATGCTTCTGGAATGTATTAGACTCGATCCAAATAAAGCGGAACCCTATTCTAATCTTGCAATTCTTATCTCTAAAGATGTAAAACTGCCAAATGGCGAAAAAATGACAATTAAACAACTCCTTTTAAAAAGCATCGAACTTCAACCAGACCGACCACAATTCTATAGAAATCTTGGATATTCTCTTGTGAACAAAGAGAAAATCATCTTACCAAATGGTAAAGAAATGAATAGGAGACAAATACTTCAAAAAGCAAACCAACTCAAACAAAGTTAAATACTACTAAGGTAAATATAAACTGTAACACTCCTTAAAGAAAATAAATAAATCCTCTTTGTATAAATCTACTCTTTTTATTAAATAATAAAAACAAATAGAATAGAATAGATGTTCTAGATATTAATTAAAATCAAAAGTTAGATAACCTTATTATATGGTATCTGTAATTACCGTTTTTGGATAATAATAAACATTATTTAAATTAATTTAAAACCACACACACTCACCAACCAACCACTTTATATAAATTAATTATATCCCATAAAAGCTAGATATGTTTCCTCTGGGTTGATATTTCTATTATCTAAAGATATCTTTGAAACTGGGGATATTTAGTGCATCGATGAACTCTGTTACTTTGAAATTTAAATAATTCTCTTCGTTTCTGATGGAAATAATGTTTAACTCCATCAAACACCACAGAGGTAGAAACACAGTATTCAGATTCTTCTCAAGATCACTTCCTGGTATGGCATACATCAAACAAGACAGTTGTAAACTATGTTCAGCAAATGACTTTGACCCACACACACATTATTTCTTTAATTGTCGAGTCATCCTAAACAAATTCAACCTCAAACACATCACACAACATCTACAAATTGCCAACTATGAAGACGAATGGTCACTGGAAAAATCTACTACTCACTTCTACCTCTGCGATGAATCATCAGACCTAACAGCGATCATCTACCACAACATTTGGAAACATGTCAGTTCAATTCTATTCAGTCAAGATGACAAAATACTCGATTTCTCCAACCAATCTATTATATCCGACTTCGATATCCACAGAAACATTCTAAAATTAATACACAACACTCCAACACCAGCAGATATTGAACATATAAAGTGTATAACTTAGATTCTAAAAACGAATCATTGACTCTGAATTCATAGGAGACAAAGGTTCTGTAGGATTTAATAGCCAGATTCCGCAATCACTAAATTCCTTTTTACATTGTAAACAAAAGAAAAAAATAACCTTTTTAAATTAAAAGATACGTTAAAAAAAAAAAAACAATAAATATATTAAAAGATAGATAGTTTGGTGAAACCAACCAAGATTCACGAATCTGATTATTTAATAACTCACTTCCCATTTGTCAATCTAAAGAGAGTTTAAAAAAAAAAACAACACAATCTAAAGGTGAATACCAAAAAACTATGATGGTATTTGTTTAAAAAAAAAAAACTATGTTACTTTTGAACCATGATAATTCTTTAACCAAAAGACAAACTACGGGAGTGTTGCTCTAACTCTTCTCTTATCAAGATATTCACTTTCTAGAACAACAAAGAAAGAGTAGTTTAATTAAGTAATAAACCAATTATATATATATGTATATTCTTCGAGTTTTTTTGTTTATTACTGTTTTTTTTTTTTATTTCTTTTAAATATTAATAAGCTTATTACAAATTGATATTATTTTTATTTACAATTAAGTATTTATAAATAAGAAGTTATATAATATCAACATATCTATTTGTTTGTTTTGTGTTTTGATTGGTTTGTTTGTTGATGGATGATTGGTAGGTTGGTTGAATTATTGTCAAAAGTTATACTATATTGCTATATTATTTAAAAGAATGGCTTCTCTGGGTCGAGTGAGGCAACAAAAGTCTTAACAGCATCCTTCTCACCTTGTTGGAGTTGAGCTTTGATTTCGTTAAGAGATCTTTGGTTCTCTTCAGCAGCTAAAAGATATTAATAAGTTGGTTAGTAAGCTATGTGTTGTTTTGTGTAAAATACAAGATATGATATGATATTTACTTGGTTCCTTGTAGGTGATACCAAACTTGGCAGCAGTTGGTGCAATATCTGGTCTGGCGAGGAACTCCTTAATTTGTTGATCTACACTCTTGGTGGCATATGATCTCTATAAATTTTACATTAAATAGATTATTATAGTTTATGATTAGTTAACTTTATTAACAACAACAACATTATATATATTAAAAATAATAGGTATAAATAACCACTATGAGCAGCAGCATCATCATCATTATCTATCATCCACAATAACCACTATTACTAAAAAAATAAATCTATTCTTTTTTTTTTTTTGATTTTTAACTATTATTATTTTTATTCTATTATACTTTATTTCATTGTTGTTATGTATTTTCTCTTTCACTTCTATTCTTTTTATTTTCTTTCCTATATTATACAATGTTATGTTATGTGTATAATAAACAAATTAAAGTTGAACTTCTATGGTTGTTATGTGAATCAAAATCTTAAACTGAATAATATTCCTGTTGTTCTATTTTACTCTACTCTATTCTTCTCTATTCTACTATAACTTTATTCGTATTTATATCTAAAATGTTGAATGTTGCTGAACCTTATATTCTACTAATATGACTGCTAGCTATTATGTTTACATTGCTATGATGATGACGATGATGATGAAAGCTATTATAGGTGTATTATTTCAAATAAAGAATAGACATACTGTAGAAGCAGATCTAACTAAGTAAACTGATCTTTGATTGAAGAGTCTTGACATTTTGTGATTTTTTTAATAATATATAAAGTAATGTAACTAATAGTTTTGATATTGAAATTATTATTATTTTCGTTGGTGTGGGAAGTCTCACACTACATCACAAATAATAAATTTTAAAAAATGAAAAATCAAAAACAAAAAAAATTAAAATAATCTGAACTACGATTCTGCAGAAAAAACAATCTTTCATTGTTATGACAATTTACTTATTATTATTACATATTATCATTATTTACAGAACGTAATATTTATTAAAAAAATAACAAAAAAATAATTTATTTTTATATCTATCTATCTATCTTTTTGGATAAATTAAAGTATCACTGAACTTCACTTCACTTTTGATTTGTTCCAAAAATATTAATATGTAAGTAGTTGATAGTTAATCATTGCTTAGATATCTGAATTAAATATCTTTTTTCAAAACAAAAAAAAGTAAGAAATACTACACTAATTATAATATTGCAATTTTTCTTCGAACACCTTAGTCAACGATTGTGTGACCAAGATCTTTTAAAACTACGTAGAATCTATTGGAAAAAGTGGGTGAAAAATTAGAATGAGAAAATTTCATTGAGTGGTTGAAGTTTTGAGGGGTTACCCCCCTTTATTGAACAAAAAAAAAAACAGTTAGTTGGTAACTTGAATTTGTTATAAAATAACAAAAAAAAAATAGTTAGTAAAAAAACAAATAATAATTATATATATATATTATTCATAACAACCATTCCAATAGAATATTTTTGGTCAGTGATAAAATTTAAAAAGTGTCACGAACAGCAGCAAACATTTCTTTTTGTAATTTTGCCACAACTTTATTCTTATTTTAAAATTAAAAAAAAAAGAAAAAGATTTTTAATAATAATAAATCAATAAAAGTTTTTTTAATTTTTAATTTTTGTTATTAAAGATAGAGAATTTTAATACTACTAGGTTTTTTCTATAATATTAATTAATATGTATGGATAGGAGAGAAAAGAGAATAACAATGCTACCTAAAATTAGAATTATATCAGTTATTGCATTTGTATTTATATTTGTGTTGGCTGTGAATTACTTTTACTTTTATGGCGCCGAGATCAAGCAAAAGGAAGAGATGCAACAGCAGTCAGAGTATGACAACCAAAAGATCAGACAGTTGGAGCGTGCCATCGATGTCATGCTGACAAAGATCAACGAGTACAATCTGACATTGAGCCTGCCGCCAGTGCAACCGACGGTGCCGCCAACGGTGCCGCCAACAGAGCCACCCACAGAGGAGACCATCAAGAAGATGGCGCGTGACATGGTGCAGGGAAGACTCGACCCGTTCGACGCGAACAACGTCATCACCAGCAAAGACATGCTCACCTACTTCATCTCGAATTTCAACAAGAATCGCAAGGTTCTCAACGCAGACAAGTTCAAGCTGGCGCCGAATCACATCCCTATCGTCATCCGTGTTTTCAACAAGCCGCAGTACTTCAAGGTGGTTCTCGACTTTTACCGCCAGGTCGAAGGCATCGAGGAGACCATGATTATCGTCTCGCACGACGGTATCTTCAAGGAGATGTTTGACTTGGTCGAGTCGATCGATTTCTGTCAGGTCCGCCAAATCATTCATCCATACTCGTCGCAGGTGTTGTCAAACCGATTCCCAGGAAAGGATCCGCAACTCGCGCGTGAGCGTAAAGACGAGGACAACGGTAAGCCACGTAACAACAACGTCACCCCACTGAAACACCACTTCTGGTGGCATCTCAACTATGTGTGGGACGTCATGTTGCCAGAGCACAAGGGCGACATCTGTCTCCTCGAGGAAGACCACCTTCCATCGTACGACTTTTACCGTACGCTTCTGGCGACACGTGATCTCCGTAACAAAGAGTGTCCCGACTGTTTCGCACTCCAAATGCAAGAGCCATCGTTCAACGGTGACACACACGACCTTGGTATCTGTCCGAACATCGGTAACATGGGTCTGACGTTCGACCGTCGTCGTTGGGAAATCTTGCGTGGCGCCGGTGACGAATACTGTAATTTCGACGACTACAACTGGGACTGGACTTTGCAACACATGAAATCCGTCAACAAAATCCCTGGTAAATACTTTTTCACATGCAAACCACGTATCATTCATATCGGTACCTGTGGTATTCACGGTCGTGATAATAACAATTGTGAAGTAACAAAAGAACAAATTGATGTAAGTAGAAAACAAAAAAAAAAACAATATATTATATAAATATAATAATAATCTGGATTCATCCAACTTTCTTTGATTAATCATTAACATAATAATTATTTCTCCATCTATTTCTATAATTTACTCTTTTTTTATTTTTATTTTTAGCAATACAAAGCAAGATCGGATGAATTGAAAAGGGATAATGCACACGATTGGAGTAAATATAAGATTAGAGACTTTATGAACACTAATAATGCCTTACATTTCAGAGGATACGAGTCATGGGGACAAATGGATAGAGATCATTGCAATAATCAGAAATTCGATATCTAGATTTCCACTTTTTAAATAATATTATTTTAGGAATATTAATAATAATATTATAGTTTAATAAATATATATATATATAATAATAATAATAATAGTTGATTATAGATTTTAGATTAGAGGTCATTTGAATATTTATTTAAATAATAAGGTTGAATATCTACGTATTCTTCATCTGGTTTGTTCTCCCAGAGTAGTTCACAGAGTTTCATTTGAATCATCTTGTGGATTCCGTGGTTCTTGTATTTCTCCAGGATCAGAGGTGATGCTTTTTCCACTTGTTCCAACCTACTCCTAAATATCTCCAGCTCGAAAGCATTGGAATTCGGACAACAACTTGTGATATCTATACCGATCTTCCTTACAAACATATCATCTGTATCCAATTCCACCATCTTTATATTCTTAATTCTCCTTATTCTTTCATCAATTATTTCTATTTGTTTTTCATCATTATCATCTCTTTTTTTTTTTTTTTGATTATTATTAATAATATATCTTTAATTCTTTTGATTTTTTGTTTATATACTTACATTGTATTTGAATACATTGGAATTGAATCTAAATCTATTGATCCATCTTTTAATCTTTTAATATTTGTTGTTATTTGTTTATTGATACTATCATCATCATCATCATTGTCAATATTCTTCAAATCATCTAATCCTTTCAATAGTAATTGTTGAGTAACTTCTAAACTGATTACTGATTTCTCTATTAAATACTTGTTTACTATTTCACGCAATTCCAAATCATCATTGTCAAGATAATCTCTAATAATATCCATTTTCAAAATTGATGCAGTTGTAGGTCTATCTTTTGCATTAGTCAAAATAGACTGTACCAATTGTTTTAATCTTTCCGAATATCGACTTGAATAGAGAATCAGATTATTTATTAGTATTATACAAACAGAAATGTTTGCTTTTAAGTTAAGAATAGTACTTACTATGATTCAATAGGTTTATATTTAATATTGATTATATTCTCTCTTATTTCTTTACTAGATACACCGCTATCGTTGAGCAAATTAGATTATGTTAACATAATTTAATATGATCATAACATACCTAAAACATTGTTCTTTTGTTATAAGTTCATAAAGTACTACACCTAATGACCAAATATCTGTTTTAAAGTTATGTTTTCTGCCACTATACATCTCAGGGCTAGTATAAGCAGGAGTACCAGTGAAGTTTAATATTTCACTCTTTGTTGACAGCGCTATAGATGTTCCGAAATCAGTCAAGTTTAACACATTGTTATTCATTAACAATATGTTTTTTAGTTTTATATCTCGATGTACAAATCCTGCATTGTGTAATGAATGTAAAGCTAAGCAAATTTGAATAAACCATCTCAATACTTGCTATATGTATATAGTATATATATATATATATATATAAATACGATTTAGTTATAATTTGATTATATTAAAATAAAAAGTACAAAAAATATTACCTTTTCAGTTAGATAATCTTCATATTTCTTTAAATATTCTTGAAGATCACCTTCTTTAGAGTATTCCAATAGCAAGAATAAATTACCACGATAGAAGAAATGCTTGTGTAGTGTAACTATAAAAGGATGACCTTTAAAGAATGATAGAATATCTATTTCATTTACATATTGAGACTGTCTTGATGTTGGATCTAAAACCATATGCTTTACACAATACTCTTGGTTTGTTTGTTTAGCTCGATAGAGATACACCAAAGCATTTGAACCTCTTCCAATATTCTCAACAAATTCATATTCTAATAATGGATTTGTTTCAACTGGGTATTCTAAATTAATATTATTATCCATTTTCTCTTAAACTATATAATATACTTCTAAAACAATGAGTTTTGAAAACTAAAAATAAAATGTTCGAAAAAAAAATGATGAATGTTACTGTGTCAAATTCCATCACATAAATGAACGAATATGATTTTATTATTATCGTTATTTTTACTATTTATTATTATTAATCTTTTTCAAAGAGTTGAACTAAACTCTTTTTATTCACTTTGAGCATTGCATTCTTTGGTATTTCTTTGAGGATCTTCAGACGACGAGGTGTTTTGTAGCTGGCCAACTTATTGGAACACCATTGTTTGAGTTCATCATAGGTCAGGTCTTTGGTGTTTGGTTTCATAACTACGAGTGCACCAATGATTTGTCCGTACTCTTCACTCGGTATTCCAAGTACTGCCACCTCGGCAATCGAGGGATGAGCCAGTAGTTCATATTCGATTTCCAGTGCACTTATCTTGTAGGCAGCGGATTTAATGATGTCGACAGAGGTTCTTCCTAGAATTCGATAGATCTCACCGTCTTTGGCGACGGTATCGCCAGTCATAAAGTATCCATCTTTTGTAAAGTTCTTGGCGGTCTCCTCTGGACGTCCCCAATACTCCTTGAACACCTGTGGTCCTCTAATTAGAAGCTGTCCATCTTCATCGATCTTCGCATCGACAAATGGCAGTGGATAACCGACGGTTCCAGGAAATCTCATTTGTTGGTCGTAGCTATTTGATAGTGCCATACCGATCTCTGTCATGCCATATCGCTCCAACAGCTTGTGTCCAGTGATCTCTTTCCATCGGTTGAATATAGGTGTTGGTAAGGAAGCTGATCCACTCACCATCAATCTCAGTGAGCTCCAAGCATCGGAAATCAATTGCTTCTGTTCTGAAGAATGTCCACCTCTATCGTAATTCTCCAGCAATTTCGAATAGATTGTTGGAACAGCCATAAATACAGAGATGGGTGGAGATGAACTGCTGATGCTGCTATTACTATTGATATTATTATTGTTATCTTTGTTTTTATATCCATTTACAATTCTATTGTTTACAGTTGAAGCATCAAAGTGATTCATCATTTCAACGGTTGCACCAGTGAAGAGTGGACATGTAAGAGCATTGATTACACCATGAACATGATGTAGTGGAAGTGTATGTAGAATTCTATCTTGAGGTGACCATCGCCAAGGACCGATCAACGCCTTGACCTGTGACTCAATATTTCCATGTGTACTGACACATCCTTTCGGCTTATTCGTTGTTCCAGAGGTATAGATAATCATAGCGTTTCTACCGGGATCTATATTGATAACCTCTGAATCTTTCAACTTTATCTTATTAACAACATCATCTATATTATCAAAGCCAGTACCGTTTGTTGTCGTCGCCGCCGCTTCATCTAAATCATCCAGAATAATCAGAGGAATATTCAATTCCTTTGAGAGTTCAACCATTTTCGGTGACATTGTTCTAGTCGAAATGATAACCGATGGTTTAGAGTCGGTCAGTGTATAACGGTGCTCTGCAGGTGGATGTGAGAGTGCCAATGGTACAGCAACGCCACCAGCTCTCCAAATAGCCCACTGTGACTTTACATAGTTGAAACCAGGCTCACTTATAAAAGCGACACGCTCACACTCCAAATCCTCCACTCGATTCGCCAATCGTTTCGATCGTAGTAACTCTCCAGCCACTTCATTCGAGGCAGCCAACAACTGTCTATAGGTAAAAGATCGATCATTCTTTCCAATCAAACTATTATTATCGACAATAGCAACATTTGACCAATGATTATAATAAGCATTCTGAAATAGCTTTAATGATGGTAATTTACCAATAAACCTATTCATTTGTTATCAATATATTTATATATATATAAATAAACAATGTGTGTTGTTATGAATGAATGATATGTAAAAAAAATAATTATATTTGGACACTGTTTAAATTTGATGTACTTCACCACCACATTTAATTTAAATTATATTAATTTTTTTAATATTTATTTAATTGATTCATTCATTCATTCATTCATTCATATCTTTGTGAATTTTGAAATGAACATTCCACTTGTTCCATTCTTTGGATAGAATCTATATGTATTATCAATGAATCCTTTACTATATGGTACTTTATAATCATTGTTGTTGTTGTTATTACTGTCTTGTTGTTGTTCTTGTTGTTGTTCTTCGAAACAAGGTAATAATTTAGCATTGGCATTGTTATCTAATAACCATTTAACAACATCTTCATTCTGTACTTTACAGAAACTACATGTACTATAAACTAAACTACCTCCTACTTTTAATAAATTGAATCCTGTTTGTATTAACCGTTTCTATTATAATAGAAAGAATGTATTAATATAATTGAATCATTTGGTGTGTGAATATGATCATATTGTAATGATCAATATTAATAATATACCTGTAAATCGGTCAATTCAGTTAATTCGTTTGGTAAGAAATTTCTACCTAGCTTACTGTATTGAAGAAGATGACGAACCGATGCATCCAAACTACATTCTGCGTCAACAATAACCTTGTCATATAACTGTGCATTCGAATATCGCATATAAAAAGTATTACAAAAGTACAATCCATCCAGGTCGTATGTTACTTTCGATGTCTTTTTCTTTGAAACTCTTCTCTTATTACAATTACCATTACCACTACTACTATTATTATTACTAACTTGTTTATATTCTTCATTATTTACATCTTCTTCTTCTTCCTCTTCTTCTTTTGATTCTTCTTTGTTATTATTACTATTATTATTTTTCTTTTGTTTCTTAATTGGTTTGAATGGTAATGGATCATCTTTAATAGGTGCTTTAATGTTGAATGTTGAACCGTCGCATTGAAATAGTCTGGCACTCGGTACCTTGTATTTCTTGAGTATCGTTTTACAAGAACCCAATCTTTGAAGACTGATATCGACACCTGTGACAGTACCTTCTCCATTCATCATGTCGGCAATCATCGACAGCTTTGTTCCAGGTGCACAACATATATCCAACACATTATCACCAGGCTGTGGATCTAATGCCAATATTGCTGCTCCACTAGAAGCATCCATACCATATATCAAACCATTCTTATAACTATTAAGATAACAACATATATCCAACATACATTAATATATATATAAAGATTTGAATAGAATGAATGAATAATTGATTGATTGATACATTACGATTTTGATGAAGCTATTCCAACTCTTTCCGATAGTTTATAGAAATGAGGTAACCACTTGAGTGGTATTAACTCGGTTTTCAACTCTGTTTCTAATTGTTTTATAAAACTATTTATATCTTGTTTATCATTACTATTTAATAATCTATTATTTAATCTAATGAATCTTGGTATTTCTTTAATATCATAAGAATCGAATGGTATATCATTCTCTACTAAGAAATCGATAAACTCTTTTGGTTTGTTCTTTAGGAAATCCGATAGCTCTACTGTTTGTTTTTCTAAATCCAATGAAACATTCTCATTCTCTTCACCTTCATTATTATCTATTTGATCCCTAACATCATTATAGTTATCATTGTTTTTATTTAATGAATCATCTTTATTACTGATATTTGTTGTTGTTGTTGTCATTCTTCTTTGAAAATCAGAAGAAGCTGTGTGACTTTTACTGTCAGAAGAAAAAAACACGATGTCGAAATAGATAGATTTGGTAATCTCAAAAAGGAATCAAACAAAACAATTTTTAAAAATTAAACAAAAAAAAAAAAAAATTATTAATAAAATTATTAATTAATATCACTTATACTAGTGTATATCATATCTTATTTAGAATTCGAATGAAACTTAAAAGGAATTTATATTTGTGTATGTTTGTGTGGGTGTGGTTAAAAAAATCTGTTGCTTTGGAGGAATTTTATAGCTATTCTACATGCATCTTCCAGAAGAGAATGAAAATTTTACCAAATGTGTGTTAATTATTGGGGCTATAAATTGATGATCAAAACCAAAAATAATTATTAATAATATAAATCAAAGACAATTATAAATAAAGATATATATATCTTTTAGAAAATAAATAAATAAATAAATAAATAAATAAGAAAATGCCTTCATATACACATCAAATTGAAGTAGACGGACAATATAAACCAGAGGCAAATCGATATCATTTGTATTTGAATAAAGGATGTCCTTTCGCTCACCGTACACACATCGCTTTGTATCTTAAGGGATTGGAGGATGCTATCGATGTCTCCTACACTGAACCAGGCATGGGTCCCAACGGATGGATCTTCTCGAATGCCGAGCAGCAAACCGCTGGTTCCACCGTTGATAAGGTCAACGGTTTCGTAGGTGCACGTGAAATCTACTTGAAGAACGATCCAGCCTACGAAGGTAAATACACAGTTCCCGTGCTTTGGGATACCAAAACCAGTACCATTGTAAATAATGAATCTGCAGAGGTAAGCTATAACTGGTTGTTCACAATTTAATTAAAAACCTATTATTAACTTAACTATAACTATGATTATTATTAGATTCTCAGAATATTCAACAACCAATTGAATAATCTCGCTAAACATCCGGAAGTTGACCTCTATCCAGAATCTTTAAAATCAAAGATCGATGAATTGTTTACCATTTACAATGCATCCATTATTATGGGCGTCTACGGTCCTGGTTACGCTACAACTCAAGCTGATTGTATGTTTATTTTAGTGCAATATTGAATAATTATAATATCTAACTAACTAATTAATTAATTAATCATTTATTAGATGAAACAAAAACAGATAAATTCTTTGCTGCTTTGGACGATCTTGAGAAACATCTTGGTACAACTAGATATGTTGCAGGATCACAACTCACTGAGCTGGATATAAAGTTGTTTGTCACATTGATTAGATTCGAACCGGCATATTACGGTGCATACAAATTGAATCTAAAGACCATTCACGACTATCCAGTGATATCAAACTACTTGAAGGATCTCTATCAGAAACCGCAATTCAACAAGACCGTCGATTTCGATCACATCAAAAAGATCTACTATCTCTCACCGAATGCACCATCTCCAAAGATCGTACCAAGAGGTCCAAACGTAGATTGGTTAAAAACTCAACATAATCGTGCTAATTTGTAAATTTATTTATTTTATTAATCAAAAAAGAAAAAAAGAATAATAAAATAAACAAAAAAAAAAAGAATAAAGTTTATTTTGTAATAATAAATAATTATTTAATGTTTAAAACAGCAAACAAAAGATATTAATAATAATGATTTATCACACCACAAATAAATAAAACATCATCATTAACATCATCATCACCATTATTTTAGTTATTTTTGGGTAAAAGTTGACCACACACATATCTTATTCTTTTATACAGGGATTAATAAAAAACACACCAATAACTTTGAGAAAAAAATTACACACACAAATTTTCATGGTTGTTCTGGTTGAAAGAAGAAGTTTGACTTTTTTTTTTGAATCAAAAAAACATGATGTTTGCAGCACGAAATAGCTTGACTCCTTCGTTTTTTTAGAAAAAAAAAATTTTAAAAAAAAAAATAAAAGAAAAATGAATCTGGATAACAAAAAAAACTTTTCTTTTTGACCAAGAAGAAATTTCTATCCAACGCATCCATTGCAATAGATATACATCTAAAAGTGACTCACCAAAATCACAATATTACAATCAACCAACCATTTGTATTGTTCAACAATAATAATTTGTTATTATACTTTTTTTTTGATCACACTTTTAAATAATAATAATCACGTGATATAATTATTATTATTAAATATACATATTTATTTTATTTATTTATTTATTTATATAAATTTCTTAAAAAATAATAAATAAAATTAGATTAGATTAGTTTTGTTTTGGAAAATGAAAAACTATTTCAATGTATTACAAGATGACGATGAAGATGAATTCGTAATGGTCGAAAGTGATTCTACCAACAAGTCGAATGAAAAACCTGTAAAGAAAGAAGATTCAGAAAATGGTGGTGATTTGGAGGAAGGTGAGATCGTAGAGGATCAAGTCGTACCAAATGTTACTAGTACACATAATAATAAAAAACAACATCAAGGACATGGACATGAATTGGAAGATGGTGAAATCGTAGAGAACCAGAAATCCAATCATAAGAAATCTGCTCTGCAACTCAATAAGCAACCACAATACTCGATCGATTTGCAATTCGATTTTTCGAGCACCGAATTCTCAGAGTTGGACCAAACCAAGTCGTTCAATGACACCTGGGTACTCTGGTACGATAATACCAAGAAAGCAAAGACTCAACAAACCCCTCAACAACCAGCTCAACCAGATGAAAACAGTTTATATCTTCAAAGTTTAAATAGAGTTGGAACTTTTAATAATATTCAAGTAAGTAATTATTATTATTTTAGTGATTTATTTTAATGATAAAATATCATTTATGATTTATTAATATTTTATTTATTTATTTTATTTATTTTATCTATCTTTTGTTTAGACATTAATGCAATTATGGTCATCATTGACATCACCAATGGATACAAATATCAGTATTTTCAAAGACGGTATTGAACCAGCATGGGAGAGTGCAAAGAATAAGGATGGTGGTAAATACGTAAGTATTCATATATTTGATAATAATAGTTATTCAATGTTTTAATTAATTAATTTGATTGTTTTTATTTATCTACATACATTTTATTTTAATAGTCTGTTAATTATATTCTTAAAGATAATATTGAATATGCTAAAGTATTAAATAGTTGGTTTACATTGGTAACTTCAATTGTATTTGCTTCACAATGGGAGAATTATGATCAAACCGTAAGTTGATTTAATTAGATTACACTAATATCAATGTTAATATTAACATGTTGTTGTTGTTGTTGTTAAAATACAGAATGGTATCGTTATATCATTTAGAAGTTGGGGTCTAAGTATCAGTCTTTGGAATAGTGACTCTGAGAATCAAGAGAAAGTCAACAGTCTAAGAGATGCCTTACAGAATCTATTAAAGGTTAAATACACAAAATATTCATCACATAATGTATGTATTTAAAATTCGTTAAATATTCACATAGTTTAACTTTGCAATATTGATATTTATATTAATTTGGTTTTCCATTTTATTTTTTTTATAGAACACCATATTATTGAAAACATTTAAAAAGAATGATGAAAAGAAGAAAAAGATGAACTTTAAATTCCAAAAGAATAATAATGGTGGTAACTCTATTGGTTCTGGAAATAACAATAATAATAATGGTGGTTTCGATAACTACAACAATCAATACTCTGGAAATAATAGTATTACCAACAACAGTCAGTCATGGAGTGATCAGACCGACGGTAATGACGGTATCAATGTTTTCGCTTCGGCTTTCGGAAAGTCTGGATACAACATGCAAAACAATGGTGGTAATGCCAATAATAGCAACAACGGTAGCTGGACATCACAACTCAGAAAGATTAAACCATTGACTTTGGGAAGTTATCAACCAAATCAACAAGGTCAACAACAACAACAAGCTCAACAACAACAACAACAACAACCACAAACTGTTATTGTTAACAATTCTTCATCTGAACCAGCTGTTCCAGTACCTGAAATTCCAGTCGGTATGAATGCATGGGCAACCGGTATCCTCCTTGGAAAAGAACCAACTCCATTGCAAACTCCATACGTTGCAAAGAAGTCCGCTGATTCAATTCCAGTAGTTGAAGAGCAACAAGAACAACAAGAACAACAACAACAGCCACCAGCTCAACAAGAACAACAACAAGTTGAAGAAAAGAAGGTTGCCGTACCAACTATTCCACCATCGGTAAATGCATGGTCAACCGGATTGTTATTACCAAAATCACCTTCTGTCAACAATATTGTTGAGACTACTGCTACTTCCAGTGAGGACACTACACCAGAATCTGTTACTCCAACTACCACCGCCACTAAAGAGAAGAAAGAAAAGAAGGAAAAGAAAGAGAAATCTTCAGAGCAACAACAACAACAACAATCAAAGAAACCAGATACAGCTGCTGTTAATGCTTGGTCAACTGGATTGTTGCTGCCAAAGGAAGTCGAACAACCAAAGGTAGAGAAGAAAGAGAAAGAACAACCACAACAACCACAACAACAACAACAAAAGGTAGAGAAACAAGAAAAGAAGAGACAATTGAAGGTATCAGATGAGAAAGTTAATGAGACAAACTTCTGGGAATCAAATCCAACTACTACCACTGCTGCTGCTAACGTTGCCTCTAAAGACGAGTCACCAAAGACTGTTGCTGCTGCTTCTACCTCTGCACCACAACCCGAGCAATCAAGAGAGAGAAAGAGACAAGCAAGACACGCTACCACCTCACCAGTTGTTAATGCACCACCCGTATCTCTATGGGAGCAAAAAGACAATGTCTTGAAGTTGATGGAAACCATTGCCATTGAACAACCGACTGTTGTTGTTGCTGCTGCCGTCACCAGTGTAGAGACCACCGAGACCAAAGAAGAATCAACAAGATTGACACTCCAGATTAAACCACAAGACAAGAAGGCAAAGGTACAAGAGATTCAACCGGTTGCAGCAACAGCTGAATGGACATCAGTAGAAGAGAAGAAACCAAAGAAAGAAAGAAAAGAAGATGATGATAACAATAGCAGTAATAATAATAATAATAAGAAGAACAGTTATAATAATAATAATAAGAAAGAAGAAAAGACATCGTTAATTCATGCTTTATTGGTTGAAGAACCAATTGAATATAAGACACCAGTTAAACCTAAATCATCATCATCATCTACAACATCATCAGTCACCACAACCAATGTATCTAACAACAACAATAACAATAAGAAAGATAAATCAAATAGTAGTAGTAATAAGACTAAAGTTAGCAAACCAACCACACCTGTTACAACCACAAAGCAAATCACAAAGAAATCAACAAACAATAACAATTCATTTGATATCAAATTGGTCGGTGCTGGTGCTGTCATTTTAGTATTAATACTTGCAATCCTCTTTAAATTCATTCTCAATTGAGAGATAACAACAACAACAACAACATCACAAAATATATTAAGAAACTAAACAAAAACAAAATAACAAATCAAACAATATCAAATCAATATCATATATTTACTAAACTATTAATTAATTAGTTATAACTTTATTATTAATTTTAATAAAACATTTAACATTTATTTTTTTTAATTAAAAAAAAAACAAAAGACAAAGAGTGATTTGTTTTGTTTAGTTTGCCAAGAAATGTTCAATTGCAATTGATAACTTCTCTACTGGTTCAATGTTAAAGTTAAATTGATAGGCTTGCCAACCAAATGTTTTAGCTGCATTGATATTGTCTATTTTATCATCGATGAACAACACCTTTGATTTATCTGAAAGTTGTAGAGCTTTGTTGTTGTGTGTAGATTCATACTTGCACATTATATCCCAACAACTTTGGAATATCTCTTGTTGTGGTTTATAATAACCGACTTGATATGAAACAACCAGTTTCTCTTTATCTGGGAATGCTGCTTTAAACAAAGCTTCACTATCATAAATATAATTGAACCAATCTTTACCATGATTTGATAATATATATGTACTACGAATAATAATAATAATAATAATAATAATAATAATTATTAATATATTAAAATAATAATAATAATAATAGTTATTTATAATTATTTACCTTATTGATCTATGATGTAGATCGAATGCAACTTGTAAAGGTGGTTTGAATGCATAGAGCTCTTGTTTGGTATGTAGCATGAATTGCTCGATCAATTGTTGATCGGATGGAATGTCTAGTTGCTTTACAAAGTCTTCAAAGTATTGACGGTCTGTATAGGTTGCATCCACTCTGATTCTTGACCATAGTTGTTTGTTTAGGAGTAACTCTGCCTGAGCAGACTTCTCAGGATAATGAGTAGCGACATGATTCTTCACGAATGAATATTTCATATCACTACCTACAACACCTCCACAATCAAAAACAACAAACTTATTACTATTCATAGCTTTAAAGTTTTAATAATATATATATTTATAAGTAACTATATGTTATAAAATTTTAAAATAAAGTATTAATCATGAATGTTGCTCAAAATGCGGGGTTGATTGTTTTGAACTTTACCAATTTGTTATAATTATATTTATTTAATTTTAATGATAACTATGATATTTATGATGATTATGATGTCTCTTCTTTATGATATATATAATTAATACTAATAGCAGTAAACCAGCTATAGAACCAACGATGATACCTGCAATTGCACCTGGACTAAGTCTACCTTTGGTGGGACAAGAGATTGCAGTGATATCATAGTTACCAGTGAATTTACATCCGGCTCTACCACCGTTCGAACATGAAACTAAACTATCGGTATCGGAGGTGATGTCGTTGATTGCAATATCAGAGTTATCACAGAAGATAGGATTGGTGGTGCCGTTGATTAGATTTTTTGAAAAGGTTACTCCGTCGATCGAGTTGGATGCTACGTTGTCGATGTATAGCGCACTACCAGTGCCGTCCGGACCAACAGAGTTACCGGTGACGGTGGTATTGGTAAGGCTAAGAGTTTGTGCATCGTAGATGTAAATGGCACCACCCGATTGCTGTGCGTAGTTCGCTGCGATAATACAGTCTGTAATGAACAGTGAACCGTGGTTACATACGATGCCACCACCAAATGCCGATGCAAAGTTATTGATAATGAGAGTATCGGTCATTATGAGGGTGTCGATCGAGTTGAAGGAGATCGGTGCACTTCCAACGTTGTGCGAAATCAACGAGTTGTAGATTTGAACAAAGTTCTCAAACAGTAACATTATACCGCCTACCATTGGATCTACTACTCTCTGGACAGAGTTGTTGGTGAGAGTCATGTTATTGATAATCACATGATCATTGTTGCTCAATTTCAAGATGGAGCTACCTCCGACGACGTTGGAATCGATGAGGACATTGTTCATTTTAAGCGTTCCATTCACTACGTAGATGATACCGTTGAAACCTTGATTCTCAACGATGCTGCTATTGGTGATTGTCAGATGACAGACATTGGTGGTAAAGAAAACCGTTCCGTAAGTACCAGAGTTGTTGGTGAACGTTGAGTTGGAAAAGGTGATTGAGGAAGAATTCAGAGTTGACTGGAGAGATACGACACCACCGTAGTAAGCATTGCAATTGGAAACAACGACATTCTCCAAAAGTAAAATAGTATTGGAATAGTTAGTAGTTATATAGATGACACCACCGTAGACACCGTGGAATCCAGAGCCATTGACAATGTTTAGGTATTGGAGGGTTAGGACGACGTCACCTTGTTTCTGCTGGCTATCCATTATGCTGAAGAGCAAACCATTCTGCGCAAGATCGATAGTGGCATAGGTATTTGGATCACCTTGTACAGTGAGTGTTATGTTTACCAAGTTGATGTTTGTGTTGTTTGGACCGGTGTATGTGTAATTTCCCAAATCCAGCAGGATATTAGTTGCGTTGGTGGCACTCAGAGCAACAGCGATATTAGGACAAGCATTTTCTGTTGTGTTACCACATGGCATAGTGTATTGCGCGATATTTGGATTCAAAATAAACAGTGTTTCCGGCTCTACTTGTGCCTGTACAAGTGTTGAAACACCAAATAATAAAAATAATGAAAATATTAAATTAATCATTTTGCAAAAATATATATTATAATTATCTTATTAACTTCTTCTTAGTCATTAATCTTTGTTTAAAATAGTACTCAACTCTTTAATTAATCTTATCTCGTTCCACTGATCAGATATTTTCTGAAATATCTAGGAGAAATTTAATTTTTTAAAATCAACAGATATTATCAAAACTAATAATGATGATATTTACTTGAGTAATACAGAAATGAAAATTTGATGTGATATTTGTCTTTAATTAGCGAGAAAAAAGCTCCACATCTTAAATAGGTATAAGAATGATTTCAGATAGATTGTCAAAAGAAAAATAAAAATTATAATGATGAGAATGAATATAAAATAGTTAGTTAAATCGATGACTACATGTTTTTTAACATTTGTATGAATCAAATTAACAGTCTACCGTTTTTTTTTTTTTAAGGATTAAGATTAGATATTAAGTTTTTAATAGGGAAGATAAGATAAAACTCAACAGTCATCATGATGTAATGTACAGATTATTTATTAATTGATCAAAAAGAAAAGTTATTCGGTTGATGATGACGAAGAATCAGTTTGAAGATTTTTTAGTTTCATGGTATCGTTGATATTGCGGGCAACTATATAGCCTTTCTTCACCGGTGATTTATTGTGATGGCTATTAGGATTGGTTGGTGGTGCTGATGTTATTTTTCTTATTAGCTGTTCTTTCTGATTGAAATAATCTATCTTTTCTTTTCGGGCTTCCTCCTTTTGTTGTAAATCGTGAATTTGCATCTCCAGTTGCTTTATATATTCATATTCATTCATGGTAATTGGTGTTGTACTGTCGTTTGATGGTATTGAGCAGGTATTATTTTCTGATTTAAAACTTGCGCTCTTTAAGCTAGTATCGACTTTGTTGTTGTTGTTGCCACTGTTACATAGATAGCATTTCGAGATTGTCTTAAGTTGTTCCTCCAACTGAGTAATTTTCTGTATATATTCATATTCTCTGATAAGTAGATTGATATTTTCCTCTTTCAATGTCTTGATCTTCTTTCTCTCTAGTTCTAGGTCATTGTTGACGTCATCTAAATCTTTCTTTAACTGTTGAAGTACATTTGTCATTTTATACACTCATATAATAACCAATTAAACAACAGTCTATAATTATAAATTATTGATTTAGTTTTATATCTATCTATATATTTATATAGTAGTGAACAAAGTTTAGTGATTTTTGTTTTGATTAACTATAAAATTTTATATATTTTTTATATATTTAAAAGGTTCTTAAGTTTTTTTTTTCTTTTTCTTTTTTGTTTTTTTCTGCTAAGCAGAAGCAGAAGGATGTTAATAAAAAAAAAAAAAAAAGATTCAAATGACAGAACTACATTTTTTTCAGATAATTACTAATTTTTAAATATTAATAAATAACAATTAGATACATGTATATCACACATAGGTAGACGAAGTTTAATAGTTCATTTTTTTATTGTTTCACAAATAATACTTTACTTTATCACAGTTACTTTAGACTATTTCTACCTTTTTGTACTTTTTTTGTTTTAGTGATTACAAAGTACAAAATCATTCAATCTAATATGTTTTGCAATGTATTCACTTAAAGTTTCGTCTATTGATCAGTATGGTGACTTTATATACACACGTGTTTCGATACATCTATATATCTTCTCTTGCTAGTTTAATCTTAAATATATACAACACCCTCATCATTATAATTATAATGATCGATAGCCTATATATTAGAAACGGTTTGTTGTGTTGCTTTCTATTCCGTCGAATACCACACCATCATATCCATTGTCAATCAAGTATGTTTGTCTCTATCATCTTCACCATAATAATACAAATTTTCATTGTTGTCGGTCCTCGTAATCCTCATATATCGCCATTATCATCAGACATAAGAATATCAATAATTGTTTCAATAAAATATCATATAATTTAATGAATTAGTGATTCACAGACATTAGCAATTTCAAGTAATTTTGTATTTATTGTAGATTGTTTAAAATTTGATCAAGTTTCGAGTGATGAAATATTCTGGCAATTAATCTTCTGGAGCATTCACCATACATCACATAATAATTATCATCCAACTTTCTAATAGTTCTTATATTAAACATCTCAAATTTAACAATGAGATTGGTGATCGATTTGATAGTGTTTGAAATGCTTATATTAATTTCAGATTGTTTGTCAAAGACAAGAGTATTGAGTGATGATGGTATCAAATGTAATATATCATTGAGATCATTGTTACCAATATTCAGATATTCGATGGTGTTTGGTAGTTTAACAATTTTAGGTGGTCCATCTTTGAATGTTGGAAGATGTAGCTCTCTTAATGAACACAATGAGTGATCAATAGTATCTTCTCTACCAAATTCGATTGTACTATCCTTTAAATCTGTCAAAATAAAAGATAATTTGATTTTTCCAAAACCAGTTGGAAGAGTTATCTTTGGTTCTCTTGATTCTCCACGAATTATCAATTCATCGATCTTGATGTTTGATGGAATCAATTTAATAATATTATTTTCACATTCCATAAATTCCAAGTGATATTTCTTAGTTTCTGGATATATTTCATTGATATTATATTGACAATCAAGATATATTGATTTCAATGATGTTGGCATTGTTCCTCTCAATGCCGTTCCTCTCAATGTAAAATAGAATGTTTTTAGAGTTGGTGGTAGGTAGTTGACATTGAATATAGTGTTATCGTGGCCAACTTCATGGAAAATATAAATTGAAAGTGATTGAAGATTGGAAAGTGATGATATTGCTTGTAACCATGAAATTGGTAAAAATGATTTGCCTGAATATTGTAAATCTTCGAGGTTTGTTTCTACAGGTTCTACTGGTGGATTAAAACTATCAATTGATAAATATTCAAGAGACGATGGTAATACACCTGGCTGAATATCATATTGAAATCCAAAGCTGCTTCCAAATGAAAATTCGCGCAGACCATCCGGGAGTACGCCCGGTTTAATTTCGAAACCATAGAAACTGAGTGATAGTCTTTTTAAACCAACTGGAAGTATACCTGGTAGAATTTCATGTTGGTATTTGAAAAGAGATAGTACACGTAAACCAACTGGCAGTACACCTGCTTGAATTAGATGTTGATAGTTGTTCAAATAAAGTTTGTGCAAACCAACTGGAAGTACGCCTGGTAGAATCTCTTGTTTGAAAAATCTGTCTTCAAAATTTATGATCTCTAATGTATTGGGAAGTGATCCTTTAAAAAGTGGTTCATTGAAATTGTTAAATATAATAGATTTGATTGACTTTGGTAATCCATACTTCAATGTGTTGCATCCATTCAACACTGTTACTGATTGTGATTCTAATATTAATCTATAGAGATACTCTTGATCAGCTTCTAAATCATATTTAGTCGTAACATAGACTGTTGTAACATTACTAGGAATACTTTTGAGACATCTAAGATCATCTTTGATCATTTTAAAATTAAAATAGTCAGGTTCATAGTAATATGATAAGTATCAATAGAATATATTTAAAATTTAACGATATTTACCATATTGATAATCGTAAATATGATATTTGTTGTAACCAATAACGAGTGTAAAATCAATCTTTGATTGAATTGATTTCATAAAGATATTGTTATATGATGGTAATTTGAAATGATTATGATTTTGATTGATATCATTGGTGTTAACTGAAAATATGTTGATATTATCAGTGTTGAATATTAAATATTTATCTCTATCGTTGTACCATCTCTTACAAACTAAACTGAAACAAATGATATCAATGTTATCCTTCAAAAAACTAACTATTTTATTTAATATTAAATGTGAAAGATTTACTATTTTATCTGTTTGATTATTCATTTTAGGTCAGTGTTTTTTTATCAACCTACTTGAAGAGGAGGTGTTAATTTTAAAAAAAAAAATGTAAAATTAAAATTAATTCTTTTCACTTTTTATGATCACATCTTGAAAAGATTATTTATTATTACATTAAATATATAAATAGAAATATGTAGTTATTAAAGATTATAAAATATAGATAAAATATGTGTTATGATTTGTGTAGAGAATGGGAAGATATCTATCTTTTTAATACTGATCATATGCAAAATAATGCTATTTGAAACTTTACAGGAGCTAAGGGTTTATTTATTTTAAAATTTACAATTTATATTAATTGTTACTAAAATTAAAGTTCTTTTTTAGAATATACATGTTCTTTATATATTAGTAATTGCCAAAGCATGTGTAGCAATACCACACATATTAACACCTCTTTGAATTCTGAAAAATCCTATAAACATATAAAAATTAGTATTTTGAAACAAACTTTAATTATATTAAATGAATAGTCTTCGAATTACCTTTTTCACCCCATCCTGTTCCCCATGAATTCTTTCCCTATAAATATTATAAATTAGATAAATATTATAAGTTTCTTTATAAATTTTGCTAATAATATTTAAAACAAATTAATTTACCTTAAAGTATTTAACACCATTTGTTGTACCATATCCAACTAAAACAACGGCATGGTTTGTTTTAGTTTTTGAACACTCTGTTGTTTTAATGATTCCTTTTTTATAATTCATAAATTGAGGTGCGTTACAATCAAAACTAATGCTTACGGGTGCAAATCTCAGACTTTGGGTAATTTGGAACTCTTTTCCATTGGGTATTAATTTAAAATCTTTGATTTTTGCAGCAACCTTGTTTGAATTGAACTGACATTCTCCTTGCTCGTCTGTGTATGGATAGGTAGCTTCAGAATTGATACCTCGGTTTTTGATATACTTGAAACAATTTAAAGGGAATCCTCCTTTACATGTTGCACCCTCTAAATATTTTAAAAAATAAATATATTAAAATCTATTTTAAAATTTCAAATATATATATCTTACTAGTACAATCAAGTAGATTTTGTTCAGAGAGATCTGCTTTTCTATCGAATTTGATTGATAATTTGGCTTCCAGAACTCCAACAACAGCAAAAGCAAAACAACTTGCACATGTACCTTGATCTCTTACGACAGTGTGTGATGACCAATCAACTGATGCTGGCATTTGTGCTTCTATTGCTTCCACTTCTTCAATATTCTCTACCTCTTCAACTTCATTGGTTGATAAGATCTTTCTTCCACCAATTGATAGTATTCCACCAGATGTATGATCGGCACCGTGTTTATCATCTTTATTGCATCCACAGTCATTTTCATCACTATCGTCATGAGGTGCATCGTTAGGATCAACTGAAGAAAGTATAAGATCTTTAAATTCATCTAAAGTCAAATCCGAGAATTTATTCACACCCATTTCTAATCTTGCTTCTTCCGCTTCAGCTTTCTTGACAGGATCTTCATGATGATCACATCCACAATCTCTTTTACTTTCAGCATTGAAACGGTTGATATAAATCAGATTATCTTTGAAATTCTTGAATCTTTTGATGAATTCTTCATTTGTGTAGGATTTTCCATTTTCGACCATCCATTGTCTGAATTGATCTTGATAATCCTTCTCTGTCAGTGGAGTTGATTCAATATCCAATTCATTGGAATTAGCTACAATATATAGAGAGAATAAAACTAATATTAATAAACTAAATATAGTTTTCATTATTTATTTTATAAATATAAAAATTATATAATGAATGAAATATTATTTAGGTTTATAAATAAATAATGATCGAAATATTTATATTAAATTGTATAGTACAATCATTAAGTTAAAACCTCTTAATTGTACAGATTTAATAAAATTATTAAATGAAATCTTGAGATCGATAGATAATTTGATTAAACCCCAATCTGAAGGTGAAGGTATTTTTTTTTTTTTTTTGAAAAGTCAGATTACTGCAATCGTTCTATATAATATATATATATATAGTATACATACTTAATCTAGATATATTCTTAAACTAGATATTACTCGCTTTAGTCACTAATTCAACATTATAATTTTTTTAATTTGTGTTAATACCTTTTATTAAATGTGGTGAAAATGGCAATTAATTAACACTCTTTAACACAAAATTTTTTTATCTTCGCGATGTTTTAATTATTGGCGTTAAATACAACCAGTTTTCACAAATGATTTACAACAAGAGAATAAAATAACTATGATTACCAATATATATATATATATAAATTATACAATTATTGAGAAATAATGCATTTCTTTCTGTCTTCTTGTTGATCTAAGTTGAAGCGATAATACCCTCTACAAATATATTTTGTGATCGCACGAATAACGTACTTGAATGTAGTATATAATTGGATGATCATATTGAGGTGAGATTCTTTCTAATAATAATTATGATCATTCTCAAAATATATTGGAAAGATGATTATTTGTCCAAACTTTATAATTCTTTGATTTCTTTTATTTCTATGTTTGTTGTATTAAACAACATATTGATTGAATTATATCTATTTCTTAACTACTAATTCTTTAACAGTTATTAATCACAAGTGCTAAGTAATGAATATCATCATGTCACCCCACCACAAAAATTAAATTAAAATTTTTAGAAAAAAAACAAAAAAACTAGGAGTTAGAGTAACGTTGTTTTTTAATAAGAACATGTTTGTTTAGTAAAATAAGATATATAAAGTAACCTTTTACCAGTTCAGATTCGTTGGGCTTGTAGGTTTGAAAAATACAAAAAAAACAGAGAACTTACATCGCACAATAAATAATTATCGTCCAACTTTCAAATTGTTTGTCTATCAAATAGTCCAAATTTATGTATGAGATTGGTGATCGATTAGTTAGTGTTTGGAATGCTGATATTGATTTTAGATTGGAGTTGTTTGTTAACATTTTTTTTTTATTATTATTTTATATTTTTAATTGTTTGATTAGCTCCCTTCTGGCGAGAAAATCAAATGTCTTTTCATCGTTCAATTCAATATAAGATGTATTTAGGTGATCTGTTGTGTTTTGATCAAGGAATTTGATAATTGGAACGTTATCATTGCATATTGCTCGATACATTGCTTTGGAACTACAACCTTCACTACGATTATAATGAAGAAATGTGATGATTGGTAAACTAGAAGCGAGATTCATTGCATTTTTCGTACATTTACCACCATTATCATGAATATACTTTAATATTGACAAGTTGTTTCTGTTAGGAGAAGCAGCGCAATCCATTGCGAATAGTGGAATTGGGTGTGTAGTATTTTCGCGAACCCATTGAAGTGTTGCAAGATTACCGGATTCAATAGCATTCCTGTAAGCAAAAACAGTACATTTCAATGTTGTATTGTCCTTCAGCCATTGGAGTGCTGTCGTATCTTTGTAGTTGGCAAAATAGTCAATCACTGATTCCGAACATCTTAGATTGAATCTACTGAATTCCATGAGATATTTGAATGTTTCGAAATGACCGTTGCTCGCTGTCAACGACATTGTATTCGACTTACAACCTTCGGTACGATTCTCATTGAGGAACTTCACCACTTGCAAATGTCCGTTGACAGCTGCATTATGTAGACAATCGGATGAGCATCCCTCACTCCTGTTGAAATGAAGATACTTAATGAATTCTAGGTCACCTCTACACGCTGCACAATCCATTGTACTTGAGGAAATGACTTGACTGGCACTGGTATTCTCTATCAAGTATTGGAATACAGGTTGTTTACATTGTCCTAAAAGTGATGAGGTTAAAGAGATTTCCAATGTTTCAGGTATATTCGCCATGAGATACTTCAGTATTTCCAAATGTCCATATATTGCAGAATAGTAGATTGCGTGATTTGTAAAACCTTCTGTTCTGTTCTCAATTAAGAACCTAACTATTTCCAAATAGCCATTCTCAGCGGCATTGTCTACTGCTTTGGTGGTACATCCTTCACTTCTATTGTAGTGGAGAAACATCACCAATTCCAAACTACCAAATGAAGGAGCAGAATCTAATGCTACCACTGAACAACCTTCTGTGCGATGAGAATGGAGAAACTGGACAATATCGAATCTACCCATTTTACTGGCGTTATCAAGAGCATCAGTGGTACAACCTTCGCTCCTATTGAAATGAAGGAACTCTACAACTTCCAAGCTGGAACATGCAGCAACATCCATAACTCTTGTACCCAATGACTCGAACCAGCCACTGACATTCTCATGAAGAAATTTAATCAGTGGAAGGTTACTCTGATAATGATAATAAAGAAGTCTCTTCTTATAATCTATTTCACCTTTAAATGAATCATGAAGGAATTCTACCAACTCGATTGTCGAACCACATGTGATAGCTGTTTCGAATGATTCGTTGTATAATTGTTTAAATTTGGAGATCGTACTAAAATTATTTGATTTCACTCTATTAGGTTTTATTAAAGTATTGAATATCTCTTTATACCTCTGAATGTAATTGAACTTGATCAGGAGATCTGGAAAACAACCGAGATCATACCAATCACATCTTAAAGAATTTACTGTTTGTTGATCGTGAATATCTTTAACACTTTTAAATATAATTCTTCTCAACTCTAAAGAATTTAATATTCTTTTAAATAATAAATCCATTTATTTTTCAGTTTATTATTTAAAAGTGTTTTTGAAGAACATATAAACTAAAATCATTTTGGTGTTTTGTGAAAAAAAAAATCTGATCTCTTTTTTTGTTGTGAAAAAGGTAGAAAGAAAAAAGAATAGGAATCATAGAATTTTTAAAGTTTTTAAATATTATTTTTTATAGTTAATTTCTTCTTTTCTTACTTTTTGTTAAAATTAAAAATAATGAACAATCAAACAGATAAAATAGTAAATCTTTCACATTTAATATTAAATAAAATAGTTAGTTATTTAGAGTATGATATTGATATCATTTGTTTCAGTTTAGTTTGTAAGAGATGGTACAACGATAGAGATAAATATTTAGTATTCAACACTAATAATATCAACCTATTTACACTTAATACCACTGATATTAATCAAAATCATAAACATTTCAACTTACCATCATATAATAATATCTTGTTGAAATCGATTCAATCAAAGACTAAATGTACACTCATTATTGGTAAAATAAAATATTATACATTCGATTATCATTATGGTAAATATCTTTAAATTTTAAAAGATTAACTATTGATTAATTTTAAACTGACTATATTTTTTTTTATCTATAGATGATGTTAGAAATCTCAAGAGTATTCCCAACAATGTTTCAGTTATCGATATTACAACTAACGAATATACAGAGGATGATATGGAGTATCTCTACAGGTTAATATCGGAATCACAATCAGTAACAAAGTTGAAAGGATGCAGCACATTGAAATATGGATTACCAAAGTCAATCAAATCTATCAAATTTAAATATTATTTCGATGAACCACTGGATAAAGGATTACTTCCCAATACATTAGAGGTGTTAGATTTTGAAGATCCTCTGGAGCAAGAGATTCCACCAGGTGTACTTCCAGATGCTTTGCGCAAACTTTCTCTAAACAACTATCAATATGAATTTCTACCGTGTGTACTTCCAAGTGGTCTAAGCAAAATCGATCTTAACAACTATCAACATACAATTCTACCGGGTGTACTTCCAAGTGGTTTACGCTACCTAAATCTACAAAACTATGAATTAGAAATTCTACCAGGTGTACTTCCTGATGGTTTGCAGAAATTTACTCTTGATGGTTATCGACATGAATTTCAACCAGGTGTACTTCCATCTTCTCTCAAAAGTTTATCGCTTACGAATTACACCTCTTCACTCAAAGCTGATTTACGATATTCTATCGATTCGACAGCAAGTGAAGATAGTACGGAAACCGAATCCTACTTACCAATTTCATGGTTACAAGCAATATCATCACTTTCCAATCTTCAGTCACTCTACATTTTTATTCCCATGAGCAGTCAACATGATACCACAATATTCAATCTCAACTATCTCCCACCAACTTTAGAAACACTAGATATTACACTACAAGGAAAAGATAGCGTATTATTGAAAGGAGCAATGCCAACATCATTGAAAAGTATCCATTTTACAGATTGTCGATTCAATATCGATGAAATATTCCCAGAAACGCTGCAATATCACTTGGAAATATTCTATTATAGAAATGACAGTTTTCCTCCAATTCCATCAAACATTAAGATCGATAGTTTATCGGTATCTGGTGATCACAGACTATCAAAAATAGTTCTACCAACTGGTATTAGAACAATCAACTTATATATGGGATCATGGGGTTCAGATGAGAACAGTATAGATTTTGGTTTTGATGGTGTTGCCGATCAAAGATGTTCATTAAGAGAACTTCGTCTTCCAACATTCGTAAATGGACCTCCTAAATTTAAACTACCAACCACCATCGAATATCTGGATATTGGTAACAATGATCTCAATGATATATTACATTTGATACCATCAACACTCAACACACTTGAATTTGAAAACCAATCTAATAAGAATATCAGCATTCCAAACACTATCAAATCAATCAACAATATCATCTATAGATTTAAGTCATTTCAAACACTAATCAATTAGAAAGTTGGACGATAATTATTATTTATTATATTCTGAAAATCAATGTTCACCCAAAGGAAAATTAATAGCTCGAATATTTCATCAATCTAAACTTGAACAAATCTTTAGAAAATTCTATATATATTAAGAAAGTCGAATTTTTTACTTATATTTATTTGTTTTTTATTATCATTATCCAAAGTTATTCTATTATGAGAATAAATGTTTCAATCTATGAATCTAGATTGAATGTAATTAATTTTAAATTATAAAATAGAAATTCTAAAAATAAGGAATTTGACACAAGATCTAATTTTATTTCATCATATATTATAGGGAACTTAATCTACTCCCAATTATCTAGTCTTTATACAATTATTTAAACTAGAATCAACTCATTAATCTTTTATTCTTATCTAGCATTTCAATCTATTCTCTATTACACTAAAACGTATACAAATCCAACACAAAACTGGCTCTTGATTGTTGTTTGAAGCCACGTAGTAAGATACTGTTAACAACCTACAGATCATTTATTTTGAGCATTAAAATGAATAATCAAATAGATAAAATAGTAAACCTTTCACATTTAATATTAAATAAAATAGTTAATTATTTAGATAATAACATTGATATCATTTGCTTCAGTTTAGCTTGTAAGAGATGGTACAATGATAGAGATAAATATTTAGTATTCAACACTGATAATATCGACTTATTTACATTTAATACCACTGATACCAATCAAAATCATAAGCATTTCAAATTACCATCATATAATAATATCTTGTTGAAATCAATTCAATCAAAAACCAAATGTACACTCTCTGTTGGCTATAACCAAAAAACCAGTTATGACTATCATTTCGGTAATATTATCTATTTATTAAAGATATTTTATTATGTATTGTTGAAACTGATTATTTTAATTTTAAAAATATCAAAGATGATGTTAGAAATCTCAAAAGTATTCCCAACAGTGTTTCAACAATCGAAATTCTATCTGATAGAGAGGATGAACAGGAGTATCTGTATAGATTAATATCAGAATCACAATCAGTAACAAAGCTGAATGGATGCAGCACATTGAAATATGGATTACCAAAGTCAATCAAATCACTAAAGATGGAATTCGAATTCAATGAGCCACTCGCTAAAGGATTACTTCCCAATTCATTGGAGGTGTTAGATTTTGAAGATCCTCTCAAACAAGAGATTCCACCAGGTGTACTTCCAGATGCTTTGCGCAAACTTTATCTTGACCGATATCGATATGAATTTCTGCCAGGTGTCTTCCAGTTGGTTTGCATAGCATTCATCTATTCAACCATAAACATGATATTCGACAAGGTGTATTTCCAAGTGGTTTGAGCAAACTTTATCTACTCAACTATCAATATGAAATTCTACAAGGTGCACTTCCTGATGGTTTGCAGAAATTTAATCTAGATGGTTATCAACATGAAATTCAACCGGGTGTACTTCCTTCATCTCTAAAAAGTTTATCTCTTACCAGTTACAGTTACAGCCGTCCAATCAAAGAAGAATTAAAATATTCAATCGATTCTGCTCCAATAAGTGAAGATAGTACGGAAACCGAATCTTTTTTGCCAATTTCATGGTTACAAGCAATATCATCACTTTCCAATCTTCGATCACTTGACATTTATTATCCCATACACAATCGACATGATACCATAATATTCAATCTCAATTACCTCCCACCAACTTTAGAAACACTAGATATTACACTAAAAATCAAAAAGAGCATATTGAAAGGAACAATGCCAACATCATTGAAGAAAATACGTCTTGTTGATTGTCCGATTTAATATCTATGAAATATTCCCAGAAACGTTGCAATATCACTTGGAAAAATTTAATTATATAAACGACAGTTTTCTTCCAATTCCATCAAACGTAAATATCGATATTTTATCAGTATCTGGAGATGAATCACCGATTTCTCTTCCATCTGGTGTTAGAGCAATCAACTTATACATGGTAGCCTCTGGTTCAGATGAGAACAATATTAACTTTGGTTTTGATGGTGATAACGATCAAACATGTTCATTAAGAGAACTTCGTCTTCCAACATTCATAGATGGACCTCCTAAATTTAAACTACCAACCACCATCGAATATCTGGATATTGGTAACAATGATCTAGATGATATATTACATTTGTTACCACCAACACTCAATACTCTTGTCTTTGAAAAACTATCTAATAACATTATCAGCATTCCAAATGCTATCAAATCATCTATAGATTTAAGAAAAATCAAAACCAAACAATTAGAAAGTTAGACGATAATTATAATTTATTATATTCTGAAAATGAATGTTCACCTAGAGGAAAATTAATCGCTAAAATGGTCAATCAATCTAAACTAGAGTTAATTTTTAGTAAAGGAATAGAATAAAATAAAGAGATCAAAATATTCGTAATATGTGTACTTTTATTATGCAAAGATGATTTAGAATATAACGTTATTTATTTAAATTTGTTTATTAAAATAGATTTGTTTTCTAGAAATTGTGTTTTCATATATATATATATATTAAGAGTTCTTTCTTTTTTTCCTAAGTTTGAAACAGTTCCCACTTGTATTTGTGTTGTAAATAATTTAAGATTTTTTTCTAGTTTGGAATTATGAAATATTTGAGCTATTAATTTTCCTGAATAATCTCCATACAGTAAATATTAATTTTAATCCAACTTTCAATTTTCTTGTCTCCTAGATATATATCAAATTTAAGATTAAATGGTTCTAAACTCAATCTACCAAACACAATCGAATTTCTGGATATTGGTGACAATAATCCTAAAGATATGCTTCAACTCTTACAATATAGTTAGTGGAAACATGGACAAACAAACTGTTTAATGAAGGTTATGCTTGGAATAGTTGAATCTCAAATTGGAACTACTAAATCTAACAAACTAAATAAAATACTCTATATATCTAAAAAAAATTTATACCTAACTAGTAAATAAAAAATATAAAAGATCTAAACATTCAATAGTAAATATTATTATTTGATATATCAATAAACTCGTCTAGTTATTTTTTTCTTTTACATCATAGATATTGTCTTTATTTAAAGATTATAAAGTTTTATAAGTTTAAGTCTTGATGAATAATCAAATGCTTTGCAGTATGTTAATTTCGAGTACTCTGTAGTTAAGTGTTCAGATGTGTTTTGAAGAAGGTATTTAATGATTGGAACATTATCTTTTTTAATTGCATTTGCCATTACCTCAGATGCCCATGAGTCCATTGAACATCCTTCGGGTAGGTTACAAAGTAAATACTTGAATATTGAAAGTTTATGACAACATTTCAATTCTTTTACTGAACAGGTTTCACCATTATCAAGCAGATATTGAACGATTTTGAGATCACTATTCTCCAACTTTGTTGCATATTCCAATAAGTTCGATGGAAATGGAAGACTTGTATTTTCACGAATCCATTTGATTATTGGTAGATTTGCTTTATCTATTGCATTTAAATAGGCTTCGTGTGAACATTGTAGAGTTGAATTGTCTTTTAACCATTGGAGTGCACTGCTATCTTTATACTTGGCAAAGTAGTCCATCGTTTTTGCTGGAATATCTAATTCTTTTCTATTTTCAAAAAGATATTTAAATACATCGAAATCAACATTGGCTACAACTTTTTCCATTGTATACACTCGACAACCTTCAGTTCTGTTCTCATGAAGGAATCTGACCACTTCAATGTGTCCGTTTTCAGCTGCCCTGTGCATTGCTTTAGCTGTACAATTCATATGTTTATTATGAAGTTGTTTGAGAAACTCTAGATCACCATGACCAGCGACAGCATCCATTGTAATACTTGTATATGTTGTGGCAGTGGTATTCTCTATGAGATATTTAACCACTTCAATAAGACCTTTTTTGGCAGCATCATCAATCAAAGTATTTGAAATGTCTTGCTTGGTGTTCTCCATGAGGTATTTGACTGTAGAAAAAATCTGACCACCATCAAGTCCATAATTTGCAACTACACGTTTAAGAATGTCTTCATCACATGGTTTCTTCATTTTCTTGAGTAGATACTTGAGTATATCCAGATGCCCAAACAAAACTAAGAATACAATTGACTCTCCTCTCCATTTCTTCTCTTTCTTATACAAATACTTGATAGTTTCAAGATTTCTAGCATTGGGAGCATGTAAAGAATCATAGGTAGGTCTTTCAGGTCTATTCTTGTAAAGCCATTTGAATACTTGAAAACTACCAAGTCGAGCATTTTTCAACACGTCGGTGCCTTGTGATCTGAACCATCGAGGTGCTTTATTATGAAGGAATTGAATGATCTCTAGATTATTAATGTAGTGATCTCTATTGACGTAAAGTGAATATTCTAATTCATTCGGAAATGACTTTTGGATGAACTCTATAGCTTCTAGATTTCCAACATCGAATGCATTCCTCACTGAATCTAAATATAATTGTCTAAACTTTCTGATTGTATGTATCCAATCTTTATAATTATCTGTATGAATATTATTATTATTATCTTCTCTGACTATTGTATTGAATATCTGCTTATATCTTTCGATATAATTGAACTTGATCAGCTGATCTGGGAAACAAGCAAGATCATACCAATCACATCTCAATGAATTGATTGCAAGTTGATCGTGAATATCTTTGACACTTTCGAATATCTTGTTTCTTATCACTGCTGAATGAAGTAATCTCTTAAATATAATCGATACGGTAGTGTTTTCTATATTTTGTATCTTTGAAGTGTTTTCTATATTTTGTATCTTTGAAATGTTTCCTTTTTTTTTAAACATTGTATTGCTATTTTTTTTTTTTAATTAAATAGATTTAATAATATGATATACCAAAAGTGAAATTTACTGTACTTCTTGTCGTTGGTTAGATAAAACTGTTTTTGGAAGACCCATTTTTTTTTGGTTTTTTACAACAAATATTTTTTTTTTTAAAATTTTTTTTTGTTGTCAGGTGGGTTTAAATGATTTTTAACAAATATATTTATAATTAGAATCTAATGAGTCTATTGATATCACAATTAGGACAGAAAACTGTTTTTTTTTTTTTTTCTTTTTTTTTTTCTTTTTTTTCTTTTTTGTTTTTTTTACTTTTGTTTAATGATGATCAATCAAACAGATAAAATAGTAAATCTTTCACATTTAATATTAAATAAAATAGTTAGTTTTTTGAAGGATAACATTGATATCATTTGTTTCAGTTTAGTTTGTAAGAGATGGTACAACGATAGAGATAAATATTTATTATTCAACACTGATCGTATCGATCTATTATCACTTAACAACATTGATATAAATCAAAATCATAATCATTTCAAATTACCATCATATAATAATATCTTGTTGAAATCAATTCAATCAAAGACAAAATGTAAACTCTTTATTGGTAAAATAAAATATAATACATTCGATTATCATTATGGTAAATATCTTCAATTTACAAAAGATTTTCTATTGATTTTTTAACTTACTATATAAAATTATCAAAGATGATGTTAGAAATCTCAAAAGTATTCCCAACAATGTTTCAGATATCTATTTTACAACCAACGAATATACAGAGGATGATATGGAGTATCTCTATAGATTAATATCGGAATCACAATCAGTAACAAAGTTGAATAGATGTAAGACATTGAAATATGGATTACCAAAGTCAATCAAATCTCTCAAGTATGAATATGGTGTAGATGAACCACTTGTTAAAGGATTACTTCCCAATTCATTAGAGGTTTTAGTTTTAGAAGATCGAAATTTCAAACAAGAGATTCCACCAGGTGTACTTCCAGATTCTTTGCGCAAACTTTATCTACCCAACTATCAATATAAAATTCAGCCAGGTGTACTTCCAAATGGTTTGCAGAAATTTTCTATGGATGGTTATCGACATGAAATTCAACCAGGTCTATTGCCATCATCTCTCAAAAGTTTAGGTCTGACCAGTTACACCTCCGAACTCAGGGAATATTTGAGATATTCCTTCAATCCCACCACATTTGGAGATAGTAGAGAACCGAAATCATATTTACCAATTTCATGGTTACATGCAATATCATCACTTTCCAATCTTCGATCACTTTACATTTTTATTCCCCTGAGCAGTCGACATGATACCACAATATTCAATCTCAACTATCTCCCACCAACTTTAGAAAAACTAGATATTACACTACAAGGAAAAGAGAGTATATTGAAAGGAACAATGCCAACATCATTGAAAAGAATCCTTCTTGTAGATTGTCAATTTAAGTTCGATGAAATATTCCCAGAAACGCTGCAATATCACTTGGAAATATTCTATTTTATAAATGACAGTTTTATTCCAATTCCGCCGAATATTAAGATCGATAGTTTATCAGTATGTGGAGAGACCATCAAATCAACGATATCTCTACCATCTGGAGTTAGATCAATCAACTTATATATGAAATCCTCTGGTTCAGATGAGAACAATATAGATTTTTGTGGAGATGGTGTTGCCGATCAAAGATGTTCATTAAGAGAACTTCGTCTTCCAACATTCGTGGATGGACCTCCCAAAGTTAAACTACCAAAAACCATCGAATATCTGGATATTGGTAACAATAATCTCAATGATATATTGCATTTGATACCATCAACACTCAATACTCTCGTCTTTGAAAACCAATCTAATAACAATTTCAGCATTCCAAACACTATCAAATCAATCAACAATATCATCTATAGATTTAAATCATACGAAACACTATCAATTAGAAAGTTGGACAATAATTATTATTTATTATATTCCGAAAATGAAGGTAGATTAAGATCTCAAATATTTCATCAATCTAAACTTGAACAAATGTTAAAATTCAGATAAACCCCCCAATTTTGAAACAAATTGATCAAAAATTTAAGGTATAAATAAATGTTTAAATTTTAGTATAGCTCTTATACCTATCAACCTATAGATTCAAAAAAGATTTTATAAATCCATATTTTGTATCTAATAGATCGATCGATCTTCAAAACAACATTACAATAATCAAAAGGGTTAAAATTATTGTTGTAACGGTCATTTGAGTCGTACACTACGCTGGTACGGTAGTTTTGAGAATAATATGTTAAATATTTTTTTTCATATACCCTCGATTTACTTAATTGTATGTTGTAGTTAAATAAATAATGTGTAATATCAGGTGTAGAGTGTCGTCATTTTAATAAAATTAATTTATTAACAGGTATTGATTTATCGTATACATACGACAGTCAACTGTACTTGTCGAATATAACAGAATTAGAGGCATGAACTTTCTTTTAGTTTTTTAACAAACTTTAAGTTATCCTAATGTAGTTTTAGACTTGTAAGTTATTTATCAAAGAGAGATTTAACTAAGTAAGCTAACTCAATTGTTATCATGATGATTAATGAATACACAAAAGAAGTTGATAACATCTCTACAACCAGTGTGCTTTTTGATCGACCTATTATTAATATTATATATTGTTTATTTATACATTCTAATTACTATTTTTCTTTATAAAAAATAATGAACAGTTAACCTTTATCAATTAATGTTTTATTACATTTTTATTGGTTGGGTCACTCCAATTCCTCCAAAAAATGAAAAAATTTTGCAATAAGTGGAGCACTCTAATTTTGCAATAAGTGGAGCACTCTAATTTTGTGAACTTCAAAATGTGTAATTACATTTTTATTGGTTGGGTTTTTTTTTTTGCTAAGCTTTTTTTGTATTCTCGCATTTTTTTTTGCAAAAAGCAACAAAAGCATTTTTTCATTTTTGGAGGGGATAAAATGAAATTACACAAATTTTCAAACGAAACTAGCTCTCAACCACTTTCGACCACATTAATTTTAAAAAAATGTGCAAATTAATTAAAGTTTTTCAAAATGATCAAAAGAGAGTGTAAATATCAAAACAAACTTGAATATTAATCGAATCTTGATATGGGCAACCGATCGAATCAAGAGATTTTTAAGAGTGTTATGTAAGGTGATTTAATTAATTTTGATTGATTAATTGGTTTACAGTTTTGAAGATACCGAGCCATGGTTCGACACCCACTCTCTTTTATTAATTCTATATTCTGGAATTTAAATAGATAGTAGATAGATAATTAAATAATAATAATAATAAAATGAAATCTATTAAACTATCATTAATTTTAATATTAGTGATAGTTCATTTATTTCATAGTACCACAAATGCTTTTACTATCACCAGAATATCAGAGAGGATTGCTTATGTCGGTGGTGGCAATCGGTTTAGAATAGAATCACCCGATTTCCCTGGTGTTAATCTAACACCGACGTTGAAAGTTATCAATGGTGCTAAGGAAGCGGTTTTTATCTATAGAGGTCAGATTCCTGCCACCAATATCTACGAGTGGGATGTACCTCCAAAACCAGTTAATCTAGCAATTGCAAAAAAGAGAGGAAGAGATGATGATTCCCAAGTAAAGCTTTATATAATATTAGCTAATACCCTAGATCCTTTATATCAATATGATTTTAACTATGTCAGTAAGTATTATACACAGCCGAGATAAAATTAATTAATTAATATCCAATCAACTAATTTACCAAATTTAATATAATATATTTTAGCTCCTGAAATTGAAGGATTCACTCCAAAGAGTAACTATATACATCAAGCTGGAACGTCGGTAACTATCACCGGTAATTACTTCAAGTTGAACGATTATGATCCTTCACCACAAGTGAATTTCGGTGCTAGTCCAGCGGTGGTTATAACATCGGCAAGTGGATTCAAAATTATTTGTGTTGCACCAACCGTTGACATTGTTGGCAATGTCATGCTTAAAGTTACATTCCCCACTGGTCTAGAGATTAAAGGTGATACAGCATTTGAGAATATCATGCCAAATGTCGATACTGTTGTACCAGATAAAGCTGTCAGCCAAGTCAGTAAGAACATAAAGATCTACGGTAGAATCAGAGTTTCAGAGGATGACAAACCATTTACCACCGTCAGGATTGGTGATCAACCGTGCACCAACATCAGATTCCTCCAACAAGATGTCATTTCTTGTGATACACCTCAGATTGCAGTGGCTGCCGGATTATCTACACCCTTTGATATCACCATTCAAATTAGAGCAACTGTATTTCCTCATGCTAGATTTACAGTTTATAGTATGTAATACCATTCTTTTTATATTTATTACTTTGTAGATGATTCATTACTTATTTAGAATTATTATCGTATGATAAATATAGATCCTGTCATTTCCAACTTTATACCTAAATTTGGTTTGTCTACTGGTGGTACCAGAGTGGTTGTGACTGGAAGACATTTCCATGATATTACTACTATCGATGCCGTAAGAATTGGTACTTCTGTGTGTGTTATCGATCTTATTTCTTATTATAAGGATCTTATTACTCAGGTTGAATCGTTTTCTTGTACCACTGGCTCTTATGATATAGGAGGAGCTACCGAGCAAGTGAGTAATTTCAATGTCATCATTGACGGCCAGACTTTTATTGCTAGTGTGAATCCTTCTTTCACTTACTATGTTCCAACTATCACATCGATAGAGCCAACTTTCGTCACCGGCAACATAAGAACACCAATTTTTATCCGTGGAAATTACCTTACATCCGTTACCAAAGTAACGATTGGTGCAGTCGATTACGTACCGGGTTCCGTTCTAGATAATGTGGTCAGTGTTGTGATAGATTCTTCCAAACATCCCGCTGGAATTTATCAAGTCTCTGTCGTCACTCTGAATGTCTTGACCAACAAATTCAATTTAGATTTTGGACCACCTGACATTGTTGATATCAACATCAAAAAAGGATTCATCAATTCCTACACTGCGGTAACATTCATAGTTCGTAGTTTTCCAGTTGTTCCACTCGAGGATCTCGATGATGCCATTGCCTTTAAGATTGGCGCTCAGTATTGCGAATATTTAGAGAGAACCTCCAACAATGAATACACATGCTCCGTGCCACCAAAGGGTAGTGTTTCGACCGATGTCATTTCTTTTTTCATCAACGGTGAAGAAAAGAGAACTACCATTAGTTTCAACTATGCCGTTCCAACTGTTACCGCTCAGACTCAATCTACCGACATTCCATTGGGTGGCGGTAATCTTGTTATCGATGGACTTGGATTAAACTTTGTGACCTCCATCAAATTTGACACCACTGAAATCAAGATTACAACTTGTACTGTAAATGGTGAAATTAAGATTACTTGTCCAATTCCAAGATACAAACCAGGAAGTTATCCAGTTTCGTTGGTTGTCAATGCCAATGGTATGGATTACTCGTATCTAACAGGGCATAATCTTGCCTATGTCGGTCCGTCCATTACCACAGTGAATCCAAAACAATCAACCAAGTACCAGGTTCATAGAATCACTCTGACTGGAACTGGATTCGGTACATCAGCTGCGTTAATATCGATAAACATTGGTGCCAATGCATGTAATAATATCGCGATTATTACAAACGATGTAAAAGTAACATGTAGCATTGACGTTTTGGCTTTTGGAAGGTATCCAGTCACAATCACTGTCCAACCCAATGCGCTCTCTCCCGGTGTTGTATCTTCCAATGTTGTTTCCTATAGTTCAACTAAATTGTCTTGCTTGGGACGCTCTCAGCCAGATAAAACCAACGATCCAGTCGACTGGTGGTTAATTTATAAGATCAGAGGAGATGCTACAAATGATTATTTGTATATCGATTCTACAATGCAAAAGTTCGAGAGACTTAGTAATCTTCAAAACCATCCCAATACTGCAGATGTGTTGTCTCCACTCGAAGCCACCTTTCAGGTGTCATTGACCAACTACTACTATATGTTTTTCAATGATCAACCTAACTCCAGAGTTGACTCAGGAGCAAGGTCTAAAGAAAAAACTTATCTTGGTATGAGACAAAATCAAAACGGCGATAAATCAGAAGGTCATTTCAAAACTTCGGTTTTTTTTGACGATCCTGATCCAATTACAAACTTGGTAGGTGGTATTCATATTGCTCATTCAAATCCAGGTAAATATATATATATATATATATAAAAAAAAATGTTAATTATCAAAGCATTAATTATTTTCTTTTTTAAAAGCTTTTCCATCCAATATAGATGCAAATAACTATAATGGTCCTGCTCAGGGTATCAAATTCCTTGGTAAAGCAGATTTCAATCAACATTTCTTTTGTTATCCATTCGATAATCTTGAAAATGTCATGGAGTATGTTTTAAAGAACGATGGAAATCTTCTAACCGGATACCATATCTTCCAAGATATAAGAACTTGGTTACAAACTAAAATGAATCAATATCCATACTTCTATGATTTCATCTCTCACTACCTCGATTACACAGTGCGTGTGCCAGCTGTCAACACTCCACCAAGAATGACACCAAAGACTTTATTGGCAGCTTGTAATAACAGAGTTGGCAATACAGCAGGACTGACCCTGGAGAATATTTGTTGGTGGAGAAAGGATCCAATTGTGATTCCTAATACTAATATGAACCTAATTTATTTCATGAAGATTGGAACTAGCTATACTCCTGCAAACTCCCCATTCAGAAATCTTAACGAAGATGAATTAAAGGAAATTTCGGAATTCATTGTACCCAAAGAAAAAATGATCGATGGAGTAGATCTTTGGTTGGTCGTAGCGAATTCGTTCCAAAAGAAATATTTTGTTGAATTTTTTTTTGGAACAAAATTTGTGCAAATGAAAGTCACAGAGAAAGTCTTAAACGTTGCTTATTTCGAGCTACCACCCACCTATGCTAAAACGGTTCCATTGAAATCACTTTCTTCGGATTATCATTTCAGTGGAAGATCTAAGGTGTGTATCAGGAAAAGATAAACATAACGTACAACAAACTTATTCCCAAAATTAAATTATAAATATAGGAACATGCGAAAATGGGATTTCCAGTTTATCCAACTTTTGGTGATAATGCACTTGGACCAAATGGTATTTAAATTATATTAATATAATATCTAATATGTATTATAAATCAATGATTAACTAAATTTATTATTATTTTTTTAAAACTTAAAAAATAGAAAACTATTTCTGTGTTGGTGACAGCAATAGACATAATGGTCAAGGTAAATATTTAGTTAAAGAATATTAATAAATTTAAAATTAGAAAACAAACTAACCAAAGAAAATGAATAATTATATAATTTAGGTGACAGAGGTGGTGGTGTAATTTGTATACAGAACCCATATTTAGTTTATTTCTTTAATCGAATGGTTAGAGCATATAATACTAAGAATAATAAGGATAGATTAACAGACAAGACTGATACTATTGGATTATTCTATGGAGTTACACAACCAATTAAAGTAATGAGAGGCACCTGGACAAAGACATTCGAAGTGGAGGTGAAGGATTTCATCAATGGAAACCATTATTCCAAGCTTCCAAAAGAAATCTACCCGATTCTCAGTGGTACAGGAACAGCTGCTACCGATACCAATGCAAAGTTCAATGCTCTAAGAACCAGTAAAAACTTTGCCGTGAGTCCTAGTAATGGTGAGGTAACTGTTGTACCGGTTCCACCAACTCTACCAAATCAACAGGACATCTTGAACTTTGTTGCCAATGATTTGCTATCACTTCATTACATAGGTTATGATCAAACGGTCGGTGCCATTTGTGACTACAATGCAGCAATGACCGAATGTACTAAAGCTGCCTCTAGAACAACGATGATTACCAATGTCAGACCTGCCAACTATGTTCAACCACATTTCCCAGGAGTATATGCTCATGTCTATGCTGGTGTGCAACCATTGAAATCCTATGACGTGACAACCAACAATAATTTCAAGCTAATCAAATTCACCTCTGAATTTATGACTAAGCTTCCCAATGCCAAGCGAAACTTTTATCAATACCAATATGATGCCATACCAACTTTGGCCAATCCTCAATTCAAACCACCATTTATCATTCGACAGGCCGATGTTGTATGTGAAGAGGAAGTTGCTTACTTTATGACACTTCACTATATCTATTATCAATCTGGTGCACCTGATCCAGCATTACTAGTATACAAGATTGGTACTGATCTACCCAATTGGGCAAATGGTGTAATTCTAGCAATATCCAAACAACTCTATAATGTAACTATTATTTAACCAAAGTTTAGAAATTTGATTATTAATTTAACCAACTAATTTTAAATAGGAATTAAAACCAAGTGTAACACCAGCTGTTTTCAATGGTTGTATGAATAATATTTTCAACAATTTCCCAAATATTGATACATATACAGAGTAAGTTTATTTTTAAATTAAAATATTAGTGAACTTAAAATATTAATATTCTTTGAATAATATATTATAGTGATAATGATATGGCTAATCCAAGTAATGATAAACTAGTAAGAAGAAGTGCTGGTGCTGCTTGGGATTGGATGCAGACTTCATATTCAAATGGAGTTGGTGGTAAAATAGATAGAGCAAATAATAATCAACGTATTCTTGTCGCTGATTTAATTGATGCAATAATCAAGGCCAGACAGAATGGACGTATTCGAACAATGAAGAACCTAAAGAGATTCATAAAGAGAGAGTACATTCCAACAAACTTTGACGATATTCTGGTCAATAACTATATCATTCCAAGACCACTTGTTGTTTTAAGAACACTGCCAATGTTATTCATGCAGAGTCCATCGCTATATCATTCCCAATCTTTGTTGACTACTTCAACTTCTCCATCGGATCAGAAATCATTTATTGTTCAAGATGAACGATCTACACTATCTGGTGTTCAGCAATTATTACTTTTAGTTGGGTCGAGCTCGATGAATTCAACTGATATTCTATCACTCTCAGCCTATCAAGTAGAGAAATTGAAGCTATCATTCGATAAATGGATAAATGTCAATGGACAAAGTCAAGCTATTCAAACACTTATCCTGGATCCATCCAATCAGGTTAGAAATCAACCGATCAGATTTATCGATGAGCTGAATCGTGATCTCGATGGAAATTCAATTGACCTTAAATATCAAGAGATTGGTTCCACCGGTGCAATCAGAGCAACCATTTCATCTCCATTGTCGATTGTTTCCATTACTTTCTTCCTGGAGAGTATTATCATTAGTAAATCAATTAGTAAATCACAGTTTGGTGATTTCGAAGTTTATTATCTTCCAAAGAAAATCAATTACAACGGTGTAATCTCTTCAGATATAAATGGAATGATAATCTCGACAATGAACTCGCAATTATGTGATATTCAAATGATTAGTGAATCAAACTTCCTTTCAAACAACTTTGACACTGTTTGTTCTACTATTGGTCCAGTTATTACCTCGGTAAATCAATTAAGTGGATCGTCCAACGGTGGATACACGATAACTGTAAATGGAATTGGATTTAATTCATCAATGACCATTCTCATTGGATCGAATGAATGTGTTTCCACTCAATACATTTCACAAAGTAAATTATTTTGTCAAGTACCAAAAGGTGTTGGTAAAAACAATGAAATTCTATTGTCAACTCCTCAAATGATTTTCAATCTTCAACGTACAAAATACTTGTTCAACTACGATGCACCAGTAATTACCAGTGTGGAACCAGATATTATCAAGAGCTATGGAAGTGATTTAATGACAATCTACGGATCAAACTTTGGCGATGATGTAACAAATGTTAAGATTCTAATTGATGAAAGATTGGCTTGCTCACCAATTGTTAGTTTAACCTCAGATTCTGTTGCTTGTCTAACTCCTGCTGCTATTGGCGACCATAGATCTATCACTGTCATTGTCAAAGACCAACCTTCAAAATTGAATCTCAATACGCTGGAAACTCAATCCTTTAGTTTCAGTGGTCCACAAATTCTTAGTTTTATTCCATCATCCGGTGATCCAACCGATAGTATTAGAATTCTTGGTGATGGATTTGGACATGAAGAAGATTCAGATCTACCTCCACTCCTAATCATTGGTGATAATATGGTTGAAATTAGCAATTTTACCAACCAATTCATCGAGTTCCAATTGGAATATGACAACGCCAATCAACCTTTAATCATTCAAGCTGGTGACCAATCTATTGATACAGAGTTCACTTATTATCCTCCGTTGGTAACTTTCATCAAAAACTCTATTATCAGTACAAGTGGTGGATTAATTCAACTTGGTGGATATGGTCTTAGTCTAGCATCGTCGAATGACTTTGAATTCCAATTAAATTCCCAAGAAATCGATTGTAATCCATTCGATCTCTTTATTGAATGTTTTATTCCACCAGGTACTGGATCGAATTACATTCTATCGGCCACACTATCCAATGGTGAACCAATTGAATTCGCAGAGAATATCATCATTTCCTATTCAGCACCAGTAATTACAGGTCACACTCTCGTACAAGACACCACTTCAATAGAAATCATTGGAGTTAATTTCGTACCATTGGAATATGGCATAACCATCAACACTAGCTCATCATTTATAAGATTGAATTATCAAGATCTTCAATATGAAGACTGCACAACATTCAAATCAAGCAAATTAGCATTCTGTTCATACACAGAATTACCTCAATCCATTCAAATTTTTGTGTCTGGACAATCATCAAACATTTATTCTTTATATTGAAATAAATTAGACTATTTAAATAGAAATAAATTAGTTTGTTTAAATAGAACAAATAATTCTTCATAGTAATTATCTAATTAACCAAAAAATAATAGTCTTCCTATTTTTATTTTAACATAATTATTAATTTTAACACCTTCTTTGTGAACACTATCTTAATATAAAAAAAGATTGTTTTTAAGATTTTATTATATTCTTTTGAATTTAAAGATTAAAAAGTACTATAATTTTAATTTGTACTAATATTTAATATCCCTACACAAATTTAGTACTTTTTGATATCATGTTTATTTGATTTATACTAATATTCTAGTAAGATCGACAATTCTTCTAATCTTTTATTAAATTATACAATGATTCTTCTATATAGGTACTCTACTTAACACAAACGAAAAATATCTTTACCACATTTATTTTTTATTTCTAATATACCCCAAAACAAATCATAGATATATCTAATGGGGTGTTATAACATTTTTAGAATATGTGTGTGTAAAACGAATATTAAAATAAAGATATGAATATAAATGTTTCAATTGGAACAACAAATGAAATAATCTGTTGATTAAAAGTTTTAGGTCATTTTTTCTATTTTAGTCTAATCTTGAACTACTCTCTCTTATTGTTATTATCTTAATTTGATTTGCTATTGTTTATGTTATTAATAAATATTAATATTAAGATGCTATTTTATTATAAAAGTTTGATATTAGACAAAGTTATAAGACTTCTCTTAAACTATAAATAGAAACGATAAAGACTATTAAATCATTACAATATAATTAAAAGTATTTAAATATTTTCAACTAAAGCTAAAGCTAAACTAAAACTAAAATGAACAAGTTCTTAATCTTTGTATTCTTTGCTATGGTATTACTCTCTGCTGTATCAGCCAACTACGATTGCTTTGCCAATTGCCATAGAGACTACAACAACTGTGTTGTCGCCAAATTAAGAAACCCAACTAACAACTATGCTGATTGTGTCGATCAAGTCTACAGATGCTACAATGGTTGCAGATAAATATTTAAAAGTTAAATTTTTAATCTTTAAAATAAAAAGAAATAAATTTACAAAATATTAAAAACAAAATTATTATTATTTATTCGATTGCTCTTTTATTTCATTTTAGCGATTATAAATTTCATGTTTTTTTCCGCAAAAAATTGTGTTCAATGATAGATAGTGTTACCTTTTTGAAAACAACAATAATAGATTAATCAATAATAATGATAAAATTTACAAGATGGATAAAATTCATTCATTTAATTATATACTCAAGTCAGTAGTTTTAAGAACAAAGATATTTCAATACATCACAGATATTCACGATCAACTAGCGAAAAATCGATCAGAGAGATATGATTGGTACGATCTTGGTTGTTTCCCAGATCAACTGATCAAGTTTAATTATATTCAGAGATATAAAGAGATATTCAATACAATCATAAGAGATAATAGTTGTAATACATTAGCTAATTTAACGATAAGCAAGTTTAGAGAGTTATATTTAGAATCATTCTCATTTGCTTTAGACATTGGCAATATAGAAGCTATCGAATTTCTAAATCAAACACTTCCAAATGAAATCGATTATAGTCGTCTAGTTAGAAGAGAACATTATCAAAGTAATCTTGCACTGATCGAATTCCTTCACCAAAATGTAGAGAGTTGGTTCGAGAAACTAGGCACTAAAGTAATGGATGATGCTGCATTTGGAAGTTTAGAGGTTATCAAGTTTCTAAACTTCAATAGAACAGAGGGTTGTTCTACTCAGGCTATCACTAATGCTGCCACCAAAGGTAACTTGGAAATTATCAAGTTTATACGAGATAATCAGCCTACTGTCCAAGTATTTACCAACAAAATAGCTGTAAGATTTGCAGCAAAAAACGGTCATTTGGAAGTGTTGAAGTTTCTAATCGAAAACGAGAGTAGTGCTGTTGACTTTTCGATTTCGGATATTTTAGAGATAGTAAAAGGTGGTCATTTACCAATAATTAAGTATCTGTTGGAGATAGATTATTATTTCGAGATTGCCAACATCGAGATTAAATGGGCTGTTAATAATGGTCATTTCGAAATGCTGCAATACTTTTTCGAGAACAATATAATCTCCCAGGAAAACATAAACGATCAACAATATACAATTTTAATAGATAACGCAGCAATTAATGGTAATTTGGAAATGTTAAGATATTTACACAGTAATCGTAGTTCGATCGAAAGTTGCTCTCCGAATACATTGTATTCAACAGCTACTCGCGGACATTTGGAAGAAGTTAAATTTCTCTTAGACAACTACGGTCTCCGCACTTCAAATTTCATGTATATGGATTATATTTTACACGATGTACGTAGTCATTTCGAAGTATTTCGATATATCTATGAGAATAGAAGGGATCTGTTGCTACCTAGCAATGTTATGGATTATTATGCAGGTTACAAAGACACCACTGCTTTGCAATGGCTGAAAGACAATACATCGCTACGTTGTTCAGAGCGTGCCTATGACAATGTAGTGAAAAGTGGAAACCTACAGACACTCCAATGGATTCGAGAGAATACCACTCTACCTTTTCCAACTGATCTCCTAGGAAGATTCATTACATACGAAAGAGCAATGCCAATTCTTCAGTATCTAAAAGACAATGATGCATTGAATGCATCGAATTCACCGAGTGCAATGGATCGATCAGACAATCTGGAAGTGACATCTTTTTTACATTACAACTCTGGAAAGTGTTCTTCGGATGCAATGTTTAGGGCGATTTCAATTGAAAATATTCAAATGATAAAATTCCTAGATCAACATAGAACTGAACACATAAACTATAGTTATACGAAATTAAAATCAAAAAAATCATTCAATTTTCTAGAAAGACTAAAATTAATAAAACATAAGAAAATATGAACTGTTTGCTCTTTCATGTTGTATATTTGTATAATTTAAAAGCAAAAAATCTTGGGAAATTTTAATTAATTTTATTTGTTTTTTCAATAAGAGATAGTTGTAATGATTTGATTTCTTTTTTGATCAAAACTGAATAAATTAGATATACTAAAGTTCCTCCATTACAACAGAACCGAAGGATGCTAGATATTGTTTCTTGAAAATCCTTCCGCAAAATATCGAGCCGCTATGAAAGGAAACTTGGAGATGCTGAAATTCCTATTTAAAAATCAATCAAACGAATCTTCCAGTAGTAAAATGGATTCTTGAGAATACAACTCTCGCTATTCACTCGTCTGCACTTGATCATGCAGCAACCTGTGAGAGGAGTGATCTCTCCATTGTCATGTATCTTCCTGACAACGGTGCAGTTGCAACTACTGATGCTATCAATGCATTCAGATTCCATATCATTTCATTCTTACACTATAATAGAACCGAAGGATACATTGAGATTGAAAAAGTTCAGGTATTCAAATTACTCAGTCAAAACTGATCTTAACACTTAAATACAGATTATTCACTTGTTGGCAAAATGACTTATGATTATATTACAAGATTGCTTCCTGTAACCTTAAATTAAATAAAATAAAAGCACTTCATATGTATCTTATGATTAAATTAACTTCATTGTATTTATTTAAAAAAGATGTTTTTGACAAAAAGAGTAGTAGGATCGAATGATTAAAAAATTCACCTAATCAATTCTTATCTTGGCAAGAATTGGTTTTTTACAAGAAGTACAAGAAAGATCAAGAGAAGAATTGGTTGTTTCTGTTTCACACTTTCTACATAAAAATGATCTTGTAGGAACATCAACCCAATATACTTCTCCAGAACATTTGTTACAATAAACTCTTTCTGTCATTTTGGTACCACATACACATTTTAAATTTCCACAAGTGTTATCCAATAATATTAGATAATATAGATAATTAACACAACATTGTCTATTCAACTACCAATATATCAATATACAATTAACCCAATAATTAATATTACAATTCAGATAATTATATTCAACATATAATCCAGCATACAAATCATCCAGATGATTTTATTATATTCAACGAATCAACTATACTACAATTCAGAATAATAATGTAAAATACCAACAAACAACAGATATAAATATCCCAGATAGAGATACAGAAAGGAAAAGAAATATAGACAGAAGATCTAACATTAAATATATAAATAAAACTAAATCTATAAACAAAACTAAATACTTTATTTAATTAATTATATATTATTATTAACTACTATGGACATAAATAACAATAATAATAACAATCATGGTGGAGAGCCTCACTACGTTCCCGGAACACCTTTCCGTGGTATTAACCTACTCAATTCACTCCAATCTGTAAGAGACATGCCTGAATTCCCAGCTGTGCCGTTAGCTTTGCCTACCTCTACCAACGCCAACTTGCCAGGTGTTGCTATTACAGTGGAAAACGCAGACTTCGAGATCTTTCACCTCGTCGACAATTCCATCGAACCTCTTATAAACTTTATCAACAGCGATGAAAAGTATCGGGCCATGGCTGCAAAGTACGCTAACATGAAAAATGTACCAGTAAAAACAGCCATACTGTACACCTGTAACAAACTGGTGATGATGGATACAAACACCGCTTTCAACCAGATAATGTCTACTAAAGTCGGTAAAGCCTCGATTGATAGTCTCCCCAAGTTCGATTTCGAATCCAGTACTGCCGACATCGAATCACATCTACTACTCATTGAAAGTACCATACCTTTGCCTAACGCCAGAGCTAAAGTATTTTTCAACACTCTCAACGAGAAATCCAGAGCCCTAACAAGAAACTTCCATGTTGCCGCAAATGCATCTTGGAATGAATACAAATCCATGATGGTGAAGCTATTCAGTCGTGAGTTTCCACCAGAACACTATGTCGGTATTCTCGCCAAACTAAAGTTTCTGCCTAACCGCGACGACATAGTTTCTTTCAATCTGACCTTCACAAAAGTGGTAAATAAGACCAGAAACATCGTGAACTCCCAGACGGCCGCTGCAATGTATGCCAATGCTTTGCGTAATGTAAGAAACTTGGAATCCATTAAAAACCTGCCAGACTTAGAATCCCGTATGTTGGAGACCGCAGAGTTAGTTGTTAAATATGGCATAAACGGTCGACGTATCTGTACCTTACAGAATATTGTTGATGATGAGGAGAAAGTTGGTTCAAAGAACCATAAAGGTGGCTTTGTTGAAAAAAGACCACATGATTTCAAAAAGAATCTCCATAAAAATAAAAATAACCACCACGGTGCTAAGCCAGCATGTTACGTATGTGGTAAAGTCGGTCATCTTGCTAAAGACTGTTACTTTAAAAACAAGAACAAAGATGCTACTGTTAACTTTATAAACAGTACACCAGCAATACAAGCTGTAATCAATGACCAGAAAACGGTCGCGGTTGTAGACACCGGAGCAGACATATCAGTCATAAGTAAAGACATGGCAAAACGTCTAAATGTAAGCATACAAAAATGTAATCCTATTAAAATTAATAATGTTAGTAATTCTATATTATGTAATGAATTTACAAACATAAAATTTTATATTACTACGGATAATAATAAAAGATTAGAATGTAATGAAAAATTCTATGTTATTAATACCCACATTGATTATATCATATTAGGTGTGAACTGGCAAGCTTCAGCCTGTATTACCCTGTCTGCTAATCCAGAAGGTGTAATAATATCAGTAAAAGTTAATAATGATATACACAAACTAATTAATCTTAACAAAAATAGTTTAAACAAAAATCTAATAAAAATTAAATTAAATGAATTAAAGAACGAACGTAAAGTTCAAGATAAAAATATTAATTTTTTGAAAAATAAAATTAATAAAATAAATGTGAAAAATCGTGATCAGTTTAACGAATTAGATCGATTATTAAAAAAACAAAATTTAATTCAGTCTGAGATTAAAAAAATTATTGATGACGTAAATAAAGATAATAGGGTTAAAAATAAAAATAATACTGATTTCACGCCCCATTATGCTTGGGTGAATATAAATGAAATCTATGATGATATTTCAAAAGATGTAGATACAGATAATGATAAAAAAATGAATGAATCTGTTACAGATAATATCGACATCGAAAACGAAACAAAAGTTGTAGAAACTTTGAAACGGTTATTCCCAAACGTGTTTATACCGTTTGATGGTTTACCACCTTCAAGAGGTAAACAGTTTGATATGACAATTAAATTAAAAACGGAAGAGATTCCCAAATCAAAGTTATATCCTGTACCAATAGCACACTTAGAAGAATTAAAAAAACAAATTAATGATAGATTGAATAAAGGGTGGATCAAGAGATCTAGATCCCCATTTGGTAGTCCTATCTTATTCGTCTCTAAACCAGACGGTGGATGGAGACTTTGTGTCGACTACAGAGAGCTAAATAAAATTACTGTTCGTGATGATTATCCTCTTCCAAGGATTAATGAATTATTAAATAATACAAGATTAGCTTACTGGCTATCAAAGTTGGATCTGTTAGACGGATACCATCAAATTCGTATCAATGAAGGCGAACAATACAAAACTGCTTTTAAAACTACATTTGGTACATTTGAATATACAGTAACACCGTTCGGGTTAGCCGGAGCAGGTGCTAATTTTCAACGATTAATGGATCACATATTCCAGTTGGAAATTTTAAATATGAAAATATGTGTATATCTAGATGATATATTAATCATGACTAATTCAGATAGTTTAGACGATCATATCAATGATTTGATCGAAATTTTTAAAATTTTACAAAAACATGACTTTAAAGTCAAATTATCGAAATGTAAATTTGCTAGACGAGAAATTGAATTCTTAGGTCATGTAGTTGGTCGTGGAGTAATAAAACCACTTCACAATAAAATAGAATCAATTTTAAATTGGAAAAAACCCGAGAATAAGAATGAAATGAGATCATTCATAGGTTTAGTGGGTTATTATAGAAGATTTATCAGTAATGTATCATCTATTGAGATTCCTTTACTTAATATGATAAAAGATAAATCTGAATTTGTGTGGACTGAAGAAGCCACAAATGCTTTTAATCAGATTAAGAAATTGGTCGAAGATGTTAAATATCTTGTCGCACCAAATTATACAATACCATTTCATCTTGAGTGTGACGCATCTAAATACGGCATTGGTCATGCTCTATATCAAATTAATAAGTTAGATAATATAACCAGAGATTTCATCTCTTTTGGTTCAAGAAAACTCACAATCAGTGAAATAAATTACACTGTGTTAGAAAAAGAATTGTTATCAATCATTCATGCTTTGAAAGTAAATTATTATCATTTGATAGGACACGAAGTGATTATAAATACTGATCACAAAAATATCAAGTTCCTACGCGAACAATACGCAATAGGAATTAATTCTAGAATCAACAGATGGTTACAATTCATTGAGTTGTTTAATCCGACATTACAATACATAAAAGGTGAAACAAATGTTATAGCCGATGGTTTATCAAGATATACTTTTGATATCAATAATATTAAAATATCTTATGATAATGATCTATTAGAAAATATAAAAGATAGTTATAAATTGGAAATCAAAATGATTGAAAACGATGAAATTAAACTACAATCTATTTATAAAAGTGATAAAGTTACAACTCTAAATGATGTTAAATATTTTGAAGGTAAAATTATTATACCTATGGTAAAGCCATTAATTGATCAAATATTACATTTATATCATAATTCATCTACATCTGCACATATCAATGCGTTTAGCATGTTAGAACAAATTTCTAAAAAATTTATTTGGGATTCAATGAAATCCGATATTTATAAATTTTATAAAAGATGTGATGTATGTAACAAAGGTAGTGATTATGGTGATAAGAGAAGAGGTTTTTTACAACCATTACCAATAATGAATGACAGATTTTTAGCACTGTCATGTGACTTTATTACGAATTTAAATGAAGTGGAAGATAGTAATGGTAGAAAATTCAATCAAATCTGGGTAATCGTAGATAGATTTTCAAAGTATACTACATTAATACCCACGCATAGCACATATACTTCTTTAGAACTTGCTAGATTATTCAAAAGCGAGTTTATAAAGATACACGGAGTACCATTATACATCTCCAGCGATAGAGACAGCAAACTAACTTCCAAAACTTGGAAAGAATTTGCTAAATTATTAAATATCAAACTTAATTTCACTACAGCTGATCATCAACAAGCTAATGGACAAGCTGAGATAGTGATTAGAGCGATTAAAAATACTTTAAGAAAGTTATTAATCGAAGACAAAGAAAATGATTTAAACAGAAATTGGTATCAACATGTAGATACAATTCAGTTTGGATTAAATAATACTAAATCTACTTCTACAAATTATACACCATTCTTAATTGCTTATGGTAGAAATCCATCTACTGTCGCCGACTTGGCAATTCCTTTAAATAGAGAACCAAGTGATACAGTGAACGATAATGAGATTGAATCATTATTAAATTATACCTCTACAATCATTATAAATGTTAGAAATAACTTAATTAAGATTAGAAACAAGATGTTGTCTAATTATAATAAAAATAAAAAGTATAATGATTTTAAGATCGGTGATAAAGTGTATGTTAAGGAAAAGAGACCTTCCAAGAAGTGGAACAAATTAGAAGCAGTATACGCTGGTCCCTATGAGATCATCGATATTGACAAACAAAATTTAAATATAACTATAAGAGATTATATCTCTGGAGTTTCAAGAATTAGAACAACGTCTAAAACGTTGCACGTAAAATACTTTAAACACGCTCCAAAGGATGACGTGAACGAGAGAGAATACATTCCAGTAGAAAAATTAGATTCTTTTCTAAATAATGATGAATTAATATCCGATGTAAAAATGTCTGATATCAGTAATGAAGACGAAATCACAGATGAAACTATGGATCAAGACGACGTAGTTAATCATCAAGATGAAATTAATCAAGACGAAGATGATATCTCTGATCTTGAAGATTTAAATGATTTGATGACTGATATATCAAGTATTGATTCGTCATTAGAACCTAAAGGACATTTTTCAGATTTACAGTTATCGAGAATCTTAAATCCTGAAAAAAATACATATCATAAAGTTAGAGAAATTTTAAATAATAATAAATCTAGCCCAAATACATTTATAAATCTTTTAAGAACTTTAGAAGAAAAGGAATCAGTAATAGATTACCCTCACAACAAAGTAACAGAGGAATCTAACCTTTTAATAAATAGTATTATGAAATTTGCAATATCGCCAGAATTATTCGAAATGATTCAGAAAAGATCATTTAAAATAGTATCTAAAAGAAGATTAACTAGTAACACTGATTATTTAGTTAAAATAAGTAATACTGTTGGATGGGTTTCAAGACAAATCCTCGCCAAACATGCATCCAAACAAATCAACGATTTCAACAAGAAAATCGACAACCTCAACCCTGTAGCCAATATTAACAGTTTACTGTTTAGAGAGAACAATATTCTAAACGCCTTAGAGACAGTTACCAACCCACATCACCGCAATAAACTTATGTCAAAGTACCATAAGATCAAATCCAACACCGCTGTATTCTTCTTGAATACTTCTTTTTAAGAAAGAGGAGTGTTATCCAATAATATTAGATAATATAGATAATTAACACAACATTGTCTATTCAACTACCAATATATCAATATACAATTAACCCAATAATTAATATTACAATTCAGATAATTATATTCAACATATAATCCAGCATACAAATCATCCAGATGATTTTATTATATTCAACGAATCAACTATACTACAATTCAGAATAATAATGTAAAATACCAACAAACAACAGATATAAATATCCCAGATAGAGATACAGAAAGGAAAAGAAATATAGACAGAAGATCTAACATTAAATATATAAATAAAACTAAATCTATAAACAAAACTAAATACTTTATTTAATTAATTATATATTATTATTAACTACTATGGACATAAATAACAATAATAATAACAATCAACAAGACATTACAGGTTTCATCCATTTGGCATTTGATAGTTGAAGATTCCATTTCATTTTAATATATTGTTGTTTATTTTCAACAAATCTTTGAAATGGAGAAAAGTTTGGGAATTCATAAATTTCTTTTCCAATCTGTTGAAAAAAACCATAGTTGACATAATACTCCCAACTTTTAAGGAATTGACCATATTTCAAAGTAGAAATTTCAGTTTGAACTTTCACTTCAGCATTTTCGATTTCATTTCGCAATAGTTGAAAAAATTCAAGTTTCTTTTCATTTCTCTTTGATATTTCGATCTTCTCTTTCAATTCTTCCATTTTTGATATATAAAAGGGTGTAAAGATAGAGTGGATTTCTTCAGATGAAATGAACAGTCCACTTGGGTATGATTCTTTGTAATATTCAAAACATCTTTCATTGTAAAATGATGATGATTCAAAATTAATTGTAAAAGAAAATGTTTTACTTCCAATGAATTGATCCAAAGTTGTGTCTACAGATGTTAGACTTCTTGATGATGCTATTGTTTGTAATTCAATTCTCTTTTTGCACTTTTCAAGTTCGATCATTCTCTTACAATCATCCAAGAAATATTTCTTGACAACTTCACCAGTTTTGATATGATTTCCAGAGTTGAATGCTTCCAACAAATCCTTGACAGAATCTGAAAAAGATGAAGCAGATTGAAGTTGGTTGGAGATTGATATCTTATCTAAAACTCCAACTTTAATTGCTTCAACCAATCTTGGATGTAAAATAACATCCATTGATGTAGATTCATCTTCCATTGGCATAGTTGGGAATTTGAATGGAATGATTTCAATACTATCATCTTGAAGTATTTCTTTGCATTCATTGACACATTTAATGACAATATCTGGTTTGAAATTTGTCATAATGAAGATCTGTTTGGTAATTGGTTTCAATCCAAATTGTTTGGTTGCTACCAATCCTTTCTTGAAAACTTTCAGAGCATCATACAAAAAGTTTGCTCTTGTTTCTCTACAACAGAACATCATAACGGGACATAAAGTAGACATCACCATATTCATGGCCCAACAATGTTCTTCTTTGATTTCGAAACCTTCCATATCGATTGGTTCTAAATTGACTTGATTTCCAGAGATTCTTGATCTTGTTGATTCTGACATCACCATTGCACCTTTGGTAAAAGATTCTGAATCGAATGATAAATCAGGTTTTGATATTGGGAAGTACTCAGCTTTGATTCCATAGAGAATGTAGAGAATGATATTACAAATAGTTGATTTACCAGCTCCAGGAGCACCAATGAAACCAATTAATGTTTTACACTGACGGATGGCTGTTGGATCTGAAATAATTTTACCGTTTTTATCTTCTTTTAAATATATAGATAAATCCATTTTATTCAAAGTTTTGTTTTTTAAAATTAAAATTGATTTACCTAATAAAAATTTGAGTAAAAATTTTAATTAAAAATTTAAGTTTTCAATTTAAACTCAAATTTTAACTTTAATTTAAATTTATGATCTTATCTTTAATTTAATAATTAATTTAAAAATAAATAAAATTTGATCTATTTTTAAACAGATATTTGAATAACAAAAACTAAAAATTCAATTTCAATTTCTGTGGTGTTTTTGTTACTTTTTCACACCTTTGCCAAAAATAGTGTTGTATACTAACTTTAATTAAAATTATAAGTTCTATAGAGAAAACATGTTTAAAAAATTTTTAAAAATTTAAGTTTTGAATTAAAATGAAGAAATTATTAAATAAAATCGTTGGTTGATATCAAAAAAAGAAACTTCTCTATCTCCTCTTTTTATTTCCTTGTGGTATTTATTATTTTAGGGTATTATATTTTGAAAATTTTATGTACCCACAGGTGTGGGGTTTTAAATGATTTTAACAATTTTTAATGCAAAAAAAACAAAATTAAATTGTTAAGTTTAGAATTTATTTAAAAAACTTAAATTCTTAATTATATTTGATTTCTTTTTATATTCCAACTTAATTTATTATTCATTAATCAAATCAATTAAATCAATAAAAAAATGAAAAATATATCTATATATTTAAAACAAGATAAAAATGGAAAAATTATTTCAGATCCAACGGCCATCAGTGTAAAACATTAATTGGACTTATTGGTGCTCCTGGAGCTGGTAAATCAACTATTTGTAATATCATTCTTTACCTACTATATGGCTTCAAAGCAGAATACTTTAAAACATCAGATGATCATAAATCATTCACCAAAGGTGCAATGGTGATGTCTGAATCAGCAAGATCAAGAATCTCTGGAAAGCAAATCAATTTAGAACCTTTGGATATGGAAGGCTTCGATATCAATGAAGAACATTGTTGGGCCATGAATATGGTGATGTCTACTTTATGTCCCGTTATGATGTTCTGTTGTAGAGAAACAAGAGCAAACTTTTTGTATGATGCTCTGAAAGTTTTCAAGAAAGGATTGGTAGCAACCAAACAATTTGGATTGAAACCAATTACCAAACAGATCTTCATTATGACAAATTTCAAACCAGATATTGTCATTAAATGTGTCAATGAATGCAAAGAAATACTTCAAGATGATAGTATTGAAATCATTCCATTCAAATTCCCAACTATGCCAATGGAAGATGAATCTACATCAATGGATGTTATTTTACATCCAAGATTGGTTGAAGCAATTAAAGTTGGAGTTTTAGATAAGATATCAATCTCCAACCAACTTCAATCTGCTTCATCTTTTTCAGATTATGTGAAGGATTTGTTGAAAGCATTCAACTCTGGAAATCATATCAAAACTGGTGAAGTTGTCAAGAAATATTTCTTGGATGATTGTAAGAGAATGATCGAACTTGAAAAGTGCAAAAAGAGAATCGAATTGCAAACTACAGCATCATCTTCCTTGTTAACCTCAGTCGATACCACATTGGTCCAATTCATTGGAACTCAATCATTCACATTTACAATCAACGTGAAATCAGCATCATGTTACAACGATAAATGAGCTGAATATTTCCAACAAACTTATCCCAATGGACTATTCCTTTCAAAAGAAGAAATCAACGAAATCTACCAACCAATCTATGACTCAAAGATCGAAGATTTGAAAGAGAAAATAGAAATCTCTCTTGCAAAAGAAAAAAAAGAAAAGAAACTTGAATTTCTTGAGAAGGTTCAAAAAGAAATTGAAAATTCAAAAGCTAAAGTCCAGGCTAAAATTCTCAAATTGAAATTCGATAAACTATTAAAAAATTGGGATCATTACATCGAAAAGGAACATTATGAGAAACTTGGAGAAGAAGTATATGAAATTCCCAACTTTTTACCTTTTCAAAAGTATATGGAAAAGGAACAACAAAATCTCAAAACTAAGTGGAATCTTCAAAAGTCAAATGCCAAATGGATCAATCCAGTCCAAGCTTGTGGGGATTTAAAATGTGCAGGTGGTCATAAGCTTAAAAATACAGTAGTTTGTTCTGAATGTCCTGGTCATTTATATTGGTTAGATGTTCCAACTAGATCCTATATGTGTAGGGGATGTGAGAAGTCGTCAAAATTCCACAGTCTTGATCTAATCTGTACGAGATGCAAATCAGAATCATACTGTAAAATTCGTGTCTAATGAATCCTTTGTTTTTATAATATATAAAATATCTAATTTCTCATTTTAAATTTTAAATTTTAAATATCAAATATGTCTAAATATTGACAATTCAATTTTTTTTTAATGTTTGCTTTGATTTGATCACAAAAACTTCGCACATAATTAAAATTTAAAAAGTATGGATCATAAAAAATAAAAACTACTAAAATATGTATTTTAGAAATCAAAGATATTTATTTTTGCTCTAGTTGATTTAACGTTTTTGCAAAAACCTATATTTGTCTAAGAAAACAATGTTCACCTCACCCATTTTTTTTAAATAAGAGATTACTTCATACAAAAAATTGTGAATTAAGGGTTGAATTTTGAATATGTGTTTGTAAAGAGATAGTTGAAAGAAATAAAATAGATAAAAGTTTAAAGATAATATATATACAATTAGTTTTCAAGGCTTAAATAGCTTTGTGGTGATGAAAAACACAACAATATACGTTTGTGTGATATAATTCTATTTTTTTAAATAATTTTTTTTTTTATGAAATCTAATAAATATAACAATGATTTAAGAAAAAAAAAAATAATACAATCTGATCATACATTTGATAGTTTCCAAAAAATTGGATAAAACAAACTTTGCGAAAATTAGTTTTATTTATTTTATTATGGAAAAAGGATATAGTTTCTAGTTGTTATTAATGTTAAATGATAATATTAAAATTAATTAATATTTAATGAAGTAATTAGTTTGATAGATTCCCGTGCTCTTGAGAGGTAACGGCTTGTCAAATTTTTATAGGCTATTTTAGACTGAAAATCACCGACTACGCATGATGCTGAACACTACTCTCTTTCTTTATGTTTTTGGATGATGGTGGTCGTGTAGGTTGCTGAAACAATGTGGTTGTGATTATTTGTATGGTTAGTTGACAAGATCACATTGTTTTATCAAGGGTGTAGACTATTCTGAAACAAAAGAATTATCATGCTTTTAGAAATCGAAACATTTAGAATTCTAACATATTAATTGAATATAACCATAATTAGTATATATTAGGTATCTATCAATATAAATTCTATAAACATTCACTATTCATTTTTAAAAACAATATTGTTTTGTTATTTTTGTTGTTTTTGTTGATTAACTATATTAATGTTATCTTTTGTTGTTGCTATCATTGTTTATATTGACGGAGAGGTTGTAGTTGTAGTACGAATGTTTATAACAAATAGTGTAGTACTGCCATTAAGTCATTATAAAAAATTGGTTTTATAACTATCAAATCATATAGTGAAACAAAACAACAATTAAGGTTATAGTGGTAATTGTTGTTGTAGTTGTTGTGACCTGTGACGAAGATGATTGTTGTTGATTCAAGTAAAGAATTCGCTAATCTTACTAATAAACTATATAATAGATAGATAAACTTATTAGCTAATGAAATATAATGTAAGATTGGATTTGTGATAATTTGTAGATGATGTATATGAATGTTGATAAAGCTTTAAATTGATTATTATATTCCAACGACTGGTTCAGTGACACCTTTAGAGTAAAGGTGTTGCTGCTAGATTTGTAGTTGAAGCTATTACTACTCACTTTTAACACAGTTACATTATATTATGCCTAACATCTAATCAGAGAATAACAATGGAAAAACTAACTTGGTAATAAATCAAATAATAATAAATAATTTTGTTATTTTTTTGAATAAAATTATATGTTAATATAAACTTGTGTATATAAGTTAGGTTTAATATAATTGATGAATAACTTCGTACCTGATTGTATTAAGTTAGAAATGACTCTACTCTAACTCTATCATTGCCAAATATACAAATGTAGTTCTTCAATGAAACTCTTGACATGCATGTTTATATATAATAAATACCACTGATTATTATTATCTTTGTTTAAATTAAATATATCTTTCATTATTCGAATTGCAAAGCCATTACTAGAATCACAACTATTTATTCTAGAGTGTGCTTCATATATATCTTTTTAACAAAATAAAATTTAAATAATTAAAAAAAATCAACAATCATAAAAACAACTGAATTTTGGCACAAACAGAAATATTAATATTAGTATTATTATATTTGTAAGGATAATATTGTTGTCTCAATAACTTTTGTTAGGACTTTCTTTGAGTTCAAGCAATGGTTAACAGAGTATGAAAATTCTTCATATTTCTCTTCTATGCAAAAGTTATCAGACTTAAATCTTGTCTACCATCTAATGATTGATATTATATATTATTTATTTATATTTATTGAAAGATAACATTGTGATCTCTTATAACCCTTGTTAGGCTTTTCTCTTTGAGTTTTAGCGATAGTCAACTTAAATTTCTGTTCTCTATTCAAAAGTTATCATTAGGCATAATTTCTTATCTAATATAAACATTAAACTAATCCATATATAATTATATTCCGTTACTATAATATCAATCTACATCTCAGTTACTATTCATGTCGTGCGGCTCCGTTTTCGGAGTATGTTCAACATTTTTAAAATTTTAAGTTTTTTTTAATTTAATAATTTAATTAAAACAAACCTAAAAATTTAAACTTGATTTCTTTCAAAGAATTCTTTTAAAATTAAAATATTAATTTCTATTTTTCTATTTATTTTGGTTTTAAAGAAGTTAAACTAATCATTCCTTAATATTTATATTTCCTTCCAAAAAATGTTATTTTACATCCAAGATTGGTTGAAGCAATTAAAGTGGGAGTTGTGGACAAGATATCAATTCTTTTGGCAAAAGAAAAGAAACGTGAATTTCTCGAAAGTGTTAAAAAAGAAATTGAGAATGCCAAAGCGACAGTCCAAGTGGAAATTCCTAATCTAAAATTCGATGAACTATTAAATAATTGGGAATATTATATCAATAAGAGATACTTTGAGAAACTTGGAGAGCAAGTTAATGAAATTCCCAATTTTTTACCATTCCAGAAATTCATGGAAGAAGAGCAACAGAAATTGAAGGCTAAATGGAGTCTTCAAAAATCCAATTCCAAATGGATCCATCCAGTTCAATCTTGTGGAGATTTAAGGTGTGCAGGTGGTCATACCCTTAATAATACAGTTGTCTGTTGGGATTGTAAAAACGAATTATTTTGGACCGATGTTCCAACTAGATCCTATATGTGTAAAGGATGTGATATGTCCTCGAAATTCTATTCACTGGATCTCAAATGTATTCGATGTAAAGAAGAAGCATACTGCAAAATTCGTGTCTGATCATTCATTCATTTATTCATTTGACTAATTTAATTGCTAAAACTAAAATAAAATAAAAAAAATTATAATAATAAAAAAAGAGTATTATGAACAAATTATTTAAGAATCATTAGATTATATTAAAATTAATAGGAATATGGATTTACTTAAACCATAACATTGCTTACTTTCAAGTTAAATATATAAAGGTAGTCTATAGTTGTTAAATTATTATCATGAAGGAATTGACAGTAGAATAACATCGTGGCGTAGGTGTATGGGAGATTTGCTTACCTTTTGGAGATTGAGTGTTAAGGTTTACAATACTTTAATAGATCATATGTTTTGGTTGTACTTGTTGACATCATTTCTTAACAAGATAGTGTACAGGTTCTTTGGTTGTTTACATATGTCCAATAACCTTTGTAGTTCCTAGCAAGTATCCAAATCAAATGAACAACCTTTGTCGCACTGCACCCCACTGATTCAAACGTGTGTACAAATATAATGTATCAATATAAACTCTATAGACATACACTATTCTTTTTTTAAAAAATAAAAACAAAAGATCATGACCATAAATTGTATGCATTGTTAAGTTGACAACAACAAAGATGCAGACACGATTGTAGTTGTTATTGGGATAGAAGAATTATCATGTTTAAAAAATACGATTTGAAATGACGATCGATACTAACTTGATTATTGATATATTAGAGCTACCCTTTCTAAATTTTAATAGAAATGATAAACAAATGTAGCTCTTCAGTGCATGAGTTGTTGTTTTATTATTGAAGGACCATGCATTGTTAATACTACCTATCACGTAATAATAGCTATTATTATTATCTATATTTAAAAAAGCGAATTCGCTTTATCTTATATATCTAGATATTGATATCAATTATTTATAATATCATTGTGGCTCTTCACTTTAACTAATGAGTTGTTAATATCTTCTATCTCTATTATCTTTGTGTTTTTAAACTGAGACACCTGATGCACCAACTTCTGCATGCGTAATAAAAATATTTTTTAGTTTGATTTCTTTATTTTTATTTTTATTTTTATTTTTTTGGTATTTCATTTTCTTTATGATTTTTCTTCTTCTCATTTTTGCTTCTTAATTCGCTTTGAATTCACCAATTCCATCCAATATTAAAATCAATCGACTAGAAATCGATGGAACTTTATTAAAGCCTATCATTTCTCCCGACTGAATTGGAATCATTTCCTTTGAAAGGGTCAACAGATGCAGGATCGTGTAGCGCAGATTGTCAGATTCCTCCATTGATTAAAGAGTTGAAAGTTTCTTTTGACCTTATGTTAAAGTCTCAACATGAAATACCAAGATCAATCCAAACTTTCTAATATAATTAGAAAGTTGGATGATAATTACTATTTAATACTAGGTACCTATCAAAATAATTTAATAGCCAAAATATTTAATCAATCAAATTTGGTGCTCTATTTTAATCCTTTAGAATCTAAGCTATCACTCAAAAGATTCACTCCAGATATTGATTTTCAAATTTTAGTTTATTTGGTTCAAATCTAAATTTTTAAAATTGACAATCTTTTTTAAAATCCTGTAAATAATTAATTCAAATAAATTCTTGTTCATAACAAATTCCAAAGGTTATGTGAATTCAATTCAAGCTGAGCTTTTATTAAAACAAAAAAAAAATAATCAAAATATGTATAATGGTTGGGTGGTGTGTATAACATATGTGGGGTGTTAGATTTTAAACACACTTTTCAATTTCTAAGGGTAGGTGGTAGTACTATTTGAAGTAATAGAATTAATTCAACATTTATTTAAGAGGAAAAGGAAGTTTAGATTTTATCAATTTTGTTTTAAATTTAAAGTCAAGGAAATATATTTAAAAATGTCTTTTACTTAATTTTGAAAACAGCCTAGATAAGTTTATTAAATCAAATTTTACTTGTACCTTTGAAGAGAGATTAATATTATTATAAAATAAAAATAAAAAATAATTTTTTAAATAAAATTCATTGTGTGAAAATAAATAATTTTTTCACCTTGAGTATATACATTTTTTTTATAAAAGAGTGTTAATTCATAAAGATAATTCTTTTTTGAGAGTTCTATTATAAAGGGGTTATATATAAGTTTAAAAAATGAATATCATAAATCCCATTAGGGTTGGTTCTATATTTTATTTTAATTTTTAGAATGATCTTCATACTATCTGTCACAGATATATAAATATTTATTTAGCTATTTTCAATTTTTAAGACATGACTACTTTTTTAACTATATTCCGCTCGATTTTTTTAAGAAAAAAGATTTTTCAAACAATTAAAGATATTAATTATTTTTATAATCATTTTTCAAAAGAAAATCAATATATTGGAACTCTTCATTCTGATATATATGATTGGTATGATTTAGGTTGTTTTCCAGATCAATTAATTATTTTCAATTATATAGATAGATTTAAAAATATATTTAACATAATAAATTCACTTTTAAAAAATAAATTAAATAATAATAATAAATCAATAATTGATCAATTTGATAATAGAATAATTAATAATTTCAAAGAATTATTTAAAGAATCAATTTCAACCGCCTTGGGATATGAAAATATTGAAGTATTAAAGTTTATTCAAAATTCTTTTTCAGATGAAATTGATTACCAGCGAATTCATTTCAATTCAATAAACTATCATAATCTTCAACTAGTTGAATACCTTCAAAATAATGGATGGTTTAGAGGTCATGGAACTGATATAATGGATTTAGCTGGAAATGGAAGTTTGGATGTTATTCAATTTCTTCATTTCAATAGAACTGATGGTTGTACTGCTCAAGCAATGGTTAATGCAGCATCAAAAGGTAATCTCGCTGTTGTCCAGTTCCTCAACTTCAATAGAACAGAAGGATGTAATCATCTAGCAATAGATTACTCTTTAATTCATAAACATTTCGACACTGCTAAATGGCTTCTTATCAATAGATCAGATGAATTTACAACGATTTCAATTGAATGTGCAGCATGTGAAGGAAATTTGGAGATTTTACAACTTCTATGTGAGAAGAATATAGTAGATATAAACCAAATAAACATTGGAGGAAAACTACAGTCAATTCAATACTTGTTGGAGAATACAAACTTTCGAATTGGAGAACTATCAAAGAAATATTCAATTAGAATGGGTGATTTGGATGTTATCAGATTCCTAAATGAGAATACAACTATTCAGTTGACTTGGACCTCAGAAGATATGGATTACGCAGCAATTGAAGGTCAAATGGCAATTGTTAGATATCTTCATGAAAATAGGACTGAAGGATGTTCATCAAATGCCTTGGAATTTGCAATTGGAAAAGGTTATTTGGATGTAGTACAATTTTTAAATGAAAATAGAACTGAAGGCAATGTATTACTAGGAATTGAACATATATTGGGACATTCAGAGATTAGTACTGGTCAGTTTGAAGTTTTCAAATACATCTATGGGAGATATCCTTTCTTAAATCTACCAGTTGATGTAATGGATCATTTCGCCAAATTCCGAGATTCAACTGCACTCCAATGGTTCAAAGAAAATACTACTTTTCTATGTACTCCTGATGCCTATTTGAAATCCTGTATCTCTAGATGTGTACCCAATCAAATGCTATCGATAGTAAAATGGATCAGAGACAATACAACCTTTCCAATTCCTTATGAAACTGATAAATTCCAAATGATGCATAGATCGTGTGACATTTTGGATTTTATCAAGTATCTACACCAAAATGGAGGAACTTTTTCAACCAATTCTATGGATCTATCAAACAATTTGGAAATCACTTTATTCTTACACTATAATAGAACTGAAGGTTGTACACATCAAGCAATCACCAATGCTATTCAAAAAGGTAATTTTAATTTAGTTAAATTCCTAAGTCAAAATAGAACTGAACTTAACAACTTTGATTATTTAATCTATAATCCATTACATAAAATCCCTATATTACAATTTTATGTATATAGACTTAAAATAATAAAAGAACTCAATATATAGAAATTATAACTTTTACTTTATAGTCAATAATTTACAAAAAAGAGATTTAACTTTTCTAATTATTATACATCTATATTCAAACTAGATCGATTAATTTTCAAACCTCTTGAAATTTGTAAATGAAATTGATCTCGATTGATCTGATTACACAAGTATAAAATAATCGGATCACATTGACCCTATTTTTAATTTTTACATTTTTTTTAAAAAAACGAAAGTGGTTGGGAGCCAGTTTCGTTTTGTAATATAAATATTAATAATTATATATAGTATAATTAAGTTTTCTTGAAGTAATTCTATCTATTCAAAAAAAATGGATAGACAATATCAGTTGTTCAGTCAATTACTTGCATCTTTTGTTATAAGAAATAAGATTTTTCAATCTGTAAGCGATATTAATGATCGAATCATATCAAACTCAAAGAAACACAATGTTTTAAGAGGTAATTGGTATGATATCAGTTGTTTTCCACACCTTTTAATAAAATTCAACTATATTGAAAGATACAAACAAATATTCAATACAATCATTAGAGATAGTAACAATAATGATAGTAATAATGAAACAATCAGTAAATATAAAATATTATATATTGAATCATTAAAGACTGCAGCAAAGTTGGAGAATCTAGATGTAATTGAATTTCTCCATCAATCACTCTCGAATGAGATCGATTACAACTCTATCCTTGAAGCCAAAGTGGTGGGAAGTAAGATCAAAGTGATAGAGTTCCTTCATAAGAATGTTGACCATTGGTTCGTTAGTAAAGGCAAAGCTTTAATGGACAATGCTAGAGATCTGACTCTCGAGGTAGTCCGATTCCTTCATGAAAATCGCAGTGAAGGATGTAGCAGCGAAGCTATCGATGAAGCAGCGCGATGGAACAAACTAGATATTCTCAAATTCCTCCATTACAATAGAACAGAAGGATGCACACACAATGCCAAATACTTTGCTGCTCTCAACGCAAACATGGATATACTCATGTTCCTCTATGAGAATAGAACGGAAGATTGTCCACCGAATACAGCCAGTATGACCACCTGCACTGGAAAAGCATCGGTGACTCTCCTCAAATATCTTTTGGATAACGATCCAAACCAGAAACTCTCTGAGAACGACATAGACGGTGCTGCTAGAAGTGGAAATGTTGATGTTGTCAGGTACCTCCATGAGAATACTACTGTCCGTTGCACTACCGATGCAATGAATAATGGTGCGATCGATGGCCACTATGAGATCGTTAAATTCTTGAATGAAAATCGTAGTGAAGGATGCACGTCTGAAGCTATGGATTTCGCAGCATACGGTTATCTTGACGTTGTGAAATATTTGCATGAAAACAGAACGGAAGGATGTTCAGAACAAGCAATGCTATCAGCTTCAACACGTGGGCACTTGGAAATCCTCAAATTCCTCCAAGAGAATAGAACTGAAGGATGTTCCCAATCGATATTAGATGACACCATGCGATATGGTCAGTTTGAAACGTTCCGATATCTCTTGGAGAAACGTCCCTATCTGACCTATTCACCGTCGGCAATGGATAATGCTGCGAGATGTAAAGATACGACAGCACTCCAATGGTTCAAAGATAATACAACCCTCCGAGTTACAATCGATGCCTATAGACATGCAATCGATCAAGCGAATCTTCCAATCGTTAAATGGATTCACGAGAATACATCACAAGCAATTCCAGCATCAGCTTTGGAAGAAGCTATAAACTGTAAAAAAAGAGATCTCGCAATCATCAAATATCTTCTTGACAACGGTGCAGTTGCAACCTCCGATACTATGGATAATGCATGCAGATTCGATATCATTTCATTCTTACATTATAATAGAACTGAAGGATGTACATCTAGAGCAATGAATTATGCAATTAATAGAGATGATATTCAAGTTATTAAATTCCTAGAACAAAACAGAACTGAACACCTGAATCTCGACTTTTCAGTTTGGAAAGAAAGAAAGGCCTATGGATATACATCAAGATTAAAACTTCTCAAACAATTTAATATTTAAATAAATAATTAATCTTTAAGATTTAAATTATAAAAAATATCTCATGATCAATTATTCCTTATTGTTTCCATTTTTAGTTTTTTGAAATTAAGCAACAAGTAAAACAAGTTTTATCAATTTTTTTTCTAATTCATGTTATCATTTTATTATGACTTATTTATTATTAAAGAAAATACTTAATTCAGTTGTATTAAGTAATAAGATATTTAGATATGTTAAAGATATTCATGATCAACTAGTTTGGGGAAATGGATTAAGATGTGATTGGTATGATCTTGGTTGTTTCCCAGATCTACTGATCAGATTTAACTATATCGAAAGATACAAGCAGATCTTTAATAAAATAGTTGAAAGAAAGAGAAATAATAATAATAGTATAGCGGATGAGAGTTTCCTAAGAATATATTACGAATCTTTTACCAACGCATTGCTTTGTGGAGATATCGATGTGATTATACTACTTTATCACGAATTTCACAAGCAAATAAACTTTAATCGAGTATTATTCAGAGAACATTATCAGAGTAATCTTGCACTGATTGAATTCCTTCATGAAAATTGCGATTATTGGTTCAAAGCCGGTGGTAAAGGAACAATGGATGATGCTGCATTTGGAAGCCTAGAAGTTATCCAGTTTCTTCATTACAATCGGACTGAAGGTTGTTCGAAACAAGCACTTGATAATGCTGCTTCAAGTGGAGACATGGACCTAATCAAGTTCTTACACTTCAATAGAACAGAAGGATGCACCACAAAGATATATGAGAGAACGATTATGTTTGGTCAGCTGAACGTTGTTAAATGGCTACTTGAAAATAGAACAGAAGCGTTTACACAATCGGCAATTCACAGTGCTGTACATCTAGGACATTTAGAAATAGTGAAAACTTTGATAGACTCCAACAAACCATTTCTATGTAAAAAGAATTGTAAGCTATGCAACAACACAACAACAACAAAAACAACAACAAAAACAACACTCAAATATCACATTACTGAAGATTCAACTTTATCATCGAAACTCTTTGAAATAGCAATATCATATGGACATTTAGCTATTGTTCGATATTTTAATGAAAATTTTCATAATGTCAAATGTTCAACTCATTCGTTGAACTCAGCGGCATCACGAGGCTATTTAGAAACGATCAAATACATCTATGAGAATAGAATTGAACGATGTTCAGAACAAGCGATAGAAGATTCTATTAGAAATGGTCATTTAGAAACATTGGTGTTTCTCAATCAAACAATCGACGCTAACTTGCAAGATTATATGCATCTAACTGTATCATACACACAATTCGATATACTTAAATATATTCATCAGCAAAGTAAGATTAAGAATCCCGGTTTTAAATTTCAGCCATTCCTGATGGATCCTTTTGTTACCTGCAAAGATTCGACGAAACTAGATTGGCTAAAGGAGAATACAACGTTTGGTTTCTCGGTGGATGCATATAATCTTGCGATTTACTATGGCAATGTATCGACACTGCGATGGCTACACGAGAACACCGCCTTTGCTATTCCGGACGATGCTTTCGAGACTGCCTGCTGCCAAGAGAACGCCATCGAGAAAGTCCGCTATCTTCATGAACAAGGTGCAACCTGTACAACAGAGGCAATGGATCTTTCGAAATCTATTAAAGTAACATCGTTTTTACATTACAACAGAACTGAAGGATGTACCTCCCAAGCAATGAGTAACGCGATCACCAGTGAGAAAATAGAAATAATTAAATTCCTAGATCAAAACAGAACTGAACATCTTAATTCAAAACCGCAATTAACTGACCAGTACTTTGTACTTGGTCAAAGATATAATATTGCATTAAACTTTCTTGAAAGACTTAAATTAATAAAAGAATATAAAATTTAATAAAACAATTAAAATAAAATCAAAATAACATCAAAAAAAAAAGTGTAGAAAGAACCCTTTGTAACTTTTCATCGGAATTTGACTTTTAAAGACTCACATAATGCCCAAAAAGAAAATAAAAAAAAAACAAAAAGAATTTAATCATTTTTTTCATTTTAAGTTTTGATTTTAGATTTTTATTTAAATTATTTTTTTGATTAATAATTTAATTTATTTATTTAGTAATAATTATTATTATTATTTTATTTCATTTTTATCTTAGAAGAAATAAGAAATGGATGTTGTATTTGCTCCTTATGTAAGTGAGCGTGCTAGAAGTAATATCAAACAATATAAATATCAAGGATGTGATCACTCTATCATTGCTAATCGTGTCTTACAACCATTCTGGAGATGGGCTGTTGAATGGCTTCCAATGTGGATGGCGTATGTACATAATTGTTAACAATCATTACTATCATCATCATCATCATATGACCTGAGTTTTATTCATAACATACTTATTTATTTTTCTAACTATTTTTTTTAAAAAACTATTATAATAAAGTCCAAATCTAATTACATTGATTGGATTCTTCTTTATTATTGCATCTTATCTTGTAACACTTTGGTATACACCGTCGTTTGAGGGATCTGCACCGGGTTGGACTTATATCTTCCACTTGGTGTGTATCTTTGTCTATCAGACGATGGATGCGATCGACGGTAAGCAAGCGAGACGTACCAATTCGTCGTCGGGTCTCGGTGAGTTGTTTGACCACGGTTGTGACGCCATCACTACATTCCTGGTGTTGATATCGTTCCTCAGCTCGATCCAAGCCGGTGTCAACGGTAGTTCGCTCTTCAACGTCATGTTCATCCTGGTCGCCTTTTACTTTACGCAATGGGAGCAATACCACACCGGTGTCATGGAACTCGGATTCATCGGTGTCACCGAGGGTCATCTCTTCATGATGCTCGGTCACTTCATTACCTATCTCTTTGGTCCATCGATCTGGTTCACCACCTACACACTCTTTGGCTACACCATTCAATTCAATGCAATCCCATTATTCTCAAGTAATCTAACTGCACTTATTACAATCATTACAAAGTAAGTTATTATTATTGATTCGACTTTTTGTCAAAGATAACTACTAACATCCATCATTTTATTATTAGTATCATTACAGTTATCAAGAGTAAACCAAAGAATCCAATTGTATCAGTTATTCAAATTGTACCAATTCTATTTGTATTATATGTATCTATGACATGGGCATCTAACTCCACTGCATTGGTATTACAAAATAATCCACATGTTTATATGTGTACATTTGGTTTCATTGTTGCATTTTTAGTTGTAAGTATATTAATTATTAAGCTATTAGATATAAATAACTAATCAATAATAACAACAATAATATTAATAATAAATTTTATTTAGGGTCGTATTGTACTTGCGAGAATCTGTTGTGATTCATTTTTCCCATTCCAAGTTATTATTTTCCCATTATTGGTTCCATTGTTATCTTATTCATTTGGGTATGTTATTTATATATATATATATATTATTATTATACAAGTAGATCATAACAACTAACAAACATTTAATTCAAATTATAGTATCAATTTATTTTCATTTATCAATGAATCACTCTTTATTCAATTGTATTGTATCGGCACAATCATCATTTATATTCACTTTGCCAACGTTGTCATTACTGCCCTATGTAAAGTTCTACAAATTCAATGTTTCAAACTTAATAAGAAACTACATTAAAATAATCTATTATCTTATCTTTATCATCATCATCATCATCTTTTGATTTAATTTGATACTAAATTTACATTATTTTTTAATTTTATTGATTACTTTGTAATGTTATATACTATATTACTATTATTATTATAATTAACTATATTATTATTATTATTATATTAAATTTATACAATATCAGATGGATCGTTCTTCTTTAATGAACTAGGTGTCTGGAATGTAGGTACTGCAAACATCCACCAACTACGATTCATACCGAAATTGAAAAAGTCATTGAAATTATTGGCGCATCCATTGTCGTAGGGATTCTTGTAGAGTTCACCGCGTGCTTTTGCTTTACTGATTTGTGTTCGATTGTGAAGAAACTCTATCGTTGTCTGTCCTGTCAGTATCAGATAGGTTTGCCATGCCATCAGTGCACCCAACGCCAAAGATATGGTCAACGTCAGCACGAATGCCATCAACGAGCCGAAGGCAATAAACTTTCGGTGAAAGATATGCGGATACGATACAAAACAAACATAAATACAAGAAACCCAAAGATAAAGAAGAAACAACATAAAATATCGATGATTCCTCAGTCCAACACAATTATTAATCCAAGGACAATGATGATCCATTCTCAATACACAAGTATTACAAATTTGACAATGATGTGCACGATCCATCTTTGGTAAACGACCTACAAAGAGAGAATGAAAAAAAGAGAAAAAGTAAACATGTATTATATATATATATATACATAAGTATGTTAGCTATATATCATTCTATTAACATCCATCTTAAACATCATATAACAATTGTAAAGACTTACAGGTTACACAAAACTTTGTAAAACTTTCACTCTTTTTGATTACTTTGATTTGATTGAACGCTTCGAGTTGTTGATCGGTGTAGTCGGATTCGCGAGGTGTTTCACCGGGTGGTGTACGTATCACCATGAAATAGTTGAATGTCAGGTTGAATAAGAGTATGAATGAGATGAGGTAGTGTATCGATGCTGCCAAGCCATTGCCTTCTATCGACATCAAGTCGGGTAGGAACACAACAAAGTGAATATATGCTATAAAGGTGATGAGTGCCACTGCAAATCCTACAAACAGAGGACCGATACCTCTAAGTATGACCTGCATCGAATCTTCGAGACAATTGATACATCTCTCACCAAACGGTGCATCTTTTGACATGATTTTGGTGTTGTTTTTTATCTCCTCTCAAACTATCCTATCCTATCCTATACTAGATCTTAAAACTACTATCTTTTTAATATTAAATTGAACCAATAACAATAATAATAATAATGATATAAAATAAAATAAAAAGTTAAGAGGTTTTTAAAATTCTAAAATTAAATTAATTCAATTAATTGTTTTTAAATTTTTGAGATTCGATTTTTATTTTTTAATTTAACTTTTTTTTCAACTAACTTTATTATTATAATAATTTATTACCAAATACAATTGTTTGGAATCCAATTAATAATTATTTGTACAAATTTTGCTATTTATTTATATTTATTTGAGTATATTTATTATATTTTTCTTTTTATTTGTTTCTTTTTTAATTTTTAAAAAAACGAATCTAAAATAAAAAAAAGGTGAACATGAATATGTTCATTTATTTATTTCTAAATTTACTATATCTCCAATGACAATTCTTTATAGTTTGATAATTAAATTCCGAAATCGGACTGCGGAAATTGATTACAAAAGAAATCACATCATATACAAAAAAAACCAATAAAAAAAAGGATAGTAAAATGGCATTAACATTTGATCGGAATTTTAAGATGAATAGTTTTTTGTTTGGTTTTTCTTAAAAAATTTAAAGAGTGCTTGCGATGCTTTGGTGTTGGTTGTTTTTGATAAAAACTCGGAATTCACACTTTCTTTTTGGTATTCATTTTGTTTAATTTTACTTTTTTATTAAAAAAATAGACCACTCCCAAAGAAAAAAAAAAACCAAATAAAAATCAAGGTCTCATACAAAAAAAAAAAAAAAAATTAAAACAAAATAAAAGTTTTTTTGTTTTTGGTTTTGTTTTTTTTTTGCAAAATTTCAGCTATTTAAAATTAAATCAATCAAATCCTTTTGACCTTTGATAGTCATCACCATCAACCAAGTCAGGTGTTTGTTTGTTTTGTTTTGTTTTGTTTGTTCTATCTATATCATTAAAATTATATTATATAAGCAAACTTTATATATAGACTACCAAATTTGACTTTACTTTGAATGTTGATCACCTTGGTGAAGATTTGTAAATAGAAAAATAAAAAATAAAATAGTTATTGACAGTCAAAAATAGAAAAATAAAAAATAAAATAAATCAAGTGTATACATATTTAGTAATATATTCAATTTCAATATCAATTTCAAATTCAATCGAATCGATACGATATGATATGTTATACAATCAATCAATTATTGAATCTAAAATAAAAATAAAATAGTAAATAATAAGAAATTTCTAGAAATTTCTTTTTTTTTGTTTTGTTTTGTTTTGTTTTGTTTTTATTTTGTAATATAAATATAAATATATAAATAGTATCAATTATTACGGTTTCAAATAGAAAATGGATAGTCCAACACCACCACCTGTAGTAATATTATCAACCACCGCCACCACCACACCACCACAATCATCACAACCAACACAATCACGTTCACTCAATTCCTCATCAAATTCAACACCAATTATAGTTCAATCTTCATCATCACCACCATTGAATTCGAGTGGTGAAATCATTAACAACAAAATCAGTCGTAGTCCATCTTCATCGTTTACCTCTACGTGGAGTCCACCAACGAACAGCGGTGGATGGAAGACATCGGCACCGAAGCGTGACTCTGTCTATGGAGTGGCACCACTCTCAACGAGTCAACAGAATCTACTATCACCAGCCCGCAAATTCAGCCATATATCATCACCAGACTCGATGACTTCAACCAGCACAGCAGTAGATTTACCACCACCAACATTCGATCTATCTTCCTCTGGCTCAACATCAACCTCACCAAACTCTGTAAATAACAATAGCAATTCACAACAACAACAACAACAACAAACACGTATAGTAGTAAATAATAAATCACCTCCAACCTCTTCATCTTCATCACCATCTTCCTCATCTATTTCACTTACTCCACCAGATTCACCTTCACAAAATCATCATAATAATAATAATAATAGTAACAATAGTAATAATAATAACAACAACTCACTTTCAACTCCAACAAGTCCTGTAATATCAAGTAGTAATAGTAATAGTAATAGTAACCTTACTTTAAGTGGTAAAAACACAGTAAAGAAACAACAACATCAATCGATTTTCAGTCATCTTTTAAGTTTTGCTCAGACACCTCTCAATCAGTCAGGTCAAGTCGGTAGTGGTTACGAAACAATCAGACTGACACCACCGGTCGGCGATGAGATTCTGGTGAAGGTGTGGGTACCGATGGAGTACACCGGACAATTGTACAGGGTTCGCAAATTCAGTGGTGGCAAATCGACTCAAGACATCGTCCAGCAACTCAACTCCCAACTGGCGCCAATCTATCAATCGCCGAAAAACAAGCTATTCCTCAACAACGACGAACGTCCCGTTCCAAACGTCAGCCTTAAGAATCTGAATCTTGGATCGCAAGACATTCTCTATCTGCGACGTGAGCCAGAGTACGAACTGATTGCGCCGGGCTACCCGGCAAAAGGAACACTGGTGCTCGACAAGGATATCAAGGTTGGCGAGATGTTGCATCGCATCGAATTATGGTTGGAACCGGAGGATCGACATGACAATAATAATATCAGCAACTCATTGAATAGCAGTGGATATCAACTGAATCAATCGGGAGGCGGTGCCAAATACCGTCCGGAATACTTCCAGACTCTTGAAGATCACAATCTCATGATTGTCGGTGGCAACGACAAAGACGGTGAACATCCAGTGTCCAACTACAAACTGCTCAAGAAACTATGTCTTCCCACACAACGTCCAATCGGTAAAGTTTCAAGAGGTTATTATCTTAGACTTTATGATCAAAAACAAATTGCAAACTATGGTATAAAGATAAAAGTAAGTAGTAACAAAACATTTTTATATCTCTGACATCTGAAAACAAACTAACTTTAATTACTTTATTTACTTTTGTTGTAGGACACATTGATATTTAAGAAAAAGATTATTAATCGTGGATTATGTGTGGATGATGCTGATGGTGGAATTGAAATTACAGTTATTTACTCACCAATGTCGATGGTACCAACTTTTCCAGAGGCAGATGTTTATCCAACGAATAAAGATGGTACGCCGGCGACAGGTAGTGGGGCAGCCGGCAAAGAGAAAGATAATAGAGATTACAATCCAGCTCAGAAGGATCTGTTGATAAAGGTGGAGCGACTGAGTGTGATCGATCCATCGATGCAACCGGCACCCAATTCACCACCTGGTACTCCACTCACGGCCGTCGAGCTGGCGGGCGACGGTTACACCACTGAGAAACAACGAAAACACAAATCACGAAGAACACCCTCTAGCGTTGGACTACCGTTCAATCTTGTACATAAAACACACGTAGATTTCGAGTATAAATGGTCCGGTGCGAACCTCGAGGATTCCTTTGAGTTCAAAGAGAAACTTGGTCAGGGTGGATACGGTGCTGTATTCCGCGCGCTCCATCGCGAGTCCGGAACAACACTTGCAGTGAAAGTTCTATCGATTACACCGACAAGAATTGCCGATATCGAAAAAGAGATTGATCTACTAAAGAAATGTCGTTGTCAGAGTGTATTGTCTTATTATGGATCGATTGCCAAACTGGCGGAACTCTGGATTCTGATGGACTATTGTGCGGTCGGTTCGGTCAAGGATATGATGAAAACCTGTTGTGATACACTGGATGAAGAGCAGATTGCTGCGGTGGCTGCCGATGTCCTGAGCGGACTGGGTTACCTCCACTCGAAGGGAATAGTGCATCTCGATGTCAAAGCAGCGAATATCCTACTGACAGAAGACGGACAGGTCAAGATGGCAGACTTTGGTGTCAGTCAGCAACTGCAGACTCCCTACGGACAATCGTCGATTCTCATTGGAAGTCCGCTCTACATGGCACCGGAACTCATTCTCAAGGCACCGTTCAACTCAAAGGCCGATGTCTGGTCGTTCGGCATCACACTAATCGAACTGGCCGAGGGAAGACCACCTTCACGTGGCTTGAAATCGATGGCACAACTCTGCGAAGTGCCAAACATGCCACCACCCAAACTCGCCAATCCCAAAGATTGGAGTCCTTCATTTAATGATTTTATTTCAAAGTGTCTAACCAAAGATCCTGAACAAAGACCAAGTGTTGGTGATTTATTATCTGTAAGTTAGAAATTAATTAATCACTCTGAAAAAACAATACTCAAATTTACTAATTTATTGCAATTTATTTATTTTTATAGCATCCTTTTATTCAAAATGCTAAAACAACAGAGTGTTTAGGAAATATGATAAAACAATGTCTACAAATTAGGGAAACACAAAAAGATCATGATCAAACAAGAGAATAGAATAAAATTCATATTTTTATTTATTTTAAATAGTTTTTATTTTAGCATAATGCTAAAATAATAATATCATATTCATAATATAAGATTACATTATGGCAATATATTATATTATCTATAATGACAATTACCATATGTCATTTTAATTGTTAAATTTGTAAGTTGATCTTCACTAACTCCATTTGGATATAACAACATTATTTATAAATACTATTGAATGATTAACACATAAATGAATATATATATTTATGTGTTGGTGTTAAATTTGATTGCAAAGTAAAATGATTTGATTTAGTGTTATTCTGAATTCACACACAACATTTGACAACAACAAACATTCATGTTTAATATTTATTGGTAACCACCCTTACAGAACTCTTTTATTACCTTCAAAATGTGACATGAAATGATTAATTTGTATTTTTATAATAGATCAGATTAATGAAGAGTAACGAATAAATGATTAAATAAATATATAACTGTGCGAAAAACACCAATCATATCATTGTCAATGAATCAAAACACATAATCTATTATCACATTACAAAAACCAAAAATATCATTGATCATTTTTCATTTTGTTTTTCTTCTTTTTCAATGAATATCCATGTGATTAGATGGGTGGTTGGTTTCATGAAAAACATAATATATTTATTGTTTGGTCTAATTATTTTTGACAAACATTTTCAAATTTGGTATCACCATCACTGGAAACCCCTTCCAAGGAATTTTACACCAACTCAACGAGAGTGAAGGCGGTGGGTCAGTGAACTGTTATGTTTGACCACATATCTCGATTAAAAAAGCAAAAAAAAAAAAAAAACAAAAATAAAAAAAATGAAAAATGAATTAAATTTTGCTCTCATTAAAAAATCAATCCACCATAAACCAAAATTTCTAAATGGTTATGATAAAATTCCATTTTAGATTTAATTTTAGGTTTTCAATTTGTTTGTTATTGATTTGGCACTAGAAAACAAGGGGTGCACCCACACCCAGATGCAATTTTAATTTTTTACTAAAGTAAATGGGATAGATGTTGAAGACAGTGGGTTTATTAATAATATTTTTTTTTTGTTTTTTTAAATTTAATAATTATTTTGTTAGTTGGTTTTTTCATTTTTGCTTTCAATCAGCGCTGCATAAAATCCTTTTCATATTCAATCAACTCATCAATATCTAAATATTCTCTGTATTCTATAAGTTATATCAATTTTTTTGTATTTCTACACTAAATAACTCTATATATAAATAAAAATGGCCGACGTCTCAGACCCACAATTGGAACAAAACTACCAAAAAGTTCTCTCTGATGCTGATGAAACCAACTGGTAAGTAATTAAAATATTAATAAATAAACAAACAAAAAAAAGTTAAAGTTTTATTAATATTTTTTTTTTCTATTTTATTTTTATTAATTAATTATTTTTTAGGTGTGTATTTGGATATGATGCTTCTGGTAAGAATATCGTCTTCCAAGCTGCCGGTACTGGTGGTATTGAAGAGTTGAAGGGACATCTCGCTGAAGACCAATGTCAATATGCCTACCTCCGTGTCATCTCTGGTGATGCTGAATCAAAGAGAGCCAAGTTTGTCTTCATCTCATGGTGTGGTGAGGGTGTTGGTGCTTTGAAGAGAGCCAAGATGTCTGTACACAAGGCTTCCGTCAAGAAGGTTATCAAGAACTACGGTGTTGAGGCTCACTTCACCAACCCAGATGAAGTCAACGAAAACGAAATTGCCACCAAGATCAAGAAGGCCTCCGGTGCTGACTACTCTGGTAACTCTGGATCCCAATAAATAACTAAACAAGAAAAAGAAAAACAGTTATAAAAACACTTTTATAAAATAATACAAGTTGTTTTGATAATTGTTTTGAAAATATATATAAAACCAAATAAAATTTATATATTTATATATAATGTAATTTAAAAAAACAAAACAAAAACAAACAAACAAACTTACATTTAAGATTATTTTTTTATATATTTATTGGATCTTTTAAGAATTATGATAATTTTGATTTATGAAATAACTTGAGAATTTGTTCCTTATTATACTCTCCCATGATTATCCAATAGTTATCATCTAACTTTCTGATTGTAAAACTATTTAATAAAATGAAATTGGTTATGTTTTTAAATTGGATATTGTTGGGTGGTTTTGATAGTTTGGTAAGTGTCATTGTTTTTACTAAAGGTGGAATAAAATCTAGACAGTCACTTAGCTCATGATCGTCCAAATGAATTGTATCGATGGAATTTGGCAGTTCATTTGGAAACTTTAAGTTCTTAAATGGTACATTGAGCTCTGTGACTGTCAGTGGAGTTAGACAATCGATAGTTTCACTCTTGTAGTTACCCCAGTTATCAAAGATAATTGATTTGATTCCGTGTGGAAGTGATGTAATCGGACAAGGAAATGATCCTTCAACAACCAATTTGTTAATTACTATGTTTGATGGAATAAGAGATATCTGCTCACTATATTCGAATTCTTCAAAGTGATAATGCATTGCCTCTGGAACAGTTTATCAAATTCAAATATACTACTCCCGAGATACAGCCTTCTTATTGATGTTAGCATAGTTCCAATCAATCGATCTCTGCTACTAAATTTGAGAGACTTTAAGTTGCTCGATGGTAAGAGATCGAGATTGATAGGACTTTTGGTATGCCTCAATATTGACAAATACTGAAGATTAGGCAGTGGTATCGGTTGAAGAAACCACGAGTAAGGCGCACCTTTTAGAATTCTAAGTGACTGTGGTAATACTTCATCGCCAAGTACAACTGATTGTGAAGATGAATAGTTCACCAGCTTTTCGAGGTTTGGTGGAAGTACTCTTACTCTTGATGCAAAATTATAGTCGGTGTGCAGAACCTTTAATGATTTTGGGAGCACACCTGGTTCGAATTCATGATCGGACAAACCAGGACCGAGCTTAAGTCTCACCAAACCATCTGGAAGAATATTATGATGGATAGGTTGCTTGAAATGACCACCAAATCGGAGTGATGTCAGATTGGTAGGAAGAGATCCTTCAACAAGTTTTTCATTAAAAAATGAACAGAACCTAGTATTCTGATGGATTGTGGTAAACCAAAACAAAGTATGGTGCAACCAACTAATTCTGTGACTGTATGTGATTGGAGTAATGCTTGATAGAAATGAGAAACAAGTTTTCCAGAGAAATCCTCTATGCAAATCTTATTCTTTGTAATGATTGTTGGAAAATATTTGATATCTTTGATTTGATCTGTTTGCAACATAACAAAGTAGAAGAATTAGTAACAGAAATTGGTGATTGTTTATAAAAATAATTAATAACAGTTACTTTCATAATAAATAAAGTTTGCTTTTATTTTCTTACGCCAAAAAAAATATAGATTCCTCTTTGTCTTGGCAAGTGTCAATGAGCAATTAGTCTTTGATTGAATTGATTTCAGCAAGATATTATGATATGATGGTAAGTTGAAATGTTTACTATCTAGTTGAATATCAGAAGTATTCGTATTATAAATACTTGATATATATGTATTAGAGAAACCGAAAAACAAATATTTATCTCTTTCATGGTACCATCTCTTACAAACTAAACTAAAAACGATTCTATCTAGGTCATCTTTTAAAAGACTAATTATTTCATTTAAAAGTATATGTGATAGGTTTACTATTATAGATGTTTGATTACACTCCATTGATTATTGTAGTTATTAATAAAAAGATTAATGGAAAGATAAGCCGACAAGTTTTTTTTGGATAAGTTTTTCTGGAAATTTCTGATTTTTTCAATAATGTCTCTTTGATGGAGTTGATTAAAGATAGATTAAAATATGGAATATATATGTGTACTATTGATTTTATTAAAACTTTCAAACTAATATATACTATTATAATAAAATTGATAGTAATCATAATATCTTGTTGTTCTGTGGTTTAAACTATTGGTTATAAGCTGTTCGACATGATATCCACATTCTCTTTCACTTAGATTCAGCAGGAATCTCTGTTTCAGCTGTTCAATACAGTCACGTCCGCTCTGGAAGCAAGACATCTTTGGTCCGGTCATCATCAGCTCGATGAATGAAACGAATTTCTCAAAGTGTTTACGAGCCTCGAGGAATCCACGGACACACAGTGCCTGGTAGTAGTGGAACTGTGGCGATTGAGTGGTTCCACCCATCACATCGAGCTGCTCTTGTGTCAGCTTAAACGGTGCCGATTCAAACGACATATTGCCCGGACTGTTTGAAAGGATGAATCCAAAATCAATGTGAATGATATGTCCTTCTTTGTCAATCATGATATTTCCATTGTGACGATCCTTCACCTGTAAAAGATAGGTCACGATGGAGTAGGCTGCCATCGATTCAACGAATTTCGCTTGTGCAATACGGAATGCCTCTGATTGCTCATTGCCATAGGTGTTCTTAAAGTAATTTAATAGAGTGATCTGATTGAGATTCTTCTTTAGGTTGTGGAGGGAAATGGTGTCTGGTATGGTCTCGATGATTCCACTCTGAGACGACGTCACCAGAATACTGTATGGCCTCAGGTAGAGCGGAAGTTTCGCACTGTTCCAAATCTCTTGGAACTTGCGAATCAACTGCACAGCCATTTGTTCTTGTCGACAATCGTCACCGGTCTTGATAATCACCGACGCCAACCGCCAATTTGGGAGATGACCATAGGGTGATATATTTCTGTATCTCTCTGTCTTGTCTTCCCACAGCTCACCGAAATGAGCAAACTTGTTTTCATGTAGCAGTTTCTCAACGATTGGCGATGACAATGGCGAAGACGACAGCTTACTCTCCAAGTTAATGTGTGCAGTGACAGGAGTAGTAGGAGTGCTACTACTACCACCACCGCCACCACTTATCACAGAGATAGCAGTCGCTGTAATGGGTGTAGTTGGAGTTGTATTTGGTGCAGAAACAGATGTTTGATTAACTATAATACTGCTATTGTTATTATTTAAACTGATGGGTATGGATGATGTACTTGTAGAGATGGATGATGATATTGATGAGTGTGGAGGTGAATCGGTTGGAGTTCCACTGCCAACACTGTTGTTTCCACTGCCACTGTTACTGGTGCTGCTATTTCCAACGATGTGTTTCTTAATGAGGTCAAGCTTGAGACTGCCGTTACTCTTGCTGTTGGCCAGAGTGATCGGTAGGTAGGATGAGACTATCTTCAAGATGTTGGCAGCGGTCGCCTCTTCCTGACCATCGATAATCTCGAGAACCAACATGAACGGTACTCTCTCACGTGAGTTCATTATCTTTACTTCCTCTGGTGGTATTCTAACGATGCAATGGTGTTCTGACGATTGCCACATCGGAATATACAGTCCCAGTGGTAGCTTTAGATTGAGTCCACTTATTTCATCCTTTAGCTTTGCTTGACGTAGATCGATCGGTACTGATATCAACTTTTTCGAGATATTCGAGAGATTCTGAATGAATGACAGAATCGAATTGAGATATTCACATCTGAAACTCTTTGAAATCTGTAATTCAATATCATAATCTGTTAGTTGTGCTTCCATAGGTGGTGTTTTTGATTCTCTATTATCATTTATTTGTTGTGATTGTTGTTGTTGTTGTTGTTGTTGTTGTTGTAAATCTTCTGGTATTGTCGATTGATTTAATGTTGCTGCTGGTGTCTGTGTTGTTGTTGTTGTTGCTGCTGGTGTTGTTGATGTAAATGATAAGAATGGTGAAGGTAATGAAGATGTCCTTGGCCTGGTGATGAGTGGTCTCGAGCAAGTGATAACAGACATCTCGCAATACTCTCTCAGTCTTGTTGCCAACTCTTTCTTCATTTCCACCAACCTATAGTTTGAAACTGTCGGTTTATTCAATTCTTCGTATTTACTAATATTAATCTCATTGTTATTTATATATATCTTGGTTGTTTCATTTGATAATCTATCTACACTATTATTATTATTATTATTATCTAACTTTTGATTCGGTAAATTTGTTGTTGTTGTTGTTAATTGTTGATTTAAAGCTATATTTAATGATGAGGATGAGGATGGTGATGTTGATAATAATGTCTGTGAATTTGTATTGTTTGCGTGTTGTTGTATATATTGTATATTTCTTGATGATGGTGAAGTTGAAGGTGAAATGCGGTTGTTTTGATTTATATGATTGTTGTTGTTTTCGTGTGATAATTCGTTGTTTGTTGTATTCGGTGACGATTGGAGATAGGAATTGTCTTCGATTGTCAACAGATTCTTTTGTCCATCCTCCTCGAATGCCTGAAATATCCAGTATGCCTTGATGGCGAATCTCATTGACTTGGCACATCGATCCATCACAAATCTGGCAAGTGAAGAAAGTGATACTTTTTGTTCATTCGGTTGATTTATTAAAATAATACTGTATAGTTATAATATAATCGAATATAAATAAATGAATAATCTTTGTTTTTGTTTCTGTGATTGTTTTGTGATTATTTCTAGAATATTACCATAATTGAGTTATAAAGAAATCGATATCCTTGTCCTCTACGGTATATAATCGATTGCAGAGATAATCGACTACACCCTGACTGGTCTGATGTTGAAACATATGATTTACGGCAGCCCAAGAGTCGAAATTACCACTACTAACCAACTTTATCAAATCATCTATTTTCTCTCTTTCTTTTTCACGCTCTCTTTCCTTTTCTCGTTCCCTTTCTCTTTCGCGCTCTCTTTGTCTTTCTTTTTCTTTTTCTCTTTCTATCTCTCGTTCTCTTTCTTTTTCTCGCTCTCGTTCTTTTTCTGATTCGATTGCAACATCTACTGTTGTTTCATCTCTATTACTATTATTATCAATATTAAGTTCATCTTTATTATTATTATTATTGTTTATTACTAAATTCTCAGCATTATCATTATTATTATTATTATTATTATTATTATTTGCATTTAAGACATCTGCTAAATTCTCATTCATATTATTATTTGTTGTTGTTATTATCATCAATTATCTATCTATCTCTCTACACTACTACTTCAATTACTAATATTTATTATTTAATAAATAAGCAAATCAAGTTGAATATAACTAAATATAACTAAAATATTTGAATATTTATTTTTCAATAAAATAGTAAATAATAATAAATACTAGTATTTAATGTGTGTGTGGTTTAAAATAAATAAAAATAAATAAAAAAAGTAATAAATTAATTTGTTTAATGCTTTTTTTTTTTTAATTTTGTTTTTTTTTTTTTTGAATAGTTCAAGATCCTTAATTTTTGATTTTGCCAGAATAATTAAAGTTAATGTTATTAACTTAATTATGAAAGTCATCTCTAAAAGACGATTCGTTGTAACCATTAATATATTATTAATCAGATTTTAAGACTAATCGCCTACACTTTAAAATAATTAATAAAATAAAAAATTAGGTCTACAAGACTTTTAAATAGATCTTAAAAAAGATAACTTTTCAAAATCATAAATATTATCAATAATATCAAATATATTTATGATTTTGGAAAAAAGGGTAAAGACAAGATTACTCTTTTTTGTTTTTTTTTGAGGGGTGATTAGTGTAATGAATGATCCAATAAAAATAGACAAATAAAAAAGCCCCTACATGTTCTTTGCATCACAAGAATAAATAAAATCTACATTTAATTTTTATAAATAGACTAGAAAAATAAGAAATATTTAAAGATGTATTATTTTAATAAATCCTTTTGTATTATTATTAGTTTGGTATTAATAAAAATTTGCCTTTCCAAATCAAATGGTCATTTAAATATTTTTAAACTTTTTTGTATGTTAATATATATTTTAGAAAATGTATTCAAATTTATTAGTGAATGGTACGACATCACCTGGTTGAAACTTCGATGATACTTCTAATTGGGAGAACCAATCTATGCCTTCAAGTCTCGCGTGTTTTTTTATACAGTTTTATTTTTTCGAATTGTTATTTATTTTTTATTGCTATTGGTATTGGTTGTAGTTGTAGTAGAAGTTGGATACAAAATCATTTCAGTACATCTAAATAATGCAAGTGTTTTATCTGACTCGGTTTTGATGACTGCATCCCATACTTGTGTCGATCTTCCAGAGTGAATGAGTTTAGCTTCACACTTGAGAAGTTCCCCCGATTTCGATGTTCCCAGGAAATTGGTTTTCAACTCTATTGTGGTGAAACCATACGATCCTTTAGGTAACTGTGTGAAACATCCGAATCCACATGCAGTATCGGCCAGAGTAATTAAACTAGCTGCATGAATATATCCATTTGCTGCCATATGATAATCTTTAACTTGCATCTGAAAAAACAAATATAAATTTAATCAATATTCATATTAATAATAATAATTATTATTGATTACAATTATTTTATAATACTCTACTTGTGCATTTACGACACCATTTTCCAAAGATATTATTTCGAAATTCATATGTGCTGGTAAACCTGCGTTTGCTCTACTTCTTAGAAGTTGTAACCATTGTTCATTGGTTACTTTCATGTCGTTCTTGTCTTTGGCCTCCAAGAACGATCTCATATCCTTTGAAAGATCAAATATATTTCTATTGTTTGCAGCTATGTCATTTGATGTTGAATAGCTTGCAATCGATCCACTACAACTCATTGAATTACTCTTAAAACATAAACCATATTCATTTTTACTAACACTACCACTACCACTACTACTTTTTACAAAACTAACTATACTTTTATATTGTTGTTGTTGTTGTTGTTGACATTGTCTAAATAATATATTATTAAAACGATTTAACATTTTTATTGTAATACTTTTTTTAATAAATCTATCTAAAATCATTTCACTATATTTAAAATTGTTTGTTAAATTAAAATTTAATTTCAAATTTTTGTTTTTTTTTTTTTTTCATTTTTTTTTTTTTTTTAAATGGCTTTGTAGATATCAGTTTAATAATAGGCTGCATGATTATTTGTATTATTGTGAAATAAAGAAACACTGGACTAAAAAGATAGAGAATAACGATTTTATTCTTTAAATTAACGTGTATCTTTTCAAAACAGATAACATTTGGTTCGACTGGATCACCACTCCAGGTCAATTGACCACATAGGCAAACACAAACCCCACCACACTTATTTGTTTTTTTTAGATCTGGTTTTGAAAAACACAGAATAAAAAAAAAAAGGAATCTTCAACACACAGGAATTTCGAAAAATCTTTTCTAACGCTTTTTCCTAATACTCGACATGAAATTGCTGATTTTTATTTTCTCTTTAATTTCAAAATAAGCAACCATTTTAGTTTTATTACATAAAACAATAGTAATATAACATTATTTATCTTTAAGAAGAAAGAAACTAAAACGACTCGTATAGTTTGTAAATTATATTTCACAAGTGAAAAAAAAATAAAAAAAATTCAAATTAAAAGTATGTTTCAACACAAAATAAAATAAGCAAACAAAACACAATGACAATACTATTAAAGTTATTTTTATAGATATAGAGATAGATATAATTTTGATATTTAAATATATATTCACAGATTAAAGATATGTTGAAAAATATCTTTAAAAAAAATAACACTAAATATCTCTTTTTTAAAAAAAAAAAAAAAAAAAAAACAAATGTTCATTTTTTTGAATAAAAAAAAAAAAAAACGGGCAACCCCCTCAGTCTTGGTAGTCGATTTTTTTGACAATGGAAGTTGAATGATTTTCTTTAACTTCAAAAATTGCGAGCCAAACAGCAGTTTTGTGCTCCAAACATTACTTTGACTTCCAAACAACAACTTCAATTACTATTCTTCCTTTCCTTTCATTTCTCATTACATCATCAAATCAATCTATTTATTAAATTATATATATATTTATTAATTTTGTTATTTTTAGATTATTTTTTTTATAGATAGATTTAGATAGATTTTTAGATATCAAACAAAAGTAAAGTAATAATATAGATAGAGATAAAAAGTAAAGTAGAGAATGAAAATTTCAATAGCTTTTGTTGTTTTGATAACAGCATTATTAGCTATATATACAAATGCACAAACTCCAGTGCCTGTTGTCAGCTATGTAAGTAGTTAAAATAGTTCGAATAGATGAAATGATATTCATTCAATAATTAATATCATATTATTTTTTTTTTAGAACGCAATTGATTGGAATAGTATGACAGCTAAATATCTGACAGATGACATCTTGTTGGTGTGGGATACAGACGGTTATGTTTATAGATCTGCCGATGGTGGTTCAAATTTCGTCAAAATAGAGACAGACAACGTCTTACAAAAACATAAAACAATCCTTGTAGATCCAGTTTATTCTTCAAATGTAAGTAATTACTTAAACGAAAACAAAAAACAAAACAAACACAACAATTCTAACATACAACACACACACACACTTTTTCGTTTGTTTTTTTTTTGATTATTTATCAAATTAGGTTTTATTACATTCAGCATCAACTGGTAGTGGTAATACTACTTTATATATCTCTGGTGATTATGCTGCTACTTTTACAACTGTTGTTGTTCCAGATATTACTTTCAAGAGTTTCGTTACTCACCACTGGAAGAGTGGATATCTCTTGGGTTTGGCGGGTGTCAGTGCCTACTACTCGACCGATTTCGGTTTGACATGGCAACAGGTTTTCAAGCAATCGATCGTTCAAGACATCGTTTTCGATCCACACAGAGATGCCGTCAATCCAAGCGGTCTCTTTGCCAAGCTGTTGTTGGTCGACAAGTCGTCGTTGGTCTTCTCGTCGGATCTCGGTGAGTCATACACCAGTCTCCTACCGGAGGTCAACACTCTCGAGGTTCGTAAAGGTTACTTTGTTGTCTATGGCAACGGATTCAACTTGTGGACACGTTCCAACTACCAGCCATACAATAACAACGTGATGGGATTCAACAAGGTCGAGTTTGATCTCGATCCAGGCACCGTTCCAGCCTACTACACCTTCCTCGATGACTCTACCAGTGCCATCTGGATGGGTTTGGTCATGAACAAAAACGACAAGACCGGTTCCATCTACATCTCTGACAGCACCGGTAGTCAGTTCACTCTGTCGCTCGAGAATGTCAACTACGACAATGGAGTCTACGACTTTGCTCCACAGTACGGTATCCCGGGTATCTACTTCTCCAACATCCTCACCAACCCAGATGCCGGAGCCGGTAAGCCATTGCTAACTCAATCAAAGATCACCTACCAAAACGGTGGTAGCTGGAGCAACTTCAAACTGCCACCAGGTCAACCATGTCCAGCCTGTACCTACAACTTTTATGGTACCTCTGTATTCTATGATCCCAGTCGTCAATGGGGTATCTACTACAGTCACGAATCCGTTCCAGGTTTAGTACTTGGAAATGGAAACAATTTGAAAACACTCTCCAACAAGCCAGATATCGCCAATATTCAAACTAGAATTTCAAGAGATTCCGGTTTAACTTGGAACGTACTTTACGATGCGTATGTACTTGAATAATATTATAGTTGGTTAACAAAAAGGAGCGTTTATTAATATTTATATATTTTTTAATTTTTAGTCCATCCATTTATGAATTTGGTAATTATGGTTCAATTATCTTGTTGGCCCAGGCATTGGATAATGTATATACACTTTATTATTCATTTGACCAAGGTACTACTCTTCAATCTTTTGATTTCTCAGTAAAGTCTGTCGATGTCAAGAATATTATCACTGACCCAGATGCATCTGGTCAAAAATTCTTGGTTTTCACAGTTGACTCTACCGGTATTTCAGGTATTTTCACAATTGACTTTTCTCAGATGGGACGTAGAGTATGTGATACCAGCGACATTGAAACATATACCACTCCAGTGGTATTGGGTGGAACCAGAATCTACAGTCGTTTGGCCAAGCTCTCCAATTGCACTCAAACTTCACCATTGCCAGGAAACGATGTCGATGAGAGTGAATGTACAGCCGAAGACTACGAGTGTGACATTGGATACACCGAAATGAACGACCCAGCTAACCCATTGGTTTGCGGTATCTCGCAGAACTATGTTAAGCCAACCTACCCACCTGCCATCTGTCCACCAGGAACCAAGTACCCAATTACCTCTGGTTACAGAAAGATTGCCGATGACATTTGTATCGGTGGTGTCTCCAACCAGTACGAACCGGAAATGAAGGACTGTCCAGACCCATCGGCCACCAAATCGAGAGGTTGGGTTGCAGCTGTCGTCATTCTTGTTATTCTTGCAGTAATCATCTCTGGAGGTGCCTACTATTTGTATAAGAATCCAGATGCACGTGAGAAGATCTTGGCTAAATTCGGTGTTTCCAAGGATAAAGTTAAATATAGTTCACTTGGTTTCAAGCCAAATTCATTGGCAGACGATGAATTCGGTATTGAAGACGACGATGATGCTCAAATTTTGGATGATAACGATTTTTAAACTAACAATCATATAGATAGATAAATTATAATAATAATTAAAAAGAAAAGATATTTTTTAACAAAGAAAAGAAGAAGAAGAAAAAAGCATAATAAATTGAATATATATATATATAATATATTATTAATTTTTAAAAATTATATAAAAACGTTGATCGAGATAGATTTAACTTCAATTTTATTATTTCCAAAATCTTAATACATATTTTGGTAGATTGATTAATTCTACGAATGATGCTCCATTGTTACCAAGCACCAAAAACCATTTGTCAGATAATCTTCTCACTGAATAGGTACCATGACTTATTATAATGGTAATGCATGTGATTGTTTTCGGAATGAGTTCAATCTGTTTAATGTTGGACATTGTGAATCCAGGACTAAATGATATCGATTTGATATTGGGTGGCCACAGTTCTTTGCCAGTAACAATAGAGAGGTGGTTTTGGTTGAAATTGATTGTCTCCACTGATTTCGGTATTGACTTGTCTTTTAACTTTATTACTCTCTTATAATAGTTACACAAATTCAAGGTTTTAAGTGAAGGAGTTCTCAGTCTTTTAACCTTTCCAATGAATCCACCCAAATCTAAGCACTCTAACATCGGTAGATTTAATTCAAGCTTTCTCTCTTTATACCCAGTGAATTGCAGTGATAGATTTTCAAGTTGATCTGGTAGTTTACCTATAATTTAGTGTTCTCTCCTGATAGCATTGAAAGATCGAGTGTTTCCAAGTGTCGAAACTTTGAGAATATATTTCTTTTTGAATTCAAAGTAATGTATCAATTTTAAATACTTTAGTTTGCTGGGAAGCATCTCCTTAACAATGAATTTGATGGTATTGGATTCGATTGTTAAATGAGTGACACTCTCGGGAATATCACCGATTTCCCAAGTATCGCCGGCATCTAAATGTAGGTGGAGTGTATGAAGTGATTGTAGATGCTTCAGACACTTTACACAATGCGATAGTTCAAGAATCTTGAGTGTCGACGGTAATTTTATTGTGTTTGCCATTCAGTAGTTTACATTTGAATTCTTCGAGTGAAGGTGGTAGTTTGCTGATATCGATCGGTTGAAAAGGGCTAATAATTTCATTATCACCTATTAAATATAGAGCACTGAGTGATCGGGTAGCAATGAAAAATCAATGTCAACTGCACCACCATACTTCAAATTGAATTCTAATCTTTCCAATGCCAATGGTAATACACATTCTTTCATCGGATAGTACGATATGATTTCCTTTATATTCAAAGGTAATATATCGAGATTCAATGGTAATTGATATGTACTAACTGATTCAAGTTGTTTACATAATCTAAAGAGTATTTGATAATAATTAATAACCAAATCAATTACTTAATACAGATAATAATAGTTATTTTCTTTCCCTCTTACCAATAGAGAAATGACTATAGATAACAGGCATCGGGTGTTTAAGTCTACTTTCAGGTATAATGAATGCATGATCGGGTATTTGATCAAGTCCTGATTGGAATAGATTTATGTATGATTTCAATGTAAAGAATTGATTACTTTGAACATTCTTAATCATATGGGACTGATAGATCATTAAATCTTGACAGTTAAACGAGAGATAGCTATGTCGTTGATCAAACCATCGCTTACAAACTAAACTAAAACAAACTCTATCTATATCATTTTCAATTTCTTTTATTATTCTAAATAATATAATATGTGGAAGATTTACAAATCTACATGTATTGTTATTTGTTGACATCAAAAAAAAAATTAAAGAAAATAAAGAAAACAAAACAAAACTGGCTCCCAACCACTTTCTCCTGGGTGAATATGATCAGAGTGGTTTTTTTTATTTTATTTGATTTATGGTTACAAGCAAGAGCCAGTTTTGTTTTGAATGTTTTTTTAAATTTTTTTTTTATGGATATTTCTTTTTAAATATCTATTACATTTTCTAACTATTATATCTAAAAAATCTTAATATATATTTTGGTAGATCGATTAATTCTACAAATGATGCTACTTTCTTACCAAGCACCAAAAGCCATTTGTCAGATAATCTTCTCACTGAATATATACGATCAACTATTTTAATGGTAATGCATGTGATTGTCTTTGGAAAAAGTTCCAGCTGTTTAAAATTGCTCATATCGTATCCAATATTAAATGATATCGATTTGATATTGGGCCTCAGTTCTTTGCCAGTAACAATCGATAGGTGGTTATGGTTGAAATTGATTGTCTCCACTGATTTCGGTATTGACTTTTTTGTTAACCGTATTTCCTTGGTATAATATCGGCCATTCAAATTCAAGGTTTTAAGTGAAGGAGTTCTCAGTCTTTTGACCTCTCCAATGAATCCACCCAAATCCAAGTACTCTAACATCGGTAGCTCTAAATCCAGTTTCTTCTTTCTATACCCAGTGAATGGGAATGAAAGATTTACTAGTTGATCTGGTAGTTTATCAAATGCAAGGTCCTTTCTTGATAGCATTGAAAGATCGAGTGTTTCCAAGTGTCGAAACTCTGAGAATATATTCTTTTTGAATTCAAAGTAATGTATCAATTTTAAATACTTTAGTTTGCTGGGAAGCATCTCCTTAACAATGAATTTGATGGTATTGGATTCGATTGTCAAATGAGTGACACTCTCGGGAATATCACCGATTTCCCAAGTATCGCTACTATTAGTTATATGCAGGTGGAGTGTATGAAGTGATTGTAGATGCTTCAGGAACTGTACACAATGCGATAGTTCAAGAATCTTGAGTGTCGACGGTAATTGTGTTGTGTGTATCATATCGTTGCCATTCACAGTTTGACATTTGAATTCTTCGAGTGAAGGTGGTAGTTTGTTGATATCGATTGGTTGAAAAGGCTGAATACCAAATAGATGTAGAGCTTTGAGTGATCTGGGTAACAACGAAACATCGATATCTATTTTTTGATAAATTTCATTTGTTAATTGTATTTCTAATCTTTCCAATGCCAATGGTAATATATGTTGTCTGATCGGATAGTACGATATGATTTCCTTTATATTCAAAGGTAATCTATCGTGTTTCAATGGTAATTGATTCCTTGGATAATCAACTATACTTAAAAAAGTAACTGATTCAAGTTGTTTTACAAAATCTAAAGAGTATTTTGATTAGTTAATCAAATTAAAGATAATAGTATATCATTTTCTTTATTACCAATACTTTCGGATGGTATTAATATTTGATCAAGTCTTGATTGGAATAGATTTATGTAAGATTTCAAAGTAAAATATTTAATATTCTTAATCATATGAGATCTATCTAATATTAAATCTTTACAGTTAAAAGAGAGATAGCAGTTTCGTTGATCAAACCACCTCTTACAAACTAAACTAAAACAAACTCTATCTATATCATTTTCAATTTCTTTTATTATTCTTAATAATATAATATGTGGAAGATTTACAAATCTATGATTATCATTATTTTCATTATTATAGTTGTTATTATTATTCTTGTTTTTTGTTTTCATCTCAATGTTATAAAATAAAAAAATCTAAATCATGTGAAGATGCAAGTAATTGACTGAATAACTGATATTGTCTATCCATTTTTTTGAATCATAATAAGAGAAATACTACCCTTTTTTACACATCAAAGTGTGGGGATTCGTGGTTATTGTGAACTCCATTTTTTAATGTGGGACATGGTCATTTGTTTCAAAAATTTATGTTAACAAACAATCATTATATGTGTAATTCCATGGAAAAACAGAAGCAAATTAAAAAAATTTGAGTGGTTGACCCCCACATTTTAATTTTTTCCATCTGTCATTGAATGGAATTCCATTCGTATGAGATATGCCTTTTTTTTTTTTCAATAAATATTCATTTACCATTTATCATTTTTATTTATTAATTGATCATTTTTTTTTTTTTTCAAAAACAATTATTAATTAATTATCATTATTATTTTCTATCATTAGTATGAGATATACGATTTTTCATTAAAGGTTATTTGATGAACAACTCAATGCTACATAATCAACGAACATACAAATACCCATTCAATCAAATAACAAGATAAAAAATTGGTAACCATAAACCAAACAATTTTTTATTTTATTTTTTTATAAAGATATTTTTTTAGAAAGAGTGACTGATTTACAATCGTCGCTGATCGAAGATGCAAGCATGTTATACACTTGAAATTTAGCACTAAAATAACTACACCAGTAACTAAATTGTGATTTGAAATGATGCATTTAAAAACTCGATTACTAATAAAGGAGTTTGACCTATTGGACTTAGTATTCTCTTACTCCATCTGTTGGATTCCAGATCTGGGAAGTCAGTTTTGGTATTATACTTGAGAATTAGATGTTGGTGATACAATTTAATGATAGGATCAAACACTCTAAAATTGAAATACGCGGACTTGGGGATGATTGGGTTGATGGCTCTATTTTTCTGTTCTTTGAAGAACAGAATTAAAAGCTCTGGCTGATACACATGTCCGATGATATATATTTTGATATGGCTTTTTAATGTAGTCCGGGTTTGGCATACTAAAGTCTTTGTATTTCTAAACTTTTTGGATCTAAAAAGATGATTGGGTCACCCAACTTGTATTCGATTTTTGAATTATTCAAAGGCAGCCAGTCGTTGAAAAGCAATTTAGGGATGTCACATTCATCTAGAGTAGATGTGGAATCTGGTTAAGACACTGCAGGGACAGTTGGTACGGTATCAGGTGAAGATACTGCAAAGCACAGTTTGTGCGACATCTGGTGAAGAGACTACAGGGACAGTTTGAGATCTTCTAGAGGAACACGCCCGTGTAGATCCCTTGTTTCGGTTGCTTCTATCCTTAGTTGGCACACAGAGTATCTTTGCAGTTTTGTTGCGTATATCGCGAGGTATCACAAAAACATAAACACTTTGGTGAAGAAATAGAAAGTATGCAAAGAAAATAAATGTCGCAATTGAGATAGATGAAACTTAATAAGTGCACTTTAAATTTAAAAGAAATTAAATAATATATTTTCTTCTGACAAAAAAAAATCAATTAAAATAACAAAATAATAGAATTCATAGTAATAACAATCGACACTTTACTTAGATCTATTTTTAGATACTTATTTTTATATTCTGTTCCATTACCTAAGATTTTTTATTATTTTTTTTAACTTTGATTGATGAAATATTTTAGCAAATGATTTTCCATTGGGTGAAATTCCACTTTTAGAATACATTAAATAATAGCTTTCATCCAACTTTCTAATTGTTAGTGTTTTACTATTCCTAAACCTATAAATGATATTGGTGATCGATTTGATAGTCTCTGGAATGTCTAATTTGATTGCAAAATGATTTGTAAAGACAAGAGTATTGAGTGTCGGTGGTATCAAATGTACTATATCGTTGAGATAATTTCTACCAATATCCAGACTTTCAATGGTGTTTGGTAGTTTAAATATAGGAAGTCCATCTATGAATTTTGGAAGACGCAGTTTTCTTAATGAACATGTTTGATCAGTATTATCATCTCCCCCAAAATCTGTTATCATCTCTTTTAAACCCAAATATTCCATATTTAATTTGAATGATCTAACTCGAGATGGAAGAGATATCGTTGATTCACTTGATTCTCCAGATACTTTTAAAATATCGATTGATACGTTTGATGGAATTGGAAGAATACCGGAATTTTCATAATCGAGAACTTCCAGGTGATATTGCTGAGTTTCTGGGAATATTTCATCGATATTAAATTGACAATCACCAAGTCGGATAATTTTCAATGATGTTGGAATTGCTCCTCTTAATACTCGATCTTTTCCATGTAGGCTAATTTCTAGTGTTTCTAAATTTGGTGGGAGGTAGTTGAGATTGAATATTGTTGTATCATGTCGACTGTCCTTGGGATAATAAATGTCAAGTGATTGAAGATTGGGAAGTGATGATATTGCTAGTAACCATGAAATTGGTAAACATGATCTGCCTTCCACATTTTCATCCAAAGTTGTAGAATCGATTGAATAGTTTAAATGTTCATTGAGTGGATCATCGTAACTCGCAAGAAATAAATTCTTTATAGATGATGGTAATACACCTTGTTGAAGTTCATATTGATAGCCAATTAGATAGATTCTCTGCAAACCATTTGGAAGTAAACCTGGTGGAATCTCATAATTATAGGGTTCTAGAGTAAGTTTGCGCAAACTATTTGGAAGTACACCTGGTCGAATTTCATATTCATAGTTTTCTAGAATAAGTTTGCGTAAACCATTTGGAAGTACACCTGCTCGAATCTCATGTTCATAGTGTTTTAGAATAAGTGTGCGTAAACCATCTGGAAGTACACCTGGTGGGATCTCTTGTTTGATTGGACCACTAAATTCGAGCACCTCCAATGAATTGGGAAGTAATCCTTTAACAAGTGGTTCATTGAAATCCCCATTGAACTTTAGTGATTTGATTGACTTTGGTAATCCATATTTCAATGTGCAGCATCCATTCAACACTGTTACTGATTGTGATTCCGATAATAATCTATAGATATACTCCGTGTCACCTGCTACATAATCGATCTTTGAAACATTACTGGGAATACTATTTAACTCTCTAACTTCATCTTTTAGAATGATAAAACTAAAAAAGTTAGTCTCAAATCACTAGAATATATTAGTCGATTGATAATATTTACCATAATGATAATCGTATCTATATTGTTTTTTCTTACTAAATAGGAGTGAACAATCAGTTTTTGATTGAATTGATTTCATAAAGATATTATGATATGATGGTAAGTTGAAATGTTTATTATTTTGATAGATATCAGTGTTATTAGGTATATATAGATTGATATTATCAGTATTGAATATTAAATATTTATCTCTATCGTTGTACCATCTCTTACAAACTAAACTGAAACAAATGATATCAATGTTATCATCTAAACAACTTATTATTTTATTTAATATTAAATGTGATAGATTTACTATTTTATTTGTTTGATTATTCATTATTTTGATAAAACTTCAATCATTATAAAAAAATAAAAGTTGTTTTCTTTTAAAAGACTAACAAGTTTTTACAAAAATTTTTACCAAAAAAAACTAAATCGAAGACTTGTTCACACCATCGAATCTATGGTCAGCTTCAAGCACTTCGTATTTCTCATATTGTTTTAATAACAAATATCATGTTGCTCTGATGAATTCAACAAACTATATCAGCATGGAATCTTTCACCCTATTATCTTACGTGGTTTCAATATTGAACTTGGGAACAGTCCAAACGGTATCAAATACACACTGACCAGTAAACATTCTCAGAGGTTGTGTACTTAGAAACTCTGGTGAGGATACAAAGATCTTGCAAAACTCTACATATGCATTCGAAGTGTCCCCGCAAGAAACTTGTGAATCGTGCTCATCAAGTTGTTCTCATTTATGTTTATTGTTTGTATCATTACCACGGTGGTTAGTGTAGTAAAAACCAGCAACAACAAAGTTACTTGGTATTTAGCATTCGATTCGCGCTCTGTTCATGACTCTACAAAGAAATTCCTCTCGTTAATCGGTCAGATCTAGTACATCTTCTGCGATAAGACCGTTACTCAAACAAGAAATCAGATGTTTCGTTGGTAAGATTGTCTATGGTAGTGCCATCGATGCATCAAAGGATCGTGTTGTGTTCCAATAGATCAGTCATTAATACAAAAGGCGAAGATTCAACAGTTCTACCATTTTTAAGAAAGGATCAAGATGAAGTTCATGCAATCACTAAAAGACTTTGCAGCTGATGGTCTTCGTACTCTCTGTTTGGCATATGGCGTTATAGCAGAGGAGGAATATCACGCTTGGATCGAACAGTACAAAGAAGTTTCAATTCAAGATTATGATAAAAAGATGGATCGTGTATCCTAGTTGATAGAGAGAAATCTTATTCTCTATTAATAATTAAAATAAAATATTTTTATTTATTAAAATTCCTCATATTGGATATGAAATATTTATCTATTGCATTTCGGAAGACCACTTTGAAGCTATGTTCATATTCATAATCATCAGTTATTAAATAATAATTATCATCCAACTTTCTGATAGTTTGTTTGTTAAATAGTCCAAATTTACGGATGATATTGGTAATTGATTTGATAGTACTTGGTATGATGGTGATATCGATATTAGATAGTTTGCTAAATACAAGAGTATTGAGTGTTGATGGTATCAAATGTAAAATATCATTGAGATTATTGTCACCAATATCTAAATGTTCAATGGTCTTTGGAAGTTTAACTTTAGGATATCCATCTTTGAAGGCTGGAAAACGCAGTTCTTTTAGTGGACATGTTTGATCGGTAACACCATCGCCGCCAAAGTCAATCATCTTCTCGCCTGAACTAGACAATTCGGAAAAAAAGAAGATTGTACTAATTCCGGATGGTAATGTTATAGTTGATTCACTAGGCTCTCCAGATATGAACAATGTATCGATCTTGATATTGGATGGAATTGGGAGAATACTGTCATTTTCATAATCAAATATTTCCAAGTGATATTGCAATGTCTCTGGGAATATTTCATCAATCTTGAATTGACAACCATTCAACTGGATTCTTTTCAATGATAATGGCGTAGTTCCACAAAGTATTATTCCTGGTGCATTGATTGTAATTTCAAGTGATTCTAAATTTGGTGGGAGGTAATTAAGATTGAACATTGTAGTATCCTCTTGATTTGATATGGAAAAATAAATATCAAGTGATTGAAGATTGGAAAGTGATGATATTGATTGTAACCATGAAAGTGGTAAACACGATTTCATTATTACATTATCGTCTCCAGTTGTAGCATACACATATCGTAAATCTTCTTTGAGTGTATCTCTATAGCACTTAAGAGACAACAATTTAAGAGATGATGGGAGTACATATGGTAATATTTCATGTTGATAGTCATCGAGGAAAAATGATAACAATCCGGCTGGAAGTATATTTGGTTGAATTTCATGTTGATGGTGGTCTAGAGTAAATGATAACAAACTATCTGGAAGTACACCTGGCTGAATTTCATATTGATAGTACTCTAAAGAAAGTTTGAGCAATCTGCCTGGAAGTACACCTGGTAGAATCTCTTGTCTGAGGTTTGAATCGAAATCTAACACCTCTAATGAGTTGGGAAGTGATCCTTTCACAAGTGGTTCATTGAAATTTCTGAAAGATAGTGTTTGGAGTGAATTTGGTAATCCATATTTCAATGTGCTGCATCCATTCAACTTAGTTACTGATTGTGATTCTGATAATAATCTATAGAATTTCCCCAACTTATCTTTTGAGTAATTAGTAGTAATATAGATTTCTGAAACATTGCTGGGAATACTAATGACCATCTCAACATGATCTTTAATGATGATAAATTAAAATAGTCAGCTTTAAAACAATATAATATGATAATATCAATAGACTATATTTACCATAAAAATAATCGTAATTTTTAAAATGGTAATCACCAACATAGAGTGCACAATTTGTCTTTGATTGAATTGATTTCAACAAGATATTATAATATGATGGTAATTTGAAATGTTTATGATATTGAATGATATCAGTGTTTTTAGGTGTAAATAAGTTGATATTATCAGTGTTGAAAACCAAATATTTATCTCTATCGTTGTACCATCTCTTACAAACTAAACTGAAACAAATGATATCAATGTTATCATCTATATAACTTATTATTTTATTTAATATTAAATGTGAAAGATTTACTATTTTATCTGTTTGATTATTCATTTGTTAATATCTTAAATCATATTATTAAGATCTTTATGTTAAAATGATCGACAAAAAATTGGGAAGAAAAACAAAAAAAACAATCTATTTTTTTTTTGGAATCAATAATAACACATTCACATATTTTATTTTTACTTAAAGCATAGATTATGGTTTAAATAGCTGGTCTTTTAAGTTTGAAACTAATTTAAAGCTATGTTCATATTCAAAATCATCTATTACTAAATAATAGCTTTTATCCAACTTTCTAATTGTTCTTACTTTATAATATCCAAATCTTCGAATTATATTGGTGATTGATTTGATATTACTTGGAATGTTGATATTGATATTAGATTGTACACTAAAAACAAGAGTTTTGAGTGTTGATGGTATAAATTCTGAAATATCATCTAGTTCATTGTAGCCAATATCCAGATATTCGATGGTGTTTGGTAGTTCAAATTTAGGTGGTCCTTCTATGAATGTTGGAAGTCGGAGTAGTTTTAATGATCTTCTGGACGTTTGATCGGTAACATCATTGTCGCTAAAAACAATTTTCTTCTTTTTTGAACCGGACCATTTTATATTTAAGAAGATTGATCTAACTCCAGACGGAAGAGCTATAGTTGATTGTTTCGATTCTCCTGATACTGATAAATTATTGATCTTTATATTTGGTGGCATTGGAATAAAACAGTTATTTCTATATTCAAATGATTCCAAGTGATATTGGTTGGTTTCTGGGAATATTTCATCAATCTTGAATCTGAATTCACCAAGATTGATTCTTTTCAAAGATGTTGGCATAGTTCCTTTTAGAACGATGTTTGGTATTTTAATGACCAGTGAGACTATGTTTGGAGAGAGGTATTTAAGATTGAATATATTGGCTTCTTGTTTTTTATACTTAAAATCCAATATGAGTGTTTGAAGGTTGGAAAGTGATGATATTGCTTGGAACCATGAAATTGGAAAATAAGATTTCATTTCTATACTATCTTCCCAAGATGTAGAATCGATTGAATTTCGTTCATAACTTAGAAGAGATAAACTCTTGAGAGATGATGGGAATACACCTGGTTGAATTTCAAGATGATACCCTTCCAAACTTAATTTCTCTAAACCATTTGGAAGTAAACCTGGTAGAATTTCATAATGATAGCGATCTAGAGTAACTGATAGTAAACCGTCTGGAAGTACACCTGGTAGAATCTCTTGATATATATCATCAATATATAATTCTTGTAAAGAATTCGGAAGTGATCCTTTAACTAGAATTTCATCAAACTCAATAAGAGATAGTGATTTGATTGACTTTGGTAATCCATATTTCAATGTGGAGCATCCATTCAAATCTGTTAATGATTGTGATTCTGATAATAATCTATCTAGATACTCCTTCTCATCTTTTGGAAGACTATCATAAAATTGTATATAGATATCTGAAACATTGCAGGGAATACTAGTAAGCTTATTAAGTTCATCTTTATAATAAAATTAATAAGAAAATACAATCTCTATCAATTGAAAGTATTTACCATAAAAATAATCGTATTTTACTGAAAAGTTTTCATCACCAATTGTCAGTATACAATTCATTTTTAATTGAATTGATTTCTTAAAAATATTATAATATGATGGTAATTTGAAATGTTGATAACATTGATTGGTATCAGTGCTATTATGAAGTGAAAATAGGTTGATACGATCAGTGTTGAATATTAAATATTTATCTCTATCGTTGTACCATCTCTTACAAACTAAACTGAAACAAATGATATCAATGTTATCATTTAAATATCTTATTATTTTATTTAATATTAAATATGATAGATTTACTATTTTATTTGTTTGACTATTCATTTTAAATCTTTAAAATAAAATAAAAAAATTTTTGAGAGATGTTAATCCCAAATTTTTTAAAAAAATAATAAATTAAAAAAAAAAAAAGGAGCACTCCAAGTCAATTAATTTTGTATAACAGTTTTTTAAACAGATAAATTACAATACTTAAAAGATTAGTCATTAAAATCAAAATTATTTTCAAAATCCAATAACGATTTCTATTTATTTTTTCACAAAGATTATTGTTTCATTATTTCTAAATTAGAAAAAAAAAAAAAAAATATTTGCACTATTTATTGTAACTGTACACTCTCCTAATCTTGTGATTTTAAATTAATTTTATTAAATTATTTTATTCATTTCCTCTTAAAATTTTTTCAAATTTAGATTGATGAAATATTTTAGCGATTAAGTTTCCTTTGGGTGATATATCATTTTCAGAACACATAAAATAATAATTATCGTCCAACTTTCTAATTGTTTGTGTTTGATATGATTCAAATCTATGAATGATATTGGTGATTGATTTGATAGTTTCTGGAACGGTGTTATTGATTTTAGATAGGTTTCTAAAGACAAGAGTATTGAGTGTTGGTGGTATCAAATGTAAATCATCAAGAAAATTTTTTCCAATATCCATATATTCAATGGTGTTTGGTAGTTTAACTTTAGGAGCTCCTTCTTTGAATGTTGGAAGACGCAGTTCTTTTAGTGAACATGTTTGATCAGTATTACCAAAATCAAATATATTCTCATTTGAACCAGATACTTCCATAAATAAGCTGATTGATCTAATTCGGGATGGTAAAGATATCGTTGATTCTCTTGGTTCACCAGATATAAACAATGTATCGATCTTTATGTTTGACGGGATTGGAAGAATATTGTCATTTCCAAAATCAAATACTTCAAAGTAATATTGCTTAGTTTCTGGGAATATTTCATCGACCTTAAATTGACAATGATCTAGGTGGAAGATTCTCAATGATGTTGGCATTGTTCCTTTCAATACGCTATCTTTACTTTGAAGTCTAAGATAAAGAGACTCTAAAGTTCGTGGGAGATAATTGACGTTGAATACAGTGATATCTTGTCGATTGTGTTTGGGAACATATATGTCAAGTGATTGAAGATTGGAAAGAGAAGATATTGCTTGTAACCATGAAATTGGTAAACATGATTTCATTAATACACTATCTTCAAAAGTTGTAGAATCGATTGTATATTGTAAATCATCATTGAGTGGAGTATCGCACAGAGAAAAATGTTTAAGAGATGATGGTAATACACCTGGTTGAATTTCATATTGATAGCCATCCAGAGTAAATTTCTGTAAACCATTTGGAAGTACACCTGCTTGAATTTCATGCTTACATCCAAGAATTAATTCCAACAAACCACTTGGAAGTACACCTGGTCGAACTTCATATTGATAGCTGCTGAGATTAAGTTTGCGCAAACCATATGGAAGTACACCTGGTGGAATTTCATATTCACAGCTGTCAAGATTAAGCTTATACAAACCATTTGGAAGTACACCTGGCGGAATTACAAATTCATAGTTGGTTAGAGTAAGTTTGACCAATCCGTCTGGAAGTACACCTGGTGGAATCTCTTGTTCGATTGGAGCATTGAATTTTAGTACCTCTAAAGAATTGGGTAGAGATCCTTTAACAAGTGGTTCATCGAAATCATATTTGAATCTAATTGATTTGATTGACTTTGGTAATCCATATTTCAATGTGCCGCAACCATCAAACTTTGTTACTGATTGTGATTCTGATAATAATCTATAGATATTCTCCTGAATATTCTCAGTATAATTATAGATTGTTGAAACATTGCTGGGAATACTTTTGAGTTTTCTAGAATCATCTTCATAATTATACATTAAAACAGTTAGTCTAAAAAATATGATATGTATCAATAGAATATATTAATCAATTGATGATACTTACCATAATGATAATCGTATTTCTGATATTGGTATAATGATTTACTTAAAACCAGTTTACAATTCATCTTTGATTGAATTGATTTCAAAAAGATATTATGATATGATGGTAATTTGAAATGCTCATTATTTTGATAGATATTAGTGTTTTTAAGTGCAAATAGGTTGATAAGATCAGTGTTGAATATTAAATATTTATCTCTTTCATTGTACCATCTCTTACAAACTAAACTGAAACAAATGATATCAATGTTATCATCTAAACAACTTATTATTTTATTTAATATTAAATGTGAAAGATTTACTATTTTATCTGTTTGATTATTCATTATAACGATCAAAATAAATGATCATCAAAAAAAAAAATAAAAATTATTGTTTATATCCAAAAAAACTTGCTCCCAAGTTTGATTGATGCATGCATCAATTTTAAAAAAAATTGTAAAAATTAAAAATTAGAGATATATTATTTTTTCTGAGAAAAAAAAACCTTTCAAAAATCACTGATTTTTCATATCAAATAATCATTTTTCATTTATTTATATTTGTTATTGTTCTTGAGCAAGAAAATAGTATACTATTAATAATTTAGTCAATATTGACGCAAACCAAATAGTTGTATGTCAGTACTATCAGATTTATCAAGACTTTGTTTCTCTGTCAATTGGTTTGTCATCATCACCAGCTATCATTTCAATAAAATATGATGTAGATAAGTAAAATCATATGATCGAATTATGGTGCTGATTCTTTGTATCATTTCAATTCCCTTCCACAAGACATGATTACATATCCTTTTTGATTGATCATCCAGTGTATATTGACTTTCAATGAATAATTTCTTATTTTTACTCATTTTATTCAAGAATTTGCGAAAATTTTTATTCATGAACACAAAGTCCTTCTGGAATAACTTTAAAAGATTAAAAAAAATAACATACCCCAACCATATTAACCCCTTTTTTTTATTAAGTGAATTTCATGTCGATTATCTGACAGTTTCGTTTTATTATTGTTTAAAATCATTTATTCATTTAATATAAATATAAACATGATTGTAATTAATAAAAATAATATAAATAGAATAAATAAATTAAAATCAATATATATAAAACATTTCAATATCAAATAATTAATAATAATAACAATATTAATAATCAATAAAAATGTCAAACAATAATAATATTAATAATAATAATAATAAACCATTAGAATTCAATAGAGAAACAAGTAAATTTAGAAATTGGGTTAGAGTAGGTAGTGATCGATTCCCACCGGAAGCAAATAGATACCATCTCTATGCAAACTATGGATGTCCTTGGGTCAATCGTGTGCTGATCGTTAGGAATCTCAAGGGATTGCAAGATGTCATCTCCATTAGCATTACAGAGCCGAGATTGTATGAGCGTGAAGGTTGGCCGTTCAATCCCGACTTTGATGAGTTCACCACTGACGACGCCGTCAACCATGCCAAGAACATACCGGAGATCTACCGACTATCGGATGCCACCTACCAAGGCAGATTCTCCGTACCGGTACTCTGGGACAAGAAGAACTCGGTCATCGTAAACAACGAATCGTCCGAGATCATCAGAATGCTAAACTCAGAGTTCAATCAATTCGCCAAGAATCCACAACTCGATTTGGTTCCATCGGATCTACAAGTGGAGATCGATCGAATCAATGAACTGGTCTATGAGAATGTGAATAACGGGGTTTATAAATGTGGATTCTCACCAAGTCAAGAAGGATGTAAGTTAGTTAGTTAGTTACATTACTATATATATATATTGTTAGCGAGAGAGACTTATTAATCTATTCTTATTATCCTATTTATCTTTGATTAGATGACATTGCATTTGATAAACTATTCAATACTTTGGATGAACTGGAAGAACGATTGGATACCAATAGATATTTAGTGGGTGATAGATTTACAGAGGCAGATGTTAGATTGTTTCCAACGCTAATTAGATTCGATGCAGCTTACTACGTAGTATTCAAATGCAATTTGAAGAGAATACAAGACTATCCAAACCTTTTCAACTATCTCAAGGAACTCTATCAGATGCCAGCTTTACAATCGACAATCAACTTTAAACACATCAAAAACGGTTACTACAAATCAAAGCCATCACTCAATCCAACTTTAATCGTAGCAAAGGGTCCAAGCACCGATGTTCTCTTGGAACCACACAACAGAGATAGCAAGTTACCAATCAAAAAGTAGAACAAATATATATACATATGTTAAACATTCATCATGTATTATCATGAATCTGTAAATTTAATTATAACAATAACAACAATTATAAGAATAATAATAAAGATTTATTTTTAATTAATTGAAATACTAATTAATCTTTCTCGTTATTCTTTCTTCTCCTTTCGAATCTTTTTCATTTAATTCTTTGTTCCTCTTGTTGTTTTGCAATTAGCATTAATAAAAGAGTTGTTTATTCATTCTTTAAAGATCATAATTCGAAGATTCAAAGTAGAAGATTTATTTTATTATAAATTTACATTATATAATTTATTCATAATAATAAAAGTATACAGATTTTCTAATATTCTTATTAAATGAATCAGTCATCGTGATAGCATTGTGGTCGTAATTTTAGCATCTCTTTAATTGTGTTATTTGTTTAATTTGGGGACAGAAAAAAATTTTGACATTTTCAACAACTCAAATTTTTTTAATTTGCTTCTATCTGTTATTTTATTGGTTGGGTTTTTTTTGTTTTCTCGCATCATTTTTTTTGCAAAATGCACAAAAGCTATGAAAATTTTTTCATTTTTTGGGGGAGGCATAAATGAAATTACTGAATTTAAATTTAGTAATTTCAACCTCTTTTTTTTTTTTTGTAAAACATTAAATGCATTCAAATTAGATTTGAATCACCCTTTGCAGAAATTTAATGTTCATTTTACTTTTTGAATTAATTAATTAATTCAATGACAAAAGTAGTTAAATTTGTAAATTGGTCATTAGAGGTTTAACACAAAACTAATTTTTTTTTCTGTTTCTCAAGAGAATAAACCATTTTTACCCTCTAATAATGACCAATTTACAAATTTATCTACTTTTTAAAAAGGGTGATTTAATAATAACTTTCCAAAGTGCTAACTTGAGTGGAGGCCTAAACTTATTTTTTTTTTTTTTTGGGTAAAGTAACCTACTTCATATTAGATATATATTTTAATATTTAAATTTATTTTTATATGGTCTATAACCGCTCAAACACAAAAAGATTATTTTTATATTTTATATTAATTATTTTTTTTTTCAAATATTTTTAATCAATAAGAAAGTATAAATAATTACAAGTGAAAGAAATTTAAATCAATTTTTCTTTTTATTTCTTTAAAAATTCAAAACACTAAACAAAACAAAATGTCTGCTTCCTCAGTTCCTGGTACTGAAACCTACAACTCTACAACTCTTAGAGATCTTGCTGGAGGTGCTGGTGATAGAATCCTTGCCAAGCTAGATGAAAATCCAATGAATATCATTCCAATCAATTTGATATGTGCTGCACTCGATATTAAAGATCCATTCGAGGTTATTGCTCATTTTGAACCTGACAAAGAGGATGTTGGTATTATGGTTAATGCATGCATGTAAGTTAATTTATAAAATAACTAATCCAATATAATATTAATATTAATATTTTTTACCAATTAGTGGTTGCATTCCTTTTGTCGGACCTGTTCTTCAAGGTGTATTCTCTCTCTTCTGGAAGAGAGCTGCCGAATCCAATGTTATTACCAAAGAAAAACTCAAAGAAGAGTTGGACAAACTAAGAAAGGAAATGATGGAAGCTGTTGCCGGAAAGATCAAAGATAGTGAAATCAAGCAATGGACTGAGATCTGTGAAGCTTTCTTGAAAGGATTGAAGAAATCATGTAAAGTTCTTGGTACTCATATCAATGCTCTTAAACATCAATTTGCCGAAAAAAAATGTGCCGATGAACAAGTTCAAGAAGCCGTCCGTATTGATTTGGCTTTGATCAGTGATAAAGCATTCTCACTACATGAATTCTGTGATTCCCCGGCATACCTTAAGTATACACTTGGATACTATATTCAATCGCTTCAAATCTACACTGCTATCTTAACACTTCAAGATGTATGTACTAACTTTAATATAAAATATATGTTTTATTGAGACAATATCTAATAATTTAATTTATATTAACATAGGCATTCTGGTATCAATTGGGAATTAAACCAATTTTTGTTACTGGTAGACGAGCTACTGATACAATTGATGCCTTGCCATCATTTGCAGAGACTATGCATGAAGAAATAATGCCAGCACTCAAAAATATTGCCCGAGGTCTTACCGAAAATGTTCGTGAAGGAGCACAGGCCAAAGGAGTCGATTTAACTACTCTCCATCTACTTTTAAAGAGTGATCGTTACCTTTATCCAGTGCCATTAGTTTTGGCACCCGTTGAAATACCACAAGTAGCCAAGTGTCTTCGTGAGGTACAGGGTCCAATCTGTCCAGAATGCAAGGTACCAGAACGCGATGGAACCTTTATCTTTAGAATTGATTGTATAAATTTCAGACCGGAAACATCCGCTGAAGATATCCGTGGTTATCGTAATATGTCTCATGTTGAAGAACCGATCACTGGTTGCAAAGGTACGATGTCAGGTATTCCCGCTGCTCTCACAGTTGTCCTTCCAAAAAAGAGAACCGTTCAAATTCGTTTCGTTGGTGAATATGATCAGACTTTTACTGATCTCCCAATTCAATGGACCACAAATGAAGAGGCATACTATACTGCGATGATGCCATTCGGAGAAAATTATCGAAGAAACAACAAAACTATTCCTGCAATCAAGGAGGAAATGGGTATCTCACAGGTTCCAGGAATGAGCTTGATGATAAATACAAATTCATTAAAGAGTGGAATGACCTACACTGAAAAGATGACTGATATCGAGAGACTTACCTTTGTCACTGATAGATTTGATGATATGAAACGTCATGCAAAGATTTTGTTTATTGAATTAATCATTCAAGATTAAAAGATAAACAAACACATCAGAGGAAATGAATCTTTTGTATTCAAAAAAAAAAAAACTTTTACTTAAAATTTCTCAACAGTTAAATAAATCACTCTTTTTAATTCCTTCATCATTTTGTTGATATAAAAAGTTTTATCCTTTAAATTTTTATTCTATATTATCTACATTTTCATAAGATTTAGGTTGATAACATTGATTGGTATCAGTGCTATTATGAAGTGAAAATAGGTTGATACGATCAGTGTTGAATATTAAATATTTATCTCTATCGTTGTACCATCTCTTACAAACTAAACTGAAACAAATGATATCAATGTTATCATCTATATAACTTATTATTTTATTTAATATTAAATGTGAAAGGTTTACTATTTTATTTGTTTGATTATTCATTCTTTAGAATCTTTAAAATAAAATAAAAAAAATTTTGTTTTGAGAGATGTTAATCCCAAATTACAATATTTAAAAGATTAGTCATTAAAATCAGTATTATTTTCAAAATTCAATAACGATTTCTATTTATTTTTTTCACAAAGATTATTGTTTCATTATTTCTAAATTGGAACGAAAAAAAATATTTGCACTATTTATTGTAACTGTACACTCTCCTAATCTTGTGATTTTAAATTAATTTTATTAAATTATTTTATTCATTTCCTCTTAAAATTTGTTCAAATTTAGATTGATGAAATATTTTAGCGATTAAGTTTCCTTTGGGTGATATATCATTTTCAGAATACATTAAATAATAATTATCGTCCAACTTTCTAATTGTTTGTGTTTGATATGATTCAAATCTATGAATGATATTGGTGATTGATTTGATAGTTTCTGGAATGGTGTTATTGATTTTAGATAGGTTTCTAAAGACAAGAGTATTGAGTGTTGGTGGTATCAAATGTAAATCATCAAGAAAATTTTTTCCAATATCCATATATTCAATGGTGTTTGGTAGTTTAACTTTAGGAGCTCCATCTTTGAATGTTGGAAGACGCAGTTCTTTTAGTGAACATGTTTGATCGGTATTACCAAAATCAAATATATTCTCATTTGAACCAGATACTTCCATAAATAGGCTGATTGATCTAATTCCGGATGGCAAAGATATCGTTGATTCTCTTGGTTCACCAGATATAAACAATGTATCGATCTTTATGTTTGATGGGATTGGAAGAATAATGTCATTTCCAAAATCAAATACTTCAAAGTAATATTGCTTAGTTTCTGGGAATATTTCATCGACCTTAAATTGACAATTATCTAGGTGGAAGATTCTCAATGATGTTGGCATTGTTCCTTTCAATACGCTATCTTTACTTTGAAGTCTAAGATCAAGAGACTCTAAAGTTCGTGGGAGGTAATTGGCGTTGAATACTGTGATATCTTGTCTATTGTATTTGGAAACATATATATCAAGTGATTGAAGATTGGAAAGAGATGATATTGCTTGTAACCATGAAATTGGTAAACATGATTTCATTAATACACTATCTTCCAAAGTTGTAGAATCGATTGTATATTGTAAATCATTATTGAGTGGAGTATCGCACAGAGAAAAATGTTTAAGAGATGATGGTAATACACCTGGTTGAATTTCATATTGATAGCCATCCAGAGTAAATTTCTGTAAACCATATGGAAGTACACCTGCTTGAATTTCATGCTTATATCCAAGAATTAATTCCAACAAACCACTTGGAAGTACACCTGGTCGAACTTCATATTGATAGCTGCTGAGATTAAGTTGCACAAACCATCTGGAAGTACACCTGGTGGAATTTCATATTCACAGCTGTCAAGATTAAGTTTATACAAACCATTTGGAAGTACACCTGGCTGAATTACAAATTCATAGTTGGTTAGAGTAAGTTTGACCAATCCGTCTGGAAGTACACCTGGTGGAATCTCTTGTTCGATTGGAGCATTGAATTTTAGCACCTCTAATGAATTGGGAAGTAATCCTTTAACAAGTGGTTCATCGAAATCATATTTGAATCTAATTGATTTGATTGACTTTGGTAATCCATATTTCAATGTGCCGCAACCACCAAACTTTGTTACTGATTGTGATTCTGATAATAATCTATAGATATTCTCCTGAATATTCTCTGTATAATTATAGATTGTTGAAACATTGCTGGGAATACTTTTGAGTTTTCTAGAATCATCTTCATAATTATACATTAAAACAGTTAGTCTAAAAAAATATGATAAGTATCAATAGAATATATTAATCAATTGATGATACTTACCATAATGATAATCGTATTTCTGATATTGGTATAATGATTTACTTAAAACCAGTTTACAATTCATCTTTGATTGAATTGATTTCAAAAAGATTTTATGATATGATGGTAATTTGAAATGCTCATTATTTTGATAGATATTAGTGTTTTTAAGTGCAAATAGGTTGATACGATCAGTGTTGAATATTAAATATTTATCTCTATGATTGTACCATCTCTTACAAACTAAACTGAAACAAATGATATCAATGTTATCATCTAAACAACTTATTATTTTATTTAATATTAAATGTGAAAGATTTACTATTTTATCTGTTTGATTATTCATTATAACGATCAAAATAAATGATCATCCAAAAAAAAATAAAAAATTATTGTTTATATCCAACGAACATGCTCCCAATCACTTCCGCTTGTGCATCAAAAAAATTGTAAAAATAAAAAAATTCGAGATATATTATTTTTTCTGAGAAAAGTGTGAGACCTTTCAAAAATCACTGATTTTTCATATCAAATAATCATTTTTCTTTTATTTATATTTGTTATTGTTCTTGAGCAAGAAAATAGTATACTATTAATAATTTAGTCAATATTGCCGCAAACCCAATAGCTTGTATGTCAGTAATATCAGATTTATCAAGACTTTTTTTCTCTGTCAATTGGTTTGTCATCATCACCAGCTATCATTTCAATAAGATATGATGTAGATAAGTAAAATCATATGATCGAATTATGGTGCTGATTCTTTGTATCATTTCAATTCCCTTCCACAAGACATGATTACAAAAGATATCCTCTTTGATTGATCATCCAGTGTATATTGACTTTCAATGAATAATTTCTTATTTTTACTCATTTTATTCAAGAATTTGCGAAAATTTTTATTCATGAACACCAAGTCCTTCTGGAATAACTTAAAAAGATTAAAAAAAAATAACATCCCCCAACCATATTAACCCCTTTTTTTTTTATTAAGTGAACTTCATATCTGATAGTTTCGTTTTATTATTGTTTAAAATCATTTATTCATTTAATATAAATATAAACATGATTGTAATTAATAAAAATAATATAAATAGAATAAATAAATTAAAATCAATATATATAAAACATTTCAATATCAAATAATTAATAATAATAACAATATTAATAATCAATAAAAATGTCAAACAATAATAATAGTAATAATAATAATAATAATAAACCATTAGAATTCAATAGAGAAACAAGTAAATTTAGAAATTGGGTTAGAATAGGTAGTGATCGATTCCCACCGGAAGCAAATAGATACCATCTCTATGCAAACTATGGATGTCCTTGGGTCAATCGTGTGCTGATCGTTAGGAATCTCAAGGGATTGCAAGATGTCATCTCCGTTAGCATTACAGAGCCGAGATTGTATGAGCGTGAAGGTTGGCCGTTCAATCCCGACTTTGATGAGTTCACCACTGACGACGCCGTCAACCATGCCAAGAACATACCGGAGATCTACCGACTATCGGATGCCACCTACCAAGGCAGATTCTCCGTACCGGTACTCTGGGACAAGAAGAACTCAGTCATCGTAAACAACGAATCGTCCGAGATCATCAGAATGCTAAACTCAGAGTTCAATCAATTCGCCAAGAATCCACAACTCGATTTGGTTCCATCGGATCTACAAGTGGAGATCGATCGAATAAATGAACTGGTCTATGAGAATGTGAATAACGGGGTTTATAAATGTGGATTCTCACCAAGTCAAGAAGGATGTAAGTTAGTTAGTTAGTTACATTACTATATATATATATATATATATATATTGTTAGCTAAACTTATTAATCTATTCTTATTATCCTATTTATCTTTGATTAGATGACATTGCATTTGATAAACTATTCAATACTTTGGATGAACTGGAAGAACGATTGGATACCAATAGATATTTAGTGGGTGATAGATTTACAGAGGCAGATGTTAGATTGTTTCCAACGCTAATTAGATTCGATGCAGCTTACTACGTAGTATTCAAATGCAATTTGAAGAGAATACAAGACTATCCAAACCTTTTCAACTATCTCAAGGAACTCTATCAGATGCCAGCTTTACAATCTACAATCAACTTTAAACACATCAAAAACGGTTACTTCAAATCAAAGCCATCACTCAATCCAACTTTAATCGTAGCAAAGGGTCCAAGCACCGATGTTCTCTTGGAACCACACAACAGAGATAGCAAGTTACCAATCAAAAAGTAGAACTAATATATATATAAACATATGTTAAACATTCATCATGATTATTATCATGAATCTGTAAATTTAATTATAACAATAACAACAATTATAAGAATAATAATAAAGATTTATTTATTCTTTCAATTTAATATTATCTTAATTTATTATTTAATTAATTGAAATACTAATTAATCTTTCTCGTTATTCTTTCTTCTCCTTTTGAATCTTTTTCATTGAATTCTTTGTTCCTCTTGTTGTTTTGCAATTAAAGAGTTGTTTATTCATTCTTTAAAGATCATAATTCAAAGTAGAAGATTTATTTTATTATATAATAAATTTACTATTTATATGATTATATAATTTATTCTTAATAATAATAGTATACAGATTTTCTAATATTCTTATTAAATGAATCAGTCATCGTGATAGCATCTCTTTTTGTTTAGATACTTTAAATTAATTGTGTTATTTGTTTAATTTGGGGGGACAGAAGCAAATTAAAAAAATTTGGGTGTTTGACCCCTAAATTTTAATTTTTTTCGACATTTCATTTTATTGGTTGGGTTTTTTTTTTTGCAAAGCTTTTTTTGTAATCTCGCATTAATTGTGTAAAATTCACACCAAAACAGTGTCAAATTTTTTCATTTTTGGGGGAGGCATCAATGAAATTACACAATTTGACTCCTCTATTTTTTTTTTGTAAATGCACAAATCTCACCCATTGCAGAAATTTAATATTCATTTACTTTTTGAATTAATTAATTAATTCAATGACAAAATTAGATAAATTTGTAAATTGGTCATTAGAGGTTTAACACCAAACTAATTGTTTTTTCTATTTCTCAATAGAATAAATCATTTTAAACCTCTAATGACCAATTTACAAATTTATTTACTTTCCAAAGTGCTAACTTGAGAGGAGGACTAAACTTATTTTTTTTTTTTTTTTTGGGTAAAGTAACCTACTTCATATTAGATATATATTAAAATTTTTATTTGATCTATAACCGCTCAAACACAAAAAGATTATTTTATATTTTTATTAATATTAAAATTGTTTTTTTTTTTCAAATTTTTTTAATCAATAAGAAAAAGTATAAATAATTACAAGTGAAAGAAATTTAAATCATTTTTCTTTAAAAATTCAAAACACTAATCAAATACAAAATGTCTGCTTCCTCAGTCCCTGGTACTGAAACCTACAACTCCACAACTCTTAGAGATCTTGCTGGAGGTGCTGGTGATAGAATCCTTGCCAAGCTAGATGAAAATCCAATGAATATCATTCCAATCAATTTGATATGTGCTGCACTCGATATTAAAGATCCATTCGAGGTTATTGCTCATTTTGAACCTGACAAAGAGGATGTTGGTATTATGGTGAATGCATGCATGTAAGTTAATTAAAAAACAATAATATTGTTTATAATCCCGATTAATAAAAATTATTGTTACTATATAGTGGTGTGATTCCTGTCGTTGGACCTATTCTTCAAGGTGTATTCTCTCTCTTCTGGAAGAGAGCTGCTGAATCCAATGTTATTACCAAAGAAAAACTCAAAGAAGAGTTGGACAAACTAAGAAAGGAAATGATGGAAGCTGTTGCCGGAAAGATCAAAGATAGTGAAATCAAGCAATGGACTGAGATCTGTGAAGCTTTCTTGAAAGGATTGAAGAAATCTTGTAAAGTTCTTGGTACTCATATCAATGCTCTTAAACATCAATTTGCCGAAAAAAAATGTGCCGATGAACAAGTTCAAGAAGCCGTCCGTATTGATTTGGCTTTGATCAGTGATAAAGCATTCTCACTTCATGAATTCTGTGATTCCCCGGCATACCTTAAGTATACACTTGGATACTATATTCAATCGCTTCAAATCTACACTGCTGTCTTAACACTACAAGAGGTATGTACTAACTTTAATATAAAATATATGTTTTATTGAGACAATATCTAATAATTTAATTTATATTAATATAGGCATTCTGGTATCAATTGGGAATTAAACCAATTTTTGTTACTGGTAGACGAGCTACTGATACAATTGATGCCTTGCCATCATTTGCAGAGACTATGCATGAAGAAATAATGCCAGCACTCAAAAATATTGCCCGAGGTCTTACCGAAAATGTTCGTGAAGGAGCACAGGCCAAAGGAGTCGATTTAACTACTCTCCATCTACTTTTAAAGAGTGATCGTTACCTTTATCCAGTGCCATTAGTTTTGGCACCCGTTGAAATTCCACAAGTAGCCAAGAGTCTTCGTGAGGTACAGGGTCCAATCTGTCCAGAATGCAAGGTACCAGAACGCGATGGAACCTTTATCTTTAGAATTGATTGTATAAATTTCAGACCGGAAACATCCGCTGAAGATATCCGTGGTTATCGTAATATGTCTCATGTTGAAGAACCGATCACTGGTTGCAAAGGTACGATGTCAGGTATTCCCGCTGCTCTCACAGTTGTCCTTCCAAAAAAGAGAACCGTTCAAATTCGTTTCGTTGGTGAATATGATCAGACTTTTACTGATCTCCCAATTCAATGGAACACAAATGAAGAGGCATCCTATACTGCGATGATGCCATTCAGAGAAAATTATCGAAGAAACAACAAAACTATTCCTGCAATCAAGGAGGAAATGGGTATCTCACAGGTTCCAGGAATGAGCTTGATGATAGATACCGATTCATTTAAGAGTGGAATGACCTACACTGAAAAGATGACTGATATTGAGAGAGTAACCTTTGTCACTGATCCATTTGATGATATGAAACGTCATGCAAAGATTTTGTTTATTGAATTAATCATTCAAGATTAAAAGATAAACAAACACATCAGAGGAAATGAATCTTTTGTATTCAAAAAAACAAAAACTTTTTCTTTAAATTTCTCAACAGTTAAATAAATCATGGTCACTCTTTTTAATTCCTTCATCATTTTGTTATAAAAGTTTTATCCTTTAAATTTTTATTCTGTATTATCTACATTTTCATAAGATTTAGGTTGGTTAAATAAGTTAAAGAGAGTTAATGAGTTTTCGCAAATCAATCGGACGTTTTGTTCGTTGTCAAATTCATTATATATTAAATAATAATTTTCATCCAACTTTCTAATAGTTTGCTTGCTATATGTTCCAAAATTACGAATTATTTTGGGTATTGATTTGAAAAAATTTGGATTGGTGATATCGATTTCACTTTGGTTTTCATTGCTATTAAAAGAAAGAGTATTGAGTGTTGATGGTATCAAATGTAATATATCATTGAGATCGTTGTCACCAATATGCAGTTGTTCAATGGTGTTTGGTATTTTAAATTTAGGAGTTCCATTCATGAATGTCGGAAGATGTAGTTCTCTTAATGAACATGTTTGATCGGTAACGTTGTCGACATCACCAAAGTCGATAATCTTCTCGCCTGAATCATACAATCCTGTATAAAAGTAGATTGATTTCACACCATATGATGGTAGAGATATAGTTGATTCTGTTATTTCTCCAGTTATGAACAATTCATCGATCTTTATGTTTGAAGGAATTCGAAGAATACTATTATTATCAATACCAAATACTTCAAAGTGATATTGCTTAGTTTCTGGGAATATTTCATCGATAATAAATTGACATTCGTTAAGATGGATGTTTTTTAAGGATGCTGGCATTGTTCCTATCAATACGACACTTGTTATGCTAATTTCGAGTGATTCTAAAGTTGGTGGGAGGTATTTAAGATTGAATACATTGGATTCTTGATCGCGGTAGGAAAAATAAATTTCAAGTGATTGAAGATTGAGAAGTGATGATATTGCTTGTAACCATGAAATTGGCACATAAGATTTCGTTATTACACTATCTTCCCATGTTGCAGATTCGGCACTTATAAATGCTAGATCATCAATTTGCGTATATTCGTAGCACTTTAGAGACAAATATGTAAGAGTTGATGGGAGTACACATGGTCGAAGCTCATGTGGATAGTCGTACAAAGATAATGATAACAAGCCAGCTGGAAGTATACCTGCTTGAATTTCATAGGGACTACCGTTTATAGTCAATGATAACAAACTATTTGGAAGTACACCTGGTCGAATTTCATATTGATAGTTGATTAGAGTAAGTTCGAGCAAACCATCTGGAAGTACACCTGGTAGAATCTCTTGTTTGAAAAATCTGTCAAAATCTAACACCTCTAATGAATCGGGAAGTGATCCTTTCTTAATGGGTTCATCAAATCCTCGGAAAGATAGTGATTTGATTGACTTTGGTAATCCATATATCAATGTGCTGCATCCTTCCAACTTTGTTACTGATTGTGATTCCGATATTAATCTATAGAATTTCTCTAATTCATCTATTTCATCGGAAGAATTAAATGTTATATAGATATTTGAAACCTTGCAGGGAATACTACCCTTTAGCTTTTCAAACTCATCTTTAAGTATGATAAAATTCAAATAGTTAGCCAAGTAATTATGATTTTCAAATGATTTTAAGATATTAATAATATTTACTATAATGATAATCGTAGTTTGGACATTGGTAAGTACTATAGCCAAAAACTAGTGTCAAATTAATCTTTGATTGAATTGAATTCATAAAGGTATTATAATATGATGGTAAGTTGAAATGTTTATTATTTTGATTGATATCAGAGGTATTATATGCAAATAGACAGATATTATCAGTGTTGAACATTAAATATTTATCTCTATCGTTGTACCATCTCTTACAAACTAAACTGAAACAAATGATATCAATGTTATCATCTATATAACTTATTATTTTATTTAATATTAAATGTGAAAGATTTACTATTTTATTTGTTTGATTATTCATTTTATAAAATGATTAAAGTTAAGGTTTGTTAATTTTGTTTTTTTCGTTTTACCATTAGATTTTTTATTGACAAAACATTTTTTTGACGAAAGAACTCAGAAAAGTTTGTTTTATCGTATTTTATTGTTTTAAATTCAACATGTTGGTCAGATTTCACTATGTTTTTAAGATTTGATGTGTATGATCTGATGGTACTACATCTGATTCGGTTGTGCATAGATAGTGTCGCTGGATTGTGGATCTCTAGGCAATACTTTGGTGGATAGCTTTGGACTCTCTTTGAATTAAGGTGATCTTGATGGCTCTGTAAGTGGTTTGTCTTAAAGAAATCTACAAGTCTCTTTTAGTGTCTCTCATGATGATCATCTAAGCATTTCTTGTATTCCACTATGTGTTGGGGATATATGAGATGAATTTATTTTTGTTTGACATCTTAAGAGTTGAAATGAAATAGGATTAGAATTAAAAAAATTAAAAGAATAAATTATTTTGATGAGGTTTGTTTAAAATTAAAAACAATGAGATATTTTAAAATTGAAATGTTAATTTATTTTATTATTTATTTTTAAGTATTTTTACAACTTTAATTGAGTCTAAAAACATTGATTTGTGGAATAGACTTGCAATGAATTGGTTACTTTGATGACCAAATACAATGTAATATTGATCATCAAGCTTTCGAATCGAACACTTATTATTATTGAAACCTTCATAAGTAATGTTGTCTATCATTTTTGCTGTAGGAAATAAAAGTTGTGTCAATTGAATGTTTTTAACAGAGTCTGGGAGAATACCTTCTGGTATATTAATATCAGATCCTAGATCTCGAATGATTAAATTATTCACAGAGTTTGGAATAATACCTGGGTGTGTGAAACTGTCCATATTGGTAACATTGAGTGTTTTCAACGATGATGGAAGTACTTCCTGATTGAAAGAAAAGTCACACCAAATAGCAATCTCAAGCGTTTCAATACCATATGGAATGACTCTGATCTTTCCCAAACTCTCTGTATTTATCTGATCAATGAGAATCAATCTCTTGATATCCAAACCTTTAAGAGATTCCTGTTTGAATGCCCATACCACTAGACTTTCAAAATGATAAAGTGAGCGATCTGGGAACAATTGGTCAATGTCATACTCTGAATCGTCGAGACTAAGATGTCTGATTGAAGTAGGACAGGCCGATAGTACCTCTAGTGAACCGGATAAATCAAGTGTTGTCAGTGATTTCGGTAGATCACCAAGATCTAAACAAGAAGCATGGCCAATTATCAAAAGGGATCTAAGATTTGTGAGTTGCTTTATTGAATTCATCCATAAAACAGGCGCATTAACAAGCCTAATAAGCGAATTTGGCAGTACGTTTGCATCGATATTAAAATCATTTCCATCATGAATGAATTCCTCTAGATTTGGTGGTAACGATCCAACTTTGAGATAGTTTTCGGGTGCTAAACGCCAGATTTTAAGAATCTTTAATGATGCAGGTAATACTCCAGGTTCCAATATTTGATCGAGATTAGAAATCTCGAGACACTCCAGTGTATCAGGTAACACACCTACTTCAATAACCTGATTGAAAATACCTACCAATTTCAGTGTCTTCAAGGTCGGTGGAAAACAACCTTTCAACAATGGTTCATTAAAATAATGCTCGAAAACTATTGAGGTGATATTCGCTGGTATTCCATACTTTAAAGTCTGAGGTGTGCACTTCTCAATGCTAGTTACATTTGATTTACTTATCAATTCATAAAGTCGAGCAAATAGCTTATCTGGGGCTTCGATTCTAGAGTCTAATTCTACATTAACAATATTTTGATCGATTTCATTTATACTTTCAATTGAATCTTATAGAAATAGAGAAAATAAGTGAGTATAGTTGCAAATAATAATAATAATCAATAATAACTATCGGATTTTGTTAGTAAAGAATATAATTACCAATATCCATTATATGATCATAAAGACCATTATAGTTTTTTTCTGAATTGACGAGCAGGCTACACTGTTTCTTTTGGGAGAGTGATTCTGTTATTAAAGATCTATAGGAATTCAATGTGATTCTTGAACTATCTTTATCGATACAATATAATCTCTTTGTATCAAACAATAGATATCTATTTCTATTGTCAAACCATCTTTTACAAACTAAACTAAAACAAATCTTATCGATATTATCTGTTAAGTTATGAACTATGATAGATATTAGAATATGTGGAAGATTTACTAATTTATGTGTTGAATTATTATTGTTTGACATCTTTAGAGATGAAATGAATGATGTGGGTGAATAATTTATAAATTTTACTACTCATTTCTGCACAAATTTGAGAAAATTTTTAAAAAAATTAATATTGTTTTTTTTTGAAGCTAAGTTAATAATATCTGTAGATTTTAAGATAAAAATAAACAAAGTTATATTAAAATAGAATGTATCAATGCAATGGTATGTCGGGTTTAACATTATTTAAAAATTATGTTATTATTTAGAAAAGATGGTGCTAATATAGCACTTTTAATAGGAGGATACACAAGAATTAAGCAATATCATACGTGTAACACCTCAGAGGATTAGTCAAATGAGCAGAGAAGAGAGGTTGATGGAAGCAATAAATGAAATTCAAAACGATACAGGTTTTACTCAAAAGGAGCTCTCTCAAAAGTATGGAGTTTCTGAAAGTGAGCTATCCAAGAAAAAAAATAACCTCTCCTTTAAGCCAAGAGGTAGATATCTCACCGAAGCAGAAGAATTAGAGATGATAAAGATGGTAGAAGAATCAAACACCACGTTCTCCAGATTCCTAAACGAGTAAAATGGGAACATATGCAAATTCAAATTATGGTGTCATTATTGCTAATGAGTCAGGATATGTAAGTTGGCAACTTTTTATAACTTGATCCAAAGTTGTCTATTGCTATTATTAATATATCAATATTGATACATTGTATTATTATATATTATAGGTAACGCAAGAGATAAAGAAAGAATATGTCGAATGGCTTCTAGGACAATTTAAGAAAACAGATAAAAAGCTGCTTTTAGTAGACAATCACATATCCAATTATTTCTTTGACGAAAAAAAACTTTGTGATGAGAATAATCTTATCATAATGACGTTCCCATCAAACCTGACTCACATTCTCCAGCCTTTGGATTTAGTCCTATTTTCGTCATTCTCTCAACACCTATCGAATTTGCTCAGAGATGGGTTAAAGGACAATCCAAAGTTTAAAGTGAACGATAAACACTACCAAATGCTGGCTTATCATGCTTGGTCATCATCATTCAACTCATCCAATATAAGAATGTCTTGGATTAAGTCTGGTTTGTTCAATTGGATGGCACATGAATACTGCGACCCAATATTTCTTAAAAAGCCGAAAAATTCTATCTCAAAGGAAATCGCTATAGCCGGGAACAAAGAGATTGTTCCGGCAAATGCTCAAGCCATGACCCAAAAAGAACGGGCTATAGTAATGAGAGATAAAAAGCGCAAGGGTGCCATAATAACTTCCCAAGATACACAGTATGTTCAACTTTTTTTTAAATCACCTCATTAACCCTATTAATTGAATCAAATTTTGACAGGGATATTATCAAAATAACCTATGAATGCTGAGTAATACAATGAATCTTTGTCAGGCGAGCTTGAATTATAAGTTGGTTGTTCAGTTCCATCCAAAATCAAAACGTAAGGTATCTTGGGAGTCAAGAACAAATAACCTGCTTCCTGTTGTCTTCTTTCAGGAGTCATCATAGATATCTCAGGAGAGAATAAATGATAAAGAAATTCTTGAATTTTCTTTCTATATCTATGGCCAGTAGATGGAGATATTCCAAAAATTGATGATAATAGAATCATATTAGGATAATGTCTAAAATGAAGAAATACTAAAAGAAGAGCATCTTCAGCAGGTAAAACATTCTGCTGCAGATGTACTTTTTCATATGACTCTAAAATAGAACAATAAACATGATATTCTATTCCAACTAATTCTTGAAATAAAGGCAATCTCTCAATTACTGAACAATAAAATGATGAATTTCTTATAAATTATATTTTAATATATATAATTTATACATTACCCACTTTGTTTTCTTTTATAAGAACTTTTCTTAGCTTGTTTAGCAGCTGGTTTAGCAACTGTCTTTGAAGCAGCATTTTTCTTGGTGGCGGCAGATGGGGCAGGAGGGGGTGTGCTCTGAGTTTCTTCATCTTCACCATCTTCTTCTTCTTCTTCTTCATCTTCATCTTCTCCATCAGCTGTCAATGAACGCGATCTAGACTCTGTATTTGTTCCTTTGGCTGACTTCTTTCCGGTGACATAATGTAATATAATATATCTAAGGCAATGATCTATATTACAGAAGTGTAACTTTTTCAAATGACCATCAACCTTTTCTTTTATATATATTCTTTTACTTGGATCTCCATCTATCTGAGTTGCACATCCCACATAATTGGTCTTACCAATTATTCTTGAAATACCATCACAATTCATCTCATTACCAGGTTCTTGACTCTCTTGATTATTATTATTTCTTTATACAATAGTATTATTAGTATTATGGTCAATAAATTTACTTAATAGTTGCCTTACTCTGTATTTATAATTCGAAAAGTTAACGTATGCAACCAAAATTGAAAATGTTATTGGAGATTTGAAAAATAGGTTTGATTGTCTCAGAGATCACCAGAGGATATCAAATAAAGATGAAGGTTTAGATGATCACCAACAACGATGGGTTATATGTGCAGGTATAAGAAATAAATATTTTCTCTCATTTTAACAGCATTTATTTGAATTTGGTGTTTTTCGGTTGAGACATGAAAGTTTTTTCGGAAGATAAACAACAATGAGAGAAAATTTTTAATTATTCTCTAGAGAATTGTGAGAAGGAACACAATCTATTGCTGTGATATCTTAATTTACTGACATCCACCAATCTATTGCATCTTCAAGTCTGGTGCCGAATGATACATATTCGAGAGAGATAGTTGAAGTTTGTGTTTGGCTGTAATGTAACTGTTCGAAAGGAATAATGGGGGCAAGCAATGAAGTTCACAATATATGGCAACTGGATAACTCATACAACCTTGAACGGCATAGTATATCGAACCAGAATCACCAGTACTAGGAAAGGGCATATTTGATTTGTAACAAACGGATACCAACATAGGACGCTCGACTCTAGTGATAAGAAGATGGTCAATATATTAAACAATTTCACAAAAAATTGATACTTACACGTCGTCGTCTTCTGTTGGATGCTCGAACCAAGAGGTCCTTGTGTTTATCAAGGACCCTCTAGAACGTCCGGTTGTTTGGACTAACTTTTCGATACATGTACCAGGACGAAAGCTTTTGACAGGCCGACTCCAGTATCGACCCTGTTCCATGGAGTCTATTTAATATTCTTCCCAGTATTCGATGAATGAGTCGGGTTGATAATTTGTTGTCAAAAGATTCGAAAAAGAAGTCTCATTGCGCAGTGGTAAAAAAGTCAACATCAGCATACATACCATTAAGACCTCGGAATAGATTATAGTGGCCATTGACAAGTAGATTATTGGATACAACCATTGGAGAGTAGAAATCCTCCTATGGTCCCACCTACCATGTCTCTCTGGTTCGGAATTGGTCAGAGAAGGTCCAAATCAATATCGTCATATGGTTTGGTTAAAAGGGCTAATAGAGAACAAACGGGCCACTATTAATCCTCCGTAGTATTCAAAAACACTCTTAATGCTATCGACAGGTGGTAAATCTTTTAGTTCGTCGTCGTCGCGGCGGGCTTTGCAAAATCCATCCCAAAAGTCTGAAGCTGGAAGGAGTCCAAACAACAAGACCTTCTGGGCTCCATTAGTAATAGAGATTTGAAATACTTTCAGCTTCTCGGTCAGGACCTTAGTGATCTTCGGTAAAAGAGAGTCATGTAGGAGAAGCCTTTGGAATATTATCCTCTGTTTAGTTTTAGTTTTGGACTGGATATCCAACCCTCTGAAGGAATTCTCAAGATCCTCCGTCTCAGTACTTGTAAAATATCTACGATCATCGGCGCAGATATACTTTAGGTGAAATGTGCTTTGTTGAAATTTGTCTAAAATCTGGCGGACTCTTGCTACTGTTGTTGGTGTTGGTGTTGGTGTTGGTGTTGGTGTTGGTGTTGGTGTTGGTGTTGGTGTTGGTGTTGGTGTTGGTGTTGGTGTTGGTGTTGGTTCTGCTGCTGATGGCAGTTCTGTTGTGGGAGTGGTAGTTTGTATAATGCGTAATATCTCTTCCTTTGTGGCCGAGTCAAGGCTGAGGGCTCTTGGGGGGATCCTTCCTCCAGCAACTGTAATAGCATTCTCAAATGCTTTACAGCATGCTTTCGATCATTGATACCAACATATTTGGAGTCCAATGCTGTGCACTATTGTTGAATGCTCTCTAAAGAAGTCTTGGAGCGGATCTGTATAGTGAAGTCTATGGTCTAGCAGCTAGTAAAGTTTATATGTGTTTGAAAGGGTCGAAGTGCAACGATGGTTAGATAAACATAATTAAGAATTAGGAATTTTGGGAATGAGTAATGACTGACCAACACACTTCCTGGAGGGTAGTAACTGAAATGAAATCCAACACCACACAATCCAACAACTAAAAAGTTACACAATGTGTTATTATTGGTTGGTTGTTGTTTTTTAATTTTTTTTAATTATATTTTATTTTTCCAAGTGGTAGTCATAAAGATGACAACATCTAAACAAATTAAATTATTTATTATTATTCAAAATAAAATATTAACAAATATAATTAACTAATGAAAGTAAAAAACTAAACTAATCAATTAATCTTATTTATTTATAAGATAAATTGTTTTTTCATTGTTATTTTATTGTTAATTGAGTGATAATAACAAGAATGACCAAAAACAAATAAAAACAAGAGTCTGTTTTGAAAATGGGGTTTTTATTTACCATAGAGCTTTATCATATTTGGAAAGTGAATCGAAATAGTTTGAACGTTCTTTGGCATTTGCAAAACCTTTCGGTGCAGTTTTCTTTGCTGGCACTGGAGGTGGTAGTTGTGGTTGACGTTGACGTTGTTGTACTGGCTCATCAAAGTCTTTGTTGGATTTTGATCGCTTCCATGGTGTGTCGTTATCAGTACTATCTAAATTGATGTTTGTTTCTTTTATGATTCTCTTCTTTAGTAGTGAAGCTGGAGTTTCTGGTGATTGACTTTGTCTGGTATGTCTATTGATCGGTGTTTTAATTGATGTTTTAGTTGATTGAGATTTGACTGGTGTTTGTGAGATTTGATTGAAAACATCGATCTCATCAAATATATCTTGATTTAATTGTAAACTTGCTGGTTTATCTTCAACAAAACTAGTATCTGTATTTTGAGCTAAAACTTTCGATTCTTTCTCTTCCTCTTCTTCATTTTCTTTATCATTTTCAACTTCATAATAATCTCCCCCTCCACCACCTGATTCCTGTTGGGAATTGATTGATTCATGGCTTGAGCTCGAACTACTACTAGATTGTGAACCTGATTGAGATTCGGAATCTGATTCCGACTCTGATTCTCGATTAGACTTTGATCGAGATTTTAATTCTACATCTGACGACTCTGATTCAGACTCTGAACTATCACTAGAACCAGAGACAGATATTGATTCATTGTCAGAGTCAGAACCTGATTCATTGTCAGCGTCAGAAGCGGATACATCAGAGTCTTTAACTCCATCTGATTGCTCTGACTCTCCAGACTTGTCTTTTTGAATTTCGCTAACCTCTTCATTATCGCTCACTGTCGGGAAATCACCAAACGATTCAAAATCACTATGATCTTGTGCTTCTTGTGACGGTTGTACAGCTTCATCCTCTGTCAAATCGTCATCTCTTTCTTGGTCATTCTGATCTTTGTTCTCTTCATCTAATTTCTGATCCTGTATTATTGCTTCTTCACTATTATTATTATTATTATTATCATTATCACTATCTATATCCATTCCATTATTTCTATCTTCCTGATCCTCTTGATCCTCTTCCTGATCCATCTGATCTTCTTTACGTTCTTCTTCACTATGTTCATGCTCTTGTTCTTCTTCTTGACGCTCTTCTTCCTGTTGCTCTTCCTCTAGATGTTCTTCTCCTTCTCCTTCTTCATTATCAATGTGTTGGTCATCATGTTCTGGTACACCAATATATCTGTCCGGTACCCATGGATCTTTAAAATAACAATTAATTAATATTAAACTTTAAATTGAAAATTTGAATAATAATAATATTCATACCATTTTCTTTTAAATACTGTTCAGTTTCATCTGATATAATATATTCATCGATGTCAAGTTGTAGAGAATCTGCATTGGTATTACTTCTTTTGAAATATTTTAAAACGTAATTCGATGGATATGATGTAGCAAAGAAACAACTTGGATTAACTCTAAATAAATAGTAATTAATTAATGATTAATTAGTTTTAGGAAAACAAAAAACAATTTATAGTATTATTATTATTATTATTATTATTTATTTATTTATCTATAACCTAATTTACATACCTTGTAAGCAATGATAATATTTTATTATGTTTATTGGCGGGTCTTAAGCTATTATAGTTTTCAACAGATACTAAATGACCGATATACTCTGCATCATCGATATAGATATTAAACTCTGAGAATGTTTCGTTGGGGAATAGAATGAACTTTTTCAGCTTTAGAATACCACCTATCAGATGATCAGGTACGAATGTCTGCAATCCAAACATAATATCGTGAATCAGCTTCGGTGAGATGATCGCACGTGTAAAATCAGTTCCATCCGAAACAACGAAATTAACACCCTGTGGTACATTCGAGTGTATTTTAATATCTGATTGATCTGGTTGTTTTAACTATATAGTAATAATATATATTTAAAATAAATGTATAAATTAATATTTTACAGATTATTATAATTTAAAATAAATAACGCTACTCTTGTTATTATTTGTATTAATGGATCTTCAGGTGATTCCTCATTTAATATACTATCGACAATCCATTTTTTTAAATTGGTTGACTTTGGTTGTTCTATCGGAATTTTAAATGGTATTTGCTTATTGTCGAATGACCTGTCATGTGTATTTTTGTGTTGTTGTTGTTGTTGTTGTTGACTAGAAGTATCTATATTGGTTGATTTTGATTCCTCTTCCTCGTTATTATCTCTATCATCATCACCTGTACCGAATTCAAAATCATCTTTAAGTTTCTTTTCTTTATTTTCTTCTTTTTGTTGTTGTTCTTCTTCTGGTTGTTGCTGTTTTTGTTGCTCTTTTTGTTGTTCTTCTTCTTCTTTTTGTTTTTGCTGTTGTTCAACTTGTGATTGCGATTGTTGTGTAAAGACTGATTGTGAATTACTAGCACTTCTATTGATATCTCTTATCTGACCACTGTTCTGAGTAGAAATTACTGTCTCTGTACTACTACTACTTAACTCTATGAATCTACTCAGTAATGTATTACTATTATTGTTATTATCTTGACTTTGACTTTGGATTTGTGATTGCGATTGCGATACTTGTTGTGATACCTGTTGTGATACCTGTGACGCTTGTGATGGTTGTGTAACAGTAGTATCGGAATGAACGATAGGTGGCATTTGAGTTGATTGTGATTTACTATTGATTAAACTTTGATATTGAAAGTATTTCCTTTGTTGTTGTTCGTATTGTTGTTGTGTAACTTGAGAGTAGAGCGGTTGTTGACTTGACAGTTCAATGGTTTGCGAACCAAAACTTTCTGGTTTTTCATAGAAGTCATTGACCTCTATCTTATCATCTACTTCAGTGAATATATCTGTATTGGTTTGGGGTGGTTCGTTACTACTTTTAATAGTGTTATTACTACTTATGAACTGAGTCTCATCTTCATCACCCGAGAAGAAGTCATCGTCCATCACATCGATATCAGATGATTTCTCTATACTAACATCTAACTTATCTTCTTCTTCTTCTTCTGACATATTAAATAATTGAATTGAACAATCTAAATATCTAAAATAATAATAAAAAGAATATTTATATTTTAAAACAAATAGCTTGTCAAATCTGACAAAAAAGTAAGTTAAAATTTTTGGCGCACTCCAATTTTAGTATTATGAAAAAAAAAACGAAATCTATGAAATAAGATATAAAAAGAAAATTGATTATAATCACGATCTTTGCATATGCAACAAACATCAACTAATTATTATAATAAAGATTATTTAAAGTTGTTTAGTTAGTTATGTATTCAATTGTCAGAAATAGAATATGTAGATTCTTTTATGGATTGAGTGGCGAGACAACAAGAAATATTAGTAGTATAAACAATAATAATATTAATACTAGTAATAATAATAATAATAGCATTAAAATAGGTAGAAAATCAAAGAAACCATCAAATGTGTTTCATGGTAGAATAAGTGATTATAATAGTGAGTTACAGGGTATTGTAACTGCTGAGGATGTACAGGAGAGAAATAAAGATGGTAGTGCAATCATGACGAAACCAACCACCGTATTGAATTCGTTACTTGGTGAATATGTAGAGTTTAGAGTGTTTTCACGATATGGTGATCATTTCAATGAGGCAAGAGCATATCAGATACTGGAAAAGTCAGAGGATCGTGTAGACCACCCGAGATGTCAGCACTACGGATTGTGTACGGGTTGTCCACTTATGCATATGAAACATTCACATCAAATTCAACACAAGTATCAACAACTTGCCAAACTCTATAGAGATTCAGGAATCATTATCAATGATGATAGCAATCTGCTCGATTCAAATGTTATAAAAGATGAAAATGGTGATACAAATGGTCAGTTTGGTTATAGACGAAGAGCAAGATTCTCTGTTAGATACGATCATCAAAGTAAGAGAGTGAACGTCGGATATAACAGTCCTTTGAAACCGAGTTTCCAAGTGAATGAATGTCCTATTCTTGTGGAGAGTGTACAAACGCTGCCTCTGAAACTGTCTGATCTCTTCACATCGTTCGAAGACAAGCAAATCAGAGATAAACTTTCAATGGTAGAGTTAACGGTGGCAGACAACACAACTTCAATCATCATAAGACATCTTAAATCAATAGAGCAAATAGACATTGAAAAAATAATAGAATTTGGAAAGAGTGAAAAGAATTTATCAATTTATCTACAAGTATGTTAATAATTTAATTTTAATTCTATCAGATATTTTATTATTAATAATATTAATTAATTTAATTAATAAAGCCAAGTAATTTAGAATCAATTCAACAATTATATCCACAAAATGAAAAAGTAAAGCTTTACTATCTTAGTCATGGCGATGACCAAAGAAAAATAGAAATTGGTCCTGCCGACTTTATACAGGTAAATAAACAGGTCAATAAATTAATGATCGATCAAGCAATTGAGTTTCTAGATTTAAATAAAAATGATTTTGTAAGTATAAATGATCATAGGTGATAGTTGATCAAATATTAACGAATCAATGAATCTATAGGTATATGATTTATTTTGTGGATCAGGCAATTTCACATTCCCAATTGCAAAGTATTGTCAACAGGTAGTGGCAATCGATTATGCATCCAATAGTCTAGCAAAACCGAATCTAGGTGACAATGTTGTCAGTCTTAATTATAATCTATACGAATACTCCATTGATTACGACGCGAAATGTAATAAAATACTATTAGATCCACCAAGATCAGGGTATGTTTTATATAATATATATGTTAACAAAATTTTAAGTAGTTACTAAACATCTGATTTTATGATTTAAATTAGAGCTGAAAAAGTATGTAATGAAATGCCAGATAATTTCGAAAGAATTGTTTATATATCGTGTGATCCAAGTGGATCACTGATACGAGACCTCAAGATATTAAAGAGTAAAGGTTATATTATAGAAAAGATAAAACTAATTGAGATGTTTCCAAACACTACAAAGATAGAAGCAATAGTTTCGTTAACGAAGAAATAAAACAAAATAAACCAGTCACAACTACAAAAATTTTGTTACTCTATTTTTTAACACTAATGATAAAAAAGTAAAATATGTTAACACACCCACACTTGTGTTGCATAGGATCATTTTATCTTTTAATTTTTACTTTTTTTATTCTTTATTGACAAATTCATATAAATAAATATATATAGAAATTAAAATACAAGTTTTAGTAATCTTTGATTTTCATTTTTTATTTTATTTTTTTTACAACTTTCCATATAATATTTAAACTTGATAGAAAATGTAATCATTATTTATGAATATATTTTTAGAAATATATATATAAATTTATTTATTAATTATGAAAAAATTATTCATTTTTATTTTTTTAATCTTTTTTATAGTTGTTTTGAAGGCAATTGATATCACTAGTGGTGATTGTACAGAAAAGTGTGAAGATATTAATACTTCAAAGTCAGCAGGTAACAATAAGAATAATAATCAAACAATGTCTATTCCACAGTCTGGTATTCTCTTGGAGCATTGCAAGTTTGGAATATTCATAGAGGCAATGGTGAATAACTGTAAGGATTACTCGGGTTTGAAAGATGGCTGCAAGAAATTTGTAAATAGTCTTGAATCTCTACAGAAAGAATATCCCAATGAGAAGTTGGGTTCGGTCATTTCTTTCAATCACAACGTATGGCGTAGTTTGGCTGGTAATGACAGTGCTCCAGAACTGAAGCCATTCCGACAGATAGGCACTGCACCCGCTACACAACGTGACATGTTCATTCACATTCAATCTCTGCGTTTCGATATCAATTTCTCATTGGCGCTCGCTGCCATTAAAGCATTTGGAACTTCAATCAAGGTAGCCGAGGAAATTCATGGATTCAGATGGGTGGATGAGCGTGATCTAAGTGGATTCATCGATGGAACTGAGAATCCAACCGGTGAGAAACGTCCATTGTTCGGACTGCTTCCACAAACCGATAAAGATGCCATGGGTAGCTATGTGTTGGTGCAGCGATACGAACATGATTTGGAGAAATGGGGTAAGATCTCTGTGGAAGATCAGCAACAGATGATTGGAAGAACCAAGAAAGATAGCGTTGAGATCGATCCATCGAAAAGAAATACTACCTCACATGTTAGCAGGGTGGATCTCGAGGAGAATGGTGTCAGTTTGAAAATTATTAGACAAAGTCTTCCCTATGGAGATGCCAGTGGTGTACATGGTTTGTTTTTCATTGCATACAGTGCTAAACTGCACAGCATTGAAAAGCAATTGGAATCAATGTTTGGTGTAACCGACGGTAAAATTGATGATATCATTACAGGACTAAGTAAACCGGTTACCGGCTCTTACTATTTCGCTCCATCACTAACTAAATTGAAATCCATATTTAATAATGAACAAAATTAATAAAAGTACAGAAATTATTATTTTGATGCTTTAATTTATCGTCTAGAATAATTTATTTAATTTTTTAATATATTTTAATTTAGTGGAGTTACAATGTTGAATGAACCAGTTCCACCTCTTACAACTTGACCCAAAACGATTCTAGAGGATGGTGACTCACAAATATCACTGTCACCAAGGAGTGCAGCTTTCTGTAAAAATGAACATGTAGTCTCGAACGACATCTTTTGAAGTGGTGATGGATTGTTATCGAGACCGATACGATTGAGTGCACGGTATCCACCTTCGAATGTCATGTAGTCGGCGAGCAGTGTCAAATGACGCTTGTCAACTGTGATACCGTAAGCACCGAAAACACTGGTGATTTCACTGACGATCGCACTCTTGCAAGCTTCGACACCATAGGTATTGAGAACGTGATAGATATTGTTGGTGTAGATCTTGTTGATCTGGATCTTGTCTTGAATCAATGCGAGTTCCTCGAAATTGACACCTTCAGTTTGAATAGAGTATTCGGTCTTTCCACCTTGAGTCTTTTCATTGATGAAACATCTCGAGATACCCTTGAATGATTTGATAATGAAATTGAGTGCAACCTGTTCGACAATGTTCAAAATCAACATCTTCTTGCTGTTTGATGGAACCGATACAGTGAATGAATAGCTTGTATAATTGAATGTCTTATCCTTTGATTCTACACGAGTGGTAGTTGATGTCTTTTCATTATCATCGTCTTCATTTGTATCTTCATTGTCATTGTTGTCTGCTGATTCTTCACCACTTGATTTATCGTCATCTTCGTCTTCATCTTCATCCTTATCTTCATCAGCTTCATCGTAACTTGCCATTTGCTTCTTTCTATCCTTTTCTTTGGCGGAAGAAGAATCATTATCATTATCACGTGTTTGTCTCTTTCCTTTGTTGTTATCTGTTGTTGAATTCGATTGATTGTCATCATCACCATCGGCAGCAGCAGCACCAGATTGTTTATCATCATCTCCATCGGCGTCTTCAAACTCCTCACCAGAGTAATCTGATTTCATCTTTTGACCTTGACCAATATCGATATTTCTCTGAGAGTTGGCACGTTTAACATTGGTTTGAACTTTCTTTATAAACAATTGGAAGATATCTGGCAGTTGTTTCTCGGTGATCTCCTTGATCTCCAACAGTTTCTTCAGACCTGGAATAAAGTTCAAAACGATATCGTAGCAACGATCGACACCACGCAACTGTTCGTGTACAGTTACACAATCGAGAACATCTGACATCTTCAACCATTCAATCTTCTTTGCCATCAATTCAGTTGCTTCCTTATTGGTTGGATCGGTAAGTACAATATCCATCAACGGTGTCGATGGAACTCTTGAAGCAGTCTGGATAATCTCTCTGAGACGTGGGATACCAAGAGTTACGTTCGCTTCACCACGACCTGCCAAATGGAATGTGTTCAAAGTCATCTGTGTCGATGGTTCACCAATGGATTGTGCGCACAACAAACCAACCGATTCACCGGGTGCAACAGTACAACGATTGTAATTCAACATCATCAACTGACGGAATTCACGCTCTGGAATCTTACCACTCTTATTCTTGGCAGTCTTTATCAATCCCAAGTTGTTGGCTGCAATATATTTATTCAACTCGTCCATGAATGACTCTGATGTGACACCGATATCGGTTACGTTGAACTTTGAAAGCACTGGATCTGGACGTTTGTCGGCTGGCAAAGAAGCAATCTTCTCATGATAATCAAGAATCTCCTTGACAGCCTTGCTATTCCAACGTTGCTCAATATCCTTGAGATCCTCGACAAAATGTGATTTGAATAGAGTGAAATTCTGAGCGATCATGTCGAAATTGAGGAGATACTGACGCTTGGTGATCTCCAATGAATCCTCACCATAGTTGAATTGTATTACCGATCCGTCAGAGTCACGAACAGTGTTGTCATATTGCACGGTAAGACCTTCGAGATGCTTAATGATACAACGCTGCAAGTAACCGGAACGAGCAGTCTTTACGGCGGTATCGATCAAACCTTCACGACCAGCCATACAATGGAAATAGTAATCCTGAGGACGAACACCCGTCAAGAAACGATCCATAATGAAACCACCGGCTCTTGCCGATGCATCGTATGGCTCGTACGAGGGAAGTGTCTTACCGGACACCATACGTGGTACACGCTTACCTTCCAACTCCTGTTGTCCAAGCAGACACGAGACCTGTGAGAAATTGACAACCGATCCTTTGGCACCAGAGTTGGTCATCAGCGAGAAGTTATTGTCTGGGAATGCTTTGAGTTGACCGCCTGGCAAGAGTGTATCGATAATCTTTGAGGTGTGTGAGTTTAGTGCTTTCTTGAGCATACCGTCGAGACGAGCGACCTCACGCTCCTCACGGAGAGCGTCCGCCATATACTTGGAGACGGCGACACGCTCGTAGCTTGGCTGGTCAGCAAACTTGGCAGCGACTTGCAAACCTTCCTTGTTGGCACGGTCCAAACACTCGGAACGGAAAGCATTCTCTTTGTTGTTGATCAACAGATCATCGAGACCACAGGTGAAACCACGTGTCGACAGGTAATTGGTGAACATTCTACCGAGAAGTGTGAGAAGTTGACCTGCGATATCCGGGTGATACAACTCGTAGCAAGTATGAACCAAACCATTTCCAGTGGCACCGAAATGATTCTTATCGAGAATACCTACCAACATTTCATTCTCTCGGATAATCACATGAGAGTCACGCATCAACTCTGGACCGTGCTTACCCCACAACTTTGTTGAGATCTTTGACGAACCGGTAAAGTTGAGTGGTGCATAGCCAATTGTGAGGTGATCAAGAGCGGCTGAGATCAATTGCTTTCCTGACCAAAGTGGTTGTGGCTTCAAAATGCATGGTGGAGGTGTACGTATTGGATGCTTTGTATTGACTGACCAACAACTGGCGTACAGTACCTTCTGGAATTCACCTTTGGTAAAGAGAGTATCACGTTTGGTGAGTAAAACACCGGTGAGAATATGATCTTGAATCAAACCACGCAATGGAACACCTGCACGAGGTCCGAGATATTGGAAGTTGTTGGCTGCAATCTCACGGACTTCCGCTGCGGCAAGCAATGACTGTGGAAAATGTATATTCATTTCGTCACCATCGAAATCGGCGTTATATGTGGAGCAATTGCAATAGTGCATACGAAGTGTCTTCTCGTTCTTACCGAGTACCTTAACACGATGACCAGAGATACCTGGTTTGTGAAGAGTTGGCTGACGATTCGCCAGGACATAGTCTCCGCTCACCAAATGACGGTATACCTTCTTGATGGCACCGTGTGGTGCTTGTGGACGCACGGTCAACAGTGTCTTGGAGAGTGCGATTCTCTTCTCCGGTGTCTCTTTCTCGAGGTTAATTATATTACCGAGTTCGTCCTCAATGAAATTGGCACCCGGATAGACGTCGGCACCGTTGATAACGGCCGCCGCCATCTCTTGGTAGTTGACGGGTGTCACTGGCTGTGGGAATGTCAACTTCTTGGCAAACAACTGTGGAACACCCATCTCGTTGGTTTCCAGCGAGATGTCCGGTGAGATAACGGTACGTGCAGCATAGTTGACACGCTTACCCATCATATTCTTACGGAAGAGACCTTCTTTCTTCTCGAGTACCTGCTTCATACCGGCTGGCGCAGTGGCACCGACTGTGACAGCACGCGAATTGTCATAGATATTATTGATATGGAATTGGAGCTCGCAAACATTGGTAACCATATTCTTGGCAGTGTCAGACTCGGACGATTCAATTTGCTTACGAATCAACTTGTTGGCGCGAAGTATTCCTTTGTAGTGAACGTTGGCACCGTGCTCAGTGGATTTACCACCGACGACATTGCAAGGACGATACTTGTTTGGAATGACAGGCAACGCAGTCAAGAAGAACGATTCAATCGATGCTTCCTTAACAAATTCGACACCGGACTTCTTGCTCTTGAAGACTGGACGAACCGAACCAAACAACAGGTTGAGGATGTCGCATTCACGCTTGAAGAGTTCGGCGATGTTCGATTGGAACTCCCATGGCGAGAACCATGTTCCGAATTGCGATTGTTGGTCGACCGAAGAGAAGTTGGTCTTGGCCTTCTTGAGGAGCGATGCATTGTGCTTACGGCACTTCTCATTGAGTGGCATGATAAAGACTTTGGAACGAGCAGCCTCACCGTTACGAATGGCTGGTGAGTAGGCATCGCAATTGGCGCAGCACATTGCACTGTTGGATCCAGTCGCCAGGAAATCACGAAGAATCTCACGACGAATCGATTCGAAATGAGTTACTTTACCTCCCTTCAACAAGAATTTAGAGTATTGAATATCGATATCCGACATTTCAACATCCATCTTATCGGCTTCCTCTTCTTCTTCTTTATCTGATTCACTTTCATCTTCACTACTGCTGCTGCCACTGCTACTGCTACTGCTACTGCTTTCACTTTCACTACTATCACTATCGTTCTTTCCTTTTCCTTTTCCTTTACCCTTTCCTTTTCCTTTATCTTTTCCATTGTTTTTCTTTGAGTTTTTATCGGCGCTCTTACTCTTGACATCGTCGAGATCATCCAATTCCATGGCATCTTCGTTTCTAACTTTTTTGCTGCTAGCCGATCTCTTTAACAAATGATTCTCTCTAACTTGTTTAGCTTTAACAATCTCTCCACTATATAACAATTCCAATTCTTGAATCAAAGAATCAATCTATAAAAAACAATAATAATAATAATTTAAAAATAAATGTTAACATTTTTTTCTAATTTGAAAATAAACATATCGAATCAATTTAATATATATATATACATACAGTTGCTTTTCCATGTTTGAAACGATGACAATTCAAACAAGTATTTTGTAACAATTTAAATAGTACTTTGAACATGACTGGATTATAGGTTGGTACTGCCAATTCGATATGTCCATAATGACCAGGACAATCAACATGATGTAAATTACATGTTTGACATCTGTGTGTTTATTATTGGTAGTGTTAATTAATGATTGAATTGATTATTAATAATTGTTGTCTTTATAATTACCTTTCGAAAGCTTCAGAAGTACCTAGAGCTTTATCGTAACAACCACCTGGTTGTGGATTACCAAGCAAATCGAATGTCTCGGGTTCGGTGATCTGCTTCTGTGACAACTTTCTAATTTCATCTGCTGTATAGAATGCAAAGGAAGCAGATGATACTTCATTCTTAATTGATTGATATGCAGTTGACATTGTTGTTGTTGTTGTTGTTTGTTATTGTTGATTTATTTATATATGAGTGATCGAATCTCTTAATTGATGATTAATAATATAATATTATTATTTATTTTTTTGATATATATTTTAGTAATAAAGAATTACTCTTCTCGTCTAATCGAGAGTTCTCATCGACCACAAAACAAACAAAACTAAATAAAATAATCAATGAATGTTTGATCGGTTTCGTCTCTGTTAAAAAAAAAAAAAAATCAAATAAATAAATAAAAATTCGAAAAAAATAAATTTTTCAAAAAAAAAAACGAATAAAAAATTCATCATCTTTCCCAACACAATTTAGAAAGAACTTAACAAACATAATAATAACAAAAGAAGGTTGATTGATCATCAAGACATAGACATGATTGTGTGATTATTAAGAATAATAAATCAATGATGTTTTGTTTTTTTTTTTTTTATATAGATGTTTATTAATCAACAATTTTAATTGGTGGTTGATTCTGTGAAAATATATGTAATTTTTGAATTGCCTAAACTGTTTATCCATATCTCTTTTGTAATTCCTATTTTTAGAATGATTTTTTTTTAAAATTAATTAAGCTAGTTGAAAGTTAATAGATTTATATAACGATGATTGATATTTACCTCTTTCTTTTTCTCAGCTGCTGTTTTCTCGCTTGATTCATCAATGTCTATCTCCATTTGATTACTGTTATTATTATTATTGTTGTTGTTGTTGTTGTTATTGTTGATACCTTTTTTAATTGTTGTTGATGTTGATGTTGTAGATAATTTTACATTGTATTTTAGCTTTTGTTCTTCCTTCCACTGAGCGACAGCTTCCTCTATCAGCTTCTTCTCTACGTCTGCTTCGATCTCTACGAGTACACCGTCCTCCTCGTCTCTGTAGCCGTAGTAGTCGGCATCGACCGCCTTGTGTAGATCAAACTTTGATCGTTTCGTAACTGGCAGCTCAGGTTTCTCCAGTAGCTCTTTGACGCCCGGTAGATTCTTTGCCTCACCGTAGTACTTGTAGAGACCGGTACCGGCTGGCTCACGACCATCGGCATCAAAGACACGCGGTGCCGTAGCAATAAAGTTTGGACCACCCAACTCAATGATTCTCTTCTCCCAATGGTGTTTCTCACGCACCAACTTATTGATCTCATCATTCAGATCTCTTATTCTAAATTCTCCTAATGATGCTACATCGATTTGATTTAAAGAAAAATAATAAGTTTAAATTCTACTACTTATTATTTATTAATATAAAATAAATTAATGAAATGTACATACAATTTTGTATATCAGATATCTTCTTTGAAGTTTCTCTAACGATTTGATATCTCCATTTCTCCGCTTCTACAAGACTCTCACATAGAGAGGCAAGATGAGGTCTTCTCTTTTCGACTTTATCTTCATCACCTCTCATTCTGAGGAATCTATTTAGCATAGATTGTGCCTTTTCTTCATTTCTAGACATTTCTCTCTTTTAGTATAATATAATATAAATATATAACAATATGATTATCAATAATGATGTTTTATATTTGATAAAAAAAAAAAAAAAAAAAAAAAAAAAATTCAAAAACTTTGAAGTCGACTTCAACGGGTGAATATCATTGTAGTTTTATCATCAATACAAACAAATAAATTTCCTTTAGTTCTTATTTAATAAATTGAAATTGTTTTTTTTTTAATTTTTCTAATTTATTAACATTCTAAATCCTCAATAATTAGTATATTAAATTTAATAATTATAATTTTATTTTTTTGATTGAAATTTGGACCAAAATTTTTGAACAAATCTTCATTGATTTCAATCGTTGTGAACTGGATTCTTTTAAACAAATAATAATAACAAGATATTTTTTTTTTGGTTCTAAATCTTTAGATCCAAATATTTCCGAAATTGAAAATTGGGTGTTATTTAAAACCACAAAAATTTGTTGTGATTTTATTTTTGGTTTAATTTGCACAAGCCCTTCTAAAATTCCAATGCAATTTTCAAAAGAGAACAAATCAAACATTCATTTTACCCATTTTACACAATTGTGTTTTCATTTTCAACTTTTTTTTTTTTTTTTAACTTTCTATTTATATCTAAATTTCTTTATATCATATATAATAGTAACAATTTAACTATATATTTAATAATATGAGTAACAATAGTAGTTTTAAAACATCATTGTTATTTTATTTTCATTTAGCAACATTTGTTGCAATCTCTATCGGTATCATACAATTCTATGTATTCTACGTAGATCAAAAAATAAATGGTGGAAATCCACTTGGAATGTTGACATTCCTTACATTCTGGGGACAAGTAAGTCGACTTTAATATGAATAGTTTTTGAATGATTTAATATATCATCAATATTAACAACAATATAATCAACTAACTACTCAAAGTTGATACATTTCTTTTACTTTTTTGTTGCTTTGGTTGTAGATTTATTCGATTTGAGTGGAAGTAACAGTGGTCACTTGTATTATAGTGTTTTGAAGTGTCGTGATTTGGTGTTCCGATCGACTGCATTCCCAGTGGGTATCATCATTAGTTCGATGTTCTGGGGAATCTACCATTTCGATCAGGAGCTGATATTGCCGCGTCAATTTGAGATGTTGATGCCAGCCTACTTGAATCATCTCCAACACACACTGCCAGGCGTGGCAATGGTGTTGGAGATGGCGTTGGTCAACCACCAATACCACCGATTCTTGGTTCCAGTGATAGCCGGTGTTGCATCGACCGCCAACATCTACCAAGACATAACACAACTCCTCTCATTCCTGATGAGTTACCTCGCGATCTTGGTGATCGCACGTTACATCCAAGGAGTATGGGTGTATCCGATCATCGAAGTGATTCCCACCCACTCAAAAGTAATCTTTATCTTTTCATCGTCCTGTTTCTTCACAGCGATCTATATCATTTCGCGACAGATCTCCAGATGGATTTGGGGTGGAGAGACCGAGTTCATCGCACCAAAAGGTGTAATCAAGAGTTTTACAAACAACAACAATAATAATAATAATATATCAAAGAAAGTAAACTAAATATAACTATTCTAAACAAAACGAAAACAAAACAAAACAAATATGAAAAAGTAAGTAGTTTTACTTCTTCTTAACATAAAATTCACATATAATATAATAAATAAAAACTTGTAAATAAAAATATATAATTATAAATATCTTTTCTTAGATTTAGTTTTTAGCTTAAATAATTTTTAAAAAAAAAGAAAAAGTATTTGTTTTTATTATAATGATTTTATTTATTTATTTATTTATTGATGATGATTATTTATCAAAGTTTGTTTATTTTCTTTGTTTTTTGAAATTACGTGGAGCTCTACGATCTCTTCCATTTCTCAAACCGGATTTGAAGGTTTCGTCTGGTTCTTCACCGACTTCCTGTCTGTACCACTCTTCATCATCGTCTTCCTCACCATCATCTTCATTTGCAAACTTCTTAATGTTCTTCTTGTCTTGGTTGTACTTTCTCTTTTTCTTTTCTTCGTCTTTCTTCTTCTTGTCTTCAACATTCTTGTTTTGTTCATCGATTCTTCTTTGTTTCTCGATCTTTTCATCTTGTTTCTTTATATTCAATTCTTCAATCTCTTGTTCAGTCTTTGAAACTTAATAAATTATTATTATTATTATTATTATTATTATTATTATTGTTGTTGTTATGTTAGTTAATTTGATTGTTACCAAGTAGGAATGTAATGTGATTGATGATAACTTACCAAATTTATGATATAAAACACCACCCTTAAATAGATCATCTTCAACTTTAATTAGATCCAATGTCATTCTTGGACCGATCTCTTCAAGTTTGATTGCCTTTTGATTAGATTGTATAGTCTTTTTAGATTTTGTATCTAAAAACTTTGAATCAATATCGATCTTTCCTTCGTTTGCATCTTCGTAATCACTTTCACTCTCACCAGTTCCACCCAACACATAATCACTAATATCATCCAACTTTGAAATATCCGGTACCTTTGATTGAATAACTCTCTTAATACTTTTACTAATACCTGTTTCAGCAACTCTATATATATATATAATTCATAAACTAATTAGCTTATTTTCTTATCATAACATATATAAATATAATTATTAGTAACTTACCTAATCTTATAATGTCTAAATTCAACAGTACCGTCTTCTTTATTATAATTAAACAATACAATTCTTTTACATTTAGCAAGTTGTAACTAAATAATAGGTTTGTTAGTTATGTTATGTCTATTTTATGTTTGTTAAGAAATACAAACAAACAAACAAACTATAAAGTTATACTTACAGTTAATACATTGATAGATGGGAATAAACCTTGTAACATCGTAGACATCATTTCGAGATGTGGTACACCTTTGGTAAAGTTATTGAGTACAACGAGTGGTGCGGTTAGATAATCTAGACTGCTGGCGGTGCTCGATTTGATTTTCGCTTTGGTGACATCGGCAACCAGCGAATATTGATTGACTTTGAATGTGATGGTTGGTCCCTTTGGTGTTTTACCGATCGATACGTAGGTACCGATGTCGGTGTTGGAGAATGCCACCAAATGAGTGACACCGTACAACGATGCCACGTTAACGAAATCCTTGGTGGAGTTGGTCGGTGTCTCTTTCAGCTTGGCGGCGGTGTTTGGTTCCATCACCTTTCTAAAGTCTTGAACGAGCTGCTTCACCAGCTTATTGCAATCGCCTCTTCTAAATACAAATGATTTACTAACGCCTTGATCTTCCTCTTCATTCTCGAGTGTCGAGCTATTGTTATTTACTTCTTTCTTTGATTTCTTTCCACCCTAAAAACAACAAACATCGAGTTTGTAGAATATTAATATCATATCTCATTGTAAATATTATTTTATTCTATATATTTCATACCTTTTTGAAAGATGAATTCTTCTTTCCTTTCTGATTTTTAAAATCTCTTTTACCTTTCATTTTTACTATATTTGTGTGTATATATATAATTTAATATTCTAACAAAAATAACAAAAAAGAAAATTATTAATTGATCATTTCGTTCGTTTTTTATAAATTTTTTATTTTTAAATTTTAATTTATTTTTTTGGGAATTATTTTTTTCAAAGAGAATGAATGATAATCCAAAATCAAGGTATGATTTTGATTAATGATATAATGATGTCTCAATCAAATCAAAATTGATATTAAAATCCTCACTTCCACTTAATTGGTTTTCTCTGTTTTATGGGAGGTTCTATAATTTAAAGTATCTTTTAAAGGCATATTAAATCTGAATTAATAATGAGCGAGTTTATATATTGGTTGTGTGTTTTAAATAAATTTAATTTTATTGTTAAAATAATGTTATGATTGTTGTGAAAGTGATTGTAGAACTGATAATATTATTTGATGAAATTTAGCATAGTTCCATTTCTATGCTATTTCTTAATTCTATTGTTATGATTATTGCTATTATTATAGTTGTTATTGTTTCTTTTCTACAGCTGTGATATATATTATTTATCTAAATCAAAGTCACATTTAAAAAAAAATATTAATAAAGTCATTCTTTAATTCTTTGACTTAAAGCTTGTTGTAATACTATAATTAAGTTTAAAAAAAAGGTTAGTATACTAAATACATGCATAACGGTAGTTTAATAACTATATTTATCTATAATAACACATACAAGAAAGCTAATACAGCCAAGAAAAAGGTGATAAAGAAAGATGGTGTCGATTGGATGGAATCGTTAGAGAATAGTGGTGGTGAGCAAGTGCATGTTGCCGATACTCTGTGTGTTGCCGGACAGACACTCTTAAACCATGGATCGGCGGTGGTCGGTGTGGTGGGTGGCAATGGACATTCACCGGCAGTATTGATACCATCGTTGTACACACAAACACCTGATGACTTGTACGCCGAATCCTGACTGGTGATATTCAAATCGGAGCACCATGCACAACATGCACCCGCAGTAACACACGTTTCGAAAGTAGTTCCCAAACAATAGGTATATTTAGGATTCTCTAGAGAGTTTGAATCGGAACCAGATCCATCTTGTGCTTTTACAAAGTTATTCTTATCCAATGTAATCACCAAAAGACCAACCATAAACAATGTTTTAAATGATAGATTTTTAACTGATATTTTCATTTTTCTTCTTCTTCTTCTTGTTATATATATATTTCTATTCTATTCTATTCTTAATCTAACTAACTACCAACTTAATCTAAATCACAATCTAAACTTGCTATTTATTTATCTATCTATCTATCTATTTACACAAATTATATAATTTATTACTATTACTTATAAATACAAAATATAATATATTTTAAAAAAAACAACTGATTTATATAATGTCGTTACATATAAACTATATCAGCCTGGTAATACAATCAATCGAAATTTTTGAAATTTTTTGTTTTTAACATTTTTTTTTATTTAATTTTCTTTTTTTTTGTTTTTTTTTTTTTTGTCATGTCTCTACGTGTTGTAATGTTGCAAAATTCAAAGAATTTAATTGTTGTTGTTATTTAAGATTGAACACCAAGTGGACCTAACATGTCAGGGTTCTGATGGTATTGAATCTCACGATGTTCTCTATAGCCATTCTTTGCTTTATAACGAATTTGGTTGATCTTATCGTAGCTGTTATGATAGAGACTGTTCCACTCGCGGAGTAAACGCAATTTAGTTTCTTCAAATACCTTCAGACTCTCTTCGAGATCCTTCTTAAGTCGGTCTTTGTAGTCAAAGGTGGTACCGTACAGACTGGCGATGATGTTGTCTCTTTTCTCGTCGATGGTCACCTCCATTCGGTGGAAGAAGCTGCCAAGCGGTTGTTTGTTCTGATCCCAAGGATTCAATCCATGTGTTTCATGTACGAATTTAAAGTCGTTGTCTTGCGAGTGTCCACCGTGATGCAAATGAATACTATTGTCGGCAGTGTGTGGATGATGAACCGTTGGTGTATTTCTTATAATTGTCTCTTCATGACTATGATACATTGGTTGTTGTTGTTGATTAGCTGTTGATGTTGTGTCTAGTTTATCAGATTTAAAAGAATTCCACATGTCTAAAAACTTATGATAGAGAATCGGACCGAAATGAATCGCTGAATTCATTGGTGGATCGGGTGTAGGTTGATAGAGACTACCGTATATACTATAGAGAAGCAGGGCAACTAGAATGGGTGAGAGATAACGAACACTCTTTCTAATGAGTGTATCACCCTGTGAAATATTGGCGCGTGCAGCTCTTCTGTTGATACTTTCATCGGAGCCAACAATAGTTCGGTTGGTTGTAGTGGTGGTTGTTGTCGTTGTGGTTGTTCTTCCATTGTTATTACTACTATTGTTGTTGCTGGGTGGAATGATAAATTCATTCTCCACAATTCTCGAACTGCTTCCTCTCTCCTTCACAACATTTCTTTCCTTTGTTTTAGTTGACATAACTACTACCCACTATCTAAATATATTATTTTAAATCTTTAGGTTAACCTAAACTAAAAAAACTAATACTAAACTACCTAAATCCAGTTATTCTACCAATTTTAATATTTTTAAAAAATAAATAATAATAATTAATATAATTATATTTTAAAACAAAAAAAAATACATTTTAATTAAATTATTCTATTTTAAATATATATATACACAATATAATTTATCATTTTATCTTTTAAAGTGAGAAATTCATGATTAATCCAGATATTTTTATTCAAACCCTTTTATTTTATATTATAAAAAGTATACATAGTCCATTCCAATTCGATTATATATTTATACACTTATGAAAATACAGTCTATAAAATTATATTTCCCCCCTCCTTTTTTTTTTTTTTTTTTTTTTATCGTGTGGTAATTTAAATAAAACACAAATTGTACTTATTTATATCTAATTGAAGTTCTAAATTTTATACATATTCATAAATATATTTGATATTTACATTTTGTTTTAAAAATAACTCTTTTTTTTTTTTATTACTAAATAATAAAAAAATTAAAATATAAATATATATAAATAAATATATATTTATTTGTCTATAAAAAAACTAAAAAAATAATAATAGATAAATTTATCTGGTATTCTAGATGTCATAGAAGTTTGTGTTGTTTCACAGTCGAGAGGAACATGAGCACCAGGTCAGAAATTTCGCCATACCAAAAACGAATTATATTTCATTTGCAATGGGGGTGATGTTATATGATGTGGTATGATTTAAACATGTTGCCTTTTTAGTAAAAACAAGATATTATGAAAAATATTGTTGTTGTTGTTATCATTATTATTATTATTTTGTTTAGTTCTTCGCACTTGAACTTATATAACATTTATTTTATTTAAAAGAAATGATTAAATTAATTAATTAATTAATTATAATATACTGTGATATAACTCTCGTAATTCTTTTGTTAATCTATGAATTGGAATACCTGTTACATTATAATAACATCCATTGATTGATTTTATAAATGATGTTGCTGCTACCTCTTGAATTCCATATCCACCTGCTTTATCACTATAAATATGATATAGATTAATTAACTGTTGTTTTTTTTTAGATACTATACTTACAGTGGTTTATAATTATCAACATAATAAGCAATTAATTCATCGCTGAGTGTATCGAATTCAACTTCTGTTGCTTCGTAGAATGATTTTGAAATCGATTGTTGGTTGTCGTTGTTTGTAACTATAAGATGTACACCTGTGTATACTATATGCTTACGACCACTCAGTCCTGCTAGCATCTCTTTAGCATTCTCTATTGATTTCGGTTTCTCTAGTATTGTATCACCCAATACAACGATACTATCGGCACCGATAATAATATTGGGCGTGTCGTTGGCAGCCTTTAACTTTTGATAGACATCCTCTGTTTTGTGTTTGGCTGTCGTCACAGCGTAGTCATATACATTCTCAAACTTTGATTTATCTAGATTCTCTTCGAACGTCGAAGGTACAACCTTAAACTGTAATCCCAATAGTTTTAAATACTCTACTCTTCTAGGTGAACCTTAAAAAAGATAACAGAATGTTAACATTAACACACAATGTTTGTTAGATTATAACATATGTTAACAAAATGAATATTACCTGAAGCTAATACTATATTTAATTTATTTAACTTTTCTAATATATCTAATATCATTGTTTATAATGCTTTTAATATTAAATATCTTTAATCTTAAAACAATATTTAGAAATCTTTAAATTCTAAAGAAAAAAGTAAAATAAAAACTTTAAAGTTTTGTTTATTTATTTAATGAATGTATGTACACTTTGATTTATTATCAAAAAAAAAAAAGAATATCTTTTTTGTTGTTATTGTTATTGTTATTGTTGGTTGATGTTATTATTGATGTTGTTGATTGCTTGATGATTTAAATATCGTTTCAAACAAAGAGTTTAGTAAACTATTGAATAGAGTACCGCCTTGGAATATCGATAACATCTTATAAACGATGAATGTAAGAGTTGCAATGAATATATACTTTACAACCTTATAGACTGTATAATAAATAGATCTAAGACTACTTAGACTCTTTACCCATGGTAGGTATTTCTGTGTCATCAACATCAAGTCGTATTTCTCATTCAACCAACAAAGTGTTGCTGTAGGTATAAATCCTAAACCTGGTATCTACAGAGTAATTATTATTTTAAATCAATTCAAAATAATAATAATAATATTGATTAATAAAAAGTTAAAAATCTAGTCATAATCTAATAATGACTAAAGTTAATTGATTTAACATTTTTTAAATGTTAAACAACTAACTTGATGTATGCATACAGTTTCTTCAACAAAAGACAACATAACACCGAACGAACTACCGTAGAGTCGATAGATAAGATAGGAACTGATAGTAGGCCACATTGCAAAGCCAAACAACGGGATGAGTTGAGTATAGATACCGACGATATCTAAAACGATACTCATTAGTAGTCGTGGGAATGGCGCTGTTGGAATCGGAATACTTCGTAGGAATGGTAGTTTTGAGAAGAATCCCTCATTATGATCCCTGTACTTTGTTCCTGTTCCGAACCCACCTTTTACATTATTACTATTGGCATCCAAGTCATCGATATCATCTGTCCACTGAGTGGTAGTGGTACCACCACCTGTATTTCTTCTGTATGACATTGTAAATATATTTTATTTTTTGAAAAGCCAAAGAATAATTATTTTTTTCAAATTATTTGTATGTTCATTTAGATCTGAATTCTCATTTTTTTTTTTCTTTTTTAGAAATGTTAATTTTTTAAAGAATCTTTTATTAAAAACTATAAATAGTATTTATTTATTTAAGAAAAGAATTCCTAAAAAAATTAAATTAAGATAAAAATTTATTTGAATTTACTCTTTGTTATTTTGAAAAGATAGTTTTAATTTGTTGGTGTATTTTTAATTAATTAAATATACAAATATTTATTGAAATTATTAATTATTAAATTAAATTAAATTAAATATATCTTCATTCAATTTTTTTTCCTAAATTTTATTTTATTCTATTTTTGTACCTAAGATTTGTTCAAGTTTAGAGTGATGAAATATTCTAGCAACTAAGTTTCCTGAATTTCCTTTGTTTTCATGGTTACCATATAATAAATAATAATATTCATCCAACTTTCTAATAGTTTGTGTGTAAATTAAACCAAATTTTCCTATGATATTGGTGATTGATTTGATTGTATTTGGAATGGTGATATTGATTTTAGATTGATTTTTAAAGATAAGAGTTTTGACTGATGAAGGTACCAAATGTAATGTAGTATTGAGATTATTCGTACCAAGGTCTAGCAATTCGATGGTGTTTGGTAGTTTAACTTGAGGAAATTCATCTTCGAAATCAAAAACAAAATGCAGTTCTCTTAATGAACATGTTTGATCGGTAGCACCATCTCCACCAAAGTCCATTATCTTTTCTTTTGGATTTGTCCAATCAATTAAAAATCTGATTTTTCCAACACCAGATGGCAGTGTTATCTTTGGTTCGTTTGATTTTCCTCGAATTATAAATTCATCGATTGATACATTTGATGGAATTGGATGAATAATGTTATTTTCATATTCCATTGATTCCAAATGATATTGCTTAGTTTCTGGGAATATCTCATCGATCTTAAATTGACATTCGTCAATATCTATTTTTTTCAATGATGTTGGCATTATTCCTCCCATTGTTGTTCCTGGTACTATTAAACCGAATGATTTTAGACTTGATGGTAGGTAGTTGACATTGAATATTGTGGTATCATCACGATCATGATATGGAAAATAAACAAAAAGTGATTGCAGATTGGAAAGTGATGATATTGCTTGTAGCCATGAAATTGGTAATAATGATTTGGCTGAATATTCTAAATCTTCTCGGTTTGGTGGTGGTATTGCAAGTTCGTCAGATGGGTTATAACTTTCAAAACATAAATATTCAAGTGACAATGGGAATACTCTTGGTTGAATTTCGTATTGATAGCAATCGCTACCCTCAAGAGAAAATTCTAGTAAACCATCTGGAAGTACATCTGGCTTAATCCCGAAATTATAGGAACCGAGAATACATTTGAGTAAGCCAACTGGAAGTACACCTGGTAGAATATCAAATTGAGAGCTGTGTAGAGAAAGTTTACGTAAACTAACTGGAAGTACACATGGTTGAATTACATATTGATATTTGTGTAGTGTAAGTTCTTGCAAACCATCTGGAAGCACACCTGGTAGAATCTCTTGTTTGAAATAACTGTCGCCAAAATCTAACACCTCTAAGGTGTTGGGAAGTGATCCTTTAACAAGTGGTTCATTGAAATTGTGAAATGTAATTGATTTGATTGACTTTGGTAATCCATATTTCAATGTTCTGCATCCTTTCAACGTTGTTACTGATTGTGATTCCGATATTAATCGATAGAGATACTCCATATCACCTTCAAAAAGAAAATTAATAGCAGTATTGATAATTGTAACATTACTGGGAATACTATTAATTTTTCTAACATCATCTATTAGAATGATAAAATTAAAATAGTTAGTTTCAAAACAAAATAATAATAAGTTTATCAATTGAAAATACTTACCAAAATGATAATCGTAATGATGATAGTTTTTAGAACCAATAAATAGCGAATTATCTGACTTTGATTGAATTGATTTCATAAAGATATTATGATATGATGGTAAGTTGAAATGTTTATGATTTTGAATATCAGTGCTATTTAGTTTAAATAGGTGTATATTCTTAGTTTTGAATATTAAATATTTATCTCTATCGTTGAACCATCTCTTACAAACTAAACTGAAACAAATGATATCAATGTTATCATCTATATAACTTATTATTTTATTTAATATTAAATGTGATAGATTTACTATTTTATTTGTTTGATTATTCATTTTGTTAATATCTTAAATTATTATTAAGATCTTTATTTTTAAAAATGATCGAAAAAAAATTGGGAAGAAAAACAAAAAAAAAAAATCTTAATTCTTTAAAGATTAAATGTTCATACTTGATAATCTTTTTTAATTAATTTGGTGATTTAAGTTTAAAGTTTGTTGTCTAATCGATCGATGATAAGAATCATTATTGACTTTGATCCTTGGATTATGAATATTGGATTTAATATGATGTGATATGAAATTCCAAATTTGTGATTCATTAATAATTGCTGAGAGGTTGGGTGAGTGACCAAAGATTATAAATTGATTTCGATGTATTCTTCTTATAGAGATTTTCTCATGGTTACGACAAATGAGTACAAGCTTGTTGGGTATTCTATGCATCGGAAAACTAAAAGAGATTGATGATAAATATTGACTGTATTTTCTTGGAAATATTGTAGAATTATAGTTAATCACCAATTCCTCCAAAGCATCTGTAATGATATCTGGTGAAATCAATTTCTCAAAGCCATCTAGACTGTTAGAGCTATCGGAGGTGATAAACTTTTTCACCGTTGAAGGAATGGGTGTATTGAAAGCTGATACGTTCAACTCGATGCGCACTGATTCAACGCCATGCGGAATAGCTACGTGACATTGCTCTTCATCGTTGGCACCATGATCGATTTCCAAATGTTTTATATCCAAACTGGCCAACGATTGTTCGAACTGTCCATCGATTTTCAAGAAATCCAAGTGGTATTGTGATCGATCCTTGAAGATCTCATCGACCTCATAAGTTGCACCTTCAAGCGATAGATGTTTAATCGATGGCGGCATCGATCCAGCTAGCTCAGTGGTTGAATAAACACCGAGTCTAGTAAGAGTCATCGGTAAGTCACTGAGAGAGATCGTTTGGAAATCTTCATTGAAATCCCAATGCCAGAAGGTTAGCGATCGAATGTTTGGAAGTGAACGGACAGCTGGAATCCACGATAGAGGTATATACTCAATGGTATGTAGAGTAGCCGGTAGTACTCCATCGCCGATAGGTGAATCGTATCCAGAGTATTCAAGTATTTCGAGATTTGGTGGAAACGTTCCAACGATTGGTTTGTATGTAAAAGCTGTTCCGTTGATTCTAAGCACTCTCAGAGATACCGGCAACACTCCAGGTTCCAACGGATGACTGAATCTGTAGCCCAACACCAATTTCTCAAGTGTATTGGGAAGTACAGCTGCTGTTATTGGTTGATTAAAATTAGATTTCAAGCCATTTCCTAGATAAAGTCTCTTTAACATTGGTGGAAGATAACCGGGTAGAAGTGGTTCATCAAAGTAACCAGAGAATGTTACAGATGTCAAGTTCGTAGGTAATCTAAATCTAATTGTAGGACAACCTTTAAACTTGACAATATTCGAATTTGATATCATCTTTAATAGACTCTCTACTTTTTGATGATCATCTTTAAAAGCATTTCTTGTTGTTTGATCACATAATATTAATTTATAAACATATAAACTAAAACCATTGATAGTTCTAAAACTTTCTAATAAAAAGAATATAAGTTAGTAAATAGAACTTACTAAATTGTATAATATATATAGATATTTACGTGGAGTTAAATGAAAATCATTTTCAAATCTATTATCACCAATAATAAGAGAACATTTACTCTTTGTATCGATTGATTTACTCATCAATGATTGATATGATTTCAAATAAAAATGATCATTATCTTGCATATCAGTCACAAATAGACGATCAGTATTAAACGATAGATATCTTTCTCTTTCATTGAACCATTTTCTACAAACAAAACTACAACATATTCTATCTATATTATCATCTAGGTAATTAATAATCTTTGATAATAGAATATGAGGTAGATTAACTAACATATGTGAATCATTATTATTATTATACATAAATAAATATAAAGAAATTTAATTTATTTAAAAAAGAAAAATATAATTTTAATGTAAAAAAAAAGTAATAAAAGGTTTAAAAGATTTTTTTAGAAAAAGAACTTCGTTACCGAATCAATCTTAAAAAGAAAAAAAAATCTTTTTTAAACTTTCATCAATTTTAATCTTTGTTAAAAATATTAGTCCTTTAAAAATTTTTTTTAAACAAATAATGAATAATCAAACAAATAAAATAGTAAATCTATCACATTTAATATTAAATCAAATAATAAGTTATGTGTATAAATATAGATGATAACATTGATCGCATTTGTTTCAGTTTAGTTTGTAAGAGATGGTACAATGATAGAGATAAATATTTAATATTCAACACTGATAATATCAACCTATTTAAACTTAAAAACACTGTTATCTTTCAAAATTATAAACAATTCAACTTACCATCATATCATAATATCTTTATGAAATCAATTCAATCAAAAACTAACTATACACTTTCTTATGGAGATTATAATAAATATTATAAAAACTACGATTATTATTATGGTAAATATCATAGGGAGACAATGGATTATCAGATTGTTTTGAAACTAACTATTTTATTTTTATCATCCTTAAAGATCAAGTTGAAAATTTAAATAGTATTCCCAGTAATGTTTCAGATATCGATATTACATATTATCCACATATTAAAAATAGAGATAATGAATTCAAGAAACTCTATCGATTAATATCAGAATCACAATCAGTAACAAAGTTGAATGGATGCAGTACATTGAAATATGGATTACCAAAGTCAATCAAATCTATTACATTTTACAATTTCAATGAACCACTTGTTAAAGGATCACTTCCCAATTCTTTGGAAGTGTTGGTTTTCGATATTTATTTTAAACAAGAGCTACTACCAGGTGTACTTCCAGATGGTTTGTTGTCATTGACTCTAAACAACTATCCACATGAAATTCAAGCAGGTGTATTTCCAGATGGTTTGTTGTCATTGACTCTAAACAACTATCAACATGAAATTCAAGCAGGTGTACTCCCATCAACTCTTAAATGTTTGACTCTCTTTGACGTTCCAGTTAAAGGTGTTTTACGATATTCAGATGAATCAATTTCTTGGGAAGATAGTGTAATAACGAAATGTTATATACCAATTTCATGGTTACAAGCAATATCATCTCTTGTCAGCCTTGAATCACTTGATATTTATATTTCAAAATACAACAAAGACGAAAATGTATTCAATCTTAAATACCTCCCACCAAACCTAAAATTTCTCGATATTACGATACCAAGTGTCATACTGAAAGGAACAATGCCAACTTCATTGAAAACACTCAATCTTGTTGATAGTAGATTTAATATCGATGAAATATTCCCAGAGACATTGCAATATCACTTTGAATTTTTTGATTATGAAAATGATAGAATTCTTAATTTTCCATCAAATATAAAGATCGATCTATTGTTCATATCTGGAGAACTAAGAGAATCAACGATATCTCTTCCATCTGGAATTAGTTCAATCAACATATTTAGTGAATTATCAAATTCAAGTTCAAAGATAATTGAATTTGGTGGAGATGAAGATACCGATCAAACATGTCCATTAACAGAACTTCGACTCCCAACATTCAAAAATGGAACTCCTAAATGTAAACTACCAAACACCATCCAACATCTGGATATTGGCAACAACATTATCAATGATATATTACATTTAATACCACCAACACTCAATACTCTTGAATTTAGCAAACTATCAAAATTCAATACCATTCCAAGTACAATCAAATCAATCACCAATATCATTCGTAGATTTGACTCATTCACCAGACAAACTATTAGAAAGTTGGACGATAATTATTCTTTAGTCTGTGATGAAATTGATAATCAACAAAACTTCAAATTGGTTGGTGTTAACTCGATAGCCAAATTATCTTCTTGGTCTTAAAATCAATAATTAATGCAAATAATAATAACCAAAAAAATAAATAAAATGTGTAATTATACCTCATTTCAAAAAGTTTATAATGAACATAAAATTTAATAAAACAAACATATAATGATATACAATTACAATACGAGTCTATTTATAAACGACTCAAATTCATTGAAAGATAATAATTTTATTCTTTAACAATTTTTGTTCTGCAGAATTTTAAAAATTGATTGTTTGATTTTTTATTTTTTATTTTTTTTTGGATGATCATTTATTTTTATCATTTAATGAATAATCAAACAGATAAAATAGTAAATCTATCACATTTAATATTAAATAAAATAATATGTTGTTTAGATGATAATATAGACAGATTTTGTTTCAGTTTAGTTTGTAAGAGATGGTACAAAGATAGAGATAAATATTTAATATTGAATCTTGATAATATCTTTATTAGAGGTGTTAATAACACTGATTTAAAAGAAAATAATGATAGTTTTAGATTACCTGCATATCATAATATCTTTATGAAATCAATTCAATCAAAGACTAACTGTACACTCCTTATTGGTAAAAAACTAACATACCGATCAAGTTATGATTTTATTTTTGAAAGTAAGTTATTTAATATGTAATACATTTTTTAAGAATTAGTAAAGTCTAACAAACATATTTGATAAATCTTTCTTAGATGCTCGAGATATCATTGCTATTCCATCTTATATATCGACAGTAGCTGTTTTCACTCAACTTTCAGAGAGTGACAACCAATATCTATATCAAATGATGAGTGAATCACGATCAGTTACCGAATTAATTGGATATAGATCATTGAAATATAAGATACCCAATACAATCACCAAGCTTTCAACTACTTTTAACTTTAATGAGCCGCTTGTTAAAGGATCACTTCCCAACACTCTACGACATCTATTTCTAGATTCTGACATCAACAACGATTTTGAAGTAGGAGTATTTCCAGAGGGTATGACTAAAATTGAACTTATACACAATTTTCAATTCGAATTGAAACCAGGAGTATTTCCATCGTCACTTAAAATCCTCATTCTTCCAAACTACCGATTTACACTCAAGCCTGGAGTACTTCCAAACAATCTATACAAACTCCGCTATTCTGGAGAGAAAACTACATTAGTGGAAGGAGTACTGCCAGAATCACTTAGAATATTGGATATTGCGTCAGCATATTGGCTTGAAGGTCCAGCTTCTGTCCTACCAGTAAATCTTGAACAACTTACACTAAATGACAAGTACTGTACCGATCTCTTACCAATCAACATCAAAACCCTACCACCCAAACTGAAAGTTCTCCACTTTCATAAATCATATCAATTAATAGGATCAATTCCCACATCTGTTAACGATCTTCATCTTGCAGAGTGTCAATTCGAATTCAATGAATTGTTTCCACCAACATTACAATATCACTTTAAACAATTCAAGTATTCCAATAGCGAAATACTTGCGATTCCACCAAATCTAAAGATAGATCGATTGGTAGTAGAAGGATCGTTCGCAAAACCAATTACATCACTTCCTTCAGGTATAGAATCGATCTACTTGGGAATGTCAATCCAGGGTGTTCCTTTTAGTGGTAATTTCATTCCAGCAACGGTGAGAGAGATAAGACTACCATATTCAGGAATGATGTTACCTACATTACCAAACACCATTGAATCTTTAGATTTAGGTGAAAACAATCTGGAAAGATCGATTAATATGATTCCACCTTCGGTAAAGACCCTTACCTTTTCTGAATCTACCAAAAAAGTTCAGCCTCCAGAACATTTCATCAAAAATTTTACCAATATAATTTATCAAAACTACTATGGGTATGGTGGATATAGAGTCAGAAAGTTAACAGACCAATTCTCTTTGGTCTATTTGGATTCAAATGAACAACTTTTTGTTCACATAGTCAATCAAAAAAAAATTGAGCGATTACTTCACCATCTGACTCATTTTAAATCAAAAGTTTAATCGAATAAACAAATAATTAATAAATATTAATCTCAAAAGCTTTATAGTTTATTTTATTAGATATTCAAAAACAAAATCAATGATGCAACTACCAAAAATACATAGCTGAATGGGGTCAGTTGATTTGATTGATTATTAGGTGTTTCAGTTGGTGCTGAGCAGTCGATAATATTGAATGTTGCAGTTTTGATTGAACATCCAGTAGATTCTGTAATTTTGAATTGGTAGGAACCGTTTGATAGATTGGTAATGTTTGCTGAGTTTCCTCTTATTTCTTGGCCAACCAATGAATTGATTCCATTGGTAACATTATATAAACCGATTACAAGTGGACCTTCGATTTCAGAAGTGGCGATAATGCTTGCTGTAGAACAAATCGATGATACTACTTGAGTTTCGATTAAATTGGATTGAACTTGGAAGTTCATATTGACAAATTGTCTGCAGCTTCCTTCATGTACGAATGCCTTGACAGAATATTGACCAGCAGAGAACAAACTGGTGGCTGACTTTGTCTGAGTACCATTGATAGAATATTCAACATTGGTAGTCTGTTGATTATTGATAAAAGTGGAAAGTGTTACAGATCCAAGGGTAGCAGAGCACTGATTGATTACTGATGCACGTACTATTGGTGAATTACTTCTGACATAGATATATTGGGAGGAACTACATGAAGTCGCCGAGTTCTTAACAGAGAGGATATCGTAAGGACCCGATGGAAGATTGCTCCATTTTCCATTTACAGGTTGTGGATAATCGGTTATTGTTTCTTCGTTGTGAAGTATATAGCTCATTGTTGGATCTGGGTTGGTAATAGTGATTGTCGCATCACCACTGCCCGAACATGTTTCATTGGTGTAGGTGTATGTAATGGTTGGTGCTGATTCAACATTGGAACTTTCATAATAACCGTAGGAATATCTTCTTGTTGCTTTTGAAACATAATAAATATACAATCCAGCATAAGCATTAACTTGATTGTGTTCATCCAAGTTTCCATTGCTTGTTGTGATATAATAGGAATCAACAACGTTTTGTGGAACTTGGAACTTGGTATCGAGCGATCCACATTTCTTAATCATTTGAATATCGAAATTGGGAGGAGGAAACGATGGTAATGATGAAATTAATGTGCAAAAATCATTGTAATTGACCTGCATGATTCCACTAAAGCCTGTGAAAAATGAATTTGACATAAATCGAGGGTAACTAAATTTTGAGCTCAAAATACCTGGTACCCGTGAATCTTCAATTCTAATATATGAACTAGTATTAAAATTGAAAGTACCATAGATCGATCCTGAATATAAATTGATATCTGAATATGTCAGATCTATATAAAATAGAAAAGGTTAGTTTAAATGTTTTTCATCTAAAAAAATAAAAGAATTATTTTATCTTACCAATTTCAAGTTGTTCAAAATCACCAGTAACATACCAACTACAAAAGTCTCCAGATTGAACATAATAGTTACTTTGACCATAAGGCTGATTAATCATTACTTGTATGCCAGGCATATAATAAATATCGTTAATCTTGATATTTTGAATGGGGTTTCCTAATTGGTCAAAACCAGAGAATTTATAGATACCATCCGCTGGTCCACTACTAGGTTTGCAAGTTGCAGGTTGAACTACATCCATTTTGATTTGACCATCCGTTATAATTTTAACTTGTATGTTTCCAACTCCACATACAGAGTGATTAAATTTGATTAAATACTCATCGTTTTCAAGTTTGTTGAAAGATCCATCGGTAGCGTTGGTTGAGTCGAAAACCAATTCTGAAAAATCCTGATAATTTGAAAATACAATGGATCCTGTTGGTTGGCCACAGTTTGATGAATTTTGGTGGGTAATTGTTGGAGTCAAATCTATATTACTTGTATGAGGAAGATCGACATTGAGAATGGTTGTACAACCTCCTTTGGCATTCTTATAGAAGAGCTCTACAACATGTTGACCACTTGGAATTTGATATGTTGCACTATTACTATTGATTGCAACTTTAATATTATCGATCCAAATAGTGTCCAAATCTAAAAGATTTACTGATTCCAATTGAATTGTTGCAAGTGAATATTTACAAACGGCTGGTGTCAAAATCTTATATGTTGTGGAACTAATTGAATCTTAATCAATAAATTCAATAAATTCAATTAATAATTAATAATTTAAGAAATTGAATCTTTAATTGATAAAGAAAATTCTTACCATTAATATAAAATTCATATTGAAGTTGAGGACAAACACCATAGGTAAATTGATGAGTGTAGGATTCACCAATATTAACATTATCTAAAGTTACATTCTGGATAATGACTCCTTTGTTTACCAATTGCAAATTGACAGATACTTTTTCACTACAAGAAGTTGGGATCTGTGTCAATTGTTGATAGACTTCAAAGGATGAAGTGTCTGCATTATTAAGTGGATTAACTATATCAAAAGAAGTATAGGAACAACCCGATTTCTCTTGGTATAAAAATGAAAGTGTATCGGAAGCAAATACATTGCTGTAGACTCCATTTGTAGATGTATAATTGATATTAAGTCTTACATCTTGTAAGATTATATCTTTGAAAGATTGATAATTTTGAAGGACAACTGAATAGGTTCCAAGACAATCGTTGGTGGTTGCGTCAATCGAATACAATGGTCTATTGGAATAACGGATATTGAAGTGATCTCCACACAATGGTTGAACAGAATAACCGGTATTGTATTTGAATTCCATTTGATTGAATTTTAGTGGAACTTGGTTGACTTGAATATCGGAAATATTTCCACCAGCATAATGGAATGTAATGGATCCATTTGATGAGCATGTTGGGTAGGTATCGATGGTGTAGGTGACGTTTGAACTGAAAGAAGGGATACTATAAGTGTAGGATTTGATATATTGACCTATTATTTGAACATTGATTGATGCTCTTTGGGCAACTGTCAAGATATCACCCAATTTGTAAACTACGCCATTAACTTGCACACCATAGTTGGCACCTGTGACATTGTAACCGAAATCCAGTGAAATGTCTACAGTTCCAGTGGAACAATTTACCGAATGGATAGTAGTTTCAATACCTGGCGATGCAGATGGAGCGAATGTCATTATTTGAGTTCCGCAAGTCTCAGAGACAGCATAGAGTGTATATTGCTTTTGGTTTACCACTTCGAAAGAGTTGGAATCAATGGGATTAACAATTATTTTTTGGGAATCAAATAATTGGAGTGAAGTAAATAGCTCGGAATTCAAGACCACCATAGTTAGATTCTTTCCAATTTCAGCTTCCTTATAACCGATAACAGGAACCAATGGATTCTGTGCCTCAAGTTTCAAATTAACTACGACGGATGATGTTGGTGACTTACTGAATTGAAGGAGATAGGCACCGTTAAGATTAACCAAATAGTTAAAGGTTGGTGTGTTTGAATATTTTATGTAGGTAGTTGGAACTTGGAAACTATCGATGGTGTAGGTCTTGATTTGCATAACAGTGTTGTTGGCAGCAGTGATTGTGGCGTTGGTATAGAGGCATATTGGCTGTACGATATCTACATTCGGAATGGTCAGAGTATCTGTGTTGGAGACAAGAGTACGATTACAAAGCACACCATTACTGTCACGGAATGTAAAGTAGAGATCGTAGGCATCGTTGACATAGAATCTAAGACGTGGATTACTTGTACCGTAGGCACTGAGAATCTTCTCGGCAATTGCACCTTTAGTTTGACCAACACCACCCAAATCCAGGAGAGTGTCAGTTCTGTCAGCATAGACGAGTTCGACATACCAATATTTCGAAAACTTAGAAAAATAATAATTTCCTTTAGGTGCATTCGATCCGCACTCTGCAGAATAAACAACACTATTTCCAATAAAAGTTAATAAATATAATACAAATAATAAATAAAATAATTTAGGAATCATCTTTTCTTTTACTGTTTATTTAATAATCAAATGAGAAGAACGATGGTTTTTACTATGGTTGGACCAACGATCAGAATCCAAGTTATCAAAAGGAAAAAAAAAATCAAAAAATTATAATTTTAAGCTCAACGTTTGTTTTTTCAAGGAATTGATCAAAAAAAAATCTTTGAAGTTGATTTTTCACACGTCTACATGTCAAAAGATCTAATTTTATTTTTGGTTTTGCGGCAACCTTTGTAATCACAAAAAAAATGCTTTGATAGTTCATCTTTGATAGATAAATCAAAGATCTATCGAGTTAAAAAAAAATATGTTAGGATGATTTTGCATTTTAACCCAAAATAAAATAGATTGAAATCAATAAAAATAAGAGCACCCAGAAGTTCACACTTTTTGCAATTTAATTTAAAATTGTAAAGAAAAAAAAAAAGTCAAAATTGTTTTGATCAGAAAAAAAAAAAAAAAAAGTAAAGTTAATTAAATTAAATACATAGATTATATATAGATAGATAATGAGTGATAGTGGTTGGTGTACAATTGAAAGTGATCCCGGTGTATTCACAGAACTCATCGAGAAAATCGGTGTAAAAGATGTGCAGGTAGAAGAACTCTACATGTTAGAACCTTCAGAATTCAATAAAATAAAGTAAGTACTTACTTTGTTTAACAATTATTGATTTATAATAAACTAACTAATAATTGTAACTTTTACTGTTATTTACTTACTTATTATATAGACCAATATATGGATTAATCTTTTTATTTAAATGGCAATCGACAACAGAAGACCGAACACCAGCAGAGAATGAGAATCTATTCTTTGCCAATCAAGTGATCAACAATGCATGTGCTACTCAAGCGATTCTCTCGATTCTACTCAATAGTCCTGATATTGATATCGGTGATGATCTTAATAATTTAAAACAATTCACTGCTGGTTTCCCACCAATGGTATGTTATTATATAATAAAATCTTTATTTTTTTATTTCTATATATATACTTATTATATCTTTACTAAAAAGATGAAAGGAGAAGCTATTGGTGAATTAAATATTCTTAGAGATACACATAATAGTTTTGCAAGGTAAAAAGAAAAAAACATTCATTATTATACTTTTCAGATTAATTACTATAGTGATTGACTAATACTACTTTTTTAATGAATATGTATAGACCTGAACCATTTATATTTGGATCTAAACCAGCTAAAAAAGATGACGATGTATTCCATTTCATTAGTTATATTCCTTTTGAAGGAAAGATTTACGAGTTGGATGGTTTGAAAAAAGGTCCTTTCTGTTTGGGTGAATGTACCGACGATGATTGGCTTGAGAAAGTATCACCAATCATTCAACAAAGAATCGAAAAGTAACTATATAAATATAATCATTATTGTAATATAATTAGTTTGTTGTTACTAATACGTTAAACCATTACTCTACTCCTATTATTATTATTAACAACTATAGATACAGTCAAACAGAGATTAGATTCAATTTAATGGCAGTGATAAAGAATCGTCAGACAATCTACCGTGAACAACTAGCACATTTCGAGAAGAAGAAGAAAGCTATACTTTTGAGTCTCTCCAATATCGATACCTCTGTAGAGTCGCAGATGGATATCGATAAGCCAGCTGCTGCTGGTGGTGCCGGTGCTGACCAAGAAGACTTCCAATTGCCGACCGACAAAGATCAGTTGGATGCACTGCTCTTGGAGTGTGAGACACACATCGATGAAATCAAGCACAACATCAGCTCGGAGCAAGAGAAGTTCAAACTCTGGAAGGATGAGAACATCAGAAGAAAACACAACTACATCCCTTTGATTATCAATTTACTAAAGATACTGGCTGAAAAAGAAGAGTTGGTTCCACTGATTCAGAAGGCCAAAGAAAAAGAAAGTAAATCGAAATAAAATCAGCAACCAAACCAATCCAACAAACAGAATACAGATTTAAACGATCCACATCTATCCATACACTTACTTCTATATTTGTAAATAAAAGTATATAAATATATTAAAATTGATAATTCATAATAATTAAGAAATCTTAAATTAATTGTGTATAGATAAATGATCTTCATGGCCAAACAATTACAAAACGACAACTATATTTTAAAGCAATATCTCATAGACCACTCTATAAGAACTTAACAACTGCATGGGCGACACTGATTTGGTGAAAAGGCTATTAAAAGTAAGATAAACAGAGTACAACCTTATAGTGATTACTTATTGTATGTGATACAATAAATGTTTATTTGTTTTTTATTTAATTTAATTGTGAATGCATTTAGAAATGCTTTAAAGCTTTTGAATTTGAGTGAGGCGATGATAGATGAAGAGTACTATTTTGGCTAGGATTCAATACATTCTGGACAAGGAGTGCCACTACAATCACAAACACCATTATTAAAATTGATGTCTCCAGATGGACAATAGTAGCACTCGTTTCCAATGCACATGGAGTTTGGTTCATCAGAGCATGAGGGCAGAGTAATCTTGGGAGGGATTCCTACTGTTCCGGAGGGCAATCCAACCTTTTTGATTCTTTGAGAATTACTGGTTGGACCATTTCCACCATAGATCAAATAGATCTTCTGACCAGCAACATCGGGGTTGTAGGTGACTACAAGGACCATCGAGGTGTTTACGGTCTCAAAGTTGCAGGGGGGGATCCAAGTGTATTGGAACCAACCACTGTTGATGGCGGTGACAAGGGATAAGTAGGAATAGCCATTCTGGAATTGCTCAAACTGACTTTCCTCCAAAAGCATCCCATTGAAGGGGAACGTTGTCGGGGAATAGTTTTCATCTGCACCGGCATACATGAATATGGAATCTTGGCTCGAGAACTCACCAGTGCATGAAATGGCGCTGTATCCTGTACTTGAGGTGGGAAGGTAGCCCTGTACATTGCACCAGGCAATACAGGACGATATAGATGAAAAAAAAGTTAATACCAATAATAAGCTATTCATTATATATTTATAAGTTGTACTATTGTTAAATAAAGATATGTTTAAATAATAAGGCAAGCCTCTTTAAATAATAAAATAATCATTGTATTGGTCCACAAAAGATTTTAAAACATTGATATTTTGGCTTTTTCAATCAAAATGTGAACCAACTTGAAAAAACCATAAATAGACTAGATATTATTATATTTCTAGGAATGAAGAAGATTTTATTTGTTTATTTTATCGACACCAGTCCAGCAAAAAAGTATTTAACCACAACTCATCTCCTGATGATTCTTCGGATGGCGATTATATAGCACCCACCATTCCAATCAATTTTGGAAGTCCAATGGAAAATGATAATAATAACAACAAGAACAATAACAAGAATAATAATCAAAATACATCAACTATCATCATTTGTAGACTGATGTTGATAAAATAAACAAAATACAAAACAAAACTTCCTCCCAACAACTTTCGCCTGCCCATTAATTTTAAAAAATGTAAAAATTAAAAATTAGTGGGGTTTATGTGATCAGAGAGGTTTTTTATATTATTCGATTTATGGTTATAAGCAAGAGCCAGTTTGTTTTGTCAATATATTGAATTCAATTCAATGACAGATGGAAAAAATTAAAATTTGGGCGTCAACCACTCAAATTTTTTTAATTTGTTTCTGTTTTTCCAAGGAATTAAACATATTTTAAAATCTTTTGGAAGTCACACTCTTGTATTATTAGTAAAGGCCTTAAGACAACTGATATTCAAAATGAAACTTCTAATATTTCTATTATTTATCTCTTCAATAACAATATCTCTTTCATGCGATTTCAACAATTACAACGGTGAGTGGCTTTGCCTACCTTGTGGCGGTATATACTCTTGCACAGGCTCAGGTACATGTTTTGCCAACCCCAGTGACATTTCATCACAATGCAAGCTTCCGTCAGATGCCTCCGACTGGATGTGCTGCCAATCAGATACTTGTTCGATTTCTGGAACAGGTTTATGTACCTATACTCCACCAACGACATCAACATCAACGTCAACAGAAGAACCTAGTTGTGATCATATACAATGTCCATTTTATCAAAGTTGTCAATGTGTCTGCGTTGGTTGTAGTGGAGTAGGACTTGGCTGCTTTGAGTGCAAGACTCAATCTTGGTTTATTGCTCTTATGGTAATTATTCCTATTGGGATTGTTATCCTTGCAATTGTTTTCATTGTTTTCAGATATAAAAAAGTGAGGAAAAGCCATGACTCAACAAAAGAACCACTAAACTCAAACTAAAAATAAAGGAATTATTGTTTTCCCACCAAACAACAACATTTATGTCTTAAATCGACATAAATAGATTAACAAGTAGTACAATTAAACAAGTTCTTTATATATATTTCAATGATATAGGAGGTGATATCATCTCATCCAAATGTATTTTAGTGAAGAGTGAGTGGGTTAATTAATCTCTCTAGAAATTTAGTACATTTAAGAGGGTTTTGGACATTATGAATGAGGACATAGTTGCAAATTTGTTTTAATATTAATTTTAAATATCTATTAGAAACATTTTCAAGTTTAATTCCATGGAAAAAGAGAGGCAAATTAAAAAAATTTGAGTGGTTGACCCCCAAATTTTAATTTTTTCCATCTGTCATTGAATGGAATTAAACACATCATAAACCTCAGTGCACCACTTCAAAGAATCATAAACCTCTCGACATAAAGAAAAACTAAAGATATTATCTGCAATTATGCCGAAGCAAATTAATAATATTATTAAAAAAATATCTACTTGACCAAAATGAAATAGAGGTGCAACTTTGGGTGAAGAATTTGAAAAAAAAAACTTTTCAAAACTGATAAAAGGTGCAATGTTGCACCTTTATTTCATTTGAAAGTTACTTTGTTCACATTACAAATAATTTGAACAGATAATATACAACTTTTCGAAGTTTAATTTTTTTATTAAAAATGATAATAACATTAGTAATAGTAATTTTAATATCAATATTACTAGTTTTATTAATTCTACTTTAATTTTATTGAGTAATGCTACACACATTAATGATAGGTAAATACTATTTGTTAAATACTATAACAGCCGCATTATTATTTTAACTTCAGTCTTGATTGGTTTATAGAGGTACAAATAGCGATAAATCACTAGAATCTCACTTGACTAATGATAAAGAAGTCAAGAGCTTTGATTTATTATATTTAATATTCCTCATAGTAATGTTTTCTTAATTTATTTTCCTATCAACCATTTATAAAAGAAAGTTGGATGATGCAGAAGAAGATGAATATGAAGAGTACGCAGATGAAAGCAATGAAAATGTGGAGCCTGCAACAATAAAGAAAAGGAAATTTAAAAGCTAGCAAAGTATGGCAAAGGATAGAATAAGATCGAGTAAACAGCGTGAAATGACAAAAGAAGCCTTTATCAACCTGAGTGAAAGAAATGAGAGACTAGAAAGAAAGCTAACGGAAAAAAAAGGATTGCAAGATATTTAACAACTAATAGAAAGACTTGGTCACTTTATAGATAGTTATGAGGAGGAGGGGTATTGACATAGAGAGTGATAGTCTTATATTAACTATAGACGAAGATGATGTCATTGCAGTTGACGGTGTTAGTGTAGTTGATATTGTTAGTAATAATGAGAACAATATTAATCCAAGAGCAGAGGTAAACCAATTGGTTGATAATTCTCTTGCTTTTATCAATTGATAATTGTAATATGTTATTAGAAAATATCAAGATACATTTAAAGGTAGAGTGTATATTAATAGAATAAAACAATAGAATCTATATAAATTTATATGTGTAGTCTTTGACAGAAAAAAGTGGAAAAAGAAAGAAATTTATAGCTCCATTGGTAAAAGGATTTTGTTATTTTACAATGGTATTATAATACATATAAACATATAAATATAATACTTACAACTTTGATATAAAATTAGGAATTACTTTAGGAATAGTTTTGGTAGAAGGAATATAGATTTAATGAATGTAATAAAGTTTAGAGATATAATTTACAGTATAAGATTTAAAGATAATAATTTATTTGATTTACAATTTGTTAAAAATCAAATTAACCCCCACACCTGACTAGACGTAGCGAAAATAGTGTTCTGAAGTCGACACAAAAACAAAAAAATAGGTGAACAGCTGTGGTACTCTGTGTCAATTTTTTTTCGTTTTTCTCACTAGCTTTATTTGACTTTTAACATTTGAATAGAATAATATTTGGAAATGCTGATTAATGTTGGGTAAATCATTAAATCCATAGTGGATTTCTATGGTATTTATACTGTTGGATTTCTTCGACCAGTGCAGTTGTCCAATCTCAGAAATCTATTCTTGATTAAGTAGAATAAAAAGAAAATAAATTTATTAACAAATAAAGTAAAATAATTAAATTGAGAAAAGTTATTTGATAAATTGTTTGTGAAGTAGCTGTTGAACTAAATTAAAAATTTGTTGTATCTAAATAAATATTTGATATATATCTTATATGAGAATTATTTTTATTGTTGATTCTATTTATTTCCGATAGAAACAGAGGCAGATCCACACCAGCTTCTATCTTTTCTGTCGTCTTGAAAGAATTGTTCCCATTTAGGTTGTTTTGTTTGATCTTGATCAATTGGGTATCTGAAATTGCCTTTTTCGCCACCAAACGAATAGATATAGCTGGAGGTGGATGACGCTCTATGATAAACCAAAAAAGCGTTTGTATGCAACGGAGTTAATCTGGTTTGTTGTTTGGTTTCTACGTTTAGTTTGATGAATTGATCTACCGTGTGAATGTAGAAATTTCCATTGCTATCATGGCAAGCAGTGAATGCGACGATGTTTGTTTTATGAGGTTGATTTTGTTTCGGTTCATTATTATTCAAACCGTTGAAACTGGTCAAATCAAATTCATACATCCATGGTTTACCTCTGGAGATAGAGTAGAGTTTGCCACGGTAGATCATGGTCGATACCATCATCAGTTTCTCAGAGACGCCCGGAAATGATACAATCTTCTCGAACGCCTTTGTGTTGATGTTGAATCGATCGATTCGATTGTTCCATGCACCACTCACCAGGTAGATGTGATCGTGACCGTCGTACGCCACGGAAATACTGCTGTCGCCCTCAATTCCATTCATAGCGCCGTTGAGATCAATCGATTTCGAGCCAACCGATACTCTACACCATTTGTTCTGATTTGCATAACCACCGAATACATAGATGTATTCGCCGATTGGGACCATCGATTGGAAGGTATCACTGAATTGACGACTTAATTTCAGCTCTTCAATTGTGTTTTCCGATGTGTTGTGAAGCGTTGCTCCTTTAGAGTGTGTAGATAGAATATATCGAGTGTTCTTGGTAGTCACTTTAATTGATTTCGAGATGATCGATTCCAGTTGTGAGTAATCTAAATGATTAGCTGTAACTAGATAGTCTTCCCACAAGTTTTTATTATTATTGAATGTTGGCGTGTTGTGCTGAAGTATGCCAATATATTTTTGAATGATATCCAACATTGGAGTTGAATCTGGATTATTATTATTATTTATGTCTGGACTGAATATGTTATTTCTATTGTCGTTGACAAACGATTGTAGTGTTGAACTGGCTCCGATGGATTCAATGATTCGCGAAAGTGCAAATTGAGAAGTTGGCTCCGTTGACGCCGCCGATGATTCCTCATCGATAATCTCTTCGGCACTACATATTACGTTGGCTTTATTCACAAGGTAGCGCAACTCGGCAATGTCAATATTGATTTTCTTTTCGATCGCTTCCTTATCGGCGATGATCGGTCGCTTTAGCTTGAGTTCCAAACTAGCGAGGTAACCGTGTATGATTTCAAAGAAATCGGCTATCTCTTTCTCCTTTGACTCTAGCGATTGATGGCGTGTTGTCGATGATTTCAACGATAGCCAGAGTGACTCGATGATGCTGCTGAATCCCAGAGATACATCGGTCGTGTCTCTATTGAAAATATTGTTGAGCGAGTTTGTTATCTTTTCGAAACTATCTAGCCGGTGATTAAGTGGTATGTGATTCAATACGCACGACGAACAAAGAAGCGTGTTGCAATCATAACAAATCGTAACACGCAACTTGTTCCTATATAATTCCTTTAAGCTATCACGTAAATATTGACCTTCTTTTTGTTTGACAACAATTTATCATTCCTAGAAAGTTTTTTTTTAACAAACTAATTTAATTAGTTATATGCAAATATAAATAATTTAACTTTAACAAATATATGTGTGTGATTGGTGTTTGATCTTTGCACGACACACATATATTATTTTTTTTTTTGCAACCTAAAAAATTACTTTCTCATTAAATTCTTTTTTGTAGATCATCAAAGTGTGGTCAAAAAGTTATTAAAAATTGACAATGCCAATACCAATGAATCATAAATAATTAACTTTTTCTCTTTTTATACATTATTAGAATTCGATTCTACAGTTCACTTTTTTGGTGGTCCGATGATATTATGAGATTAATTAAAACTAAAGTTAAATTTATTTTTATTTTGAAAATTAAGCAAGTAGTTCAATAGAGGCGGCGGTGAATTCATTTCTTTAAAAAGGAAAAATAATTTATCACAAGATTTAGAGTTAGTAATAAATAAAAAATAGTAAATGACAACAACAACTTTTAAGAGTATCCTAAACTCAATAGTTTTACAAAATAAGATATTTCAAAGCGTTAGAGATATTCATGATCAACTATTAGATAATAATAATTCGTTAAGATATGATTGGTATGATCTTGGATGTTTCCCTGAGCAATTGATCAAGTTTAATTATATCGAAAGATATAAACTGATATTCAATACGTTAATTAGAGATAAAATCAATCATAGAAATAGTAATAAGAATTGTAAAAATAATGAAACAATCAAAAAATTTAAACAATTATATATAGAATCATACAGAATAGCTTTGACCTCAACAAATTTAGAAGTAGTAGAGTTCATTCATAAGGTGCTACCACATGATATTGATAACAGAGCATTATTTAGTCATACAAATCGTATTTCTCTTACTTTGATTGAATACTTTCATAATAATTGGGATAGATGGTTCATTTTACATGGATCTAGATTTATGGATGCAGTGGCGCGTTGCAATCTCGATATAGTTAAGTTTCTCCATTATAATAGAAGTGAAGGTTGTTCTATCGATGCTATGAATAATGCGATAGGATATGGTCAAACGGAAACAGTAAAGTTTTTGTATGAGAATCGGACTGAAGGATATTCTGATGAATCAGTTGAATTCGCTGCAATCGAAGGGCATCTTGAGATTCTAAAGTATCTACAACAGAATCGAACCGATCAATTCTCTTTCTTTGATAGTATATTGGAGGATGTAGTAGAACAAGGTCATTTCCAAATGGTGAAATGGCTCGTGGAGAATACAGATCAATCGATATCGGAATTCGAAATCAGTCTTGCAGCCAAGAATGGTGATTGCGAAATGGTTCGATATCTCTATGAGAACTCGAGTGCATCGACTACCAACTATGCTTTGGATAACGCTGCAGCTTCAGGTTCTTTGGAGACCGTTAGATACCTTCATGAAATTGGCAGTGAAGGATGTAGTAGTCGTGCCATGGACAGAGCAGCACGTAATCATCTTGATATTGTACAATTCCTTCACTACAATAGAACTGAAGGATGCACTGACATTGCAATGTTCAATGCTGCTCATCATGGTCGACTGGATATCGTGAAGTTTCTCAATGAAAATAGAACGGAAGGATGTCCATCCTCTGTGTTGGAACTAGTTGCAACCGAAGGACATTTAGAAGTATTTCAATATCTGGTCGAGAATCGAAAGGAACTATTGCTTCCGGAAATAGTTGCTGAATATCAAACCATGGATCAATTTGCAAGCTATAAAGATACGTCCGCACTCCAATGGTGTAAAGATAACACTGAACTTTCATCGACACTCACTTCGGAATCCTATAATATTGCCATATTAGCCGGTAGACTTTCCAATTTGAAATGGATTCATCAAAATACAACACTACCGTTTCCATACGATGCACTCGATATTGCTTGTACATGTAATGAAAGCAATCTTGAAATTGTTCAATATCTCAATGATAACGGTGCATCGTGTTCTACCTATGCAATGGATAGGTCAACGAATCTATCAATCATATCCTTCTTACATTTCAATCGAACTGAAGGTTGTTCTTACATTGCAATGGAGAATGCCATCTCCAATGGTAATCTTCAAAGAATGAAATTCTTTGATCAAAATAGAACTGAACATCGAAATATTAACTATCAACATTTAAATGATAGAGATTCATTTGAGTATCTATCAAGATTAAAACTTATTAAGCAATATAATCTTTAAAATAAATGTATAGTTAACTATTCTTTTTTTTAATGTTTTCTGTTTATTATATTTTATTTATTTATTCCCATTCAGTTGTTCCTGGTGGTTTTGATGTTAGATCGAATACAACTCTGCTGATGTTTGGTGTTTTCGCTAGAATAGCATCGACCATCTCTCTTAAACATTCCTCTGGAATCTGTTGGTTGGGAACTGCTGGTACACCAGTCATAAAATCGTTGGTAATAAAAGTACGAATGGCAATCGATCGCTTACCAGAGTTTTCAGTGTCGAAATCGATTGGGAATAAAATAATGGGTACCTGACTGAGTGTTCTAATCAGTTTGTATTTCTGGAGAATCTCATTGGCAATGGCATCGGCAATCTGTAGCTGTGAGATTGTATCGGGTTGCAAACGAGTGGTGGTGATCGAGCGGATCACTGGATTGGCAACTGGCTCGCCAAATACATAGACGACACGATTGACATTGTGGCACAACTTGGGAATGATCTTTGCCAACTGGAACAACTCTGTCCAGTTTGGTGTCTGTTGAGTCAATCCTACCAAATAGGAATAGGTACGACCGTCTCCTTGTACTCCGACAGTCTGCACTGGCAACAACAATGGAGTGATTCCGCTTATGGCACGAACCTTCTCGTAGCACGACATGTCACGGAGTTGAGCATCGATCTTTCCTCTTGTGGCTTGGTCGAGAGTATCGGCGGCATTGCCAGTAACGATATAACTGAGAACCTCTCTTGTGGTATCGAATTGTGCATCGACGTATGGCTTGTCTGAGCAGAGAATACGAATTGCCAAACCTGGACCAGGGAATGGTTGACGCCATACCAAATCCTCAGACAATCCGAGATTCTTACCGAGCTCTCTGACTTCATCCTTGTGGTAATCACGCAGCGGCTCGACAACACGACCGGTTTCACGTAGCAATCTTACTAGTTCTGTGTCGTTGTGATGTGTCTTGATGACGTCGGCAACACCGGAAACCGTCTTGGAGGAACTCTCAATGAGATCGGGACGCAGTGTTCCCTGAGCGAGATACACTTCGTTTGGATTCAAACCTAGCTTTCTAACTTCATCGTCTGCCACCTTCATAAAAGTATCACCAATGATCTTACGCTTCTCCTCTGGGTGTACGGTTATCTTGAGCTGCTCGGTCACTACACCCTTGATGGTGGTTGTCGAGTTGTAGAATGTCTGACTGGCGTCGACAACGATCAAACGCAAACCAAGTACTTTCAGTGCTTGTTCGACACGTGCGCTCTCTTCGTGACGCATGAAACCATTATCGATGTGCAATGCGATGACACGCTCTGGTCCGATCGCCTTGGCAATCAGAGCGGCACATACAGTCGAGTCTACACCACCGCTGACCAGTACCAACACCTTACCGTCACCAACAGTCTCACGGATATACTTGATAGCTTGATGTTCACGATCGTCAAGAGTATAGTCAGCCTTACACTTGGCAATACGCAACAAGAAGTTCTTTAGAATCGACTTTCCATTCTCTGTCAAGTCGACCTCTGGATGGAATTGCAATCCATACATTCCACTGGCGACATTCTCGACACCAGCAATAACACCACCCTCACTAAGACAAATCTCAGTGAAACCCGGTGCAACTTGAGTAACACTATCACCATGTGTCAACAAAACTCTTTCACTCTTTTCCAAACCATAAAACAATTCAGAATTACCTATATATAGGTATGGTAGATTGAAGGTATTGTTTTTAATATTAATAATTTTGTTTGAGTTGATAAAGTGTAGTGTTAATTCAATTCTTTTTATTAAACTATTAATAACAACTTACCTTTAATATGTATATTATGTACACCATCTTCACGATGATCTTTCTTCTCTACTTTACCACCGAGTAGATGTGTCATCAGTTGCATTCCGTAGCAGATACCGAGGACTGGTACACCTAGTGATGGATCGAAAAGGAATGGGTCGTAGGCAGGTGCTTTTGCAGAGTAGACCGACTCTGGTCCACCAGAGATGATGATTGCACGTACATTACCTCTAGCCAACAACGGTGCCAGCTTGGTATCGAAAGGATGAATCTCAGAGGCTACACACAACTCTCTGACACGTCTGTCAATCACCTTACTATACTGTGATCCGGCATCCAAGATCAACACAATCTCATTGGCAACAACATGATCTTCTCCACTACCTGCAACATTAGACTCTACTCTAACTTCATGTGATTTTGGTGGTGTATCTATAATTGGTGATGACATATCTTATCTTTAACTTTTCTTTTAAAAAATAAAAAAAAATGTAAAATATATAAATAAAAAAAAACAAACAAATAAATAAAAAAAGATAGATAATAAATTGCAAAATAATTTGAATTCGAATAAATTAAATTAAGACTTAAATGTTTGTTGACTCACCATATTTATCAATCATTGTTACAACTCACACCCCAACCCCCACTCACTAATAATATATTATTTATTTAACATTAAATATGTTAAACAACCGATATTCGCTTTTCTCGTCTTTATTTATTTTGTTTTGTTTTTTTTTAATTTAATTTAAATCAAAAATACAAACACCATGCATTTGTTATGTTTTGTCGGGATTAATTTAAATTTGAAAAATACCAATTTAGATTTTACCGCAATGACCGATTTGCAAAAAAACGAAAAATAAAAATAAAAAAATTAATTTCTTTTGGTTTTGTTGAATTTTTTGTGTTTTTTTTGTTTTTGATCAAATGCCAGACAAACTTTGATTCTGGAACTACTATTGCACTATCTTTAAAGTCGACAAACTTAAAACTATTTTGATTTTTTAAATAAATGTTTAGATTTAATTATTTCTAAATATTTGTAAGATTGTATTTTTATTTTAGAAGAAAATAAAATAAAATGTCTTTTGGTATTAATTAATAATTAATATTATATGTCAAAAATAATGAGTCATTATGATGAAACGATGGTTTAGAATCAAAGAATTATATAACCACAAACACATTCAATCTCCAAAAAACAACAATTTTTTATTTTATTATGGTGGAGGTATGGTATTATCAATAAATTTGAAATTGAATTCGAAATTTAACACCATTCCAATTTTAAATTAATATCTAAGAGTGTGTGTCATATGTTGATTCCTGGTTGGGAAAAAACATTAAAAAAAGAAAAAATAAATTAATCAAAATTTTTCACTCTTTTTTGAAATCAAAAAACAAAACACAAATATTTAATTTTATTTTTTTAGTTTAGAGTTTTTCAATCAACAAAAAAAATTGTTTGTTCACCTTTCTTTTTCTTTTCATTTTCTTCACCAATCATATCATATCTTTTTAATATTATATACACACTATATATTATATATATTTTCATATAATAATTATTTAGATCTTACAAGCGAAAATGTTTACCTCTATTCTTAGAAACTCATACAACACCAACAGAGTAGCATTCAATGCAATCAGATCATTCAGTACCGCTCAAAAACCAATCAATGTAAATAATCAATAGATAGATATATACAAGATAGATTAGATCAGTTCAATCATTCATTCATTCATTTCACAAAGAGATATGATATTAATTAAAAAAGTATACTTTGTTATGATAATTATTATTATTAGGTCAATTCATTGGTTGTCGAGAAAACAAAGCAACCACTACCAAAATTCACAGATAAGAATAAATTGATCTTTGGTAAGGAGTTCTCCGATCATATGCTTGAGATCGAATGGGATATCAACAACGGTTGGTCAGCACCAAAGATCTCTGCTTATCACAACCTTTCATTACCACCCTCAGCATCAGTGTTCCACTATGCCATCGAGTGTTTCGAAGGTATGAAAGCATACAAAGATAAAGAAGGTAAAGTTCGTCTTTTCCGTCCAATGGAGAATATGAAGCGTTTCGCTACTTCCGCCGAAAGATTATGTTTACCAGTAAGTTGTTGAACAAACTAAAACAACATCATGATGAAAAAGTAATCAATCAAAGTTATTAACTTTTGTTTATTATATCCATTTCTCTCTCTTTAGTCATTTGATAAAGAAGCAGTGATTGAATTGATTAAGAAATTGGTTTTGTTGGATCAAGATTGGATTCCAGAGGGTAAGGGATATTCGTTGTATTTGAGACCAACTTTGATTGCCACACAAAAGAGTTTGGGTGTTTCCGCTTCCAACTCTGCTTTGATGTTTGTCATTGCTTCGCCAGTCGGACCATACTACCCAGAGGGATTCAAGCCAGTTCGTTTGTTGGCCGACGACAGATTCATTCGTGCCTGGGTTGGTGGATCCGGTGCTTTCAAGCTCGGTAGCAACTACGCACCAACCATCTTCCCTCAGTTGGACGCCGCCAAGAAGGGATACTCTCAGGTGTTGTGGTTGTTGAACGACTACGTCACCGAGGTCGGTACAATGAATATGTTTGTACTCTGGAAGAATAACCAGGGTGAGTTGGAGTTGATCACTCCACCTTTGACCGACGGAACTATCTTGCCAGGTGTCACTCGTGACTCGATCTTGAAGTTGGCTCAACAATGGGGAGAGTTCAAGGTTTCCGAGAAGAACTTCACCATGTCCGAACTCGCAAAGGCCATCAAAGAGGGTCGTGTAAAGGAGGCTTTCGGTGCTGGAACTGCTGCCATCGTATCACCAATCAAATCAATCAACTACAAGGGTGAGGAATACCCAATCCCAATCGATGCTGCCAAGGGTGCCGGTCCATTGACTTCAAGAATTGCCGATACGATCATGGGTATTCAAGTAAGTAAACAACTAATTTAGCAAGTTCAAAATTATTATTATTATTGTGAAACTAACCAATTTTCAATTTTTTATTAATTTATTAGTATGGTGAAATTCCAAGTGAATGGTCTGTTGTATTAAACTAAATCATCAATAATAATAATAATAATAATAATAATAATAATAATAATAATAATAATAATAATAATAATAATAAAATAAAACATTAGTTTGTAATTAATTATGCTCAATGTATATAAAAAAACAATAATATTTTAAAAAAGACTTTAAATTTTTTGGATTGTTTAATTTTATAGTAGCTATTAATTACTTTTATTTATTGGTAGACTAAGTATCTTACTGATAATCTGGCTGGTGTTGCTGGTGTTCCTTGGAGAATGTAACCAAAGGTGTAGTTGGCACCGGCGTTAATGGAATTTTGGTAAGATGGAAGAGTGAGATCTCCGTTTTGCAATCTAACAACATTCCAATAGGCAGTACCATCACGTACTCTAAAAGTATAGTCAGTAATACTTTAAAAAGAAAAAGAAAAAGAAAAAGAAAAAGAAAAAAAAGATTTGTTAATTAATTGTTAATCCAATTTAGAATTAAAGAAATAATAATCATAGGATAGTTACAGAAAGAAGTTCTTAAGATTTCTAGTTGATAAGTTGGAGACTGTAACATCATATTGAGTGAATGGTAGATTTCCACGACTTCCATCTACCCATGTACCAACTACTCTTGTTGAAATCTTAAATTCTGGTTGTCCTGGATAGGTATAGGCAATGGCTCTATCGGATTCTACCTCTACTTCGGCAGAAACAAAAGCAATACATAGCAAGAGTGCACAAATTAAAACTATTACCTTCATTTTATTATTTAGAATAGTTTTTGTTTTAGATTTTAAAAAAGTTTGGTTTACTTGATGTGAAATTGATTAGTAAGTAAAGTGGATTTGATTGTTGAACAAAGTAATTTGATGATGATGATGATGATGATGGTTTTTAAAAGTTTAATTTTATTTTTATTTATTTATTTATTTTAAATAAATATATATTGAATTACAACATACTGACTATCTACAATTTTTTATTTATTTTGTATGTTTATTCTTTATTGCTCTCAAACCCATTTGGAAGTTGGAATGGAAAAAAATAACAACATAATGTGAATGAAATAATTTTGATTTTTAGTAATATGGAAAGAAGTAATATCTTCAGTGTATGTTCATGTTCATCAACACATTACACTATGGCGATAGTTGTAATAAGAATAAAAAAAAAATTATGATCAATGTCGAAGAAAGTGTGTTACATTGATTATTAGTAACCACATTATCAAAGTAGTAACAAAAAACACCCTTTAAACACGTGTACTCATCTTTAATAAATGGGTTATTTTCAAAGTCAATGTAAAAAAAATATTAAATAATCAATGGTATATATAATGTATATAGATATTTTACACAATTAAATAAATCAAAACTAAAATAGTGTTTAAAATTTAGTACATATTAAATTATTATTACTGAAAGTTGATTGTATAAATGTTCAAACAAAGGTTTATCCGAATTTTCCTTTGTGGATAACATATAATCAATAAATTTGAAGTTGTAAATACTATAAGCTATAAATGTATTTGTCTTTTATAGCAATAATCCTTATCATATATTTAATGAAAATAGTATTTTCAATACCCAAAACCAGGTGGTTGAAATTATAATTGTACTTGATTAAGAATGTTAGGGTACTAATCGATAGAATCTATGATATATGTTCGGTGTTGGATACAAATTGTTGGCTATTTGTAGCAATGAACCTTCTAGATTATACATAACCACAACATGGTTTATTATGTGAAGAAGATAGATAGAGTCAGTTTAGAGATAATCTAATAACGTATAAATGAAATAGGCAATATATATATAGATATATGCGTAAAAAGAATAAGTATCAATTTGTTTTTATTTCATATTTTATTGGATTAAATAAAACATAATATAGATAAGATAAATGGATAATATATTGATTATGTTGTTTAATTGGTGGTGGGTTGTAATTTAATGTAGATTTCAGTGATCAAGTCAGCTGGGGATACTTTCTGACTGTCATTTAAATAGACTTCAACTGATGGCGATTCTGATGGAATTCTGCTTGAGGTTGGCAACCAGTTCTTGAAGAAATAATCGTAGGTCTTTGAAAGGTTTTCGTAGGGACCTTTGTGAGTGAAGACTGCATAGGTACCCTCTTCCCATGAGATATGCTTTACTGGTTCGTCACCGGTGAGTTTGATAGCAGCCAATTGTTCGGATGAAACACTTACGGAAGCAGCTGACTTTAATTCACTGGATGGTACTTCACATGGATTATCTTAGAAGAAACCAATAAATGAACCGTGGTTAATGTTATTTTGACCAACAAACTTGAAAAGTTCACCACAGCTTTGCTTAATTGCAACGGCATATGGACCAACACCAAAGACACCAATAGTATCACTCTTTGGTAAATCTTTTATTTCAACATTTATCTCTGACATTTTGGTTTGTATTTTATTTATTTTTTTTTTTTTTGAACAATTAAATATGATTTTTATAAAGTGTATTTATAGATTCCCTTTCATATTTTAATTGATATTATTAAATACTATAATGTATAGTCTTTACATTTCCAAGAAATGACTGGTCAGATATTATACTAAGTTGTGGGTTATATAAAGAATTATTAAAAAAAAATAATAAAATCAATAAAAAAGATGAGTGATTATGATTTTACTTTTGTTTGATTTACATGTAACTTAATTTAAGATTTATTTGTTATTTAATAAACAGAGTGGTTAAATTTAATTTATGACAGAATTGTGGCCAGATGATGTTAATAAAAGCATTTGCTATATGTAAACTCTTCATACATTAAGTACAATCATTCTAAGTTTGCAGAGGAAGACATTGTGATTGGGTGCAGTTCAAGGTGATTTCGATATTTATGTACTGCTTAGCACCAATAACTTACGTTTTTGAATACGTTTCCTCTTTTAGATGTTGAAGTGGTGGTTGTGCGGACCAAAAGCAATCGATCTTCAACGCTCAGGCAGTACTCGACATCTCTACCTTTATAAACAATAGTAGCAACTTGAGAATAAGGTATCTCCACATATGTAAAGCCTCTCTTTCCGAATGGTGTTGAGTCGCTGAATGACAGCTATAACTTGTGAGTATCGAGTATTTAAAAGAATTTATTTATTATTTATTGTAATTTATAATGTATTATTTTTCATCTTTTATTTTATTTATACAATCACCATTTTAAACTTTCTAAAATATCTTTATTTATCATTGAAGAATAAAGATCACAAAACAAAACTGGCTCCCAACAACTTTCGCCTGGGCATTAATTTTAAAAAAAAATGTAAAAATTAAAAATTAGAGGGGCCAGTTTTGTTTTGCATTAAAATCAGTCATAACTGAGGGAATAAAAAATTTTTTTTTGAAATAATTTCTTCATCATGATCATTTCAAAATAAATAATAACAAATAATGAATAATCAAACAGATAAAATAGTAAATCTATCACATTTAATATTAAATAAAATAATAAGTTATTTAGATGATAACATTGATCGTATTTGTTTCAGTTTAGTTTGTAAGAGATGGTACAACGATAGAGATAAATATTTAATATTCAACACAGATAGTATCAACCTATTTAAACTTAAAAACACTGTTATCAATCAAAATCATAAACAATTCAAATTACCATCTTATCATAATATCTTTTTGAAATCAATTCGATCAAAAACTGATTGTACACTTCTTATTGGTAAAGCTAAATATTATCATAGTTACGATTATCATTTTGGTAAGTAGTTTAGATTGTTCTATTGATACTTATCATAGCAGTGATAAGAAACAAGATATTCGAAAGTGTCAGAGATATTCACGATCAACTTGCAATCAATTCATTGAGATGTGATTGGTATGATCTTGCTTGTTTCCCAGATCAGCTGATCAAGTTCAATTATATCGAAAGATATAAGCAGATATTCCATACAATAGTCAGAGAAGATAATAATAATAATATTCATACAGATAATTATAAAGATTGGATACATACAATCAGAAAGTTTAGACAATTATATTTAGATTCAGTGAGGAATGCATTCGATGTTGGAAATCTAGAAGCTATAGAGTTCATCCAAAAGTCATTTCCGAATGAATTAGAATATTCACTTTACGTCAATAGGGATCACTACATTAATAATCTAGAGATCATTCAATTCCTTCATAATAAAGCACCTCGGTGGTTCAGATCACAAGGCTCCGACGTGTTGGATAATGCTGCACTTGGTAGTTTTCAAGTATTCAAATGGCTTTACAAGAATAGATCTGAAAGACCTACCTATTCCTATTTACATGCTGCCAGAGTTGGAAATCTTGAAACTATCAAGTATTTGCATAAGAAAGTGAATAAATTGAGAGTTGGAACAATGTCAATTGTATCCGCAGTTTTGGTTGGACATGTGGAAACACTCAAGTATCTACTCAAGAATATGAAGATACCATGTGATGGTGACATTGTTAAACAAGTAGTTGCAAATTATGGACTTGATGATGGTCAGATTTTTTCTACAGTCAAATACCTCATGGAGAACACCAAGCAAGACCTTTCAAATACTTTGATTGATGATGCTGCCAAAAAAGGTCTTATTGAAGTGGTTAAATATCTCATAGAGAATACCACTGCCACAACATATACAAGTATTACAATGGATGCTGTCGCTGGTCATGGTGATCTAGAGTTTCTCAAACAACTTCATAATAAACATATGAATTGTACAGCTAAAGCAATGCACATGGCTGAAAACGGACACATTGAAGTGGTCAGATTCCTTCATGAGAACAGAACTGAAGGTTGTCGAGTGTATACAATGGAAAAAGTTGTAGCCAATGTTGATTTCGATGTATTTAAATTCTTTTTGAAAATAGAAAAGAATTGGATATTCCAGCAAAAACGATGGACTACTTTGCCAAGTATAAAGATAGCAGTGCACTCCAATGGTTAAAAGACAATTCAACTCTACAATGTTCACACGAAGCCTATTTAAATGCAATACATAAAGCAAATCTACCAATAATCAAATGGATTCGTGAAAATACAAGTCTTCCATTTCCATCGAATTTATTGGAATATGCAACAAAGTTGGAGAATAGTGATCTCAAAATCGTTCAATATCTGCTTGATAATGGTGAAACCTGTTCAGTAAAAGAATTGAAATGTTGTCATAAACTTTCAAGTATTTACTTTGTAACCTACCCGAAGGATGTTCAATAGACTCATGGGCATCTGAGGTAATGGCAAATGCAATTAAAAAAGATAATGTTCCAATCATTAAATACCTTCTTCAAAACACATCTGAACACTTAACTACAGAGTACTCGCAATTAACATACTGCAAAGCATTTGATTATTCATCAAGACTTAAACTTTTAAAACTTTATAATCTTTAAATAAAGACAATATCTACGATGTAAAAGAAAAAAATAACTAGACGAGTCTATTGATATCAAATTTATCAAATAATAATATTTTCTATTGAATATTTAGATCTTTTATATTTTTTATTTTGTTAAAATTCCAAAATGTTAAAACATAATACTAGTTTGGTATAATTTTTTTTTAGAAATATAGAGTATTTTATTTAGTTTGTTAGATTTAGTAGTTCCAAGTTGAGATTCAACAATTCCCAGCATCATCTTCATTAAACAGTTTGTTTGTCCATGTTTCCACTAACCATAAGGTAAGAGTTGCTTTCTGCTCAGTCTTCAAAAATCCTATATGCACACTTGTTAAAGCACGTACCTTATTTAGGTTGCTGTCGGTTTGTTCTGTGCTCGAGCGACTAATCACTCTGGAAGAGGTTGTGTGTGTATATATGCGATTGAATTCAACAGTCCTAGACCAACACGCTTGTTCTTGTAGTATCATTACCGGTTAAATGTACATTAAATTCATAGATACTGTAGCACCATAGCCAATATTAGTATTCAGAGATCTATTACTATTAGATTCTACCATTAAGAAAGGTATCATCGTCTCTATTTAAAAAAGATGGCATATTAGACTATAAACTATTGAAATATCTTTAACGCTAGACTTTTAGTTGTTCCACGACATATCATAAATGCTTATCAAAATGTTTGTTTATCTATTAGATTTTTATACGTTTTAGTGTGGTAGAGAATCGATTGAAATGCTAGATAAGAATACAAGATTAATGAGTTGATTATAGTTTAAATAATTGTATATAGACTAGATAATTGGGAGATTATTTTGTTTAATTTGAGGGTTTAATATGAAATTAGATCTTGTTTGAAATTCATCATTTTAGAATTTCCATTTTTTTAAAATTAATGACATTCAATCTAGATTCATAGTAGATTAAAATATTTATTCTCATTCTATAATTAAATAGAATAACTTTGGATAATGATAATAAAAAAAAATAAAACATAAGTAAAAAATTCGACTTTCTTAATATTTAGATCTATATAATATTTCTTTATTCTATTCTATTCCTTTACTAAAGATTTGTTCAAGTTTAGATTGATGAAATATTCGAGCTATTAATTTTCCTTTGGGCGAACATTGATTTTCAGAATATAATAAATAATAATTATCGTCCAACTTTCTAATTGATAGTATTTGAAATGGCTTAAATCTATAGATGATATTGGTGATTAATTTGATAGTGTTTGGAATGCTGATATTGTTATTAGATAGTATTTGAAATGACGTAAATCTATAGATGATATTGTTGATTAATTTGATAGTGTTTGGAATGCTGATATTGTTATTAGATAGTTTTTCAAATTCAAGTGTGTTGAGTGTTGATGGTATCAAATGCAATATATCATTGAGATCATTGTTACCAATATCCAGATGTTCTATGGTGGTTGGTAGTTTAAATTTAGGAGGTCCATCTACGAATGTTGGAAGACGAAGTTCTCTTAATGAACATGTTTGATCGGCAACACCATCAAAACCAAAATCTATATTGTTCTCATCTGAACCCAATGATTTCATATATAAATTGATTGTTCTAATACCAGTTGGTAGAATTATTTTTGATTGTCTGGGATCACTAGATACTGATAAACTATCGATCTTAATGTTTGATGTAATTGGAGGAAAACTGTCATTTCTATAATAGAATATTTCCAAGTGATATTGCAGCGTTTCTGGGAATATTTCATCGATATTGAATCGACAACCTACAGTATGGATACTTTTCAATGATGTTGGCATGGCTCCTTTCAATATATTCTCTTTTCCTTGTAGTCTAATATCTAGTGATTCTAAAGTTGGTGGGAGATAGTTGAGATTGGATATTGTAGTATCCTGTCGACTGCTCAGGAGAAAAATGTAGAGTGATTGAAGACTGGAAAGTGATGATATTGCTTGTAACCATGAAATTGGTAAGTAGGATTCGGTTTCCGTACAATCTTCACTTGATGTCGAATCGATAGAATATCGTAAATCAGCTTTGAGTGGAGAGGTGTAATTCGTAAGAGATAAACTTTTGAGAGAAGAAGGAAGTACACCTGGTTGAAATTCATGTCGATAACCATCCAGAGTAAATTTCTGTAAAACATCGGGAAGTACACCCGGTAGAATTTCTAATTCATAGTTATGTAGATTTAGGTAGCGTAAACCACTTGGAAGTACACCTGGTAGAATTGTATGTTGATAGTTGTTAAGATCGATTTTGCTTAGACCACTTGGAAGTACACCCGGTAGAAATTCATATTGATAGTTGTATAGAGAAAGTTTGCGCAAAGAATCGGGAAGTACACCTGGTGGAATCTCTTGTTTGAGAGGATCTTCAAAATCTAACACCTCTAATGTATTGGGAAGTGATCCTTTAACAAGTTGTTCATTGAAATTGTATTTAAATTTGATAGATTTGATTGACTTTGGTAATCCATATTTCAATGTGTTGCATCCTTTCAACTTTGTTACTGATTGTGATTCCGAAATTAATCTGTAGAGATACTCCATATCATCCTCAGTATATTCGTTAGTTGTAATATCGATAACTGAAACATTGTTGGGAATACTCTTGAGATTTCTAACATCATCTATAGATAAAAATAATATAGTCAGGTTAAAAATAATCAATAGTTAATCTTTTAAAATTTAAAGATATTTACCATAATGATAATCGAATGTATAATATTTTATTTTACCAATAATGAGTGTACATTTAGTCTTTGATTGAATCGATTTCAACAAGATATTATTATATGATGGTAAGTTGAAATGTTTATGATTTTGATTAATATCAGTGGTATTAAGTGTAAATAGGTTGATATTATTAGTGTTGAATACTAAATATTTATCTCTATCGTTGTACCATCTCTTACAAACTAAACTGAAACAAATGATATCAATATCATACTCTAAATAACTAACTATTTTATTTAATATTAAATGTGAAAGATTTACTATTTTATCTGTTTGATTGTTCATTATTGTTAATTTTAACAAAAAGTAAGAAAAGAAGAGATTAACTATAAAAAATAATATTTAAAAACTTTAAAAATTCTATGATTCCTATTCTTTTTTCTTTCTACCTTTTTCGGATTTTTTTTTCACAAAACACCATGTTTTTATGTTATTCAAAAACACTTTTAAATAATAAACTAAAAATAAATGGATTTATTATTTAAAAGAATATTAAATTCTTTAGAGTTGAGAAGAATTATATTTAAAAGTGTTAAAGATATTCATGATCAACAAACAGTACTTTCTTTAAGATGTGATTGGTATGATCTCGGTTGTTTTCCAGATCACCTGATCAAGTTCAATTACATTCAGAGGTATAAAGAGATATTCAATACTTTAATAAAACCTAATAGAGTGAAATCAAATAATTTTAGTACGATCTCCAAATTTAAACAATTATACAACGAATCATTCGAAACAGCAATCACATGTGGTTCGACAATCGAGTTGGTAGAATTCCTTCATGATTCATTTAAAGGTGAAATAGATTATAAGAAGAGACTTCTTTATTATCATTATCAGAGTAACCTTCCACTGATTAAATTTCTTCATGAGAATGTCAATGGCTGGTTCGAGTCATTGGGTACAAGAGTTATGGATGTTGCTGCATGTTCCAGCTTGGAAGTTGTAGAGTTCCTTCATTTCAATAGGAGCGAAGGTTGTACCACTGATGTTCTTGATAACGCTAGTAAAATGGGTAGATTCGATATTGTCCAGTTTCTCCATTCTCATCGCACAGAAGGCTGTTCAGTGGTAGCATTAGATTCTGCTCCCTCATTTGGTAGTTTGGAATTGGTGATGTTTCTCCACTACAATAGAAGTGAAGGATGTACCACCAAAGCTGTAGACAATGCCGCTGACAATGGCTATTTGGAAAAAGTTAGGTTCTTAATTGAGAACAGAACAGAAGGTTTTACAAATGACGCAATCTACTATTCTGCAATATATGGACATTTGGAAGTACTGAAGTATCTAATGGCGAATATATCTGAAACATTGGAAATCTCTTTAACTTCATCACTTTTAGGACAATGTAAACAACCTGTATTCCAATACTTGATAGAGAATACCAGTGCCAGTCAAGTCATTTCCTCAAGTACAATGGATTGTGTAGCGAATACAGGTGACCTAGAATTCATTAAGTATCTTCATTTCAATAGGAGTGAGGGATGCTCATCCGATTCTCTACATAATGCAGCTGTCAACGGACATTTGCAAGTGGTGAAGTTCCTCAATGAGAATCGTACCGAAGGTTGTAAGTCGAATACAATGTCGTTGACAGCGAGCAACGGTCATTTCGAAACATTCAAATATCTCATGGAATTCAGTAGATTCAATCAAAGATGTTCGGAATCAGTGATTGACTATTTTGCCAACTACAAAGATACGACAGCACTCCAATGGCTGAAGGACAATACAACATTGAAATGTACTGTTTTTGCTTACAGGAATGCTATTGAATCCGGTAATCTTGCAACACTTCAATGGGTTCGCGAAAATACTACACACCCAATTCCGCTATTCGCAATGGATTGCGCTGCTTCTCCTAACAGAAACAACTTGTCAATATTAAAGTATATTCATGATAATGGTGGTAAATGTACGAAAAATGCAATGAATCTCGCTTCTAGTTTACCAATCATCACATTTCTTCATTATAATCGTAGTGAAGGTTGTAGTTCCAAAGCAATGTATCGAGCAATATCCAATGATAACGTTCCAATTATCAAATTCCTTGATAAAAACACAACAGATCACCTAAATACATCTTATATTGAATTGAACGATGAAAAGACATTTGATTTTCTCGCCAGAAGGGAGCTAATCAAACAAATAAAAATTTAAAATAATAAATAAAAAAAAATGTTAACAAACAACTCCAATCTAAAATCAATATCAGCATTCCAAACACTAACTAATCGATCACCAATCTCATACATAAATTTGGACTATTTAATAGTCAAACAATTAGAATTTGTCCTCCTCTTCTAATTCATTGTTGTTATTATTAGTTTTGCAAGATCTTCCTCTCCTTCTCTTCAAAGGTCTCTCTTCCTCTTCTGAATCTTGGATATCTAAATTGTCATTCCTGAATTGACAAGTTTCACAATTTTTTACAAAGTTGATTGTTATTTTATAGTCATCTATAAAATATACTTCATCTCTAGATCGAATCACCCTCATATAACTGAGAGATAAATGTCCTTTGTTGGTATGATGAAGCTTGTTAAGATAGAGTTGAATATCATCATCGAATAAATAAAATATTTTTCTAAGACATCTGTTGTCTATAATGAGCGACTTGTTATGTACATACAAATAGAAAAGCAGGGGAAGAAGTATGCCGGTATATATTCAAAACAAAAAAAGAAAAAGAAAACCTATGACTAATAATAAATTAATTGTAAGTTTATTTTTAATCCTTGTTTGTGGATATAAATAATAATATTTCTTTTAATTTCAAAGATTAAACCTAATATCTTGAAGAAGATATTTAAGGGTTTAACCCAAAAGAACAATAAAATTATAAATATATATAAATCATTAATAGATAAATATCAAATTAAATTATCATCTTTTCAAATAATTAAAAAGAAAATACTCAGAGGATAACTTCAGACTGTAATTTTTCACTCATGATCAGTCAACAAATTGCAGGTATTGATATTAACCTGCTAGTTCGTGTTATAATTTACGTGTCATGACAGTGACTCCTTCGACTCGTAACCTTTGATACCACTATTTTTTTTTTTTTTAACAAAGTGGTATACATGTTTTATTAAAAGTTGAATTGAAAGGATGGATTTACCATCAAGTTTTTTTTCGAAGTCTATTTTTTTTTTTTTCTTTTTAGTTGTTTGTTGATTTAATTAATTAGTTGGCAGGTTGGGAAGAGAGTTAATTTAATTTACTTTATTAGTTGGCTGGTGTTGGAGTGTTGTTTATTAATTTTAGAATGTTTCTGTGGATATCCAAGTCGGATAAAATAGATTGGTTGGAGAAATTGAGTATTTTGTCATCTTGACTGAATAGAATTTAACTGACATGTTTCCAAATGTTGTGGTAGATGATCGCTGTTAGGTCTGATGATTCATCGCAGAGGTACCTTTGATACCAGACATTTCTTCACTTTTTTTTTTTTTTGTTGTTTTTGCAAAAAAAGATTTGTTGATTCATGATCAGTCAACAAATTGCAGGTATTGATATTAACCTGCTAGTTCCTGTTTAATATTATATT